GGACTGGCTAGGCATGGCGGAATTCGCATACAATAATGCGAAAAATGCGTCGTCAGGAATGTCCCCTTACGAGGCATGGTATGGCTACCAGCCGGCGCTACCCGAGCTTGCCGACGTCGGGGACTCCGGCACGGTCGCAGCAGTGGGAGAACGACTCGACCAACTACAAGCAAAACGCCGTCAGCTGGAAGAGAGCCTGCGCCACGCCGCCGAACAGCAAGCAAGGAGCTACGACAGGAGGCATCGCCCAACCGAATACCATGTGGGCCAACGGGTGCTACTGTCTACGAAGAATATCCGCACGTGGAGGCCCAGCAAGAAGCTGGACACCAAATACGAAGGGCCATTCGAAATAGTTGAGGTAATAGGCCGACAGGCGTACCGCCTGCGACTACCCAGGTCATATGGGAAAATCCACCCGGTCTTCCATGTATCACTCCTCAAGGAATGGAATGCAAGAGACGGCGACTTACCGGCGCCACCCCAGCCAGTCGTCATCGACGACGAGGAAGAATGGGAGGTGGAACGGATCGTCGCACAACGAAAGCTATACGGCAAAGACCAATACCTGGTCAAATGGAAAGGATGGCCAACGTATGAGAATACTTGGCAATCAGCGGAAGACTTGGAAAACGCACAAGATATCCTGAACGAGTTCCGCCACGCAAACGAGACACGGGCGAGGCGCCGGCGAAACGCCACGAAATAGTGAAACGCGAAAATAATAAGTCAATAAGGGTTAAGGAACCAAAAAGACTACAGAGGCGCACCAACGGCGCTACCCTTCCTCTTTTTCCCACCGGGTTTTGAGGTTTAACGGGGGCACACTACGGGCGTCAAGGAACCTTAAAGAAAACGACTTGATTTCACTATGCGAAAATAGAAACAGCGAGCGCCTGCGCCGCGACATCGGTAAACCCCTAATCGTCATAACCGTCCCAAACCTCCTCGTCGCTGTCCTCCAACTCTATCATGCCGCCCCCAACACGCTGCACGTTGAGCAGGCGAAATAGGTTGCGGTTAATGGACCGAAGCAACCTCTCCGACTGGTCCTCAGTCTTGAGGCGACGAATAAAAACCTGGGTGGCGTGGGTCCAGCGAGCACAAGCCGCCACGCCCGCCGCCCCGCCAGACATCGCCTGGATCTCGCCAAGACTGGCGCGCACAGGCGGGATCACAGGGAAACACTTTTTATGTAAGCGGGCACAACGAGTACACCGCTGTCCTGGGTTCGGGCGCACGCAGGAACGAACTTCCACAGGGCCATTGTCCGTGTGCCACCAAGACTTCGCGCAACGCAGGCAACACGGCGTCCACGCGACGGCGGACGAGCCAGCGGGAGCAACCGGAACGGCCGGAGCAGCCGGAGCCACAGCAGCAGCGGGAGCGACCGGAGCCGGCACAACGACGGGAGCCGGCGCAACGACGGGAGCTGGCGCGACGGCGGGAGCTGGCGCGACGACGGCGGCTGGAGCAGCTGGAGTCGCCGCAGCGGAAGAAGCGGAGGGGGAGACGGCGGGAGTCACCACAATGCTAGGAGTGGCCACGGAGGACAAGGGGGATACGGTCCCGCCAGACGACGAAGCAGCGACAGCGGGAACCACGAGGGACGCACCGGCAGCGACAGGGGTCGCGGGCGCCACGGTTGGTATAGGTGCGGGGGGGTTCGCCGCGGAAGCCTACAAACAGTCAGCACGATAGACCTGCGCCGCCAGAACGAAGGCACCTACAGAGGAAGAAGTGGTAGCAGCCAAACGGGCCCTCTTCCGCAGAGACGCGGCCAGCGCGGCACCGGATAGAGGACGCTTCGAGGGAGCCATGAAGTCTATAACACAGTTAGCCATCGCCACGACGCCTAAGCGACGACAACCCACCTAGCACAATGTGTCAACCTATCAGGAGGTACTTTTCAGAACGTGGATCGGGCTAGGAGGAGTACGCGCGGAGGAGCGTTCCCCTACGATATTTATACTACAACAACACCTTCGCCTACTACTAGTGCACCCAGCGAACCGCCTACTCCTATCCATTGTCCTATTCAAAGCGAAACATGATGCTATTCATATCCTATTCAACAAAGCGCAATCAATGGAGGCAGTGTTACGCGCACTATTATTATCTCCAGTGTTGAATGAAAAAGCGGGTTGTGTTACACCAACTAGGGCTAGCTCCTCCTTGGCAGAGCGCCAAGCCGGATCGGGCGTAGCGCACGCGGCGCGCGGACGCGCCGCCAAGGGGAGGGGAGGCAATTGTCACGGCGACCACGTGACATGCAACCACATGCCGAACCACATGCCGAACCACATACCCAGTAACCGAGGGTAATCGGGAGAACGGCAACATTCGAGTCGCCTGCGCCGCGCCGGCGACTCGACTAGGCAACATAAATAGCAACGCAATAACCCCCGAAGTGCTGAGAGACAAGCACTTCGTTTTGTTACTTCCAGTACCTTCCTACTATCCTCGTACTCCGTGTAGCTTTGCTTCCTTTACCAACACTACCCATACCCAAGCGCCTCGCCAGTGAGACGCTTACACTTTAAGAACTCTATCTTCTTATATAATTTATCCCCCTATTAAGATAGCTTATTATTCTTAAGATAAAAATTAATCTTATAAGTAAGAAAAGATTTTCTATTAAAAAATTAGTAAAGATATATTAAATAAGTTATAAAATTAAAAGAAATAATATTATTTTTCTTATAATATTATAGAAATTTAAGTATAAAATATAAGCTATAATTATTAAATATTAGATATTATTTCTTACCTTACTTAATATATGTAAGAGCATGTGATTCGGGCAACATACTATACCATTGGACCAAAAGGTCACTATGATCAGACCTGATGGTCTGATCTGCCCGAATCCCACCTTATATACCTAGCAATCATTGCCTTGGCACCAGTGCACCTAGTGCACGCCGTGACAACTATCTCCTTCCTTGAGATAAGGCTTGACCACAAGCCAACTAGCATATATTCAGTAGGGACCCCCAGCCCTAAGCCAGCTAGGCTAAGCTAAGGGCTGTGAGCAGGTAGGCGTGGTTCAAATCTGGTAGCGCAACCAGGTCTAGCAGGGGACCTCTAGCACCTATCCAGGTCTAGCAGGATTTTTAACCGAGCCCTAGCACCTATTCGGCCTAGTGGGACTCAACCCAGCCCTAGCACCTATTTAGGTCTAGCGGGACTACCCAACCCTAGGACTTAATTATCATTATCGCATAATGACAACAGCCGGATTCGAACCACAGCCATCTACCCATCAGGTCTGATCATACTTGTAAGAGCATGTGATTCGGGCAACATACTATACCATTGGACCAAAAGGTCACTATGATCAGACCTGATGGTCTGATCTGCCCGAATCCCACCTTATATACCTAGCAATCATTGCCTTGGCACCAGTGCACCTAGTGCACGCCGTGACAATATAATTAGGATACTTTATTTTAGTATTAAATTAATATAATTAGGTAAGTACAAGCTTATTAGTTATTTAATTATTTAAGGATATTACTATTATTATTTTAGGTAGTAATTATTCTATATTATAATATTAGATTTCTATATAGTTGCCTGTTACTTTAAAAATAAAAATAGGTTTATTACCTAATTATCTATAATAATATATTTAACTATAATAATATTTTTGTAAGCGTCTCACTGGCGAGGCGCTTGGGTATGGGTAGTGTTGGTAAAGGAAGCAAAGCTACACGGAGTACGAGGATAGTAGGAAGGTATTGGAAGTAACAAAACGAAGTGCTTGTCTCTCAGCACTTCGGGGGTTATTGCGTTGCTATTTATGTTGCCTAGTCGAGTCGCCGGCGCGGCGCAGGCGACTCGAATGTTGCCGTTCTCCCGATTACCCTCGGTTACTGGGTATGTGGTTCGGCATGTGGTTCGGCATGTGGTTGCATGTCACGTGGTCGCCGTGACAATTTTTATCTTACTTATTTTTTATAAGATTAAAATATTTAAAACTTCTAAAAACCTTCCTATTATAATTTTTATCTAGTTAGAAACTATATTTATTAAAGTTATAGATAAGATAAGCTAGAACCCTATAAAGAAGTAATTTTAAAAGATTATACTAGTATTAAAATAAGCTAGTATCCTTTACTTATATTTATTTTAATTTTTTAGTCTTTTACTTTATTAGAGCAAGTTCTAGATCTGCTAGTATATATAATTTAAATTAATATAGCTATATCTTACTAATTTACTTATCTAACCCTATATAAGTAAGTATTTAATTTACCTATATTATAATAATTACAGGAGTTAGTAGGATATTTTATTTCTATATTTATATAATCTAGTTAATTAAGGCCTTTTCCTAATATAGCTATAGAAGGTTCTTATTTATTATTATTAATATTACTAGTATCTTTAGTTTTTTAAGGCATGTTTAGAGCATAGAGTCAGGTATATTAAATTCTTATATAATCTTTATAATATTTAGTTTTTTTTACTTTTAAACTATGGTAATAGCTTCAAGTAAGTAAGATTTATTAAAATCTAGAGATTTAGGCATGTTATATTATAATAATAATAAAAATAAGTTAAAATATTAAAAATCGCGAAGAATGTGTGATCGCGAAGAATGTGTGGTGCACCTAAAGCAGGTAGTGGTTTAGGTGGGCAGAAAGGCATGGATAAAAGCCACCAGGCAGTGGGACTGCCGACGAAGGTCGGAGCGGCGCTGAATCAATAGGGACATATCTGATCTTGGGGAAATAACCTATATAAGCACGATTATGGATGGCATTTACTAGAAATACAATTTAAAAAAAAAAAAAAACTACAATACAGGTTGACTCGAATTAAAGACAGAATTAACCAGCCGAAGTCTACCTAGTACAAAGAGAAGAATGAGGGGAAGCGAATGCTGACGGTCCTGTACGTGAAAGAAATAGCACTCCAAAGACCATCACTACAAATATCCAGGATACCTAGTGCCTTCATTTCGTTCACTGTAAAAACTGAACAAAGTTCCTATGAAAGCCGCACGATACTACAAAGCCGGCGATGTCCGCATCGAGGACGTGCCTCGCCCCGAACCTTCGCACGACAAGGTCCTGGTCGCTGTAGAATGGTGCGGAATATGCGGCAGTGATCTGAACGAATATCTCTTCGGTATGTCTATCGCATCGCGAAGGGTAATCTCACGTACTAAAGGATCGGATACCAGGTCCCATCGCCGTCCCAAGTGAAAAGAACGGCCGGCACCGTCTCACAGGCGACATCCTCCCCGTCACCATGGGCCACGAAGTAACCGGCCGAATCATCCACGCACCCACGACCCCATCTTCATCGAACACCTTGATCACCGGCCAAGCCGTCGTCATCGACCCACGCTTCTACTGCTCCTCTTGCGCGCCTTGCATCCAATCCGTCACTAACTGCTGCGACGATATCGGATTCCTAGGTCTCTCTGGCGGAGGCGGCGGGCTCTCCGAGGTCGTTGCCGTTCCAGAGTCCATGGTCCATGTTCTTCCCGAGAATGTCGATCTAGCTGCCGCGGCGCTGATCGAGCCGCTCGCTGTTGCGTGGCATGCTGTGCGGCTCGGCACGGAAGCACTGAATATGGACCTCGGTGACGTGCCTATCCTAGTGGTTGGTGCTGGACCGGTTGGCGTAGCGACTGTCTTTGTTTTAAAGGCTTGCGGAGCACGCATGGTTTTTGTCTCGGAACCGTCAGACGCAAGAAGAGAGTCGATACAGCGTACTGGTCTTGTCTGTGCGGCGTGGGATCCAGCTGAGGTGGATGTTGCAGCAAAATGCAACGAGGTAACTGGTGGCGGTGTTGGCCTTGTCTTTGACTGTGCTGGATCCCAGGATGCACTGCAGGCCGGAGCAGGTAGTATTCGATTTAGAGGCATTTATGTTAACTTGGCTGTGCCGAAGATGCCAGTGAGCAAATCCCCCCTCCCTCCCCCCTTTCTTACAGCATTTGCTTCATATATACATACATGTATGTATGTATGTATTTATGCATGCATGCTTGGATAAATGGCTAATTTGGAAATCCTGTTTAGATAACTCTACCTATTTTGCCGTTTCTAAAAAAGGAGATCACATACAAGTGTTCGCTAGCTTATGACCAGGAGGACTTCAAGCAGACAGTAGCTGCGTTTGTTGCTGGTGCGTATCTCTATTTCATGCTTTCCAGCACTTGAGCTAACTTGAAGGTAGGACGGTTCGAAGGAGTTGAGACCATGATTTCCAGACGTGTCCTGCTGGACGAGATCGTAGAGAAGGGATTTAAAGAGTTGACCCAGCCGAATAATCATATCAAGATTCTGGCTACACCAAGGGTAGATCTGCTCTTCTAGATCAACTCTTGCATGTACGACGATACTATAGCCAGAGATGCCCCTTAGAGTGGGTGCTATTACGGAGAAAAGAGGGAGAATAATTTGGACACCATACTCCAGATTCAAATTCAATCCGAGGCAAGGGAAAACTCTTTGTGTAATAAGAAAATACAGAATGAGGCAAGTAAACATATTTACGCCTTAGTCTTGCCCTTCGACTTGGTCTTCTTAGCCTTGGTAGCTGGGGAAGGAGCAACTGCCTTAACGGCCTTGGGGGAAGGCTTCACGCTCTTAGGTGCCTCATCCTTTGCAGGAGTGGACTGCGCTGCCTTCTTTTCCTTCTTCGATTTCTTCGGGGTATCATCAGCTTTCTTCTCTGGCTCGGACACAGGCGCCTCGATGGCCTTAACCTGCTCACCCTCCTCAATGGCCTTAACCTGCTCGCCCTCCTCAATAGCCTTCTTCTCCTGAACGGGGACATCCTTGACGCTCTTGAGCTGAGGAAGCTCAAACTCGTAGCCTAGCTCCTTGAGCTTCTCAGCCTTGGCCAATCGTCTTCTCTGTTCCTGGCCGATATTCTTGGACCATTGCTCGCGCGTCTTACCCTTGTTCAGACGCTTCCGCTCAATCGTATTCCAGGGGGTTCGCTTGAAGCGCCGGTTGGCGCCCTTCCAGAGATCCGGGTGCAGTTGCTCCACAGGCACGTACTTGCACTTCAGGATGTGGCCGTACATCAGGTAGTTGTCCATGGTTGCGGCGACGATCTTGGCGACGGAAGTAGAGACAAATTCGATGAAAGCGTAGTGCTTGGAGCGGCCAGTAAGACGATTGCGAGACAGACGCAGGCGGGTAATCTCGCCAAATTGTGAGAAGTATGCGCGCATCTGGTGTTCATAGAAACCGTGGGGGATACGGCTGGGGATGGTTAGACAGATGTCAACGGAAGCATAAAGATAATTAGAACTCACCCAACATAAACAGTTCCAGGTTGCTCATTGGTCTCGGTCTTTTGCTGCTTCTGCAACTTGAGGATCTTGCGCTTGGCTTTCTTGGAGTCGGGGATCTTGGGAACCGGAGCATCGGGGTCCAGACCCTCGTCCGCGGACTCGTCCTCGTCGCCACTGCTCTCGAAGCCTCGGATCAGGGCAGCAGTCTGGTCATCTTCCTCGTCATCTTCACCTTCGCTATCACTCGGAATAGGAACCTCTTCGTCTTCAGAGTCGCTAGCAATAATCTCAAGTTTCTCCGCCAGGTCCTTCTTCTTGGACTTTGCGGGCTTGTCCTTGGGGGCCGGAGCAGCGGTGCCATCTTCCTTCTTAGACTTCTTGTTGGTAGGCTTGCTCTTGCTGTTCTTCTCTGCAACCTTCTTCACGGGAGCGACTTCAACCTCAGCCTCACTATCCTCCTCCTCCTCCTCATCACTAAGAAAATCAGCTGCGCGCTTGCGAGGCTTGATCGGTCGGGGAGCGTCCCCATTAGCCTTGGGCTTCACGGCAGACTTCTTCGCCTCAGCGGCTGCGCCATTGGACTTGTTCTTTTTCAGAATAGATTTCGGGGAATCTTGGGCAGGTTGCTCCGTGGCTTTGGCTTCGACCTTCTTGGTCTTCTTCGCCGGCGAGTCGGCAGCGGTGGCAGTGGCCGCTACGAATCTGTCAGTACACAAACACTCTGTGATTTCGGAAAATAAAACAAAGATGAAGGAGTGAAATTCATACCCTTACGCTTCTTGTCCTTTTTATCCGGAGCCATTTTCACAACAGTCGCAATGGACGAATTTATCAACTGAGCCTCGACAAGTGCGGGAGACTTTTTTTTTTTTTCTTCTGAAAATTATTTTTTTTTAGCTGCAGAAAACGCCAAGCGGTGAGCCTCAGTCCGCCTTCCGTTGCCCTCTCTTTCTTGTCTCTACTACCGCATCAACAACTTCACATTACACCAAAACAAGACAGAGTGCCAGATGTCATGGGGAAGAAAAAGGGTGCTAATAGGGCACTGACGCAGGAAGAAATCTGGGATGATTCTGCGCTCGTTCAGAGCTGGGATGAAGCAGTCGAGGAGTACAATGTAGGTTGCTCCCCTGGCACGTGACCTATACGGGGCTGACTCTCATGAACAACAGCTCTACCACAGCATCCATGCAAAGGGGGAGAATGTGGAAGATGTTCTAAGAGAAGGTGAAGCTAAGGAAGAGGCAGAGGCTGCGGCTGAGAGGGCCCATGCCGAGATTGAAGATGAAAAGGATGATGACATGGCCGATGCCGATGCTCTCCGGCCTGCCCAAGAGACGCACCCAGTCCTGCAGGTACGTGCAAATACAAGGGCCCGTTCCTTCGAATATCTATCATTAATTCGAGTTTAGGCAGTAAACGGACGAGACGACCCGTGTGTTGGAGCGCCCAAAGAGCAAGGTACCGCGAATCCCATTCCCCATCCCGCTGCTGCTATCCCCCAGCCTCTCCTGAATCAAGGTAGGACCAAGGCCCAAATCTTCCGTTTCCCTCTTGGGCAAAGGCTAACTACCGTAGTTCAAGATGAGGGGCTAAAAAACCTCATGATGGCCTGGTACTATGCTGGATATTATACAGGTCTCTATGAAGGACAACGAGGAGCAAATCAAAATAAGGGCTCGTGATGTTTGCCATGGGAAACCCCCCTTCCTAATAATGAACTTGCAACTTCTGGATGTGATATCTGCCAGAACAAAGTCTCGGGGTTGGCTTTCAGGATGTGTGTTTGCCTAGTAAGCTAGATGCGGAGCAAACACTATAAAGACTTGGTGGGATCAAAGCCGCGCATGTTAAGAGAAGAATTCTTCGCCTTGCCAGGTTTTATATAGGTAAATATTGGGCAGGCAGTTCAGTTTACTCCAGTTCACTCCTAAAAATATACTTTTTATTAATATTTCTTCTCCAAGGCAGACTATGGTTTAGAAATATTAATTTCCGCAACTAGCTGCAGCCAGCTTTCGTTCTAATATAATAGAACCAAAGAATAGCTTACAACTATCACTAACCCCCAGGACCTATCTCTCTAGCTTTATGAGCTATACACTTGATTTGTTCTTCCTAATGATTAACCAGTACCAGGAGCACTACTAAAATTGGCCCAAAAGGACTTCTCCTGAATCCATTATTCAGGGATTAGTTACGTGCTTACTTACACCTACATACATCCAGGAGGTGGATGTCGGACATTATAAGAATAGAGAAATACTTGTGTGACAAGAATAAGAATAACCAAATGAAACCCGTCAACATAACTGAATGAACTATCTAACTCATGCTGATGCTCATGACCGTGCACAACTACTTGAACTACTCGCCATACCACCTAGCTCAACCCTCAACATATCCCCGAGAACACCACCATCCCTCCTGATATTCACACAGCAACCGCGCTCATCCCAAATAAACATCTCAAACAAAAAGCAAAGAAAAGGAGCGGACGGAGAAAAAAAAAAAAAACGTTTACAAAAGCCCACCACCGCTCAACAATCCACCCACAAGCGGCAAGCCAGACAACGGATCATTCTTGGCCTGGTGGCTCGGAGCCGCCGCCGGCGCGGCCGCCGCCTCGTCATCAGCGCTGGGCTCAGCCGCGGGCTTGCTCTTCATGTCGCTGTTGAGGCGTTCCGCGCTGACAGAGGCAGAAGCCGAGGGCACGCTCGCAGCAGCAGCAGCAGAGGGCATGAGGATGCCGTTGGGAGAAGACGGCGTGGCCGCGTCGGCTTCCTCGTTCGCCTTGGTGCTTGCAGCTGAAGGTGCCGCGGCTTCGGGGTCCTCTTCTTCTTCGGGCTCGGGCGTGGCAGGGTGCATGGCGGCGTGTGCTTTTCCGGAAGACGAGGGGAATGTGACGTGCGTGTTGGGCACGGGCATGTTGTTTCCGACGTCCGCGTTCTCGTCGGTGCTGGCACCGTAGGTCTCGCTCATTTGTTGCATCATTTTGGCGGCAGACTTTCCGCGGGGAGGGGGGGGGGTTCATGTTAGTGTGGTTCTTTCTTGGGGTTCCCCTTGTGTTTTTCATGTAGCAGGGTAGCGGGGGGAGGAGGGTATGCAGCAGTCAAGGCGTACCTGTAGAGAATCAGCAGCTACCTGGGCAGTAGCCATGTCGTCGCCATCTGAGCGTTTGACTGGAGCTGCAGACACCAGGAGAGCCAGGTTCAGGCAGACTGCGAGGAAAGAGAGACGGGTCATTTTGTTCGTGGAGGTGTTTTGCTCTGTATTTTTTTTTGAGTGGGAATGAATGGTATATGGGGGAAATAGAGGCCAAAGGAGTGGACAGCCAAAGCCAGGAAAGACCAAGAAAGAACGTTGAACAAACAGTCAGTTGCCTGGGAAGAAGCCAGGGACTACCTGGATGAACAGGTAGGTACATGCTTATATATGGAGTAAAGCGACGAGGCATCAACAGCATTCCTGTGCTAGGGAGGGAGGGGATGCTCCAGGGTTAGCTGGCTTGCTACGTACCGACTCCTACGTAGGCGATGGTTGTGCGTGTGTGGTAGTGCCTTGCGAGGGAATTTGGCACCATTGCTGGAGAGTTTGGAACTGTTGTGGATGCAGAGCCTATGACTTGACGCAGAGCACTACGCGCCGATAGCTGCACCTGCGTCAACACCTGCATTCAAGTCATGTTAAAGTAAGGGGCGAGGTTGTGGCAAGGCTTGTTGTATGGGTCTTGTAAGCTTCCTGCTCTCCCAGCGGATACCAGGAGAAGGGAGGACATTCCAGTGTATCAGTCTATGCCTTGATTGCGTAACCTTCCTCTGGCGATCATGATTCACTCTAACGTATACACCGATGATGGAAGGAGACTTAGATCGTGATGTCCAATGAGAGGATCAAAGTTGATACAGAGGTCAGGATACAAGGGATTCAAGTAAAGATAAAACATCAATTGAAAATAGGAATCTACATTCTATACGTGTGAATACGTGCAGAGAAATATACTCCGTGCCTAACGGGAATGTATGTATCTCCTTCTGATTGACACGAACCGCGCCATATCACTTGACAGCGGCCGCAACACGAGGGAGAATGAAGAAAGAACTAGTCCAACTTCCAGTTCTTTTCGGCAAAAATTTTGACCTCGAATATCATTTATGTGACGGACGAGACTTCGAATATGCCTGATTGTGTTGTTGTCATCGTACTCGATGGCTGCACTTAGCGCAACTTGTAGCATTCATTATGTGAGATAATACCTGCGTCAGTAAGCCTTGATCATGTAATCAGTGTTAGTTGAAATGAAATGAAATAAAATAATAATAATAAAAAAAAGGAAAAGCAAAAAGGGATAACGAAAGGGAAGGCAGCATTATCCTTCCTCCTTCGCTCTCTCCTCCGATCCTTGCAAGGGAGGCCGCAACCTGGGCATTCCAGGCCGCGGTGCACCCTTGATCAAAAACACGGTATGTAAATCATCGACAATCAATTCATCAAAAGATAGCGATTCAGAAAAATATGTATGTATGCTCAAAGCGAACCCAGCTCTCCTCGTGTTGGGACGGTTGTACCGACCCAGATGGCAGGCGATGGGATTAGAACGAGCACGCTCATGCTCAGTCTCGGTCTCTGTCTATAATTTGTCGATAGAATAGGCGCTAACGGCGTCCATCCACAAGGGTATGTTGGAGACCTGCAATATGTTATGGTAAAAGGAAAGAAGAAGAATTTGTTGGAGGTCGCGGAAAATTTTTGTTATGGTGTTGTTGATTAGTCATCGTCCCGGAGAATTGTTATCCCGGTTACATAATACCATATATATCGTTCATAGTTATACTCGTGTATAAAAAAAAAAAAATCTAATCAGTCTGTCGCTAGTCATTGTACAGTCATTACAGTTAAGTGGGTCTTCAGGTATATACATTGAGGACATTAGAACCGGGAGATAACCTTCTCCTGGACATCGGCCAATGCCCATGCATCGCTAGCTTTCTTGCTGCAAACCTGCTTCGCCTGTTCGGCAGTGAAGCCCTTAGCCTCGACGGCCGGGTTGTACCCAAGGCCAGTGATCTTGGCAACAACGTCGGACGGCACAGCAGTGGCAACCTTGCCATCTGCACGCTTGTAGACAGTTACGACAACAGCACCGCCCAACCCCAGGTTGTGTTGCAAGCAGGCATCAGTTCCAGCGACCAGACGGTTGTTAGCCCAGCCGCGGAGATGCCAGACCAACTCGGTGCATTGAGCAAGACCAGTAGCGCCCAAGGGGTGACCCTTGGAGATAAGGCCTCCAGAGGGGTTGATGACCATCTTTCCCCCATAGGTAATGTCACCCTTGGCAACCATCTCGTGGGCCTTTCCGGGCTCGCACAGCTCCAGAGCATCGATGGTGATCATCTCGTTAGCGGAAAAACAGTCATGAAGCTCACACACCTTAATGTCCTTGACATTGACGCCAGCTTCGGCAGTGGCCGCACGGCAGGCGGCCCGGGACATGCCAAAGCCCATCAGGTCAATCGAGCTACGGTTGTACACGCTGGTGTCATCGGTGCGGAGCTGCTGGCCGGCAATGAGGATAGCTTGGTCCTTCAGGTGGGGACGGGCATCAAGGAAAGCCTGAGAGACAATAACAGCGGCGGCAGCGCCATCGGAGGTAGGGCAGCACTGAAGCTTGGTCAGGGGTTCATAAATCATGGGTGCGTTCATGATCTGCTCGAGGGTATATTCATCCTGGAACTGAGAGTAGGGGTTGCGCTTGGAATGTTCGTGGTTAATGCGAGCGATCTCGCCAAAGTGTTCCGCTTTGGCCCCGTACCTGAACAATTAGCAAGAAGTCTGGAAAAGGGGGGATAGCTAGCGCGAGCTCACTTCTCCATGTATTCACGACCAGCGTTACCGAACATCTGGGCCGCACCAGGCGCGTTGGTCACACCACGCGTATCCGCCATCATCATACCGATGAGGCCAGTAGGTTTGGCACGGTCGTTGTAGACCGACGGGAGAGCCCCGGGGCTCATCTTCTCGAAACCAACAACAAGCACACAGTCGGCAGCGCCGTGGGAGACCATGGTACGGGCCATCGCCAAACCAGTAGAGCCAGTGGAGCAGTTATTGTTGACGTTGTAAATAGGGATCTCGGTCAACCCGAACTGGTAGAACACGCGTTGTCCGCAGGTGCTCTCACCGTACACATAGCAAGCAACACCTTGGTCCACATCGTCATAGTTAATTTTCGCATCCAGCATTGCCTTTACACCAGCCTCGAACCCGAGTTCATTGTAATCAACCTTGCCACGGGGCTTGATGAACTTGGTCATGCTCACGCCAAGCACGTATGCCGGAGCTGTTGGTTTCTTGCCCATTATGGTGTGTGAAGGGAGACGATGGTAAATAAGCTGCGAGGAGGATAATTTTCATGAATATTGTCGAACTAGGATATCGTGCGCAAGGACCGGCCTTATCAATATATGATGCTCCAGATGATAGATCTGGCCGTGGCTCTATTGCGGCTCTACTGGGACTTTTATGGTGGAGGAGGGTTTGCGGGGGACGCCGCGACCGAGGTCCCGAGGATATACGGATACAGTGTACACAGGTCTATTGCTGCAGGCGTGGGTATTTGTTGAAGTCAAGTCATAACTAGCGTTTGGTTTGATTTAGATCTACCCAAGTCATAGTCATAGTAGCTCATCGACTAACTATAAGCAATTGGACAGGTGCCGATCTTATGAGAGCTCTCATACATATATACAGTACTATATATTTTGTTCCACCACCCTGGCCCTCCCTCAACAACGTACCAACTCTTCTGCGCCAATAGTTTACCTACTCGAGCAAAATGTCACACGAGTCTTATTGACTGACTACTACAGTACCTCTTTACGTACCTGTTGTTACCCTAAGGGGTTGTTAGGGTTCAGACAGATTACGACACGATTCCTCCTTGGTGGTTCGACCAGACCCGATCCACGTATTTGATTAGCCTTGTATCTGATCCGGATCAGTTCCACTTTTCCACATCTCCATCTAGTTATCTAATTCTATTCCCCTCTCTCCCACTCTCTCTTTCAAGTTGTAGGATATCCGATAGTCTGTGTTACCTTCGGCAACAGCCACCTTACCCTCCACTGCTACGTTGGGTTAGTCTATTACCAAGTGCGGTTAGACCCATATTAGTCATTATCCTTCACATGCTGGAAGTAACTAAACCCAATTAGGTCATCACTAGTGCTCGGATTTGGCCTCCTCTCTGATTCTGATGGACGGTACGGAGTAGAGAATTGGATCAATAGAATTGAGATGAGAGTAAGTCTGCAGTCAGATTGGTCGCACTAAACAGAGCAAGGGCGGGGTAGACGAGCGGGTAGCGCTACTAGAGGGCAACCGGACTGGTTTGGTCCGATGCAGATAGGAAACTTGCCACGTTAGCTTGAGCTCCTTGAAGATTGAGAGAATTACCACACAGCCAACTGAGTGAGTGGAATATCTCTCTAGCTATATATGTCTTCTCTGATCTCAAATTTGCCATGTACATATCCGAAAACTACGTCCCTTGAACCCTCAATCCTAAAGTTGTATTTCCGTGTAGTGAGGGAATTGTTATAGACGACGTCACTGGTCAAATCCCTAAACCTGTTCAAGTGGGCTGAAGATCCACCACCATTCTGTAAGAAGAACAGCGGCCCACACACATATCTACTGGTCTGATTCTTTGGCACGAATCCTCCCCATCTTCCATATCCTTTAGGTAGACAGGCACTCTCTACTCTGTGCTCTGGAGTTCTCACTTCAACGCTCCTTTCTCTCCCTCTCTCTCGCACAACTTCTTTCTTTCCTTCCTCTCCATTGACGCCCAAGTCTCCACCGGCCTCTTACTCTCGGAGCCCTCTCTACTAGTAGGTATTGCTCCTGATTCCCCCCCAGCCCATTGTCCCACTTTCAGAGCAGCCCCCCCCCCCCCCCCCTCCGGCTACAAAATGAGACCCTAATCGTCAATGAAGTCTGTCATTTCAGTGGCTGATCCTTTATCGTATCTTGGATTTTAGGTAGCCTCTAGTTTCATCACGTCGAAGATTGTTTCAGAAGAGCGGAGGGTTCCGGATCGCTGTGTATATATCAGCGATACATTGACGACAACTCCAGGAGTGGTTGGAACCCTCGTCTCGCCTGATTGCTCAACTCAGCCCAGCTCCTTAATCCCACCCTTTCCTTCATTTATCACTCTCAAAGAAATAAAGACAAGTACAAAGGGTTGTCTAGCCCACTTCATGGACAATTGTGGGACGCTGAACGGTCTGCTCGCATGCTGAGAGACCGCTTTGCGTTCCATAGGGTTCCCCAGCCTGTTTGTTGCCGAGTGTGAATTATATTCACTCCTGGAATTGTGACGACTAAGCGAACAGCTTAACAAAAAGCATTTCCCTGTTACTGCCCCAGATGGGATGCCTACCGGGATGACTCTTGACAAACACTCTGAACATGCTCCCTTTGCCCCTCCCCCCCCACAACCATCATCACCTGTCATAATGCCGGCGGGTAATACCTGGATTATGGATGACTCCACTCGTAACAAGCTCCTCAAGAAATACAAAACCCAGGTGGCCTCGGCGACTTCCACGATCTGCGCCACTCTTGCTGTGGTAGGTCGCGGAATCCAAGCTTCAAGGAAGCCGGGGACATGCTAATTGTGTTGTGCAGACTCCTCTGGAGAATGTCAAAACTCGAATGCAGACGTGCGTTTCTCTCCCCTCAATTCCTTCCCTGGAGAAACAGATGACTAACTAAGCCGTAGTCACAACTTTCGCAATGTTTCCCAGTGCATCCGATATTTGTGGCGAACTGAAGGGCCTCGCGGCTATGTAGCTGGTTCGTTTTCTTGGAATTCCAACCTCAGGAAGATACTAACAATACCAGGAGCCCTTCCCCCTCTGGCTAGCGTCACTGCTGTCCGGGTTGTGAACTTTTCGACCTACAATGCTGCGAAACACCGTATTTCGGATTTTATGGAGCGGATGACCGGCCAGTCTCCTTTGGCATTGTACAACACCCCGGGCAGCAGCCCTACCGTTTCAACTCTCTTCACCTTTACCACCGCTGGTCTCATTGCTGGACTGATTACCTCCCCGCTTGCTTGTATGTCTATTTCGTCTTCCCCTGCGAGGCAGAGGCACCATGCTGACAAAATTAGGTCCTTTTGAATTGGCCAAGAATGTCGTTCAGACTTCTGTCTTGGTGTCCAATCGTGCCCAAGCGTCCCCCGATGCCATTAGAGACCTGTCGCTGCGCAACAAACCCCGTTTGGGAACCATTGAGGCGATCCGCCAGATCGTTCAACGATATGGATTCAGAGGACTTTACACCGGATTCCACCTTCACGCGATGCGCGACACTCTTGGATCGGGTCTGTATTTCGCGGTATATGAGACAGTGAAGCAGGTGGCTGCGAAAGAACTCGGACCTGATAAATCGCCTTTCGGTGCGCCCATGATTGCTGGTGCAATCTGTAGCACTGTGCCATGGTTCTGTGTAAGTTTTCGTGCTCAAGCTTTCGTAACCAGATACTAATTGAGTAGACGTACCCGCTCGATACTCGCAAGACACGTGCGCAGAGTGTGCTCTTGGGCAGAACGAAGGAAGTTGGAGAGGCGTCGGCCGCGGTAGCGAAATCCAGCATGTACAAAGGCCTGTCGATTATCCTGATTCGCACTGGAGTGAACAACATGATTCTGCTCAGTATTTTTGAATACATCAAAATGCGAATCAACGAGTTGGACGGGTAGTGTGATGATGATGATGATGATGATGTTTTTTTTTTTTTTTCTCCATCCCCATTTCTTTGGTGTTCCGGTTTGGCGTACAAGGTTCTGGGATGTATCGTGATTAGGCTAGTACATAGTTAGTAGCTGTGCTGCTTGCAAATAAAGAATGATCTGTACGTACACCTTGCTCATTGCTTGCTTTTTGCTGCAGAGTCCGTAGCGAGTAACATTTATAAATATCTGGGTGCCTTAAGGCACCCACAACGTCATGCGTTGCCGTGGGGGCGGGAGGGACAGTTTTCACATCAACAACCACGGCCCCCCTCCAAGCAACCACCGGCAACTCGCGTTGGCAAATCGCCATGGCATCGTATGTCCGGCCTTTCTTGCTCTGGGATATACACACTAATGATAAGTAGTAATATCCTCCAGGTTCCTTTCCGCCGCTCGCACACGGTCTCGCTCTCCGATGCCATCACGCAATACATCTCCTCCCAGTATGACCAGCGCCCGGACATGTTCGCGGACGATCTCTTGATCATTGACCGGCTGCGGGACGAAGCCGTGCATGTTCAGGAACCGCATGTTAGCGGGGTGAGCCGCCTGGTTACGTATGCGGCGCAGTTGAAGTGGCTTGGGGGGAAGTTTCCAGTTGATGTACGTGTGTGATGAGTTCCGGATCTACAATATAATATACTTAGGGTTATGTTAGATGCTGACTGGAAGAATGATACTGAATAGGTTGGGGTCGAATTTCCTTGGTATCCTGCGTTTGGGTTTAATACCTCACGACCGGGTATGTCTTTTTTTTTTTTTTTCACTTCCAAGGCTGAGGCAGGACTATGGTAAACCAAAAAAAAAAATACTGATATGGTGGAGAATAGATTCTCAAAATAACATTCGATTTGAACTCGCAAACATCATCTTCAATCTTAGCGCGTTATACTCCCAGCTCGCCTTTGCCGTGAACCGCACCACAACGGATGGATTGAAACAAGCATGCAACTATTTCTGTCAGTCGGCCGGAGTGTTGGCGCATCTGCGCACAGAGATCCTCCCTGATATGCGAACGTCGCCTCCCGAAGATATGGATGACATGACCCTGCAGAGTTTGGAACAGCTGCTCCTCGCACAAGCACAAGAATGTTTCTGGCAGAAGGCCGTGAAGGATGGGCTGAAGGATGCGTCGATTGCACGGCTCGCAGCTAAGGTATCTGATTTCTACGCTGATGCTTGCAACCACGCGGTAAAATCCAATGCAATCAGCCCCGAATGGATCCACCATATGACAGCGAAGCAGCACCATTTCGCGGCCGCAGCGCAGTACCGTCAGTCGCTGGATTGTTTGGAGAAACGCAAGTATGGAGAGGAAGTGGCGCGGTTACGGGACGCAGAGGCGTGCGTGAATGAAGCCCTGAAAGAGTCGCGCTGGATTAATAGAACGGTGCTGGGGGATCTGCAGGGACTTAAAAATCGGGTGACAGAGGACTTGAAGCGCGCGGAGAAAGACAACGATGTGATCTATTTGAACCCCGTTCCGCCCAAGTCTGAGTTGCGGTTTATTGACCGGGCATCGATGGTCGCTGCGAAGGCGCCGCAGCAGGTAACGGATGCGATTTCGATGCTGGGGGAGAAGGGGGCGCTGGGACAGCCGCTGTTTTCGAAACTCGTCCCATATGCCGTACATATTGCAGCGAGCATTTACTCGGACCGAAGGGATGGACTTGTCAATGAGACTATTGGGGAGTTGGAGACTATGACGGACAGACTACGAGAGTACGCGCCTCGTCCGTATTCTTTCCTCGCATGACGCTGACTTTTATAGTTTACTGTCTTCATTGAACCTCCCTGGCTCTCTGCAGGCATTAGAGAAACCGCTCGGACTACCCCCCGCACTGGTATCTCACGCCGAAGAAATGCGCCAACAAGACGGACTAAACCGACTCCGCATGTCTCTCCAGGACATCGCCAAAGTCAAAACCAACGATCGAGCCGTTTACACCGAAGGTGTAGAGCTCCTAGCTGCCGAAAAAGCCGAAGACGACTCCTCGCGGCGCAAATATGGGACTGACCGATGGCCACGCGAGTCCTCCGAACAAGCTGCCAAGAAGATATACACAACCTCCCGCGAAATCGACGGCTATTTCAGCTCTGCGCAGAGCAGCGACAACCTGGTCGAGCAGAAACTCCAAGACTCCGAGGCTGTCTTCCGCGTGTTAACAGGTACGAACCGCGACCTGGAAGCATACGTCCCTAGCAGCCGACGCGCGGCTATCCCTCCCGAGGTCGAGCGCGAGGTGAGCCGGCTACGCGGCTGTCTCAGCGAAGTCAACCATCTCGAAAACCGACGGAGGCGCAAAGCCCAGGCATTGAAAGATAAAGCGCGCGCGGACGATATCAGCCAAGCTCTCGTGACCGAGGCTGCGCGTCTAGAACGGGAGTCCCCGATGCAGGCTATCCAAGCCAGCCAGTTCGAGGATCTCTTCGCGAGCCGACTGCGGCGGTATGACGAGGACCAGGAGATGGTGATCCAGGAGCAAAACGACCAGGACCAAATCGCGGCGCAGGTGCGCGAGGCGAACCGGGCGCTTACGCGGGCGCACACGGGGGACGCATCGACGAAGGAGCGCGAGAAGGCCCTGCAGGAGCTGGAAAACGGGTACCTCAAGTACAAGGAGATAATCTCAAACATCGAGGTCGGGCGGAAGTTCTATAACGATCTGGCGAAGATTGTGGGGAGGTTCCGGGATGATTGCAAGGCCTTTGTGCACAAGCGTCGAATGGAAGCCAGCCAACTCGAGGGGTACGGAATCCCTTATCTTTTATCATCTTTTCATCTTCATCCAACGTTGCGCAGAAGCTAACCGTTCCACCCCCGTGTCATCAGAGATATAAGCAGCGTAGTAGCAATGGCGTCGTTGAATATCACCCCACCATTCCGACAGCCACCAGCACCAACACCAGCACCAGTACCAGCACCAGCACCAGCACAACCGCCGGCCGCGGCTCCTATCCAACCACAGCCGCCAATGCAGTCGCAAATGCAAGCACCCAGCCAGCCTCCCCAAGAACGATCGGAACCACTTGCAGCACCGCAACCAACCCGGAACCCACGCGGGATGATGCCCATGCCCATGCCCATGCCCATGAGTCCAGGGATGTGGTCCCCCGAAATGGGGATCCGATTTGGATCGGGGCCAGCGCCTCCTGGATCGGGGGGGACACCGGCACAGACCTGGGATCCGAGCCATGGGGTGAATTTCCAGCGACCATGATATTGGTTGGTATATTAGAATTGGAATTTATCATACATATTCTACTTTCTGGTGATTGATAAAGACGGATATACAATTAGAAATACATACATACATATCCATACATATCCATATCAACATGAATATAAACGTGAATAGATAGATATAGAAAGAGAAGAGAGAGAAGAGAGAGAAGAGAGAGAAGAGAGAAGAAAAAAAAATCAAACCCTCCTCATAACAGCTGCACTTTCCGCCGCTCCCTCCCTAGCAGCAATGTCCAAATCCTCCCGTAAAGAAAGGAACTGCAGTCGGTTGATCCATGTTTGCCAGTGATCCCGGGATACGGTGATCTGGCCATGGCCATGGCCATGATTGTGATTGTGATTGCGCTTCTGTTTCCCAGCTAGAGATGGGCCATTCTCGAACGGATTAGTAGGAGTAGGAGTAGCAGGATGAGTATAGAGAGAGGCAGAGGGGGTAAACCCCGAGAGAAAATCAAGGCCGGAATGCAACGTTGACCCGGCTGGCTTCTGAAACGATGGCGACGGCGACGAGGAAGACGGCGTGCTGTCGCTGCCCCTTCTTTCCCAGATCTCCTCGCCCATAATTATCAGCCAGAGCGACGCGGCCGTGAGATGGACGTTCAAAAGGGCGGTTTTTTCTCGTTCTCGTTCTCGTTCGGGTTCTCGTTCGGGGTCGGGGTCGGGGTCGGGGTCGGGGTCGGGGTCATCCTGGGTTGGATTGATATCTGGGATGTCGGTTTCGGTTTGTGTTATGCTTATTCGTTTTTCGGACTTGGGTGGGGGGGGAGATTGTTTTGGGGTTGCGCGCAGACTCGGATATGTATTTGGGAATGAGTACGAGCGGGAATGGGAATGGGAATGGGAATGGGAATGATCTCCAGAGCGAGCGACATGATTATGAGTATGGTGGTGAGAGTGAGAATGATGATGGGAAAACGGAGGATTCAAGGCCCCCCCTATCATCTCAAGGGCGATTTCTTCGCCCGCCCCCCGACCAAGTAGAAACTCCTTTGTGAGAAAAGCGATAAACGAAATGAGATTGTAATATGTTACTGCTTCTCTTCTCTCCCTTAACATTCCCGGCTCGGTGATGAGTGTGGAGCCACCAGAGCCAGAGACAGAAGAGCCCAGACTATTCAGCCTCTTCCGGTGGAAATGTAACGGGTTCAGGTGCGAAAGGGAAAGGCCATGCGAGTGCGGATTCGACTCGGATTGTGATCGGTATCGACGATACGAAGAGGAGAGTGTGTGCGGGTACACTGGTCCTGGGAATTCTTGCTGGATGTATTGTTTTACAATCTCGTAGTCGTCGCCGCCTTCGGCGGGAGTGTCCTCATATTGAAATTCTAGGTTGTCTAGATCCAGATCTATAAGGACGCCTTCTGCTGGATTGGTGATCTTCCTGGGGTCAGTACAGGAGCGAGAACTGGGTCGAGGACGAGGGAGACCCCGGGCGAAGGCGAGTAGCTTTTCCTGGCTGGCAGACGGGATATCAGGCGGAAGAGTCGGGTTGATATTTGTTGCGCGGGGAAGAGATTTGGATGTTTTGAGGATGGACTGAAGTATCTCAGATCTCTTTCTTTTGCCTGGGTATGTTGAATTAAGGGTTAGCTAGGTCATTGTCCTTCATTCATTCTTTTCTCTACAATGTATAGAGGGGGGGGGGATGTACCGGCTTGGAAAAGAGCTTCCTGGAGAGGAAGTTGGTCGTTCATATAAAGCGGGATTATGTCCATTTCTTGCGTCGTTCATTCGTTGATTTCCGCTGGCTTTTCCCTGTTCTTGGCCGGGGGATGCTCGTTTCGTATGGTCGTAGGCAACTTGGTGAAAGAATGTAATGTAAGTAGCAGGTCGGCTCATGCGATGCGACGCAACTTGCCGCCAGAAAAATAGTGATGACGTCAGGGTATATCGCTAGCCAGAACCACCCAACCAAACCTCGTCTAGAGTATATACACTTTATAGAATTAAATCAAACAAAAGACAGAGCAAATGCAGAAATGTGAGTTACGCCTTCTCATCCAACCCCTCCAAGAAAAAATCCAACTCGCTTGGCCCGCCCTGACTATGTTCGTTCTCAGCTAACTGCTCCAGTAAACTCAAGAACGGATCCTTTTCTGAGTCTGCGGCTGCCCCGGAACCGCTTCCAGAGCTAGCTCCGGGATTGCTTGCGCTCCCTGTGCTGGATTGTCCGCCCGGGGTTTCGACGGACGGAACCGCCTCGAATGGGAATGTAGCGTACGTAGCCGTGCCAACGTCGATGCCTATGCCAGTGTTGGTAGTGCCAGGACTGCCGAGGCGGACGCCTGGAGAGAACACGCCTCCTGTTGTGGTGGTAGAGTGTGGGTCGAGGAGTTCGGGGTCCGTTGAGATTTCGGGCCAGGTTGGGGATGGGTGGAAGGAGAGCGAGGAGGTTGAGACGCGGTGGGCGTGGGCATGAACATGACTGGGGCCGTTTTGGGTTGGGAGGGTTGGAGGATACAAGAGTTGAGGGTCGAGATCCATTCTACTCTTCAGTCAGCTTCCATTTTTTTTTTTTTCTTCTAGATGGGTATAGAATGGGATAGGAGAAATGTACGTTTCGTCTATGTCAATGAGACGCACGTGGCTTCCGTCAATGACAAGGCCAGGATATCGGTCGAGAAAGTCTTCAAGGTGGAAGACAGGTGCAAAGCGTACAGGTCGCACGGCAAGGGTGCGCACGAGGTCTGCATGGCAGACGGAGAGGGTTTGAAGCAAGTCACGCTGGTGTTGGACTCCCGACCAGGACTGGCGCAGCCAAACGAGTTGGTGCATTTCCCTGGCAAGAAAGTCCGGACTAGAAGCAAAAACCTCGCCGTCGTGACGGCCGTGGTAATGTACGCCGTGGATGTGGACGGTACCAGCAACGGTGAGGCAGTACGCAACAAGAGCGGGCCATTCGATTCGTGGCGCGTGGCGGGCGAGCTCGACGAGTTCGGCGATCGCGTTCGCATGGGAGAAGCAGAGGGTGGTGGCCTCGATCTGCCAGCTTTGATGCTGGCCGGAGCCGCGGAGTTCGGCAAGGTCAATAGGGAGAAACGGTCGATAGAGTAGGCAGTGGACAAGGTGGTAGATGAGTTTGCTGAGGAGGAGAAGCGTGCTCTCTGGATGGCCGAAAAGGGCTTCGATTGAGGCGAAGAGGTCGTGTGTACCAGCCGCCCACAGGTCCAGTTCCTGCCGAATTTTGGAGAGGTTGGAGAGGGCGTGCCAGGGGAAATGTGAGTCGCCTTTGACGCCGCCAGCGGCGAGGTAGCGATGCGTTACGCCGAGGATGCGGGTGATATCGACGAGAAGAGCGGCAGCACAGGAGCTAGGGCCTTTGCGACGGTCGGAGGAGTACGGGATATTAGGCCCTACGGGGTTGAATACATCGCCTGGATCAGAACCCGAGCTGCTGGACGCTGGCAGGCGCACGACAATGGAGTGGTCGGCAATCAGGCACGGGCGTTTGGACCCGCAGGTGAGGAAGCGATCCATCACGTAGACGGTCCAGAAGAGGCGGCGGCGCACTTCACGTTCGGGAGGTAGCGCGGGATTGGAGGTGGGAAGTTCGCGATACAGATCGAGCGCGAGGACCATGGACACCGCATTGGCTGTGTTTTGTTAGCGGCTTGACCAGAGGAAGGTTTGAGTTATAGAGAAAGCCAAAAGCACACCTAAAGTCATATAGGCCTTTTTCCCGCAGCCATACGCAAAAAACGTCAAAGAAAGAAGCAGGAGAGTCTGAAGATTCTCAATCGATGGATGGTCGATATCGACCATGCGACGAGCCTGTCGCGCATAGTCCAGACTCCTCCCAGGGGGAGGATTTGCCGTGGTATACCTTTTATTAAATTAGCCTCGGTAACCTCGTCAGAAAAAAAATAAAAAAAATAAATTAAATAAAACTCCGAAGAAATACCGTAAAGTCAAAGAATAAATGGCCATAGAAAGATACACCGGTAGCTGGCCATTCTGATGTTGCCGACGGGTGGATGTCTCATCGAGAATAAAAAAAGGCTTACCATGCAGACGCGCAAAATAGGCGTCGAGCATGGCATCGGGCATGCGACCGGGATTCAACGGCGGGGGTTGCGAATGAGTAAAAGGGAGGATTCCTGGTAGCACCGTCGGGGACTGGATTGGAAATGAAGGCGTGGAGGAAGAAACAGAAGGATGTTGCTGGTTCTGCTGCTGAGGAGGAGGAGGACGGTCAACAGAGGGTTTGACCGGGGAAGCAGGCGACAAAGGATGGAGGTTGTCATCCTGGAGACGTTTTTCAAGACCGTCAACACGTTTGAGGAGAGCTTCCAGGACGTCTGTTTTGGGGCCTCGTTTTTTGGGGATAGCGTCTAGAATGATGATGATGATGATGATTATTATTATTATAGCTCATTCGGAATGAATGATATTAGGGATGGCGTGGCATCCGCACCATAGATACACGGACACTGGAAGACTTTGCATGCTTCACAGCTGGGCCGGAGACGATTGCATTTGATCTGTGCTTGTCAGATTTTGGAACCGGGATGCAGAAGAAGGATAAGAACGGACTTTTCGTTTTCGACAAGATTTGCAATTCATCGATTCGCGGGGTTCTGCAGTAACCCTGCGAGGGGTTAAGCGGTCGATGCTGACCTGGGGACGGGACATTCGTTCGTGTTCTGTTTCGAGGGTTAATATCTCATGGATCAGAGGGTACAAATGAAGATGGCTGTAAGATTGAATAGAGATGGGAGATGAGAGATGAGAGATGAGAGATGAGAGATGAGAGATGAGAAAGAGAGAGAGATGGAGAAAAGATGGAGAAAAGATGGAGAAATGGGAAATGGGCATCAGTCACACTCCTCTCGAAAAACCGAGCTTGGATGCATCCTCACCACCACCACTAACCTGCTTGCAGTTAACTCCCGGACTAACCTCCGATGCGGGGATGGTCTGGGGAATCTATCGGTCTGGAAGGAATCTCGGGGGGATTCCTGCAGGATTGTCCTCCCGTGTCAAGGATATCTATCTACTTGTTTCCAGAAGAAATTATACAGATTGAAATTGATCTCGTGCTAGATGAGAGATGGACCCTAATACACCCTCCCCGACGCCATTCGGACAAAATCAAACGGTACATTCTGCCCAACCAGTAGCCGCAGCGTTTCCACGGTCGTCCATGCATTCACTTCCTCAATTCCATAAGCCGTCCACCCCGCTCGCTCCGCAACCCCAACCGGGTCTCCCGTGCGTTCCCCACGGGTGAGATCTAGGTACACCTTCCCCCGCGTTGACGGGGGCGACGCACGGCCGCTGCTGCGGTAGTGCCGGAGGAGTGGCTGCACCAGCTGTGACTTCTCCGGTGGGAGCGCAGACACAATCACAAATGGTTGCTCTACGAGTTTCACCGACTGGATCGACGTGAATGGCTCCAATCCCGCGGCCAGTGGACCGGTGCCCCGAAACCCTGCCGTGTAGATCGCCCCAACTCCTAGGCTGCGTAGGGCCAAGATACTAGCTGAGACTTCACTTTCGCGGCCCGCTAGGATAATTGCCGCCCGCCCACGATACGCTGACGGCACGTAGTCCCGCGTCAGCGTCGCCCTGATCCCCTTCCAGGTGGCGTTCTCGCCGACCAGTGGGGGCTGCGATCCCGCCGCGTCGCTCCGCACGATCGTGTCTACGAGACCAATCGCCCGCGCGGCATCACTAATAGCCGGCAGGCACGAGGTATTGCTGCTGATCGGAGGGTGTAGGGCCGCGCCGCCAAAACTGGGCTGCGTGATTACCCGTTCGATGGACCCCGCTGGGCCGCGGTCGATTGAGGTCAGCGTGTGCGGCAGACTGAGCTCGTTAAAGCACTTTTCCATAAACATGGACTGCGGGGTCGACCGGAAGGACCCGATCGCGTACAGATCCCGCTTGGGCAGCTGGCCCATGATGTGTAGCGCCTCATTAATCTCGGCGGCGGTTAACTGCCCAGGGGCCGCGATCATTGGCAATAGGGGGTGGGTAATCGGGGAAAACACCGTATTGAGGGCTCGCGATAGCTGCCCCAACTGGCCCATGTTCACTGCAGACAAGAGTGGGTACGGCCCGTGGGTTTGCTTGATCGTCGAGCGAAAGTACTCTAACTCATAGTTGGCGTCTACCGTCTCCACCATCGCAATCATCTTGACGATATCCGCGTACTTGGCGCTCTCCTCAAAGATCCGCGGCGCCTCCGGGGATGTCCATCGCCACGACCCCGAGAAGTCGTGAAACGCAGACAGGATCACACTATTGCCCTTGCCCTCTGCCAGGGTGCGCCGGATTTCCTCCGGCAGCCATAGCTCGACGTCAATGTATTCGACACCCCACTGAATGGCGCGCCGGAGATACCGGTAGAACAGACTCGGATCCTCCATGGGGAATTTCCCGTTCTCTTTCGTGCAGCGCGTCGTAAAGATAATCGGCAACTCTGTATGCTGTCGCAGTAGCATCAGCTGCTGTCCCACATATCGCAAACTCGGCACAGGGCTCGGCGGGGTTGGGGGAACGGGATCGACCAGCAAATCCACACGGATTTCAACCGCGTCAGATCCCACGGAGAGAATGTCCAGATTTGGCAGTGCCGCATGGACATCTGGAAATGTCGTCGAAATGAAATTGGTGCGGTTCTTGGTTTTCAAGTCCTCATGCGGCCGGGTTTGGCCCAGAATCAGCGACAGGAAGCGGGTGAGATCGCGCCGGAAGAACGGACTACGCAGGGAATAAAGAAACTCATAATCGCATGAGTCGGTGAGCGCTTCGTCGGGGAAAGAGCCATCATCCACGCAATGGGTATTGACCAGTATACAGGAGGCCTTGTCGCAGCCTTCCAGATCCCGGGCTAGGTCGGCTGCCTGGATTCCTATCACGACCGCATTACTCCCGCGCCCCAACGTTGAGAGTGACGACTCTGTTGTCCATGGCTTTCCCAGGATATCTGAAACCACCTGAACAATGGTGTCCTGTCCTGGGCCGTATATGGTGACGACTGTGCGTGCAGGCTCCAAGGGAAGGGCCTGGGAGGGAGGGAATGGGAGGGGAGAGGAAGTGGGGGTTCCCTTGAGAGCAGTAACAGAGGGTGTAGTAGTACTAGCAGAAGGGGGAGGAGGAGGAGTAGTAGTAGTAGTAGTAGTAGTAGTAGTAGTAGTCGTAGTAGACTCGGCTAGAAGGGTGGTAGCCACAGGTTGATGGAGGGCGGCGGCTTGCATCATCATCATCATCATCTCAAGGCATACTTCCCGCACACGAAGGGAGAAAAGAGCAGTTTAAATAAAAACACAAAGAGGTATATAAGATCAAAACTGATTTAATGCGGAGTGGATGGATAATTAAGGGAGAAATGCGCGGAGTCGCATTGATGATAGCCAACCCACGGCGGGAAAGCGATAGCTCTGGATCTCTGGAGGACAAGAACGCAGGCGCAATGCAGCAACCGACAGAGAGTACAAAGGAGTGAAATTAAGAATAGGATATCCGAGTGAGAAAGGAGAAGAAGAAGAATGGCAAGGAGCCAGGAAGTAAGCCAACAAGCCAAGCCAATAAGCCGACGAGATACGGGGTGTTAAGTAATGGGGGGAGTTCGAAATAGGAGACAAGAGACGCACACACACAGGGGATATAGAGAGAGAGAGAGAGAGGAAATAGAGAGGACACCGGGACTGAGTCGGAATTGAGATTCGTCAGAAAGCTGGATGAGGATATCGAACGAAACCCGAACCACCACTACCACCCAAGATTAGTCTGTCTGTCTGCTGCTGCTGCTGCTGCTGCTGCTGCTGCTGATGAGATGAAGGCAAATGAAGGCAAATGGAAGGAAACAAAATTGAACCATTCTTTTGTCTTTTCCCCCCTTCTCTCCACACACTCTCATTCCTTTGTCAGTTGGGAGAAGAAGAAGTTGCGACGAAGGGAGATTTTCTGGCCTTCGACGGCTAAATTTCCCCGGGCCTGCCAACGGAGTCAGTTTGTCCACCAATCAGAGGAAATAATCATACAGAAAGTCTGGGGGAGGATCTTGGGCGGAATTTGGGTTTTTTCTAGAAAAGATGGGAAACCATGGAGAGAGAGATCAAGGGGAAAGAGGAGAATGGCTTGCTGATGGATTACTCCTCGTTTCCTACCAAAAACTTCCATCAGAAGGATCAGAGGAATGATGCTGAACGAAGAGCTACACAATACAATCTGATACGAGGAATTATTCCCCTCGATACCCGCTCCCTTCCTGGCCTATCCGAATGGCATCCCAGTTGGATTCGTCCGATGCTACGGGATTGGATGCGGACAAATCCTGGCTACACGCACATCCCCGGTCGTCCCACAGAATAGACAAAGACAACTTCCCGGTTGCGTCTGCTGTTGCGACAAGATCTATTCGTACACTCTAGGAATAATCAGAACCAGATCCAACATCCTGAATTGCCATGCTGAAGGAAATAGCATCATGATAGTGTGGCAAGACTGTCCTCACACCGTAAAACAGAAAGGTAGAGAAGAAAAAAAACATTCACAACAGAAAGACGTGTATATGGCAATCAAAAAAAGGGTATTCATGGGAAGAAACAGCAAAATAACACCAAATGACAAACAATGATATTAGACGAGAACCATAGCCAGACTCGGCGGAACACCGCGCAGATCCCGTAAAACCGCCATCACAACGGTTATATGTGTGTGTCTATGATGTATGTATGTGCGTAGAGAAGTTGTACAAGGTTTCTTTCTTTTCTTTTTTTTTTCTCCTTCTGTGGCATCGGCGCGGTACATCAGCCGCGATGCAAATCCTGTGGTGATGGTGTCGATCACACGGAGCTTGATACTGCACCCTCTCCATTCAGATGGCTGCAAATCTTGTCCGGTCTTTTCGTCCTCGCCCTCCGGTGGTGAGAACTTGAGAAGACGGGCAAATGTCAACCAGGAAACAAGTAATACGCCGAGCCACCCCAGTTCTAATTTAAAAAAAAAAAAAAAAAATCATTTAGTTTGTTTTCAATCCGACGTGGCAAATGTCGCATCGAGGCGCAGGGAAAGACAGGACGACGAGTGTTTCGAATTTCCACAGGGACCACCACTTGCACCAGGCATGGGGAAACCGTTGTCTCTCCGTGACACAGTCCGTACAACGATCCGCTGCTGCAATTGGTCCAGGTGCGCACCAGATAGCGTGGAGGGGGATACACGGGATACGTGGCGAATGCACGACTGCATATCAAAGGATATCATTCGGGACGAAACACTCCACCAACCATCGTGCTCTGTCTTTACGGGGGGGAGATCGCAAGGCCATTCATGAGCTTAGGGAGGGGCTTCCGCCGCGCATTGTTGGCCGTCTTCGACACCCGAGGTGCTCCGTGAATCATGCGGGGCTCCTTCATCAGACTGGCGTCGAGCTTCGCTGGTGCTGTGGGTGGGTCAATGTGAGTCAGTGAATTTGAGACACAGTCTGGAGGGATTCACATACCTCGTGTGACAACGCGGGTGTAGTCCCCGGAAAGGGTTTGCTGGGGCCTGCCCGTGGCAAAGGAGGCGGCACTCGCGGTCCTCCACAGATGTTGGGAGGTATCAGACAGGAAGTTTGTGCTGCTCCGGCTGGAGAAAAGCGACGACCGGCCTCGGTTCCGTTTCGATAGCACAATCTCATCGAAGAGCGCCATTCTCGGGTCCTTGGCCTTAGGATTCGTCCGTTCCCTATCGCTGATAAATTCGTTGAAACCTGTTTGGACAATAAGCAACCAGTCTCGTCTCGAAGAAAAAAAATGCGACTAATAAAAGATTACATACCCTGAGTTTGTTGGAGAACACCAATGTATTCTGCGTGTTCACTGGGTAGGCTCTTGAAGAATGCATCCATGTTGAAGCTATAGGTGAGACCAGCTTTTTTCTTATCCCCAGTCGCCGGCTGGAGGAACTTCTTATATGTGTAAAACAAACTGGCAAAGCATCGGACGAATGCCGCCCGGATTTGCTCAGGGTGAAAGGCAGCCGGGCATACCAAACATATCTGGTGCGCGCATCTATTGTGGACCAGCGTTTTACACGACGTACACTTGTACATGTTCTCATCCGCCCGTTCGTCACAGATCGAGCAGACCGCCTTGTCGTCCCACGGCTGAAGCTGTAGGCAATGGCCCTCCACCCAACAGATGCCTTCAGTACTGTGGATGGGTTGGATGACAGCCTGAGGAACAATTGTGGAGGCAGCTACCGTGGATTGGGCATACACAGACGGGGCGTAGGTGGAACCGGCGTGGAAGTCCGTGTTCAAAGTGGTCACGGAGAGATTTGGCGCATGGCCCAGGAAAGGCGCGCTTGGGCGTCTCGGGACACCTTGACGCATTTCCATCCCGAAGGATGAGCTTCGTCGGGATGCCGCATCAAAGTGACCGGATCGCTTCTCACGAAGAGATGCTTGAAGAGCCATACCGGAGTCATTCCGCGAGGCGTGCGTCGTTGAGGGGGGGGGGAAATGACCCGATATGGGAGAGCTTTCCCGGGGGGATGGGGGGGAGCCAGTCTTGAAAGTCGAACCAGTTCCCGGGCGGTCCATGCCTTTCGAGGAATATCCCCTGGACGCCGCCTGCTCATTCCGGGCATGCAGGAACGCGTTGAAAATAAGAGGCGGGTTCGAATTTGGAAGAACAGAGGTCTGGCCAAAGGCACTCGAGTTGAGACTAACGTATTTGGCCAACTGCGTTGACGTGGCCTTCTGGTGAAAAATAGATGAATTCTCCGACATGAAAGCGTCGTATGGGAAGGTCTCAATAGCATAGGCCGGAGGACCTGTGGGTACTCCACATCGACTATGGTGCGGTGCAGCCAGTTGGAGCAGAGAGAAAAGCTTCCTCCGCTGATGACGCGGCAGCGGGGTTGGCTTAACCGTGCTTTCAATTAGGTCCTGGTCCAGATCCACTAGAACGAAGTCATCTGAAGGAAGCTCAACCTTCTCGTATCGACGTTCAATACCGACAATGTAAGGACACGGGGCTTCCAAGGCTTGGATCAACCGCGCAGGTAGAATGGGAATAAGCACGCCAGACCACGGGATTGGGAATAGAAGGTCCACCAGGGCCCTCGTAGCCAGGTATAGCATCGAGGTATGCGACGACAGGAAAATGATGCGCGATTCCGTTAGAGCATACTCGAAGAGGATGATAATGTTGGAGAGGGACAGAGTCCGGAACAAGGCATAGAGGTCGGTGTTTCGAGATCCTGGCAGCTCATTGGTGGCCTCCTTACGGGCGAAAAGACGTAGTTCACGGACGGCCAGCTCCACCTGTGTTTTAGAGGTATTCGGGCTGAACGCCTCGGTGCACAGATTCATTACATAGCGTTCCAACGGCTGCCAAGCCCCCATCCGAGGGGAACAGGGAGGGATACGCTGGATGCTGCCGTCGGTCATGGGCACAATGACGGCTTTCAGCCACTCCTTCCAGAAACTGGTCATGTTCTCCTCCTTTCCAAGAATACCGTAGGCCCGCGGGATCCAAAACCCGGTATCACCGTCCGTCAGCCCCTCGATCTTGGACGCGGCAGCGTGGCGCACCGGCCGCAGGAGGTCCGTCATCAGGCCGATCTTCTCTTCGACAGCGCTGATTTCGTCTTCTAATTGTTCTCTCGACTCGGATCCGGAGGGCACCGTGGGGAGCTGCGCCAGAAGCCTCGAAAGCTTGGCCCGCTCCTGGGCCAAACGCTCGCCCAAACTCGCTGCCAGCTCCCGCTCCTCGTCCGTCATGTTATCCTTGCGCCATTCCTCACACCGCCGCTCCAATTGCTCAGCGGCCTGGTGGTTCAACGGGATCCAGACAGTGACACAGATAGCGTGCAGGCGGGACCCGTTGTCGCTCGTCATGACAAACCCGTGCCACGTGGACCGGGGCCGCTGATCTGACGACACGATGTTGATATCGTTGGGGAAGGCAAACATCGGTACGTAGTCTGGAAAATTGGCACGCTGTTTCAATTCGTCGGGCATGCCCTTGGTCGGATAGCGGTCGAGGAGAACGGGTTCAAACCTCCGCTTCAAGGGGTGCATAGTAGGCGAGATCTCCAACGGTTGCGGGACTGGAATCACGGAATTGTAGTTACTGAGACGTCGCGAAGTTCGGATCGATGCTATAGAGGTCCCCGGTTAGTTAGTTGCGCAAGTCTTTGCCGTATGAATGCAAAAGATCCCACCTTGACGAGCAACTGACGGCTGGCGTTTCATGCTGTTCATATCTCTAAACGCCATATGCCGTCGCACACTACCGATACCAGATCGGAGCAAGCCTGGCTGAGGAGGCTCATCAGCAACAATCTTCTGCGTACGTACTCTAGATCTCGGACGCGATGCCGGCGTGATCGCCCCCGCACTGAGACTCAGATCCGACAGGAACGACTCTCGCTCCGACGCAAACTTCAGCAATGCCTTGTCGAAATCGAAATCCTCCATGAAGGAGGAGCCACGCGGGGATTGGTTGTTGGTGTTGCCGCCGCCCTTGATTGTCATACTACTCCTGTTGCTGTTGGAGCCGTTATTGGGATTGGAATTGGGATTGGAATTGGAATCGGAGTCTCCCGAGCGGATCGACAGCCGTTGGTGGGAATTGCGAGTGGTCATAACAGACGTAGGGCGTGATAATAGTCCATCCAGGCGAGGATCGTGAGCTTCTTCAGCGGCAGCATCTTCCTCAATGGTGTCTGAGACAGCGGGGCCAGGAGCGGTAGCACTGTTAGAACGGTATTCATCCCCCAGTCTGCGAAAGGTATCCAAGATCTCCGAGCCGTCGACACCAGCGATCCAGAAATAATCAGCAAGCGGAGTGGCAGAGGCCTCGGTGGAGGCAGAGGAGGAGGAGGAGGAGGAGGTGGAAAAGGGCATCTTGTCGAAATTATCGTGGGGTGAGTATCTGCGGGGTGTTGTAAATCATCAATCGTCACGGAAAATCGTGGGCTTCGTCACAACATGGGAAATTGAAACCAATGACGGGGGATGATCCTAGCCTCCCACAGACATCCAAGGGGGGGGGGGGAGAGGTTGGAAGGAGGGGGGAGGGTGTTCGACAGAGGTTCAGCGATCAGGGGCTCCGAAATAAATGGACGAGGAAAGGTTGCGGGCACGAGAAAACATAAGTGTGGGATTGCGACAGGAGTCGCGAGGCCGGCGAGGGGTTAGAGGACAACGACTGACTAAGAGAAGATGGCCAAGATAGGAAGACAGGAGAAAAGAAAAGAATTATAATAATAATCAAGTGAAAGAATAGATAAAGCCAAAGAAAAGAGGAAGGGAAGGGAAGGGAGTGTAGTCGAAGGAGGAGGATTGGACAATGAGAAAAGGAGAAGAAGAAGAAGACAAGAAGAGGGGAGAAAAAGAGAGAGAGAGAGAGGGGGCTAAACTAGGAAAAAAGGAGTCTCTCAATAGTTCTTTGGTATCTTCTTGATATAATCTTCTTTTCTAGATTTAATTATTTAATTTAATCAATAATTCTGAATTGATTAACATCTCTCTTTTCTTTTCTTTTCTTTTCCTTTCCTTTCTTGTCTTTTTTGGCTGCTGCTTGCGTGGAAGAGGCCAGAAGGCGAAACGGCTGCCAAAAAGCCCCAGCCAGCCATCCCCGAAATCCTGATGTCTCACTTGCACGAGAGCAAAGACCTCTTTTTCTATTCTTATGCTTGTTGTTTTGGTTTCTTTTTTTTTTTTTTAATACAAAAAAAAAAAAGAAGAAGAAGAAGAAGAGAGGAGATAAGGCGAACAACTCGACAATCTCGTCCGGAAAACGCAAAGGAAACGATATCCAGGTATGTAAGGGGAAAAAAAAAAAAAACAAAAAACCAATAAAAATAAATAAAAATAAATAAAAATAAATAAAAATAAATAAAAATAAATAAAAATAAATAAAAATAATAAAAATAAATAAACAAGAAACAAACAAGAAAGATTAAGATATTAATGCATTAGAGAACTATCTAGTGATTCCCAAGGCCTGGACAAGTTGCCAAACTACTGCAAGTATGCATCCTTAGCTGCAGCCATGCCAACCTCCTCTTAAACCAGCCTTGCCTTATAGTTCTTGCATCCTCGTACGGAGTACAAGAGGGATATAATCAGACTGTACAAAGTACTCTGTAGCTTGTCCTGTAACTACCTATCAGCTATCAGAGTCGTGCATGTATTTTTTAGCCAGTGTTCAAGATGGGATAACCATAGGGTGTTCTTTCTCAATCCCATATTATCCTATACTATACTATACTATACTATACTATACTATACTATACTATACTATGAAATGAATGCAAAGTAGATGTTAACTCATACCTATAGATACTTGACTTATATTCAAGTTGACAGTCCGCGAGGGGTAAAATCAGTCGAGTCAAGTCATATCAACCCCACAATATAGTAAATATACACTCGAGAATAGAATAGATCAAGAAACGTATCATCAATCTTAACTAAAATATGTTATTATCTGAAAATCTTCCCCCTTGTACTCTGTACACCACTAGATAGTTAACTAGTCAAACAAGCAGTTGACCGTTTCATGCTGTGCTACTCTACCTAAGTTACCTAGGTACCTAAGGTATGCTCGCAGATGTTTTAATTGGTCTGATGATCTTACCGGTAGTATATTATCTACTAGTAGTAGGGCTAGGCTAGGTATCCTACATTTACAAAGTAGTTTAGATTGTTGTAGTCAAAGCTTCTACGAGCTTCAGTTTCTAATTATAAAATCTTTATTAGTTAACTAATAGGGACCTTAAGAGGGTGACATACACCCTTCCCTAGTTACGAAACAGTGTAACCGCTCCGCAGGGGACACACCAGACCATCGCATCGCATCGTTGAAACACAACTAGTCCCGAGCTGATCCACCCTCGGAGACTTGTTCGCAGCTGGCATGGCTGACTGGTCGCCGGGCTTGCGGTGGTGCTTCGATCTGCAGGGGATGATGGTGACTATCCGCCTGCTCTAGCCGTTTGTGGGCCCAAGAAGGGGGTCGTTCGAGGTCTTTCCCTAATTGGTTAAAAGGAGGTTCTGCTACACAGCGCAATAAGTTGCACTACATAAATGACCAACTACTTCATGCTCGTCTTCGCGTCATCAAATTCCCTGTGGTCAGGAATCCTTTATCTCCCATCGCGCCCCTCCACTCGATTGACAACTGGCCTAGAACCGCACGGCCATCTCGTCGCAAGTCCTTCTGCAATGCTTCAAGCCCTTCTTGCCGCCCTTCTTCTTGCTCCACCAGAAATGCAACCTGTAGTACATCCCGAGGATTTAATATCGGCGGCGGGGTATCTGAGTGATCAGGCCGCTCGAGGTCCCAGTTTAATGATATAGCTCTGAACGGAGGCTTGGGGTTCAGTCGTGTTTGCTGGAAACATATTAGAAAAGTTCCCCTTAGAAATCAAGGCCCGAATATACGAGGTCGAGGCTGCTCACCTTGACTACCACCGCCCCGTCTCCTACATTCTCCAACTGGGCTTCAAGAGCAAACCGAAGGAGGCGAGTTTTGCCATATGGCCCCAGAGATTTGTTCTCAACCTCCAATGGGGGCAACTCGGAAGACTTTGTCCGAACGCTAAGGCAAGGCTGGGCAACAAATTGGTACAGCTTGCGAAAGGTCCTGACTCGTCCACTGGCTGCTTGCGAATCTGACCCGATCAATGTCTCGGTATAACTGACGCTCACCGCCAGAATATGATTGCCTTCCTCCTTCAAGTCAAATCGGACAATATTTTGTAGGGAATTGCCTTTCTGCAGTCCGTCCTTAAGAACTGTGTCGTCGGCTGGTTCAAGATCGAGGGATGAGACTTGCGACGGAGTTTGCATCTCGGCGACTATCCGCACGGACGTAATAACGCGCGATGTATCATCTGGGAGTTCATTATTTGCACTTAAAGTGCAAGCGAAGGTTTCCCCAACATATGCAGATCCAAAGGTAGGAGGAAGCGTGAGCTTATCTCAAGGTCAGTATGACGAATGGACGCTAGAGCGGTGGGCGTACATTCGGAGTGAGAATAAATCGGTCATCAATATTGTCGGCGGGATAGCTTAGCGAGGCGGCATTTGAGATTTTTGTATCTGCTGTAGGGAGAGGATATTGATACGAGAGAGAAGGCCGAGAAAGACTAGAACAGTCAGGAGAATTCACATTGCTTAAGCAAGGTGGCTTACCGCAATACTGCAACAGATTAGTCGGTGATGTGATAGGCGGTTTAAACATGCATACCTTTTAGAGACACTGAATGGGGCTCTTTCGGGCCATCGGCACCTGAATGGGCACGAGGACGAGCCATGGGGAGAAATCACGGAGCTACGGCGAGTCGAGTATGAGTTCTTCAAGTTCAACGGTGCTGCTGTTGACGTTGACGTTGATATCGGTGGGAATGGGGGACAACAGGCAAACACAGCAAACACAGCAAAGGCAGCAAACCTCCACATCTTCACATGAATCCACATCTCTGAATGGGGACCGATTTTCTATACTGGGATAAATACTTCAATCTTAACATACAAATAAAGGATTTTCAATATCTATGATCAAAATTTAGGATTACTAACAGCTATACCTGACCCTACGTAAAGGTCTATCTACATATCAATGCGTAGAGTACAAGTCCCACCCAACTGTCTAACTAGTTTCTGTATCAGAAGCCCAGCAGGGACCGTATTAAGGAGATGTATGTAGACAGGAAATATCACTGGTCTCAAGTCCCTTCATTTACTTAATTCACCATCTTCAACACATATCTGATCATGTTGTTCTGTCCCAGGGTTCCTTGATCTCATATGTATTATTATGTCAGCCCCCAGATGGTTAACTATGACCTGTAGCTTCAAGTCTCTCAAACGTTGTTAGCTCCTACACTGCTCACATTTCTTTCCCCTAATCCCATCTTTTCCATCTTTTCTCCTTCCTCCACAGCCCAAGAGAGGACAATAGGTGCTGCCAGGGATAGTTCGTCTCCGCGCCAAATTCTCGATCCCGCTCTCCGCCGATGTATACTTCAACACCCTCTTTGAAGAGAAAGCGCCCCGCAGAGGAGGACCTCGATTCGTCCCTTCTCACTCCGATGAAAAGTACCCGTCGTAAGGCGATCAGCTCCAGGATGGGACAAGACCCAGGAAATACCATCGATCCAACCAGCGACGCAGTGCCAAATCCAACACAGAAGGCAAGAAACTCCAGGAGCACGAAGACCACCACCACCACCACCACATCAAGCAGTCCCGCCGCTCCTGAGCGTCGCCGTAGGATGTTTCGAAGCTCCCCTCCCAAGAGTTTTCAACCACGCTTCAAGCGGGCTATCACCCAGCGGTACCATTTACATCCACTGACCCCACCCCTCTCTTTAAAACGTGACCCCTTCTGCTAACGTATACTTTCTTCACAAGCATGTTCGTGGTTGGACAGACTGTTGCGGGAACGGACCAGGCGCCGGAGCTGCAATTTGACATTGTCGGAACGACTGGGAACCTTTACAAGACAATAATCGGGAAAGAGCCGGCCTGCAACTGTCCTGACGCTTTGAAAGGCCATCAATGCAAACATATCTATTACGGTACGTACGCCTTTGAGGAACTTTCCAGAACCGTTTTACTTCATATCCTAAGCATCCTGGTTTTTTTTTTTTTTTTTTTTTTTTTGGGGGGGGGTATTCTTAAGCTTATATTTACCGTCCTTTTTATCTAACCCTTATGGTCAATCAAGTCCTCGCAAAAGTCCTCAAAGCTCCAGCCCATTTGCAGTACCAGCTAGCATTTCTATCGTCTGTGAGTTCTGGAAGCTGGCGATCAACGCCAGTATGGCACGCACGCTTACACTATATCCCAGGAGCTGCGCGAGATATACCACAACTCTCCACTGCGCCATGTACAGAGCAAATCCGAGGAAGCTGACACTGACGGTCGGCGAAAGCCCGTGGAAGGCGACTGCGCTATCTGCTTTATGGAATTCAAGCCGGAGCGAGAAGAAATCGTCTGGTGTCGAGCCGCCTGCGGCAACAACATCCACAAAGCCTGCTTCCAAAGGTGGGCCGTTAGCCAGCACGCACAGGGTGTTCGCTGCGTCTACTGGTGCGTCTTCTCTTCCCCTTGTTCCATCTAATCTCGTCAGGGTGGGGTGGCGTTCCTCCCAAGACTAACCACATGGTTTCTCTTCTAGTCGCGCTCCCTGGCAAACTCAGGACGCTGACGGTAAAGTCGACATCGACCTGGGACAACTCCTCAGCCAAGCGGAACGTGGAGAAGAAGGTTACATCAACGTGGCAAGCCAAATGGGTCTATCCGGTGAACGTGGTACGAGATCGTCCCTGTAGATATCCCCGACTCCTGTCTCCTGTCTCCCAACGTGGATGCGCTAACAATGGATCCTCGTAGATTATTCAACCTACTATCATCCGTGGGTGCACCAGCGCTCATACTATTCTGGGCAGCGTAACGACTCTGAATCTTACTATTAAGGGCGTTGGGTGAATAACCAACCGCCAACTAGAATGCTAGCCGGGTAGGACGGAGTGAACGAAGGAAGACAAGGAGGCCCGGCCGTTGGGAAAATTCGACGGGGTCCTGTATATGTATTTTCGGTGCTAGGTAGTTTCCTTTCCGCATCACCTAATATAACATAACCTACTTTCGGCAGACTTTTTTTTCTATATTCACTTCGTAGAACATAAAAGTAGTTCTAACCTGCCTCTAGCACTCCGTCAGGGTTCTATACCTGTCCGTACAGCCGTGTCAAAAAGTGCTTCACAGCTCTAAAAATATGCGCTGGGGACTTCTAGCTCCTGTCTCAGGAAGCGATTCCGTCCCGAGGACAGCTTCCCAAATCATAGTTTAGCCACGCCAGTCGTGGCCAAACTACCCAGGAACGCAAAAGGTAAGCTGAATACCATCGCGTAGCTGTCCTGTATAATAGACCATCTAGTCTATCAAACAGAAAAATTAGATGAAAAAGGGAGAAGGTATCCTTTTTGGCCGCCTTTCTCCTCTCTTCATCCAATATCCTCGGTGATGCGATGTCCTCTCCGAACAACGGCTGAACTGACGGCATCTTCACCTGTCATCCAAGAGGGCATACTTTCTGGATCGACGATGCCTAGTTCTGCGAGTCTTCGGATACCGCTAATAACATCGGAGCCGGAGAACGTAAGCGATAGTGCAGGCTGGGCCGATTGAGCGTTGTAGTCGTCGGGTTCCTCCTCGTCATCAGAGAGATTGGGCGGATCGAGCATGCGAATATCAAGACGGTCTAGTGGAGCAGAGGATAGTGCAAGCCCCGACGTGCCGAAGCGGGTCTGGACAGCAAGTTTGCGTTTCTTGGATGTGTGTTCGACCACGTTCGCGTCGAGTTTGCGACGTGTAGGTTTGGTTGACGATAGTGGGGTTTGAATTTTGGTATTCTCCTGGGTTTCGGGACTAGTATCCTTGTTTTCTTTTCCCGGTTCAAATTCCTGTTTATAGTATTCTTCTGGGCGCACGGTATGAGAGCTTCGTGGGTCCAGTGGGCTTCCCTCGAGTACTGCGTCGGCGAAAATACTGAATGCGCCGTTGGCCTTGTTGGAGCGTCCCGGTCCACGCAGGGATAGGAGAGCTTGGAGGCTTTTCGCTGTTAAGGAGGTTGGTTTAATGGAATATCTTTGATGTTGGAGTGAGAGAGCCTTGGGAATGGCGTCCCGTACAATGCGTTGGAGGCTGCGCGCGTCTGTTGCGACGGAAGCACTGCTTGCTTTAGATCCTATGGCAGACGCAAGAGAAGTGTAGATGTACGGGCAGCTATCTGGGAATGCAACGTACATGACTCGCGATGAGTCAGTGAGGGTTTCCGGGGCTTGACGCGGGTTTTGGTAAGGCGAATTCGTAACGAAAATGCGGAGGAACGTCAGAGGTAGGGAGGTCGAACGGGCGAGGTAGAAATGTGCTTTCACTAAAGGGGAGATTTGTTCCTGGAGGTTGTTGAGGAAGGTAGCGGCGTGGATGCGCGGAATACAGGCTGAGATATCTGCAATCGAGGAGTCTTGGTTGCTGCCGGAGACACCAATACGCGTGAGCTCCAACGCGGTCCATCGCAAACTAGACGGGTGGTCATCCAAGTAACGCAGGTCGATCATTGCAAGCTGTCGAAGTGTGATACCATGCCTCCAGTCTCCATCTAGAATGCGATCAATTACTTCACGCTTCCCACCCTTCCTCACTTGTAGCTCTTGGTAGGCATTGCGAACGTCATTGAGTGAACTCTCCGCTGGGTAAGGCCGAAGGCCCTCGTCTTCGTGGTTTTTGTCCTCGTCGTCTTCTAAGAATGGTGCAAACAGTTTCACATTGCGATCATCGAGCCATTGAAAGATGAGATCTAGTAGTGACTGGCGGGGAAGCTTTCCAAGAGTCTTGACAAGGGAAGGTGTGGTAGAGGGGATGCGCAAACTGCTAGGAAGACTAGCTGTTGTGGGAGCGCGCACTTTTTTGGCACGCGGCATGGCTCTTTAAGCTCTCAGGTAAAGATTACCCGTGTTTAGTTTGAAGGCAAGGAACCAGATATACAGACATCGACATCGACCGCGTTGAAACGTGGAGCTGGTTCGACGGCTTTTGTTGTGGATGCCTGCGAGAGCGCCAAGAATCAACAACGGAGATGGTCACGTGGTAGCGGTCGGCGGTTTGGTGCCTTAGGAGTCAATAAAGAAACCAGGACACTGCAGAGCATAAGGTGTAGGGGGTAATGTTCAAAGATTAGCCATTGCTTCAAAAAAGGAGTAACCCGCCAAATGGGCAAAGGGAGGATTGGGGGATGAGAGCCAGCGCCTTGACCCATTAGTTGACACGAATCACAAAGTGCACAGAATTATGGCAGTGCTGGTGGACATTTAGCAGAGTTACCATTTCTACATCCCCATGATTTGGAAGAGGGCAGGGGGAGATAGAATGTAGAGGTTGAGAGAATAAAAAAAATAGACGACAACTGCAGGATTCGAACCTGCGCTCACGAATGAACGGGATTACTTTCATGGTTAACCATGAAACGTCCAGACTTGCGTAGTCGAGTGCTATATAGCAGTCCCGCGCCTTAACCACTCGGCCAAATTGTCTAGTATATATTATATTCCGGCTGTTTTTCAACTGAAGTACCCAGGCTCCAGCACCGACTAACGAAAAAGGACCAAAAAAGCAAAACACGACAACTGCAGGATTCGAACCTGCGCTCACGAATGAACGGGATGACTTCCATGGTTGGCCATGAAACGTTCTGACTGCATAGCAGTCCCGCGCCTTAACCACTCGGCCAAGTTGTCATATAATTTGCTGCTCGGCTGCCTCTTGGAAGAAACACGTAGCTCAAGTGTTGATGTCCGGAATAAAAATAATACGACAACTGCAGGATTCGAACCTGCGCTCACGAATGAACGGGATAGCTTTCATGGTAAACCATGAAACGTTCTGACCTTAAGTCGACTGCATAGCAGTCCCGCGCCTTAACCACTCGGCCAAATTGTCATTTTATAATGCACTCTGTCAACTTATTGAATACATGACTCAACCTGCGCAATACAAGTACTATGTGATGAGGCACACCTCCTACGACCACCACCATGGAGCTAGGGGGGACATCGGGATGGGCTTCACCAGAATATGCAGAGGCTTCTCGTGGCATTATTAGGCATCTTTTGAAGCACCTTCTGAACTTCTAGGTAACCCAGCAGCGCCCCGCGCGACAGGCAGCATACGATTTTATTCGAGGTCTTAATGTCTTATTGTTGATTTGAAAAGGAGTGGGAGGGGCTGACGTTAGAATGAAAGGTTGATTGTCGGGGATCTATGAGCTCCCTGTTTTGGTGGGTATGGGATTGGTTCTGGTAGAAACTGAGAGCTTTGGTTCGCATTGAAGTTTTTGTAGTGTTTTTATATTTGTTATAGGTGGTATCCTTTTTCTAGTTTGATGTATTTTCACCGGTCGGTTAATAGTTCTAGTCAGCGGTACCTGTGTTGAGTAAGAGTATATAATCCGTAGTACTCTATATATGTTGGGCCTAATAGTACCACACTCCCACTGAATGAGAGATACGGAGAAGAAAGGAAAACCAGGCTAACCAGACATGGATATATATAACCTGTTGGTAGACTTCTTACATATCCACGATATTGATTCTGAATGTAGTATCCTCGTCATTCAACCGAAGTCGGTCGGGGACATTGGACCGAAGCGTCAACCTGATCTCGGATCCTTCCCGATCCGTCGACTAGAACCGACAATTAATGTCACATCCGACCGAAGCTGACGTTCAGGTCCTTCAATATCGTAGTCAAGGTAGACTCTTAAGTTTACCTGGAGTGCTGCTGCATGCGCGATTTAAAAGGTGGCCAAACATATCAACGCATGCTAAACCTTGCCTCAAGGAAGCTCTCTGGCTGGCTGCAGCCCCTCATTTGGATTTACATATGCTTCTGCATGAAAGCAGAGCCCCCCTGGCGCCTATACCCTACGATAGCCCATGGCATGCGCCATCGTCGATGATGAGGTCGATGAGGAAAATGCACCACCAATGACATGACATGGAACCTATTAGACCGTGCGGGGTGCTGCCACTTGGAAACATTTCCTTGTGTATTAATGTCGAGACAGTAATTGACTAGAGCGGTCAAATCATGCAGCTTGGCCTCGCGCTGGCTAAGTAGGGGGGAGGGGAGCCAAGGACTGATCTCGAGATGTTCTCAAATAATAGAGGGTGGATAGTGAATATATAAAGTATATTCTGGATCCCAAGATCACAAGTTCGGTGGTTTGGCCGAGTGGTTAAGGCGCGGGACTGCTATATAGTGCTCGACTAAGTAGTCTGGACGTTTCATGGTTAACCATGAAAGTAATCCCGTTCATTCGTGAGCGCAGGTTCGAATCCTGCAGCCATCGTTATTTTTTTTTATTTTTATTTTTTATATTTCAAAAATATCTTGCCCCTCTCCTCTGCCTGGCTCCAGATGGATTACCAAAAAAAAGCATAGCACGGGCCAACAGGCAACGAACAATTCCTTGTCGATTAATAATGATAGGATTTCCATTAATAATTAAACAAACTACCCTCCCACTCTGGTTCCGGGCAAAACCGAGGAGTTGTACGGAGGACGGAGTAAATGTGTTACACTTTTCCGTGCATTTGGGATTATTCAGCCTACAGCCCCCCACTTCAATTCCTCGCAAAATCCGATCATCCGGAAACTAACGTGGGATTGTTCCACACTCTTCGAATCATCCCGGGCCCCTCCTCTCTCAACTTCTCTCTCTCCTCGTCCTCGCCTTCCACACCATCCGAATCCTCAATTTTCGACACAATATCGTCCTCGATTCGACTCGACACGGCGACTAATCGACCCCTGGTAGTTTTGGTCTAAACCCCTCCCGTTCTCTGCTACGAACCACTTTACCGGACAAAAGACTTGAGCAATAAGGAAGGGAAAAGGAAGCATCGACAAATATTTGGCTGGATTTACTGCGAGAGAGGCCAAACGCCTCAATTATACATCACCATGTCCGAATTCAACGGCCGCAGCGCCCCGAATTTCTCCGAATACCTCCAGGACTTGAATGCAATTCCATCGCAATACGACCTCGCCAACCAGCAGCAACAGGAAACCTTCAATATTGATTCTGAATTATCCCTGTTTACAAACACCGAGTTCTTTGACTTCGACAAGCTCGGGGATTTGAAAATTCCGTCGTTTGAGCCCGTGGAGGAAACCGAGCAGAATGCCTCTCGGAATTCTGATATGGAATTTCTGGACCTCCTAGGTGGTAAGTGATAGGTTTTCTTTCTACATCATTGATTTGATTTCTGCAAATTGTTCTGGGTTCGGCTGGATAATGGGCCTGTTCCATTTTCACTTGAATTTGGCATTCTGCCCCATTTCATCGCTTGAGATCTTTATTTCCCCATTCCCTTATTTATGTGTCTTTCTTTTATCAATTTCTACCTAAGGTACGAGGCGTTGCATCTACTATCCCCCGCACACGCCATCTAACCAGGCCACCATTGGTGGTGCGTTAGATTAGCTTCAGGGTTTGCAGCAAGTGTGCCTCTGGGAGTTGATAGCGTGCGTGATATGTATCGCGTCATTCCACGTGAACTAAACAGAAGATGCGCTGGGCTGTGCGTGCGCTTCATGTTGCCCTTGGCCTTTTGAATTGGATTTTGCATTGCCCCTCCTTCTTTTCCCGGCGCGCAGTCCACCTCGAGCCTCTGGAGCTGTCCCAAATGTCTTCACATCATGTGTCTGCTTTTTACTAACTCCGACCAGAGGGATTTGGCAACGTAAACGACTTTCAGTCCCCCGATGTGAACTCGATGAACAATTCCACCATGTCTACGCAAAACAACCAGTTATCAGTCATGCCATCCATGCCGAACAGACTCGCTGATAATCATGTCTCACCGAACTCGTCCTCCTCAACTACCTCTCCAGCATCCATCACGTCGGCCTCCCAGCCTCCCGCCCCTGCTCCTGCTTCTACCGCCGTTACGGGGTCCCTTGCTACAGGACCGAAGCGCAAGAACACGCAGAAGACACCTATCATGAGTGTGGAGGAGGCTGCGCGAGTCGCCGCGGAAGAGGATAAACGTCGTCGCAATACTGCTGCTAGCGCCAGATTCCGAGTGAAGAAGAAGCTCCGGGAACAAGCGCTGGAGAATACTGTTAAGGAGACCTCCGAAAAGAATGCTGCCCTTGAGGCGCGTGTGACCGCGCTGGAGCTCGAGAACCAGTGGCTGAAGAACCTGATCACAGAGAAGAACGGCAAGTCAGCCGAGGAAGGAAAGAAGGCCGAGACCAACATCACAGACATGTTTAAGAGGTTCCTCGCAGCACAGAGGGCTAACGCTGAGAGGAGTAGCGGCGAGTCCAAGATCGGAGTTGGAACTGCATGATGCGTCTAAGAGAAGAAAAAAAAAAAGGAAAAAAAAAAAAGAGAGAGTGTGTGAAGGATAATGGTTGCTGTTTTGGCTTTCCGCGTAAATTTAGCCTTGAGATCACTGTCCATATTATTGTCTTTAATTTTTCGAGGTGACGAAGGCGTCTCACAGCACAAGTTTGGTGGGAGGCATGAGTGATGATTACCATGAATGCAGATAGCAGACTCGGCAGTCTGTACGTTCAAACATACAACCTAGAGCAATCCGTCTCAATTTACCATTTTTCACTGTGCAAGTAAGTATCTTCAGATATAGTATGTATGTGTATATTATTACTTGGTCCGTGATGGCTAAAATCATGCGGGGAACACTAACCGCCAATCCCACTTCCATCCATCCTTGTTAACCCACCACCACCAAGCCACCTGCTGGTCAACCGCCAGACCAAGAAAAAAGAACAAACAATGCACCAAGAGCCAACTTTGCCATTGTCCCCCGACCCCCCCAGCTACCGATCCCTCCCAATCCTCCTCACCTACCTCTCCATCTGCGGCACCCTAGCAGCCCAGAAATGCATCGCCATCTACCACGGCTACCGCCACCAGCAGCAGCAGCAGCAGCAGCAGCAACGAGGAAATAGCCAGCGCCAATGGCCCTCCCGCAAACGCAAATTCGCTGTCTTCTGCCTCCTGGCTCTCCTGAGTCTCGGCACAACCTGGTATCACATGTTCTGCTTTTTCGGACACTCGTACCGATCCTGGGCTGGTGGTGATGATGCAGCAGCAGCAGCGTTGACGCGGGGTTATTATTCCCTGCCGCGGAGGTGGGAGCTCTGGTTACGGGATCGGAAGCTCTTCCGGGAAGCTTGGGAGAGTGTTTCTGAGAGTCCGGAGAGGGTCTGGTGGAGTGGGCAGATCTTTTTGTTTACGGTGGGGTGGAGTTTGGTTTTGGGGGTTGTGGGTGAGTATTTTTTTTCTTTCCGAGAAAGAGAGAGAGAGAGAGAGAGAGAGAGAGAGAGACTGATCTGAGATGTATCAGGACGGAAATATCGTATCCCGCATGTATGGAGTTTCATGCTCATCGGCCAGATTGTGGCTATATCTTTTGCTCAGAACTTGTTTACTCTCACCGTGCTTGTGTCGGAATCCTCGGGGAAGCGCGATTCGAGTCGAAATGCGGGCAACAGCGACAGCGACAGCGACAAGGACGAGCACGAGGAAGAAACTATCTGGACCCCCCCTGGTCTCCTAGAACTCACCCCGATTGTACTCTCGCTCGCCAGCGCGGCGGTCGTCCCCTCCGTGGCGCACACGCCACTTTTCATGCCGGTATTGCTTGTGCCGCATTTCCTGCTGTTCGTCCCGACTTTGCTTTCGCGGTCGGGTCTGGCGGGACTTGGGTCCTACCGCGGCGTGGGACGGTATAGGAGGCTCTTTTGGTGGATTGGCGCTGCGGCGGTCGGGATCCAGGCGCGGTCAACTTTCTTGCTTCTTTCGGAGGAGCAGCGGGGGGTGGTTCCGGTTGTGAAGCGGTTGCTTGCGACGATGGGTGAGCATCCGGCTGTGAGTAGTGTGGGATGGGATGTGGTGTTTTGTTCTGTAGGGTTGGTGGTTAGTATTTTACTTGGGCCGTATGATTTGTAAACGTTGTCTGGACATAACTATACCTATACCTGCATATATACATACATACATACATATATATATATTCACACTATCCCTACTATCTCATCTAGTTTGAATACAGGTTAAAATAGAGAGAGAGAGAGAGAGAGAGAGAGTCATCGACGAGCCACAACAATAACCCCCCGCACTATCCCCTTCCTCGCCCACCAGTCAAAGACAACCCTCGCCGCCTTAAACTTCCCAATCGACATTCCGTAAAGATTCATCTCCGCCTCCCTGGACTTCAAGAACGCCGCGATTCCCGAAAACACATCCGCCGATATATCCCTCATCACAATCTGACTCGACTCGTACCCAACCCGAACAAGAAGCGCCTCGTACTCGTCCCGCGTGAGGAAATTCGCCCACGGCGTGCCAGACACCCAGCAGACAAGACGGAGCAGAAGAATCTCCCAGAACGAGACGGAGTCCGCGAGAACGAGATCAAAGGCCATGAAAGACGCGTGCAGAGTGGAGCATGCGTAGCGGAGTAAGGGCGTCCGCGAGGGACGGAAGTGGTACAGGGTGTCGAGGGCGAGGAGCCATTTCTCCTCCTCCTCCTCCTCTCCTTCTTGTTCGGGATGGGATTGGGACTGGGTCCGGGAAAGAGCGGAGTGGATTTCTCTACCCCAGGAAGAAGGGCTCGCCGCGTCAGCGCAGAAGATATCCGCCCTTGCGTCCGTGGGTTGGGAGGAGGAGGCGAGGCGGCGGTGTTGGGTAATACGACGAGTAGCCAGCTCCGCTTGGGTTGGAACGAGGGTTAGGCCGACGTATGAGCTGAATAAGAAGGGGTTCTCCGAGCCATTGTCGGGTTGGATGCGCCGTAGATTGAGTAAATGGATGGATTGGTCGCCGCAACCGATCCCCACGTCGAGGAGGAGGTGGAAGTGGCGCGTGGGTGGTGGGTGTGCGAGGGGGCTGGCGGTGGAATCGAGGAGAGACGCGGTGATCAGGACTTCATTTAGCAGGGCTGCGCATGCGGAGGGGAAATCTGTTTCATTCTAGCAAGAGTTAGAGCTGTCTGGTTCATCCGTTGCATTCTGTGGTTGTAGGTAGGTAGGGAGGGAGGAAGGGAGGGGTCTCTGCTTTTTTGCTACCTTCCAATACCCGAGGTTCATCCACATAGACGGTGGCGGAATGGGGATATTGAGGATGGCATGGTCCAGGCCATAGATTGATGATGATTTGGATTCCTTTTGGACTCTAGGAAAAAATGATGCAAGCCAGGTGAAGGGATTCATGATGATGTTCATTCAGGGTCCAACGGAGCTTGACGGAAGTTAAATTGCTAGTCAGTGGCGTTTTCCGTATGTACTACTAAAGGGGGATACAGCTCGGCATACCGAACACGAATAAAACATTTACTACTTCTAAGTTCTAACAACCTCTAATATACTAGTAATGGGCATATATATATATATATACTTGGGGTTGGGGTTTAGAGTCCAACCTCATAAACATGTCGTCATTTTATTAGCGTAAATAGTTCTATGGTCCATGTAGTATCACTAGTATAGACATCACCAAGGAATAGATACATCCAATTCCCGCGCAACTCGCATCGCAGACACTACACACCCCTCGAGTAGTACCATTCCATCCCAACACCACCCACCGGCAAGGTAAACCCCCCCATCGCCGTTGCGCCAGGCACGGGTAGGTGACGACACAGCAGGGTCTGTCTCCCAGAATAGCTCTTTCAGCAGTCGCCGGCTGCGTGGACTGCGTAGTACCCGCGTGAAGGATGCGGACCTCAGGATCTTGGCTGGGTCAATGGGTGTAACAGGGTTTGTGGTAACTAGTATTGGGAACGATTGGGAGTGAACCGCTTCTGTAATAGTCTCCGTAGAGCGGAGGAAAATATCTTGCGAAGTAGGCGCGCTATTTATGGAAGACTTTGTGTTGTATCTCCTGGTCAGGATGTTACCAAAGTCGGTGTGCGCGACGGTGCAGACTGTAGTGGTGGGTACGTGCTGCAAGGTGTCCCGTGAGGGCTCGAAGATCTGCGCGGCGATGTCTGGAGATACCGCGAGAACGATAAGATCAAAGCGCTCAGTGGACTCCGTTCCCTTCTCGAGTGTCCGCGACGTCAGCAGGACACCGTCTACGGTGGAGGTGACCTTTGTGATTTGGGTGCCAAGGTGCACGTCGATTCCGCGGAGGAGGGCATCCTGTGCCTTGCGAACACCACCGGAGACGACGAAATGTGGCTGGCGGTGTGTGCGCAGTTTATAGGTAAGGATATCGGAGGCCGGAAATCGTAGTAATTCATGATGTGAACAGGTACACACGCTGGAGATCATGGGGAGAAGGTAGCTAGTAACGTAGGCACGAGGGAGGCGAATGCGGCGAAGGTAATCGTCGAGGGACTCATCTTCCGGTGTTTGTAGGGGCTGGACGAAGAAACAGCACACAGTGAACCAGACATAGCAAAAGAGAACGTAGAGGACCTGAAGAAGCCAGGGGACAATGTCTTTGTGGGGAATTGGCGGAATGCCGTGAAAGTTTGAAGCGTGGCTCAGGGACGGTTCGGGTGGCGCTGTGTTTGGGACCGTGCCTGAGAGACAGGAAAAATGGAAGAGAAAAGGCTGAGACTGATAGCACACGCCCAGATAGTCGTACATCCGCACCAGGTTTTGATAGAATCCGCCAGCAAAGGCGCGCATAGGTATATCAACCCAAGCCCTGGATTTCGGTACTCGGACAGATTCCGCCGCCAACGAAACTTGTGTGCCCTGGGAAGTTAGCAATATGGAAGACGGGATAATTTGGCGTGCTAATTTTCCAGAGCCACAAATTCACAACTCTCGAGGAACTCACCTGGTCCATCAATCGCACGCGAAACCGCTGCTGGGAGTCATTATGCAGTAAATAAGCTGTCACAAGCCCGGCCATCCCAGTACCCACCACAGCAACATCGCGCCGCTTTGTTTGCATTATTTAAACAACCAGAGATGGTTGAGGGAGGCTTCAAGAATGAATTCGGAGAGACAAGTATGATTAAGAAATAATTATAAAAAAAAAAGGGGGGGGGATAAAGTGCGACGAGAGGGAACGCTGATTGTAAAGTACTCTGGACCCTGCCGAGGAAGCCAGAACCGTTGAGCGGCTTGGGCGGTTACCGACTAGATCAATATTATCCACGGGGAAAAAAGAATCTCTTGCATTGCATAGAATTGAAGCAAATTAACTGGAACTAGGGAAAGCAAGAAAGTCCAACATGTATATTAGGATATCACTTCATCGCCAGTCCCACTCCATCCAGGTATAAAAGAGACTCCGCGCCCATTAAACGCCTTCGTAAAGAAACCAATCTATCCAACCTCCCCCCAGGTTCCCCCTTTCCCACATTAGTCGTAGCTGCTGCAGTAGCTGAAGAATAAGAAAGGAGCGAAGAGGAAAAAAAAAAGAAACAGAAGAAGAAAAATATACAGTTCAATCCAGTAAGTCATCGAATATCGTTCATAATGTCGTCCCATCCTAGTCCTCGATCTTCTCTACATCACTTTCCTCCCCTGTTATTATCTCCCCCCATCCTGAGCTTCGACGACTGATGCGTCCAGGCCCAATTGATTGCCCACCAGCACCAGAGATGCTCGCGGCATTGCTATCCTGCCGCACATGCGAGTGTACTCCGCTCCGGATGCTAGCACCGTCACCTGTCGCTGCGCTTTGTTTGTTTGCTTGGAGGCTTCCCCGCTCACCACCAGGAACCGGCCCAGCTGAAGAATAGACGCTGACTCGTTCCACGCTGGCGAGGCCCACAAGGCTGGGTCGGTTGAGGACACCCTGTGCGCTCAGGGCCGGCGTATTGGAGGGTTCTCCCACAGTAGCACTAAGCACGCTTAACGGTAGACTCTCCCGGCTCCCGCCAAACACCGACGAAGGGGCAAGGGCACGAATAGAAGCGTTGGTATCCAGCGAATTTCGTCGACGCCGTTTCGACGAGCTGGCGAGGGTTAGAATGGAGGCATTATCGGTGAGAATGTTGTTGGCTGTCGCAGTGCTGTATGTGACCGAGTGGCCATGGGGGGCAAGGTGGGCTGGTACCGCAGTGGCGGGCGAGGGAGGAAACTGGTGCGAAAATTGTACTTGCTGCGCACCCGGGTTGCCTATCGAATGTCCATGATGGTGACCGTAATGTGCGTGGTTGTGTGCGTTGTAGATCTGACTCGATGGTGCTGCTGATTGGACCGTGGTTAACGTGGTGGTCAGAGACCGTACAGAGGGCGCAGGAGACGAGAACGTGCTCCCTTCTCCGCCTCCACGAGAGCTGATACCTCCACCAACGGTCGCCATGGTCCCGGCTTTGGAGTATGCAGCTTCCGATATTGTGGTGTCGCCGTTTGTAGAGATCGTCGGAGCCGTCGACTTGGCGCTGGTGGCTAGTATCTGGTTGTCGTACCCGGAGTAGGAGACGGACGGTTCACTCTGCGAACGGGACCGGGATTGGGGTCCGTGGCCATCACTCATATCGGAAGAGATTTGATCGCTGCTATACTGGTGTGTGGTGTAATTCGTCCCGGATAAAGGATAGGGGTTATTCTTCACGCCTCGGCTTTTGCTCTTGTGCATGGCATGTCGTTTGTTGGACCAACGGATAGTTCCTGAGTCGTTCGAGCTTTTCAGGTTGGCTAGTCGCTTCATCCAGCTAGAGAAAGGCCGACGACGTCCATGGCGATCTATTGACCAGGGTTGTATCAGCTGAAGTTCCAACAAAGAGGGGTTTACACGTACCGTGTGCTTGGGCTGGGCCTTCAGTTGTGGCCATGTTGGCTGTTGAACAATATTGACTGAGAGATACGCAGGGAATTTTCGGCAGATATGGACCAGGAATTTTGCCCGTTGTCTAAGTGGTGTTTTATTGAGGAGACTTTAGGTATCGCAGATCCGATAAGAAGCGGCGGCGGTAGGGAGACGTTGTGGGATTCAAAGGAGGTTTTCTAGTCAAAGCAGAGGAGAAGTGATGGGCAGATGGATTCAGAGAGCCATGGAAAAGAAACAGCTAGAAACACAGCTGCTCAGTCTGGATCAGAACAACTTAAGTCAGTGAAAGAATGCTTGTTACATCTTCTTGTGTTCTACGGCTTCAGGAGATTCTGCATACCCGCACGTGATACAGCCGCCTCATCTTTGGGCCTAAACCTCCATTCCAACCTCCTGTGAGTCTTGTCATCAAACATCCACCGACTCCTATGTGACGGAGGAAAAACTCCGATGAATGTAAGTACCCGGGAGGACAGTGGTCCATCTTGGCTGGTTTGTACGTCCTGAAGCCACCTTGAGCTGTCGGATTCGTGCTGTTGGACACTTCCTTACAGATTGTTGTTGTGCTGGCACGATCAGGAGCTTGGGGCGCTTGGCTTCTGCAGTGATTAATTATAGCCGCTCTTTTGCCTTGATTTAATTGGCCTGCAGGCTGTATGACGACAAATAAGACGTTTTGATGCGATTACGGAGTTCGAGGTCCGGCGGTCATCTACAGAATATCACGGGGAGGATTTGACGACTGATTATCAGTTTCTGGTCTACGGGCTAGTAAGGGACACCATCCCTTGCAATCCGTCTTGAGTGAGGCTTTTCACCCTCAACTTAACTCTGATGGAGTCTGATTATTAGGACCGAGTAAGTTCCGCGAGACCCCTCACGGTTCTCCTCCCATCGACGGTTATTCCAGGAAAATACTCCGAGTTCGGGCTTTACGCAGAGGTTTGAATATTGCGGAGTCAACTCCAGGTCTTTCCTTAAGAGACGTTCGATTTTCCGCAAAGAAATGGTGTACTTGAGACAATGGTTCATACAATACAACCTCCTTAGATTCTGATCTGTTTAATGCCTGATAACCAGTAGGGCATCGTCATCGTCTCTCGAGACGTTCCTCTATACGATTATAACGCTCCTAATTTGTAAATAGCCTTGTTCATCTCAATCTTTCTGTAGAAAAGTAAGTGATGCAATCTATTATCACGTGATCAAACCGGACCGACATCATTGCTCGCGACTTCCCCAGTCTCTCTTCATCTGCTTTGTTTTCGCCATGGGAGCAACCTCTACCCCCAGCTCCCTCATGACACGACTATTGGGGCCTTGAGATTGCCGTTCTCCCTTCTTATGCTTTCCCAGAGTTCGCCAATCCATGTCGTCAAGGTGGCGAGCCAACCAGCCTGGAGGCAGGCTGCGGAATATCATGCAGATGTGGACTGGAACTAAAACCCCTCAATATCCCGTTTTAAAGATCGAAAATGAAAAGTCATAGAATCCAGCCACTCCCTCCCCAAGTGGCTGCACAGATAAAATCATCCACTTCTATCACCAACCTCAACGGAGTGATTGTGGAATTAGTCAAGAATTCCTTGGATGCAAACGCCTGTACCATCTTCGTCACTGTTGACTACCGACGCGGAGGGTGTGTTGTAGAGGATGACGGGGATGGAATTCTGCGAGCGGAATTTGAGCCCGATGGAGGGCTAGGCGGAGCTCATCGTATGTTCCCGATCCATTGGATCCGTTGCATGTGCTTACTACTACCAGACACTTCAAAGCTTCATGCGGACACCCCTATTTATGGTAAAAGAGGCCTTTTTTTAGCTTCCCTATCGTCTCTTGCGGTATTGACTATAACATCGCATCATGCTAGTCAGCCGTGTACAAATACCGTGATATTCCACCACTCAACGCCCATTGCCCGGCTCACTCCAGCTCCGGTACATCAAGAGCTGAGATTTAGTGACCATGGAACAAGGGTTACTGTGAATGACCTTTTTGGAAATATGCCAGTCCGTGTGAAATATCGGGCACTCAGTATGCAAAAACCGGACGAATTAGCCCGCCAGTGGGACGACTTGCGACATTTGTTAATCTCCTTTATGATCCCAAATGACCGTCTCCTAAAGCTGGTGATCTCAGACATTGATAATGAACGAAGGCTGACAATCCGTCCTCGGAAAAAAGGCCCACAAGCGGGCAATGAGTTGGACCTTGTTCGTCTTGGCTCAATTCTCTCACAGGCAGGACTAGCCGATTTCCAAAGTAATAATGGCTGGTATTTCGTATCGGCATGCGTCCCACAGGTTTCAATCCAGGCTGCTCTGTCCCTCGTGCCGAGCCCCTCCAAAAAGATCCAGTTTATTTCCTTGGGAATTGATCCCATTTTCCCACGGAACCATGCCAATATGTTGTTTAGCGAAGTCAACCGCTTATTTGATTTGTCTGACTTTGGGACTGCTGGCTGCTCATCTTTCGGGACTGACAATGCGCCTTTGAGTCTCCAAATTGACAGACACGGCCTCCATACTAAGCCCATCCCTAAGACGGTTAATAAGTGGCCTATGTTTTATATACGTATTGACGCAAACGGCGCCCCAATCAGTAGCGATGACCAGGACATACCGGAATCAGATAAATCCCTTCAACGTATTATAGATGTTGTTACAGTCATGATCAATGAGTTCTTGAAGGAGCACAATATGCGCCCACGCGGTGGAAAGAGGAAACGAAAATGTCCCACCGATGAGGGCGATCGTCATCCCAGCAAATCTGAGACTGATAAGGCAGCGCGTGTAGAAGAAACCCTCGGAAAACAGCTGAGGCTCCCTTTATTTTCACGGCCAAAGATCAGTCCTCACTTTGGGAACTGGTCTCGAATTAAGGGCGCCAGCAGTCGTTCCAGCCGTTTCCTTCTCCCCGCTACGCAAATACCCGGCTTGTTCCAGGCTTCACCCGATGGACCAAATAATGTCCCTTCCAAACCGACCTCAGAAGCTAATGGAATTTTTGATTCCACCGTTGGCGATTCGAATTCTGGGGTGTTTCAAGCGCCAGACGCTGTCGAGTCCCAGGGTAGCAAGACGGATAAGTCAGAAACAGACATAGTAATTCCTTGGATCGACCCGTACTCTGGGGTCAGTTACTTGGTCAACTCTCGGACTGGCCAGTCCATCAATGTTCAATCACCGGTGGCCGTTGCCCTTACTTCGCGACCCCGGTCAACTGGGTCTTTTGGTGTTACGCGAGTTTTGGATAGCCTCAAACGGCCAGCATCCGTTCCTCTCAGTCGGCCACCGAGTAATTGGGTCGAAAATCTTTTGGATGGTTGGGAGAATCCCACTTTCGCCCGTTGTGAGCAGCCTATAAATGCCCTCGAATTCAATGCAGGACATGACGGCAGCCTAGATGCCCAAGCACACTACAACTCTGAAAAGCCATGCGGATTGGAAAGTTTTGGAGTATCGAAGTTTCGTGGAAAACTGCGGAAGCAGGATCTAGATACCGCCGAGATAATTGGACAGGTTGATCGAAAGTTCATTTTGGCGAGGGTGACAACATCCAGGGGTTCTGATGGTGATACACCAACTCTGGTCCTCATCGACCAGCATGCAGCGGATGAACGATGTCGGGTCGAAAGGCTATTTGAAGAGTTGTTTCAGATAAGCGGTGACTTGTTATGCGTACAGACTATTCAGGTGGACCCGATTGTATTCGACATTCCCGCTACGGAGGCCTTAATATTCAAGGAGCGTCTGGATTTCTTCAAGTCCTGGGGTATTGAGTATGCCGTGCAGTCAAGCTTGTCAAGCAGGAATGCTACCGTGTCAGTCTTACGGCTTCCTACATTGATTGCAGAGCGCTGCAGAGTCGAGGCAGATTTGGCTATGAACGTTATTCGGGGGGAAATTTGGAGGCAGGAAGGGCGCAATAGCACACGGCCGCAGACACCTCCCGGGCCGGGACAATCCCAAAAACACGACAGTTGGGTTGGACGATTAGCTGGTTGCCCTCGGGGAATTCTAGACTTGCTAAACTCTCGGGCCTGTCGGACGGCGATTATGTTCAACGATGTGCTGAGCATTGAAGAATGTCAGAATTTGGTGAGACAGTTATCTCGCTGTGTTTTCCCTTTTCAATGTGCCCATGGCCGACCCTCAATGGTACCCGTTCTAGATTTGCCTGGCGCTCTAGACGCAGGCCAGCGAGATGAGTATATCAACATAAACAAGCAGGGAGTGGGATATACTGAGGCATTCCAACGATGGCAACTCTAGACTTCGCTGCTTTACTTGCTGGTAAAGACTATGTATGTATGTATGTATGTATGAACTACTGAACTGGATTCCTGCGGAAATCAAGTCACTTTTCCATTTCCGCCTTAGGCCCAACTTGGCGCCGCTTTTTGCTCCCAGAGCAGCCCGGAGCGTGGGGTGAGCAGCAAAGTGCGTGTCCTGAGCAATCCATGAGCGACCTTGCAAGTCACTATAAGAGCTGCTATTCACCCCAAGTGCCTCCGAATCCAGGATAAGTTTACAATCATCTTAGGACGTGATGGCTGTACCCCTTCACCAGCATCACTCATCTTTGGAAGGTGTCATTTTTCCTACACCAGAAGAGCACGACGAAGCCACCAACCTTTTCAACCGCCTCATCGAGCATTTCGAGCCTTTGCAGGCATCTAGCAATGATTACAAACCAATAACACTTCTACGCCTCACGAAAGGAGGAGTCTCTGCTGAAGATGAGTTTCTGGAACTCTTTTTCACTTTCATTGAATGCGATCGACTTGGAGTCACGGAACCCAGACTAGCTGAGACCTTAGCAACCTTACACAACTTTGAGGGATGGACTTCCGAAGAACAACATGGTCTTAGTCAAAGTTTGGTTGAGTTTTCTAGTTTTTTGATGGATAATTTCTTCTTACCCCGTACGTACGTTGTTGTCATGTACACCTGAACCGTGAGACGCTTACTCTTTTCTCAGTTAAATCACTAGCCGCAAAGACTCCTCAGCCTACGCCGGCATTTCTTTCTCGTCCCGATTTGTCCGAATCAGCTATCGGTACCCCAAAGCGCGTCAGCAATTTGCGAAAATGTTGCCTTACGCGTGACCGGCATCGATGTGTCGTAACCCGAAAATTCGACCTACGTGAGGCTGAAGCGCGATACAGGATTGACGGAGCGAATGTCAAGGATGATAATGGGAATTCTTTGCTAGAGGAAACTGGAAATACAACCTTTTTGGAAGTGGCGCATATCATTCCCCATTCTCTCATATCTCATGGCGACATTTCAGGAGAGGCAAAACTAGTACGTCATTGCCCATACCTATATATATATAGCCTTTTGCTCAACAAGTCTTCTAGACCGAGCGAAAACAAATAGCCCACAAGATCCTCAAGATGTTCAATCCCGGCGCTGTCTACCTCATCAGCGGGATTGACATTGACCGACCGATAAATGCGCTTACCTTGACTCAAGAACTTCACCAGTTGTTCGGCAATTTTGAAATCGCTTTCGAGCCAGTCCAAGATCAGCCACATACGTACAAGATCGATTATGTAAACACAACCCGCATGTTTCGACCCGACAATCTTCTTCCTGTTACCCGCACGCTGTTCATCACCCCCGACAGAAGTATGGAGCCCCCTTCTCCTCAACTCTTAGAATTACATCGTGCCATCGGGCGCATTCTTCATCTTAGTGCTGCGGGTGAATACATCGATAAATTAATTCGGGACATGGAAGATATAGAGGGGGGGGGGGGAGTCTGTTCGAACGGGTCTACTCGCATTGATGATTACGTTCGCTATATAGACTTACAACTGAATTTCACCAGATGATTGTTTGCTAGATATTGGCCAGATATTTGATAGGAATCATTTGATTTTCCCCATGGGATGTTCACATGCTACGTACGTACGTACGGAGTACTTACTGCTTTATGATTCGGAGAGCTGTTTGCATACAATATAAAATGTAACATGGTCTTAACCTGTATCTTTTACCACTACTGCTGTCTACATTGAACCATTCTTAACTTCACTATCAACAAGCATATCACTCACCATAGCTTCCAAGACATGAATGACCATTCGCTACCAACCAAGCAAGACCTCTCAAATAACATATTAAAAAAAAAAGAGTTGTACTGCTTAGCAGTAACTAGATTATAGTACTTTTTTTTTTTTTTTTTTTTTTTATAACAAAGTCTTGTCAGCAGTACATAAACTTCACTATCCTGACATGTGCAGTCTAGAACAGGCAGTTTTCTATTATAGTATGTATATATATATATACATTGCGGCACCCTGTAGGCTGGCCGCTGTCTACTGCAATTTCAGTAATACTACTAGTATCACTACAGTACGTAGTATAAGGCTATAAGCATGAGCCATGAAGGAACTGTTAAGAACTGTTAAGACTACTAGCTTACTAGCTCCGACCCTCTTAACTAGTACCACTCTGGCACTCACGACTCACGAGATAGTCTAGTAGGTAGATAGGTACTGCCTCCAGGCTCCTAGAGTACGGACTACGGAGTAGAGTACGGAGTATACTGTGGAGCAGGAGCAGGAGCAGGAGTGATTAGTTTCGTTTAGTGGATGGAGTAAGAGCAACTAACTATTATTGACACTAATATTAAGTACGTCTACGTTGCTTCTAGAGTGCTGCCTAGATAACTATATATATATATATAGTACAGACTACAGAGTAACTAGTTTGTTAGTGGTAGTAGTAGTAGTAGTAGTAAACATACTCCGTATAGTTACTCCAATATCCAATATTTGTCGATCCCATCGTCTATTTTTCTCCTTGCTTTTTGCGTTTCATTGCGACTTTGTAGTCCGTATCCGTACGCGTGGTTGTGGGTCGATCGAGTCTACTGCTGACCGGAAAATGACGGTAATCCATTCGGATTGATTAGCTATATACAATACAATAATACAATCCATGCAAATGCAAACGCTGTGCACTCGCTCCGATTCCTCCCAAAACTTCCTGGTATCGATCCAATAATCCCAACCCAGCCTGTGCAAAATCCTGCCAAAAAAAAGCCTGCAACGCGATCCCGGAAACACAGTATACCATAGCATCATGATCCCCTTCCCATTCCCTGTGTAAAGCCGAGCCGTGAGGCTTATATATATATATCCCTGTATATGTTGCCGTTGCTTTTAGACCGAGCCACCCTTTTTTCCGCCAATTGCTGGTCAACATAATAACATAGTAGAAGCAAAATCAAGTCCAGTGAGCAAAAAAAAAAAAAAAAAAAAAGATAAAACATGACGCCGCCGGTAGCTAGAAAAGGTATCCACAAAGAAGGCAAAAATGTGAGGAGAAAAAAAAAAATATCCAAGAAGAGATGGTGGCAGGTAAACCTGGGTTTTGATAAAGACAAAAGGGGGGGATAGATAGCGCCGTTAAGACATGAAAAGAAAGCAACGTCATCAGTCGTGATAAAATAGTGTGAAAGATTGGACGGTTCAGCTCAACCGTTGGTTGCGACCGACTTGGGCTTCGAGGTATTCGTCCAGGATAAGAAATCAAATTTATCTTTCGCGTTCTCGAGGATCGACGAGGAGCTCGACTCCGTCGTTTGTAGGGGGGCGCGTGGCTGGGGCGCTTCTCGAGGCTCCAGCACCAGCGACCGGCGGTAGAAGGTTTGCAGACTCTTCTCGCCGTTAGAGCGCACTCGCACCAACTCGTTCTGCATCCACGCTTGCAGTTCCGGTACCTCGGTAAGGCGGTATGGGATCTGAAAACGTTGGAGCTCGCTGATGATGCGCGCAGTTTTGACGTGTTTGTCAAAGTTGATGACGGCCATCTCGCCGTCATCCGTAGGGAGGCTGCGGAGGGCTTGGTTGCCATGGTCGACAAAGGTGAGGTCGGTGAGGTAGGTGCCGACAAACGGCAGGCAGGGCGGGACATGACCCTGCAGACGCTGACGCAGCACAGCATAGTTTCGCGATACATCGACAATGTTCCGGAGCGTCTCGAGCGTGGCCTTAGTCTTGTGTGAGACAATCTCCCAGGTGCGCTTGAGCCGGGAGATCATCGACGAGTTCAGAGAGCAGATAATTGCCATCAGAGAGTCGTAGTTGTTCAACTCCAGACATTTGTTGGCAATCTTGACCCAATGCTTTATAATAGCAGCCCGCTTTTTGGGCTCTTCCAGCTGCAGTATCGAGTCCGCAACCAAGTGTGCTAGATCTGTGGAAAGAGTGGACATCGCACGTACGTTGACTGCCAGTGAGCCGCTCTTCTTCATCCATTCCGTCGCCAACAGCTCCTCAGGAAGAATGGTGCAGAAGATCCGAGACTCTTTAATAGTGAATTGCCGTGCCAGTTCCATTGGATCAAAATCGAGAATGGTGATGCTAGCCTCCCCGTTCTTCCACTGCTTGAGAAGGTTGAGCTCTTTCTTGCCCAGCATGGGGGCAGGAAGCGGAGTATCGGGGTGAATATACTGGGCCGTCGCCGTGTTCGTCTTGCCCATCGAGGACACAAGACGAGGTACTACTGGCCCATGTAGCTGAGAAACCTTCTCAGCCAACTCCAGTAAGCGTCGGGCCGCCGTAGGCAGATTTTGCATCAAACTGGTGCTCGAAAAATCAACGATGAATTCCAAAGCTGTCATATCACAGTCATGGCGCCAGTGAGATTCCAGCCAGCCCTTGAATACGTTATACACGCGCAGGCGGACCGGGCCAGCGGCGTGTCGGGTATCCCCAATGTAGTTGAACCGGTCAACCAATGCCTCCGCAAACTCCATCGGAGTAGCAAAGAGACGGAATGTAAGATAGAAAGTCGAGACAAACATGGCGTCTGGAGTCGACTGATGCGCTGTGAGCTTCTCAACCAAGGCCCGTAGACTGCCACCCATCACCTGACCATCCTTGAAGATCAATTCATGGGCATAAGTCTTTTCCAACAGATTGGCCTCCGTCTCCTCACTCTCCTCAGCCAAAGTTGAGTGGCTCACACTACCTTTGAGAGACGGAACCTGGGAGTGACTGCAAATGTCAGGGGAGGTAGCCCGGGTAGAGGTCTGAGACACTCCACTCATTTCCGAGTCACGGAGATGGCTATTGTAAGTGAAGCTGCTTCCGTTGCTCGTTATGCCGCGGCCAAATGACTCACTGACCTCGGACTTGGGTTGACTGTTGCGATGGAAGGAATCTGCAGGAGCAATAACATCCAGTGGGGAGGAATGGAAGGACGGCTTCTCGAAGCTGGAAGACAACATGGAGGATCGGAAAGAGGATTGCTCGGTAGCAGCGGTAGCAGGAGTAATGGCACCGCCCCGCGATTGGAAGGAAGAGGGAGTAGCATCATCGGTGAGGCCTGGGGTGGAGGGAGAGGAGTGGGTGTTGGACTGAGGGATTTTGAGAGGAGGTGGGGGCAGCCGAAGGTCCTGGGGTCGAGTTTGCTCGCCCGCCACATCGGGTGTCCGCTGTGGCTGTGGGGTAGCCTTCTCATCGGGTAAAGTGCTATTCAGAGTAATGACAGGATCCTGGGGGAGGGCCTCGAGCTCAAAGTCCCCGCACTGCTCCAGCACAAGGCGTGCTTTGGCCATGCAATTCCCAGCTGCCCGCACGCAATCAGTAGCTGCATCCACGAGACGCTTGCCTTCATCGGGCATAAAAACTAGCTCATCATCCGGCGACTGAGCCGGTCGAAAGGCATCACGGGCAGCAAAGACGAGTTCGGACAGGCGTTCATACATGGTGTCGCGGGCTTGCTCGAGAAGATCACATCCTTGTGGATCATGCTCACAAACCGCTTCAATAACCGTCAGCAGGCCGCGACACGATCGTACAGCTTGCTCCGTGGTCACAACCAGTTCCGCTGAGGAGCGGGATTGCAGATGGAGGCCAATAAAAGAGCCGAGGACTCCGAGGAACTCATCGTATGTGGCAGTAAGGCGTTCAGAGGCGAGGTTTGGGTTTCGAGCCGCGGCGGCGGCAGGGCCGGTGTAAGATACTCGGTGAGAAACAGAGATGCGTTTGGTTGTCATCGACATAGGGCGGGGCTGCTGCTGCTGCTGCTGCTGCTGCTGCGCGTCAAACGTTTCTATCCGGGTTGATGCCCGACTCATATCCATTCGACTACGGTTCAAGAGCCTGGACTCATTCCGCTCTGTGCCAACTTCGGAGGGAGTTCCATCGGACATCGGAAAGGTCTCAGACCCCGGGGTCGGTGGGATATCATTGTGAGCAGATTGCTGTTGCTGCTCGAGTTCGGCAATGGTCCTGCTCAGACCAACTTCCTCGTTCCAGACATCGAGGAAGCGAACGCCGCGAGTTACGATGCTAAAGCCTTTAAGCAGCATCTCATCGACCATGTACTCGACTTCATCTTCCATGGCCTGTCCGCTGGCGATCTCCTGGAATTTTTTCGTCGTCCTTACTAGCGAGGAGAGGTCAGCCAAGAGAGCCTTGCGATGGCGTCGTAGACCATCCTGGCTCTTCACCAAAGGAGAGTCACGTGTCAGACACTCGGATTTATCCTGCGTATCTTATTAGTCTTTGGGTTGCTTTGTTTGATAGAGTACCGTCGAAACGAACCAAAAGAAATCGGACTCCAGCAATCAACCCTCTTACAAGGTCCTGGTTGCCAAAGTCTACCAAGGGGGTTCCGCAACCCCCACGAATAATATCCCAAAAGTCAGTCAATGCCTTTAGGAGATGGCGCATAGGGAGCTGGTCGTACGCCTCGCAATAGTTCGTGGGTAGCCAGCCCCGAGCGCCTGTGTCCAGAAGAGTGCCATCGGCCCAGCCATTGGTGTGAACAGAATGCACCAAGATGATATCGCCTTGATCCAGCGGTAGAGTTACTGTAGAGGGAGAAACATCTCCCGCAGGGTGGAAAGGATAGAAAGCACGGAGATAGTTGTGAAACACCGGCCTAGGTGGTTCCGAACGATCCATAATGCCGTCGTGGGCGGTGCTGCGTGGCGTCAATGGGGGAGTAATCTGACGCTCGTTCTGAGGCGAATGGAAGCGATTCGAGGCGGTGTTCAGGTTAGAATTTATTTTTTCGATCTTCAAAGGCGCAATATGGGGCTTCATTTGATCCATGTCTTGTTCTAAGTATATAATTATAGAAGCAAAAGCGGTCGATAAATCAACCTCGTCGGACGCAGAGGTCACCGACGACCAGTGTTTAGGACAGAGACAGCCCAGTAAGCATCCTTATCCAGGTCAAAATACTCAGGAACACACTTGAAAGGCGAACTTGTTGGGTTGAGCGAGCTGTATAGATAGAAGAAGTGGAATAAAGAGTGGTTGAAGATAGTACCCAGTGACAGTGGAACCGGCAGCACTGTGAAGAATGAGATGTCAATCATGATGTTGTTTCCCTTCCACCCATGGGGGAGGAGGCAAATGTTTTGCAGGGTTCCTCGGTGCGCATCACTGGGGGAATGCCGGATTCTAGGGCGGGTGGAAAGAAAGGAATGCTGGCTCACGTACCTATAGAACCGAAATTCCAAAGAGGAATGAGCAAGAAGGAGAACGAGCGTAGCTGGAGTTATTCCAGAGCTTTTCTTTTGACCAAACACGTTCCTGATGCCGGATCAAAACGAGGTCCTGGGCCAGTGTCGACGGGCACGAGCACGGGGAATTGTTGATGGGTGAAAGAGGGATGCTGAATTACGTCGATTCGGATGAATGGAGTCTAATTGCAATCCTGCCTCCTCCCAAAGGGTCGTGGTGGTAACTTTTTGGTCAAGCAAGGACCGCACGATGGTCCTAGTTCCCAAGCTTTCGAGGACCCAACCAAGCAAAACAAATAGCAGCTCTTCTGACCAGATTTCGAAGCGGGTCGATTCGAATGCAGAGAGCAAATAACGAAGGAAGGAGGAGCACAGGGCCGTTGCTGGGACGAAGGGGAAAATTAGTGTTGGTGAAATAATAGTAGATACAAGAAGCTCGCAGCAAGACAAGCAAGGGCCGCGCGGGAGTCGCAAGACACACACACAAAAAAAAAAAATAGCGGCAGAGGAAGGAATGCAGAGTTAAGCAATTGCAGAATGAATTGCTACCAGCAGCAATGAAGGAATGACTGAAGAAACAGGACTGGTCCACTTGGGCCGTATGAAGGGAAAGGAAGGAAAGGGGAGAAAGGGAGATGATCCATAGGACTCGAAGGAGGCAAAGAATAATATAACTAGAATAACGGGACTAGACGAACGAACTAAAAGACGGGAGAGGAGACAATGTGATGATATGAGGGGAAATGAACTAGATACTAACTAACCGTCGTCAATAATAAATCAGTGTCTAGACGGGAGTTCTCGAGGCTAAGTTAGCACGCCGAGTCTAGTCGTTCTGTTATCCACTTCCACTTTGTATGCTGAATCCGAACCAGAGGAGAATGAGGAAAGAAGGGAGAAGATAAGAAAGAATAATAGAATAGAATCAAATGAAGAGATCCCCTCTTCTACTCTCCATGATCTGTCAAGTCCGTACAATCAAATACTCTCTCTTAGGAGAGCAAGTTTGAAAAAAAAAAGAACAGCTAACCTTTTTGTTGACGATCTGCCATCACATCAGCCACTGTGATTTTCCTTTTTCTTTTCCTTTTCCTATTTTTCTTTTTTTCTCTTTTTTAATATATATATTTTTTTAATATTTTTGGCTTTTTCCTAAATAACAAAGAAAAGGGACGAGAGAAAAAAAAAAAGAAATATTATTTATGGAGAACCACTCGTTCTCCATATTGGGTAATTGGGAGCAGTTTCCAATCTCCTATACTGTACACAATCCTCCCACTCTACTCCGTATACTACCTAGGTATGGATAGTACTTTGTACAAACCTGCTATAAGGACTCTCTGTTCATATGATCCAGATTGAAAATCCGGAAATCAACCAATACAAGAAGAGAGAAGAGGAAATGTGAACAAGCTGCAGCTCTAAACAGGGGTTATGTTTTAGTGTAGAAAATCAATATAATAATAATAATTTCTAGTATTCTCTATTAATTAATTAATCATGAATTCCAGATTATTATTTCTATATTAATATTTCTATATTAATCTTCTGTATTATTCCAAGTTTCCTGGTAAGCTAATTCTCATGTCTTCCATATCTTAACATTCCTTATTATTAACACCCACCAGTCTAACTCTACACTGGAATATATTCATTTTTTTCTTTGCTTTTCTTTTTTTTTTTTCAAAGATCGACGACGCAGCAACCGTACCTTGGTGGATAATAATAATAGACATGATAGACACCATTTTCTGACCTGTCGCCTGTCTTAACTCTCGATCTCGACCTGCTCCTAGTCGGTGCGACTCCGCAGCACAGAAACTAGACCCTCGATGTCTTGTCCTTGTCGACTTTAGTCCGGATTTAGTCCCAATGCACTGACTCACCACGTACTTTTCTTTGCTGGTTCTTTCATTTAATGGAAACCTGCCAGTCGGGTTGTCTTCCTGTTGGGATTTCTAGACGTCATATTCCTGTGTCGGCAAGTGGACACTCATTTGTCCTTGAGTATCCATTATCTGTCTGCCTTGGGTATGTGAAGGGGGAATAATGCTCAATTTTTAGATCGGGTGTCCTAATTTGGTGTATATAGGTATATATATATATATACTCCGGAGGGTCTGGTCTAGATTCTTTCAGGCATACACAAAGTACTCTCTGTAGCCTTGGGCTGAACTTAACAAACACAATTACGGAGATACCGGGGTATCCTGTACATTCTAGTAGGCTAGCAGATGCAGCATAACTGGCATAACCTGGACCCTTTGATTATCTTCGGTTGGAGATGTCGTTAGTATCATCATATAGCTAGTATATATAATACATATCTCTGTGTAACTTCAGCTTCGCGACCACATTCACACCAGATCAAGTCAACCAGATCTCACCAGCTCATGCCATATCAACTAAACCTCTCCTGTATATACCGATATAGTTACTCCGTACTTGGAGTACTAATCTACGACGCAAGGAATGAATGTCCATGCCCTGGCAACGCCCTGCTACATGCAGAAGGGTATCCGACCACTGCCATCATGCCATGATACAGGAATGGTATGCCAGACCCGTCCTCCGTGTGCATAGTGGACTGATATCATCACTCCGTCTCCCGCTGCCCCGTGGAGCCTCTTCCCCCACCCGGGTCACTGGAACTCCCGATCTCGAGGTTCTGGGACGAGCATAAACACCTACTTATCTGGACAAATTACATCTCCGACAGAAGCAGCCCTAAGTAAGAGCTACAACGGACCCGATTGGCTAGGCGGTGCATTCGGGGAGATCCATATCAACCGCCATCTTATTTGATGATCCCATCCACACCCGCCGGCTCCCTCTCGAGTTAATTGCTGGATTTACCATAAAGAGAGAAAGATCTGCCCGTGTTTTGGACTCCTGGCCCAAATACGGTGCCGCAAAGAGCTGCCCTCAAATAGAGTTTGCCTCTCCAATCTGCCTAAACTGGACTTGTGAATTCCGAAAAGCTGGCTGTGCTGCGGAAAACACTTTTGTCAGTCATTGATAATCAACATCCACCATCCCAAGGTTATTAGAATACGGACATAAACTTATCGATCAGGCAGATGTCACTGCAACCCCGACGTCATTCTTCGGGTTGTTCTCAGTACTTCATCCGTGCTTCTCGTACGAGAGGCCTACGAAGGACCAAAGATGAAGTAGTGAAAGGAATGCAGCGAGGAATAACTCAAGCGGTTTGAGTTGGATCGGAGTTCACGTAATGCCATTTCGAGCAAGCGCGGCAACCAATGGAGTTTTTCTAGATCCACTGGGGCTCCGAGTTTTCTCCAGGAAGGTAGATGATTGCCAATTTGGAGGTTACCAAGAACTTCCCTTTCTTAACCAGTAGTAGTTTGCCTACTAGTGGTGTGAAAGAAAGCAAAATCCGACCGACAGAGGCGGGAGGGAGACAAAGGGACGGTTGACTTAATTTCGTCGCGCTCTCGTCTTGTGGGACCAACTAAGGCGGGATTCCGGGGAGGCGAACTCGACCATCGACGGCATCCCAGGTGATCAATAGAGGTAGGTATGCCGCAAAAGGGGCATCGAAAGGCCCAAATCGTGGGGTCCGCGGGCATAAGGCGCGTTGCCACCAGGTGAAATTTCAGAATGCGAGCTGTCACGGTGTCAACCAACGTCAAAGAAAGGGAAATATGACAGATCATCCACGTTGGCGCTGCTCTATCGAAGCGATCGGGGTAATAACAGGCGGGACGAGGGCTGTCGTATCTTTGATGCGAAAGAAGCTTGTCCAGCGTCCATCCAACAAAAAGAGGGTTGAACGTTACCTGCCGCCAAATCGAGAGCAGGGATTGAACTAGGATGAAGGAGGTAATTTAATGAGGATTTAGGCTGCTAATAACCTATCTAATCGGGCGTACAAAACTCCTCTTCCTATTTGAGGGATATATGAAGTTATTCTCTTTGTAACTCGTTGAGGACCACCGCACGTGCTCAAAGTTGCCTGCAGGTGTCAACTGCTGGGGACATTAGCACTAAAACTACTACAACTACTACAACTACTACTACTACTACTACTACTAGCTTACCTTCTACGCGTCTTTCGACTTAGCTCTGGAATTGGATGCTAAGAAGCTTGTACTTTTGTCACCCTTGACTTTTGATTCATCGAAACAAAGACACGGTCCGTCCTAAATTAATTAACCCGTCCTCCCGAGTACTGTTATCGGATTATCAAGCTAATACAAGAATCAAGTGAGGCAGAACATTCCACGTCCTATGCCGTAGTTGGCGACGGCTTTCCACCCCACTAAGTCTGCCGTCTACTATGGTTCTTGAGGCATGGGATGATGGACGGAACTGACATTCAACTTCTGGAGGAATCCGGATGTTCGATGGTCATCCTCGTGCGCCAGGGAAGATGTCAGCCCATAGGGACCCCATCCCGTGTATCGGCCCCACCGACAGGGGGGATTTATTAAAAATTAATTAAGTGATGGTATTTTGGGCACGCATCTTTACTCTCCCCTGTCTTAGAACGGAGTAGCTAACGGTTTATCAGGGGTAGGTAGGCTCCAGGCATATTCAGGCACATTCAGGCATTAAGGCATTGCTGTTCTTTTTTTTTTTTTTTGAGAGGTCTAATCATGTGGTGGTTTACCTGCTTTCCGGTGTCTTTTGTCCACACTGGTCTATCAAATATCTTTAGGTCATGAGGTTCAGGGAGCGGTTGTGCGATTTTCGTTGTCGTCATACTTTGCACATCACTGGAATCGAAATAGGAAGAACCAGGGACTCTTGAGATCTGACTCCATCATGAGAAATCCACCGCCGGCGTGTTTCATCCCTCATCCACCGGGTCCACAAAAGGAAGAAAATGAGTTTCTCCCTGAACCTTTTATTCGTACAGAACCATCCTCCGTCGATGCGATTCTGATCAAATCTTGATAGTCTCAGGAACCGTGGCGTCCAGGTATGTGGTTCATCCATATTGTCGGTAGTCGGTAGTTGGTACTAGGCTGTAGTATAGGTGAGGATTGAGCAAACCCCGACCGCATTCGGCATTGAACTTGATGTTTCCTTCTAGGCAATGGGGCAACCCCATTACAGGGAACAGGGCTTTGCTTGCAAGGGTCTCAGCCGTACATGAATCAATTCTGCTGTCAAACAAAAAAAGGTGGTCTCCGAAGTGACAGCTCCATCATGAACTCACGGTCACGGTCCCAAGTCAAACAGCATCCCGTCTTTCGTCCACTTTTCGTCAAGTCGGCAGATCGAATCCCCAACAGACAGGATGTGGATTCTGGTGGAGCCTCTGCGAGAGGTGCCTAGGTAGGAATGAGCCAGTAGTGCATCCGTGAAGCCCAAAATATAATCCATTAGCCAGACTTGCGTGGTTTAGTCCGGAGTAAACACATTCGCCATCCGGCTGAAGAACCGTCAAAGCCGTAGTAGCTCGTTGCCTCCAAAATTTTTGGCCCCTCAACTGTGCTGCGTCAATATCTTGCATACAGAGTATGCAATTGTGCACTGGCTTCTTTTCCTCTCTACGACTAGTAGAGATGGCGAAATAGCGCGACAATTTTTGTCCAGTCACTGAGACAAGACTAACAAGCAATCACGGCGTCCTCCCCGGGGTCTGTTCCCATTGGCCCTAAATCGTCCAATCCTGAGATTCTGCAAGCCTACTCCTTCGGGCTGACCTTCTGGTCTTCCGTCCAACGGGGGTGCCCAGAGAACGAATCCTCCAGGCCATGGGGCCCGGCCAGATCTTACTCGTTCTTGTTTCCCCCCTCCTTTCAACATTCGAGGCGGCCTGGCCTGACTTTGGAGGAACGAGGCAGGATCAGATTCCTGGATAGGAGATTGTCCCGAGCGATCAACGACGCGTTGTGATGCGGATCTTATTGTTATCCAGCCAAGGGTTGCACGTTCCTCATCCCATCCCTTCAGCCAGAATGGTCCGGGGAAGATAGTACTTATCTCCTTGTGCTTTGACCACAAGAAAACTATTTTTATTGGGCAAATATATTTCCATCACACTATCACACTCATTACTTCGTGCATCTCTTGAGTGTTTCGACGATTCATCAATCAAGTGGTCTGTCCTGGCGAGCACGCGTGATAATTGGGAAATGGGAAGTTTCTGTTAAGCTTAAGCGCCCTACCGTGGCCCTCCCTGTCACTCGTGCCGGCACCGAACCTTTTTTCTACTCTAAATTCCCCCAGTGCTCGAATCATCGTTCACGATAGCAGGATTTCATTCCACAGCAGTCACACCGCATATCATTGCGGACAGGAAAAATAAGCCCTATCAAGCTGACTCCATGATCGCGGCTTTCCCCTGATACCTAGTTGTATACCAGACAGGAGAGGAGTTAGAAAGAGGAAGCAAGTTCTACGTCCAACACACCATGTTTGATCTCGTGATTACGATCCATTTCGATGCAGACGCACGGCGCAGACGCAGGCGCATGCAGGCCGAAAGAACAGACATTCTCCGCACCCTCGCGCTGCGGCCGACGGCTTGAAAATGTGCAACTGATTTCGAGATCTCGCAATATGCTCTCAATTCCTCAGTGCTTGCTTGCCACGGGACTCCGCAATGATCTGGAGGCTCGCCGGAATACGACATGGACCCATAACATCTATTCTACACCTTTATCCGGAAACTTGGCACCGAAGCAAAAAATCGAAAAAGGAAAGCAATAGCGCCCCCGTCACCCCCGTCACCCCCGACACCGGAGGCTATTTTTCCTCCATCAGCTCCTCAACATTGATATCGTTCTTCCACTCTGCAAGTGTCACAGACAAACATTATCCCCATCAGCCAATAGCATAACTTTCGCATACTTACTCCAGAAGCAGCGCTGCAGCAGTAGGCACAAAGGTACTTACTTCACCCACCTACATCATGGCACAGATTACTGCCGACAGGGAATAATTTTTCCTGCTTATCAATCTCCTACCTAAATCGGCTTAGAAAAAAAAACAAAAACAAATATATACTGCATATCAAGAAGCAAACTACATCTGTAAAAAAAGAAAGGTGCTGGAACTGGGGGGGAAGAACACATCCTGCAGAAATCTGTCTTATATTTTCTTTCCCTTGACCTTGACCTTGTCTTCCCCTACAGCTGAAATCGAACGTTACTAGTCCCTCCAATCAAAAGACCGATCTGCATATTCCTGTTGACATTTCCACCGTCGCAACGCGGGTAATCCCGTTCAACCAGTAAGCATCCAGGAGAACAGACTATACTTGCTAGTGAACTACCTAGAGACCAGCCTGGCCTACCAGGTGAGTTTTCTTTATTTTCTGTTATTTTTTTTTTTTTTTTTTCACGTGTAATGTGATCCAACATGCAGCCAGCGGAAGCGAGCTGCTATACTTGCGTTTTCTTGCTTCGTAGAGTAATTGCCCCGAGCCCATGCTTTAGGTACGGAGTACTGGAATTTAGCTTCCTGTGCGCTGCGGTACTAGGAGGCTGGCTGGAGCCCTATGCTGAGCAAGGATTAGAACCTAGGTAGGTAGGCGAGGCGAGGCGAGGCGTATACTCTGTACCTAGGTAGGGTGGAGGGTGATAATGACTGGCTAACCAGGGGTTATTTCAATTTTGATCCTGCTTGTGCTTTCTTTCTGGTATACGATGTACCTACATTAACTATGTCTAATGATAACCTCTCTGCATGTCTTAAGTTTGCTTATAGACATACGATACAATATAGATAGATAGTTTGAATCAATCCATCCCTATGTATTTCTAAACTAGAATTTTAACCATACAGTTATTATTATCCCTGTTCTCCTCAAGATCACTACATACATCCAAACCCTCCATTCCATTCCATTCCAGCTCCCACATTCCAACACCTACCTACCTACCTACCTACATACACAAATTGCACAGAATCGCGTCAACCCCTCCGCTCCGCTCCTTAGTAGAAACAACCCTATATATATATATATATATATATTATATACGTATTACCTGGATATCTCTTAACTTTACAAAGTATATATCCCTCTCATAATTCCATCCTTTCTCCTAATCACCAACCCACATACCTACATCCATATCATATCTACTACATCTACGTCTACGTTGCGTTTTACATCGACTATATATATAGTATATATATATATATCTATTACTCTTCGATCCAAAATGAAGCTCTCTCTTCTCCTCACCACTCTTACTCTCTCCTCTCTCGCCCTGGCGGCTCCAATCCCAACCCAGTCCCCACGAGCCTTCAATCCGCTGGCGATTGCGAATACGTTAGTTCCGGGGTCGGGCGTGCCCGAGGCATTTCAGAAACTGCAGGGGGGGTTGAACTTCTAGGGTAGGTAGGTTGGTGTGTGCATGCGAAAAAAAAAAAAAAAAAAAAAAAAAGGCTGATTGTTTGGATAATAATGTAATGTAGTGGTAGGATGGGGGAGGGATGTTGGTTATGTGTTGTTGTTGTTGTTTAAAAAATAAAAAAAAAAAAAATTTTTATTCACTTGTACATTTAATCAGAATTCAAAGATTATTTATTGAAACATCCCCTCCATGTCTAGATCGAGAAACTCGGGGTTCATGTCTGCTGCGTTTAGCACATCGTCGATACTCGGGTCGAGTCCTTCGTCGGAGGTATCGAGTCCCATACCCTCCATCCCTGCCATCCCTGCCATCCCTTGTCCGCTGTCCATGCCGACCGCCGCCGCCGCATTGTCCATGATTTGGTTGATGTTGGCTGTGGCATGTTGGGCTCCTGTGCCGTCTGCCCCCGACGTGTGGAGACCCATTGGTGCCGGGGTGTCCACGCCTAGCTGCATGTTCTGAATGATATTGCTCATATCTAGGTTCGTGACCTGGGCCGGTGGGGTCATCAATGAATTCACCCGGCGGTAGAGTCGCACGATCACCTCCGCGCGCAAGGGGTCCTTCTCGGACATTTTCGGGACATTCTCGTGCTGTAAGTTGAGTGCGTCTCGGAGAGTGAGGATCGGGGTCCGGGGGACTGGCTCCTTGGTAGGATCCACTGGGTGGTGATTGTTTTGTTCCACAGCGAATGATTCCGCAAGTGGCGCACACACAATAGTTGCGGCTACATCCAGTGCGAGGTCGCCACTACCTGCCTCGCTTTGCAGCTTCAATTCTTCCAGCAGCGAGTTGAATACACGAGGCGCTCCCAACATCCGAATACCGGCAACCACTTGGCGGTGGGTGTAGGAAAGGGGTGCCATGCTCACATCGGGACTAGTGCTCCAGAGGACAAGTGATTGAAAGGTACTTCGAATGCTACCTAGTAAGCCGCCCGGGGAGTGCGTGGTCCAGCTTTCAAGCTCTGACCTACGGCAGCTGCCGGTTCTCTGGAAAGAAAGACATGGTTCAAGGGCGTCTAGAATAGGCTTGATATCCATCCGGGACGGATGACGAGCCCGAACATCTTTGAGCTGTTCCTCAAGAGAGCGTGCGGTGATATTCAGCACAGTCAAGTGAATTTCCCTTGCTTCACCTGATATTGAACTAGGATTCACCAGCGATTGCAATGTTTTCAATGGGATTGTAGGGTCTTGTTCACTCTCCCAGATGTGGTTGCCCAGCCAAGTCAATGCAAAAACAAGCGATGGAAGTAGGAAAGGCTCAAGTAGATCTACAACTGTCAGTGATGGAAATGCGTCATACATAAACACGACTTACATTCAAAGCCTCCTTTGAGGGTATCGAATTCGAGCTTCCCGGCCTCGCATGCTCCAAGACTTTGGTTAAAGAGTGTGGAAACAAGCATGTAAAATTCCTGCGGACTGCAGGCGGACATGGTTTCTTCACTGATTCCTTCAGCAATAAAAAGAGCCGCTATCCATTCTCCCAGGTTTTTGTTTTGTTTTTCATTAAGTTCGTCCAGCTTCTGGCAGCACGAGCCACGTTCTATTAGCCTCAGAACGAAAGAGTTCTCGCTCGTGATACCTAGATCAAATGGCCGTAGGTCATATCGGTATTTGAAGGTTAACACCAGTAGCAAAATGCTTCCAAATTCATCATACACCGGCTGACTCTCGCCTTGGTCCTCGTCCCAGTGCCACGAATCAAGCAAAGCGCAGAGTGGTTGAAGCACTTGTTTTGGACTTCGGAACAGTAAAATTACATCCAGAGATTGAGGTCGGCGCGAGAGAGAGTTGCAAATGTTCTTTAGTGTCATTGTCTCTCTTTGGTTGCAAAGGTTATGCATGACCTTTCGTTGTCAGTACTAGGATAAGAGAACAAGTTGGAGGGGAAAAAAAAAAAAAAAAACCTACCTCTGTGATGGCACCAACAATTGCGCTTGCGTTGCCTTCTGTGGACTCTATATCACTGATTAATTGCTCTGCACGTTCAGGATTGGAAGTTATTTGCGACACAAGGTCATCTTTGATATATGGCCCGCCAACAGGAAGGGTCTGCATGGGGTTTTCTCCCAGGAGCCTCTCAATGCTAGATTCGGGAATCAACTTGTGTGACGCACACGAGAACAAAAACTCTTGTCGCACATCAGACAACACCGTGTTGCCCTGCATGGAAAACATTTGCGAGAACGATGGGAAAGCGTTTGGGTCAAGACGGCTCAGAGCATGGCTGATACACACCTCCATTGGTAATGACACCATGGAGACTGTCAACATGGCAGCGAAGAAGGTAGGCAGCTTATTGACGAGGAACGAACGGAACAAGAACATTGTTCGGCCGGATTCGTTGCGGTACATCGCATTAGATAGAACATCAAATGATGCCGTTATAACCTCCTCGATAAGGACCTCATAATGTCCCTGAGTAGATTAGTAATTTCCGGAAGCAGGTTTCGATGCAACTTACTCCATAGCGATTGGTAAGATAGCTTAGCAGGATGCTATCATCAACCAATGGACGGCCGAAAAGCTAAAATGTCAGAACGCCCCAAATCCAAGGAATGAGACAAGACATACCATCGAGTTTATATATACGTAGAGACCGGCTCTGGAGCTTATGACAGGCCCATCTATCACAGATGCCTCAAATTGAAGGGCATTCACATGGACATTATCCATCATAGACACTTCCAAGGACTTGGACTGTGGTTGCCCGTACAGACTGAACTCTTTTTGCAAGCTATCCAGTCTATTTCGGAGGGGGAGCGATACTTCAACACAGAGAGGAAGATACGCTGAAAGGGCCTGCCCAAGTTGGATCTTCAGGGCTAAAATGTCAATTATCGTTAGCAAGATATATTGAAAAAAAAAAAAAAAAAAAACAACAACAACAAATGGAATTACCTTCGTGAGAGTCCGCAGAAAGAACTTCCAATCCCTTGGCAGTCCCAGACAAAGCAGCAAGCAAGATGCCCAGAGACTCAAACAGGAGAACAGCATCCGTAGAGCTCATCAGCCCACCTGTTTGCTGACTTGGGTCTATATGATTGTTGTGCCAGGAAACAACTGCTTGGATCCAGTCTACAGCCGCGGAAAAGGTATGGATAGCCTCTGTTAACGTCTTCGTTGCGCTTCCCGTGGAGACGGAAAGCATTGCATCCTGGATAACTCTGATATCGGTCATGAGAGTGTAGCATTTTGAATTCTTCTTCAACTGGTTCGCATCTGCCCCAGGCGATTGTGGCTTGTCATGGATGGATGAGAATTTTAACAGGGAAGTCAAGGCGGTTGAGATCTGGACCTTTCCCATCTTGCACAGGCAGTCGACATACAGGGGAACGAGTGGATCCCACTTGATCCTAGTGAACAGACGCGTTTCCAACAAGGTATCAATAAGAGCCCATTCGGTGATGGGAAACCGTTGCGATAACAATTTGGTCAAATCCCGAAACTCTCCAGCATCAACCCGATCAATTAGACATCGGTGGAGGAAGATCCCCCATTGTTCAGCGGATCCCATGTTGCAGCAAATTCGGCCGTTTACCCCTGGCCACGGGGGGCATGTCATATATATAACAGAGATTGCTCAAGTTTTATAACCGATTTCGTGATTTCGAATCCAATGTTGGGCATTTCGCCCTGTTGGCCATTGAATGTCGATCATTCACAGTCTTTGCGGATTGTTTGGTGACAAACAGCGGATATCACGTGATCTTACACAACAATATCACATGACCACGATTTTCCCAACCAATCAGCAGACGAGAATTTCTTCGATGGGACTGCTTACTACGGCCTGAGGCATTCAACGAATCTATGAATCTAGTTTTCAAGTCTCTCGACTTCTTCTATCGGTACGTATTCGAATGGGAGTGAACCAGAGTCCGCACTGGACGAGAAGTTCTTCAAAGCCATGGACGCCTTGCATGTAAGTCCACCAGTAGATTTCCAAGAGCACGGATAGCGAAGCAATGAGGAAGAGGTTCGGTGAATGAACCTTTGATATATAGAGCTTTGTCGAGCCCAAAGTGAATTTCGTGACCTCATTACTAGACGATATGAGTTTGGTAAAGATAAGATTAATTATATATGTAATAAAGTCATCCTTAAATAGGGCAGTCTTCCAAGATACTTAACTTCTTAGGTACGGTTAAGTTGATGTCTAGAGCACACAAGGTGTTGTCAGCCAGTCACTGTGGCGACCGCGCGGGCGAGGCGGCTAGGGAAATTACTATTTTCAGGATAAATAGGGAATATATGACTTGGATTCTGGATCTATTCATGTACTTGACTTTAATTAGTTTATTGGAGTTGCACCGCACTTGATGAATGGATTTATTTCGCGAATCTATCTGGCAAACGCAGCATGCTGACTCAGAGGATTGATGATTTTCAGTTCGAGGGAATAGTTAGTTAGTTAGGTGGAGATGTGTCTGATATCAGCACTTTCAAAGAAATGGGCAACCCTTCCTGTCGCGGGTTATTTTATGTGGTCAAAGGAGAACCGTGTTCTCTACCAATCATCTGGATAATTTAATCAAAAAAAAAAACTATTCTTCTCATTCTATGAGCCTCGTGGGTTTGACAAGGATAAATTTAAGATGGGCAAGGCAGGTTCGCGAGCGAGCCAAGCGAGATCTTACAGCGGCGGCCATCTAAAACTTTTGCTGATTACATGGATATTGTGCTTGTACAAATGCAGAGTACATAAAGAGAGTTAAATGCCTCATTCGTGTTTGCATTCGCTCAACTTGGTATCCTTGACAGACCCGAACTGAAGTACAACTCCTGTATATATATACTATAGAGTATACATAGAATGATATCCACACAACCGTCAACGTATGGGCTACAGCCGACGGAGCAATCGTTCGTCTTTCTCAATCGACGAAGTTACGAAGTCTGGATCGAAACTCCAGACTCGGGTGGGGTGTTGCAGGACGCGCCAGTTCAACGGTGTACCACTCACTCGTACTTATCAGGTACTGTACGGATACTGTACAGGACAGAAACAAACTGCTGTCTGTTCGCCTTATCTCAAGACGAGTGTTGGCGTAAAATAGTTACCGTCATCCGATGACTCATACAGATCCCAAGACAGTTAACTAAATTCATAAATACTACTTTACTGTACTCCGGACCTAGGTACGGTACTACGTACTTGGTAGTTCGAGATCTAGGTTGTGTTGTGTGTTATCTGGCTGGCCGCTGGCACTCTGCCGATCGCCTCCACCCCGATTTAGACTAGAGAGATCGGACTGCGAGTGGGTTCATAGTACTAGTCTGTACAGAGTGTATGTATGGTATGGTATGATACTGACATCGCAGGGCTCTCCTGTCTTTGTCTTTTAAGTACTCCGTACCTGTACAGTTGAGTAGAGATAGACAGACAGATGTAACAAGATATGTCCGAAGTGCGAACGGCTCCCAAGCAGGCTGTCAAACTCAATTCCCCGAAACGACGACCAACGAGATTCCAGAGTTGACGTCTACTAGGAGTCTGAGATTTCTCAAACGAACTGAGTACTAGTTCCAAGTTGCCACCCATTGCAGACTCAGAGTATGGATTACGATGACCCATACGCACTCCACCTTGGGAACATGTTCCTCGGTAAGCAGGCCGACTGACTACGCAATCAATAATGAGTAACTAAATTATATGTACTTTTTTTTCTCAAATAGAGAAACATGTATACATACATATAGACATTCCTACAGTTAGGTAGGTAGTACTTGTATTTCCCAGACTGATGACAAGGATAATATTGATCATATCCCTACGAGATTAATTTATTCTCTCTCTATACATAGTTCTAGGTATCTCCTAGCAAGAACCCTGGATATAACAATGACCAATCTATCAATATACTAACTAGTTAATATAGTTAACAATAGCACAACATATAATAAACTTATAAAGCACATCTACCCATAGTTAGTTAATAACAACCTCCTAACTCAGTAATCATGCCAAAAGTAGTAAATGCAACATCACTCAACATACAAATATAGAATATAGGCTACAATTAGGGTTTCACTTGGTATATTCAAACCTTGATAATAATAATAGTAGGGTAGTAGTAGTAGGATAAAAGGTAGACGGCCGACTAAGAAAGACAAGCATCATGATACCACGACCTAGGTAGTCTACATACAGTCCTTGCCTACTTACTTGTTCATCCCGAGTACTCCGTACGCAACCTTACGGAGACGGCTGAAGTTTGACCAATCTTTATTCCTGGTAAATATATATATATATATATATATATATTTCAACTTTAAACTGTGTGTTGTACGGAGTACATAGTTAGTATATTCTTCACTAGAGTACTTTATTTTATCTAGTAGAAGAACAGGAGAGAGAGAGAGAGAGACTAAATTGGAATTATAGATTATAGCAAGCAAACTCCGTTGACGGATTCCGTAAACGTAGACATATTCAGGCTCTAGTTAATGACCTGTCTAGCTCCTTAACATAAAAAAGAAAGAAAGAAGAAGAAGAAGAAGAAAAGGGGCTCGGGTTTGTCGGGCATCGGGCAGTTTCAGAGTTGAGTACGGAGTACTCAGTACAAGTGTTGGAAGATTTAGGATGGTTTCATAATCAGTCACAAGTGCTGTTACCTACCTAAGGGGAGGATTTTATCTAGGTACCTGGTACTCTATGGATCTGATTGTTGATGTCTGTTGTGAGTACCTAATCTTTGTGTTGTTTCACTTGGTTTGGTAACAGGTACTCCATATCCATACTAGTACGTCCTACTACTATGAAGCACTAGGCAGATTATATCTCTAGGATTCTACGATGTGGTCCGTAGGCTAATGGGTCCGTGATTCAGCCGCGCCATTGATATCGAATTCTCCAGAAAAACTTAGTTCAGGCGCACGAGGGTATCAGAACAGGGATGCCGTATTTTATATGTATTTACATATGTTGTACATATCTATATATACTTCATATTATAATTCAAGTGCTTTCTATCCGCAGTTGAAGCCCGAATAACGCCTTGAACCCAACCATATCGATCAACGTAAAAACCAATGGGGAATTCTCCACTGCTCTCCCATGGAGTCACCCTTAACCAAGGCACTGTCCAAGTCGGCGGGGTTCCAGCGTCCGGCTACAAGTTGCACCAAGACAAACCAGTGGGGTCCCTGATTGCACCAATGGTCCGGACGAATGGACTTGGCCGTCCACAGGATGTTGGCTCTCCTGGTTGAACATCCAACGTATCTGCCCTAGTTACCCAATGCTCATGCTCAATCACTGAAGAACCCTAGCCATACGTGACGCTTGGATCTAATTGAATCTATCGACAGGCTGGCCAAAGACCGCACGCTCTCGCACGAAGTGTGACCTTAATATACCCATCGAGTATCTATTAATGTTAAAAACGAGAAAAGATCTACATATTTGATAGCTTTACCCCTTCCCTCATAATTAGAGAAGGGGTGGGGGGTTTAATGCATTTCCGTCTCATCGTCATCCCCCATGCCCTTGTGAATCGCAATGCCTCGGGTGTTTCCTCGCGCAGTATCAGACAGCCTGAAAACAAAGGTGGGCCCGTACAGTTTACCACGCTTGAACAGAGTAAATGATAATTCATATGATCGTTGCCTCGTGGAGAGAAAATGCCGCTTTATGGATGAGTCCACTGAACTCCGTAATACCACACCCGTGAAATTTCCATATCAGACGGGGAATATGAAAAAAAAAAAAAAAAAAAAAAAAAAAAAAAAAAAAAACCCTAAGGCAGTCAAGTCGGGCAATTAGAAACAAACTGAGGAAAAAAAAAAACACCCGGGATCAGCCCCGGGCACTCCGTGGTCGTGATGATGACTGCGAGGATGAATCTTGTAAAGCGTCGGGAGCTCGCGGCCCAACCATCCAGTCTTCCATTGCCAGCCACTCGCTCCAGCTTCTTTCAGCAGCTTCAATTTCGGAATCCAATGGTCCTTGTAACGGGCGTAGGAATGGAATAGTCTCTAATGGGGTGATGTCGTAGTCTTTCTTCACAGAAGCCCAGCCACCACTTTTCGCAGCGAATAGATAGTTACGGCGTTCCTGTTCGTGGAGGGGCCCGATTCCGGACTGCCACTCGTCGCCAAAAAACCCCTGAAGCACTCCAGGGAAATCCATTCCGGTGGCCACCAGACGGCGAATGTAGGGAACCAGCGACACGGATGGGGGAAGATTCGTCGTTGACGAGGGACCAGACGGCGCCTCATCACCAGCGCCAGCAGTTGAAGACTGGTTGGAGGAAGAGTTCGCAACGGGATAGGGTTGTCGTTGGAATGGAAGTCGGATATTCAGAAAGGTGGACAGCGCTTGAACCGGGCTACTGTGCTGCGCATGATCTAGGAAGTAACGCTGACAATTTTGATAGCGGGGATACCATTCGAAGATGTCGAAGCTGTCACCCCCCGCACCTTGGGACGCCTCAGAGAAACCAATCATCGCAGTTGACTCTGGACGGGAGGATGGTCGTCGTGACCCAGGTGAACGGGTTGATTGAGATACGGGATGTCTATATCGAACCACATTCTTAGTGACTATTTCAATCCATTGGAGGGGGGTTTTCCTTGTTTGATGCTTGCTCGAAGCAAATCGTGAAAACGCGGAACGTCTGCGGGGAAGGGACGGAGTTAAAAAAAAAAAAAAAAAAAAAAAAAAAAAAAAAAAGAAGACAGGATTTAGGCAGTCCAGTTTATAGGGTGTTATATGCAATTGAGCCTGTAGGGGGAATTAAGGAAGGAAATAGAAGAGGGGGAATTACTTGTTCGAAAACACAGTCCTACCTCGACGGATCAGAAGAGAAACCCGACTTCGAGGAGACAGAGAAGGGGAGGGAGAGGAGCGGAACAGACTTCTTATAGCAGAGCCGAGTCCTCTACCGGGGTGAGAATCGTGTAGGGACATCTGCTAGGTAAAGCCCATCTATAGGGGGAAACAACCACAACTCATGACAAGGAAAAAGGCTGAGGTGGGAGAGAAAATGACGGCAGCGGGAAGATGATATGGGCCAGCGTTTAGATAAATGGGACCCATTTGAAGGTATGAAACAGGGTGCATGGGACATACATTGAATTCTGAAAGGAATGTAAGAAGCACAAAACAGAGAAGAGAGAGAAGAGAGAGAAGAGAGAGAAGAGAGAGAGAGGAGGTATTTTTTTTCCCACGGAAAAAAGAGAGAGGAGGATGGCGGAGTGGAAGAAAAAAAGGTAGGCTGCGGAGCTGGACTGGAGTCGACTTGTATATTTGGGAGCGACTAAAGCAAGATCGGGTCTAGGTACCCAATGATGTAATTTTTGGGGGGTGGGAATTGAAAAGTAGGAGGAGGAGAAGGTCAAGAACAATAAATATAATAGGTAGTATAAATACTTTGGGGAGACCAATAATCTTAACCTGGCAACATCAATAAATCCATAGTTACCTTAATCGAATTGATTTAGGTAGTTTCGCTACTAGTCCGGGTAGGTTTTCGGGGAGAAGCAGTAGAGGAACCTTGTATGGAGTAGGTAATTGTGTAATATTCAGATAAAAAATAAATCATTCATATACCATAATACGGACTGGAGTGAAATTTTCAATTTGTGTTTTCTCTTGCAGTTTGAATTATTCAAGTTCTTCAGGATAGATATCGCTGCAGGCGGTCTTGATGGTAGTCAAGTCAATTTTCTTAGCCTCTGGAGTTTATCATTTTGGTTCCCCAAGCAGTGAACAATGAGCAGTGAGCACCTTTCTGCCGATAGGTAGGGATATCTTTTGACATTCTACATGTGGCTTTGTTGAGTCTATCTAGACAGGAAACGAACAATTCGATCAGATCCAGTATTGTTCCCATGGTTGAGCCATGCAGTGCGGTTCCAAACTCTGCAGCCTCGATTTGCCGCTATGGCGGGTATGTAACTCTACCGACGCTTTGGTTGTAGTTCTGTATTAATCGAATTCAGGTTTCATGAGTATGGACCTCAACAAGCCCTGCTGGAGAGGTGCTGAAGCGGAATCATGATTGGTTTCTAGGAGATTCGATTATTCTATTTCTAAGCCCATATGGAAACCTAATTGAAAAGACAAAGGAGAGATGCGGTGTGAGTGGCGTTTCCTAGAAGTAACTAACCACCTGGGCACCTTTCAGTAGACATTCAGCGGTCAAGCACTACCATGTCAATACTATCCCCCCCCCTTTTGCTACCATGACTGAATCATAATAGAGCGCAGAAACCCAAACAATGACGTATTATTCAGCCTGGAATGCCATTGGACTCCCAACGCCACAGGTGAGATATTTGGTACTAATGCAAGTTCAGGATTTGGCGGGGTACAGCTTAGGGGTACCATTTCCCCTTTTCTATCCCCTTTTCTGATCAATATTAGGGGCAATGACAAGAAGGCTTCTTTATTCAGCCGAATGCTTCCAGGAACAAAGTTTGAATGGAAGGGATGTGCTTGCTAGTCAACAGTTAGGGCCTTAATTTAGCAGGTGGGAACAGCTGCAACCTGCATGTCCGCTGGAGTATATATTCAGATTCAACAGTAGCCAATGGATAGTAATTTATGTACTGTACACTGTCTAGTACTGTATGGTATAGTACTGGTAATATCCGGAAGAGTTATTTACCATCATCCTTCAGCTGTAAAACACACACACACACACACACACACACACACACACATAAAACAACTTGGAATCAAATCAACCTTGAAACTTCCCAATAATTCTGATCATGATACTCGAATTCGTGGAATATCCACCTTTCGTTTCAGTCCCTTCATCGTATCTCTATGATATTCCAATTCTTTCTTTCTTTTCTTTTTTTTTTTTTTTTTTTTCGAACGTAGCTTAGTTGGGGAAGGGGCTGGGATCAGGAAAGGTGAAATTTGCCACCCATGATCCGGAGTTTTGACATCAGCTTGAGAGTCCGCTGTAATATCAAGCTGGGTACGAAGGATTGCCGCTGTACCCGTGATTCAGATAATGCCCTGACTGGTTGAGAGTGATTGTCCAGGAACTCGACTATTTACCTAGCTCGTATCACCGCTACAATTGAAAGGGATATTCAGCCTGATGGTAAAAGGAGAGTCGTCTACTTATGACTCGCAAATGGGTAAAATATCTACGCCATATCCTAGGTAGTATCGAATAGAGCAGGGGGGGAGATGAGCGGTGTGACAAGACAAGACAAGACAGGAAACGACTGCTCTCCCTCGTAACTTCTTTGGACGTCTTTTTCTTAAACACTAGCTGTCTGGAATGCAGATGATATGCGTCTCATTTCGAGGGCCTGTCTTTTGACGTCCGTCTAGGGCTCTTCAAACTTAGGAATCGATGCTACCCTATTTGTTTTGTTTTTGTTTTTTGTTTTTTTTTTGGGGTTAGAAGCTATGGATTGTATGCATAATCAGTACGCTGAAGAGATATCGTACATTCGCTTTTGGAGCTGAAAGAGCCATGCATTGGTGCAAAGTTTACACTCGTGATGCTTTTAGATGTACTACAGGGTTGAATCTGAGCAGTCCAATGGTCGTCAATTTAACAAACCCTGCGAGATCGCCGTTGTCTATACAAATGTGCTTGGAGAGCTGAAGGACTTCGAGGACCAGGGGGGCGAGAACGAGGGATCAAGTTTGAATTATGAGCTACCGATTTCCCTTCTCTTTTCTTTTTCTGCTTGATTCAACGAGAACCAATCCATCACTAAAAGTTCAATGTGCCGCCCTCTCTCCTACCAGCTCGTGATGGGGGGGGGGGGTGATTCCAGGAATTGATTCGCATAGAGAGCCACAGGGCCGCATATTCCCTCCATTTATTCAATCAATTGTCGCTCCAATTGGCCCAGGTCAGCTGCTGAAAGAAGCATATGCAGTGCTACAGAGCTGGACGTGCATTTCGTGCCATCGTGAGCGCCCTGTTCTGCTTTGAGGAAGTGGGATCTTTCTGTCAAGCGGCTCTGAATCTGAAGGATTTGAAGGCTCGCGCTGCTGGGGAACTGTACTAGGGGCTGAGAGGAAATGATTCCTCCAAGCTATATCAAGGCACAGAATGCATCCTACAGCATAGACCAACATTCCCAATGCAAGGAATCTCGCATTGAATTTTTTTTTTTTTTTCTCATGGCGCAGAGAGGCCTCTCCAAGACGATATTAATATCAAGATTACTACCTGTCCGCACATTCATTCGCCTCATTAAAGTCAGACAGATACCAGCGCAAGGTTTACTCTTTAGCTCGGATTTTTGCATTTAGCAATTATCACTCAGCTCACCCCGCAATACGATCGCTAGAAAAAAAAAATTATGAATACCTACGGAGTAGAGGTATCTTCTATGCCTCAGCAGCAAGGCAACCTAAGAAAGACAAGGATATTTATAGAGTTCATATTATCAGCCTTTTATCTCGCTTCAAAACTTTAATGCTCTTCATTCTTTCCTGGATATAGCCAGTTACAGTACAACAAACAAGCGCCGACGCCACAGGATCGGCACGGCTGACACTGCCACACTGCGCGATGTTCGAACCCATTGGAAACTGGATCTACTTTCCAGCCACTAGTGGCACTAGTCAGTGTCGCTACCTAGCCACAGGTTCCTACGCAAATCATCCAATCAGGCTGCCTCACGCGCTTCGGGGGTCGAGTAATGAGGGTCCCGAGGTATCTAACCCTTGCGTGGTTTGAAAATTACACGGCCCTAGGGATCGGCTGGGTTTTTTCACGCGATCCTGAATTATTGAGGCTGTAAGGGGAGTCACCGGGGTTGACGGCACAACTACCGAGCCCTTGGCAGATACTCCGGCCGAAACTTCTAAGCAGGATCAATCAGGTCTTAGACGAGAACCAATGATACCTCGGATTGAAACACTGCCTATGATCAGCAAGACCTCTCCAGTGCTGTCTTTGTTAGTGTTAAGTCGGGAGGATTGTCCCCAATGAGCCACTTATTCCAATAGTTTGTTTTGAGTGCCGGTACCGCATTGACTCACCGTGCGGCTAAAGTTGTTGGAAACCCTTTCTGCCAGAGACCAGTATGAAGGCAGCGAGATACGCTGATAGCCAACAAGGCGGGAAGGATATAACCCGCAACCCCTCTCTTCTTCAAGCCGTGACCTTTTAATTTGTTTCGACTACTCAACAGATATGATCTGTTAAATCGTCAGGATTCCGGGTATGTATGAATTTGATCCCGTGTCCTTTCTCTCTCGAACATGTTATGTTGTCCATCACTCGAGACGAAACGAACAAAACAATCAATAATTGCACGCGCTGCATTAGCCATCATTTTACTCATGCCATTGAAAGTTTAGCCTGCTTGGAGGGTCCCGGAATAAGCGCTACGGCCGAAAGCCTCTTCTCCTGGCACACTAAAATGCTTCCTATCTTGGACAAGAGCGCCTAGTGTCACGTATGGGGATTTTGTACAACATGGCTCTCCTTCAATGGGACCTTCAAGGGGTGACGTCGTCAGTTGAGAGAATGTTGTTCCGCAGGTTGCTCCAGGGTTCAATAATGTCTGTCGGATCAACAGCGACGCGACTGTGGTTGACCTTACTTGCCAAAAGCATATTCCAGGAGGTACTAGATAGTTATGCAGTGGCAGACGCCCATGCAGTGATCGACAGCGGATGATACGTGGTTTTCTGGGTTGAGTGCCTAGGTTAGGCTCCGGGGAAAATCTGATAGGCCCCAGGTACTGGGTACTGGGTAATTTGTTGGGTTTTGTACTCTTTCCGAGCCAACGCCGCGATATGATGCCGCATCGCCCGCCAAAATCTCTAGGTAACTATGTATATCTTAGTTATGGTTCACCTTCTACTCCTCCTTCTATACTTGCTCGGTTGCGCCTATTATCTTGACTTCAGACCCCCTTTCTTAATAATTTTTTTAATAATTGAATTTCCTCATTTTTATATAAAAAAACAATATATTTACTTATCTGAACAAACTGGGCCTTTCAGGATCATGTAGTTCAGTATTGCAGGTTGCGTCGCAGAACGAGCATCCGTCCAGCACAGGGCCTTAATATTCCCTCTCGCACGGTACTAAGATAGGGAAGTTTAGTGTTGATAAATCTTGGTAGTAGGGAGTGGGTAGTCGGTTCTCCTGGACTGCTGCAGGCGGAAGAAGAGTCTTGTAGCTTCTCCCAGAGTCTGTCGGACTTGTACATACCGAACCAATAACGCACATAAACCCAAGCTGATCGATTCTCTTGATTCCCGGTCCGCGACGGAGAACACTAACGAGATAATACGCAATGGATGCTGGGAGAAATCCGAAGAGCATGGCAACATCGACGCGACCGCTAGCAACGACGATGTCGGCAACCTCACCGGGTACCGAGCCGGCTTCCCTGTGATCCTCCAATAGGGGTTCCTACTCCAGATCACTGAGTCAGTTGTTATAGAAGGATCCGAGTGGGGTATATAGATCTGATAAGAATCCAAGGTTAAGTCAGCATTTGGACAATTGTTTTGGAAGAAGAAATGTAGAAGAAATGTGCACGTGAGCCTGCATCACCTGCTTGGCATCTCACCTCACCTCACCTTAGGTTCATTTCTTCATCTACATCCATACTCTTCCTTCATCCACTCTTATCAAACCTCGTCCCAGGTTTTCATCAATTCCCGTCCACATTCCCCGTTCTTTCGTTGAGTCCCTGGATCAAATCCTGTGGTTTGATCTGATATGTACCACGAGAATGTCCTTCCGAAAGCGGGTGGCTTTTTGCCGGGAGATAACAAGAGCAATCCGTGACCTCAACCGATCGAATAACACTCCCGAACTTCGGCCAAGTTAGTGCCTCTATTGCTTAGCTCTCTTCGAAAAGGCCCGCCGCTCACCCTTGACCAGTCTCTGAATCCCTCCCCTACCGAATTTTGCGCCAGTTTTACGGAGTTGATACCTCCGTCCGACTCCGGCTGTATATCGCCGCCCTCCACTATTCTCCTCCATCCATGGTGGTACATAAATCTGGTCGTGTGCCCTCTTGTTTGACCTCGCCTTTTTTTTTTCTCTTCTGCTTTCCCCTCTCTGTCTATTCCAATCCATCCAACTCTTCCTCCCTCTTCCCAGCGTTCTGTTTTCGAAATCTTACCCATCTTCTGGCTTCATCTGCCAGTCTTTTTTTTAATTCGCCACATCCTTATCTGATAAGCTTTCGGAGGGGGAAAGTTTTCCATCAAAATGTCTAACCTTCCTGTTGAGCCCGAGTTCGAGCAGGCCTACCAAGGTACACAGTGTTTCTATCGATATATCTATATATAGATATAGTTACATCCCGCTTGTTTTATATACACATGGCTAACAGCACGTAGAGCTTGCTTCCACTCTTGAGAACTCCACTCTCTTCCAGGCCCACCCTGAGTACCGCACCGCTCTCAAGGTCGTCTCCATCCCTGAGCGTATCATCCAGTTCCGCGTCGTCTGGGAGAATGACCAGGGGGAGCTTCAGGTCAACCGCGGTTTCCGTGTGCAGTTCAACTCTGCCCTAGGCCCATACAAGGGCGGTCTCCGCTTCCACCCCTCTGTCAATCTCTCCATTCTGAAGTTCCTTGGCTTCGAACAGATCTTCAAGAATGCTCTTACTGGCCGTACGTGTTTCCTGCCTGAACCAGTCAGGCCCTATTAACTAACGAGAATAGTGAACATGGGTGGTGGTAAGGGTGGTTCCGACTTCGACCCCAAGGGCAAGTCTGACCAGGAAATCCGCCGTTTCTGCGTTTCGTTCATGACTGAGCTGTGCAAGCACATCGGTGCCGATACCGACGTCCCCGCCGGTGATATTGGTGTCACCGGCCGCGAAATCGGCTTCCTCTTCGGCCAGTACCGCAAGATCCGCAACCAGTGGGAGGGTGTTCTCACTGGAAAGGGTCTTACCTGGGGTGGTAGCTTGATCCGTCCCGAAGCCACTGGCTACGGTGTTGTTTACGTATGTTCCCCCACTACAGTCCCACTATATATATATCTTACATACCTAACACAAAACACAGTACGTGGAGCACATGATCTCCCACGTCACAGGCGGCAAGGAATCCTTTGCTGGCAAGCGCGTCGCCATCTCTGGTTCCGGTAATGTTGCCCAGTACGCCGCTCTCAAGGTCATCGAGCTTGGTGGCTCCGTTGTCTCTCTCTCCGATAGTCGGGGCTGTCTCGTCGTCAAGGCCCAGGACGGCACCTTCACCCCCGAAGAAATCAACTCCATTGCCGACCTCAAGGTTGCCCGCAAGCAGCTCTCCGAGCTCGCCTCTACCGAGGCCTTCTCCTCCAAGTTCACCTACATCCCCGGTGCCCGCCCCTGGACCCACGTCGGCGCCGTCGACGTCGCCCTCCCCTGCGCCACCCAGAACGAAGTCTCCGGCGACGAAGCCACCGCTCTCATCTCCCAGGGCGCCAAGTTCATCGCCGAGGGCTCCAACATGGGCTGCACCCAGGACGCCATCGATACCTTCGAGGCCCACCGCACCGCGAACCCCGGCGCGGCCGCCATCTGGTACGCCCCCGGCAAGGCTGCCAACGCCGGTGGTGTTGCGGTCTCCGGTCTCGAGATGGCCCAGAACTCTGCCCGCATCACCTGGACCCGCGAGGAGGTGGACGCCCGCCTCAAGGGCATCATGGCCGACTGCTTCAACAACGGTCTCTCGACTGCTCTCAAGTACGCTACTACTCCTGCTGCGGGCGTGCTTCCTTCTCTGGTTACCGGAAGCAACATTGCCGGTTTCACCAAGGTTGCCGAGGCCATGAAGGACCAGGGCGATTGGTGGTGAACAGTTCCACTTCCTTTTTTTTTTTTTTTTTTTTTCTTCTTCTTGACCTCTTTTTGGGGGGCTTTTCCTAGCCACCCACCAGTTTCTAACCTTTTTTGACTATGATTATGATCCTCTATTATGCATTTGATTAGATATCGAGCGTGTGGATATAGACGCTGGCTTCGTTTCTATTTTAGACATGCCTTTTTTTTTTTTTTTTTTTTTTTTATGTATATATATATATATATATACATACATATATACACCATACCATCCAATTACTTTCAATACACTTCTCTATATGTATATACTTACTTCTCTCTCGGATTTAGTAAACTGTAATCACTAGATATACATACATATTCTGTAGAAACGTAATTTATCGGGTCGTGATATCATTCATTATTATTATGTATCCTGTATCCTATGCTATCCATATCTCAACCAATAATATAGATCGCCAAGCAACTAACCACCCACCCAACTTTTTCCATCCGGAGTACCGTAATCCAATTCGGATTAGATCCATCCATATACATATATATGCATATGCAATGAATGCAAGAAATTAACGAAAAAAAAAAAAAAAAAAAAAACAGGCAAAAGAAAATAAACAGTAAAACCAATAGAATGAAGAGTAATACATGCAGGACTCCGGCGGTATAGACCAGAAATGAGAAATGCAGGGGTATCATAGATAATAATAATATTGTCATACTCGGATGCTAAGAAAGATTTGGGGAAAAAAAAAAGAAGGGGGGGGGGTATAAGTGCCGCATAGAGTATATATAGTATAGTATAGTATAGTATATAGTAGATGGACTGAAAGGATGAGAATAAGAAAAACGTATCGGGCATGATAAGAGTGTAATAAAGGGGGAAAAAGGAGAATCATTTCCAAGGTTCCTATGGTTGCGGTCGTTGAAACTGTACCTCCGGAACAACAGGTAATGACATACCAATCTGATCCTGGGAACTCTCTGAGCAGGAATGCGGCTGGGAATCGTATGGCGAGGAAAGATCCAAGTCCACGGTCGGGAGCGGGTCCGGGTCTAAGAGCACGCTTCTGCGGCGCGAAAACACCCCGCCCTGGGATGGATTTGCCTTCTCGCGTCGGAGCACTGTGGGTTTGGGGCGGCTGCTGCGCCGGCGGCGGGGGTGTCGGAGGTGTTCGTTTGGGACGGGGTCCACTTGTTTCTTTGCGGCGGGGACAAGGTTCAGGTATATAGGGAAGAGAGCGCCTGCGGCAAAGAGGGCAACGAGGACGCTGAAGGAGATTGGGACGCTGTTGCGGGCGCGTTGGACGGCGTACTGAGCGAAGGGGAAGTAAGCGCCGCCGGTGATGGCCATTGTCAGGAGCGAGCCGGCGGTTTTGGTGTGGCGGCCAGTGCCGCGGAGGGAGATGGCGAAGATGATGCTAAAGGCACCACTTTCGAAGAGGAAGACCATCATGGCCATTGCGACGGCGGAGGGACCCGTGGTCGTCATGCAGAGGGCGGAGAACACGATCATGCCAATGTAGGAGAGGAGAAGGATCCAGCGGGGTTTGAGGAACCATTGGAGAAAAGCGGCGAGGAACCGACCAACGGCGAAAACAGAGCGAGCGATGCTGAAATAGGTGAAATCGTCGAGGGAGGTTCTGCACTTCAGTTAGCGTGCGTGTTTTCTCGACCAAGGAAGAGAGGGGAAGACGAACTGGGGATATCCGGCCGAAATCAGGGAGGGAAAGCTCAAAGAAAACACTTCCTGACCGGCTACATAGAAGAACTGGGAGTATATTCCTAACGCCAATGTCACCCAAACGACCGGAATGCCCAACACCATGGCCCGGTTATCTTCTCGTCGGCGGTTCGCCAGCTCCTCCAAATCCTCGTCGGATGCTTCTGGAATGGGTAGATAATAGAACACCACTGCGAGGAGCACATCAAAGAGGGCAATGCCGAGGTAGGTCCACTGCACATCCACCAGGGATGATACGTCCGTCACTCGACGGAATAGGACCCGCTTAGCGAGCAGTGGAGAAACCACCGTGCCCACGGCCTGCACGCCTTGGGAGATATTCAATCGAATCTCCGAGTTCTCCAGCGGTCCACAAAGGGCGATGAACGGGTTCGCGGCGGTCTCGAGGATCGCAAGTCCACAGCCAACAATAAAATTCGAGACCAAAAAAGCCGAGTAGGAGGTCAACACGGCAGATGGCCAGAAGATCAACGACCCGCATGCGTAGACACATAACCCTGTGATAAAGGTAGCTTTGAAGCCCCAGTGTTTCAGCACTATGCGACCGACCAGTGGTGGAGCGACCAGGTAGCCTCCAAAGTAGACTGCATGTAAGCCGATAGAGCGCCAGGTGTCGAGGCGTACAATCTGCTGAAACTGCTCGTTAAGGACATCCAATAAACCATAGGCGAATCCCCAGAGGAAGAAGAGAACTGTGGTGATAGCATTGGGTGCGATGGACTCCTTGTTGCTTAATTTGAGCATATTCGCGGGTTTCTTCATATTGACGAAGTCGAAGAACGTCATACTTCGCGGATCAGAGGTGCTGGTGAGAGTGGTGGTATTGGCCTCGGTATCGGCCTGTGTAGCTTCAAGAGCCGATGTGACGTCCAGGAGGTCATTGGAAGTCACAGCAGTCTCGGGACGAGCGGGGAAGGAAGGCAGCTGTGGCGGGTCAGAGGGAGTATTTTGGGAGCTCCCATCAGTATCCCGTATCATTTTTGGCAATATCCTCGCAACCAGGGGTTTGAGACTAGGGACACAGGCGCACATCATGGAGACATTAACCTCGACCACGGACCACATGAACGACAGCGACGCATACCCTAGGGGGGGGGGGGGGGGGGGGGGAAGTCAATTGATGTGCGATTGATGGGATAGACAACACACATACAGGCAAAATCATTCCCCTCGTAGTTTTGGAGGTGAATCTGACGGAGAGCAATCTCCCGCGACGTAGCAGCATCTTGCAGGTATGCAATGCGAATGACGTCCACAACAGCGACGAAGAAACCAAAGCTAAAGGTAACCACCAAAATAATCTTCTGCTTACGGGGGAGACGCATGCGAGTGAGAATGGGATTGGGGAGGAATAAGATGGCGAGGTCAGTTATAATATTGACGGGAGAGGAGGAGAGGTATAGCGTCAAAATATCGGTACAATGCGCATTAACGGGGACGGAAGTCGCGAAGGCGGCAGCGACAGGCCGGCATTGAAAGATATTGATAAAGGTGAGGGCTAGGCCGGCAACATTGACGACCACGAGGGTTGCATAATTAGCATAGCGAAAGACCTTTTCGCCCTGAGTGAGGGTGAGGTAGAAAACCAGGATGGAGGACTTGACGGCCATCAAGGCGGGATTCTGTGACAAAAGGCAGAAAAAAAAAAATAAGCGGGATGCCGAGGCGCGGAGAAGCCAATGGCGAACCAATCCAATGATTTTGGAGAGAGAGAGAGAGAGAGAGAGAGAGGGGAGGCAAGGTGGATAGAACTTACGTAGAGCACGGTAAAGGCATAATTAGCGCGACTGAGACTGGCTCGGTCATGAACGGGGATATCAGCGTCATGGAGTCCCAGACCCTTCCCAGTTGCGTAAAAGAGAGCAAAGGAGAAGCCAAAATCAATGAGCTACAGGAGATGAATGAGATAATGGTGAGTGTGATGGGAGGGAGTGGAGTGGGAGTGGAGGCCAGGAATTATGCAAGCATACCCAGGCGAGGAGCATCAGATAGTCATGCAGAGCAAGCCTTCGGACGATCCATATTCGCGAGACGAAGCGAAGAGCAACAAAGATAGAGGCGAGGACGAAGAATGTGATGGAGACAACGAGGACCTCTGGTCTACGGTCCTGCATGATGGCGATGGATCACTTGGGGAAGTGGGGGAAGATGGAGAATGCCATGGTGTGATTGGAGAGAGAGAGAGAGAGAGAGAGAAAGAAAAGAGATATAAAGGAGGAAATGAGATCACAATAAACAAAAAGAAACAAAAGAAGAGGGTTCAGATGAAGAGAAGGAAGAGAAAATGAGGATGGAATTGATGAAAGAGAAGAAGAGGAGGAGAAAATCCGAAGCGAGGGGAAAAACAAGATATTTTTTTTTTCCTTTGGTGGGTCAAGGGATTAATTAATCACTCAACTTTATAAGAAGGAATTGACAATCTATAATTCTAGAAAAGAGAATAATAGTAATAACAGTTGTAGTATCTAGGAACAAGTGCTGCTGTGTAAATCATACCCCATATTCCAGTCAACTAGTTACATCTTGAGTCTTTTTTTAATAATCTGGGGAAGTAATTAATTAATATATCCACTTTTCTTTATATTAACTAACTAAAATAATCTAATTCTATGTCTTTGTTTCTGTCTCCGAATATCAGGTTACAGTAAAAAAAGAAGACAAAGAAATAAACCGAGTCCAGTCCCAGTCCCAGTAACTAATCGTAGTGGTGAAGAGCAAATCTGGATAACCGTGCGGAGAATTTCACGCCCTTTTGGATGCGATTTCGGCATTCACGAGGGATGCATTGCTGGATGCGATTCATCCAGGGAGGATTCGGACGGTCGAGGAGTTGAGAGGGCGCAGAATGGGCAGCGGCGGTTTCTTCTCAAGGATAGATCAGGATTGAAAACATCTGAACCCAGGCTTACCTTTCTTCAAGGCACTTTACAAAGAAAGCTACAATAAACACTGCATTTTCATAGCGTCATAAGTCCTAGCGGATGCCAGATCCTGTTCTTGTTCTTTCTTGCTTTTCGTTCCTGAACGGGTTAAACGGGTTGGTTGGTTGTTTTAGTTTTACATCAACCGAAATTTCTATAAACACAAATCATAAAGGGATCAACTGAATGATCGACATCATTCAAGATCAGAAAGGAGAAAAAGATATCACATCGAAACGAATGTAAGAAAGTAATGGACAGCAGAAAAACCAAAACCAAAATCAAAAATAAATCAGTTAATATACCATTCCACACCATGAAGTCGGCCCAGGCTAAACGCAGCCAACTCACCAAAGAAGTGACGGGACAGATCAATGGAAGTGTCGTCGCAGCCCATGCACTTGTCCACGACAGTACCAGTGACAGTAATGCCACCGTATTTGACGGTAACGGTCTTTCCGCAGTCGCTGTCAGTCATGATACCGACAGGGAGCGCAAGAACGTTTTCGGTTTCACCGTCGTTGGTGGTGCCGCAGCTGCTAGGAGCGCTAGCAGAGGTGGCAGTGTCGTAGTAAGTGACCTGGCCTGTGCAGGGGCTGCCCTCGGAGCAAGAACCGGAATATCCGCTGCTGCTGGTGGTGCCAGTAGACTCAGCCTGAGAAGTGGTGGTGGAAGTAGAGGTAGCAACAGTAGTAGTGGTAGTGGTAGTGGTGGTGGGCTGAGGGGCAACAGTTGTAGTAGTAGTAGACAAGGTAGTAGCCACCTCAGTGGGCACCAGCACCTCAGGGGCCTCCGTCTGAGTAGTAGTAGCAGCAGTAGTAGTAGTTGTGGATGTGGTGGTGGTACTGGTAGTAGTAGTAGTAGTAGTGCTAGTAGTGGTAGGTTGAGTGGTGGTGGTGGTGGTGCTAGTGGTAGTGCTTGCAACCTCAGGCTCAACCTGAGAAGGAGCAGTAGCAGTAGTCACGCTCTCCTCGATGATGGTGCTGGGAGGAGCGGTCTCGCCAGGGTAAATGGTGGTGGTAATGTCAACGGTGGTCCAAACAACAGTGGTCACAGTCTCCCACACAACAGTATCATCGCGCTTGTGGTTGTGCTGGTGGGCATGGCCGTGCTTGGGCGCAGCAGCGCTCATAGCCGCAAAGAGAGTGGCAGCAAGTGCAAGGGACTTGGAAAGGGGTGCCATGATGATGGTTTGAGAGAGTGGTAATTGCTGATTCCTGATCTTCTTGTGGTATATAATTGCGACGAAGGGACAAAGAAACTGACGAGGGTCAGTAGCAGCAGTAGTAACAGCAGCAGTAACAGCAAGGAATGAAGGGTGAAGTGATGACTGCACAGCAGATCGTGGACAAGACACCGATAGAGTGATTTAAGGAGTGAAAAAAAGGATAGAGAAAGAGAGTGACAGATGCTTGTCAGCAAGAGGACAAACGAGGCGAGGGAGAGAAGGATGTAGTTGAGAGGAAAAGAGAGAGAATTGAGGGGATGGAAAGACAGGAGACAAGCGGTATTTAATGCAGGTCTGGGCGGCGTATTAATTACGTGGGCCAATACGAGTGAACAAAGAGAAAATGTGGCCCAATGGGTGAATCTGGGCCCAAGACCCACAGGATACAAACCACAAAGCGGGCGCTTTTCAATACGATGACGCCGAGATCTTGCACATACTTTTTCAGGGTCGGGCCGATTACCATCGATCAGTCGACAGAACTACATGTAGTTAACTGTTATACACTGCATCTTATATACTTAGGATGACACTCAACATCATGATGCATTCTCAGATACCTACAGGTTCGAGATGATATTGAATCACCAAGTCGGAGGACCCGGAATCTCACTTCACAAAGCACCAAATCTGACTGGTTCGCCTCCCAGTCTGGACTCTGGATTTTATTCGACGGCCCCCCAAGGGTGGTAAGTTTGTTAGCGCAACTGCTCTAAAAACCACTGGGAATCACTAACGCCAGGGGGATCAGCATTCAGCGTTCGGCATTCGCCCAGAACGAACAGAAAACTCGGTGCCTGAAGCCACAGCCTTTAGCTGCAGTGGTGGTGATTCGACACCTCCTCTGACGTGGGCCGTGGACTCGACAGTGGACACTGGAGGGCCTGGACACTGGACAGTCTCGGACTCTTGAGACCTCTCAGGGAATTTCGCCTCCCGCCCACTTTTTGCATCTTGTGATGGTTCTGGCCTTCCTTGGCCGATTGGTTGAACCGCGAGGTTTCAGACACACACCGTCCGTCCGAGTCAGCAGCGGGGGCGGTTGTAGCTTTTCCGTCCGGTAGTAGACTCGTCGGAGTGGGTATTATCGTGTTGTAGCCAAGCCACTGATACTTTAGGTTGGAGTCTGGCAATTTCAGTAGGGCAGAAAGATCGTTCTCCAGACTAGAGTCGATTTAGATTGAGATGCGAATTCCAGGATTCAGGTACCGTAGTCCGTACGCTCGGAGAGAATACTACTAGTAAGAGAAAAATTCTCCTCCTCCCTCCGTTACAGACTTGGTTGGACGCGCTCAGCCGTCACCCCCTTCTGCTGCTCTGCATGAAAACTGTGCTGTATCCACTCACAGTCCTCTGGTACGCACATTGGAATCAGATTCGGAATCCGAGAATCGCCTGCAGGATTACAATTTCCCCCACTTGAAGACTTTTCACCAATAACCCTTTCGAATCCCACTCCAATAAATTTTTACCACCAGGCAAAAGAAAAAGAAAACGAGAGAGAAAGTTTCAGTAAAGAAATGTGTACCATAAATGCCTAATCCGAGTAATCTACCTAACTATGTAAACTTTGTAAAAAAAAAAAAAAAAAAAAAAAAAAAAATCAAGTAGCCATTATCCATCCGACATAAGAACGAACCAGCCAGGGTCTTCCTATGCAACTGCATACATATAGTATAACTAGTGCCTGGCTTGTAGTAATAAACAATTTGCATCAAAAGGTCATAGTGCAAAACAAACAGGAAATAATCATAAAAAAGAAGAAAAAAGTATCCATCGACTCATGATATACATAGAAAAAACGTACCAAAGATTAGATAACACACGCCATCCCGCAGGAACATCGATATAAGGGCAAGGGGGGATGGATGTGGATTAGCCCTGGCACATGAGGCAGGCCTCCTTGTTCTCAATGCTGCAAGCAAGGACCTTCTGCGAGTAAATATCATTCTCGCGGTCCTCGCTGTCCTTTTTCTCATCCTCGTCCTTGACTTCACCGTTGGCTTGACCAACGGAGTTGTCGGTCGCAAGGGTGCGTGGGCTAGCATACTCCCCACCATCCTTGCCGTTCTCCCCGTGTTCATTCACCTCCTCCGTAGAAGTACGGGGAATCGCGGAGTAAGTGGTGGCTGCAGCCCCCGTGGCACGCTTCTTATACAAAGCGTTGACCCGTGCGACGTTGGTGTCAGCAACCTTCAATTGCTCCTGGTCGACAGTGAATTGAATAGGGGCAGTTGCAGCCATGGTACGCAGGTAGTACATGCCGGTCTTTAAACCCATCTTCCAGCCAGCGAAGTGCATGCTAGTAAGCTTGCCCATGGTGGGCTCCTTCAGATGGATATTGAGCGACTGGGACTGGTCAATGAAGGCACCACGGTCAGCAGCCATCTCCAGGATCCGGCGCTGGGAAATCTCCCACACGGTCTTGTATAGAGCCTTGATGTCCGAGGGAATATTCGGGATGTTCTGAACGGAACCACTGTCGGCAATGATACGGTTCTTCATGTTGTCGGACCAGAGGCCAAGGTCGACTAGATCCTTCAGCAACCAGGGGTTGACAACTTGGAACTCGCCCGCAAGGACACGGCGAGAGTAGATGTTCGAGGTGTAAGGCTCGAAGCACTCGTTAAAGCCAAGGATTTGACTGGTGCTGGCGGTGGGCATAGGAGCAACCAGAAGACTGTTGCGCACACCAGTCTGGGCAATCTTCGCCTTTAACGCGGACCAATCCCACAGATCGGTAGGGGTGCGATCCCACATGTCATACTGGAGAATACCCTGGGAAACTGGGGAACCTTCGTAGGTTTCATAGGTGCCATATTCCTTGGCCAAGTCAGACGAAGCAGTCAAAGCACCGTGGTAGATGGTTTCGAAAATTTGGGTATTGAGCTGCTTAGCCTCAGCAGAATCGAAAGGCAGACGCAAGGCAAGGAATGCATCGGCCAGACCGTTAACACCGAGGGCAATTGGACGGTGACGCATGTTGCTCTTCTTAGCCTCGGGAACAGGGTAGTAGTTGATATCAATGATCTTGTTCAAGTTGCGAACCAAGACCTGCACGACTTCATGCAATCTACCGAAGTCATACTCGCCACGGGCAGCATCAACAAAGGTAGGAAGCGCAAGCGAAGCCAGGTTGCAGACAGCAACCTCATCAGGAGCACTGTATTCAATAATCTCAGTGCAAAGGTTGGAGCTGCGGATAGTTCCCAGATTCTTCTGGTTACTCTTCTTGTTACAAGCATCCTTATACAGCATGAAGGGGTTTCCAGTTTCAGTCTGGGCCTCCAGAATAGCATACCAAAGCTTCTGGGCCTTAATAGTGCGGCGACCACGGCCTTCCTTCTCGTACCTACTTCTGGTTAGCATTGGAATGCACAAAATGCACGCAGGGAAAGTACTTTTCGTAAAGAGCATCGAACTCGTCGCCGTAGACATCAGCCAAGCCAGGGGCCTCGCTAGGGCAGAAGAGGGTCCAGTCACCGTTGGCCTCAACCCGCTTCATGAACAGATCAGGAGTCCAGAGAGCGTAGAACAAATCACGAGCTCTGACTTCTTCCTTTCCGTGGTTCTTACGGAGGTCCAAGAACTCAAAGACATCGGAGTGCCAAGGCTCCAGATAAATGGCAAATGCACCTGGACGCTTGTTTCCACCCTGGTCAACGTATCTAGCAGTGTTATTGAACACGCGCAGCATGGGAACAATTCCATTGGATGAGCCATTGGTACCGCCAATGTAAGAACCTGTGGCACGAATGCGATGGACGTTGAGACCAATACCACCGGCAGTCTTGGAAATCATAGCACACGTCTTCAGTGTGTCGTAGATGCCCTCAATGCTGTCCTCCTTCATGTCAACCAAGAAGCAGGATGCCAGCTGAGGCTGGGGGGTACCAGCATTGAACAGAGTGGGGGAAGCATGTGTGAAGTACTTCTGGGACATGAGGTTGTAGGTTTCAAGGGCCTTCTCAATGTCATTGCCGTGAATTCCAACGGCAACACGCATCAGGAGGTGTTGGGGACGCTCGGCAACCTTGCCATTGAGACGCAATAGGTAAGAACGCTCAAGGGTTTTGAAACCAAAGTAGTTGTAGTTAAAGTCCCGGTCGTACACAATAGCGGAGTTGAGCTCATCCGCATGTTTCATGACGATTTCATATGTTTCTTTTGAGATCATAGGAGCAGACTTCTTGTTCTTGGGGTTGACATAGTGGTAGAGATCTGAGATAACCAGAGAGAACTGCTTCCTTGTCTGCTTGTGGAGGTTGGAAACTGCTATACGAGCGGCCAGGATAGCATAGTCTGGATGTGTGACGGTCATATACGCCGCAGTCTCGGCAGCCTGTGAAGAGAAAAGTGTCAGCGTCGGTCTCTTTCCTTTTCTTTTCTTTTCTTTTTTTTTTTTTGCCTTGGTGAAAACTTTTGGGCAACGTACCAAGTTATCGAGCTCAACGGTAGTGACACCCTGGTAGACACCAGAGATGACCTTCTGGGTGATAGCAGCAGCATCAACGTGTTCAGGGTCAAGTCCGTAACACAGCCTCGACACACGAGCCGTGATCTTGTCGAATTGTACGCGTTCTTTGCGTCCATCTGTGTGATTAATAATGCATTAGTAGGGCTTCTACAGTGAGTGACAACGGCTCTGAGGGTGCAGGAATCTGAATAACGAAACATATAGACTCAGGCGGAGCAAAGACTCAGGCGGAGCAAAGACAAAAGCCAGAAGTATTCAACTTGATTCAACATACCTCTCTTGTAGACAAACATCTTGAAGGGTAACGGGAGAGACCCGAGGAGTTAAGAGGAACGAAAAGGCTGTGAAAGAGGGGGGATATCGATAAGAGGTATTAAAATTAGGACACGTAGACTCGAGAATGTTTAAGGACGAAGAGAAAAGAGGAGATCGGGTGTGAAAGTGAAGGGATATCCCCTGGATAGGTGCTGAGGGGAGGATGAGAAGGAGAGAGAGACTGGAGGGGCACGAAAGCTGGTAGATATTTGATGTCGCCCCAGCAAAACGCGTTGCCGGTGGATATCAACGCGAATTTTCGTGTTCGGGCTAAATGGGCTCCCCTTGCAAACCCTGCCGGTACGGAGGACGGAAACGCGCCAAGTAGAAATATCACGTGACAATATTGTCGCGCTCTGTTGCGTCCGTCACGAGGACAAGTCGACGTTTATAATGTTTATATTGAATTTAATGCCTATAACTACGTCGCCATTACGGTGGAGACTTTGACATCGTCTTTCACATTTAGAATCAGTGGGCTACAAGTGCGGAATTATAAACCTGGAGCTTTGTTTATAGCGTGCTCATAGATCGCAAGGTTGTATTCCAGTATGCAAGTCCTAATCGATTAATGGAACATGAATTGAAAAAAAAAAAAAGATATGCCTCAAATATATTCTGGAAAAGCTTGTCCAGGTATCAAATATAATACACAGCAATCAAAGTGTCTTTAAAGTGTGGCTGCGAAGCCGAGGAAAACCACGGCAGCAAAGGCAGCAGCAGAGACCTGTTTGTCGGACGAAGCACTCGAGTGGGTTTGGCTAGCAGTTGGAGTGGTTGAGACAATGCCCGAGGCAGAAGTCGAGCTAGAGGCGGAAGCAGTGGTGGTGGTAAAGCCGGTAGAGGTGCTAGAGCCAGAATCGGTAGTCGAGGTGCTGTTGCTGGACGCGGAGGTGGAAGTGGACTTGATGGCTGTAGGGAGAAGGTTAATTCATAAACTGCTTTCCTATATGAGCCAGAGAGACAAACCAATCTTGTAGCCACCGGTGGAACAAGTGCTCTGGAAGTACTCTAAAGCATCTTGAGCATCGGAGCCGCACAAATCATGGATGCGGGACTGAACAGCATCGCCGTTCGTGACACAGACGGCCTTGAGGTTGGCTGGATCGGATTGGGCGCTGTTCGACATCGTTAGCTAAGAGTGCTTACGGATCCATCTCGATATCAGCATGTAAATATGGCGAGGCGTACCCCACAGCGGAAAGCAGACAGGAAGGAGTGCCAGTCGCAACGACAAGATTGCTAAGGGCGAAAAGAGCGACGAGCAGGGAGGACTTGGTGAAGAACATTTTGGCGTTGAATAGTCGAAGGATAAATAACACGCAATCCGATCAACGGGTTAAGGGGAATCAATCAAACGACGGCGGTAGGATTCGGGGGTTGAAATGAGTGTGGTGTAGGTAGGTAGTGAAAGAGTGACTGGATATGGTGGGGGGTAAAGACTGTAAGAGATGATGAAAATGAGAGAGAGAGAAAGGTCTGCAAAAGAGAGTGACAGACAACAATAAGAGGCAAGAAAGAGATAGATGATGAAGTCAAGATCTTGACTGAAGTTGGGGGACGAACGAGGCGGGAATTGAAGGGGGGACGAGACCCTCATCACAGGGCGGTTTCACCCAATGGGGGCACTACTGGCCCTGCCGATCGCTCTCTCTTTCTCCCGGTAATTTATTAGTTATTTTATTTAATCTGACTTCCCTGAGCCCGTTTGTTTTCCACACTTACCGTCTACTACTACTAATTTATTTTATTTGGTGGATCCTCTGCACACTCTGATGGAAAATAACAGGGACCCTTGAGGGTGTACGGAGTACCTACCTAAGGTATCCGTAATGCACAATTAATTATCCCATTGTTCGATTTTGGGAGAAGCAAATAAGATTACAGGGTTTTTACATCATTTTCTTCTGTTAATATTTCCGTCTTAGTATTGCCTACTACTGTGTAGGTCCCAACTCATTAAATCTTCGATGCAATCTCAAGGGTTTAATTTCTTCTGTCCTAAATATAGACAGACCCCTCCAAGAGGCAAGACTCGAATACCATCCATAATACTAGTACTTCATCATTTCGAAATTATACTCACGCCAATATGCTAGTGATACGAGAATAATTCAATAAAACAGTTTCAATCATTCAAGATCCTCCCCCCGTACCGAGCTCACTTGTCCCACTCGGGGTCATAGTAGCTGTGGATGATTTCCTGCACATCCAACTGAAAATCCACGATCTCCTTCCCATTCACAAGATCATTCTCCTTTGCCCGTTTATCCGCCTCTTTCTCATCCCTTGCAATCCCAGCTTGAACATGTCGCCGGATTAACCTCTGTCGAGCCGTTTCAAAATCTACCTCCACAAACCAAAGCTCATCCATTAATTTCGCTGCCGAGCTCCACGGCTCCTTATTCAAACTTAGATAGTTCCCCTCGAAGAAAATCACCCGCCTGCTCGCCGGGATCGGTATATCATTATCCACAGGATCCTTCACGGCATGATCAAAACTCGGTGCGTATAAGGCCTGCGTCTCTCCTGTCAACGGCTCCCGCAAAGCACGCACTAACACGAGAAATTTCTCCCCGTCGAATGTAAATGCCGCGCCTCGTCGAGCAACAGCGTACTCAGGGTCGGGCATTTCTGCAAGCTGTGCCCTTGTGAAATGATATCCATCCATGGGGATGGCGGTTGCAATTAGCCCCTGGTTCTGGCTCTTCTGCTGGGCACTGTAGATTTGATTGATACGTTTGGCCATTATCATGGCCAGTCCGGTTTTCCCAGACCCTGGTATCCCGCTGACTGCTATCATTAAGCGGGCATTGTCTGGGGTGTTTTGGAATCTCTCTGGAATTTTTTTTTAATTCGTTAATTTTTTTTTTTTTTTTTTCACCAGCATTAGTGCGGAGCTCGGTAGTCTGGTTTGTGAAGAAATTGAATAGCGATGTTTCATGACTTACCCCAGATCTTGTCAACTAGTCTGGCTACTTGGGATTCCATTGTGGATGTGATAAGGAGGAGAAAAGAGGAGCTGAATCGAGATAGAGAAAGCCGTGATATCAGACTATCAGGGACAAAATACCCAAGGGTCTCAAGTCATGCGCCGTCTCTGATCATTGAAGCATTCAGGATGGTGGTGATGACAGCGTAAACGAGGGGCTTTGAATCGGTCTTGTATATGTGATTTGAATCTCTGACTAAATGAGTCTTGCTGTTGAGCAAAATTAAGGTATTTCGGATGAAAGATGGTATGTATATCCTCATGGACACAATGGATGGAAGCTATCGAGATAAATACCTAGACGCGGTGGGCGGGGCTGGTGGTCGTCAGAGTGGGGTACAGACAACTCTGGAGGCCAGAGAGCTGGACCACCGACGAGAGGGGTCTTACTTTGTATATCCCAGCCTTTAGAATAAAAGCTCCAATGTGATCAAAATATGTTCTAATCGATGGGTTAATGACTCTCCCACCCAAGCGTTTTGTCGAATCCGGGATTAACTACTAGTATATGGACGGCTCATTGTGGGAGTATTTGGACCTCCATTGTGTCTCGTAGTCCTCCTAACGAGCTTTAAGAAGCCTTTGCAAATCAAGGTCTTCAGGCTATTCCCAACATTTTTAATCTCAGACCTCACTAACCTTCGAACAAATTGCTTCACTTCATGGGGTTGTTTCTGTTTATATCTTTGAGTCTTCTCAGACATTCCCATGCGTCTGTCTACTCGTAAAATCTCACTGCCACTACTTAATCTCCATTTGTGAGGGTCAGTTACTCCAAGATACTTAGGACAAGAAATGCCTAAAAACAGGGGCCATTCATTCGTCCATCATTGCATTTTCAAAATCCTGTGACCACGCCTATGTGCGTCATCCAGATCCTCAATAAGCAAGAAAATACCTAAATATGGATACAGCGAAACCAAATATTGTGCATGGGAACCAAACCTTAGTTCTAGGAGAGGTAGCTTATATGACCTCCAGGCTGGTCCTCAAAGCCCCCAAAAAAACATGTTTAATAAAGGCCAACACCAGAAAACGCCATGAGACCGTTCCCGCTAAACGTGCACAACTCAAACATCTTCCCCCAAGATGAAAATAAAGTTAAAGAATTTCAATAGTTAACACAAAAGAAGAAGGATAAGAAAAAAAAAAGGCAGATTTTACCTCCGTCGAAGGGGACCATCGGTTGAATTTGAGTCATCGTTTGCAGACGCCCTCTGACCAATGATGCGAGACAGTCCTGCTGCCGCCCACCAGTCATCAGGAATATCCTCCCGACGAGCCAGTCGGTCTAGGATAGCCTGCATCTGATGCAAATCCTGATCGGTTGAAGAGTCTGAGAATGCAAAAGAGATTGCGGGAATGGGAGCGTGATTGTGGAGGGCCGACTGCAGATTATGTGAGCGTCTCATCGACTCGACTTGACGCATCCGACGGCGGTAGCGCCGGAAGAGCGAATCTTGGGTAATCTCAGTTTCCGACTCGGTCTCGGAATCGGTGGAGCTTGGATAGTCGCATGGATTCGGGTATTCTGGATAAGGATCAAGAATCATTTGCACCGCGGCAGCATTACTTTGTATGGAATTCTGAAGGGCTTCGAGCGACGATGCAGAGGTTCTCAATGTCCCACTGTGTGACCCATTTGTCCCAGAAGCAGAGGCGGAAGTGAAGGAGGAATCCGCACTCGGGAGATTGGTGTCCGGGGTTATGGTAGTTAGGAGTGTTTCCCAGGCATCATTTGCCTGATCGTCATCCAGGCTCACGCTTCGTTGGCGATCGCCCAACCCATCTACCGGTACTTCGCGGCCCGCGAGGTTCGCTTCGTTGATAGAGCGCTGGCCAACGCGACGTAGCAAGGGAATCGTCGAAAGGTCTCCAGGGGCCTCTGGTCGAGGCAGAGACGAAAAGCGAAAAATTTCCGGATTCCCCAATGGTGTTAAGGCTCTGTGATAGGCGATGGCGGGAGCGAATCGTGGCGTGAAATGAGGGGGGTCCTGGAAATCCGATCGATTATTTGTATCGCTCGCAGACGAGGAATGCGAAGATAGGTTGGGTAGCGCCGAGGGCCGCGGTATTCTCAAACGTTGACCGGGACGACTGTGACGGAGGGCATCGTGCAGTAACCGCTGACCAGCCTCCCGCCGACTGGAATCTGACAGGCTACTGGTCAGATCAAAAGGATCCCCACCAAGGGCGGGATTTTGAATAGGAGGATGTACGTGGCGCGGCAAGCCATTCGACTCGCGATCAATCTCATCTACGAGCGGACGAGGGAAAGGTGAGCGCAAAGTTGCGCTCCGAAAAGCGGAACCACCGTAGCGTGAGGGACGGCGAACATTGGCCTGGCGACGGATCGCAGAACGTGCAAATGCACTGGGATCCTTGACAGGACTAGTTTTAGTGGCCTCGGCAGAAGAGGGCTCACGGTACATACTGTAGAGATATCAGTCATGACAGCTGTTCCGTGCGCTATGCGGTGCGAGGGAGCGCGTATAATGCCGAGGCGACGCAGACAAAACGCCTTAGGGGAAAAACTGGGACGAACTCACGGGATACCCATCTCTGTATGGAATCCGCAGATTAAAGACTAAAATGCAGATTTAAAGAACCACCGGGGAAAGACGTCACACCCAGGACCACACGAGAATCGACGCGATAGACCAAAAGAGGATGCGACGATGGGGGCGGCGGCGGGGAGGGAGCGACAGCGTTTGTTGATGGAGAAACGGGCGAGATTGGAGTTTGCTCGGAAGGGTAAAAAGCGGAGGCGAAAAAGCGGACATGGCGCCTGAGGCCTCCTTTTCTTGTCGTGCTCCTAAAGTACGTGTATGGATATTCTGACTCAGCGTGCGGATATTCCCCTCCTTAACCACGTAGTGATGTTTCCCTCGGGAAATTCTGTGCTTCGGTAGGTAAAGGATTTTACACTTATTTCCCAAGTGATGGAGTATTTCGCCTTTTCACTTCCACAGACCATGTATGGTAGTACAGTTAGGTAGTAATTAATACATTCTTTAATGCCTGTTCAAATTCAAGAGATACAAGCATGGATTGTACTCCGTACCTACCGAGGTAATAGAGGAATCGACACCTCAGGCACCATATCTTATCGGCGGACTTTAATAAGGTCTTTTCCCGAACAACCAGATCAACCCAACCCCGAGGAAATTCTTGAAAGCAACCTACCGATCCACGCCTTCTGTGGCTTCCTCCCCTTCCTGATCATGAAGTTTGGCCTTGAATCAATATCGAGCAACGTATATCCAGAGGAATGATCGAACTCGGCCTAAACCGCATTTCCCGTCTCGTCCAACAGAGCCCACTGTCTTGGAAGGCTATTCATATTGCGGGCACGAATGGCAAAGGTTCGATTAGCGCATACCTATCCCATCTCCTCACCGCTGGGGGAGTTCGCTGTGGCCGATTTACCTCCCCTCATTTAATAGACCGCTGGGATTGTATCACTATCGGTGAGCGGGTGGTCCAAGAATCTCTATTCCGACAGATCGAGGAGAGAGTCAAGCAGCGGGATCAAAGCCTGGGCATTGGAGCGAGCGAGTTCGAACTGTTAACAGCAACGGCCTTTGAGATCTTCAACCATGAGCAAGTCGAGGTTGGTGTGGTTGAGGTTGGCATGGGTGGCCGCTTGGATGCTACAAATATCCTGAATAATGTGCTGGTGTCGGTGATTGCGAAGATCGGTCTGGATCACCAGGCTCTGTTAGGAGATACAATCGAAGCAATTGCTAGGGAGAAGGCAGGGATCTTAAAGCATGCGGTTCCATGCGTGGTTGACGGCACCAACTCTCCGGAAACTATAGATACCATTAAAAGCCGGATTGCAGACCTTGGTCTTGATGCGACTTTCGTCTACCCAGATGCACCAGATAGCCAGTTACCATCCCTAGGGAATCTTTTCAAAACCCTTGATTTACAGACTCATCAGAAGGCGAATATGTCAGGTGCAGCAGCAGCTCTAAAGATCGCCTTTTCGAAAATCCGCCCCGGAATTGATGTCGACGCCCTAATCCCTCAACTCTCGTCCACAGTGTGGCCCGGTCGTCTGCAAAGCATCGTTCTAGAACCTCTCGTCTCTCGAAAAGAACCCGTTTTACTTGACGGTGCGCACAATACCCAGTCTGCGGAGGTCCTCGGGGAGTATGTTGACCGCAAATTGCGCACGTCGGGTAAAAGCGTGACTTGGGTTATCGCAGCATCGCATGGAAAGGACATTACACCGCTGTTTCACTCGATCATTAGACCGAGCGATACTGTTGCAACAACGGAGTTTGGCCCTGTGGACGGAATGCCTTGGGTCAAAGCAGCAGACTCCGAAGAACTGGCTTCGTGCGTTCAATCAATCCAAGGAATTAGTCAGGTGCAGGCATTTGGAAAAGATATTCCCCGTGCAATTGACTGGGCATCTAAGCAGGCAGATGGCGCTCCTTTGGTTATTGCAGGTAGCCTTTACCTGGTCTCAGATGTCCTCCGTCTCCTGAGAGAAGCAAAATAATTAAGAACCTCAACTGAAACATATGAACAATGCCTCCCTTTAGATACCCATCAAGGACTAACCGCCTTCTGATTTATTGTAATATAAAGTCATGAATAAATCCAAGTAATTCATGAATGTTTTTCTCTACATGTGACTTGGACTTCCTACAGCGTTGTCTATATTTTAAAGCTTTGCAGTACATAAATTCAATCCACATCTCTACTACAACCTAACTATAATAAAATATCTCGCGTCTCAGTTCATTCTGCCTCATGGATTGTTCATGTTTTAAGAGCACCATTACGCTGATAAGGCTGATCGGAGATACAAAAGCACCCGGTCGCTGCTGCGTCATGCCCCGAACAAGTGGCGGGCTGTGGAGAAGGGGAGCGAGTCCAAAACACCCACTAAGTTACTGCGTTCAGCTTAGCAGGCACAGCTGTAGGTAAGATTTCCTATTTGATTTCTATGATTCAACGTTGGCTCTTGCAGATTCATTAACAGTCTAGGCTTTTGACTGAGATACCTAGGTAGAGGACCAGCATCTAATGTGCATTGACGCGTTTCTGCAGCGCGGCTTTGTGGGTGAAAGCACTACTGTATGTCCCTTTTTTTTTTTTTAACTGGTCTGCAAAAGATAGAGGGAGTCATGTCAAGTTCCCTGCAGCACAATTCTTATATCATACCCTTATATCACTGACCCCTTACGAGAGCTACTGACAAGATACCCCGCTGAATAGCAAATGTCGTGATATGAACGACCCGATCGATACCCTGGCACCTGCCTTTTTCCTCTCCTCCGTTCGCTCCGCTTTCGAGATTCTACGGTCCAAAGCAATCGTCTTATTTTTAAAAGAGACCAATTTGGCAAAATACTACTCTCCATTCTGACCGGTGATGGTATCTCGATCCAACGAGGGGGCCGAGGGGCTCCCTCCGTCTTCCAAGACGCCTGGTACCCCGGCAAAGGCACGGCTCACGAGACTGGGTTCCAGCCCATCAAAACGAGAGGAAAAGACAAAGGACGATAGGATGATAAAATCCTCGGCAAAGGATGTTGCGGAGCTGAAAGATTTTGTACGGCGTTGGCCCCCTTGTGTTCAGCTGGGTATAGGAAACTGACGCTTTCTTTTTCAAGCAACTCGGCGACTGCTTGGGTAGAGGTGCGTTTGGGTCGGTGTATAGGGCGCTCAACTGGAATACGGGGGAAACTGTTGCTGTGAAGCAAATAAAGCTTGCGGATCTTCCTAAGAGTGAGCTGCGCGTCATCATGGTATGATCCATTACTCTGTGATCTCTCCCCGTCCTCGCTAACGTTTACTGGTCCAGCTGGAAATTGATCTCCTTAAGAATTTAGATGTGAGATACTAGCTTTGCTAACCCACAATTCCAATCCAGGGGCTCAAACTGACTTCGATAAACACAGCATCCAAACATTGTCAAGTACCATGGATTCGTCAAATCCGCCGAAACTCTAAACATTATTCTCGAGTACGTTTTACTTCACATGGCCAGGATAGACAGTAGCTGACGGTTTAGATATTGCGAGAATGGCTCTTTGCACTCTATCGCCAAGAATTTTGGCCGTTTCCCAGAGACCCTGGTAGGAGTGTACATGTCCCAGGTCCTTCATGGACTCCTTTACCTGCACGAGCAAGGTGTTATACATAGAGATATCAAGGGCGCAAATATCCTTACTACAAAGGAGGGTCTGGTCAAGCTTGCGGATTTCGGTGTGGCTAGTCGAACCACCGGATTAAGTGAATCAAGCGTTGTTGGTACCCCGTACTGGATGGCCCCCGAGGTGATTGAACTGTCGGGTGCCACAACGGCATCAGATATATGGAGTCTTGGTTGTACCGTCATTGAGCTTCTTGAAGGGAAACCTCCATACTATAACCTGCAGCCTATGCCGGCTCTTTTCCGGATTGTCAACGATGACCACCCGCCTCTACCCCAAGGCGCCTCTCCGGTGAGTCTCATCTAGGGCGTGTTCCTTTTTTTCTTACTCATCCATATCTAGGCTGTCAAAGACTTCTTGATGCAGTGTTTCCAAAAGGACCCCAACCTTCGCGTATCCGCCAAAAAGCTTCTTAAGCACCCTTGGATTGTTAATGCTCGAAGATCAGATTCCATCGTCCCTAAGAAGTCGACCGAATATGAAGAAGCTGTGAAAAGTGTCCAAGAGTGGAATGAAGCTTTACGTTCTCCTGAAACAGGTACACTCAGAAAGGGGGTAAGATATGACAATCAAAACCCAGCATCTTTGCGCCTGGATATTGGCCAGGCTCGCCAGACACCTACAAAGGACACTCTCCCAAGTCCTGTCTCCAGAAGTGTGGCAGATCGATTCCGGTCCCCTGTGTCAGCGGAAGAAGATAACTGGGATGATGACTTTGCTACTGCTATCTCGCCGAGTGCTTTACAGCTACCTCACCTTCGGCCACATGACAACTTCGGAGGCATGCTTTCCTCGGAGAAGCTCAAAGCTTTCGCTTCACTTGATGGGACAGTTCTCAGGTCGGACGATAGTTTCGAAGAATTTGAAGACCCTTTTGGAAGGTCCTTGCAGCCCGGGGATCCAGATCCCTTGAAAACGATTCGCCCATTCTCATCCCAGCAGACAGGTACAGGAAACGCAAATTTCCAAAATATACCCCGTGGTCAGCCTGCTAAGAATTCAATCGCCCCAGGCAATGTGCCAATCCTACAAAATCCAGTATCGCCAATGAGGCAGTCGCGCCCAGCGTCCTTTTACCAAGAGAACTCTGTAGAGGATTACTCTGATCTTATAAAGGCAAACGAAGACGTTTTGGACCGTAAACTTAGTGCTTTTCAGGTGTGCACCATGGAGCCGGCTGCTCGATAAAGTAATGATCTAACTTTTACTAGGAAACCGACGAAGACGCAGATTTTCTGGACCTGGAGACATCGAATGAGGTTACTCATTACCATGGCTCTTCCGAACACGCAGAAGACCAGCAGCCTCAATTAAGAAAGCAAATTTCCGTTAAGCGCCATCGCTCAGCAATAGAAATTCAGCGTTATGCGGAGAATGAAACCGATGAAGATTTTTCGGACATTCTAGGCGCTGATGAAGTGACACTGGATAAGTCAGATAGCGACGAAAGCTCAGAAAAGAGCACTCTGATGCTAAATTCCAAATTATCTAACAACTCCTGGCTTGGAGACCAGGATGATGAGGATGATCCCTTTGCGCAGCTTGAGGAAGGGCTAGATGAAATGGACCTAGAAGCCAATATTGCACGTGATAAGTACGCTCGACTACGAAACCAAGTTGAGGGGCTTGTGGACTCCTTGAAAACCTCTCAAGATGAAGAGGTACTTGGAGAAATCGCGCAACAGCTTCTAGCTATCTTCTACGATTTTCCCGAAACCAAGAACATCATCATCAGCGCTCACGGTATGTTGCCGATACTGGAGATTCTTGATCTATGTCGGCGGAGAGACACCACATTATGTCTACTCAGAATAGTCAACGCAATCATCTACGACGATTATGAGGTACAAGAGAACCTCTGCTTTGTGGGAGGCATCCCGATTATCAACGAGTTTGCCTCGAAGAAGTACCCAAGGGAAATACGACTTGAGGCTGCAGCTTTCGTTCAACAGATGTATCAAACATCAACCCTCACACTTCAAATGTTTGTCAGCGCGGGAGGTCTTAATGTCCTGGTTGAGTTCTTGGAGGATGATTATGAAGATGAACGAGACCTAGTTCTAGTAGGAGTGAACGGTATCTGGAGCGTTTTTGAATTACAGGTGAGTTTACCGACATAATTATGGATAACTGACAGGCTGACAACAGCAGGGCTCGACTCCGAAGAATGACTTTTGCAGGATTTTGTCTCGTAGCTCTGTTTTGGATCCTTTGTCTCTTGTGTTGAGTCGAGTGTTGGACGAAGAAGGAGAATTGGCCGAGATCGTAGAGGGCCGCATCGCAAACATCTTCTTTATTTTTTCGCAGGCCGAGAACCATGTTAAGGAGATGGTTGCTGAGCGTACGGTTCTACATAGTAAGTATAACAACCACAGTTCTAATCACTTTCTTTCAACTAACAGTGTCATTAGGGGTGTTAAAAGAGTTGAAACGCATGACACCTTCTCACCAGATTACAATGCTCAAATTTATCAAGAATCTATCCATGTTATCCACAACTCTTGATTCCCTCCAGAATTCAAACGCCATCGACGTGCTCGCAGACCTCTTGAGATCCACCATCAAGCGCCCCCATTTCCGGGAGGTTTCGAACCAAATCTTGAATACAATCTATAACATGTGTCGCCTTAATAAATCCCGGCAAGAGGATGCTGCCCTTAATGGCATTGTGCCTCTGCTTCAGAAGATTGTGAAAACTGAACGACCGTTAAAGGAGTTTGCATTGCCAATTCTTTGTGACATGGCACACTCCGGGAAGGTTGGCCGTCGGGAATTATGGCGCAACAAGGGTCTCGCTTTCTATATCTCCTTACTCTCTGATCCATATTGGCAGGTTACAGCTTTGGATGCCATTTTCATATGGTGAGTATCACTACCCTCGAACCAAATTCCTCGCTCTAATAATTGTCACAGGTTACAAGAAGAAACAGCCAAGGTCGAGGAACACCTGTTGGATAACCGCCATGACAAACCTTCTTTTACGGATGCTATTGTCAGATGCTTGACGTTGTCGAAGGCAAATGCTTTCGAAAATCTTTTGGAGCCTCTTCAAAAACTTCTAAGGCTCAGCCCTCCCATCGCTTCGACTCTCGCCCGGCCAGACCTATTCACCAGGATCGGACAGAAGTTGCATCACAACAAGGCTGCAGTTCGTTTAAACCTTCTCCGTATTATATCCAGCATCTGCGACTCAAGTGAGGAGCAGGGCGGACTGCTCGCCAAATATGGCCTCTTGGATGCGATTCGAGAACTTGAGCATGATCCCGCCATTCTTGTTCGGGATATGGCTGGAAAGCTTATACAATCGAATGAGCGAAGCGAATCGTATAATCTAGCTAAGCGCAAACCTGCTGTACGGCGGGGAAGCACATCTACAACACCACCCGGTCTCCTCACAAACCAGTCTGCACCCTCCACTCCCCAGATAACTAGACCAAGCCAATCAAAGGGATATTTTGATGCTCGGGAGAGCCAACGACATCCACGAACAGCACTAAGCAGTTCAGCACTGGCACTTCGTCCCGGGAGCAGAGATGGGGTAGCCCCGGGTGTTACGCCCGGCATGAATGGGAGTGCTGGTGCGTCAAGGAGTAGGTTATCTCGGGGGATCTCTCATAGACTCTCGCATGTCGATTTACTAGCCGAAGACGACGCCCGACCCCCAAGCTCGGTATCTCGTCGGCATTCAGTCCTCCCACGGCGCCGACGGCTGACACAGCTGGAGTCAGAACGGGCACCATAGTTGGCAGGTTCAAGCCTTTTATCTTCAACCCCTTTCTGCTAGCTTTCCTTCCGCGAGTTTCAATTGTTGCAACTTTGAGTGTCAGGGTCCAATAATGTATCGCATTGTACGGGCGCAATGGAGTTTTTCTTCTCTGGGTTTTGTCGTATTTCTGTTTGTCACTGCGCGTGCTTTCCTTGTTTGAGGATATTCTAGCAATCCTGGTCTAGAGAGTGCGGATTGTTTTCCATCATCTGCTGAGGATCATGCGCATGTACATAGCATTCGTCTCGGAAATATTGCCAGTGTTCAATCATAAATAACCCTTCACGCCGTGTAAGATTAAAAAGAAGGCAGACAGAACAGTAACTGTATAGATGTAGATAGACGTCATGTGAGGGTCAAAGTTCCCATCCTGTTGCTACTATTTCCGCTTTTGCTTCAGACTTTCGGTCATATTTTATTCTCCCTCCCTGGGTCTAATAACTAATAGTGCATATTTTCTCCTCTCTCGGGCCATGAAGATCCCCGATTGTATGGAAACAAGCACCGTGCCATTCGGTCGCGGCGAGTCCCGGGGTGAAAATGCCACGAACAGCACTGCAACGGCCACGGGATAATTTTTGTTTCTTCCGCCCTCATCGCTTCCTCCCATCTCATTCCTCGAAAACTCTTCCGTCGTTATTCGCCCAATGGCCTCGCGGTCGTACTGATGAAAGACTTCCTCCGCCCCTCTTTTATTCTCGACTCGTGGTCGCTCTCTGTACGGCATTGTTCGTGCCCGGTATGAGGGTGGCGCTCCGCACCCCGCTGCGGGCTTCCAGTTTTGACCCGTCGCCTGTTATCGTCCGATATACCTCGAATCTTACTCCGAAAGGGCTTTCTCTGCAGCATAGTTTAGGTTACAGATGGGTATCCAGTGAGTCTAGGTCGGCATTTGCGACCGCTCAACGGTGTCCTTCGGGACGATTTATCCCCCGTGCAACTTTCTCCACGGGGCCACGGGGTCTCTTTGGATCGCAACAGACTGCTGGTGGTGGAGGAGGGAAACAGCCTCAGAGGAAATGGATCAAGTATGCTGTGATTGGAGGAGCTGCTGCTGTCGGTGCAGTGGCTTTTTCTGATCAGGTTCAGCATTTCTATCGTGCCGCGCAAAGGACTGGAAGGGTTGTCGGCGCGTTGGTGGTCTGTATCAACGAGTAAGTTGCGACGCAGAAGGAAACGGAATCTGCTCATCCTTTGAGAACTTTGAGTGCATAGTCTAACATAATCTGTCAATCAATAGCTATCGGGTCACCCTTAAACAGGAAACCGCATCTCCAGAAGAACGAAGCAAGGTCATTCGCGCCTGTCACAAACGCTGTGCAGAACGGACTCTCCTTGTACTCGAGAAAAATGGATCCATATTCATCAAGCTGGGCCAACATCTTAGCAGCATGGGCTACTTACTTCCGCTAGAATGGACCACAACTTTTATCCCTCTCCAAGACAGATGCCCCGTTTCGTCTATCGAATCTATCGAAGAGATGTTTATTGCCGATACCGGCCACCGCATCGATGAGCTCTTTGATTCGTTTGAGCCAGCACCAATTGGTGCTGCCTCTCTGGCCCAGGTTCACATCGGAACGCTCAAGGAAACCGGGCAAAAGGTTGCGGTGAAGGTGCAGCATCCCGCGTTGGCAGAGTGGGTGCCGTTAGACCTGGCTCTGACAAGGTTCACTTTCTCAATGCTGAAGCGCTTTTTCCCTGAGTATGACCTAGAATGGCTTTCAAAGGAAATGGATTTCTCGCTCCCTCAGGAACTAGACTTCCGCATGGAGGCGCAAAACGCAACCCGGGCGAGCGAGTACTTCAAGAAACATTCGGACGCGCCGCTTGTGATCCCAGATGGTATTTTAACTCTTTCCTTTTCAAGATAGGTTTTACTCATTCTAACATTCTATAGTTATGTGGGCACAAAAGCGTATTCTTGTGATGGATTTCTTGTCTGGCCATAGACCGGATGACCTGGAATTCCTGGATGCCAACCACATCGACCGGGACGAAGTTTCCGCAGCATTAGCTCACATCTTTAACGAAATGATTTTTGGCGACAACGCCCCTTTGCATTGCGATCCTCACGGTGGAAACATCGCCATCCGGCCGAATCCTAATCGACGTGGCCACAACTTCGACATCATCCTCTACGATCATGGACTGTATCGTGATATTGATCGAGATCTGCGCCGCAACTATGCCAGACTTTGGTTGTCGGTTATTGAAGCGGATGAACCAAATATGCGCAAGTACGCGCGCAAAGTCGCCGGTATCAACGATGAACAGTTCCCACTCTTTGCAAGCGCAATCACGGGCAGAGATTATACTGTACTAGCAAAGAAGGATATCGTCTCTTCTCGCACCGCGGCTGAGAAGGAGAGTATCTCCGGTGCCTTGGGGGAGGGCATGTTGCAGCAGCTTGTGGTGTTGCTAGGCCAGGTTCCACCGATCATTCTCCTAATCCTCAAGACCAATGATCTCAGTAAGTTGCTCTCATCTGCACTTTGTATACTAATGATAAATCTAACACATGTATTACAATAGCTCGAAGCCTCGACGAGAACCTCCATACCCGCCGCGGTCCTATGCGCACATTCCTAATTCTTGCTCGCTACGCAACCCGTACCGTCTTCGAAGAACAAATAGAAAACATCAAGGAGACTGGAGGACTGCTACGCCCCAGTAACTTCTGGCAATTCCTCTGTGCTTGGACGATGTATCTCCGTGTTGAGTTGAAGCTCTCCGTGTACGAGACCGTGCTGTCGCTGAAAAGCCGATTCGGGCTTTTATAAGACGTGCGCCATTCCTTCTTCTTCACTTGGTTTTTAATAATCTCGGCCGTGTGGCTCCATGAACTCCCAGCCAAGCATATCTCATCTCTTGTATCTTTTAATCTTCTTGTTTTGCTGTTTATCACAGCCCGACGTTTCCTTTTCCTTTCCTTTCTTTACCTTAAAGGATGTCGTTGATTGTCTATTCCCAACTCCTTTACAGTTTTTTTTTTAGACCATGTACGGGAAGAGTGTATATAAAGCTATCTGTATATTTTATTTTGGGTTTTAGTTTATAGAGTGAATAGACCGATGAAATTCAACTCGTATATCTCTCTTCATGTATATCTCTCTTCAGAGTCTAGTTGTATTATATTATGGTATCTTGATCCAATAACTAATACTCGGTGATTCTGCTACCTAAATAGAAAGCTTAGACCGTTGAAGTTATGGGATATTTATTGATCCTACCTAGTTATCCTACAGTGAGTGAGTCTAGTTCGAATATATTGCCACGGAACATCAACACAAAAGCAGAGCACCAACCACCATCTTCCTCAACATCATCCCCTCCACCCTTCTACAAACATACACCTCCATCATCCAGCCACACATAGCATCATCTCAAGAGGAAAGAAAAGAAAAAGAAAAGAAAAGAAAATCCAAAATGTCCAAAAAACCACTTGGCCGTACATCAGGGGTAAGCTAACAACAGACCCTCTGCCCCGTCAACCAGGATCATACCTCCCCAAAGCATGATACGATGATAATTATTGAACCCGGTTAATAGTCTTTAAACGCCCCAATTGCCGCCTTCACAATGGCAGTCATTTTATGCTCGTACTGCTTTTACTCGATTCGTTCTGCGCGAAGGGAGGCCCAGCAGTCTTCTGCTTCATCTTCTTCATCATCTACAGCTCCAGCTCCGGCTCCGGCTCCGGCCGCGATGAGTGAGAGTGTAGCGCAGCGAGAGCAGAGAAGACTTGCACAGCAGCAGCAGCAGCAGGGGTCTTCATGGGTTCAGAGGGCGTTGGAGGAAGAGAAGGAGAGAAATAATACTGGGGCCAGGTAACGCTTGCTTCGATTCTCCCATTTTTTCTTTCTTTCTTTCTTTCTTTCTTTCTTCGGTGTATGGTCCTGTGGTGTCTTTTTTTGTCCATCCTACTTCAAGTACCTAGGAGTATTATTGGATTGTGTTGAATAACGTATATATTATATTATATTTATATAATATATCATAGATAGGGATTATATGGGATCTATCATATTGTATGTACAGAGAGTACTTTTTATCTAACCTGACATGTCATGTTGGACTATTTAATGAATTAACAAAGGTAACGAGTTATTTAATTTTATTTAGTTTGCAGAAAGCAAGAATCATATATATACTGTATATAAAATTCATATTATTCCTTGTATTCGCTCCTAATAGTGAGAAAAAGCGTAGTTCCCTTGACCCTACTTCCTGATCATGACTGATTAAAGTAGGGAACTAGTAATAGATAGATATCCTAGCAATATTTGTTAGTATGCAAACAAACAAACAAAGAAACAAAGGAATCAAAATATCCCAAGTCAAGAAGCAGTTCAGAATTTTCAGTGTATGAATAGTCATGTCCAGGTGTTTGACTGGATCTACCATTGAATAAAAATGCATCATGCTATTTTGTGTTTCAGGGTCTGGGGAGGGAATAAGTACCTATTGTGAGCAGTTCCAGGATCAATTGAGTGCGTCAGTGTATGAAAATGGCGTGGGTCAATACTGTGTGGGATAAAAGAAAGAAGGAGAGAAGAATTCATCGGAAGAGAGTTTTGTGCGATAAGTGGGGTCACGTGATCTACGGGTTTCTTGACACAGTCGAACTGACATCCTTTTTCTGAAGTTCAGCAAGTAAATGAATTCTAGAGACAGAAGTAAGTATAGAAAATAATGAGTCTTTATCCTATGTACATTCAAGCTATGCAATGTCGATTGTGAGGGAAATGGAAAAAGCCACGCTCATAAAAAAAAAAAAAAAAAAAAAAAAAAAAAAAACGAATCTGGTGGACAACAATGCAAGGAGGAATCAAAGACACCCTCGCATGGTAGAGCCATATCAGTCTACCCTAACACCGTGAACATAAGAAACGGTCCGTGCCGAAGGAACATATCTTTCGCCGAAAAATCAAGTATCTGTAACAAGACAGGAGCGATGCAGCCCAGAAGGAAAACTGCACAACCCCCCCTGGAAGAGTGTACAAGGAGCAGGAACGAAAACAGGAAGAAGCATGTTCTGAACCACCCGCGTCTATTGATGCATATCCGTTGATAAGACGTGATTTCGCCGATTGACTATATGGCCTTGGCGGAACCTCTTTCCTCCGCTATCTGGATTTCCAGTTGTCCTTCGTGCTTAATATGCCCGATGGTCATGCGGAGATATTCATATGTAAGCATGGTAGTCATGGCCGCCGGGATAGCTCGGAACAAATTCGTGCCAATCCCGGAATAGAAGGCACGCCATCCCTCCTCTTTTAGAATTGTTTGGAAGGTGCGGATGACGCCGGAATAACGGGGTCGGTTGGGCATACCATCTGATGACGCTGCAACTGGGGGCCTTCCGCGGTCCTGAGGATGGTCAAGACCGCCTCGGAATGTAATCTCCTCCGGAGATGGCGAAGGGTATGTTCTTTGCTGAGTTTGAAGTCTTGTCCGTAGAACCTCGTGAGGGTAGGTCAGTGTGCTTGCACAAATTTTACTTAGAAATGTCGCACAGCATATTCCAATCCAATGAGAACTGCCGTTATCAGGATGTTCTCCGATGCTGTAGCCGGTGAAAGCCATCTTCAAGTATTCGTAGAGTGGAAATTGGATGGCAACGTGTGTCAATCCCAGCAAAGCCGGCGTGAGTCCGGAATAAAACGAAAGGATTCCTTCGTGTTGATACATCTTGCGGGCTGCATCCCATGTGCTTTTGTACTGCCAAGGAGCTCGGAAACCTTCACTGCTAGACTTCATACTTTGAGACATTAATCGAGTCTTGATTACCCAGATGGGATTCGTAACAAGAGTCGAACAAGCGCCTGCGGTGATGGAAGCATAACCTCGTGATAGCCACCAACTATCTGTATTCGGGTTTAGTGAGCAGTTCGACTTCAAAAAGAGCGATAGAACTCACCGGTGGTTTCGTAAAAGTACTCTCGTGTTCGGTCATAAACTGCCAAATAAACCGCCCAGGTAGGCAGGTAACCTAGAAGCATTGGCCCCAGTCCCTGGTAAAGACCTCGGATACCATCTTCCCTCCATATCGTTCTCCCCGTCCCTAGCATCCCCCGGTATAACGTCTTCGCCTCGACCATGTTCGCCCGTCTTCGCGCGAATCCCCCCTGGGCCTGCAACTTCGTCTTGATAACATCCAGCGGACACGTCACAATCCCTGACGCTACACCTGCGGCGGCCCCACAGAAAGGAGTCACATAGTAGTCCGGGACACGAGTGGAGAGAAGCTTGATGCGAGTGATAAGGGTTGGATTCGACGTAACCGGAGGAGATACATGGAGGCTCGGGGGCGGAGAGCTGTCGGAATTTGTCACCTGCTGCTCATTCGAGCTGCTGGCAGCCCCTGACGTGTTATGCTCGCCTGAAAACATCCTTGCAGCCAGCGCTCAAAGCAGCTCAACAGCCGTCCGTGCTGATAATATTCACCGAGCAGGGTTCCCGGAACCGAGCATATCGGTGCTCGCTCCGGAACCCAAAGAACCGTTGACAAATCGCGGGGAGGTCAGGATGTCTCTTCTGTTTGTTAACAGGCTGGAGGTCTCGTGGGATAAAAAGGTGGTCAAGTGCACAGAATTGGAAGGATTTATTGACTGGGACGATGCTGCCGAGTCGTCTAGGATTTTAAAGTTGCCCTATCTAACTAGTGCACAGACTGGGGCGCGGGGTCTGTCGAGGCAACTCAGATCCTGAATTGAACTAATGGAAAGGGAAAGAAAAAGAGAGTTGGGGAGAAAAAAGAGAGGAAAGAAAGAAAGAGTACCAGGTAATTCAACGGTTGATAATCCTCATTCCCACGCAGAGACAGAGATAAAAAAAGGAACGAGAGAGAGAAGCCTCAGGTGTCGATGACGAGCGAAGAGGAATAATGGATCAAGGACGGGATAGCGCGGAAAAATCGGCGAAAGGAAATCCAATGACGGTCTCACATACGGAAGAACCAACGAGTAGTAGTGAAGGAACTGAGAAGGCCGGCAAAGACGATTGTCTTCCACTCGGTCTTAAGGGAGGTTTTGGAGTACCTGCAAATCTTCCTTTGGCCAACTGGATTCCAGTCTGGAGCACATCCGGTGCCAATCAGATCATGACATTTTGTTGCCTAAGGCATCGCAGCTAAACATTCCATCACGTGGATGCGGTCGAAACCGGCTTTGGAAAGTTCTGCCTCAGGCACTTAATTCGGATGTTTTTGGGAAAGTTCCCCCGTCGAACCTCCCGTTTTGCACAATCTCCAACGTCGGGCCACTTCTGTTCAGCTTGACTGACATCCTGCGATCCCCCCCCTCCACTCCACCCCCGTCAATTGGAATCTAGGCCAGCTCCTCGTCGGAATAATTCATCATGTCCGCTCCTTCTCTTGCCAACTACATCGTCAAGCGCCCATGGCTCAAGAACTGGATGATGCCACTTGCCCAGTGGTACACCGACGCTGCCGGCTACAGGAAACTCGGTCTGAGGTACGCATCGCCTGGTATCTTCGATAGCCCCGAGGCAAGCGCTGGAAACGATCAATTTTCGAAGGACAATGCCTCTCAATTAATATTTTTACGTCCTTCAATCGCCATTCCGCGTCGTTCCTGCTCGTCCGGGGTTCATCAGATATCCCGTCTCTTGAAACCCAGCAGTACCAGCTAACTAGAATATCAGATTCGATGACCTGATTCCTGAGGAGAACGATACCGTCCAGAAGGCCCTCAAGCGCCTTCCCCCCAAGGAGGCCTACGACCGTGTCTTCCGTATCCGCAGAGCTTTCCAGGTTCGTCATTCTTGAAGTAATTTGGGGAGGGTCAATTGGCTAATGTAACGGCCTTCAACAGTGCTCCGTGTCCCACACCCTACTCCCCGCTGCTGAGCAGACCAAGCCCTCCGAGGTGAGTTGATTTTTTTTTTTTCCTCTTCTAGCTCGCAATAGCTCTCCGACTTCTCCGCATAACAATCGGCCAATCGCGTGAGGTGGATTTGTCAACCGATTGATACCCCAGATATGATGCAGAGTTGATTGAAAATGGACTTTCGCGAAATTGTTCAAGCTGGATGAAAACAGTTGCTGACTCAAATCGCTAGGATATCGAGTACCTGGGCCCCATCATCCGCGAGATCGAAAAGGAGCAGAAGGAGCGTGAAGACCTTGACAACATGGTCGTCAAGCGGTAGATGGCTTATTCCCCACTGTAATCTAGTCATCAAAAAAATACAAAACCGTCTCCGGGGTATAGACAGGCGGGATAAGGCGATACAAGATTTGTTCTCGGCTGGGTGCTTCGTCGAGTGAAGCATTTGGCGGGCTGTTGCTTGAACTTTTGGATTTATGCCGTGCAACCCACGTGTACTGATACTGTACAAATTCATTTGTTATTCTTCTCTCAATCATCCTCGTGATGAATGTACCGCATCCCTCGTATCATGCTCTATACCAAACATTGCAAGAACCGTATTGGGGATATTTGAGTCATTCAAGTTGTATCAAAACTAGTGCATCTTATATCGAGGTCTACTATCGTATATACTTGTGTACTCCAATCACACAGCTCAGTTACTCATCACCGTGACATCAACTTCCTCTACGCGCCACATGTACCACATGAAGAGACTCCTAATTAAAGTGAGAAAAGCCCATTATATGCGGTCCCTTCAAGTTGGAACATACCTATACGGTGCGAACTTGGCCGCGAGTTCTAACATGTCACTTTCCGACATATACTTGAACTTACCACCACCTTTGGCCTTGAGCTTACTCACATCTTTTCCTATAAAAGCTGCACACCCTCTCCTATATCACCGTCAAATCTTTCGTACTGCAGGTAAAAACGTAGAACCAGGAGTACTCGGGGTAGATCCCCCCCCCCCAAAAAAAAAACTACAAGATGAGAAAAAGAGGGGGGGGGGGGAGAACTTACTGGACGCCCAAATCCCCTGTCGAAAACACATCCGTCCGCTTCAGCGTAAAACAAGCAAACATCTCCACAGACCATCTCCCCAGGCCACGCACGGCAGTCAGCTTTTCAAGAAGCTCGTCGTCACTTGCACTCAGCAACATCCGCGCACTGAGCTCGCCGTTTGCGAATTTCTCCGAGAGACCCTGGATGTACTCTGCTTTCCGCTGGGAGAGGCCCGCGGTGCGTAATAGGGGGATATCACATTTGACGATTTCCTCGGGGGTAGGGAAGTAGTCAGCTGGTGGTGGTGGTGGTATTATCGTAGTCTCACTTCCGCTTCCGCTTCCGCTTCCACCGTTGTTGATAGTAATACCATCGTTGGGATTGCGGTTGCGGTTGCGGTTGCGGTTGCGGTTGTTAATCCCATACAACAACCCCACAAACCTATCCTTGATTGATTTCGCCGCCGCCCCTGAAACCTGCTGCCCGATGATCGTGCTTACCAGGCTGCGGAAGGGGTCGATTTTCTCGGCTAGCCCTTGCGGCGAGAAGAGCTTGCAGGGGTGTTGTCTGATGATCGGCTCGAGACGGGCATCTGTGGCGATGAGATGTGCGGTTGCCTGCTCCAGGAGGGTACCTGTTGTTGCGGTTGGACGGGGCAGGCCGGTCTTGGAGGGGGGGATGATGATGTCCCAGTCCAGGGCGTCCGGGGGGTATGCGACTAGGGAGGAGCCGTGTGGAGTAAGAAGGGTTGCGTTTGTTCTGTGTGGTTCGACGGGGCGGTCAAGGGGGGGAGGAGGGGTTTGAGGCCTGTTTCCGATGTTGTCTTGGGGGAGGGGAGGTGGTGGTGGTGGTGGTGGTGAGGGGCTATCCCAGTAGGTCGTGGAATTGGGAGCTGGGGCTTGGGGTGTGTCGGAGGTAGGGGTGGTGGCTGTCTGGTGGGGGCTTAGGAGAGGTTGAGGGAGCGAGTTCGGGTTAAGGGTCTTTTTCCTCTTCTGGGTTTCTTTTGCTGATGGCTTTCGTGACTTTGTGACTCCGTTGCTATTGCTGCGTTGCGATGGGGATCTGTTGGGTTTTGCGGGCTGGATGCTTGGTTGCAGGGGGAGCACTGCACTCAGTCGAGCGGAGCGTCGTAGAGCCATTCTATTACATATGCATGGGACGGGATTTCCCGGCAATCCAGTAAGCAGATGCGATTTGGTTCATGAGGATTGTGATGATCTCTAGAAGTTCCGGGGTTGACGATACTCCAGCGGATGTATGTATGTGTCATGTTACAAAGTCACGAGAAGCTCGTATTCCAACGACTCAGCGCACCTGGATTTTTGTTTGGTTCTCATTCTACAGTGCAGTATCAATGTGTAGCTAATTGGTGTCTGGGTTTAACTTTTCTGTTTACACTGCCCGGCAGTTGCTCCTCTTGGTAGTTTCTGGGTAGTTTCACTCAAGAGGCCGCAAAATATATAACCCCGCTTTGCGCTTCCATCATAAACACCCAAATGTCCAACAAAAATTTGCATCGGACAACTTATTAGATCTTATAAACTACGCGACAGTGGCCGTTACTGCCTCTCTACTATTAATAGCATGTGTCAACAGAGAATAAACACTCTAAGGTATTTTGAGCAAAATCCACCCGGAATTCAAGAGAAGTGTATCATAGGACCACTCAAGACTGTTTAAATAAAAGTCTTGATAACACATACTCGGGCAGCAGGACAAGAAACTTCCAATCGAAATCTTGATCTCAAATCATTCCAATGCAAGAATCACGCAAGGAAGTCTGGAGTAGCTCGTTTCGGTAGTTCAGACTGACCAGATTGCATCTTGCATATGCCGTTCACTTGAGGTTGCGCGTATATAACTGGATAGGTTTAGGCATTTTGCTGTCGTCCTATCTGACGACTTGGTAGACGTTTGATGGTAAGCTAAAAATTCACTGTTGCATCTTGAGTACTGGAGCATGCGTCCTCTTCAACACTAACTAATCAGTAACTGACCTGCCCGTGCCGTTTATTCAGGGTTGGGACTGGGTTTAGTAGGTTAGTATGGAGTCGCAGCGGAGTACTAGTAGTCATTTCGGTACCGCGGATCAGGACAGGACGGAAACGAAAGCAGAACCGCGTAGATACACAGGTGACAGGAGTATTAATTTTCTTTGATAGTGAAGCGAAAACTGCCAGCACCCGTAGTGGAGCATTGGAAATCCGTTTGAAGAAAAAGCTTCGCCTCACCTGGACCAATTGCTTACCAGGTGGCTTGAGAAGTACGAATGCGACCTGGGAACCACGTACTCCCCAGCCAAAGAGATCAGAGACCGAGGTGCGCATTTGATACTTGACTAGCAGGGATACGATATTTTCGAATATGAGGTGGCATTGCTTTGCATTTACAGTGTCTTGCTCACCAAGACTCATACCAGCTTCGGGTGTCATGAAGGGAAAAAAAAGGGAAAGCTTTCTTTTGTTCCTTTGATAGTAAATGCCAGCAATAGGCTGTTCTGGCCCTTATCAGGAGTCAGCCACCCGAGCGAGCGCAGCGGCCCTGCAGAACGTGCTCAACGTAAGATTACTATTTAGTATTTCTTCGTTACTTGTATTACCACACAAGACTCTATTTTTAGCGATCAAGGAGAGGTCGAGGTCCTGGAGAAGTGGGTAGGGAAACCCTTTATTAGTATCACAAGAAGGCCCTTCATTAATATCGGACGGAGTCAATAAAGGGTTATTGGCGAGGCCGAGGAACGCTGATCCGTTTTAGATGAAGCAAGAAGATGGGAAGCTGAGAACCGATATTGCGATTTGCAACAGATGACGGTGGAGCTAATGATGGTGGGGGACTACCTAGGTAGTGGCCGAAAGAATAATAACTCTAAAAACCGATCGAAAAGCGATATACCTAGAATGGTCTGCACTGTGTAGTGTGTACAGGAATTGACCCCGGTAGAAGGATGCGTTTTGGATGATGACCAAGTATGGATGGCTGGTAAACATTCTTCTTGTGCGGTACTCGTAATACTCTGCAATTCCAAGTGCGAAGCTTTTGCTACTGAGTAATTAATTAATAGAAGCAGGAAAAGAACCCGGGTTGGCTGTATGTACAGAGTACTGTATGTAAATTACACTGGTGATCACAGGGAGTGGGTCGATTTCTAGCGATGAAACACGTGATTGAGCGGCTATTGGATATTCGAAATGATTCCAGTCACACCCTCGCCACTTTATTCTTAGGTCCTTTTATCGGCTACTATTATTGGATATGGACGGTTCTGTCGTACTCCACTTGTACCTGGCGAAACTGATCATCAAAAAAGGTACAATTGCCAGTATCTACATGATGATAACAGGGTTATGAAATCACAGTTCATCTTGTTCAAGTTATACTCTAGCTAATACATAGTAGGTAAAATAGAATATTTACATTTCCTGGTAGAGGAGAATCTTGAGCTAAGCCACCAGATTCCAGCATGTGGAGGAACCTCACATACCAACGTATCGCAGGAAGGAAGGAAAGCCGGTGGTGGGTCATTGAGAAATTCCAGCAAATTTCGATAAGCAACGACGCGTCAACAGACTTGGATTTTTCCTCTTGGGTGATAACCACAACATTCTTCTAGCTGGGTTATTGGGATGGATATAATTAAGAATGGAATACTATCACAGTATCACTCGAGTTATATGGCAAGAAAAGGATGGATTTCATACTTGGGAAGAGAGCAGAAAGTGGTAAAGAATAGAATTGGGGCATTAAGTTTTTTTTTTTTTTTTTTTTTTTTTTCATTTTAATTTCAAGTTATTGATTGAGATCTCAATGTAAGATAGCCAGTAAGAAGAACGGAAATTAATTCAAGTTTCTTAAATGTGCGTTGGGGTTGAGTCTAGCCCGAAGTCTGTCTCTCCTCCATAGCTGTGGCAGAATTCATTGTTTTCCTATTGCAGGTGAAACAATAATAAGAAACAATTAAACCAAGTACCTAGGTAGGTTAGGTATGTAAATAATATATTATGATAGGGAATTAATCAGGAGGATTACTAGGTACTCTTGTCTCTTATTTTCTATAGGAAAAAAAAGGGAGAAAAAGGAGTCGGAAATAAATAAATTAAGTACCACGATATGAGGGGTGTATGTATTAGTATAATACTTGTACATACCATCAATACAGGAATTGGTAACGACTCAGGACTTTGTACTAGTTATAGTACGCTAATAGTAATAGGTCCACCTCCCTCCCTCCCTCGGGCCACGACTCCTTTCTTGTCCTCCAAAAGCCTTCTTCTTCTCGTCTGACGACCTTTCCATCCAGTCCTTCCTTTTCCCTCACCTTCTTTTTCTTCTGTTTCTTTCCCTTCATTCTTCTTTGAGAACGTGCTTGCCCAATCCGTGCACTTCCTGTGCTTAAGGTACTTCGACCTAAACGCTTCTCCCTCGTTGAAGCATCTCCTTCTTTCATTCGTTTATTTACCCTTCTTTCCCATCTTCGCCAGCTTTCTTCGCTACTACTTGTCTTGCCAACACACAGGGCCAAGCAGTTGCCGTATACATAACCCTCTAGTTTAGTCCTTGCCAGTGAGTAAACCCTCATCATACCCAACCACCATTCTGTTTATCCAGGGGCTGGGATCACTTGAACCGCCCAGGACAGAGTGCTAATTTGGTACGCCTTCAGCATTAGAGACATTTCCCCCCTCCCTCTCGCTTTCATTTCACCAGAAATGGCTTTCGTCAAATACGCCCTGCCCGCGCTCGCTGTGGCCCAGGCGGTTCTCGCAGCTGGTGAGTCAAAGACAACTTCACAACTTGATTTCTATTCTCGTTCTAGGGGGTCTAACATTCAACGCAGACTGTGGTAGCGGTAGCACCATTAAGATCGCCAGCCAGACCGATGCCGACGGATACGAGACCTGCAAAACCCTCAATGGCAGTGTTGAGCTCGATGAGCATATCAGCGGAACCCTGACCCTGAACACCGTCGAGAGAATCAAGGGTTCCCTGTCCTGCTCCAACGGCGCGAACATCACCTCGCTTTCTGCTCCTAGCCTGGCAACTATCGATGACGCATTCGACCTGGAGGGACTCACTTCCCTCACCGAACTGAGCTTCCCCGATCTCACCAGCGTTGGAGATATCAACTTCCAGGCTCTTCCTCTCCTGTCGGCCCTCACCTTCACCACCGGTGTCACTGAGGCCGGCAGTGTGTCCATTGTGAACACTGGTCTGAACTCCCTGGATGGAATCTCCCTGAAGACGGTTGGTAGCTTCGTTATCACCGAAAATACCCAGCTGCAGACTGTCAACGTCAACAACCTCAAGAATGCCACCAACCTGATCAACTTTGCCGGAAACATGGAGTCTCTCGATGTCTCTTTCCCTAACCTTGCCACTGGCACCAACATGACCTTCCGTAATGTCACTTCGGTCTCGGTTCCTTCGCTCACCACTCTTACTGGCCAGCTCGGCTTCTGGGGCAACCTTTTCGAATCCTTCAGCGCCCCCAACCTCACTGAGACTGGCGACCTGGTCTTCAATGATAACGCCAAGCTTAGCAACATCACCATGCCTGTCCTTAAGACTGTTAACGGTGGTTTCCTGATCACCCTCAACGACGACCTCGATGACATTAACTTCCCTGACCTTCAGACCGTCACGGGTGCCATTGACTTCAGCGGTGAATTCAACCAGTAAGTTGCTATCCCTGCGCCCTTAGCCGCGTGTTTCCACATGCTAACGACTTCTTAACAGGGCCTCTCTTCCTTCCCTGAAGAACGTCCGTGGTGGGTTCAACATGCAGAGCACTGGTAACTTCAGCTGCACTACCTTTGATAAGTGGAAGGGCACCATCATCCACGGCACCTACGAGTGCAAGACCACCTCGCACCCCACCACCTCTGATGGCTCCTCCGGATCTTCCACCACCACCAGCAGCAGCAACTCTTCCAGCACTACCACCAAGAGTGCTGCTGTCCTGACCGCTGCCAACCTGCCTTCCATGGGTGTTGCCGCTCTTTTCGGTCTCCTGGTCCAGTACATTTTGTAAAGGCACTTGATATCAAACCGTCGTGTATGCACTTTTTCCTCCTTTATTTTAGCCCGATGTGGTCGTGTAGAGTCACATAATAAGCAATGGGGTTTTTTTTATTCCTGTACTGTGTTGTTCTTATGATAATAATTGAATTCTTTGAGCACTTTGTGATCCGAAGATGTTTTTTTTTTGAAGAAACCCGCTAGCAAGACTGTTGGCAAGAGTCTCTGGGGCTCAGGGATGGCTGGGTTATAAAAATTGCCAGGTATGGGAAATTGTTTGAGCTGGTGGTGATTCCCATGGCCCGGAAGCGAGCTGAGTTTTGCATTATCTGTTCTATAGACGTTCCTTTGCAGCATGTTTTATTTGTTGAACACTGGTCGGATTCCATTGTAAGCCTTTTTAGGATCGTATTCGTATGTGGCTCTTTGCTCCGCTATACGGTTCTATTCCACCGTGACTGGGATACTTCTCCTACCGTCTAACTCACTGATGAGTCGATCCCGGGTATGTTCACCCCCATTTCCATGTCTTTTTCTTCATACAGCTACATTCCCATCTCCCAATGTATTGCAGATAGTCCGTACGAAGGTTTGCCGTGGGCCCTTCTTGCCCTTGACCTCTGCTCTCTCCTTCGGGATTTGGATTTGGATTTAGATTTTAGATTGGGCTGGGTGATCGACGACAGAGCGAGCGAGATTTTAGGTAAGTATACTTGGCTCTATCTAGTACGTACAATAGAGTTGACTGACGGACTGACGGACTGGCTGAGAAGACTAGGTACCTGACTACTACTAGGTAACTACTACTAGTTAACTACCTAAGTAGGTAGGTAGGTAGGTAGGTAGGAAAGAGGCAGCGGAGAGTTATACATAGAAAGGAACATTGGAAGTCTAGGGTAGCCTGCCTGCCTACCTAGGTACCTACGCTACCAATCAATTCCTATTATTTAGTGTGCACTGTGATCGCCGTTCCGTACATAAGAGGTAGGTAAAACCACCTAATAATAGAAGAAGAAGAGAACGAACGGTCCCAATCTTCGAGGGGAGGAGGAGGTAGTTAGTTACTCCGTAAGTAAGTAAGTAAGTAAGTAAGTAAACTATAGTTAGCATGATCTGACGCGCGACAACGACCTATGTTTTGTTTCATACCTAGGTAAATGAATGAATGAAATGATTGGGCAAGGAGAACCAATAAGCGAGTCATGAGGCTCAGTTAGGTTAGGTAGGTTAGGTAGGTTAGGTACTTTGTTATCGTAGGGGATGTGATTAGGAAACTCCTACGTAGTTGGAGGCAGCGTTTTTGATTTATTTATTTATTTTTCTTTCTTTCTTTCTGCTGTGAGGGGCTGGGTTGTATATTGATTCCAGTGCCCCCCGTTGGGTACTTTATCGGCCTGGAGCATGGACTACTATGGTATGTAGTCTATCTACCTACCTACCTAGGAAGTATACTGGTTAAAGTTGTCTTCATCATACTACTCCGTACCCGAGTAGTGGACCTAACCTCAAATAAAGGATTTTAGGTTTAAAAATCCAGTCAGGAACCTGCACGAAAGGAAGCGAGAAATTAACTGGACTGAAAAGGAGATTCAAATCCACTAACACGGGCTTAAATCTGAGGCGAAAGCGGGGAATTGGGATTGGTTGGAACTGATGGAAGGCTTGTTCATGATGGCTGCACTATTTTTTGCTCCTTGAATTCTTCTCTTTCTATTTCTATTGATGTAAATAAATGGATCAAAAGGGGTGTAAAGCACTGGGCATTAACAAGAATAATCCTTCGTTCCTTACCTTGTGTTGTCGGAATCAAGAACCTGAGGGTTTACTGTGATCAAGGGGAAAATCGGGAGCGAGCTTAGAGCATGATCCTGTTTTGAATCCAAGAGTGAGTGGGTTTTCGCACGGATCGGTCCGTACTTTTTAGCACTGACCGACAGAAACAGAGAAAAGAGTTGCTGGCATACTCCGTAGAGCTCGGCCGAAAATGCAGAGGAGCGCAATATGATAGATAGATAGATGATATAACAAAAGTCGCCGGTCTTGCTTTGCTGGCAGCGGGGTGGATGCCTTAGGGTTGCTCTTTTCTTTTTCTCCTTCTTGTTCTGCACAAGAAGAAAGGAAAGCTTTCGAGTTTCAAGTGAGACAGGCCCTGATCAGGGTTCGCGGATCCATGGGATGCACGGGCAGGGGGATGGATATATGAGCTAGGTAAATGTAGCTGTTACTCGTATAGTTCTGCTGGTGATGACGACCAAGTCTAGAACCGTCCTGCAGAACAGAAGTTTTGATTTCGCCCAGGACTATGACGATGACAAGTATTGGGAATTTGTGAGTAAGATCCAGATCCGGATACCGTGTCTTGATTCCTTCCCATGCCCTTGCTGGACTTGGGAGAATTGAGCGCAGTGATACAAACCCCTTCTCGGTAGATATGAAGCAGAGGCCGCCAAGTATTTCCTAGGCTTCACTAGCTTTACTAGAAGGTAATAAATAGGCAGGGAGGTCGACCAAAGATCTGAAACACCGCACGAGAGAAGAATAGAGTGCGCGCACACCGCGCACTGGACCGTCCGGTGCATATAAAAATCACGGTAAAATGATTCCCGAGTTTGAATCGTGCTGGTGCCGTGCTCTGCAGCCAGTGCTGAAACGCCGGAGGGACCGAGTGGCAACAACGAAGCACTAAAACAGAACCAAAGCGCGAGTGAGCTGAAGAAAGGGACGAGGAGAAAGAGGAAGGACAGTCGATACATAGGACAGGATCTTGCATCGAATGGTGCTATTACCACGCAGGGCATCCCTGGTTCACCGTCATGCAAGTATGGGGTTAGCCTGTCAATGAGGACGTAGGTGGACGGGTCCGCTACTGTACGGTTGGAAAAGCCGGTAGACAGGTAGACAGACTAGAGCTCAACGCGTGAAGAGCGATGGAGGTGTAGAAGGACCAGTGCTTTTGTCTTTTCTGATGAATCATTTGTTCAGCGTTTATTCTTAGCCCAGGTTCGTTTCTTGTTTCCAGCAGGGGATTGAATTCCGAAGTTGAAGTTTGTACTTGTTTGTTTTGTTTTGTTGTTGTTGTTGCTGTTGTTGTAAGAGACTTTTTCTTCTTCTTCTTCTTCTTATTATTACTTGTCTCGTTCTTGAGTATGACTGAATTTGGTTGTCAAGGTCCCGTCATCAAGACCCGTTAGATGTATGTAGGAATGAATGTACTGTACTATGAAGGGATATTTGTACGGATGCACGGTTGTCGTCCCAGCTGCTGTGTAACATGGACTGGCTGTAAATCAATTCGTTCTCTCTTCTCCTCCTCCCCCCATGTGGGCACGTATCTTCCTCCCTTCCCTAACATCCACCATGCACCAGACTCCCAACTACTTTGTTTTTTTTATCTTTACAATTATCGGAGTTTACCAGAAGGAAAATGGGTATTTGTTTGGTGTGGATGAGTTCCGACGAAACTTCACCCTTGAAAGGGGAAAAAAAACCTTGTTAGATCCTCCTTAAGGTTTTCGCTGCTCTCCTTCCCATCCCCCACATTCGTTAACTCTGGTTGACTCGAGTCGAGCTGGGTCCTAGACTCCTAGCAGAATCCAATAGATTGGCGCGGATGGCGACTTGAGACCACGATATATCGGAAAAATATGGGAAACTGGTCGAGTCAGAATCGATTCGGATATTTTCAATGGACCTAGTAGTAGTAGTGTACGTACATCACTGCCTACATCGGTTCCTCCTTCCCTTCCCCCAGTGGCATGGCTTTCGAAGAACACGGACCAGAGTGCGCCAGGCAAACCTAATAAGGTAATGCTAATTCAATAGAGAGGGATGAACGGACTGTACTTTCTTTGCTTTACACATCTCAAACTTTGCAGAGTCAGAGAGTTTGCGTTGAGTTTACAAATGGGTTCGTGCCTGGAATCACTACGTGCCAGTTCTGGGATTTAAAAAAAAAAAAAAAAAAAAAAGGGAGGGGGGGGGGAGCTTTCAATAGCATTCAACCTCATGGATAGTTGGAGAAATAATGTACTGCCAACTCACTGATGCTCCTCCAGCGGTACATCGCCAAGGCTGGCGCCCAAAAGCTAGAGCGAGCCTCCATGACGGTGCCACCGTTTGGCTCGTCGATACATTGGCTGACAGAAGAAGCAATTTGCAAGAGAATGGGGTTTCCAAGAAGGGAAATATGTGAGAAACTCAACCAAATGAAAGAGGAGAGGATGTCCACTTTGAAGCTCGGGACAATCCCAGGAATGGTCAGCGGCGACGCCGATTATGATGATGATTATTACCCAGAAGTTACTCAAGGGATGAATCACGACCGCGAAGAAAAACGTGGGGCTGCCTGGAAAGAATGGTCAGAAGCATGAGACCCATTGGATTCATGATTTCTCTCTCATTCGAGTTAGATCCGGGGACAAAGAATATGACAGATCTTATCCTGGCTGCCATGCGACCCGCCACCTCCACTCCCATGCCACAAATAACAATAATTAATTGATTGAAGGAGAAGGAGAAGAAGGAGGAGAAGAAGAGAAGGAAGAAGAAGAAGAAGAAGAAGAAGAAGAAGAAGAAGAAGAAGAATATTAGCCGAAAGGACCAATACGTATGCAGTACTCCTGCATCATCGGACAACTGTTCGTACTGTTTGGTAGAAAGGTTGATGAGTTGAAACCACTGACGAGCTCTTGGAAGGTATTTTTTTTAATGATCACTATCGCCACTGCGTTGGCTTCTCCCTGGAAGTACCACCAGTTGGTTATTCCCCACAGGGCCATTGTCTCATCTGCTCGGCAAAGGAATCCGAAACCGACGCCAACGCCGCTTGTCCGTTGGAGACGTCTGACGTTACTGAATTCCAAATACCGCTCTAGCCTTGCACTATGAAGAAAACATGCAAATCACTTATGTATGGATTGGCAAGCCAAAGCCAAGAAAAGAAAGCGTCCAGAACGGGACAGTTGCTGGGGCTGACAGGGGTCGACCCTGGTCGCTGGGATCTCCTGGTGACCCAGGCGTATGGGCCCTCATTCGGAGTAGTGGCGATCAGAACTCTCATCGAGTTTTGACCCCTTCTGGTCTTTGTTCTAGGCTCGGATTCACTCGGCCAGAATCGAAGAGAGTACCTAGGTGGTGTTGGTTATGCCGAGCGATTTTGGGTTTAACTGCTGACATCGATGTCAGCCTCCTTGATAGGCCCCCCCCCTGAGAAATTCGCCCGCAGTACGATAGATGGTGTTAGATGTATGTACTTCAGAGTTAATCAAATACAAAGGTTGGCCTGATTTCTGATTATACATTTTTGAACCCCTGTTCGCTCGTTTCGGTTATCATGGGTACTTTTTGATTCCTGGACAGATAGTTCTATTTGTGCTTCAGAGAGGCACAGCGTCCTTGCTTCGTGCTATTAGGTTCTGGATCACCTCCTGCGGAAAGGATGATCTCCCCTCGGGAGTCCTGCGCCGGCCTGTATATCGGATGTTTATGTCCAGTCCGTCTTGGTGGTGCTTTATCAAGACCCTTGATTAGTACTTTTCTTTCCTGGATAGGCCCAATACTATTCATGCGACTGGCCCTCAGACATAGAGTCCCGGTGCCGCATCGCCTCCGACAGCTTAGCTCGACTTTTGATGCAAAGGGTGTCTGTCCTATACATAGTAGCAGTTCGATTGGCCTCGATTCTTTGGATCATCAGGGTGATCGTGTCCACCTGGCATTATTATGTCTCCATCCAGAGAGCTGTGTGGGTGTCTGTCAATTTGAGTTTTTTTTTTTTATGGTCATGTTTTCTGGATACGTATGAACCAATGGACTCGCTTATTCACTATATCTGGCGCTGGATGGATCTTTTGTCTTGCAGACTCGAGTGTCTTTCCTTAAAGAGGATAGCTGCTCGAGATCCTTCCGGATAAGCGCCGGGAAGAGGGTCCCAAGTTCCGTAGTGGCAATTAACTCGCGCTTGTCGAGACTCGAGACGATAAGAACGTTGGTCTGCTTGACATTACAGTATGGAAGCTAGAGACGGATGGATCCCCAGGCCCCGACGGGGGAAGGTGGGCACGGCTATATGGATCATGTTAATTGGCTCGACAAACTATTGATGCCTGTGATGCAAGGAGAATCGATACCTTTGCCCCGTGTAGATCGAATCCGCTGTAGCGGTGACAAATCAAGGGTTTGCGATCCCCATCCCACTGTATAGTCAATCGAAATCAGTACACTTTGATTTGCCAATCTCATTCTGCCTCGCGTCTGTGCCATTTTGTGATAGAGATTTCAGCCCCAGAAGCTTTCTGAAAAGGACTAGTTTGGATTGTCGAACTCTGCCGGAATCTTCTTGAGGCTTCCGCGTGTAATTCCTTATCGGGTGAAATGAGGGGGCGATATTCGAAAAGGGGAAGAGGGGAAGAGCAGGGAAATGGTCACCAGAAGGAATAAGTCCAGAGGAGTATAAAAAAGAGAGTCAACAGAGAGGGAATCCTGAAGGTGGAGGTGGAGGTGGCGTGGTTGTTGTTATGGTCGAAGGTGGGCTGCAGATTCAGGTTACTTAGTAGCTCGAGATGATATAATATTAGAAAAAGAAAAGAAAAGGAAAAAAAGACAGAAGACTAGCAAACCAAAAATAAAAAAGAAATTGAAAAAAAGAAAAGAAATAAAACCGTAAAAAAGAAATACAGCAGAAAAAGAAAAGAAAAAATAACGATTGATCTGTATGTCATTTAGCTGATGTGCACAAGCCCTATTCCTAGTGTCATCCGTACTAATGGAAGAAAAGCTAACTCAACTCAACTCAACTCCAGTTTCCCTGTTGAGGATGTCGCAGCATATTGCTAGTCAGTACAGTAGACGCTGGGGTGATACATCTTCATTGACGCTATTTGCCTTTCCTTCTATCATCCCCAACTGTGCGTCTGAGCGCCACATACAGCGTCTGTCTTCATTCCCACCCCCCCTCTCGCTCTATTTTCGCTCATCCCCCTCTCCTCCTCCCTCGCCTCGTTCAGCTTCTGCATTTAACATATAAAACATGCAGCGACTTCTCTCTGGCCCTTGAAGAAAGAAGTATTGAGTTTTCATCACTTTCATACCTCGTGGATTCCTTGTTCTATCGTCCTTTATCACTGTTCATAGCAACCACCCCCCTTTTGATCTGTACCATCCGACATTAGTATCCTTTATTATCGTGACTCTTCTTCCTCTAGGTGACTATACATATACAGCCTGTTGTTTTCTTGTTTATATTCGTGCTGTACATACACCTACCTGCAACTGTCGCCCCCGTACATACCACATCGCCCCCCGCCCCCCCCCCCCAAGTATATACAGAGGCGAGGACATACATACACCCAGCCAAACCGCATCTCAAGGCTTTCTTTCACTATGATGATCGAAGAGATGAGCCCAATGGCAGACGAGATTTCTCAGCGTTGCGCTCTTCCGTGGGTTGCCCATTTCCCTGCCTCCCAGTGCATAACTGATGTGATATAGCGGTGTACGCTCCATTTCCTCCACTACCCCCAGCACAGCAGACATGACCGAGGACCGACGGCTACCTCCGCTCCCACGCGTAGAGCCCCTGCCCCGGGGACCATTCAATCTGTTCACACCAAAAATATTTGCCCCTAGTCCACCAAGCACACAGGAGTCGTTTCCCATCAAGTCCCCATGGCCACCGGCGGAGCATCTGGTGACACCTCCGTCTCCCGCAAACTCTGCAGATTCCTGGCCGGATCCGCTGCCATCGCAGAAAGTATTCGAATGGCCCCAAGAGCTTTCCGCTAACGATCTCCTGAAACTGATTGCTCCAAAACATATCAGCCGCAAGCCCCCACTCCAACAGCTGTGCGGCCGGAAGCGCAAGGGTAGCATGATCTCTGCGGATTCCGACGACCAGAGAGAAAAGCATCGCATTGCAGAGGGGAACCGACGGAAAAATCTCAGTCAGCTGCATCGGGAGCTTGACAGCCGAATTCACGACTTCTTTCTTGAACGAGCTGGGTGGAACCCCTCGAAGAGCCTACCGGAGTCCAAGGAACACATTGTGCAGGGCGCAATCTTCCTTATTGACTTCATGTTACTTGTAATTGTCCACCTAATTCGCCAGGAGAATGAGATGCCTCGCCAGTTATCTGAGAAGCTTCAGCCGCAGATCCGCTGCATGCAGCTGCAACAGCTGGTCTCCAGTCTCCAGCAGCAAAACCAGATGGCCCAGCAGCAGATTAAGACTTTAAAGCAAGAGAACCAGATGCTCGAGGAGCGCAACCAAGCCCTCGAGTATCAGCTGAAGTCTTATGAGCACATGTTTCGCTCCCCAAAGAGCGAGCAGCCAAGCCCTCAGCAGATTGTTTCCCTTCCAGACAATAAGCCAAAGAACATGCTGCCTGGGCTACGCGTCTTCTGTGACGAGATCGCCGCTGGCAGCCCAGACTCATCGCGGCTAGATGCATTATCCACGGGGAATTCACAGAGCTTCGGGCAGACATTCCTCAGTCAAACCCCTCCAATGACGGGCCCGTCTTCTCCTATCTTCCCACAGGCCACCTACCCGGCGACTACTTCACGACCTCCATCTTTCATCCAATCACCATAAAAAGATTGATATTTGATGACCTTGGTTTCCTTCGACAATGATGATTTTCCTTGAATTAAATATTAGAGCGGCGGGCGGTTATCTGAAGTCTATTTTCTTTTTGAGCTCTCTCCAACAACTTTCTTTTCCTCTGGGCATAGCGTCTGCGTGTTATCCTTGTTCATACTTTCTCGGGCCCAACCTGTTCCTGTCTCATCATCTGAGTCATCTCATCTTCTCATTACATCTTTGTGATCTCGAGGAAGCGTGGGCCACGCACCAAAAAAAGTGATTTTTGGATAGGCGGTTTTTTTTTTTCACCTTTTCTTTTCTGGATCTGTATAATTCCACTTCGCTGTCTATATTTGGACACCGGTATACTTTTATTATATGCTGACGGAGGTTTCGATTGAGAACTGTGAAGTTCGGGAACCCTTTTCAAGCCCACATTATACATATCGGGGCATCTTTCGGTTTTCTTTTTCTCTTGTCTTTCTCTTTCCTTTTCTGGGTTGCGTTTGAGATGGTGCTCTTTCTGGCCATATTTGGCTCACTGGATGTATTTATTCGTACAGAACGAACTCTCTTGATTATATACGTATCATAGTGCTATAGACCATGTATGAAATTGATGATGATTATGACGATATATAACCATTTCTGGAGCCTAGGGAACTAGTTGCATGTCTGATTTGACGTAGAGTACTCCGTAGTAAGAGAGACAACGCCACGAAGATTCAGACTGGTTGGCTTGAGGTTACGATCCAAAAAGCTTTAGACCTTCAGTGCACGTAATTCGAGTTTATCCAATAGTATTTAGTCTGGTGAACTGCTTGACGATGGCATTCTGATCGTGTCGAATTAGTAGGCATTTATCCTGTGGTTTATAGTACTTGATATAGACCCTGAACTAGCATGGTGTCTCCCCCGAAGGCTTGTATCAACATCATCATTTATTATAAGAGATGCTATTCGTATATAGTGAATATCTAGATAGATAAAACTTTTGATGCAAATAGTTAGCTCACATAGTAGCCTTCCTTAACACCTACAGAGATCCTCAAAAATCTCCCAGGGAATTAATTTATGTCCATGTGTAGTTGACCTTTTGGTAACGGCTCGGTGGATCTTACGGTTCGTAACGGATAATACTAATTTACCAGTGGAGATTTGCCGGTCAGACTGAAATTTCAATGAAATTTCCTGAAATCAACCCATGAAATGTTGACGCCTCAGGAAGAACCCGGGGGGAGGTTCCAGAAACAGAAGAATCAAGTCTGATGTTATGGTCAAGATGTACTTTCTTAATAATGATTGTATGCTTGTAAATTCTCTTCGCAAATACTTCACATATCACCTTTCTCCAGAGTTATCTACTACTTCGTCCTCCAGCGGAAGCTATTAAAAGCGAACAACGGGCCAATCCCAAAACGGAGAAGAAAGGCTGGACTCCGGCTGGTGGATTTCATCTCTCAATCGAAACTTCTCCGTTCGAACGTTACAACCTCCTTCTTGCCCTGTTGTCACCTCCAGCATCCCCGTTTCTCCCACCCTTCACCCCCTCCCCCCATCAGGCCGACCACGACGTTTTGACCTTCGTCGTCTACTTACCTGAGTGTTCTCCCGAGCCTCAATTTGGGTCTTTCCACTCTTTTGGTTTCTTATAGTTTTTTCTCTTGATCGCTGCTGTTGCCTCCCGTACCGCAACCTTTTTTCGCCCTTCCTACTCTCCTCTCCCGGTCGATCCATCGCAACATCCCCTCTAAAAAGTTGGTCGCGTCGTCGAGTTCACATTTCCATCTCGTCTGGTTGTTCGCCCTGGTTGACGGTTCCGGAGCTGATGATAATTCCCCTGAATTTGACATCGCCACTGCCTCCCCTGCCTCCCCTATCTGTCTGCGCCGTGTTAAGGGTGAACCGCTCCTGACCTTCGTGACAACGTCTTTTCCGGGACTATCGCCTTCTGTGGGCATTCAAAGTGCCTGTTTACGGAAACAATACGTTTAATATAAACATTCATCCCATTCTCACCCCCTATTCCGCCAGGATGCTGCTTCCGAAGGGTGGTGTAACTTGGAAGTCGGCCAAAGCTAGACTGCCCCCATGGCGCGCAGTTCTAGTTTTGGTGACGCGGACACGCTTCCTGATCTCATTAGCTGTCACTGGATTGATTGTCCTATTATGGCGTGGAATTAGCAGTTCCGCGTCGGAAATGCAGAAGTAAGTCCCTTTCACGTTAACCTTTATGCGATCGATCTCGAAACGTGCCCCCGAACCCACATGTCACATCCGCCACAAGTCCTAATTATGCTGTTCTGTTAGTTTCTATTGCTATGGCCCTCCGAAGTCGCCGATGGAGATGAGCCTTAATGAAATGGTCGAATGGGGCGCTCACAGTCAAACCCCAGTCCTTTTCAACCATCACGAACCTTACGAAGTCAACTCCAGCAGTATTTCCAATGTTGACCTCAATCCTATCAAGTCATCGGCCCAGGCTGTCCAGAATTCCGAACGAGTGCTCATCCTGACCCCCTTAAGAGATGCCTCTTTTTTCCTGAACAGATATTTCGACCTGATCTACAAGCTGACCTACCCGCACGAACTTATTGATTTGGCTTTCCTTGTTGGTGACTGCAAGGATGACACACTGGCCGTCCTCACCTCAGAGTTGCAACGGATCCAGGAGCAGGTTGACGAGAAGATTGCTTTCCGCAGTGCAACCATTGTGCAGAAAAATTTCGGATCCGCCTTCGAAATGAACGTGCAGGACAGGCACTCGTTCGCCGCACAGGGTCCTCGACGCAAGGCGATTGGAAAGGCTCGTAACTACCTGCTTTACTCCGCGCTGAAGCCGGATCATTCCTGGGTTTACTGGAGGGATGTGGACATCGTCGACAGCCCGGATACTATTCTGGAGGATTTCATGGCTCACGATAGGGATATTCTTGTTCCTAGTACATACCCCCATTATGGTCTTTTGCTCCGGGAGCAGATGCTAATCGAACTACAGATATTTGGTTCCATCGCTACAAGGATGGTGTTGATATTGAGGGTCGTTGTATGTGGAGATGTATTCCTACTAGCGATATTCTAGTTAGCTAACGGTCGCAGTTGACTACAATTCCTGGATCGAATCCGATAAGGGACGCAGACTTCGACAGACCTTGGACCCCGACACTGTCCTCGCAGAAGGTTACAAGGAGTACGACACTGGCCGTAAATACCTCGTCGGCATGGGAGACTGGAGGAATAACAAGGATGAAGAAGTTGAGCTTGACGGCATTGGCGGCGTTAATATTCTTGTAAAGGCCGACGTCCATCGTTCAGGTATGGACTCCCATTTCTTGCGTCTGCGCGCTTGTGTTCTAACCTTGTATTAGGCATCAACTTCCCTGCGTATGCTTTTGAGAACCAGGCTGAAACTGAAGGATTTGCCCGAATGGCCAAGCGTGCTGGATACCAGGTCTACGGATTGCCCAACTATATCGTCTGGCACATTGATACCGATGAGAAGCCGGGTAACCTTGGGGAGCGCAAGGCTTACTAGCCTGCAGCCTTGAGTTGATTGTCCTTCTCACGGTCCAGTCAAAGGGGCCGAAGGCTGGTCCCTTGACCTGAAATACCCCCTATGCCGTGGGTATCCGACGCGTTACGGTCCAGTTCATTGCATGGAGCCTTTTTCTTCTCTTACGCTGTTTTTTTTTTTTTTTAAACTAATCTTTTTATTTTTCGGATGTCGGAGAACAGCTAGCTCCTGGCACCGGTAATTAGTCTTCTTCGTGTTGCGTTCTAGGGTTACGTCTGCTTTTGTTTGTTGGCGCTATGGGGCAAGTGTGTTCAGCGGTCTTGGAGGCTCATAGAGTTGAATGTGACGAAGCTCTTTTTTTTTTTTGGAGCTCTCCTTGTTCGTCAGCGAAGGACGCCATCGGGGTGATTGAGCCCAGTTGAATTGCTAACTCGGCCAGCCAATGCCTTCTTTTCCCTTTCTGCTCCGGCAGGTTTCTGGTGTTTCCGCTCACTGCCTTCATGATGCTGTGGACCTACAGTGCCGGTTACAGATGGTCCTCTTAAGGTGAAGACTAGACAGCGTCTCACAGTGAGTCGGTCAGTACGAGAGAAATGTCTACCTGACGAGGAAAGGGGATTGTTTGGTGCTTGTTTTTCATGTACATACATATATAGGCTATGTGTAAGTCAGCTGACGGTCAAGCTTTGAAACCATATTAAATATTCATATATGAATGAGTTATTGACCAAGCGATTGGCATGGGGTCTTTGTAAAAAGAAGCAAAACAAGTAGTTCATACTCCGTGTTGGTAGGAAACTATTAACTAACGCTGACTCCTCATACTGAACAATAGTCTCGGATAAGAAATCAAAAACATCCGCCGGCGTCCCCAAATTCCCCCCTCCCCCAAATCAAATCATCCCCCACCATGCTGACCAGGTTCCCCCACCTCATTATAAAATCTACCCCGGCCAGTTTCCCCTTCATTTACAACGCCAGCAGAATCCCCATCGCATCCTTCCATTCCTCAAGTCGGCGTCTTTTCCGGGAATCGAACTTCGCCATGGCCCCGAAGGAATACCTCTGCATCATCCCCGATAAGCCCGGAACTCTCGCGAAGAGACTCGAGGTTCGACCGTATGTCTTTCTTCCATTTGTTTTGTTTTTCCTTCTTACCACTTGATCTTCCCTTGCTTTATAAAAATGGCTTTTGTCGGGGGGCCGGGGGGGGAGAAGAGGGAGTGAGTGTGTGTATAGCGTTGCACACAAACACGTACACACATAAGCAAAAGCAAATTCAAGCACTAACTAATAGTTACATCCTCATATGACTACGTACTATCTAGTCAGCATCTAGAAGGCGTCAAACCTCTCGTCGCAGCAGGGAAGGTTGTTGTTGGCGGTCAGTTTTCCTTTCCTTTCCTTTCTTCTTTGGAGTTGGCGTGAGCGAGATATACACTACCTGCCTACCTACCTACCTACCTACCTACCTATCTACCTATCTACCTATCTATGGAAAAAAAGAAAAATGAAATGGAAAGAAAATAGCTAATGGATGATCTCTTTGTTGACGTGTTTTTTTGCGGGGGGTGTGTAGGCGCTATGTTCGACTCTCATCCTGTTGAAGGCGAAACCCCCTCGTTCAAGGGCAGCGCTCTTATCTGTATTGCTGAGACCGAGGAGGAAGTCAAGGAGGTGATTTGGGGGGATGTCTATACGAGGACTGGGGTTTGGGATGTGGATGCTGCACAGATTATTCCGGTATGTTTTTTTTTTTTTTTTTTTTTCTTTCTTGGGTTTGTTTTTGTTGGTTGGAGAGAGAGAGAGAGAGAGAGAGAGAGAAAGGGAAAATACAGAGGGAGGGAAAGAGAGAGAGAGGCTGTGTGTGTGTACTGACTGTTTTACTACCAGTTCAAATCTGCGGTAAGAGTTGCGGTTTAAGTAATGATATGATTACTATTAACTACACGGTGAATGGATGGAAAGGCACAATATTGCCATTGAAAGATGCTGGCGCTATACAACTGTATAAATATAGATATGAGCAGATACAACTTGAATGAGATGGGCTTTACAGCTTCGCTTTGGGCTTCAGCATAGCCTCGGCCACTTTGAGGCGTTGGACTTTGCCCGTCGCGGTCTTCGGAATTTGTCCTACCATCCAGATCTGGACGGAATCCCGTTATGTTAGTGAGATTCTACGGATATTTCTCGGTCATTCACGGGGGCTTTTGTCTTACCTGCTTGGGGGTCTTAAATTTAGCCAGCTTACCCTGGACCCACGACTTTAGTTCGTCTTCTGTGGCTGTCTGGCCGCTCTTGAGGACGACGGCAGCGCCGATGTCCTCGCCGTAGTGGCCCTCATCAGGGATTGCGAAGCAAACTGCTTCTCCGACCTTTGGGTTGCTCAGGAGTGTGTTGTCGAGTTCAATCGGGCTGATTTTTTCTCCACCCTTGTTGATGAGTTCCTTGATACGTCCCGTGATGATCACGTAGCCGTCAGCGTCTTTCTTGCCCTGGTCACCGGTGCGGAAGAATCCACCCTTGGTGAACGAGGACTTGTTGGCGGCGGGATTATTCAGATACCCCTTGGTTACGTTTTCTCCTCGGACGCAGATCTCTGCCTCCATGCCCTGGGGAACTTCGTTTCCGTCCTGGTCGAGGATCTTGATTTCAACTCCCTGTCCAAGGCCCACGCTGCCGGGTTGTCGCTTTCCAGGGGGAAGAGGGTTGCTTGTCATTTGATGGGCTGCCTCTGTCATCGCGTACGCCTCTAGGACAGGGGCGTTGAATGTCTTCTCCAGGTCCTGGAATGTCTTGGGGGATAAGGGAGAAGAGCAAGAGCGGATAAACCGGATTGGAGGAATGGGGGTTGGTAGCGGCGATTTGAGCAGGATCTGGTGGATCGTGGGCACGGCAGTGAACCAGTTTGCCTTGTGGTTAATGAAGTCTGGCCAGAACTCGTGCGCGGAAAACCTAGAAGGCACAATTACAGAGCCACCCGCGGCAAGAGGTGCCAAGAATGCGGCGAGAAGGCCGTGAACGTGGAACAGAGGCATGACCACGTATGTTCGATCCTGCGGAGTGAGCTTGTATGTTGCCTGGATGTTTCCTAACCCATGTTAGACCTTTATTGGCTACCTGAGAGGCTTGACTCACTCATGGTGGTTGTGAGGTTCTTGTGCGTGAGTGGAACCTGATTGCGGTTAACGTTCTATGCTATAACTGAGGGTATTTGCCTAAGAAAGCATACAGCTTTGGGTCGGCCAGTAGTTCCACTTGTATGTAGAACAAGTGCGATATCATCAGGTTGGGCAGCTTGGATTCCGGCACCCCCCTTTCCGGCTAGCTTTCCGAGTTCCTTGACATCAAGGACGACTTCTGTACCACTCCAGTAGCACTCTGCAATTGCTGCTTGGTATTTCCTTCCTGCCCGAACCGCAGGGCCATCCTGAGCGTAGGATCCTCGTGGAACCAAGACCAGGCTAGAACTGAGGTCATCGATATAGAATTCGAATTCGCCCTGCTTGTAGGCATGGTTGAGAGGAGCGGCAATAGATCGCTGCCACGAAGCTGCTAGGAATGAAACAATAAATTCATACGAGTTCACAAGGGCAATGGACACTGCCGCTCCATGCCCAACGCCCAAGTCCGCTAGTTTAGCCTGGAAATCGGTGATGTGAGAGTGCAATTGCTGGTAGGAAATCGACAGAGGAGCTGGCTTTTGAGGGACAATAATGGCGACCCCGGCATCGTCGGACGAGAAAGATTGCGCTAATGTAGACATTTTGTCCTTGGGCTAGCAGCTATGGGATGCTCTGCAAACTGGAGATACTCAGCGTCTTGGCTGAGGGAATCGGTGACGGATCGAATGGATAGACAAGTAGAGTCGAATGATCTCTAGTTAGTACCCTGTAGCCGCCAGCCCCGGAATCCAACCAAGCATGTTGCTTGTTTTACTTTTCGCTGCTTCTCCACAGCCAGGCCGTGATTTCAAACATTGCAAACAAGACAAATGAAGCAAACTTTCTGCTCCTCCTCCAACGCTTCGATTCAAGCTCTCCCCTCTGGCGGACCATGTATGTATGCCGCATCGCATTCTGGATCTTTTTGCATACTTGTTTTCGCAGCATGACCTCTGAATCCACTCCGTCAAAGGGCGGGGGCATGTTGTCTCTCTATGCCAATTTACTCGACTCGTCTGCCGACAACTCCCCCGGAACCATTTCTCGCGCGCCGGTTGTCTTCAAACAAAGCTCTGAAGGCGAGGGTCAGCTCGATGAGTCCTCTGTCAAGAAACAAGTTAGCACTGGTATGTATTATTATTTGATTCTTGTACTTTCGAAAATCCAAGTCTGCTTGTATGTCTTGTTCGATTGCGAATGCGCGCTTATACCTGGCTATTCACCGTGCAGCTTCACTTCGATTTCAGCCTACAAAACGGCCCCAGTTAGCAGCACAGAAACCTAAGACTAAACCAAGTTTACCGAAAAATACTCCTGCAGCACCTCCGACAACTGCTCCGGTCAAGACTACACTGGCAGATTGGGCGGCTACGGAAGAGGATGATGTGAATGGATTCTACGCTGGACCAAAGAGGCAACGAGGCGGGCGCAAGAAGCGCAAGAAGAACCGAGAAGCACATGAGATCGTCCAGAACTGGGACGATATCTATGACCCGTCAAGGCCGAATAACTATGATGAATACAAACACAGTGACGAGCAAATATCCGAGGTTCGGGAGTGGAAGGATCGTTTATATGCGCACCGCATGACAAGATCGCGGAGTCAGGACTCGTATAGCGACGATGAATATACACGTCCAATGAAGCGTAAGTCCTGTCGGAAGTGGAATCAGGCCTATTTGGCCGCTAAATTTTGTCCAGGACAATTTGCTCCCCCAGGTAGTTTCGCTCCACCTCCAAATCTCAATGATATTCCACCTCCACCGTCCGATTCTGCCCAAGATGCTGCTTCCGGGGAAGATGCATTCGATCGGCGGGCCCGAATGGGTACAAACCCAAGCGATACACCAATGCCAGACTATTCACCACCCCAGGCACCACTTACCATAGTGGCCGACGATCCCACCGGCGAAGATGCTTATATGCGGCGTTCTCAAATGCCAGCTTCGACTCAACCCCCAGCTCCTCCAAGGACCTTGGACTCTTTCCAGCCGGCCTTCGCTACAATATCTCGCGCCTCAGTCCGATATGCTCTTCCACCGCCTCCGGAGGATATTCCAGCATCAGAAGCGGAACTTGAGGAATTCTTTGCGAACGAGCAGCCTGCCGAGGATGAAGGCGAAGAGAATGGCCAGCGTTCCCTCCGGCCTGGACAAAAAGGATTTGCCGAACGATTGTTGGCTAAGTACGGATGGACAAAAGGATCTGGGCTGGGTGCAACTGGCTCCGGTATTGTCAATCCATTACAAGTCAAAGTGGAAAAACAGAAGAAACGCCCAGATTCGGAGGGTGGTGGATTTGCTACCCCGGCTGGCAGGGGCAAAATTATTGGGGGCAAGAGAAAGCATGAAGATACCGGCAAGTTTGGTCCAATGAGTGAAGTCATTGTCCTGAAAGGGATGCTAGACGGCATGGACTTGGATGCAGAATTGGCGGGGGATGAAGGCGGAGGTATAATGCAGGAAATTGGAGAAGAGTGTGCGGAAAAGGTGACGAACCTAAAATCTTATTTTCTATATGTAATAAACTAACATTAAACAGTATGGACGTGTTGAGCGGGTCTATATCTATCGTGATGCTGGACCTCCGGTTCCCGTCTTCATCAAATTTACTGCCCAACTTTCTGCTCTTCGGGTGAGTGCTACTCTAGTGTTGTGTTGACTCCAGCCAATGTGTTTCGGGCTAATGGTTTATTTTTGAAGGCTGTGAATGCCCTCGAAGGCCGGATATTCAACGGGAACAAAATCACTGCGCGGTTTTTCGACACTCAGAACTTTGAACAAGGCATATATGAGGATTGACCGAGCAAAAACAAACATATTGATAGGCGTCTGACGGCCGCTATAACCAGACCCCTATCCGCTATTCTTCACTGCCGCCAAACATGCCGAATCATCATCGCGTTGTGGCCCTCTAAATGGGGGGTTAAAAAAAAGAACAGTGCCACAGGGACATCCCATTCCCAAGCTCGTCACCTAGAAGGTGATTCGATCAAATAACTCCATGTCATCTATGGAGTTCTCGCTATTGTTTTCTGATAAATAGGACTCGTCATGTTCAATCGAAGTGTAGTCGTCTTCAAAATCTGCTACCACAGGAGCAGAATCGTGTGGTTGGCTTTCTGGCTGCGCATTTTCTATATAGGCAGTTTTCGCCATGCACCAAGGACATATTCCGACCAGGGGAAGCACCCATGATTCTAATGCACTGCAATAATAGCCGGACTTGAGCGCAGTCTTGCAGGCAATGCGTATGGAAGATGTTGGGTTTGGATGGAGACAAAGGGCGTGATACCAGGAAATCCCGTGGCACATGGTGATTTCAAGCTTGGGTTTGGGGGAATGAACGATTATTTCTCTGACTGGTCGTCTCGATAGGTGTTGGTAATGATAGATAGGAAGTGTACGTGTACGAGTATTCCAACGACTCTGGACAAAATTAAAGGCCCTTATATACTTTTAGACATTGCAAAGCAGAGGTAAATTTTAATGGAGGTTTCCGTCAACAGCCAGTCTACTGTAGCTGCATGTAACTTGCGGGTTATAAAGCGCAGAGCTAGAAATGCACATACTGGGACTGATTTCTTTGAGTGAGTTGGCCTACTTTAGTGTCTTTAGTTTGACCTATACCGGGGATTTCCCTCTATCTGAAACAAACAAAAAAAAATGATCTGTAAATAACACCAGTGCAACCTACTCCGTAAGCTCAAGGAAAAACTAAATTTATTTGCTAGACACAGGTTTCCAATTGAGAGCATGTCATGTGACCTGTATAGAAATGCGCCGAAAAGCGATTGGCTGGAGGGGGGAAGATGGAAGAACTGATGGACTCTTCCAGATCAAATGAACTTGAAGTCTTGCTTCAACCCTGCCATTCACCTCACCATCCACACCTCTCGCCTCGTTCTATCTTACGATACCATTTTGTCTGCCCACCTCTCTCTCGCATATCTCTCCCACCTATTTCTGGCGCTCCTCCTGAGGATCACTCTACCTAGGTAGCTTTTGCCCTGTTCTGCAACCCCAGCTCCAACCCCGAAGTCGCGCAACGCAATTTTCACCTCACCTGTCGCCTCTCACCTACTCTTTGATTGAGTTTATATTTTCTCGGCTCCCTTTGGCGTCGTCTACCTGATATCTTCTTCCTACCAAGGCGCGACCTTTCACGAACCTCGCCTCCATTCTTGTCCAATATCACGGAACCTCTTTCGGATTTGTCAACCTGTCTACCAGAAACAATGTCGCTGTGTCTCAACCGTCTCACTGAAGAGAGGTATGTGATTTTTAAACCCTTTCTTTTGACCTCATTGCATTCGCACCTTTTATTCTCGCGATTTCCGCCCCACTGGAGCTAACCTTGACCTTGTACCCCGCGCAGAAAGCAGTGGCGACGAGACCATCCATTCGGTTTCTATGCCAAGCCACACAGAACTCCTCAGGGTGTCCTTGACTTGAAGAGATGGGAATGTGGTATTCCTGGGAAGTCGCAAACACTGTGGGAGGGCGGTCTGTTTAAGCTGGACGTTACGTTCCCCGATGGTAAGTGACAGTTCTTTTCTGGATATTGCAGCACATCAGTTGGCTAACACTCTCCCCTTTTTACAGAGTATCCCACAAAGCCTCCTAAGTGTATGTTTCACCCCCTTTGCTTTTGGTCTCTGGTTCAAGAGCTCTATAGTAGGACTGGGGACCAACGACTGTTATGTGGATCTCGAATCTCTGGTGTTAACTGCTTCTCTTCTGGCGCGCTGGACTAACTTTCTTCCTCGTACAGGCAAGTTCGTACCTCCGCTTTTCCACCCCAACGTCTATCCATCCGGCACCGTCTGTCTGTCTATCCTGAATGAGGATGACGCGTGGAAACCCGCCATCACCATCAAACAGATTTTACTTGGAATTCAGGATTTGCTCAATGACCCAAATCCAGAGTCCCCTGCACAAGCTGATGCATACCACTTGTTCAAGCGAGATAGACCAGCTTACGAGAAACGTGTTCGACAAGTTGTGAAGGATAACCCCGCCCTATAAAACCAACCTGACGACAAGCGTATTGTTTTTTCTCAATCAGGGTCTTCATGATTTCGCAACTCTATTTTCACTTTCTATTTTCCAATTCTCTTCATCAGGAATTCAGGAGTTTTATTGGCGGAGATGGCAGATCAAGCAACTTGTTCCACGTGGGGTATGGTGAAGAAGACCAAGATCTCAATCTTCCGTCCCTCACAGCCTGTATCGGTCGAAAATGAAGTGGAATGGTCACGAGCCTGTGTTCTTCTCCGCATTTTATAATGATTAGCTATCTAGGCTACTGTTAATTTTTTTTTTTTTTTTTTACTGCTCTACTTATGGTTGTTCTTTGTTAGCGAGCATGGCGTCTTAGAATTTGACGAAATCATGAGGCCATGGACGGCGTTTTTTTTTTCCCCAGAGGGTTTATTTCATTTTCTCCGAGGAGGTCGTCGAGCTATCCGCACATACCACATCCATTCCCACTCTGCTTGCGTCTTTTGTTCCAACTTGCATAGAAGATCTTTTTACTGGTGCAGGTTTTGGTGAGAACAAGGGTGAATAGAAGAAGGCTGGGTTATGAGAGCCAAGCTTTACCCATGTATCGCGTAGATTTCAGAGAGAGAAAGCAGATATATGTTCCTCTTCTTATAGCGACTTTGAATCCAAGCTTGGAGGACTTTTTTTTTTTTTTTTTGTGGATAGGCAGTTTGTACAGTACAGCATAGAGATTGGAGTCGTTGGACTAGAAAAGCCACGGGGGGTTGTCGGCCAATGAAGTCCCACATATTGCGTGGTGCAGAGGAAAAGCGGTTATCTTATCGGAAGTGAGTCAGTCTCTCTGTCTACGTAAATTCAGTGTCCGAAATCGCCCCTCGATCCCGCCCCGCCGGTACGGGTCTTGATCTTGCAGTGGCATTTAAAATTCCCTGTTCCCCTCTATCTACTATCAACACTTTGTTCAATTCTCTCCCCCCCCCCCCCTTCCCTTCTCTACGTCCTCCGGGCTGTCTACTATTTTTGAGTCGATTCTCAATTGCTCGTGGTCAGCATGTGTGGTATCTTTGCGTGTCATCAGTATGCTCTTTTTTACCTAATATTTTTTTACCCCCATTCCCCTCCGTCTATCTACTCCACAACCAAACTCTCCCTTTTCCAGTATCAATGCTAATTGTATGGTCACAGTCACCCCGATGTCCAGGCATTCAAGCCTACAGCTTTGCGCATGTCCAAGGCGTAAGTGAATTCTGACTCTATCTTTCTTAATGGAGCAATAGAATTGATCCTGATTGTGAACAGTGTGCGCCATCGTGGACCCGATTGGAGTGAGTCATGCGGTCATTGATCTTTGCCGACACAACACAATTCTCTAACACTTGAACAGGTGGAAACTTCGTTGATGGTAGCACCAGTGCGTCCAATCCGATCTCATGTGCAAAAAAAATTACTATTAAGATTTGATCGCTGACCCAATTGCAGTTCTTTGCCACGAGCGCCTGTGCATCGTCGGCGTCGGTATGTAGTTCGCAACAACACTTCCTGCCTTCGTCCTGCGTCCCCTGCTAAGACTTCCTGAAGGCTCCGGTGCTCAGCCCCTGGTCAACGATGAGGGCTCCCTCGCTTTGACTGTCAATGGCGAGATCTACAACCACCGCATCCTGAGGAAATCTCTGGACGTGGAATACAACTATAAGACACATTCCGACTGTGAAGTCATTATCCCACTGGTATGTGCGATCGGTGTCGCTTTTGCGCTTTTGATGATAATATGTTGGGATACTGACGACGTTTTAGTACATGAAATATGGTCTCGATGCCCCCAAGCATCTGGATGGTATGTTCTCTTGGGTTCTCTATGACAAGAAGGAAGACAGGGTTGTGGCCGCACGTGACCCCATTGGTGTCATCAGCTTCTATATCGGCTGGTCTTCCCAGACCCCTGGCGCTGTCTACTTTGCCTCTGAACTGAAGAGCTTGCACCCCGTTTGCGACAAGATCGAGGCCTTCCCTCCTGGCCACATCTTCGACTCCAAGACCGGTGCCATGACCCGGTACTTCGAGCCTTCGTGGTGGGACGCGAGCAAGATCCCCTCAAACCCCGTCGACTACAAAGCTATCCGTGAGTCTCTGGAGAAGTCCGTCCGCAAGCGTCTGATGGCGGAAGTCCCCTATGGTGTTCTGTTGTCTGGTGGTCTTGATTCCAGCTTGGTTGCGTCTATTGCCCAGCGGGAGACCCAGCGCATGCAGGTCGCCAAGCCTGCTGGAGACAAGAGCCAGGATAACAGCGAACTCGTCGGTATTGATGACTCCAACGAGCTCTCCACTGTCAACTCGTTCCAGAAGTTACAGTCTTTCTCTATCGGTCTTCCTGGTGCTCCCGACACCGCGGCCGCCATGGAGGTCGCCAAGTTCCTCGGAACCGAGCACCACGCTTTCACCTTCACTATTGAAGACGGACTCAACGCCCTCTCCGACGTCATTTACCACCTGGAGACCTACGATGTCACCACAATTCGTGCCTCCACCCCCATGTACCTTCTCAGCCGCAAGGTTAAGGGTTTGGGCGTTAAGATGGTTCTCAGCGGTGAGGGAAGTGACGAGATCTTTGGTGGTTATCTCTACTTCCACGCTGCTCCCAACAAGGAGGAGTTCCACAAGGAGACCGTCAGGCGAGTTAAGAACCTGCACCTCTCAGACTGCCTCCGTGCCAACAAGTCCACATCCGCCTGGGGCCTGGAAGCCCGCGTTCCTTTCCTGGACAAGGCCTTCCTTGAAACCGCCATGAACGTTGACCCCCAGGAGAAGATGATCACCAAGGACCGTATTGAGAAGTATATTCTGCGCAAGGCTTTCGACACCACCGATGAGCCTGACGTCCAGCCTTACCTACCGGAGAAGATTCTCTGGCGCCAGAAGGAACAATTCTCTGACGGTGTCGGTTACAGCTGGATTGACGCCCTCAAGGATCAGGCCGAAATCCAGGTCACTGATGAGATGATGAAGAACCCTAAGCCCGAGTGGGGTGACGATATCCCCGATACCAAGGAAGCGTACGTTTCTTTATTTTTCGCTGCAAGAGGAAGCAAGAGCTAACCTAAAATATAGTTACTGGTACCGTACGATGTTCGACGAGCTCTTCCCACCATCCTGCGCCTCCACAGTTTCGCGCTGGGTCCCTACATGGTCTAAGCAGACCGACCCTAGTGGAAGGTATGTGTGCCAAAGACACTAAGAATATTCTTCATATTGCTTGCTCTGTTGAATTCCGCCACTGACTTGCGTTCTTTTTTTTTCCAGAGCTATTGCGACTCACGTCGCCAAGTACGAATCCGCCGTATAGATGTTTCGATATTTGGAATCTGAAAGATGTCGTTGAATTTAGTTTTATTTAAGGATATAGAAGCCTGCATAGATGATTTTACGTGAACTGTTCCTTTGGGGGCGCAAAAGCGAGGTTCGTTCAACCGTCCAACTGGCGTCACCGTTTATTTTTGCTTTTTTTTTCGACTCTGCCCGTATTCTTTGGGGATACCAAAATAAAAGCCAATGTCAGAATGGATAGGAACCGTGGCGTCATAGTTTTTTTCACCTAATGTTATGTTTCTATATACGATCTTTTTAATTCTCAATTAGCTGTGATCATGTGCTTTGTGTATGATCGATCACCTTGAGCTTGGATCCTGTGGGTGGTGACATGAAGTAAAGTAACCATGGTATTATACATGGGGATATAAGATGAGGTAGAGAATGAGAAGAGTTAAAACTATTATAGGTAGAAGCTTCTCCTCATGTAGGCAAGAGAAAATGGGAGATTGACTTGTATGAAAGGATAGGATGGTTTAAACAAGGAATATTGAAGCTATTCGCAAGAACAGTGAACTTCATAGATGTGACACTGCATGATGTTTTTAGAGGGCCAGGAAAATGACAGGCAGGTGACTTTAGTTTTGCACGGTTTATTCGTGTCACATGATTATCACGTGCTAGCCCAGGCAATCAGGTTGCTCCCGGAGCAATCCGGAATCACTTAGGGATGGCTCAGGACACGCACTTTTGTGCTTACTCCACACTCAGGGCCCAAGTCAGGCCTCAGGAATCCAGTTCGGCAAACAAAATGGGTTTCGCCAGGCATCCAGAGCTGAGCCTTAAGGCACCAAGCCGCATTAGGGCGGCTTTTACCGGCAGCCGAGCAACAGCCAATCACGGGACCAGGCTTTACCCGTGGCTTTCCCCATTATTGTTTCGACTTCTCAACCTCCTCCTCTTGCCCCCATCCGATTCTTCTTCTCCTCGTCGTCATTCTTCCTCCTCCTCCTCCCATCCACCCCATTCTCATTCCACTTATCTAGGTTTCTTGACGTTCTCGTCTTAATTCCTACCACATAATCTTCACAATGTCTGCTCCTGCTGCTTTCTCTGACATCGCCAAGGCGGCCAACGATGTATGTGCTGCTCTCAACCCATTCTTCTGCTTCACCTCGCTAGGGGGGATGGGCCGCAATGACCCGGATTTTCCTGCTAATCCTTCATCCAATAGCTCCTGAACAAGGATTTTTACCACACCAGCGCTGGTATGTTGTTTCAATCCCATGGTTTTCTTACAACAGCAGCTGGTCAACCCTTTTCGCGCGAGCAAGGAAGCTGACTTTTGGTCCTTTAGCCAGCCTTGAGGTTAAGTCCAAGGCTCCCAATGGCGTCACCTTCAACGTGAAGGGAAAGTCTGCCCACGAGGGCCCCATCGCTGGTAACGTATGTGCCTCGGTCTCAATGTTTCAATACGCGACTTCTAGAATTTCAAGCTCACACTCTTCCCGCTATAGCTCGAGGCCAAGTACGTCGACAAGCCTACTGGTAAACGCCCCCATCATCGCAAACGTCCCTTAAGGAAACCACCCGATTCCCTAAACCTCCGATTGCGTGACAAACGGCCTGTAGTCATCATATCATGCACACATGGCCTGTCAGCGTCTACTAAAATGATTATTACGTCAAGGCTTACCGAACATGAAATAATGCTAATAATTTATCCCCGCTCAGGCCTCACCCTCACCCAGGCTTGGACCACCGCCAACGCCCTCGACACCAAGCTCGAGCTCGACAACAACATTGCCAAGGGCCTCAAGGCTGAGATCATCACCCAGTACCTCCCTGCCAAGCAGTCCAAGGGTGCTAAGCTCAACCTCTACTTCAAGCAGCCCAACCTGCACGCTCGTGCTTTCTTCGACCTCCTCAACGGCCCCTCTGCCAACTTCGATGCTGTCCTTGGCCACGAGGGCTTCCTCGTCGGTGCTGAGGGTGGCTACGATGTCCAGAAGGCTGCCATTACCAAGTACTCCGCTGCCGTCGGCTACAGCGTTCCCCAGTACTCTGCTGCCATCACCGCTGGCAACAACCTGACCGTTTTCTCTGCTAGCTACTACCACCGCGTCAACGCTCAAGTTGAAGCCGGTGCTAAGGCTACCTGGGACTCCAAGGCGGGCAACTCTGTTGGCCTTGAGGTTGCCAGCAAGTACCGCCTTGACCCCTCTTCCTTCGCCAAGGTAAGTAATCGATTACAGAGTTCGCGATTGGGTATGCGTTCTAACCAGCTTCTCCCTCTCTTCAGGCCAAGATCAACGACCGTGGTATCGCCGCTCTGGCCTACAACGTTCTCCTCCGCCCTGGTGTCACCCTCGGCCTCGGTGCTTCCTTCGATACCCAGAACCTTAACCAGGCTGCCCACAAGGTTGGCGCCAGCTTCACCTTTGAGGCTTAAGCGACTAATCTCGCAACTTCGCCCTGAGTGCCCGTCTACGCCTGGATTTCTTGTTCCAGTACGCTTGGGTTAGTACTTCGAAAGCTTTGTAGGCTTTCTTCGAAGTTGCTTACTTCTTACCCTGCTGTCTCTGCTTCTAAAGCTGTTTTTTTTTCCGGGGGACCGCATAGATGGGGGCAGTGGATGTATATAGAGGGCAGGAGCTCGGGGTTAGGTGGACATGATATTTAGATATCAGGTTATTAATCATGTATCGTACGTTTTTTGACGATGACTGTATATCAATAAGACTAAATTTCCTTTGTTTCACACTCTTCCTACACGCTAACACACACTCGAGCACCAAGTCTCCCGTCAATCAATCGAATGGGATATCCCGATCTATTCAGAGGTATATACATATATATAAAGGAGCATTTGGACGAGGGAGCGAACCATGCTTACCCGTCCTTCCCTCGTGTAGATTTAGGCGTCTTGCCAGTCCGATCACCCAGAGCCGCAGCATTATTCGGCCACCGGAAGAGCCCCGATATCGCCCCCGCGCCGACCAAAATCCCACAAACAAGAAGAAAGCGCATAGCAAAGTCCCCCCGCTTCCCAAGATACTGATCATTAATGGAAGCCCCCATTTCCCGGGCCCGCCGCTCCCGCCGACGCTGATCCTCCGCTGTCTGCGTCCGGTAGTGCCCTCGCGCATTGAAATGCGAAACTGGGTTCCGATCTATAAACGAAGTCGGGTCATCGTCTGCATGATTCGCCGCCCCAGAGCCAGGACTAGAACCGGAGCTGCCTGCAGCACCAGCACCAGCACCAGCACCAGCACCGGAGGCGGAAGGATTCGGCGCATTCCTCCCAGACCCTCCATACCCACCATGCGCATAGAAACTCGGCGGCGGACCACGAAACGGCCCGCGACGCTTCGAAAGCCCACTTGCGGGTCGAGACCCGAAGTACGATGCTCCTTTGTGGCTGCTGTGGCTGCTATAACTGCCCATGGGATGTTGGCCTGCTTGTGCGCTGCTGTGTGTTGATGAGTGGGATGGAGCGGAGTGGATGTTGTTGTCGTGGTCGTATGCGGCGCGTTTCGCGGTATTGGAGAGGACGTGGTAGGCTGAGGAGAATTTGGCGAAACGGGCAGACGCGGTAGGGTCTTTGCGGTTTCGGTCGGGGTGGTGGCGGAGGGAGAGGGAGTAGAATTTTCTTGAAATTTTTTTTTTTTTTTCTTTATTAGTTATTGTATTCTATTATAATATATATATTGTTTATTCTGTTTTATTAGGGTTGGATTGGATTGGATTTTTGGGGGGAGGTACTTCTTTATTTCGGCGGGTGTGGCTGTTATAGGGACATCGAGGATTTCATAGTATGTAGGCTCTCGGTTTGAAGCTAACCGGTAAGAAGATGAACTTGAGAAGAGTTGTGCGCGGGCATCTCTGTTGTATCTGAATCTAGGTCTGGATGTGCAGGTAGATGCGGCGTAACGAAGAGGAACCGAGAAGATGAACTGGGAAGGATTGCTGAGGCGCAATTGAGAGGATGAATTCTTCAGGGTAGGAAGGAAAGGCATGCCTCTGTATGTTGTGTGCAGGAAGGAGACAGCATGAGGTGAATTGAATAGTGAGGTGGTTGCATGTTTTTGAGTAAGTTGCTACGGATTGATTGTAAATGATAGAGACTCGCCGCTTATCGGAGCATAGTGAGTGCGTCATCTGCTCACACGACCCTATAGTTAGTTACTGTGTAGTATATAACCTCATATAATTTCGGGAATTCTACTTGGATCTCACTTTATTATGGTGTACTGTTTTGATCATTGAACTATTAATTCAATTACACACGTATATAGATATATACAGGTATATGTGTGTATATACATATTTGGGTGGGTGCTCCTCTTTCTCTTTTCCTGCTTGAAATGTTGCTTAATTACAGACGCTATTCATAATATCCAAGAATCTTGATCGGTATTCTATCTCGGGGTAGTTATAGTTAATATCTGCTGCCTTATAATACGTGATGTGATATAACTTGGTTATATTATTTTCTAATTCTTCAAAATTCGACCTCGAAAAGCACCCACTCACCGTACCGCGGGTAGCCGAAGCATTCGAGTACTACGGAGTACTCTCCGTATGTATAAATTTTGACATGTTCACCTTACTTTATATGCCTGGCAACATTATGGACCTGTTATTATTATGTCTTTCAAATGCAATTATACTATAATTTACTTCGTGATTCTGCTTTAGGAAATCATATACTGTCCAAAAACATCCCCAATCTCTTTGGCGGCCTCAGGCTTGGCGCGCCGAACATTATATCATCAGCAAATTCCCCCTCATTTTTTCTTCCTTGATCCGACCACCATCCAGCTTCGTTTTTGTGTTTCCAGCAACAAGCTTCCTCATCTTTTCACCATGGCTGCCCAGGCTAGTGAGAAGCTACAGAAGCTTGACTGTATGTTCTTCCTTTCCCTGTATTGCTTACCTGGGGCTGACAAGATTCGGTAGTGAACGGCCAGAGCGGCGACCCGAAGGCGGACGCAGCCACTGCCGGCCAAGCAGAAAACGGAGAGGCGGAGGACGATTCAGAAGATGATGCGGATGATGCCAACCATGCCGCTGACGGTGCGGCCAGCGGAGGTGCGCTTACACTACCCCGACCCGTTTTCACCCCACTAACAAAGGTCTGGAATAAATAGCAGCCAAGAAAAAGAAGAAGCGCAAGTCCAAGAAGAAGAAGAAGGGCGGTGCCAAGGTTCAGAGCGATCCGCCTCGCGTTCCAGTATCCAATTTATTCGCCAACGGCCAGTACCCGGAGGGTGAGATCGTGGAATACAAGAACGAGAACTCGTATCGCACAACCAATGAAGAAAAGCGCTACCTCGATCGCATGAACAATGATTTCCTACAGGAGTACCGCCAGGGTGCGGAAGTCCACCGTCAGGTCCGTCAGTATGCGCAGAAGAATATCAAGCCTGGTCAGACGTTGACGGAGATCGCTGAGGGCATTGAGGACTCCGTCCGCGCCCTCACTGGGCACCAGGGTCTTGAGGAAGGTGATAACATCAAGGGTGGCATGGGTTTCCCCTGCGGTCTGAGCATCAACCACTGTGCTGCCCACTACACCCCGAATACCGGAAACAAGATGGTATTACAGCAGGGAGATGTAATGAAGGTTGACTTTGGTGCGCATATCAATGGTCGTATTGTTGACAGTGCGTTCACTGTGGCTTTCGACCCCGTTTATGACCCTCTGCTTGAAGCTGTTAAAGAGGCTACCAATACTGGAATTCGCGTACGTTTAATCGTGGCGCTTTCTTTTAGATCGAGATATGTGATTGACTGACATTGGGGTGTATATATGGCTATAGGAGGCGGGTATTGACGTCCGCATGAGTGATATCGGTGCTGCTATCCAGGAAACCATGGAGAGCTACGAAGTCGAACTGAACGGGACCATGTATCCTGTCAAGTGTATCCGCAATCTTAACGGTCATAACATTGACCAACATGTTATCCACGGCGGCAAGAGTGTCCCCATCGTGAAAGGTGGAGACCAGACCAAGATGGAGGAAGGTGAGGTTTTCGCCATTGAAACCTTCGGCAGTACCGGAAAGGGCTATGTGAGAGAGGATGTAAGTGTAGCTATACTCTAACCCTCACATTCTTCAGCAAGCTAACACCGTTATAAGATGGAAACGTCTCACTATGCCTTGGTTCCCAATGCAAGCCCAGTCCCTCTGCGGCTCAGCTCTGCAAAGAACCTATTGAGCGTGATCAACAAGAACTTCGGCACTTTGCCTTTCTGCCGTCGTTACCTTGATCGTTTGGGCCAAGAGAAGTATCTTCTTGGTGTAAGTGCCTTTCAAATTGCGGTTATAGGATCAGCTAATAACATATCCCCCTCCCAGTTGAACAACCTAGTTTCTTCGGGAGTCGTGCAGGACTACCCTCCTCTTTGTGACATCAAGGGCTCATACACAGCCCAGTACGAACATGTAAGTCCCACCCTATTTGACGAAGGTTGATGTGGAAGTTGAGACTAACCATGGCTACAGACAATTGTGCTTCGACCCACCGTAAAGGAGGTGATTAGTCGCGGAGATGACTATTAAGAAGACCTTTTTTGTTCTTGTATGAAACCAATAAATACGAATGAAATTTTAAGAAGATGACAAAATAAATGAACAACCTCTTTTTTTATCTTAATTGTTGTTTTTTGTAACTATGCAGTAGGAATGATTGTGTAGATCGAACCATCCAAAAAGAACTGGCGCGCCCCACGTGGAAAGCGAAAGTTCCGAGAGTCAACTTTGTGCCTGTTTCAGTATTGAATACATTGCGGTTCAATGTCGGAGGATCAAACCACCTCAACTACTTGTGTATCCCTCTAACCCCTCGTCTTATTCCATGGCGTAAAAGCCTTTCTCAACTTCTTCTATTCCGCAAACCTCTCCTTCCCCTCCCACCATGGCCTCTACACCGCAGCTCCGCATGGCGGCAGCGAAGAACCCGCCCAAAGCTTCAAAGCCACAACAAGATGGGGAGCCTTCAACCAGAATACCACCCGCAGAGACGGCTTCAGTGGAAGATCATTTCTTCTGGACCTATACAGAGGAACCACACCGGTCAAGACGACAAGCAATCATCAAAGCCCATCCAGAGGTATCTCCTGATCCTTGATTAGGCTCCACGCAATCCACATCCACACTCAGAGAGCTTACCAGTTTCAATCCAGGTAACCAAACTCTGTGGACCAGAGCCATTGACCAAATATGTTGTGCTGGGCGTTGTCTCCCTCCAGATATGCTGCGCATATCTCCTCCGCAATACCTCTATGTTCTCCTGGCGGTTTTTCCTAACGGCATACGTGATCGGAGCAACATCGAACCAGAACCTCTTCCTCGCCATCCATGAGATATCCCATAATTTAGCCTTCCGGTCTCCTCTAGCCAACAGGCTCCTGGCTATATTTGCCAATCTCCCCATCGGACTGCCTTACAGCGCTGCGTTTCGAGTAAAGCCCCCTTCCCCAATCCCATCCCATCAAAAAAAACGAAACCCAAGAAGAAAGAAAGAAAGAAAGAAAGAAAAGCAAAAGCTAACCGCTCGCCTCCAGCCATACCATCTCACCCATCACAAGTCCCTTGGTGTCGCCGGCCTCGACACCGATCTCCCCACAGCAGTCGAAGCCTTCATCCTCAACTCCCTCCTCGGCAAAGCCTTCTTCTGCACCTTCCAAATCTTCTTCTACGCCGTGCGCCCCATGTTCGTCTACAGCCCACCTTTCACCCTGATCCACCTCCTGAATCTCGTCATCCAACTCTCCTTCGACTACGCCCTCACTAGATTCTGCAACGGCTCCCTCCAACCCGTCCTCTACCTCCTCTTCAGCTCCTTCCTCGCCGGCTCCCTCCACCCCTGCGCCGGCCACTTCATTGCCGAACACTACTTTTTCTCCAACGTGCAGCACGGCACCGAGTCTATCCAGGAACACAAACTCCTGGCAAAAGAAAAAGCATCAGACCAGGAAAGGGAAAAGAAGACGCCACACCCACTCGACTCGCTCCCACCCCCAGAAACATATTCCTACTATGGACCCCTCAATATCTTCACCTACAACGTCGGTCTGCACAACGAGCACCACGATTTCCCCGCTATCCCTTGGACAAGACTCCATGCTCTGCACCGCATCGCGAAGGAGTTCTACGAGCCTCTTCCCTGCCATCGGAGCTGGGTGTGGGTGATATGGACCTTCATCCTCGATAAGAACGTGGGTATGTGGTGTCGTGTGAAACGAGCACAGGGCGGTCGTCTTGTCGGTGGTGGCGGCTCTACTAAGAACTCGAATGGCCGTGCTGGGGAATGTATGTCTGCTGGTCCCGATGAGGCAGGTGATGATGGGTGGAAGGAAAGTGAGATTCAGAATTAAATTGATTATTGATGAATGTATTTAGTATACGGTACAGTGTATGAGAGACGATATCCCTGTCGTCTGATGATTATTAGGATTATTAGGATTATCACTTTTCGGCCTTTCTTTCTTTTTTTTTTTTAAAAAAAAAGAAAATAATAATTGCTTTTTGTTTAGGACAGTGTTGAGCTGTATATACTACAGTTTTCAGTGTATTTTAGTATACATGCGAATGACATAACCCTGATGTTTTACTCTGTATAGTGCATTGAAATATCAAAAGTATTGGTAAAAAAAAAAATAGCTTGAGCTCAATTATTTATAAACTAATACCAAGTGATATAGCATGGTCTGCTGGATTAACAAGTATGTATACATATTAGGAAAGAAGAAAAAAAAGGCACAGAAACAGGATAAAACATTCACTGGCATCATCATAATTAACTTAGAACTGCCTGGCTATGGACGCATACATTCGTCTAAACCCGATACTCGCTTTGTGGATAAAACTCATATCAAACGAAGGGGAGAATAGAAAGCAAAATTAAAAAAAAGGAAAGGGGAGAGAAAATGATGGAGGAGAGAAAAAATCAGGCCATAAGACGAGTGTCTGGCTGACCAGTTAATATATCAAGTCTGAAAGCTGCTTGGATCCTGGCAGGAACAAGACGAACTTGAAGAAGTAAAAAGGGCAGGTGACGTCCAGGTCTGTGGATAAGGATGTTAAGCTTTGTCTTTTTCACTCGCATCTCTGTCTTCATTTCCATCATATCGTAAGACTGAGAGAAGGAGAGGAATATAACGCTGGGGACACGGAAGTTCAATGGGAACGGCCGTAAAGAATATAATCAGGAGGGATGAAAAGACACGGCAGGAGTGCAAACATAGGAAACAGGCAGTTCGGTCAGAATTGAATACAGTTGGTCTGCAATATGGGGTAATATAAAAGGAAACGCGAGAAAAAGAATAAGAGGGGGAAAAAAAAAGAAATTGGACTAGAAAAAGAAATAGGCAATAAGGAAACTTAGCAGGCATAGACCGGCCACCATCTTTACAGGCACACCAGCCTCAGCCTGCTGGGCCTGCTGTTGTAAAAGTGCAACCGGCGACTTTTCAGCATCGCCCCCGATCTTCCTCTGTCTTAGACCCTGATCGGCAAGCTTCTCTTTTAAGCGTTGAATCTGAGCATTGGCATCCGATAAACGAGATTCGTATTCCACATTCGAGACTGCGCTGCCTGCTGTTGGAGACTTTGCGGGTGCGACCTTACTTTCACTCACTTGCGGCGTGGAGAATTCTCGCTTGACGGTCTCGCTGAAATCTGGGGGAGGAAGAGGTGACGTTTCACTGGGGCCTTTCGCAGAAGCCGGAGCGGCGGGTGTCTCGTAATTTGCACGGGGAGACGGGTAGGCGGGGGGTTCATCCTCTGGGACGTTCTGTACGCGAGCGGAAATGAGTGATTAGATTGCGCAATCCTTAACGACTAAATAGAATAAGACGTACCGTGCTGCTATTCGGATCATCCTCAATGACAACTGCAACCTCCTCAGCGGGAAGCCAATTCACACGAATCTTGCGCTCCTGGATTGACGCTTTGGTGGCTTTTTCGAACTATGGATTTATTAGAAGAGACTTCGAGAAGAAAACAGAAAGGTCGTACAATAGAGGTGACGTTGGCAAATTCCATATCCTTGGTGACCGCCACAGTCTGAACAAGGAACTTGTCCTTGCACTTGGCATCAGGCGCAGGCTGCTCTTTCATAGCCTGTAGTAGAACTATCCATATTATCAGCCACGTTCTCAATCATGCGCTATCCGTTTCATGAGCCATACCCTGAACTTCCACATTTTTTCCAGGTTCTATCCGTCCCGAGTTTGGTCGCACACAGTAGCTATTCGGAGTTTAGTAGGCATCCACCAACAAGGTCGGGGTGCGAGGATAAAATAACGGGCACATACTGTTTAGGGGCAGTGGTCTTGACCTGGTACGCAACAACCAAAAATTAACATGCGATTGTGGGTTTCTATCTATAGAAGGAGCGCATACCTTGAAGACAACCGACTCTGGGTTGTGATTATTGAGGTGTAGGATCTGGCATACTTCGCGGTCGAAGGGGCCTAGAATTCGCATCAGTTCGCATTGTTCCAACTCAGAAATAACTTTCTCCAAGAAAACCCACGTTTAAAGCCAAGGTCTGGGGGGTCGAGGACGATAGACATGGTGAATAAGGGATTATCGGAAGTTGGTAAAGTCAAGGAGGCGGATATGGAGGTTCAGAGATGGTTGAATAGGACGAAATAGCCCAAGAGGATGATGAGTTGTATTAGGCAAAAGAGAAGGCAAAACCGAGACCCACCAAAAGTGCCAGTACCTGAAGGTCTCCGGAAAGAAGAAGAAGCCCGGTGGGGATAGATTAGGTAGAGAACGGAGGTAAGGTAGTAGTTGGCAGGTGGTTGGTTGTGATATGAAGCCGATGATGGCTTATTATTCTTATTCATTACTAGGGGAGGAGCGTCGCTACTGCTGGTTGGGCCTCGTGTGGCTGAGTCAGCATCGACAACGGCCCAGCGTCCAGCGAAGTGAAGTGAAGTCATCATCCATCTTCATCCCATGCCTGTGATCTTTTTTTTTCTGTCTACAGCTCCCTTTCTTTTCTCGTCAATATGATCGGTCTTGTTTTCCGCGGCTGTTGCTCATATCCCTTGAATCTGTTCGTCTAATGTCTCTAGAGAGTGTGTCGGACTACGGCTGAGCATCCATCCGCCATCCCCTTAGGTTCTGTTTCTCTCCTCGGATCCATTGGTTGACTTCCTCGGGCCCTCTAAAATAAGAAACATTGACCTGACTACTGGACTGCGACTTGTCTCGAACACATGTGAATCCCGGTGGCATTATCTGATACCCCAAGTTTCAGCTTGTGGATGCAGCATGCCACCTATTATTTAATAATGGCACCATTTCTCCTTATGAATTCCAGCTGGTTCAGTCAGTCAAGTATTGGCTTTCCTGGAGCAGACTGCCAGGTTCTAACTTGATCGTTCTTCACCACCGTGCCCCAGGTTCTAATCTCTAAGAGGGACAGGGTTCTTGAAAGGGGTACACACAAACAAATAGCCCGAATCTAAACAACACTTGCTCGTTTTTCTGTGGATGCCTAAAAGAAAAGTTTCCGTATATCCATCAGACGTCGTGTAATTATTGTCAGTCTTGGAGTTATCCTGTTGTAGTCCAGAGTATTCAGTTGAGCCTTGCGCGGGACGGAAGCTTACCCCTAGATCTAAGCTCTTCTTGCCTTGCTTAGGGATTCAAGAATGTATAAATCAACGATAGAACCAAGTATCTAAATCCAGCCATGCCTGGAAGAGTCCAGAACCTTGTTGGATGGGACAAGTCGTTTGTAGGCATAAATACACAGTAGGCACCATGGCTGAGCGGGTCATCCCGCATTTCATCCCTCCACCGAAGCTCTTGGGTGATACGTCACCTGCAACCTACCTACCTAACCACCCAGGCCTCACTTTTTCTCTCCTACACTGTGCGATCACTTTTCCCCTTCCTGGTTGTCTTCAGGGCAGTCGTCAACGCCACTTACGTTCCAATCATTCGGTAAACTTCCGCAGCTTCAGCTCGAGCAAGCTTCCCCACTTCCTGAGCTTTCACCTTCGTAACCTGCCACGCTGTCACGGCCCCGCGCGTTTGAAGGAATTTAGATACCTCGAAGAAATACAAAATGACTACCTCGGATTTAGATCAGCTCATTGAAATGGGCTTTGATCGAGAAAGGGCTGAGCTGGCAGTGAAGAAGAGTGGTGGGCGTAGGTGTCCCCATTCTGTTCTAAATCATCACTACTGTTTGTTTGTTAACCATCATCTATAGTTCAAGACGCGCTCGAATGGCTGGAAGCAAACCAAGACAAATCTCTAGAGGATATCAAGACGGCGGAAACGCAAGCCGGGGATGATGAAGAAGGTCCAGCGCTCCAGCCCGGCGAGGAAGCCCACAGTTTGGTCTGCAATGAATGCGGAAAGAAGTTCCGAAGCCATGCACAAGCAGAATTCCACGCTTCGAAGACCCAGCATGTTGATTTTGCGGAATCAACCGAAGAGATTGCCCCCTTGACAGAGGAAGAAAAGAAAGCAAGACTCCAAGAGCTTAGGGAGAGGCTAGCAGCTAAGCGTGCGGTGCAGTCTGAACAGGACAAGATTGAAAAAAAGCGGAATGAGGTATGTTCTGTTCTTATCCATGCTCAAATATATGCTAACTCGTCATTTCTAAACTAGGAAATTCGAAGGAAAGCCACTAAGGAATCTCAAGATGCCAAGGAAGAGCTTCAGAGGAAGCAGATGCTGAAAGAGGCTGCGCAAAAGAAGAAGGACAAGCAGGATGAAATTGAAGCCAAACGTCGTGTCAAGGCCAAGATTGAAGCGGATAAGGAGGAGCGGCGATTGAAGGCCGAGCGTGAAAGGGCTGGACGTGCTGGCGTCGCACCTCCTGCTCAGCCAGCCTCCGTACCATTGCCGACAACATCTGGCCCTGTAGCCTCCAAACCTGCTTCTGCTTACACAGAAACTCGCCTTAGATTTCAGACGCCTAAGGGAAGCATTATGAAAACACTACCAGTTACTACGACGTTATTCGAGGTTGCTGCAGCTTTGAGCAAGGAAGACGGTGTTGAAGTCAATAGCTTCCGCCAAAACTTCCCTAAGAAAGTGTTTGATGCTGAATTTTTCGGCGAATCACTGAAAGATCTCGGACTTGTCCCTAGCGCAAGCCTTGCTGTTGAGTGATTTTCTTATGGGCTCCTAGGCCTCACTAGCTAAGAATACAGCAATTTCTTATCCTATACTAGCGCAAAGCCTATCACGAAGACTAGAAGAATATTATGAGGAATGAAAGCTTCAAAAAAAACATCTAAAATGGGGGGATGCAGATGCGCATGCTGATGGTTCGTGGGACCCGGGGCCATAACACCGTAAAACTGCCAACACTTTCACTCACCACCACCGCAGGTGTCAATACTATGAATCTTTTTATCAAAATACCCATTTTGGAGTTCTTTTGAATATCCTGGGTCAAAGATCTCCGGCCGTGTTTTTGTCACGTGATATCGCGGTTGTGCAGCGTACTCCAACGCGTCTTCCAAGGCAATCATCCTCGTGTCTTTGCGTACTACTTACTCATTACCATCTGTGTTTCCAATGAAATATCCCCCAGGTTAGTTTATTTATAGCCATAATTATGCCTGCGTAAGTTCTCTCTTTCCTCCACGACTGCAAAATCTCCCTGGGCCTTCACCCATCTAACCGCGTCGCGTGTTCAGTGTCGGTGACCAACATCGAGGCGGGCCCTCCGCCATCACGATGCCCAATGCACCAGCTCTTATTGCGAGAAATCCATTTGGAGAGACACCACAGCGACAAAACGAATATACCCCGGAAGAATCAGCCACATTGCAAGCACGTCTCGATAAGAAGTTGGGACCCGAATACATTTCCTCACGACCGGGGGCTGCTGGTCAGAAAGTGCACTATCTGGCGGCCGATAAATGCATCAATCTTGCGAACGAAGTATTTGGATTTAATGGCTGGTCAAGTTCCATTCAAAATATTGGAATTGACTTTGTATGTCGCTATTGCCGATGAATTATTATCGGGATTTTTGATTTTGGACTATCTGAGTTATTAGAATCTATGGCTAATCTAGGCGCGTTGGCATATAGGTCGAAGAATCTCCAAATACCGGAAGGGTCAATATTGGTCTATCTGTGATAATGCGGGTTACCTTAAAAGATGGAACTTACCATGAAGTACGGATATATACTTTCTAAAGCCTATTTGAAGTCCTCGTATACTTATCATTTTCAATTGCCAGGACATCGGGTATGGGCACATTGACAACTGCAAGGGCAAAGCAGCAGCTTTTGAAAAGGCCAAGAAAGAAGCAACAACAGATGCTCTCAAACGAGCTCTGCGGAACTTTGGCAACGTTTTAGGCAACTGTATCTATGACAAGGACTATGTTTCCAAAGTTGTCAAAGTTAAGACACTACCAGTATGTGGTCTCAAGCTAAAGACTACTTACAGCCCTGACTCATTTTACAGACAAAACTGGACATCGATGGGCTTCACCGTCACCCGGATTTTGCTCCAATAAAGAAGGAGCCATTGCAGCCAAAGCCTCGACCTGAGGACGATGACCTACCTCCCCGTCCCACAATTATCGGGAACAGCAATTCGTCGGCCGGCAATTCCGCTTACGATTTTGACGGAGAGTTTGGGAGTACGTGATACAAAACCAAGAAACCCCATTCAGATTGCCAACCTTTACTAACATTACCAGGCGATGTATTTGATGAAGCGGACTTTAGCGTCGGTCCAGGCGGCAATCCAGATGAAGTAGTCATCGAATCGGACATGCAGAGGAGGCAGCAACCGCCAACGCCAGTTGGAAGACCAAACGGGCCCCAAAGACCCTTTAACAACAACGCTGGTCCCCATGGCAGGCCAGCCCCATCAGTCGTAACACCGTCCAAACCAGAAAGACCGATAGCTCAAGCTCCAGGGGCTAGGCACGTCTCCGTTCCCCCAGCCGCAAACGGTCGTCAGTATCCTCCAGTAACCCAAGACCAATACGCAAACCAAAGACGCTCCCTCCCTCCCCAAGATGTTCAGAAAGGCTTCCAAAACGGAAACCAGATACCCCCTGGGCAACACAGTACCGGTCATCACATGGCAACATCAGGTCCCAATGCTCAATTCCCTATAAAACAAGAGTTTGGCGCAGCCCCTCAAGGTCAAAGCATGCCTCCTCCAGGGACACCAGGTGTAGACGGCCAACGGCCTGCACCTGTTGGATTCTTCTCAGCTCGAGGAGCTGACGTGTTGCGAGACAATCCCCACGGTGCGGCAGCTGCGTTCGACCCTCATGCCGAAAGTCCCTCAATTCGTAAGACAGCTGGAGTTGATCATAGCAAGAGTGTCGCTATCTCAAAACCTATGTTAGCTGGTGCGTCGCTCGCCACAAATCCTTCCCGAGATTTCATCAATCCTTCCGCTGAAATGCACCGAAAAATCGGTGCCCCCGGCGGTAGTGCAGTCGGCAGCCCGATGAATAGGGCTCCAAGTACTTCATCATATCGCCCTCTCACACGACCAAACATTGATCCCAGGTCTGCTGCGAGCAACTCTGCCGCGAATAGGGGAGGATTCGGACCACCTAATCTCAATGGGAAACGACCACCCTTAAGTGATGTAACCAACGCATCTGCACCTGGTAGCAGCGGGCCTGCTCCCATTACTAGTGCTAACGATCCAAAGAGAGTTAAATTCGACGCGGCGCTACCACCAGCACAGCAGCAGCAGCATCCACAACAGGACTAATGTTATGAATCATTTTACAGCGTTCTCATACAATGAAACAAACTTAGACATATTCTTTACGCTATACCTCTCGCAGAACACATCTCCATCCAGTGTTCTCGCTTTCAGGAGTACTGGCAGGAGTAATCGGCGTTGAGAGGACAACGACACTGGATGACTGGACTCATTCAGAAAGGGCTTTTTTTTTCCCCCCCTTGTATTGTTTGTTGATTTGCATTGGACTTGACTGATATAATCCTACTTATTTTCCACACTTGTTACTCTCGCTTCCCCCTCGGCTATCGTGGAGGTAGTGGTATATCTGCGTTGTCTCTCAGCGTGATTACGATTTGTCAGGTTGAGACTCACATGGTATAAATACTATGTGCTCTTTAGAATACTAGATAACTAATATCTGGACTCGTAATTCTGCGTACTGTAACAAGCGTTAGAGTGTATTATTAGATTCTCATTCAAACTAAAACAAATAATATGGTATGTTCCCTAGTCAGTCAGGCAATCTGAAAGCTTCTCTCTTTACCAGGCTGAATGGGAGGATGTCACAATAATCCGCCCAAAAAATACTTGATTCTTGAGGCCGGCCGCCCCCCCCAAAAAAGAAGCCAAAATGCTGCAATACTGGAATATCTGCCATGCTAATGAGTCTCCCCGTTAATATGCTGGAGGCTTAAGAGAAATCAAGACGCTTACAGCTTGTACTGTCAGCAACGAAAGAAAAAGGAAGTTAACGAAAGAAAGGATAGCACAAATCAAATTATCATTAACATGAACTAGAGTAGAGAGGACTTGGTCAGGGTGGTAAACATCTCACACACAAAAAGGAATGCAGTAAATGAGGGAAAGCACAGGAAAGACTATTTGCGAAACAGAATTGAAGAAATAAAATAAAAGAGAAACTCCAGGGTAGTAATTCACTGGTTGAATACCTGGTGACCTCTTAGATATGGCCATTGGTGAGGTCATACCGAGAGTACTGAGGAACACGAGCCCCATCAAAGAGAAAACAACAATGAAGGGGCTATTTTCCCAAAGAAATTGTCTGCATCTCTCCAAGTCTCCTTGGCTGTGTTATTCGCTAGATCTCGAAAAGTACTGCGTTGATCTTGGCCGTGAGGTTGTGTTAACACATCAGACAAAAGCAGGTACGTACGTCTCCAGTGAAGCTGGCTTCAGTCAAGAGACAACCAGTATTCGCGTTGAGGATATTGAGCACAAGTTAAATTTCAACTTGATTGTTGTCCTACTTCCCGATAGGGCTAATGGAAACGAATCAGTGAAGACGGAGAAACTATGCCATTCACTTCTTCTGGGGAGTCGCATATCTGGAGCTCATGAGTCCGTCTGTAACAACCCGTTTTGCTGGTGTGGTTTGGGTCCCTATTGGCTTAGGAGCATGTATCGATTCCTGAATTGTAGAGTTTTGGGTGCCTTTCACCACATTGGGTGACGCCGTCAGAACATTTAGGGTTTGTGTGCTCAGAACCTGCTTTGTTACCCCAGTCTGAGGTGCGTTCAGTGCTACCGTAAAGCGGTTGGGAGAGTTCGCGCTTTTAAATACCGAAATATTCGGGTTCGCTGCTCTGGGTGACTGAGGAGGAAACGGAGATTTCTTGTCAGGTCCTACAAGCTAATTAGCACCTTTCACTTCGACGAGTATGGATTAAGCACTACCATTCGAAGCGGACTGCTCTATTAGTTTCTCATTAGTTTTCGTGGCTATTGGTTGGACTACTCGTCTTCCAGGTAACAAATGGTCGCCAAATAGATGGGATCGAGATTTCGCTCCCGGCAGTAGATGTTCACCTATGATATGTGTATCTTCGGCACGAGGGACATGAGTAGGCGTCGAAACGATGGACATTATAGATGCGGTCGGACTAGCCTCAGGGAGGGACTGTAAAGGAGCTTCAGCCGACGCTTGTTCAAGGGTCGCTGGAGAGCTAGTCGCTGGAGAGCTAGTCGCTGTATCCTCAGAGAGCGGGTCTAGGGCTTTAGACTCTGTTTGAGCATCTGTCATAGACATCATTGATGTTCTCTCCGAAGCAGGGCGAGATTGGACCTTGCACATTGTTTCTTGAAAAGTAGCAGTCGAATCGGTCGATGCGCTTTCGGACGTTGATCGGTACTCATTGAAGGACTTTGGGACAAACTGCGGCGCCTTTGCACTCAGTCTAGCCCGAGAACTCGGGGTAGTGATGTTCAATACTGTCCTAGCATTTGGCGGGGTTTCTGGAATGAAAGGTTTGTTTGTAGCATCGGGTTTGGGTTTCTCTTTGAATACTTTGCCTTTTTCTACACCTTTATCCAACACTTGGCCCGATTGAGCCCACTGCAGCCTTGTTTCAAGCTCCTCTTTGCACTCACTTAACTTTGTGAGATACACTTCCGAGAGAGTTGTCGAGGCCATTAACTTGCATAAGATCTCGATATCACGCTGATACTCACTAGCAAGTCCTTTGTCGGTAGGTTTGGTTACACTCGTAGAGATATGCTTGTCATTCGACTTAGGTTGTTCTTCCAAATGTCCTTGAAAATCAAGCTTTCTGATAGAAATGGAGGATGAGGATGCTTGGGGGTCTTGAAAATTGCCGCTGTTCGTGAACTGCAGCCCTCGTAGTTCTTCAAGCGCTGGGCTCATTACCGTCTGACTTCTAGTCTTTCGAGGTGGTGTGCAGCTTAGATCAACCAGGATTGCGCCATCCTCATTAGGACAGGATTTGAGAGCTAATTTTGTGTCTCTATCCGCAGACTGTTTCGGTGGCGTTGACTCCTGATCCAACTTGATCCCGTGTTCATTTCTGTCAGGGGAATGGATCGAATTCGATCGAGGCCGTTTCCCCTCAGATGATTCTAAGCCCGTTCCCTCAGATCCTAAATCTTGATCAGCTGACTGAGAAGCTCCTACTTTATCAATCGGAATAGAGTATTGCATATGTTTTTGGATCTTCGGCTGGCGAAGTTCGGAGGAGACATTGGGCACTGGTTCCTCTGGAAATATGCTCTGAGTTGATCGGCTTTTGCTTTGGGCATCCCGTATTTTCGTATGCACGTTATCCTCTGGGTCACCGGCTCTTGGGGATTTCGACGAGGCCTCTTGTCTGTTATCGTTAGATATATTTGTGGCATTGGTAACACCGGGGACCTTCGTGTTGACAAGACCGCGAGCCACAGCTAGAAAATTTTCAGGAGGACTAAGGATCTGGGCAAAGCTGCCCCTGCAGGTGAATGTCAGAGTGCGTGAGGTGAAATAAAAGCGCAACTTACAGCAATGGTCGTCTGGTCTTAACGGAGACAGCTCTATGCATATCTATGTTGCAAATTCATTAGCTTCTATTCCTAAGTCTCAGATATCCAAAACGCTCACGGTTCTCACGGTACTGCGGCCTTCCCTCTACTTTTTGCGGACCAAATCCAGCTAAAGGAGCTTTATATTTGATATCAAGATTAGACTTTGGCGCAGTCCGGTTTGGGGAAGGATTTGATGCATGTCGAATCGGGTTTGAGAGCAATTCATACATAGACGGCCTGGTTTTCCGGTCAGCGTGTGTCAATAATAATTAACATAACAGTGTCACACTTCGTAGAGCGTTTCTTAGTCTTATAGCTACGTTCTGTTGGCTCTGGGACCCTGGCAGGCGGTTCTTGCACAAAAGACACCGTCTTAGTAGCCTTCAAAAAGTTATCACTCCCTGTGTTTGACTTCGAGTAATTCTGACCACCACTTTCACGTATGATCTCGTTAAGGCGAAGACGATGGGATTGACCATTTAAGAGACAACTGAGATTTTCCAAAGCATCGGTGTCACCTATGTTTTTGTACACGTCTTTACTATCAAGATTAGCCAGTGTATAGGCATAGGCATTATAAAAGAGTGACTTACTTGCCCAATCCGCAAGCTTGGATCTATTTGTTTCGGCTGTAAGTTGCGCATCTGAGCCGGGTATATTTGACTTTCGCTCTGCTTCAAGAATCTCCACCCTAGTGTTTGCCATTTGCCGGTGGTCTGTAGTCGAGATGTACTCTCTTCTGGCCGTTCCCAGGTCTTGCTATACGTATTCAACCCCGTCATGGTCAGAAATGTGCTGTCGTAATTCGCTGAATAGGGGACTCTCTCACCATTTGCAGCATGTTCAGACGTTCTGCAGTTTCTTTGTCCATCTTGAAAGAACAATGAAGTCAAGGAGGAAGATATACAATAGAACGACAGCCTTGTCCGTGATATTCAGAAAGAGAGAGCCAAAATTGGGCCTATGGCGAAACAATTGGACCATCAAAAAGAGAGCACAGATGTTCATGGGAGACTGAAATAACCGGGTATCAAGTTATTCTGAGGCAAGAACGAAGTAAAGGCACCTATTCATCACACTCAAGACACAGCATGTTGGTGAGAGCTTCACATATTAAGCTTGAATTGCATACGTTACCTCGGCTCTCCTCCAACAGCTAAAGCAGGACAATAGAGAATCACGACAAAGAATGTTGGAAATAGTTTTCAAGAAATAGCAGATCTGGGGGAAAGGAAAGGGTATGGTCTAGAAAAGGGGAAGGGCAGGAAGGAAAATTCTGAGGATATGGGGAAAAGTGAGGAATTACAAAAAGTGGGTGTTGCTAGGAGATCAGGTTGCAAACGAAATGCACGGCAACATTAAAGCGCAAATCATGAAATTCCCAAGGTATGGAAGATATGCGCATAGATCATGATATAAGACAAACCTATCTGACTTCATTAAGCTTGTAAAGCGAGAGTCTACGCATTCCCTTTCATGGTATACAGAAGTCGCGGATCAGTACTGCTCGCCTATCATAATATAGTTAGCCCAATTATGGCTATACTACTACCTAGGTACCTACCTTGTAAGCAACTGTGGTAGGTCCAACCGTCCATTTATCTGCCAACGGGTCTTTCAGTCCTGGTGGTTGTCGTGCCCTAAAGGACAGTTATATCACTCATACTGCAAGAGACCCAATAACCTCAATCAAGGCGCATCAAGAGATGATCGGCTTTTACAACACAAGTAAAGGCTTAAATAAAACGGACAAGATTTCACCATGATCAGAAAAGGAAGATGGACGGTATATTGTCGTTGAACTTTACTAAAAAGCTCCCTTCCAAGTAATTCTACCATTGCCCGGAGCTTAATTAATTTCTTCTCTGGAGTTTCAGGGCCGGCTCGACCATGTTATACCTAATTTTCTGGAAACTACCGCAAGGTTAAAGTGATTGAAACCTTAGATCTAAACAAAGTCGACTCCTCGACTCCTCTATAAAACACACATATATATGTACAGAAATTTGTAGTAAGTCAGCCAAAGTCTATCGATTGAAGATAAGTATACATGCGAAGGATCCCCAGTAACAGCTAGGCGGCGCAGGTTGCTACTCCACCTTCATCTATCAAGACAAATAAAATTCGTTAGCAGCTGCCTCTGGGTAATATTATCGACCTAAGGATCAGACATACTTTTTATTATCTTTCCAACCGCCTGTAGGAGACTAACGCCCATGACAGTTAGCCCGAAAGCAATGCATATATATGCGGGGATCTTGGCTGTTCGAGAGGCAGTGCTCAGCTTGATATAGCACAGTGGCGGAAATATGTAGGCCAAAGAAGCTGCGCTGGTTGCTCCTATCAATTCAAATACAGCACCCAAATCACAAGTTGTGAGGGCTAAAGCTATAGAAGTAATCACGAGGGCAGACGTAAATATCAAGTGCCGATTTATGTTGAACGGCTCATCGGGAAAGTAGTAGGTTGTCATAACAGATCGGCATACGAATGCCTCGAGGGGCAGTGTCGTAAGCATATTCAGACCGAAGCAACTAACACTGTTAGCCCAAAGAACGTTCAATGCTCTTGAGGTAAACAAGAATCTCACAGCCGGGCTATATTGATCAAAATATTGTCGGACGGAAAGTTGTTCAGTACATTGCCCTGGGTCCGCGAACCAAAGAAAAGAAATCCAGAAATGCCCATGGTAAGACACATCAGAAGTGAGACCCCAGTAGAGTAATGGGTCACTATTGCAAACCGATCCAAGGTTGGCTTCTTCAGCGAACCATAGATTAAAAGACTGTTGTGATCTTCTAAAGTGTCAGTTTCCCGACATCGAATAGGAGAGCTTTACATACGGCAAACAAATGCTACAAATGGTCAGAAATCGACTTCAGTATCGTTAAAAACAGCGAAAGTAGGTGCGTACCAAAAGATATTACTCCAACAGCCTGAAAAAAGCCTGAATTCACAAACAGAAGACCCTTGAAGTCACCTCGTGATTCTGAAGGAACACGGAAACCCTGCGTGATCACGGCCACTAAAATGACGGCCATGCTTATCAAGGCCAGAGTTGACGCTTTGGCTAACTAATCGACAGTCAGCGATGCAAAGTTAATCTCCGATATTCTCGAACCTTTGCAATATCCCGATATAGGGACAGCGGGTAAGAAATACACAGGACCAGAAGGACAATGATGGCACGTCTGTCTGTAAGAAGCCAAAGAAATGACATCTCCCTGAGTGAAGGAAACAGAGAGTTCAGAACATGGGGTATAGTGTCTCCAACAATGATACAGAACGCTATCATGCCACCAAATGCAAAGGCCCACTGAGCAACTGAAATAGCAATGAGCCCAGTCTTGCCAAAACAATGCTGCATTGTTGCTTGAAATGAATCGGCGCCGCTTAATTTAGAGTTGATCACTATCAGGCGAATGGTCCAATCCACCACGACAGTAAGTCCCACCAATAGTATTATCCCCATCACCATGCCGGCTTGTCGAAGTGCATATGCCTGGCCGATAATACCAGCCCCTATGATGCTATTTGCCATGTTCATAAACGCCATTTTCATTCCACTCCTCGGCCGAGCATTCTCTAAATGGTCCTCTGGAAAAAAGTCATCGGAGGTAGCAAGGGTTACACTTGGCGCTTCTATATTCGTTAACAGGGGGACCGTTTGTCCGGTATCGTGTCGACCTGAGCGGCCTCTATTGGTGTGAGCGTAGTCTTCCTCATCAAGCCAGCGAGCGTCCTCTGAATTGCGACGGTCGTCATTCGAACGATGCTCATCTTCGGGATCGTCACCGAGATCAAATCTAACGCGATTCGTAGTTCGGGGGGTGCGCCGTTGTCCATCTGGAGCCGGAGAGGTAGATTGCGAATGCGGCCCATCGGGAGTTGGAATACCTAAGTCGGACTGAACAGCAAGGTCATGTTCCAGATTTGCTAAATCAGAAAGGAGTGGTTGTGAGTCTTGCCCTGTGATGCCATTAGCTTCAGCCAGGAAAGAATGTTGTCCTTCATCGCCGAGCATTGCTGATGTTGAATGCTTTTGACAACCACCGTCTAGTGAAGTGGATGATTGCTGTTGGCCAAATGGGTCGTCACGCGCGTTGTATACACGTGATAGGTTGCTTATCGATAAGCCCTCCAACCTATTTATATACCAGGTACTGTATGTATTTTTACTGGCTCACAATCTTTAAACTTCCTGTACTACTACTGACTCAGTGTTAATTATTTCATTGTATTCAAAAAGCTGCGTTGCTTTCTTCAAGAAGTAGTGGCTTTGTTTAACATTTTCTGGTAGATATGTTATTGATCCGTGTATTTATGGTCGAGTCATTCCTACCATAGTCATACTAGGTATCCCAACAAGAACTATTGAAACAAGTCTTGATAGTTAAGGACTTGGCTGCAGTGTTACTAATTGTAGGAGCTCTGTTCAAATTTATGGTCTTATACCATTACAAAGGATAATGCTATAAGGTGTCAGGTGGTATGTGTGGAGGGCTAGAATACAGACCAAACCCACCACCATTCCTTTCAATTCTTCTACCTCCCGTCATAATTCTCCACTGCAGGAAAAGATGACCTCCAAAGACGGAATTGTTTTCTCCAGCCCCGCCTAACATGGCTTGCTCTATAGATCTTGGACACAGGGTCTTTCGCTCTTCAGATTCTGACTTAAGCCTATCTTTAAGTTCCTCTTTGCTAATGCTACTTCCGCCACAGCACGCCAGACGAAACAGCCTTGAGTGTCTCAAAGATGCTCTTGTTTCCCGAAATATTTGGGTATTCCAAACACCGGAGCTCAAACTGAACCTCTGCGTTGCCTCTAGGTCGAACATGGGCTATCCTCTTTCCAGATTCGTTTCTCAGTTAGGTGATGTTATTTGCAAAGCGAAGGTATCATTTCAGCAATCACACTGTACTGACCCTTTCAATTCGGTTCTGTACTAAAACATATCTCTCTCAGCTCTGGTCTGATCTAGAGCTTAGTATTCTCTTCAAAAGCTGTATCCACAGGCTCGAACGCAACGACTCCCTGTTCAACCTCTCTTTCGGTATACGGAAAAGACCCGCTTTATCGAACCAGAAAAAGCCTGCGAAGCTCCCGGGTATCCTGAAGAATCTGGGCGATTTAGTTCCTCCTGTCAATATAATGGCCGCTTGCTTGATAGCCATTGACATCTCTTTGCTATACGATCACTGTCACCGCCAGTCCACACCACTGTACACAATTTCCCTCGCAACACAAATCGATTGCTATGGGGAACTGGAAAGAGATACACTCGATATTATGCGCATTAAGCATTTAGATGGTATGGGACAAAGTGCGGTACATTTTCAGTTCAAGAGCCCTAGCAAAAAAAATGGCGATTCTTTATCTGAAGAGGAACCATCAGCATTGAATAATGAGCAAGAGTTCATTCTTTTCTCTGCGGAAAAAAGAACTGATTCTTCAAGCCTTGAGTCCCTATTTGACCTCGGATTCAAGGCACTTGTTGGAGGGGGTCCACGTCAAAGGCATAATAAAGAAAAGAAATATATGAAAAATGATCTTCAATGTCTATCAGAGATAGCGCCCTCCGTTTTTAACACTGAGTATCGCAATGTGGGTTCCCTAGATCCCCCTACAATCCTGTCGCAGCTAAGTCTATCTCTCTCTTCCAGGCTATGAACCAAAGATCTCGATTAATACCATCGATTGCAAAATCCATCATGTCCATACTAAAGTTAAGCGACAACCAATCTCTGAAGGACAAACTCACCGCCATAGAAGTATCCTACAGCGCGAAACTACAATCATGGACCTCGGAAACAATCGTTAACAATACGCGAACCGTGCTGAAAGCAACTCTCTGGAATATCGCGCAGAAATCGCTCTGTGAGACCGAAAGGCCGCAAAAAATAAGCCCGTTATACTCCACGGAAAATCAGATACCAAACGACATCCTGTTTTCAGAAGCGTGCACAGAAGATTTATTCGACATAAATGACTATACCACCATCTATAGCGATTCAGACCCGTACTTGGGCACCGAAGATGGCTACGAGTATGATGACACAGAAGGAGCAGCCTCAATCCTTTTCTCAGGCGATAACCTCTCTGAAACGTCCGCGGAAAGGTTACCCGGTGATCAAACCGATTTAGACCCAGAGATATATACCACAACAACATCCGAAACTATAAACGGATCTAGCTGGAAAATGCAGTACCCTCCTATATCAAAACATTCAGGCTATGTTGAAACCTATCAAGAAGACAGTGGACTACTCATAGACGACGTTTTCGAAGATTCTCTCTCTGGCCAAACACCTCATTCACATCCCTTAGAGTTTTATACAACTAAGTATCCCGATCATGAAGAAACCGACCTGATGTTGTCCGATGATTAAATTTTGACGGTCTTTATATGGTATCATGGCCCGTTCCAAGTTATCAAGTATACTTACTTAGCTGCGTTGTGGGTTGCGATATAGACAAAGTGGGGGCGAATAATATATTATGTATGTTTAGCGAAACTTCAATGTGAATACAAATCTCTAGAAAAAATTCGATTTCTTTTTCCACATTTACTTTTTGGGTCACAGTCAAGAGGTAGAGCATTATTCTGAGATTGAAAGCTCCAGCAATAAAATTTAGGATACAGGCAACGAAATCAAAGCAAAAGCCAAGATAATGTAAGTCTTCTTCTATTGCAACCATGTAGAAATCAAGTAAGACTTTGCTCTTTCCACCATAATACATTAACACCTGTAAGTAAATATCATAGCAAAAAACTTCATTCGCCATACAAACACCGAACGTCCTTTCTATCCTTCGAGTGGATGCTTATGCCAGCGGAGTCAACAGTTGTAAAAGTGTAGAGTCGTCTCAAAAAGAAAGAGGTTTGCTTCAGCGAAAACGAAGATGAGTAAACCCAAAATCGGATACTCAGGACACGCGGATGCCTTTGCGAGGTGGCTGGATAAGGCGATTGGACGAAGTTCGCTCCTCGTTTTGAACTTTACTGGAGTCTCCAGAGTGCCATGACTTTGCACCCGAAATTTGAACCAAAGTTGAGAGCTTGGAGGGATCGAATTCCTTAATGAACACCTCATCCAAACCTCGTGATTTCGGACAGGAGTAATGAATGTACTCGTTGATTACGTCTCTCATGTCCCATCCCTGTAGCTTGCGAAAACAAGCACTCACGCAGCCAGTGCGGTGCTAGAGGTGAGAGTTAGTACATGGGCACAAGGATAGTTTCTTGTATACTATACTTACTTTGCCTTTGTTGCAGTGAATGAGAATCGGGTGGTTTGACTTGTTGAGTAGAATTTCCAGGACACGATTCATGACACATTCAGGTGTTTTAACTGCCGGGTCCTTATTCGCCAGGATCACAATACGGTGATGCAAAATTCCATTTGCCTTGAGGAATTCTTCGTGACTCTGGGTATATGGTTCCTCAACAAGAGTGCTGTAAATAGGCTGTTAGTTATACTGCAAGAAAGAACCAAAACATAATTTACTTACATTATTGTCTTCAGTCCTAGCCCTTTGAGTGCTGGAAGATTCCACGGCTGAGGGAACGAGCTGCGATATATTCCCTTCACAACTTCTCCAAAGTTTGCAGGTAGTTCAGAGTTTGATGCCGCTAACTCCATTGATGAGACTCTGACTCCATGTTTCTCGACTATATCAAGAGTAATTGTCAGCGAAAAGAGTAACGTACGAATTGGGTATGTGCATTTCAGTCCAAAATATCAGTATTATGCAGTGACTTACCATTCTGGCTCTCGACAACGCCATTAGAGTTCTTCATTGCCAAGGGGCAAGTCATCATCATGATTTCCTTGGGTTTAGCAGAGGTACGACTCGATGCGTCACGGGGGGGAGTGATGAAAAATGAGGGTAATAGTCCAAAAACTCCAGAAGATACGGTTTCTTCGAAGGAATCAGGAATCAGGAATCAGTCCAGTCTTGGAGAGGAGAAATGCAGAAGAAGATGAAGTAACGCTGAAAATAGACTTGGGAAGCCTAACCGTCCAACGGGAAGCCAGGCATTTTGGAGAGTTGATTCAAACGAGTTGAAACTAGATGAAACGATGGAAAGAGAGGACTGTTATGTGAGGAACAGTTAGTTAAAAGTAACAGAGTGTGAAAATAAAAGTGCTGTGCTATAGTAAGAGGCATGGGGGCGGTGAGGTATGAAGAGAAGTAAACAGAACTGGCACCTGCAGAAAAAAGGACTTCAACAACAAATGTCTGAAGAAGGAGGCGTCCATTTAACAGAAAATCAAACTCCTTATGTATCACTGACAGAGAAACAAGTGCGAAAGGGCAAAGTACTGGGGAAAACCTTCAGCAAGGAAAGGTGATAGCAACCTACCGTGCTCCTAACCAAAATGATTATCGACAGGAAAGTGAGTATAAGCAGTAAATAGAGATGGAGCGAGTGGATAAATGGAGAAAATAAGAAGAGAGAAGCAAGGAAGGAACGAGGAAATGGAAATTATATACTAGGTTTTCTGCAATTGTCGTCAGTTTGTCGTGGACTCTGACTGAAGTATGACTGCAGTTTTGCACGGGACCTGGTGTAGTAGACTACTTCGCCCGCACCCCAACTCAGCCCAATTCAAAAGCCTATCCACACCCTCGTTCACCAATTTGTGCTATAGAAATTCTTCATTGCCGGCATAATGTCGAAGTCCAGCCGAAAAATCAACCCCAAGGTCAAGGCAAAATGCCAGAGAAAGAGGGTGGGAACGATCATGGATCCTCTTCTCCAAGCCCAAACATTCGGATAGAATTATTCCAGGCGCTTATGAGAAATGTATTAGCTGCTGAGTATTCTTCATGACGTGGTGTCAATTACTTACGCGTCGCAAACTTCCTCGACCGTTGTCCCCTTGAGTTTAGCGATGACATGAGCAACCTGAACGATCGCCACGGGCTCGTTTCGACCTTTGACCATACATCCCTTTTGCCATTTTTCCTTCTTGACGGCTTTTGGCAGCGCTGGGGATCCTTCCAAGAACTTCGAGGAAGCATGAGACGGACGGATTTCACACTGCCAACCCATGATTAGCTAAATTGGTTTACCTCACTATGCAATAAGGTCATAATTACCCAGGGCCCATCCGTTTCGATCTGAATTCGATCCAAGGGAATGGCTTTTACAACCTCCAAGTTTTCCTCGGTTTTCAAGCTGCATCCATTAACACCAACATCCAAGCCCAGTGCCACTATTCTTTCCATTTCTTCGAGGGTTCCCGTGAAACTATGCACAAGTCCCCGTTTCGGGAGCTTCTCCAGCCTAGCTGCCAGGAGTCGTTCAAAGTCTTCACTAGCAGCTCGCGAATGAAGAAAAAGCGGAAGTTGGATCTCCACTGCAAGATCAAGTTGGGCCTCGAAATACTTCAGCTGTGGCTCTTTTGGACTCAAAAAAAGTCTATCATAATCTAACCCGATCTCACCGAAGGCAACCGCATGGCCTGCCTTCTTCGCCTCTAGCGCCAATGACCTGAGCTCGTCAATCATCTTTTGGGGACCACCAGGGAAACTGTCGAACAGCTTTGCTTGACAAGGATGGACACCAACTGTGGCATAACAAAAGCCAGCTAAATTCACGTTAGACTATCTTCTGGAAAACCAGGAGTGTGGATCCACAACATACGGTAGTTTTGGGCAAGCTCGATGGCATGCTTTGACTCCTTCAGATCAGAGCCCGTCACCATAAATTTCTCACAGCCCACATCTCGTGCACGCTGGATAATGTCATCTAAATCACTATCATGAACCTGTTTTCCGTGGTAGTTTCCCTGGAATACTGGGTCACTTAGGTTGATCCCAATCTAAATTAATACGTTGCCTTTCCATCAGCTTTCACAACATCAGGATTATTATTATATTCAGGAAGAGAAGACATACATCGACATATCGTAAAGGCTTCGACATATCACCCATTCTCAGTGGTGATACACTTCGAAAAGTATGTCTAGAAGTTCTTTGTGTGGATACTGTGGGAAGCACAGTATGCCGAGGGCGAGGGCCAGGGCAATTAATGGAGAGTACTGTTTAATTGTGAGCGCAAGTTCATTAAGCAAAGCCTTCTTTAGCCAAGTAGGAAGACAATTCCTTATGATCCAGAAATTACCGGGCTGTAATCGCAATTAGAACATACCTCTTTTGGCCTGCCAAAAAGAAGCCGGTGAGGGAAGCGCAACTGCACCCCTTCTAAGCACACAGGATATATTACTGATATTTCCGAATTTCCTGGATATATCGCTTACAGCAAGGCCCACATTCATCGGGGGGGGAATAAGTGGCCTTTTTTTTTACTTCAATTTCCCTTTCTCTTGCGGCTGAAAGACCTTGTTCGTTTTGTCGTCGTATGGGCGTCCACCTTCCAAGGTTGTGCCTGAAACTCTTGGCCCCTCACCAGCCACTGCAATGGTGGCTGGTGTATACTTGCTTATATAATCCTTCATGCACAACTCGGGGATTCTCCGATTCTTGGCCAGAAATCACGTTTGGGGAGAAAGTCTTGGCAATTAAGTGGACAATACTGGAGAATAATACCCTAGGAAAGAAATACTTGATCTATACTGACTGGATATGTCAACACAAATGGCGTATCTGCTTGGGGGCTGGCTGTTCACCGTACTACCTGACCTGTTAGTTATATAACAGGCGGAGTTATGCCGATGTGGGACCCCTCACTAACAGCTGGAGTACTAATTGGGCCTCCGCACTTCCCGCAGAGAAATGTGGAGGCCCTATGTAAGTTCCTCTCCCGAATTTCCACCCCATATATCATTTTCATAAACTGCTGTTTCTCCTTCTTCACGAAGTCAAAGAAAGGTGTGTTCCTATCTATTTGTGAGTCCGAGCAACCTCCAATATTCACGTTCCCATTTTGAAGGAGAACCCCACAAGGGAATTAGCACTGCTAGTGACCATATCACTCAAGGATGGCGCAAGAGAAACTCTTCTCTACCCAGCAGATATCAAGCCACAACACACCAGACGATTGCTGGATTGTTGTCGATAATCAAGTTTGGGATGTGACAGACTTTCTGGATGAACATCCAGGCGGGTCCACAAGTAAGTCTCAGATTGTCAGAGTGCAAAATAACAGCCACTAATTTCTTCGACATAATTTCCAGTCATTTTGAAATATGCCGGTCGCGATGCTACGAAGGCATATTCAGAAGTCCACACCCCTGGACTCATTAAATCAAACCTAGCTCCAGGGAAATGTTTGGGTAAGCTGGATGAGTCGACTGTGAACGGGGAATGGCGTAGAGAGCCAACGAGTCAAAGTTCTGCAGCCGTCGGGAGAAACGAGAAACCACCACTTGATACACTAATAAATGCGCATGATTTTGAACGTGTGGCATCAAAAACTTCGAGTAAAAAGACGTGGGCATTCTATTCCAGTGCCGCAACTGATCTCATAACGCGCGAGGCGAACAAATCTTGTTTCGATCGGATATGGTTCAGACCGCGAGTGTTGCGCAATGTTCGGTCTGTTGATACAAAAACAACCATTCTTGGAGTCGACAGTTCACTTCCATTGTTTGTGAGCCCAGCAGCTATGGCTAAGCTCATTCACCCTGAAGGGGAGCTTGCTATCGCTCGGGCGTGTGAGAGCAAAGGGATTGTGCAAGGAGTACGCCAATCACGCTGTTTTCACGCTGTCAACAATCCAGTGGCCCCTTTCTCACTATCGAGCAGGTCTCCAACAATTCATCGTACTCGATCAACGAGCTTAGAAACGCCGCACCCTCGGCAACTTTCTTCTTCCAATTGTATGTGAACCGAGAACGCGAAAAGTCGGCAGCACTCCTACGCCAATGCTCCGCCAACCCGAATATCAGGGCCGTATTCGTGACGGTTGATGCAGCATGGCCAGGCAAGCGGGAAGCAGACGAACGAGTCAAGGCTGACGAAAGCCTATCGGTTCCTATGGCTCCCTCCAAGGCAAAGAACGATAGCAAGGGAGGTGGCTTGGGACGTGTAATGGCAGGATTCATTGATCCTGGACTAACGTGGGAGGACCTCGCATGGATACGAAAACATACACACCTTCCTGTGTGTTTAAAGGGTGTGATGTCTGCAGACGACGCCATCCTAGCGATGAAGACCGGGTTGGACGGTATTTTGCTGAGCAATCATGGAGGTCGTAATCTTGATACGAGCCCACCGTCCATCATCACTCTCCTTGAGCTCCAGAAACGCTGTCCGGAAATCTTTGACAGGATGGAAATCTATGTGGACAGCGGGATTCGACGAGGAACAGATATTCTAAAGGCTGTTTGCCTGGGTGCAACTGCTGTGGGTATGGGACGCAGCATGCTCTTTGCAGCAAACTATGGCCAAGACGGAGTCGAACACTTGATAGATAGTAAGCTACCCATGCCACCTTTATTGCCATCTGTATTCTTCAGGAGTGATGCTAATCATAGTTTAGTTATGCGAGACGAGTTAGAGACGGCAATGCGAAACAACGGAATCGCTACACTTGCCGATGCCGGTCCACATCTCGTTAACACTGGAGATGTGGACCACCTAGTCCCAGGGAGCCTGTTGCATCCGTATGCTCGGAAGGTTGCCAAAGGGCGAAATCCAAACATATCTAAACTCTAGAACAAATCCTGGCAATAATGAACCGTATATGATACAAGATGTGGTCAAATCTATGTTGGTTGGCGATACCTATGCCAAAGCAAATACCAAGCATAGACTAGGGCTAAAATATCCCCCATTAATCCCTGGTATTCAACACCTCAATGGGAGATACCAACCCAATATCATCGATACATAGTTTAAATGACGTAGAGCAATATTTCGAGTCAAAGGAAATGATATCGCACGCTTTGAACGGCTCCGGCGAATACAAATACAGCGCAGAACGAATGTGAGGATTATAGAACAGATCATTAGCCTGTGCGTTGAATGAATACGTAGAGTGACGCTTCAATGTTGGAAACGTCTGCCCCCAGTTGGGGAATTTCCGTATAATACGAGCAAGCGCTTCCATCTCTTTCCTTTCAGTCTCGAAGAACTCGACCACGCTGGAGGAGGAAACCGAAGGCACCGTCTCAACACAGATGCTATCCACATGCATACATATCCTTTGTCTTAAGGGAAACCTGCGTATCTTCTGGTTTTACACTTTCCAAAGCAACTGCTTGGACCGTCGGAGACGGCATTCGGTTAATTCCCTAGGGGGCGCGTTCAACCAGCTCTAAATATCACCAGGTCCTCAGCTTCGGGGCGACTGTGACCGGCAGATTCGCCGCTCTCTCCAAGAGGCTACCGATGCTCGACAGACGCGATAATGGGTGGTGGAATGCCGGAATATCGTTCGGTTTAAAGTATGCAGGGTCGGTTTTAATCGAGGATGCAAGGGTTCCATGCATACAGCTCTATTGTATTAAGCTGTGCTCGATAGGGTCCAATTCTGGCCTTAACTTGCATGCAGTAGGGGGTGTCAAGTTCTAGGCCCATTCCATCTAGCTGGGATGGAGCATCCGGTAGATATGCTCAAGTTTCTCGAACATAGATCCGGCTTGTGGAGTGCCTGTCTCTATGGGCGGGGTTGATGGTATTGGTGATATTCAGTAAGGTTGACGAAGCAGTGGAGGTTGAAAACCGTGTAATGGCTGTGACTGTATCGGTTAATATGCTTGGGGATTACTTTGATGGAAATGAAGGGAAAGAAAGGATACATATGTATGTATGGTATGCTCTTCCAATATGTTGTGCCACTCAGCCTGTAGGCCTGGGGTTGGTCATGACGGTCATGACCATGACCGTCGAAATTTTGGTCATGACCGTCATGACGGTTTCCAGGTTGTCAGATCGTCATTTTGCCTGCCTGATTAGGTTAGCTTTTTCTGGCTAGTCCTAATTAGGAATAGTAGTATATATAGTAGTTATATGTTAGTTACTGATTACCTAATCTTATTACTAAGACTTTAGAAGCTCCCTATTGGCTACTAACAGACCCACCCTAATCACGTGCGGTCAGGTCATGACCGTCTGAAAACACCCGGTCATGACCATGACTGACCATGACGGTAATTTTCTGTCATGACCACCAGGGTACAGTTGTGGTATAGCGGGAGTTGTACCGATTACTGCAGGTAAGTGGCACCGCGCCATGCACAGCCCGGGGGGGGGGGGGGTTAAGTCTAATTAATGTCTACCATATCACTCACTGGAAATAGAGACACACCCCTGGTAGCGTAAAAATAAAAAGAAGGAGCAAAAAGTCAACGTCCCGGGTGAGACTCGAACTCACAACCTCGAGATAGAGCTGTATAACAGTCTCACGCGCTAACCAATTGCGCCACCGAGACGAGGTGATGTTGAAACGCGCTTAGTTTTAGCACTATGAGTCAGCCACTTAGAGGATTCAAGTGGAAAAAAACCAAAAAAGAAACGTCCCGGGTGAGACTCGAACTCACAACCTCGAGATAGGACTGTATAACAGTCTCACGCGCTAACCAATTGCGCCACCGAGACGAGGCGATGTTGAAACGCGCTTAACTTTGCCTACTTAAGCTGCAAACCTTAAACCACCTGGAAGTTCTCGAGATCTACGCAGGGCTTCCAAAGAACCCTAATATAAGCTTGTCGTTGTTACTACATGGTTTAGGAGTAGAGATATTTGTGACATAATCAAAGGAAAACTGTAAAACTATGGTTCGGAATATAATAAACATAATAAGGTAATAAAATAGCCTAGATGCATACTTACAGCTACGAATATGCTATAGATCTTTCTGGTCTATTCCGTTTTATATATATCCTTCACGAGGTCTGGCTTAAAGGACCCCCTGGCCTCAGATGAATTGCTGATTTTCATACACGGAAACCTGCCTATAGTGAGTAACCACCCCCGGAATTTAACACCTTTCCATCCCCATTGAAAGCGACTGTTGTGGGGCATCACATAGAGCTCAGATGCCAGGTTATCTCTACAACCCCCTCTCTCCTGGTATTAAGTTCATGGGTTATATAAAAAGCCATTTGTTTCCATTATTTGATGCTGGTAATTGTCCAGATGGTTGGCGTTTACCGTAGGGCCAATTACTATAACCTTTATGGGGCAAGAGTATATGTTTAGGGTGGTTTTCTCCTCTGTACTGCTGTGATCTTACCTGATTACTGAATAGCTATCCTAACTACTAGGGCAGACTGATCGTGGGAAGAAAGTAGCCAAGCCACCCCACCTAGAAGCGCAGCCCGTACAGACCTGGACGGGCTGTAGATTTATCCCTGGCATTCAAAATAATAGGATCCTTGGTCAGGCACCCCCAGGCCCAGCTAGAGAGCGCCATGAGAAAGGTGAAGCCAATATATACATACTTCCAGGATATCGATACACCTCATTGTAGGGCACTTCAAGACCATACGGCCACTTTCGCACGGGGAATTCTCCTCGGTCAAACAAGTTTCCTAGGACATCTAGTATTGGTCACATATCCAAAAGCAAACTGCCCGTTAGTTGTCGTTTTCGGATGCTGGTGGGCTGGTTGAAGCACCCCCCAAGGTCCTGAAACACCGCGAGTAATATATATTACTTGGACGGTCTCTCCACATCAAAGTTCTCCGGGTTGCTAAACATTGAGCTCCATACTGCCAAAAAACAACATGGACACCCTAAATACTGTGGGGTCTACATACCGTCTGTTGGAACTGGTGTTGCGCTGTTTTTGATATTACTGAGCTGTTTGTCATGGATATACATGGGTAACTCCCTCGAGCATCTAATAACTACATAATGTAACTAATCATGAGTGCTTAGATATCAGCATGTAATGTATAAAAATGTATAATATATGACCATTTTTGGTTGTTGTCGGGGGTTTATAGTCTGCTCCTGTCCATGGCACAACTCTACTGGCTGTGCGACCGTGACTGAAAAGACTGTTGTTTGGGCTATATGAAAGAGACTGATACGATAATCATAAAATTGATGGAAAAAAAAAGAAGCGTCCCGGGTGAGACTCGAACTCACAACCTCGAGATAGAGCTGTATAACAGTCTCACGCGCTAACCAATTGCGCCACCGAGACGACTTGTTGAATGTGGCGCACAGATATGCATATATTACCAAGACAAAAGGGTAGTGGTTTTCGGTGGAAAATAAAATCATGATAAACAAAGATTCCTTGGCATCTACTCTGTGGTACTACTACAAGGCGTGACCCTGGAGACTAGGTCGGAAGGGGCGGTTAGTAAGTTGGAGCTTCTAGTTAACTATAACTAGTTAACTAATCCAGACAGGAGAGAGAATAGTTAGTATAAAACATACCTTGGTTAATACTACGCCCAATACGACGTTTATTTCTTTCGACTATAGGTAAAGTAAGCTGCTAATTCCCCATTAATCGCCTTCAACCTCGAGGCGAAATTAAGTACGGAGGACAGTGGATGGACATGAAAAAGCTGGATAAGAGCAGATATTCCATTCACAAGGGGGAGTAATTTTGCAGCTTACTATCTTGCGCATTGTCTTATTGACGCCGGTATTGGTTTACCATACACCCATCTTCGAGTACCTCTGGCCAAGAAAGGAGGGGGAGTCGTAAAAAAAAATAGTTTTGCAGCAAAAAAAGGAAACCGTCCCGGGTGAGACTCGAACTCACAACCTCGAGATAGGACTGTATAACAGTCTCACGCGCTAACCAATTGCGCCACCGAGACGACTTGATGCTATTACAGTTTACTGATGGCCTTATGAGCCAGGATGATCGTCCTCCCTCATTTGGCTGAAAATCTCATCTACCGACTCAGACTTAGTGGCTGTAGGTGACATCCACAGTACAAATCCAAAATTTCACATCACAACAAGACCAAATACTGAAAAATTTGACTCAGTAATGCAGTAATTTTGATCAGGTGGAGGAAAAAGAAGCTCACGTGCCCCCTGGTCAAGGGGGTCTCGCCGCCCATCCCCAACAAATTGACTAGCCTGGGAACTCCGAGCGGTGCCGTGTCTGGCGTTCGCTATTCCTCAATCTACACAGTAGAAATAATCATCAGCTACTGATCATCAGCACCATTAATTAGTGAGCGGAGCTGCTGCACCCCCCACGATTAGTGAGTCTCTCATCGAGTCGTCCCCATTTTTTCCATGGTCATTCCCTGATGTTTGCGGAATAACTCAGTATGCTACGAGGAGGTACGAAAATGTACTCGTGTATGTAAAGAAAACGTGCTGGAAGTTTTAACCGCTTATTTTCTAGAATTGTACGGATGAATGCACACTCACTCAAAAGTGTAAAGGACCAAAGTATGGACTCTTTTCTTTTAACCGTTTGTCGTCCATTTGCCAGTTCCCCCCTCCTTGATACCGACGAAGATCATCCACGTCATGACTGAGGGTGGTTGCAGAGTATCGATACAGAAGACAATGGTCGACGGAGTCCAACGTGTAAGACTGTGACCGGATGAAGATCAAAAGTAGCTGTCTGAATGTGAAAATGATAAGATGCAGATTGATGGTAAATGTCATTATACTCATGGATCAAGGTGGAAGTTATGGAGTCATCCACCAGTAAACTCAAGAAGAAAAACGATCCCTAGCGATGCGTCCTATCATATTCGATCGTACAACTCATCTGGAAGAAGCTCCCGGGGTTTTACGATACATAAATCGCGGATAGAGAGGGGAAGAGGGGATTCATCGTCCTACAGGAGGGACAATTGCTCATTGTACGATTCGTAAGACGGCTGCCGAGTCTCTGATAACCCTCACCGTAACTCCCGGTGTAGCAAGTTGCGGACATGTAACTGATAATGGATGTAAATATTGCCTGACCGGAGTTTACTTCGTACTGGCTTACTTAGACTCTAGAGTCCGTGGTACACCGGGAGATATGCATCCTGTGCTTCCGAATGGTTAGAGAGTGAGGCGAGGATATCATGGATATTATTATCGAAATGGAGGGAAGGGACGGGGACTGTCTTCAAACTTTACCCCTCTCTAGACCAGAAAAACCCGTCGCTCTCGGTTAATAATAGATTTCTAAACCAATACCGAGGATTTCGGATACAAGAGACCAAAAAGTAATATTTAAGACCCATTAATTAAAAAGGAAACGGGATAAAAGAAGAAAGAATGTGGACATACCAGACATCATCTGACCCAAATAAACTGATAGACTCATCGATCGATCTTCTTTAGGGGGGGAGACTCCGGAGTACTATTAAACATCCGGCAGACTTGGCTAGACCGCCGCCCCGGTCGTCCATCCGCAGGAAGAAGTGGATAGCTCAACATCCCCCCAACGGTTCCTGCAACACCGCTGACCTTCAAGTACTCTCAGTTTCCCATCCCAATATCCGGTCCTTTTCCCTCGTCCTTCCTCCTCCTCCTTCTCCTTTAGCCCGCGTTGTGTAGTTGAGCATACTCCTGCTACCTGCTTTACTTGATCTCATATTACCTACTCTTGGCGCTGCATCACTCTCAAGCTCCTTCACTAGTACATACATTCCTAAGCTCAACCTTTGTTCTTTATTTGGCTGCTATAAGTTTCATTACCTTGGCTACTCAATTAAAAAATCTTTACCTATCCATCTCAATCTCCATCCATAATGGCCGCCCCTCGTTCAACCTCGTTGCGCGCTCTTCGCCTGCTCTCCCAGCAACATAGAGCCTCTCCCTCCCTGCGCCGGGGTCTACATATCACTGGCGCCAACTCCGCACAGCCTGCCAGGGTTTCCGACAAGGTGACTTTATGGTCTACTCGCAGCTTGGCAGATCTCAAGAGCGAATGCCAGAAGCGCTCCTTGGGGTCCACCGGTACTCAAGCCGAGGTATGCCCTTCTTTCGAATAGTGTATCTTCCAGGACAGCCAAAACTCACAATACATCTTTCTGCAGCTTGTTGAGCGCCTCTCCAACCATGATTTTCTTCAATCCCGTGCCTTTAGCATTGCCATGAGGAGAATCAACAGCAATGCGAAGACAGAGTACGTACCGCATTATACTATGGCGCTTTGTTGCCGCACTAGAAGCTCTCGGGACACTAACCAGCTTTCCACGCATTTCAGGACCCCCAGCCGTCAATTCAACACCTCCCGCTCCCAAAAAGCTGTGAATGACTCATCCACCGTCGATTTTGTCTATATGCCCTCTATTGTGGAGGCTAATGCTTCATCCGAAATACCTGTCCCGATCCTTCCCGATATCTACACCCACCATAACCTAGTCCGTCCTTCCGGCTCTCCCATGAAACCCCAGGTTTACACTGTGGCTGGCGATGGGGCCAACGTCTCCGCCAGCCCCATGACCGAAGTCGTCGATAACCACTCGGTGGATATCGACCCATTCTCTCTAACCGAGGCTGTTGGGAAATCGAGACTTGGAGAAGAGCTGAAGAAGCAACAGAAGGGTGAACACGGTGGCGTTGTGCAAGAACTGTGGACTGGATTTTTGGACGATCTTTTAGGACCTAAACAGCAGAGTCTTCAGAAATGATTTCCTGCATGTTTCCCCCTTAATTTGTTTTAATTCTAGCGCTGTATGATGCCACTTCGATAGTGGGTTTCTGTGTCGGTTTACCTTTTCTTTCTTCTCCTTCAGTATGAAGTTTCAGTCAAGTTTGTTGCCGAAATTTGATTAACTGAATCCCACCAGTATTTTAACTCGGTTGGGTCTACTCCGGTAATACATACTGTGCTACGCCCGTATAATTTCTTGCCTTGTAACGTTCATGTGTCTTCGATGGAAACACACGCAGCCTATTCGAGTAGATCACTGACTAACTATACATAGGTACTAATACTTCATACTCTGTACCCTCTATGGCGGACGTATTCTCCCCTGACCTTCCTCGCCTAAAACAAACCAGATGGATGATCGTAACATCTGCTAGATGGTACTTAGCAGTAAGTAGTTGGGACAGAACAGGAACACATACCGAGTGCTACACACATACCAGTCAGTACCTATCTACTCCTAAGCCGAATTGTATAAAACGCACTCCGTACCATTAGGGCAACAACTTCGGCGTACCTACTTCCAATATCTTCCATAGAATAAAAGAAGGGGGGGGGGGGGGGGAAACACCGATAATCTTCAAATCAATAAGATCCACAAAAAAATATTTATCCTGTTCTCCGGAGTACCGTACATATAACCAAGGTACTTCTCGGCTATTGGAATTTTGATATCTTATCATTGTAATCTATGATTGGAGATAAAATATTATTCTTTAATTTGACATATTGATTGATATCATTATTTTTGCTCTGGGTTCTATAATAAAATGAAACAAATAAAAAAAAAACTACTTGGTTACTAGGTAGATACTAGGTAGTAAACTTACCTAGGTACCTGGTATGTATGTAGGTGTGTGGTGGTGATGATGTTGTTGAATCTGGCTGGTTGTTATGTATCCGATATATTCCGAAAGTGTTTGCTGAATTCTTCCATCAACTGAAGGTCAAGATGGAGTTTTTTTCTCTCTCACAGAATGGGCGCATTTATTACAATTTCTGAGACTACTACTGCCTTATTCCAATACTAATAGCTGTAGCGGATGAGAGCGTTAATTGAGTGCTGAGAGGTAGAAATTCACTCTGATATCCTGATGTTGGATGCTGTTTTCCCTTTACTAGTAGTAGGTAGTAGGTATGCGATTTCTAGGTAGATGAGTGGATTTATACCTACTTGTATGGTACCTAGGGGCTGTGAAGGATAAGTTCAGTAATGATGGAAAACAGTAATGCAACGATAAAAGATGTTTGATATTTCCTGCTGGGAGTTATTGAGACTACGTACTCTGTACTCCGTACTACCAAGTGCTTGGTATGTCAGGTGTGGGGTAGATGCATCTATTTCAAAGTGACAAACATTCTTGAGCAACTCTAATTAATCTATAGTCAGTAATATTGTGGTCTTTCTTTCATTAATTTATTTCCACATGATGAGCCGCACAAAGGCATCCCGACTATGTATCACAAGTGACTTGGCCATTGCCTCATTACATCCGACCATCCGTCAATTCCAGCATCACGTCCGAATCCCTCTTCCCCAAACTCGGTCGCATGCAGTTTTTCTCGAGGCGTGCAATGGACCAAGTAACGGTACACGGTAAGCCCGATCGATGATTAGGTGGTGTACCTTGGTATTGATATGATTCTAGGGGTTGGTCCCTCACTCATACACAGGCGGTCGATGGCTTCGGAACGACAATCGTGAACGCCATATACGCCGAATTGACTTCGACTTTGACGAACTCTGCCGGAAGATACTAGGCTTATTCGACGGAGCAAAATCTATCAAGAATTGCGAGAAAAAAGAAGGCGGTTTCAACAGGGTGTTCATTTTCACTATGGACGATGGCTCACGAGCCGTCGGGCGACTGCCCTTCACATTTGCTGGTCCTGCAAAATTAGCCACGGCTTCTGAAGTGGCAACGATCCAATATTGTGTGTGGAGCAATCGTTGGAATATCTGCTCAAAGCGTAGATGACGGCGATTTATGCACAAAAGCCTACGAAATTTGTACTCCATTCCTCACCCCGAGGCTCGCTCGCCCTCGGTTGATGAACGAGGGCTTGTTTCGACCTTTTAGGTACTGCTACAGAACATGGAAAGATGGCGCAGTGGCTTTTCGACATGAGCTTATTCAGACCTCAAAAGACTGGGAGGCACTCGGGTTTTCTGGCTCGTGCCCATTTTCCTTGCCGTTCGCAGAAGAGACAGATTTGCATCAGAAGGAATACAGACGTTTTGAAGCGGCCCAGAACCTGAAGCGTGATTTGTCAAACTTGCTTGACTGTGCATCTGATGGATGGGTTCCCCCAGAGGGCTGGGAAGCGGCAAAAGCAGAAAATAGGGCAATGTTCCAGGGAATGTTGCAAGCCGTTCTGGAAAACAAAGATCCAGATGACGATGAACCAATTAGGAACGAAGGAGATCTACGCGATATCTGGCCCTTTGACTTGCTAGAGGAAGACTAGTGTTGACTTGAGAAGGGTTAGAGATTTCGTGATCATGAAGAACAGCGTCGCGCTGCCTTGAACCTGATAAATAGAGTGGGAGGAAGTGGAGAAAGACTCAGAAATCCAAGTGGAAGCGCGCGGCGTATCTCCATCCCCAAGGTAAGGAACGCCGTGAGCGACCAGGTTTTCGTTTTTTGCTTTGGAATAAAAGCAACAACAGAAATTGTCCGACTGATCCTGTATCAAAGTAGTAGAGAGACCCAGGACCCATGATGACCAGCTGTGCAAAGTTTGAGTTTCAGCAGGCGCTGGGGCTGTGGATTGTGTCTCCTGGGACGGCCCGGGTGGAGACAACTCGGCAAACAGGTCATTAAACATTTAGGTGTTTGTTTTTCCCGGGTGGGCTCTGTATCTAAATGAAAGCCGGCTGGGGGCGATAGTTAGCGAAATTCAATTGCTTCACAGGATGTGCTGCGGAAAGACACAAGCGAATGGTCGATTTGGTGATGCCGAAGGGTTTTCCATTCCAGGATCTGCTACCCAGCATCGACGGTAACATCAAGCTTCGTGCTGGATATTTATCAGCGCGAACATATTCTACTGTACAGAAGATTGCTCTTGCTGTCTCTCATTAAAATAGGATGACCAAGAGTAGGCATATGTAGAAGTGCATCGAAGACATAATAAGCACATCATCATATAATGTTTCACAGGGTACTCGTTTCACGTCATGACTTGAGGTCCAGCTGTGTTTTGACTTCGCTAGGATTCAGTACACAAACTGGTGCAAGGGCCTGCCCCCTTTCTTCGACATTCTTAAGATCAACGTGGACATGCCTACCGAGGACGAATGATTGTTGTTTAAACGTCCCTAGGTATGCTTTGGAGCAAAAATTGTATTTTTGATTCTTCACTGGGATTGGCCCATCCAGTTCCTTCCAGAAACAGACTAGCTCTACATATTTCACCAAAACTACCTAACCTATCTAGGGAAATGGATATCATGCTCATTGAACTGGGCTTTTTCTTGTATCACTTATTTGCTGATTCTGTCCCAGGAATGCCTTCCACATACCAACATTGAGAAAGAAGGAAAAGACATGCATGTTCTGGAAATAAATGAAGTTTTTGAGGAGGGTTGATGGAAGCTATGGCTTCTCAGGCACGACACGGGCGCCGTATCCGATACCGAACGATTCTTTTATCAAAAGACCCCCATTGATCAGCTACGGTCAGATCTACAAAGGGTCGCAACCGATGTGGATTGCCGAGTCGTTTCTCAAAGAAGCAACACTGCGCGAAACTTGAATCAGGCACAGGCATCCCAACATTGCTACCTATCTTGGTTGCCCGGTTTCTGATAATAGAATAACCGGACTGTGCTTCGTGAGATACCAGCACACGCTCATGCAGGAGGAGGTCAACCCCAGCAACTTCATGAAAAGAGAATCTAGAGCTAGATCTGTGCGTCGCAAGACAAAGGACCACAGTCGCGTCTTGGCCGGAATTGAGAGTGGTATTAGACATCCAATTCGTGACTTGGGGATACAGGTTATTTCGGTGTTGAATCCCGGCAGATGATACAAATAGGGAAACGATAGGCCTCAGAAATGCTGAAAGCCAAGAAAGCCCTGGGACGAAAGAATCGAGTAGAGCGCGAAGTGCCTCGACAAAGCTCGGTCTTTTTCTTTGTTAGAACATATTGAGAGCAATTCATGCCAACCTTCTTCCAACATTCCATCCTTGCATGGCCCTAAACCAAAGTGCCAGCGATTCTAACAACGCGTACTGATGTTATGAGGAGAGTCTTCCCAAGCGACAATTGGAAGGAACAAAACAGTGAGATGACCAGGAAAGATAATCGCTGAGACAATTGATGTCTTTGTATGTCGTCTTTGAGAGATTGCATGTTGCAGTATTGACGAGTTCAGCACTTGTGGATGATGTCGGCGTACGGGATGCCTTCGGGACATGAAAACCGACCAAGGCAGATATGATCAATGGTGTCAATTTCGTCGTATGGTCTCCCCTGTCCGAGCGAATATGATGATGATTTAATAGCTATGTTGTATTATGTACCTGAGGACGGGCAATGTATCTGAATGTACACAACAGGGAGATTTTTCTTTGGAAGTACGCTCAAAACTGAAGCCAATCATCCTGGAGAAGTTCCCTTGCGGTAGCTCGAGATTCTGGATCCCATCGAAGCATTCGAAGTGCAAATGCGATAAAGAGATTTTTTTCCTCGTCGGAAACGAATGGCGTCAAATTTTGAAAATTAAAATCCGCCGGTGGGATCAGATGTGTGGGAATAAAGTCTCCTGAGAATAAATGTTAATACGGATTTCCTTGATATGGTAATGCGACGTACCCTGCGATGAAAACATGCTACTCCGAATTGAGGGTTTGCATCTATCAAGAAATTCAGAGGGTGGCTTGCCTAGAAGCCCTATCATTTGGGCCACATGGCGCTCCCGAGAGTACTCTGCACCTGCACCTGCACCTGCACCACAGCGCCCATCAAAAAGGTAAGTACCAGCAAGTAATTCCCATAACTATGATAGTACAAGGGTATGAGTAAATGTAGTATCTGAAGCATACAAGTTGACTTACCATTGCACCGAGATTCCAGATATCAGCGCTGTATGTCCAACCGGCATTAAGAAGAACCTCGGGGGCGCAGAAGGGCTGAGGTTGGATATCATGGTTATGCATAATGGGCACATTGCCAAATACAGCAGCACTGAAGTCAGCGATTTTCAACAGCCCTGTGCCTCTTTTAAGCGGCCCAAAGTCAGGCCTTGATTGCCAAATTGGGCGTCCATTTCGAACTATACATACACGGTGCCGGATCAAGACTCTGCTGACGGACGTAATCTCGGATGACTGCGGGATCCTCGAATCCAATAAGTAAATTATCCGCTTTGAGATCTAGGGTTGATTAGATACGGACAAGAGAAGTCTTTGAGTTATGAAATGACCTTACCGGTATGGATAATATGGCATTCAGAATGAAGGAAATCAAGGCCCTGAAGCAAGATCCTCAAAAACGGTTTGAGAACGTCAATGGGTACGCCGACGCCCCCCAGGTGCCTTCCTAGACGCCAGATCGGCTCTCTCAGAGGTTCAAACACTAAGCAAATATGTTGTCCGAATCGTCCTTGTACTTGAAATGACTCCTGCACAAGCCGTATATATCTCAAGCCCTTATGGTCAAAACAAGACGAAGCAATATGCTGTGAGATCGCTACCTCCTCTTCTGCAGCCCTTTTTTCTTGAGGACCACAGTTGGTTAGCTTCAAGGTAACGTATCGGGTCTTCTGCCACGGCCATCTTCGAACTATTAGCCATACTCGTAGTTATAACGCGACCCTTCGCTTACCGAGACATATCTTTCGCGAGCCAAGCAGTGGAGCTGACTCCCCATCCAAGCTTCGAGAGAATGCGATATTTCCCAATGGATTCTCCTATTTGAGCTGGGTAGTACTTCTGGGGGTCGTAGTTTGATAGCTGTTCTTCCTCTAGAGGTAAGAGGGAGGAAACTTGCGCTGATGATGAGAGTCTGGACACCATTCTTGCAAATGAAGTGGTCTTCGTTTGAAAACGATGGGATGCAATCATTAGTTATAGTAGAGGAGTGTTTACAAAGGGGAGATAGGTAGGTTGATAGTTAGGGTATCTATTGAGAATGTCTAAACCATGACTCCCCTTGCTGGCATCATTATATAATCTTTTCAGAGGCAACTAGCCGTATTGAGAGATCGATAATGCTGTTTAGTAGGTGAAGTACACAGGCTAATATTAGGATATGCAATGCAACATGCATAATTGTATCCTCAAACCCTAGGGCCTACATAGACTAACTCAGGGGTTCGACTTCCCCTCTCCAAGACTCTCTGGTCTCGATCTTCCAGTTCCCCACCGGGCGCTGTGAAAGAAGTCTGATTGACGGAGACACTGGAATTATGGGGCTTTCTTGCGAACCCTTTCTCTTGGGCCTCTTCTGACCTCAGACTTCGACTCCAACATCCTGTCTTGTTTCTGATCGCATTTTCCTTCTTTTTGGCATTGCTTGCTTGTTGTACTACTTCTCTCACTTCTCTGTGTATTCTGTGTCTTTCCTTGAATCCCATTTTCGTCCGCCTGCTCCTTTTCTCTCTCGCTCCAGCAAATCCCCCGCCTTGCCTTTCTTTGATCAGCATTCATACATCCTTATTTTAAATCGTCTACTCTTTCCTATCCATGCAACAGAATACAATTGACCTGCTATCAAATGATCCTGCCCCATTTGTCCTCCAGGTAGATCCTTGACCGGATCATGCGTCTCTTACAATGCCTTCTCACTGCAGCGCATCTTTTCTCGGGCGTCACAGCCTTTGTTCCTTATAGTTTTAAATTCCCGGATGTTCCCTCTGACTCCACAGACACACTCGAGCGTCGTTTTGTGCCATTGAATCTGTTATCCGGTGATCGTCCGCAAGATCATGTGGACGCCGCCTCTGGTGATGATACCCTGACCCTCGATGTCAGGAGGGTTCCAGTTCGTCGCGATAATAGATACAAGGTGGTTTTGGCCGATACTCCCACCGCTTCCGACACTGTTGCTCTTAACCAGGACGGCTACGATTTTTCATACTTCTCAACGGTGAATATCGGTTCTCCGGGCCAGCCAGTATGGATGATGTTGGACACAGGTGGCGCAAACACCTGGGTTTTCGGCGCGGATTGCACGGCCACAGCCTGCGAACTACACAATACTTTTGGCGAAAATTCATCCCCGACGGTGAATATGACATCCAACTCATGGAGTGTGGGATATGGGACTGGCCAGGTCAGCGGTGTTCTTGCTACGGATAACCTGAGGATTGCCGAGATTGAGGTGCGGATGACTTTTGGTCTGGTCTATAATGCGTCTGATGACTTCAAAAGTTATCCGATGGACGGTATTATAGGCCTGGGACGGGCTAACGATAGCTCCATGGGCCAACCAACTTTCATGGACGTTGTCTTAGAGCAGAGTAATCTCACTTCAAACATTGTTAGTTTCTGCCTATCGCGCAGCTCGGATGGAGGAAAGGATGGGACGGTGACATTTGGTGGTGTGGATACGACCAAGTACACGGGAAATATCACATATACTGACATCGTGTCGACGAGCATTCATTGGTCCATCCCTCTGGACGATGTTAGCATCAACGGTGTTGCATGTGGGTTTTCTGGTAAATCCGCCATCATTGATACAGGGACGTCGTATGCCCTGGTTCCTCCAGATGATGCCAAGGCATTACACGCACTCATCCCGGGTTCTCAAGCCTACTCGGATGAGAACTGGATCATTCCTTGCAACTCGACGGCTGTTGTACAGGTTACCTTCTCAGGAGTCAGCTACACCATCTCCCCTAAGGATTATATTGGGTCCAAGGCAGAATCTGGCTGTGTTTCGACCATCATCGGCCGCGCATTGTTTGGAGACGATGTTTGGATCCTAGGCGACACCTACCTCAAAAATGTCTACTCTGTCTTTGACTTTGACCACAAACGCATCGGCTTTGCCCAGCGCTCTTACTCCCCATCTTCAACCACCACATCCCTTGCGGCCACTCCCACGGATACATTCGCTTCCGAATCGTCTAGTTCAAACACCACTAACACTACCAGCGCTACTCCAACTTCCGCGCAACATACCGGGACAGGAAGCGCCAGCTCCAGCTTCCCCCCCATATACTACTGGCCCGCTTTGGCCATTTTATCCATGCTTTCTCTTTAACCGAATTTTCTGGCATTGACCGTGTTTTTTACATACTCTACTTTCCTCCTCCTATGTCTATATACTTGCTTCATACCCTGGGCGCCCGTTTGCCTATATGTATTTTTAATCAAGCACTGCATGTTGACCCATGGCATTTGCTCTATACGCGAAGCAACCCCTCTGGCCATGAATATATACAACTTGCATTCTTCTTCACTAGATTTGGTTGCACCCAACTCGATCTGAAATGCATACGTAAATAAAATTTGCGAATTAACCTCTGCACAACGGCTCAAATCCTAACCCCAGGCCCGACATACCTAAATGAACCGATCAAAGTCTTTGAAGCTACTTCGAGAGTGTCCAGTGAGTGTCCTAGTTACTAGCACTTCATTTTGACGGGGTTTATACAAGACAAGCGCTTTTTTTCACCCTTGGCGCAAATAGGGTTATAGTTTCCATTGGAATATCGATCTATATATTTTTTTCCAAGGTTGATCCAATCTACTGTGCTATGATGCGTATACTTTACTTTATCGTACAGATTGCAATAGTTTAAACTCTCGACGGGATAGTTCTTAGGCGTGCTTCCGCCTTGTTCCGGAATAGAAGCCGAGGCCGAGGAGTTGCTGCCGGGGGCGAAGCCGAGTAAGAGTCACCGACTGTCTCAGTACACTTCTATCTCGCTTGAACACCAGACGGAATTTATTCTGTTATACCCGTCTTTGATCAATATCAGACTTAATTATAGGACACCATGCTCGCGCTAAGCACAAGACGGTCCGTCGTGGCACGATCAAAATGCCTCGCGTCCGTCACTGCAACCCTACGCTGCAAGACAGAACGACCATCACATCCATCAGTTCCACACCGAGAGTTTCACCCTAGTAAATCAAATGCTGCTGTTCGTCCAACATGGATGCCTATGCGCGTGAAGACCCCATGGATCGAGGCTCTGACGAAAAGCCGCGAGGCCGCGAAATCCGGGCAGCCTGAGGCTCCTCGTCCGAAGCCAGACCTGACGCCGAAGAAAATGTCGGATAGTCACTATAGTGCTGTTCGTATTAATTCCGTTTATTTGCATTTGCTAAATGATATACGGTGGCTGATGATGGCGTAGGTTCTTCCCTTGGCTCAGGATAAATGGCTCCTGGATACTTATTTGAATGCGTCCGGGCATATCAGGTACTGTTAATATCGGTCATCTGTTTATTCTCTTGGGATTAGAAGAGAGTACTGACTAGCTAGGCAGATTGGGATCCCTACTGATGGACCTTGATGCCCTCGCGGGTGTCATCGCCTATAGGCATACCGGGGATTCCGTAATGACCGTTACTGCAGCAGTGGATCGGATCACCATCGAGCATCCCCTGATGGAGATCTGCGATCTTGAACTGAGCGGACAGGTCACATATGCCACTGGAAGGTCGAGTATGGAGATTTCCCTTCAAGTCGCCAAGGCGCCTGCTGCGGGTGAAGAGCCCAAGCCTGAGGATGTGCTCATCACCTGCGCATTTACCATGGTATCACTTGATCCGGTAACCAAGAAGTAAGTTAAAAAAAAAAAAAAAACCGATGTTTAAGTTTTGCCATATTCTGATATTCCAGGCCCGTCTGTGTTGCTCCTATTTTGGTGGAAACTGAACAGGAACGCAAGCTCTTCAAGAAAGGAGAGGAGAACTACCAGGCGAAGAAGGCGTTGAGGACAAAGAGTCTTCTGGAGAAAGCTCCTGATGCGGAAGAAAGTAACTTGATTCATTCTATGTGGACCAAGGAGATGTCATATCCCAGTAAGTGATCGCTGTCGCATATGTATCTCTCCTGTTTAATAAGTCGCTAACGGCAAAGAACCCCAATCCTCCGATCACCGACCATCCAACGTGGCTTTTATGGGAGACACGGTCCTGAAATCCGCCATGATTATGCAGCCACAAGACCGAAATCGCCACAACTTCATGATTTTTGGTGGCTTCCTTCTCAAGCAGACCTTCGAGCTTGCCTTCTGCTGCGCTGCATCCTTCTCCCATACCCGCCCTAACTTTATTTCTCTCGACCCTAGCACATTTGAGAACCCAGTGCCTGTAGGAAGCGTGCTGTATTTGCGTGCTACCGTTGCGTACACCGAACCTCTAGACAGCAAGTACACCAAGGTCCAGGTCCGCGTGGACTCCAAAGTTCGGGACGTGGAGCACGGCACTAAGAAGTCAACGGGTATGTTCAACTACACCTTTTTGGTCGAGAAGGACATCAGCGTGATACCGAAGAGCTACGGCGAGTACATGCTCTGGACAGATGCTCGAAGACGTGCTGCTTTGACTCCCGGCTCGAAGGAACCAAATGCACTTCGCAGTCTCCAGGATGGTGTGACCGAATAGAGCATCTAGAAAATCGTTTTGTACATTCCATAGATTTCTTATTGTCGATTTCCAGGATCATAGGATATAACTTTCAGTAAAATCTCTCTTCCTTTCCAACAGAAAATGTAAAGCACGTTGTTTTGAAGTACATCTCTCCATCGTCACATGACAACTCTATTTCTCCGCACCAGCCAGCGTTCCTCTCCCTCCCAGCACTTTTGACATCATGTCAACCTTCTACACGGTCTGAACCCTATTCAAATCTTGCCTTTTATTTTTGGCGCCTATTAAAATATTACAACTTGCTACTGCTCCGCGATCATTACAAATGGCATCGGTTCTGCCTAACGTATGGCATCTGCGCCGAGTGGCAGATACTGCCGCGAAGTCTTGTTCTATCTGCCACAAGCCTTCTAGTAGTGTTCTGATCACGCCAAATAACAAGGTAGCATACTAATTTTTTTATTTCCTTCACATTATTCTAAGCGAAGCCCCGCGGCAGGGTTGCGTCATATTTGATACTGACTCGGTAGGATTTCTTCTATGTTTGCCCTGTCCATCTCAAAGACCGCAATTTCTGCTTGCCCATTATTGATGCGGAAGAGGAAGCGGCAAAGAAAAAGCAGGAGGCTATGGACCGCGAAATAGAAAAATTAAAGAAGGAGTATGAAGAAAAGCAGCAACGGAAAAGCGAGAGAGAGAAAGACGCGAAGTCCAAAGATGACTCCAAGGACAAAAAAGACCCCTCCGAGAACAACACTAAGAAAGCAGATGCCGAGAATAAGGATGAAAAGGAAAGAGACGAAAAGGTTGGTACCAAGTAGATATCTACTACTCCCTTGCTCAGTCCTCCGTTCTCCTCTGCTCCGCTAATGGCAGTTCTTAGATTGATGCTATCAAGAAAGAACAAAGCACACCCTTGTCGGATGACTCGCCTCGTATTTTCTCTTTGCATAAGTATGGGATGAGTTATAATCCAACTACCAGTCGGCGGCACGGAGGGGCGCATGCCAGCTCAACGCCTTGGATGACTGCATTAACTGATTTTGTATGTGCTTAGGAACTTTTACCAGATGCGCATCGACCGACTGCGTAATGTCGAGGCTGCCAAGAGGAGCCGTCAACGACTACAGGATCCCTCGTTCTTCCCGTCTGTTCCGTCCGGGGATATTTAATGTATCTCAATGTCTTGGAATGCCTGAAGAAGCGCTCTGTGAGGGGATGCCGCAATGCGGATGGCCAATGAGGCGAGTCAATTCCTGCAGCCGAAAAATAAGCCTGAGAAAAAAAAGCACTCGCCCTTGTGATCGTCCTAGTGAGAGTGACGTTGGTGACAGTGCTTAGGGGCTGTTTTAACTTCTGAGTTGTGGGCGTGTTCGTTTGACGTCCAGTTATTATTCCTTTCTTCGGGACTTCAGGGTTACATACCCTGATGATCTCCAGGCGTGCAGCTTACAAAAAAAAAAAAAAAAAAAAACGGTTGCGTAACATGCTGGTATCCGCAAATCATACCACGGGAAACCCCCTTGCAATACTCTTTCTCGTGGGGCCGCCAGGTCGACGTTAGATCTTCTTGCTAGAATCCTTCTCGGGGGCGCGCCGGATGGGGCTTTATAGGGTGGGATGTCAGCACCTCATCATCGGCGGGATGGTACATCATGCGGTCAGAATCTATTGCCTATTTCAGCCAGGTCAGACTTCTAGATTCTGAACCCTAGGTGCAAAGCAGCCAGTTTTGACGGAGTCGTCAGCACGCACGCGCATGAATCCTTCGGTGGAAGGCTTTGTCTCTTGCTGCTAGTCTCGATTATATTACATAACACATAACACAAATTACACATTACACATCACACTTTGCACTTGAACTTGCGGATGCAAGTGCTTCGCTTCGCTTCCCCAACCATGGGCTCAGCATGTAAGCGCTAGTTCGGACGGAACGCGAGAGCTTTATTCTCATCCTGCGAACCTCCACTCAGCCCTAGTAGGCTTTCTTGCTTACGCTGCCGAGGAGTCGGCTATGACCTCTGAGAATGAAAGGATTACAGTTCATGGCGGTGCAATGAGTCTTACGTACGTAGTCTTGGCTGCTGGTAGGGTCTGTCTGTATACCCAATGCTTTTTGTATAGATCTAGATCGAATCCTTCTATATTCTAGGGTAAGTAATAAGGAACGAGTAGAAAAACCAATCTGAATATGATATACAAAATTTTTATCATACATGATCAGAAGACACTGTATCCGGAGCTATGAGAAACATACTACGCACGCGCCTTACTTAGGGATCTCGCAAGATCCCTTTCAGCCCTACTGGGCTCGACTCAGCCCCAGCACACTATACCGCATGTGCACGGAGTCTGGCACCAACACCACCAGCTCTGATTTACAGCGTGCAGCTTTTCGACTTGGTCTAGCTAGAACTCAACAAAGCACCTGGAGCTAACCTCCTAGGAAGATACCAGCAAGGCCCTCATACAGAACAGAAACTACAGCAGAATTAGCCGACGAATATCCGCGAAGCAAACCGAAGCTGCTATTCTATCTACGTAGTAGGATTGCGAACGGATAGTCTGGCTATGACTATATGCACTGTCTAGTGTAGTCTAATACGCATCCATATTCCCTACGCCTATATATATATCCTAGGTAGGTAGGTAGGCAGTAAATAACCGAGTCTCATCCTAATCGCACTGCGAAGGTAACACACGGCAATTCCGACAGAGTGGACCAAACTCTGAACTCTAATTTCCATAGTAGAACTAGATGGTATCCTAGATTAGGTAGGAGACTAGCTAGTATGTAGTCGGAAAGCGCTTTTGGATTAATCGAGCCGAGGCGCGTAGCCTACGGAGTAGATTAACTAGTGCTATTAGTATTACTTAGTAGTAGGACTCCATAGTCCATACTCCATACAGCGCACAGTACTGAGCCCAGGTACTCTGTTCTGTAAACTTCCCAGAACGAGTCAGGTTCATTAATCATACTGTAGAGATTAATTACGAAAAAAAAAAAAAAAAAAAGGAACGAGCAAGGTAAGGTTAGGCGGTTTTGTAAAGCAAGGCAGATAGATAGACATCTTCAATGTGAAGTATGGAATTTGGCTACTGTACGGAGTACTCTGTAATTCAGGCAATTACCTAGGTACTGCTTAGTAGTTATTAGAGAGATGATTATGAACTAATATATTCCAGAATCTTCACATGTTAGTTTCTTTCTTTCTTCTTTCATAACTCAGATTAATTAATTAGTACTCTGAAGTACTTCAAGTGGAGTATACTAGTATCTAGTATCTAGTATCTAATCATCAGTCTGAACTAACTAACTATAGACAGAGTGCCTACCTAAATATACTCTATAGTCTATACTATGTCTATCCTCTATACTCCATAAAAATAAGATTGAATATTAAATACTCCAAGAAATAATACCTAGTACGGAGGATAGATGCCGCTTTTCTTACTAGGTAGTAGTAGGTATACGTGATATACTTCGGACCCAACCCTACCCTACCCTAACTATGACATGCAGTAATCTGATATCGTATCTGTAAGAGTACTCCGTACTCTGTAGATGAAGACACCTCCAACTCCCCCAATTCAACCCAAAGCATCAAGAACACTGGCGCGCTGGCATATTTATAAGAGCAATGCAATTCACCTGCATATCAGAACAGATCCTCGGACCTCCTCTCCCATTACATAGCTGAGCCCTGGCCACTTATGCAGAAAAGTGGAGCATTGGGGCAGTGCACTGCATTTATTCAAAATGATTTAAATCTTCGTCTTCTTGTCCCCGGTATCGTTTCGAGTGGTCAATTCGAATGGTATAAATGTGATGATGATGATGGTGTTGGGGAGCTTTGGAGGTCGGAGATTTATTCCTACTTTGTCTGGAGTACGAGTACGATACTCTGCTAGCTAGACTTCCGTGTACTCCGTACTATAGATAGATAGATAGATAGATAGATAGATAGAGGGATTCTGCTGGATTGATTTACATCGTACGTACTCTGTCCCGGAGAGACTTCTTTCTTTCTTTCCTTGTTGAGTTCGAGTTCGAGTTCGACCCGAGAGATGCCGGGAATTCGGCCAGTCAGCAAGACAGGGGAGCTTTAGTTTATTAGATACTCCGTACCTTGGTAGTTAGTTACTAGGGAGTGATTAAGAATACGAATAAGAGAATGATAAGACCTATATAGGTAGTAGTAGTACGTACTCTCCTGTCCTCTGTACTTATTGCGTATTCTCGACAAGGAAAAAAAAAAAAAAAAACTCCATTCTCTAGTTAGTTAGTTAACTAGAGAAGTGGTTACAAAGCAAGTCTATACCAAGATTCCTGATCATATTTCTTTTCTTTGTTAACTAGTTAGTTACTGTAGTTAACTAATGGGACCTGCTGCTGACAAGTCTTGCCACGATGGCGGTCTGGTGTCCGGAGTAAATTGCAGCGAAATGAAAAATTACCGCCTCGCCCCCCACGTACCGATTTGGGAAATGGTCGCGTAATTAAAAAAACAACAACAACAACAACAACAGAGTTACGAATACTTGTCTCCTGGTAAGGCTCATGTATCAGAATGCCGCCCACTAGCGGGCCCTCAGTTTGCGTAAAAGAGCAGTTTGCACAGCCCCCGTGCCGGCGCTAGTGATCCAGCCTAGGTCCTAGACCCCCCTCTCTAGCTTCTTAGACAGCTAGACTACGGAGGAGGAGGAGGAGGAGGAGGAGGAGGAGGAGGAGGAGGAGGAGGAGGAAGAATTAATAGAAATCCCAGTCGGAGACTATCTACAATTCTACCTGGGCTAGGAGTGCCTAGTCTAGGTACATCCTGTACTCCGTATACTGGTAGGTACCGAAGTGCAAAAGACCCGCCGGATCAATACTTGTTCCAAGGAACCCTGGCACAGGTTGTACGGTAGTCTTTGAGTGGGGCTGCTGCAGCCTCGTGGAATTGTGGGGTTAAGCCCGCTTCTGGCACGCGGGCCAGTTGCTGGAATCTCCTCTCTTTTTCCTTTTTTTTTTTTTTTTTTTTTCAAGGCGAGTCCAATCTATACCAGAAATTCTACAGGGGCTGAACTTTACCCATGGACATGGAAATGGGGAGCATTCCATATACCTAACCTAGGTACACTACTACCAAAGATGTGCAAATGCGCAACCCTCGGGAGTCGGGGACTACATACATACAAACCGGGGGTTGATCTCAGAAGTATCTCAGTCAATGGGATAAGACTTATCGCCGTCCTCTCCCGGGTTCAATTTCAATTTCAATTTCATTCTGCGGATCCACACCCTATCGAGCCAACGTAAGGGGTTCCCGATACCACGTTCCCCAATGATCATTTCGTTTCCCCTTGATGACGTTGACTATTCTTCATGGCATATGTATTTTTTTTTTTTTTTTTTTTTTTTTTATGAGTTTCCTCTTCTCCGAAATGAATTTGGGATTGAAAGTGCTCGCGTGGATTGGTATACGCTAGTGGCTGGAACATTCTGCATGCCTGCAAGCCTGGGGAGCCAAAATAAATTGGTCGCACTAGTTGTACTCAAGCTTTCGTGGGCTAAAGTTGTGACCTACTAATGCCTAGCCTTGGTGATGGGGATCCGTGCGCCGTCTGTCTCGACTCTCGTATAAGAATTCGTTCTCAGGCTATCCAAGTGCTAAGATACTTAAAGACTTCCCCGCCCAGTTCCTGACTCGTCTACGGGGCCAGGCCTCATGCCTGGTGGCAAACGAATCCCAGGAGGTAAAGTTCCCGGTCTGATGGTGACTTGTTCCGAGATATCGACTCGAGCCTTTGCAAGCCCGATGGCGGGGACAATCCACTCGCCACAGCTACATTGCATTCCTTGCCACGCGAACTTGCCAATATTAGAATCGCAGGCGGGGTTGGGGCATGTCAGCCGGCCTGATAACGGGGCATCTTCGGATGGCAAGCCGCCCGAGACCTCATGGCTGTTGGGGAAGAGACTTGGTCGCATCCATGTTAGAGGGTGTAGGAAGATGTGAGCGCATTGCGAAGTCATTGAAGCTTTTGCATCCTTGTGTGGCCCATGCGGTACAACGAATGGCGCCGTTGCAAGTTTGCGCCTGCCAATTTCGGTTAGTACAGTGGATTCAAATACATTCTAGAGGATTACAGATGCACATGCCAGACTCAAGAGAGAGGGCGACGCGGCGGGAAAGGGACGGAAAACTAACCTGCATTTGCGACATTTAATCTCCGTTGTCCGGGTTGTGGATTCAGGGTGTTGTTGTGGTTGCTCATCTTCGAATAATATCGACGCCATCTCAGGGGCACGCCCGCATGCGACACTCTCCTCAACATCTCGATGGTACATCCAGCGAGTATAGAGTGGATGCTCCAGAACGTCCGCGGGGCACCCCATCTCATGATAAATAGACAGCTGTTCCATGAAGCCTGTATTTGGCTCACATAATGGCCGGGATTCTCTGATCAGAGCCAGAGCGGACTGTGGTGTGAACGCGGTTGGTTGTCGGTGGAGCAAGTATGCGATACAGATCGTCGCAGATCGGGACTTGCCCATTGCACTACATCATACCGTCAGCAAAGTCTCATCTCATGTCGGAGGCGTTCATGAATCGCAGCAGGATATGTCAGCAGAAAATAACAAGTTAACTATCTTAAGTGGGTTAACTTGTTATGATGTGTCATGATATTGTCAGAACGCCAACGGGGGAGAGCTAGGGCACGTGACCGAAAGGGGGAAGTATGGTGGAAGACAAGAGGGAGGTTAAACCGGACATAGAGTACTCCTTTAGGAAGGAGATTCTGTCTCCACAGCAGGAGGGGAGCAGATCTAGGTTAACTTGCCTATCGGTCCATGGTGGGCGAGGGAATAGTCTGGGCTGACACGGGGTGGGAACGATGAAAGGCGTGGGAGGTTCCAACTAACCAATGGACAAGCACACTGCCACCCGCATCCAACCCAGATTGAATAAACTTGATGGCGGAGGGGAAATGTTCTAGGAGATTTTCGTCGTCGACATCATCGACTTCAATGCTGTGGTGCTGGAAATCCGCAAAAATAGTGTCTGATTTTCCGAGTCGTAACACAGAAACGACGTGTGTAATGTTTGCTCTACTCAAGGCTGCTTTATTCTTGAGCGAAAATATGCTACAGATAGTTTGTGTCTTGTCAGCGCAAAAGAGCTTTGAGAAAAAAAAAAAAAAAAAAAAAAAGGGTATTTAATTTCGTTCCTCTTCTTTTCATTAGCTGCCCCGCTATATCAGGACCGCAGACAATAGAAGAAAAAAAAATCAAGGGAATACCAACCCTCCGATGTAGATATTTTGGCCGGGAATCTTATTCATGGCCATGGCGTAGGGGTATAAATCGGGATAATATCAGACGAGACGGGGGGGCAAAGCACTTGGAACAAGTGACAAGATAGAAGGAGCAGGTAGATGCGTGTTGACCAGGCTTGAGACTCGAAACAACCTGGAAGGTTTGATATAATGAAGATTCTCCCTCGGTCTAGAGAAAGTCCAGACAGGTCGATGCTGATTGGGTTGTCTAAAAAGGAAAATAGGGCATAGGGCAAGGGCAAGGGCAGGTCGCTTTATTGAATACATACTCCGTATTCATAACTACTCCGTACTTCGAAGTCAAAACGCAAGGATCGAACCCCCGCACTTCCTGGGAATAGATACTAGTTAGATATGATTGCTCTCAACCTCTCACCGTGTCGCCGAATCCTGAGGACCGTTGCCCTTTGATGATCAAGGTCTTATCTTATTTGCGTAATCCGTTCTCCCGCGGTTGACAGGGCCCCTGCCCCTCGTTCTGATTGCTCCTGTAGGCTGTAGACGGGAGCCACTATTTCTCATCAGCTAAGATTACAGCTCATATGAAACCAGTCAAAAAGAGCTCATTTTAATTTTACTCGCATTAATGGGTTCTGGGTTGTTAGCGCGTAACACTAAAAACATGGAATTGAGCGCATTCTGGGTGACGAATCTGCTAAGATACCATGGAATGCATGGCTTCGTGTTTCCCCCTCCGCAAAGTTTCACTTCTGGGGCAAGAGAAGTCGCTAGTGCTGTTTAGTTGACGCCTCCAGGAGTCATTTGAGGGTTAAGGTGCCGAGAAAAGCCTGGAATTTCCCGTGTTCAAGTCCGACTTGATCCTTTGTTCCAGAGTACGTAGTAGTTGGCCCGAGCAGACTTTCCCGCCATGACAGTCCCTATCGTATCATTTGGTGATTGGTTCTGAGTAGCCGCCAAGGCTATTAGAAGCTGGTTTCAGATTTGGACGGGGTTAAATTACATCTTTATTTCTGAGAGGCCATAGTTGTCGATCGTCCAGACGCATGAGTCTGTGCGACCCTATGCCAATTCAAACTTTCTAGGTTGGTACAGTACGTGAGGGCTCACTGCATGACTCTAATGCATAATTTATTATTCTTATTATTACTACTACCACTACTGCTATGATGATGATTTATCTCTTGCCTTGTTGGCTGGCTGAAGTTTGCGTCACAATTAGAGAGTATTGAGACCAACCATCTTCCCAAGATATGACAAGAAGTCCTCAATTCTGCGGCACGCTAAGCAAGAAATCCCTGGTCTGCTTGGTGCCAATGAAAGAGCAGCGGCTATTACTACATATTACTCCGTAGGTACTCCGTAGGTTAATAAACAATGCTTGATTTTTCGGACGGAAGACCAAGGTAGTTGACTGTTCTGTGGTAAATGGCTTGACCGAAAATTGCAACCCCAGTGACCAATGAAGAAATCACTCTTTATACTCTGTATACCTCAGTTACTCCTATCTAGTAGGTACTAGTTAAGTACTCGTAGTGTTGGTAACCAGGCTTTCAAGGTTATTCGCGCCGTATGACCACATCCAGTACTCCATATAACCATCGGATGCGATTTGTTCTTCTGACTTGAAGGAAAACCAGATTTGACTCTTTTCCTTCAGATAGCCTCTTCATTGGTGCATTATTCTCAAACCTGCAGCCCCTTAAGGCTGACCTTATGTACTTGAGCGGATGTCTTTTTTTCTTTTTTTTTTCTGTCAATTCTTTCTTTAGTACGGAGTGCTTCGCTCGCCACACCCTCTCCCTCTTGTCTCCGGGCTCTTTTCCCAATTCTTGAAAAATGCCAGAAAAATTGTTTCTACAACCTATGTTGACCAAATCTAGCCAGAAATAGATCTTTCTCTTTTTTTAACTTCCCGCAAATTTGTCCGCGGTCGTACAAGGCCGAGGTCGACGTAATAATAATCTACTCCGTATACCGTATTTTTCTTATCAAATAGTAGTACTCCGTAGTACTCCTAGGTAGAGAACCTACTATAGTAGCCTGGAGTATTACTACCCAGTATGGCCTATGGCGCGGGTCTTGTTCCAGGGGAGCCAACCTTGAATCCAGCAAGATAGTTATAGGGTAACCAATTACAAGCTTGGAAGTGTACTATACTCCGTTCTATCGCTGGGTTTCACCTTGCCGGAAAAAAATAACAAGGTTACAAACCTAGCTAATAAAAGACATGTTACTGGTTGCCACCTAGCCTCTGTGGGTGCATGTGTGCGTGTCTCGTCTAGCTACTACAGGTACTTAGGTAGTAGGTTTCAACCCCTTTCTGTTGCCTTCTCCGGTATGGTCTTGCAGGAATAAAATCATACCAAGGAGCTTATGTCCTGGCAATTGTCCGGCATCCTCGGATCGGAGTCAGCAAGCGAATAGGCAAATTTCCTCCCAACGGTTCCATCCTCTTCTGGCGCTCTTCTAAGGCTTCTACAGAGTACAGTTACTCTCTCTAAATGCTTTAGTTCTACTCCGTACATCTTGTCTTGACTCTTCAGTGGTTTGCCACTGACTGCTCTTCCTATCCCAAATAATTAGGTAGTCGCTTGGTTATCAACCACTCACCATTCAGCCCCTCCATGACACGACTGTACGGAGTACCCCTAGGCACTAAAGGACATACCTGCAAAAGATCAGACCCACCACTAGAGCGAAACTAGATCAGTCGCACTCCGCAAGCATCTTGCTTTTATCCCTCAGTGGGTTTATTGCAGTCAAGAGTACTCCGTATAGTGGTAGTAGTACGGAGTAGTAGTTACCTATACACACTGGATCTCCGAAACCATGTTCACATGGCGTCATATTGGTACTCTTGAAGTTTCAAAGGCCGATGTTTACCTGGAATAATAATAATAATAATAAGAGAATATGCCAAATGACAGCAATGTGGCAGTGCATGTATCTAAAGTGCCTTGTGGAACCCTCTAGTCCGTCATTGGCAGCGGGTCAAGCTCCTCAAAACCACTCACACACACCCTCTCTCTTTTTCTTTCTGAATGGCGGGGTCCCATGCATAGTATGGAATCAATCCGCCTTGCGACGTTCTTTCGGAGCTAATTTCTAACTAGTCGTAGTACGGAGTAGTTATCTCCTCTTTCCCAAGACCATGGAATTCTTGGGGTGGTTCTTTGGTAAGACTAAAGGAGTCGAGGGACGGATCATTACTCCGTAGTATTCTTCTGGAACCCTGAACTGTCACTGCTCTTCTCTCTTTGGCTCCCTGGAATATCGTCGGTGATTCGTGTATTACTTCCTCCGTTTTTACTTTTACAGCAACACGGCAAGCTGGTAGTATCCTACCTAGGTAAGGAGAGAAGATTACGGATACCTAGTACGGAGTACCATCTCTGTAGATCAACTCAAGAAATGCTGTCTTCTCATTGATCGAGCTCTCTGAGTACTCCGTACGTTCTTTCGTTATGACGCGCAGGTTTCAGCCGTCTGTCTTCATACCCGTAGTACAGAGTAGTTAACGCCAGGTGCTTCTTATCTTGCTAAGCAGTCATCTTCTGTTTGTTAACTAGTTAGTTATTTGGTAGCCGATACAATTATTATTACATCTTTCACCTGGTAATTTACAGATAGTAAGCCCCATATATGAAACATTCTGCGAAGAAGAAAAAGAAATAAATACGGAGTGTTAGGAGGGAGCAGCAAACCATGGGAATCTTGACTACTAAAGACAAGATAGAATTCAAAACCTCCGAGGATATACAATCTTGATCTTTATTTACTAGAATAATTAAAAAAAAAAAAAAAAAAGGAGTAAGAATCAATTTACTGGCAAGAAAAGAATACAAAAAAAAGAATGTCTAGAGAGTGTCCTATGTCGTCGTCAATAATTTACCCAATTAAGGCCCATGCCAGGCTTGTCAGCACTGCCTCATTCTTAACCACCCACGCTCATCCCACGGCCAACGCTAATCCAACTAGTTTGCTGCTCACCGCTCTGAATCTGGAATTAGCGCATCTTGAATGTTTCGATTGGCATTCCGGGCTCGCTTGAACGAGTAGGGTGGGAGTATACAAGGGGTACTCCCGCTTGGTGCTGCTGGCCTGACATGCTTAAGGCTGAATGAGTTGTCTCCAAAACATGGCTTCCCCCTCCCCCTTTCGAAGATTACCTAGTAGTAGTACGTACGTACCTCCGAGGTTTACAGAGTATATCTCCGCTGGTGGTACTCCGTACGAAAAGTAGCATGTCCCTCGAGAATAGAGCTGGATATTTTTTTTCGTATGGGACTATGGCTGTTCCCCTTTTCTTCAGTTCCCGACAGAAAATCCCACCTGCTACTTTTAAGGCAACGGGGACCCCAGAGTACGGAGTACTGTATCGCCTGAAAATAGTACCAGGAATTTTGACTTTCCTAGCAGGAACATCATCAGCACGAGATATCGAAAGAGGAAACATATGATGCAGCGCCGTGCTAGTAGTCGTGGCTTATACAACCTGAAATGCCAGAGCTATTCTGTTAAATTAGTTGATTTTTGCCTGGCTATATCATCTGATAACTTGTTGTTATGGAGAGTGAAAGCCTTGAATGACCCGACGACCCGTAGTAATAGGAGTTATATATTATCATATATATTATTATTATTATATATATTATTATTGTTGTTGTTGTTGTTGTTGTTATTATGGAATCGGTACATGGTGTCAGTTCAAAATAGTACCCATCCAGTTAGTGCCGACAATGTACTCCATATGTCCTGCGTGGATTATCAAACGGCGTGGTGGTTCTTGAGCCCAGACGGAGATTAAGTTGTTAGAAGATTGAGATTAACATCCGATAGCAAGAGAAAATGTGGAATGAGGTTTCCAGAATCCAAAGAATAATATCATGATCATAACTATGGTGACTACCTAGTAGAATTTAGTTTAATGTGATTCTAACAGTGTCTGAGTCCATAACGACTGTCCGGAGTACAATTTATGTACAGAGTATGTATGATGATAGGTAACTTGGAAATACATTCTGTATTTTTGCAACCCGGAAATTTAACTGGGAACAGCCCAAAAAGAAGGAGAATATACCTACCCTCCAGGTACCTAATCTTTGGATCTGGCTTTTATCCTTAATAACAAATACTCAGTTAACTATATCTCTCTTGCAAATTTCGCGGAAGTTAGTTTTTATCCCCTGGTTCCTTATGGTGTCAGGACTAAAGAGAGAGACAAGGCACGCTACTTTTTGTTGGTCCACCCGACCAAAGGTCTCCAGTTGACAACAGATGCTCAAATACTGGCCTGGTATCATTTGCAGTGGCCAATACTGTATTCTTCTTCTTCTTCTTCTTCTTCTTCTTCTTCTGCCTCGTCGTTTTCTCCAAGTCATCTCGTCTCGTCTCGTCTCTGAATCCCTCACTTTCTTCTGCAATCCAGTTGCAGCATATCATCCTGTCTCTTCCTCATCCACGACGCAAGAAAGACATCAAGCAACAAAAACCACGATAGACAAGCTAGGGAACGATTAGACCCTGAAAATACAGTTATTCCTTTCCACCAGCCTTGTAGGGACCAATAAGGCCCTGGATTGCACCACCCACCACCACCTTTCCACTTTTCTAAATCCATACAATTCGTCTCCTTTACCTTTTAAACATTGCAATCCTTACCTGAGCTTTCCCCTCTGCTTCGCCGCCCATACACTCTCTCTCTCCCTCATTTATCCTCCTTTACCTTCGTCGTCTTCATTCTTCTTCCTCCTCTTCTTCTCTCTATCTTCGTGGGTTCCTACATCGGACCTCCGGCTTTAGGAAACACCCGCGCCTAGAGCACACCCGCAAGCTTCGTTCTTAACGCTCTCAATCTCTCTTGCCAATAATATCTTTCCTCGACCAGGACACTGCATCAATACCCTGTCCTCCGTTGCATTCCTTTTTCTTTTTCTTTTTCTTTTTTTTTTTTTTTTTTTTTCCTTCTCCCTCCCTCCATTTATCCACATCTCTACGTTGACCTCAGCCGAAAAAACCGCACTCCCGTCCTCCAGCATGCCCTGTGAATCTTACAGTCTTACTCTTCCCCGTCGATAAGTTGCCGCAGCTTGGCAGATTGATGGCACAGAAACCGTTGACAAGCCCTTGTTTGCGATTGTTGCACATCGTCCTTGACTCGGTGGATTAAGCAACTAAAAATATATATATATATATATATATATAAAAATAAAAAGAAGACTAAGAATCCAGGATAGTGCAGGTTGACCCCAATTCTGTTCATTTAAAGTCACCCAGGGCTTTTGGTTCGTTTACTCCTCCCAATACTATCCTTCAAAAGCTGACTCCCCGTCTTCTACACCAGACACACTTTCTTTCATTATCTCTCTCTCTCTATCTTTTTTTTTCGACTAGAACTCCTGTCGTGTATAGAAGGGGTGAAGAAGCGGGATCTTCTGTACCTCCATTGAAAGCGGATTTTCTTGATTTAATTTCTACTGCATAGAATATACGGTGCTCCACGATCTAAAGCCGTTCCTTCTTGAATCGCTTGTCAACCAGTGCAGTTGCCGTGACCCTATTTTGACATCGATGAGTAGCCCTAGCTCACCTTCGCTTCTGTACGATGGACTTCTCTCGAATCTCACCTCCCTCCATCAATGTCCACGACTTTAATAGTGGCTACAACCATCACATGTCTGTCGCGAGATCCTCATATGCTATGCCTGGACAGGCCTTTCCTCTACAAGGGCCTGTCCCCATCCGGACAAATTCCATGACAACATTCGCGCCTCCACCGTTACCGCCTCCACCACGAATTAGCGATCTTGAAAATGGGTATGATGCTGGTTTTTTACATGCAAACTCGAGACTCCCCCCTGGATCTGCCAAACTTGCGCCCATCAATCCCGACTCGAGCCTATTTGGAAACCACCGCCGCCCTGATTATTCCGTACCCAGGAGCGATCGGATGGCATTGGATGAATTAGACGGCCGGCAGAGCAGTTTACCCATTTCAAGAAGTCCGGAGGCACATATCAAAATCGAACCACCACCTTCAACCGATGAAGGCTTCCGGAATTCTATCTCTATTAAAAATTCTGGACCAATGTAAGTATTCTGGAAATCACATCTGATTAGTTTCCCCTCCTTTTTTTTTTTTTTTTTTTTTTTTTTTTTAATTGAAACATCCCCGTTATTGTACACCCTCGGGTTGATTTAGTGGCATTTTTTTTTTTTCTTGTTCTCATATCCATTCTTCGAATTCGAGCCGGACTGATAGGGCGACAAATAGTCTGAAAGGCGAGCATGATTTCTCCCGAAGGAGCGTGAAGGATTCTTCGGATGCGTACGACCAACATCTATTATCGAAAATCGGGAAGCCTCTCTCTCCGCGGCAATCAGTCAGTCTGGGAGCGGAGGGTAAAGGATCTTTGTCAACCCTTTCGATTCCTCCCAGGGGCCTCGCAAGCTTACCTTCTCCAGGTGGCTCTGATGTACCCTCCTCACTCGACGTAAGGTGGTCAGGCAGTTCGCAGTCGAGTGGCATATCCCCCGGTACGAAAGTCGGTTGGAGAGACTATATCGGCCATCGAAGCCCTAGCGTCGAGAGCAATGCACCTTCCTCTTCAATAGATTATGATAACTCGGCATATCTTCGTGATGCAGGTCGTCGCAGAGGTGGCACAACCCCGCAGTATGACGAGATCTCTAGCCTTCCAAGTCGATCCCATAGAGGAAGCTATGACCAAGGCGTTGTTTCGGACATTGAAGGCGACTTTATCACGGATGATTCTCTACCGTCGCGACTGTTTAGTCTCCGGGAAGCAACTCCAAGTTATCTAGAAACATCTAGGTCTGGTATCAAAAGAAGAGCGTCATCACCTCCTCGAGAACCCATTAACAATGACAAGCATGCACTGCATACGACAACAAGCAATGGCGACCTATCCCAAAGGAGAACCACTGGCCACCCATTTACCAATAGCCTTTCGGTGTGTAGCAGTTTTACGCCCAGCCATGGATGTATTTCTGTTGCTTCTTCAGCAAGCTTGCGAACGTCTACGTCGTACTCGTCAGCGGCCCCCTCACTAGGAAGCAGCATAACTACTGTATCGACATACGATCGTCCATCACCAGGGGGATTATCACCCAAGTCAGATATTGATTCTTATCATGACAAGCCTTCTCTATGCACTAGCAGCTCATCGGGATTCCTGGGCCAATCAGGCACTAGATCTGTTCAAGGCCCCATTCCACTAGAGTCTTCTAGCACAGACCCAGCCAGGAAACTATCCTTCCCGACGAGTCTCAACGTGCCCAAGCCCACAGGATCAAAGATTGGTGGACTGTATATCTGCGACTGCTGCCCGAAGAAACCAAAGAAATTTGACAACCATGAAGAGCTGCGGTAAGTAAAGCATAATTTCTACGATTCAGCTATCTCCTAGGCTTCTAACATGCCTGAATAGTGCCCATGAGATGGAAAAGCAGTATTCATGCCTTTACTGCAACAATAGGTTCAAGAACAAAAACGAGGCCGAACGCCATCAAAACTCCCTTCATTTGCGACGTCATTCTTGGTCGTGTGCTGCCCTACCTAGTTATCAAGCAGCATTCCATCCTTCCTCTTCTCCGTCAACCCAGACCGGCTCGGGTGCCTCGCATGACAGCTGTGGATACTGTGGCGAGGAGTTTCCTAACTTTCCTCAGCCCGACTGGGATCAGAGATTTGAGCATCTGACTACGGTGCACAAGTTTGGAGAGTGCAACAATTCGAAGAAGTTTTACCGTGCGGATCATTTCCGGCAACATCTCAAGCACAGTCACGCAGGAACAAGTGGCAAGTGGACTAATATACTGGAAAATGCCTGTATGAAAGAAGAAACACCACCTGAATCTCAGAACAGCAGCCCATCAACCGGAACACTGTCGAATAAGATCAGCGACGTTATGAGCAATTGCTGACACTAAGTGTGCCGGATGGATATCGGGGCACACTGTAGATGACGGCCAAATGCCCTCTACGTTTTTATCATGAATCTTGCATGGATTCTCCTTTTTCTGGTATCCAGATTATATTTTTGATACTTGCTTAGCGAGGTCGCAATTCATACAACATAGTACACTGGGGTGTTTAGGATACATAAAAGCCGAAAAACACGGGAAACGGATTTAAAAAAAAAAAAAAAAAAAAAGGATCCTCCAAAGACCAACGGAACCCCAAAATCTTTACAGTTATGTGATATGATCTTTTCAAACTCTGTCCCCCTTATTTTTTGCCATCCTTTTCATCTTTCTTTTTATTCTATCTTGGAGCCATTGCTTTTTGGGCGAGGGACAAACTGGAGTCTAAGGGGGGGTTTCTCTGGCAGAGAAAGGGGAAAGGACACACAGTCACTCTCTGACATCTTTTCTGTTCACTGGGAATCGGCTATTTTCTTTTTAATTCGATTTGTATACTTTTGGACCACTTCATGAAGTTTGTTGCACATTTTTTTTTTCTCTCTCCTCCCCCCATCCCAATTGGCTATCCTTCTCAGATTCATCTTTTTTTACCCCCTATATACTCTTTAGTCGTTTCTCAACATACCTCTTTGTCTGACCAGCGGGGGGGGGGGGGGCTTTGCAAGGACAGGCCTCTTGTTATTTTATTACTGGAGTTATGAAGCGCTGGCCTGACCAGACACACGCACATTTACTTACGCTATCTAACTGACCCGTGTGACTCTGTATATAGATGGGATTTCAACATACTACGAGAGCAATTATCTACTGAGACAGATGAGATAAGATAAAATATAAAAAGGCCTTCAGGAATATATTTGAACGGGTTCACTTTGTTTATGAAGTGTTTTCGTTTCTTCTGTTGTTGATTGATTGATTGATTGATTGATTGATTCGTAAGAGATCGAGACAGGGACAGGGACAGACAAAGCAACGCCAGAATAATGCAGTAAGTAAGTAGTAGGGTGGGTAGTAAGGGGGATGAGGCTCTAGAATCATTTCGTAACTTTTCAACAGATAGGGTAGTCTCAAGCGGTCTGGAGTTGGAAAAAAAAAAAGAAAATCCTGCTTAAATCACATCACTTCTTCAATTACACCTGCTGCCTCTCTTGCAAGGCGCAGATCCTTCCCTACGAGACCGATATCCTTGAGGTAAAGGTTGAATGCAGACAAGAGGCTCGCGAGAGAAGCTCGGAGCGTGTCAATGACAAGCTCGACGTCGGGTACGCGCCGTGCCTCAGCTTGTGCGGCTGGGTTGCTGGACGGAGGAAAGTTCACGTCTGTCCAGTGGATACTGAGACCAGCGTGGGCGTACTGTTCAAGCGTCATGACTGTTTCTGTAAAGAGGCGGACGACACCGGGGACGTCCGCTTGGACCTTGCCGTATTGGTCTTCTTGGAGACTTGCGACGAGGAGGCGGGTGAGGGACTCAATTGCGTCGATGGTGGAGCAGAGGTTTGCGTGGGGGGTGCCGAGCACAACGCTGGACAGCCGGCGGGCGTAGGTTTGGCGGATAAAAAGGCCAACGGGGGAGCGGAGGAGTTGGGCGAGGAGCGGGTGGATGTTCTCGGGTTTGCTGGTTGAAGGGGCAGTAAGCATTTTAAGCTCTTGGGAGGACGCGAGGAGCTTCCGTTTGCGTTCGGGACTAAGGACGGCGGAGGAGGCGCGGTCGAAGACATCGCGGGCGTGGGCGCGCGCGGCGGGTGTCCAGTCTGGAGAGTTGCCGTAGGATTTCACTGCTGAGCTAACGGCTTCACTGAGCTTTTGCTGGCGGGAGGTAGGCTTGGGCGAGGCGGCGAAGATGTTGCCCTCCTTTGGAGGGTCGGTTAGTCGGGGCAGCGTATGTAGAACCGGTTGGGCTTTCTCAACCGGAGAAGGTTTGGGGCCTGCTAAGGGGGGGTTGATCCGAGTAGAGATGCCCTTAATGATCTCGGTGGAAGACTGGAGGACCTGAGACCAGGCAGATCCACCTTCACGGTCGATATCATTAAAAATCGCCTTTCGTCGATCAGGGAATTGCTGGCTGATGAAGCAAAGTTCCCAGAATGCAAATGCTCGGACAGTTTCCTTCTTTGCCTTCAATCCGTTCAACAGGCTGCCGTTGGGATCTTTGGCTTCTGCGGTCAAAGGCTGTCCCCGCTTGAGAGGCTCCTTGCTGATGAAAATCGAGAAGAATAAATTTGTAGTTTGCCAACACAGAACAAGGAATCCTCCTGAAACCACAGTACGCGCGATGAGCAGTGGGTTAATTGGAGGAATTAGGCCAGGCGGATCGGCGGCAGACCGAGGGAAATCCCAGAACAGTTTGGCGAAGTACATGGTGTAGCTCCATGCTGGGCGTCTGAGGAAGAAAGTGTACGCCACAGGGCAGAACAGTGCCACCGACGTGCTCCTTACCAGCCCATCCCTCATGAGTTTTGGTAGTGCTGCTTGGATGCGTTTTGAAACCGAGTTTATCGGGTGCGTTCGCTGGTCTGTAGCCCCGGGGGTTGGTTTCGCGACAGGGATAGGGACGCGGTCATAATCGTAGTAAAGGTGAGCCACAGATTGTGCGATCGCCAGGAGGAGATGGCAGGTATAGACATAAATCGGCCTCTCGTTCAAGTTCGCTCGTTCATGGGGTCTATTTTTCTTTAGTTTCGGCGAATCCAAAAATCCAAGCCCATCCTCCCTTTGAGTACTTACTTGACCCGTTTTACCCATTCCATATGCGCGCTGACCGGAGAAGACCATTTGTATATTTCGCTGAACCACCATGCCGAAAAGATATACCAGCCAAATGTCTGGATGATGTGAAGCGGAACAAGGAATTTGAATGTAGCGATCGGAGATGCAGTGGTTCTTGAGCCAATATGCATCTGACCAACACGAAGGACGAAGACCGCCAGAGACGAGATAAAGAGAAGGACTGTACGAATTCCACATGCTCCAATTGGAAACCAGGCCCAAAAAACTAACAATTTTTTTTTGAGGTGATTAGTTATCCGGCCTGAGATGATGGCAGATGGATCAACTCCACGTCATGCACTCACATGAAGACTTATCCCCGATCAATATGGAGACCAAGTAAGAAACTAACAGAGCTAGAGCAGAGGCATGGACGAATCTTCGATGCAGCGCGGACGTCAATATGCGCCGATATGGGCGAGGCTTTGCGGCAGCCATGGTGTGAAGTTGGGGTCAAGCAACTGCAGAATGTTGAGAGAGGGACCAAAGGAAAAAAAAAAAAGATTACAGCATGATCAGAGAGACAAGGAATTGTGTATCTCGAGTTACCCCGCCGGAAAGAATCGCAGAAGTCGAGTAATGCTTGCCTAGCAACCGGCGGCGGCGAATGCGGCGAGACAGCAATAAATGAAGCTTTTTTTGGGCAACGGCATCAAAACACACCAGCCACAGATGTCCAGTCAGGTGATAATTTCACTAGCCACAGGGCGGCCGTGTCACGTCATGTCATGTGATTGCTGCGGGCAGCCGCATGTTGACGATCCCGCGATTACCGCTTCGGAGCATCTTGCATTCATCTTCCACTCACTCCTCTATCTCTTCCTCCCCTCAGACGCCACCATGTCATTCGATCGTCTGAATTCTCTTGAGGCCCAGCCTACGACTTACCGTCGCTCTGATGACCCCCAGTATCAAGATGACCCCGAGTTCCACCGTCTCACTGAGTCCCTCTCGAGTCAACTGTTTACGCTGACTTCCAACATCACCCGGCTCTCGGACCAGATTGCCCTACTTGGGACAAAGCGCGATACTGAACGAGTACGAGAGCGAGTCCATACTCTTCTAGAGCAGACCCGCGCGGGCTTCAAAGAAGTAGGGGAGGGTATCAAAAAGGTCCAAACCTGGGAAGACGTCAATGTAGGCAGTCACAACAGGCCCTTATTAAGTAGCGAAACATCACTAATATCTATCTGTTAGCCTTCTCAAAAATGGACCCAGCAGAAGTTATCAACGGAATTCAAAGCGACTCTGGAGGAGTTCCAGACTGTCCAGCGTCGTGCTTTGGAGAAGCAGCGTGCGTCTGCGGTAGCTGCCCGTACCGCCGTGGAGGATAGTGAATTCGCGGCCGAAGGAGGGGCTCATCAGCAGCAGCAGCAGCAGCAACAACAACAGCTTCTAGAGGAGCAGCCCCGCCTGGCAAACCAAGACGAAGTGGACTTCCAGGAAGCTCTGATTATCGAGCGTGAAGCCGAGATTCGCAACATTGAGCAAAGTGTGGGCGAGCTGAACGAGTTGTTTCGCGATGTGGCCCACATCGTCCATGAACAGGGTGGTCAGCTGGATATTATCAGCGAGAATGTCGAGAGAGTCCACCACGATACTCGCGGCGCAAATGTCGAGCTCCGCAGCGCCAGCCGATATCAGAAGAATGCCCGGAATAAGGCTTGCTGCTTGCTTGTCATTCTAGCTGTCATCTTGGCCATTATTATCCTGGCGGCTACCCTGGGGTAAAGTGGGCTGTTGACCAGATCCTATCTACCTTTTCTTCATGTTTCTTGTTGCCGACCACGTTTTCATTTATCTTCCCTGGTGATATCCTCCACTATACAGGTTGTGTATGGTAATGTTTTGAACTATTATGTATACCAACTTGTTTCATGACTTTCATGTGTAACGGGCGTTATGGAGTGAAGGGGGTTCATTCTATTTGCATTGCTTCTTCTTCTTCTTCTTCTTTCTTATCCTTTCTTTTTGCGCCTGATATCATAAATAGCTTGTGTGTTATACAATATTATACATTGCGTAATTTCCCAGATTCATACTCAAACTCCAATTGCTTCTATGTATGCTTCCAAAGGAACGATAGGAAGAGCATGGATAAGGTGCGTCCCTTACAGGCCCGTGAAACGCTTGAATCTCATCATGCAGCCTTCCCAGGAGTTTAATTTCGGTCGTACGTCCAGGTAGAAGCTGAGTTTCCCTGTTCCGGCGTTGGCGGCCAAACCAGTTGCACTCTTGCCTCCAGAAGACTTCCCTTGGTAGAAATCAATCACATACTCAATCCGCTCCCCACCACATCTCTCGACAACCCAATCGTGGCGATCGAAAGGCAGTTGATAGCCCAGTAAGTTATTAAAGCGTGCTCGAGGAGAGAGGAATTCTGATTCAGCACCGAGCCCGCGGAACGAATACAGTTTTGGACCTCCGCACTTCTTGCTTCCCGGATCAGAGCCGGGTGCTTTGCTTTCCCATTCCAGAATCTGTTGCCAAGCGCGCTCATTCACAGCGTTATGAATCGGGATTATCGAGGCTACCGTTGTCGCGAGTTCCGACGGGGAGGATGTAGAGCCGGGGGTGTTCCCTTTGCGCATCAGGGCCTCGAAGAATTGTCGTTCAGACGGATAGATCCAGTTTCCCGAGGTTTTGTCATGACCGGTCTCTGCTTCTGCATTTGATGGAGTACCGTGAGATGCTACAGACGATGAGGATGGTGACGTATGCGCGACGGGGCATTCTGCAGGCGATTTCGAATCACCATCTAAGGCTCGCGGTATACTGCTCACTTCGCGATCTGTGGAGAGCGGTCGCTGTAATTTGGCTTTCGCACTGCTGTCCTCCGAAGACGGAGCATGAGGAGCCTCTCCCGACGTAGGTTTATGCTGTTGCAGCCATGCTTCGCGAGACTTGTGGTCAACTGGGCAGGCTCCGGCCGCCGCCGGGTTGGTTGGAGTGCTCGCGCCCGCCCCCATTGAAAGAAGTTAAAGATGCAAGAAAACGGAAGACAGGAGTAGCAAGTGAATGGAGGAATAATCAACTGTATTATTATCCACGCACCGAATAGATGCTATAGGTAGAGGATGATGCAACGGAAAAGAAGCAAAGAGAGCAACTCAATATTTCTGGCCGGCTCCACCGCCCTCAAGTTTCGGGCGCCGACTTTTGGATGACCGACTAGTTAGTTATTATTTACTTTTCCTTCATCTGCTGCTGCTTTCTTTTCTTCCTTCATTTCCCCCCTCCTTCAAGAAATCCATATTCTCATCTGTTTCCATTCATCATGGCTGCTACGTCTGAGCCCCCGTCTTTCGAGCTTCCACTACTGCTCCTGTTAACATCGCCGTCATTAAGTAAGTCCCTCCACCCCGCTCTCCCCTATTTACAGCTCAGCTGCCTCACCGCGCTTTCCACAATGCATTGGCTCATGATCTGCTGCTATATAGGTACTGGGGTAAACGCGATGCCACCCTGAATCTGCCCACCAACTCTTCTCTATCTGTCACCTTGTCCCAGCGCTCTCTCCGCACCCTCACCACCGCTTCTTGCTCGGCCGCCTACCCCGCCGTTGACGAGCTCACCCTCAATGGCAACCCACAGGACATCCAGTCCTCCAAGCGCACATTGGCATGTCTCGCGAACCTAAGAGCTCTGCGCCAGGAGATCGAGAAGGCAGACTCCTCGCTACCCAAGCTGTCTGCCCTGCCCCTGCGTATTGTGTCCGAGAACAACTTCCCTACCGCCGCTGGTCTCGCTAGCTCCGCTGCCGGGTTTGCTGCCCTCGTCCGTGCCGTGGCTGACCTCTATCAGCTGCCCCAGTCCCCAACAGACTTGAGCCGGATTGCTCGTCAGGGCTCCGGCTCCGCTTGTCGATCCCTGATGGGCGGATACGTCGCCTGGCGCGCCGGGGAACTCGCAGACGGCAGCGACAGTCTGGCGGAGGAAGTTGCCCCCCAGTCTCACTGGCCCGAGATGCGCGCTCTCATCCTCGTAGTCAGCGCGGAAAAGAAGGATGTCCCCAGTACAACTGGAATGCAGACCACTGTTGCGACATCGGAACTCTTCTCTACACGGGCAAACGCCATTGTTCCCGCGCGAATGACTGCTATTGAAACCGCAATTCAAAATCGCGACTTCCCTACCTTTGCAGAAATCACTATGCGTGACTCCAACGGTTTCCACGCTACCTGCTTGGACTCTTGGCCTCCTATCTTCTACATGAACGATGTCTCCCGGGCCGCTGTCCGCCTGGTCCACGATATCAACAACTTGGCTGGTCGAACGGTCTGCGCTTACACGTTCGACGCCGGCCCGAACGCTGTCATTTACTACCTTGAAAAGGATTCGAGCCTTGTTGCGGGCACATTCAAGGCTATCCTGGGTACCGCTCTTGAGGGTTGGTCTGGACCCTTCTATGAGCCTGTGAAGAACATCACCGATTCTGGTGTGCCGTTGGATCAGGTTGACTCCAGGGCTGTAGATGTGCTCAAGAGTGGTCTCAGCCGTGTGATCCTGACTGCTGTTGGTGAGGGACCTGTCAGCGTCCAGTCGCATCTTGTTGGTGAGAAGGGCGAAATTCTCTCTTCCTCTTAAAGAAAGCGAGACGACTAAGAAATGATTTAACGATATTTTAAATAAGTGACATAAATGTGAGGAGGAGGGGGGGGGGGGGGAATATAAGTAATTGCACGTCCCATGCATCATTTGATATGATACATGATATGGCGCTACAGATTTCAGTGTGATCTCTTTTTTTAATTCATGTTATCTTAATTAAATACACAACTCTATATACATCTGAAAGCATTTTCTGAGACTACCGGCGGTTAGTAAAACAGCCCCTTGGCTAGTTACCTACCTACTGGTAGACTTAAGTAGATTGTACTAACTCATAGATAGGTATTAGACAAAACTTTTCGTTTACCCTCTGCCCTAAAAACAAAACAATATAGATATCTATCGACCTAATTCAGCAGCGCCGATTTCTTCATCTCCTTGACCTTGGGCACGTCTTGACCCTGGCCCACTCCAGCAGTCGACATAATACTCTCCCAGAAAACCTTCTGTCCGCCGACAGGCTTAGGAGCTTCAAACCCAGCGCCTACAACAACATCGGGCACCACCTCCTCCATCTTCTGTCCACCACCCTGCTGGCCTTCCTCCTGGCCAGGAGAAGCGCTACTACTACTACTACCACAACCACCGCCACCAAACACCTCCTCCTGACTCTCGGTACACAATTTCAAGACCTCCTGCATTGCCTTCTCGATCGCCGCCGCACGTTCCCGCATCCCGCGTCGAAGCAACGAGTCGACCAGATTCTCCACCTCCCCGATAGTCGCATTGACCTTCTCAATGAGTCGTCGCACGCTATTCACCAAATACTCCTCCTCGTAGACGGTTCCTTTCTTCCCGCTCGCGCGCTTCCGCTCCTCCTTGCGCCGGTTTCTCGAGCTCTGGCGAGACGAGGTCGTTTTGCCGGTTTTCCCGGTATACCGGGTGAACATGCTGCGGCCTGCAAAGGTCGATGCGTCTGTCGGCGCGAGAGAGACGTTGTCGGGTATGTCGATGGCGTTTGCGCCATCGCCGCCAGCTGCTGCCATGGAGGACGGATCGCCGCCGAAGTAAGCGAGCGGGTCGGTGATTCTTCGGACCCGTAGCTCTGCGATTCGGGGTACTTGGGCGGCTAGCTGGGCTCGGAAATCGGCGAGGAGGTCCGTCATGGAGCCCATGGCGTCGGCGAGCCCCGTGTCGACTATCTCCGGGATGAGGGGCTGTTTGCCGTGCAGGGCGAGGAGGCGCGTGGCGTCGGCGAAGCGAGAGCCGCGGCAGAGCAGCCGGGCGGCCGTGGGGATGTCGTGGAGGTGTTCGGCGTGGATTTGGGACGCCGAGGTGTAGTCGCGGCTTTCGTCGATGAGGGTTGTGGCTAGCGTGGACGCGTGGGTGGTGAGTTCGGCCGCGGAGAGCGGGACCATGGTTGCGCAGTAGAGGGATTCACGCCAGAGGTGGGCGAGGTGGTAGCATTTATAGGCATCTGCGTAGAGGGATAGAGACTCGAATGCTGTGGTAGAAGAGTGTTAGTGCTAGTTTTGGTGTTGGGGCCTGGGAGGGGGGAGAGCGTGTCTCTCTCTCTCTCTCTCTCTCTCTCTCTCTCTCTCTCTGTGTGTGTGTGTGTGTGTGTGTGTGTGTGGGGAAAGGGGGGACAGGGGCGTACCAATGCCTGCTTCCTTGTGCTTGGATTCATCGCGCAGGTAGTTTGCGTAGAGGTGGGTGGTATCACGCAGTTGCTCGGGCTGGTATTTGTAAATGTCAATGGCATCCTTGTACAGTACGTGCTTGGTTGCGTATTCCCGGAGCTCGTCGTGGGCATTCAGTGCATGGAGATGTTTGAGGGCCTTGTTCCATCGTCCGAGGTAGTTGTCAATCTCGAAGTATCGTCGGAGTTCAGGTAGTTGCTGGAGTTTTCGCAGGAATGGAAGGTATTCACGGGGGTCCTGGACCTTGTTAGAATGTCTCTTGATTGGTCCTGGTGAAAAGGAAAGGGTTTCTTTACCCTTTGGACTTGTTGCGCAACCAGCAAAGTCAACTCAAGATCGTAAAGACCCAGAGCTGTATCGTACAGGCGGTGGGCGTCTGTCAAAAAGCATATGTGCTCGACAGCGTCCTCTGCTTGCTCAGAGCTCTCGTCTGTTTCCAAGTAAGCAAATGAACGGGAACGACATTCATCGCTATTTGCTTACCTCTCAGTCGGGCAACCAGTTGAAGACCTGACTCAAGGTCTGGAGGTGACTTGCAAACATGTGCAGTGATCAGGTTATGCATATTGGTGTCTGATCGTTTCTCTAGAGCCGCCAAAAAGCCATCGCAGATCCGATTGACCTTGCTTCCTTTCTTAGCCGACTTGATGATGGGGATTGCGAGACCATTCTGTCCGGTAACATCTGATTTTCTCGTGGGTAGTGTATCCTTATAGAGCGTCTGTGAAACGTCTTCCTCCCTATAAAGTGTAAGTAAGGAAAGATATTATTATAACAGGCATATGAACCAAGAACGTACTTCAAGCGAGAGAGGAACTCGTCAATTAAATCAATCCTCTTAACCTGGTCGACGAACAACAGAATGCATTCCATGAATTGATCTGGAGCATAGTCATGGATGAGGTTCATGTCAACCATCTGACTGCGGCAGGTGAGGAACGCAGATCGGTAGTCCTTCCGGTCAATAAAAGACCGAATACCAGCTAGCACAAGCGCCCTAGGATAAATAGTTTCGATATTTCCCCTAGGGGCCTGTAGAACAACCGAAAATGTAGAAGGCATCACGGTCACAAGGCGATTTCCACGTTCAATGGCTCTGCAACGTTCGTCTGTTTCAGGGGTATCTGGGGGGACTTCCATATCTTGAATATCTAGTTTAGCAAGGAAATACACAAGAGCTGATTGGCGCAGTGTCACTAACCTTCAGCACGAGTCAAGTGAACGAATTTCAGGAGATGAAGTGAGGTGGTAAATAGAACATGAGACTCCGTCACAAGGAAAGACGTGCAGTTCTTTGCGAGTAATGTCTTGTTCGCATACAAAGCGCCAGTCCTTGAAAGGGATATCAAAACATTCTAACAAATTTGTTTTAGCAGAGTTGAAATACGGGTACAAGTTGTGGGGGTCTCACCTCAGTCTCGGAGATCTGAGCCGCCTTAGCCCAATAAGTGTCAACACTAGGGCTTTGATCCCAAGGCATAACCTGGAAGTCATCGGGGGAGAGTTTTGCAATTGCGGAGTATGTAATTGTTTGTGCGGGTTGGCCGACATGTGAAAACCATAGTGCTTCGTGTCCAAGACTTGCGAAGATCGAAACGATTTGCTCAGTATCAGCTGCGACATAAGCAACCTTGGTCTCCCGGGTCTCCAGAGCGGTATGTTCAATAACAGTGTTGCTTGGCCCATTGCTCTTAAGAATGTAGACCTCGTTATCGTTGAGGAAGGCAATTTGACGGGGACGACTATCCCGCGCATCAGAAAGCGGATAACTGGACTCTAGAATCGGCATCGGAACCGGCCGAGTTTTGAGGGACCAAAGATAAATGGAGAAATGATCCTTCATGAGGACAGCAATTCTCGTTCCGGTCTTGCTAAATGCAACATCGATTGCATTTGAATCTAAAGCCAGCTCGTTATGAGCCATTGGTGGTGGCACCCCAGACAACCGCAACGGCGTCAACTTTAGGTTTTCTTTCCTAGGGTTAGAAATTGATTCCACGACAAAGAAAGGGAGACGAGGAAGGTTAATAGGTCAACTCACTTCCATCAAGAACAGCAACGGCTCCAACATCTTTAGGGCCGGTAGTTGAGCCGTGGGATACGTCGAAGACGAAATCCCCATCCAAAATTGACTCTGTATACACCATCAGCCCGTAAACAAAGATAATTCGGAATAAATTCACAAACCAGATGCTCCTGCCACAAAACTCAAAGTCCTTTCCGGGTGCCATTTGAAGGAGAATGGATGAGGGTACTCTGGCGCGGTAACCACAGAAATTTCCTGTTTCAGGTAGTAGTGGTAGTTGCCCATGGTCCAGAACTGAACCCTCTCCTGGAATTGTACAGCAAGCACTGTTGAATCGACGTTCCAGCTCAAGGATATGTTAGAGGCGAATGTAGGCCGCTCTTCTTCGGTAAGACGGAGCGTGAACTCGCCATGGCGCAAGCCGTTTCTTTCAAAGAAAACAACGTTGATCCTGTCATCGAGCCTCTGAATACCAGCAATCAGATTGCCGGAGGGTCTCCAGCTGAGAGCTCCCTCTAAGCCATCAACAGGCTCGCTCACGCTGTCCAAGGTTCCTTCGCGAGAATAAACCCTGATAGCACGGCGAACGCCTCCCTCAATGCTATTCACCGCAACGTAGGCGCCGTCTCCCCGCCAGGTGATGGTGGTCCTTCCATCATCATAGCTACTGAGCTTACCCTCATCCACCTTCTCTGGGACAGTAGGGTCGCGAAGCGCTTTGGCTCTCTTTCCCTGGAATTGGGTTTCGCGCTTTCCCCAACCAACGGATACATGCTGGGATGCCTGGAGATCACCTGGAGTAAAAGTGATTTCTGCAACATTCTCAAACTCCCTGGTCATATATAGGAAAGTGTTGGCTGTGGTGGTAAGGGCCAAAAGCTCCTCATCTGGGGACCACGCTGCCGCAGTAATCCCAACGTCGACAGAGCCCACAATCTCGATCTTGTCCTCGCCAGGAAGGGGTTCTTCACGGACGATGACAATATCCCCCCCTTCCAAGACCAAGCAGGCAGTCAAATTATCTGCAAAGTAATGCAGAGAGAGGACGCGATCACAGGGCAAGTCTGGGAGGGGGCATGGCGCATCCCAAGACGCGATACATTCGAATGTCTCTGGACTAACGGGATCGGAAAAGTATGCATCATGGGGCTTTCTCCGGAGCTCGAGAACTGGGTTGGTCGCTGTGGGACCAAATGTGCAAATAATAGCATCGGAAGCTGTATCCCAAGCAGCTGCAGTGAGAGGAAGCCCATTCTGAAGCTGCACCTCGGCGAGGCGCACGTTTTTCAAGTTACGCATCTTTTCTGAATCCCTGTGGTTTACCCCACCGCCATGAATCGACAAAACTTGGGCGCAGGGAGAGTGAACAAGACAGAGGAGGGGGAAGTAGAGGGTTAGAAGATGAAATTAATTTCCATTAGAGGCACAAGCATGAGTAGAATAAGTTATCTATAGCTTGTTTGCTCCGGTGGTGTTCCTGCGGAGATGCAGATGCATTCAATATCAGATGTCAATCCAAAGATTTGATTTTAATTTTCCCAGACAAAAACTCAGCCAATGACTTCATCCATATTCTAATGTGCCTCACCACACAACACGCTTGTTTACAACGCTCTCTCTACAGTCACAACTACAGTAGTTTTCTGAACTAGCAATAAAGTGAAAAGTAACAGGCTCCAAATCAGAATTCAATAAATTCTCTAAATTTATACATGATAACCGAATTCCCCCATCGTACGTGACACTTTTCGACCATCTCCAGAAGCTCAGGGATGCGGCGGACGAGGGTTTAACGGGACTTGTAGGTTTGCCAGACTAGAGGAAAGAACACTGTTAGGCCAACGGACGGGACTTTCATCAGGATAATTGAGGACATACCAGCAATGGCGAAGGGAGCACCGAACCCGGTGACTACAGAGTGAGTACCAAGTCAGCATTCGGGCCTATTCCACATCAATCAATTGGGAGTAACTCACTCATGAAAGCCCAGTACCTGAAGAAGAAGAACTTGGTCAGAGGGTTGAAGGGGAGGTTGGAGCGAGGACCCTCGGCGTAGTGGTAAGGGCTAGCGAGCTGGGAGCGGGTGGTGGAAAAGCCACGGCGGGCGACGAAGGAGGTGGCCATTCTGGCGCGGAGAGCAGTAGCAGCGTTCATCTTGAGTAGAGTCAGAGATAAGTTGAAGCTAAACAGCGAAATCACCCACCTTGAGCGAAGCAGTAGCGAGCGCGATGATCGAGACAGAGAGTGCTTGCTGATCGTGCCATCCGGGAAGAGCAGGACGAGATGGAGCCGGCGGCTGCCCGGCTTGGGCACGTGACCATACACCCAAACGGCAAGTTTCTCCGGCGGTCAGGCGCTTGGGGCCGAGATTATCCAATCACTGTGCGCCTTCCCTAATTAGGACATTGAAATTTCTCGATTACTTCCTCGGTGCGACTTGCGAAAAGAAAGAAGTGTTCCAACCATCGAGGCTGCTATCCGGTCGACAATGGATGAGCTTTTCGACGTTTTTGAGGACCAGCCTCAGGCTGTCACGTCCTCCGAGATTCCACGCACACGGCCGAAGAAGGACAAGAGCAAGAAGCGCCAGGTCAACGGTGATGTGAAGGGAAATGGTGAGGTCTCAGAGGCGAAGGAGGATGTTGTTGTTTCCGACATTCCCGATCAAGATATGGTAGATGCGGAGGGGGAGGAGAAGAAGGAGGAGGAGGGAGAAGCTTCAGGCTCAGACGCCAACAACCAGCCGGAGGCGAAGCGACCGCGACTCGAGAAGGAACCGGAGCCCGTTGTTGCAGACTTGTTTGAGACCGCGCAGGAGCGTGAGATCGCAGGATCGGCAGGTCTTCAGGCTGTCAAAGAAGCAGGCCCAGTGGTGTTGTCTCACCAGGTTCGACACCAGGTCGCCATTCCTCCGAATTATCCATACGTGCCCATCTCCGAACACAAGCCCCCCGAGAACCCCGCGAGAGTGTGGCCGTTTACGCTCGATCCCTTCCAGCAAGTCTCAGTCGCATCTATTCAACGAGAAGAAAGTGTTCTGGTGTCCGCCCATACGAGTGCAGGAAAGACTGTGGTTGCCGAGTATGCTATTGCGCAAAGTCTGAAAAATAACCAGAGAGTCATCTACACCAGTCCCATCAAGGCGCTGAGCAACCAGAAGTACCGAGAATTCGCTGCCGAGTTTGGCGACGTTGGTCTAATGACTGGAGATGTGACAATCAACCCGACTGCTACTTGCCTGGTGATGACAACAGAGGTAAGCCTACCTTGGGCCTTTTGCGCTGACATTCACAAGCTAAATTTTATTCCTTTCTATCAAGATTTTGAGATCTATGTTGTACCGTGGCTCCGAGATTATGCGCGAAGTCGCGTGGGTTGTTTTTGATGAGATTCATTACATGCGAGATGCCAGTGAGTTTTTCCAAGACAAATTTTTGATTTGCTTGCGCCCTTAATAACCCACCGATATAGCCCGAGGTGTCGTTTGGGAAGAGACCATTATTCTACTGCCTGACAAGGTTCGATACGTATTCTTGTCTGCGACAATTCCCAACGCCATGCAGTTCGCCGAGTGGATTGTGAAGATGCACAACCAGCCCTGCCACGTTGTCTACACTGACTTCCGACCTACACCATTACAGCATTATTTCTTCCCTGCTGGCTCTGAGGGAATGCATTTGGTTGTTGATGAGAAGGGCAATTTCCGTGAGGAGAACTTCCAAAAGGCCATGAGCTCCATCGCAGACAAGAAGGGCGACGACCCTGCGGACGCACTCGCCAAGAGGAAAGGGAGGGGCAAGGATAAGAAGCTTAATAAAGGTGGATCGAAGGGCCCCAGTGATATCTATAAGATTGTCAAAATGATCATGCTCAAGAACCTGAATCCTGTGATTGTCTTCAGTTTCAGCAAGCGTGAATGCGAGTCATGTGCGTTGCAAATGAGCACCTTGGCCTTCAACGATGATTCAGAAAAGGAGATGGTGTCCAAGGTGTTCAACAGCGCGATCGAGATGTTATCGGAAGAAGACAGAAACTTGCCTCAAATTCAGAACATCCTGCCGCTTCTCCGAAGAGGTATTGGTGTTCACCACTCCGGGCTTCTTCCTATTCTGAAGGAGACCATTGAGATTCTATTCCAAGAAGGTCTCATCAAAGTTCTTTTCGCAACCGAAACGTTCTCCATCGGTCTTAACATGCCTGCGAAGACGGTTGTCTTCACCAGTGTACGAAAATTCGATGGCTTCAGCCAGCGCTGGGTCACCCCATCGGAGTTTGTGCAAATGTCAGGCCGTGCTGGTCGAAGAGGTCTGGATGACCGAGGTATTGTTATCATGATGGTAGGCGAGGAAATGGATCCTGCGGTAGCCAAGGAGATTGTTCGTGGTGAGCAGGACCGACTGAATTCGGCGTTCCATCTGGGCTACAACATGATTCTAAATCTCATGCGTGTCGAGGGCATCTCGCCCGAATTTATGCTGGAGAGATGCTTTTATCAATTCCAGAATGTGGCCGGTGTAGCCGGTCTTGAGAAAGGTCAGTCCGCAGTATTTTGCATCCTAAGACGGATGGAGGAGCTTGCTAACAGAACCCTAGAACTTGTCGAATTGGAAGATACGAGGGCCAATATGTCTATCGCAGATGAGGGAACCATCCGCGAATACTACGATCTGAGGAAACAGCTGAACCAGTTCAGTGATGATGTCCAGGCGGTCATTAGCCACCCCGATTACTGCATATCGTTCCTTGTGCCGGGACGTCTGCTTCATATTAAGCACAAGGATCACGATTTCGGCTGGGGAGTAGTGGTGAACTGCAAGAAACGCAAGCCTTCGAGAAACCCGGCGGAGCAGTTTACTGACCATCAATCATGGATTGTCGATGTCCTCCTGAAAGTTGCGGACAGCGGAGCCTCCATCGGCACCAAGACGTTTGAAGATTTGCCATCGGGTGTCCGCCCACCAAAAGAGGGTGAAGCATTCCGGATGGAGGTTGTTCCGGTTGTGCTCAGTTGCATTCAATCCATCGCACATCTGCGAATCTTCCTTCCGAAAGATGTGCAGTCTGCAGATTCACGAAATGGAGTGAGGAAAGCCCTTGATGAAGTCAAGAAGCGGTTCCCGGATGGCATTGCCGTGCTTGATCCGATCGAGAACATGGGCATCAAGGACGATAGCTTCAAGAAACTGCTCAGGGTAAGACAACCATCTCTATCCAAAGTGGAGGAGAAGCCCCCAGTGCTAATCTACATTACAGAAAATCGAGGTGCTCGAATCCCGCCTTCTCTCCAACCCATTACACAACTCTCCCAGGCTACAAGAGTTGTACGACCAGTATTCCGAGAAGGTGGAGCTGGGCAATAAGATCAAAGCCACCAAGAAGAAGATCTCCGAGGGCATGTCGATCATGCAATTAGACGAGCTCAAATGTCGTAAACGAGTGCTCCGTCGCTTTGGGTTTATCAATGAGGCCGAAGTTGTCCAGTTAAAGGCCCGCGTGGCGTGTGAAATCAGCACTGGCGACGAGTTGATGCTCAGCGAACTTCTGTTCAACGGCTTCTTCAACAAGCTGACCCCCGAGCAAGCGGCTTCCGTATTGAGCGTCTTCGTATTCGAAGAAAAGACCAAGGAAACCCCGGCGCTCACCAGAGACGAGCTTGCGAAACCCCTCAAAGAGATCCAAGCGCAAGCGCGGATTGTTGCCAAAGTCGCGCAGGAGTCCAAGTTAGCTGTCAACGAGGAGGAATACGTGCAGAGTTTCCACTGGGAATTAATGGAGGTTATTTACGAATGGGCTAATGGCAAATCCTTTGCCGATATTTGGTAAGATCGTCGCGCACTGCAGTTTTTTTTTAAAAAAGGGGGGGGAAGGGAATTACTAACCGTCTGGTCGTGCAGTAAAATGACCGAAGTCTACGAAGGCAGTTTGATTCGAGTCTTCCGCCGATTAGAAGAATGTCTACGACAAATGGCTCAGGCAGCCAAGGTCATGGGCAGCGAAGAACTCGAAAGTAAATTCGAGACGGCATTGACCAAGGTGCGCAGAGATATTGTTGCCGCTCAGTCCCTGTATCTGTAAAGAAAGACTTCGTATGATACGGAGGATTGTCATCGATTGTCGATAATTCGAGACATGCATTTCGCAGGGTGCGTGGCCGGCAGAGGTGGGAACTTGGTTGTCTTGGAGATTGCATTTCCCTGGCGTCGGGCTAAAGAAGGGTTCCGCCATTCATTTGTCATTGTTCTTGTCAGTACTTTAGTATGTTGGTTGAGGTGAGGTGAGTATGTATCCTGAGAGAGAGAGAGAGAGAGAGAGAGAGAGAGATGCTATGGATGTACCTCCCTAGGTCCTATATAAGGCAAAAAAGGGGCAAATCATTCCCCCCCAAAAAGACAATGAATGAACAGAAAATGACAGAAAAGGTACAGATATTCTTTTATCAATTTTCAATACTGTAATAATTAACCCGAGTTTTCTTTGTCGAGAGAGAGAGAGAGAGAGAGGGTAGACATAAACGTTGCCTCCCGCAACAACTCAACTTTCCTCTTTCTTCGCTCCACCGCTTTTCTTCTTCTTCTTTTTTCCCCACCACTCAAGTAATTCCTCTCTCTCTCTCTCTCTCTTACTTACTCTTCACGTACTCTCCCTCTCTCTCTCTCTCTTTTCTTCTCTCTTCTGATCCCATCCGACCTTTAATCATTCCCCTGCATCCCTTTTCTTTTCTTTTTTCCTGTTTCCCCTGTCTTTCCTTTCCTTGCATTTCCCGTCCTCCTTCCTCGTGCTCCTATCTGTCTCTCTCTCTCTCTCTCATCACCCTTTGACTTCTTCTTCTTCTTCTTCTTCTTCTTCTTCCACCTACTCTCTCCCCTATCAGCCAGCTACAAACAAGGCGCCTCCTCTCTCTTCCTCACCTGACCAGCCCGCCAACTGTTTGTGGCCATCATGAACAGCTTGGTGGCTACACCTCCTGTGCCTCCTCATTTTTACGAATATTCTCGTCTTTCTCCTTCTCGCCCAAGTATGATTAATCCCCCCCCCCCCCCCTTGTCTGACCGGCTTTCGTGCCCGATCTTGGTCGTCAAAATTAAGTTTGGCTTGGACTGACTGAACATTCCAGTGTCTACCCCAACTCACACTCCCACCAGCAGCCGCAAACGGAAAGCAGACGATGACTCCCACGACCACGATGGCCGTATGTCGGCATCTCCAACAAACTCCCCGGCCTTTACCCCCAGATCACTCCCTCCATCTCGAACTTTCAAACGGGCTCGCCCCCATGTTGGCGGGCGACCACTCTCCCTCCCTCGTCTGCTAGAGACCCTGGACACCGAAACTCTTCGAGGGATTCTCAGATCCGTGTGTGATCGCCATCCTACTCTGGCTGAAGAGGTGGTTCAAACTGCTCCTCGTCCGAGTGTTGCAGCCGCCCTCCAGGTGCTTCGAAATTACCAGTCCGCGCTCCAGTCCTCCTTTCCCTTGGGTGGCAATCCTGAGTCCGACTATGCATATAATCGAGTTCGACAGGCTCTAGGCAACCTTCTGGATGCCTTGAGTGACTTCACCCCTCATTTCTTGCCCCCAAACGAAGCCCAGGCTTCGACGTCTTTGAGTTATCTTGATGGTGCCACAGAAATAATTCACTCGTTGCCCCGATGGAGCACCCCCCAGAATAATATAGAGCGGGACTCTGCATATGACGAAATCTGCAAGGCGTGGATTCTGGTGATCCGGGAGGCAGCCAAGCGGGGTGGTGGGATTCAGCTACAGTATGGAGGCTGGGACCAGAAGCTGGCAAAACACAACCAAAACTCCGGTGGGAAACTGCAGGCAGCCGTCAACGACCTTGCGTCCAGCTTAGGATGGATGCACGGACCTGATGCCCAAGGTTTTGGAAGCCCAGGAGGCAACGACCTTGGATCTATACGGGAGCAACTTCTTTCTGGCACATACGGACTTGGAACCCCGGTCAAAGTAGGACCGTGGTAAACAACCTTTCTTTCGGAGGCCGACCCCACCCCCTCTCATCTTCGCTGCCATCTGAGCGACACTTTTTTATCTCCGCCTTTGAAAAATCCCTATTGTTGTCCAAATCCTTAACCGTGCATGTCCACCCACGATACGATCACGATACCAACTGCATGAACTAGAGACTTAAGGGTCAGCTTGGCGTTTACTGTATGCAACCAGATTATTTTCCCTTTTCTTTTTCTTCATTCCTTCTCTTTTTTTTTTTTTTTTTTTTTTTTTTCCTCCCCTTTTTGTTTCATAATTCTGGAATCCAGGCCATCATCACCATCCATCATTATTTAGATTGCCCAGCAATGATCTAGGTGTTTTGAAACATTTTCTCTTCTGCCTGTTTAACTTGCATCATATTGAATGCGTTGGCACTGTTAGGAATTGCCCTTTTCATTCTTTTTATTTTCCTTGGGTTGTTTTTTTTTTTTTTTTACTTTGTTTTCTTTTTGAGTCGTTCCCAAAGGCCTGAGAATCTACTGTTAGGTTTACCGTTAGCACTCTTCCTGTATCCCTCTTATATACCCTTAACCATATTCCCCGAATTTCACTGGCGCATGATGTTCGCCGTTTTAACATTGGAGGATCTCTCTCTATATTCAAGCCATGTCCACTCCCGGGTCGGGATCCGTGTCAGTTAAGATAAAGCAACGCAGCCATTTGATCCACGTCGACAATGGTGGAAGTTTTTGTTCGAACATGAGACAATCGAGGCAGTAGAAAGATGTAGCGTAGAAGTGCCAGGTACGTGCAGTGTCTGAGATGAATATCTTCGATATTCTAAAGATATTCATTGGATAGCAGCATATCCTCAGACAGCAAAGGCCATCTCTTGTCAGGTATTAGTAACTGATCTGTTCTTTTTAAAGAAGTAAATAACCCAGTGTATATAGACCTATATTATAGGTACATATATATATATATATATATATATATATATCTCTCTTGAATAGATCCCAAAAGAGCTACAGAAAGCACATGAGGTAGGTAGTATATAATAAAATACTTACTTACTCCCCAGTAATGACATTAATTCACACTGAAAGAGGCACTCTTTGTAGATGTGGAAATTCTGTCATTTTATCATGGGAAGACAAGACACACACACACACACACACACACACACACACATATATATATATATATATATATATATACACACACAGAGAGAGAGAAATAGAGAAAAAGAAGTAAAGTGGATTCTACCAGATTCATTACATCCATGCTCTTTTCATCGCGCGGAATAGCCATCCTGCGTCTTCCCATCCTCCACGTTCTCCGGCTTTCTCGCTGGATAGTGGGAGGATCTCGGAATTGGTATCTGGCATGCTGCTGTTGTCTTGCGCGTCGGGTGCTCCAGGGACTGATGATGGTGTTGTTGATTCGATGGACTGCGTTGTTGTTGCTGTGGTTGATGTGGTTGATGTGGTTAGTGCTGGTGGTGGTGCCGTCGTCGCAGATAATGGCCACTCATCAACACCGAATAACGTCCACTCTACCATTCTATCAACCCAGCTTCCCAGTCCGAACCCCCGCTCTCGAGTTAACCGCTGCAACTCGTGTTCGTCCATCTCGTCTTCCTCGTCCACTTCGGAGTCCCAGTATTCGTTTGATCCCGAGGAATCATCCTCCTCTTCCTGCTGCTGCTGCTGCTGCTGTTCCTGCCGGACAGTCCGCATCTCAGCGCGGACTTGCTCGTCCACGAAATCTGGACCGAGGGACGACGAGTCTACTTCGTCGTCGTCGTCGTCGTCGTCGTCGTCGTCTTCTGTCGAGGCCCGGAGCCCGCCAACCCCAACGTTGGGAACTGCGGTCGGCGTGGGCGCGGTCATTTCCAAGCTCGTCATCGCGAGATCTGGCCGGCTGGTTTGCCGACTGCTCGGACGGGATCGTGATGCGCGCCGCGACCCCGTTGCGGCTGGAGTTGACCGTCCGGATCTCGACCGTCGACTGTTACCGCCACTACCATTGTTCCCCTCCGAGACCAGACTGGTCGAGCTCTCGCGTTTCACAAGCCAGCTTTGGCCTTTTTCTTCGCGGGCGGAAGACGCCAGTGCGATCCCGGCGCGGAGCATCCATTCCGAGTCGCGGACGTGGTTATTGCTGTGGTTGTTGTTGTTGCGGTGGCGGGTGTGGCGGGGGTCGGATGTATGTTGGCGTAGAGAAGCCGGGCGGTTCGATTTGGCACCATTGCCCTGGCTGTCGGCGTGGTGATGAAGCGGTTGGTTGGCGTCTTGTGCCTGGAGGTTGGGGTCGCTTAGATGCGTAGTCGCCGGTGTTGTTGAGCTCTGACTCCGGTTGGGGTGTCGGACGCGGGAGCCACTGCGGGAGTGAGAATGAGACAGGACGCCTGGGGTCCCCGGGACAGAGTAGCTGGATAGATACGAGGTCCTGGGTGGGGTGTCGACGACAGGCTCGTTTCGCGGCGAGAAGTAATCCTGGGGTTCTGCTCCGCCATCGTCGTCACCATCGCCGTCATCGTCAATTGGGAAGCGCGGCGTGAGTGGAGCGAGCGAAACTTGGTGCAGCGATGGGTATGAGCGGCGCGATCTGAATCCGCTTTGGGATAGGGAGGAGGTGGACGAGGACTAGAGTTATAGTTAGTCTACTTAGCAAGAGGTGGGTTCTGTTGCTGGGGATGCGGGAGACTTACATGCATTCGGGGCGAGAGTATACTCGACTCAATAGTTGAGAAGCTGGGGAGAAACGGGAGACGAGGGAATATCGGAAGTTGTTGTCGTTGTCGTTGTACGGAGGAGGGAGAGAGCAGGTCTGGATGGATGATGACTTGCGCCCGTGCGTTTTGGCATGTGAAAAAAAAAACGGATAACTCTCTGTCGAAGTCGGCTTCCAGGGAGGTAGTTTTATATAGCCTCGGTTTAGATTTACGATACAGGGATGCTTTACGGGACATGTTGTTTTGCTCATACTGACTTTTTCTCGCAAGTACAGATTCATTCAATTTTCCCCTGGTTGACAACAAATCCCTCCAAAGCAGAGATGGCTGCCCACAGTCGGTTCTCGGCCTCGGGGAAGACCAGCGAGCGGGGGCTATAGAAAACCTCGTCGCTGACTTCCTCGGGGTGTCGTGGTAGGCAGTGCATAAACTTCCAGCCTTCCCTTGCGCCTCCTCGCTTCGCAAGGTCGGGGGTGATCTGGAAGCCCGCAAAGTCGCGCAGTCTCCTCGCCGACTCCTCTTCCTGTCCCATGGACACCCAGGTGTCTGTGACCAGGACGTCGGCATCCTTGACGGCTTCCTCGGGAACATTGGTTTGCAGAAGCTTACCAGGGCGGGCAACGCCCTTTCCAGCAGACTGGATGAGCTCCTGCATGTCTGCAGGAATCTCATAGCCCTTGGGCGTGGCAACAGCGACATCAACGCCCATCTTGGTCGCGGCAATCGCCATATCAAACAGAACATTGTTAGCGTCACCTACCCAAGCGATCTTCAGACCCTCCAGCCCCAGACTGGAGAGGTGATGGGCCTTGGGTGTAAATGTCTCGTAGATGGTCTGGAAATCGGCAATGGCCTGGAGAGGGTGGAAGGAGTTGCACAGAGCATTGATGACTGGCACCGACGAATGCTTCGCCAGGTCCGCGACTTCGGCGTGTTGGCCAACACGGGCGACAATGCAAGAAACCATGGACGAGATGACCACCGACGTATCGTAGAGAGACTCATTGACCCCTAATTGAATATCATCCTTGCCCAGAAACATCGGATGACCCCCCATCTGCACTACGGCTCCTTCTGTAGAGACCCTGGTCCGGGTGCTTCGCTTGCTAAAAATCATCGCGACCGTCTTTCCCGTCAACGAACCAAGCAGGGTTTGCGGAATTGACCCGGACTTGATGGATCGCTTGTGTAAAGACGCATTGCGAACAAGAGTTGCAAATTCGGTAGGCGTCAGGTCGGCAATGGAGAGGAAATGGCGGGGAGTCTGGGAAGAATATCGTCGCACAGTATTGAAGCTTTGAGTCCTCAATGAGGAACGGATGGAGGCCATGGGAAGACCAGAAGGCATGATGAAGAGAAGGGAGAGAATTGATCAGAGATAGAGAAAAGAATATTATAAACAAATTGTAAGTGACTCAATTGACTCTTTTCAAGTCATTTCAATAAAAATACCGCCTCACTCTAGTAGCCAATTATGTACGGGTAAGAAATACTAACGGTCTCTCATCATCGTCATCTTCATCTTCATCATCATCATCTTCTTCTTCTTCTTCTTCTCTCCCTCTACATCGTCAACTATCATTTAATCATCTTCTTCCATCCCGTATGTATCGTTATATATAAATGCTGTCGTCAACCCTCTCTCTCTCTGGCCCTGTCTGCCAACTCCGCCTTGAATAGTTTCACTTTCACTATGGCTGACGAGGCGAGTCGGCCGCTCTTGACCGACCATCATGACGATTCCTCGCCTCATCAAAATGTATCTACTCGCAGAGAGCTATCACCTTCCCTAGAGCGACCGCACCACCCATCTTTTGAAATTTCCTCCGAGTCCACTCCTCTCCTCCACTGTCGTAACGATGAGTTGTCGACTTATGGCGGCACGGAGTCCCACCGACCTTCGTCATCGGCATCCGACGCTTCTGCTCCCGCTAATGGCCTGAAGAAATCGCGAAGCAGAATCGGATGGACTTTGTTTTGTATCCTGCTTGCTCTCAGCTCCATCATCACAATCCTTATTCTTGCTTTCTTCGTCCCTACAGTAGTCAAGCTATATGTGAAGGAAGCGACCGTATTCAAACCAACGAATCTCTCAATCGAGTCCACCACAAGTAAAGGTATCCGAACCCGAGTACAGGGGGACGTCGTTCTCGATGCGAATCGCATTAAAAGCGGATCAGTACGAAATCTCGGGCGCTTTGCCACCTGGATTGGAAAGGAGGTTGAAACTGGAGATTCCGAAGTCGAGGTATATCTCCCGCAGTATGGGAATATCCTAGTGGGCACTGCTTCTCTCCCATCGATCAAGCTCGGTATCCGAAACGGCCACGTGAACCATCTTGACTTTGAGGCTGAGCTGGTAGCTGGAAACACGAATGGCCTTCGCTCCATGGCTCTGGACTGGCTGGAAGGAAGACTGGAGCACCTCAGTGTCCTCGGAAGAGCCACTATGCATCTTAAATCAGGTTTGCTGAACCTGGGAGAGCAGACTTTGACCGACTCTGTAATTTTGCAGGGTAGGTTTTGAAACCCCCCTCCCCCCCCCCCCCCCCTTTTTTTTTTTTAATTCATTCCTGGATGCTCATAACATTTTAGGAGACGATTTCCCTCCGTTACCGGATGTCGCAATCACGAAGTTCTTAGTGCATGATCTAGATACACCTGAATCCCATGGAGCGATTGCGGTTGATGGCTCGGTTTCTGCGCGGATTGACTGTCCACTTGCTCTGCACATCCCACCTCTCGGCTTTGAGGTGCTTGTGGGGAATTGTGCACCAGATGACCCTTATATTTCGGTGGCAGATGTGGTCACAAAAGGGTTCACAGTCAATCCCGGCCAGGCCACTGTGGTTGACATATCTGGTATCATCCGAGGGTTGTCGGATCAACTCACCACGGCCTGCCCCGGGGAAAAGAGATCGCCCCTAGACTCTCTTCTAAGGAATTATATCGATGGTCTTCAGACCACGGTATATATTCGTGGTGCGGATACCCCATATCCAAACACCCCCCAGTGGATAGTCGATATCCTAAAAAGCGTGACTGTGCCGTTGCCTTTTACCGGGAAAGCTTTGGATGACCTAGTGAAGAATTTCACCATGACAGACGTTCACTTCTCTCTACCTAACCCTCTGGCAGAACCCGATTCTCCAGAATCCAGTATCACTGTGTCTGCGCTGGTGAAGGTGTTGATTGCAATGCCAGAACATATGGACTTCCACGTCGATGTCCCCCAGGTTCGTGCCACTGCAGATGTTTACTATCGCGAAAGTAAGCTTGGTGTTCTGGATCTACACCGGTGGCAGCCTGCCAATTCGACCTTTATTGAAGATGTCGGTGATAATTCGACGGCTTTATTGGTGGAATTTTCCGTCCAAGACGCACCGCTCGAAGTGGCGGACGATGACGTCTTGACCGACGTACTCCAGACTTTGATTTTCGAGGGCAACCCGGTCAAACTCACTGTTTCTGCGAATGTGGATGCCGAGGTTTCTACAGGTCTTGGGGAATTTGCCGTTCGTGGAATCCCAGCAGACGGCGCATTAACTGTGCAGCGTAAGCCACATCAAGTCTATACTATAAAGCATCTACTGACTATGACATAGCACCGTATGGCGGCGACTCGCTTCTTGAAGAATTAGCGCTGCATGTAGCGTCTCTTGAGCTGGGAGCTACAACCGAATCCTCCCTCCTCGTGAAGACAACGGTCAACTTCACGAATCCTACCCAGTACTCTGCATCAGTACCTTTGGTTGATTTTGAGCTGCTCTATAATGACACCAAGGTGGCTCATCTAACCGCTAAAGATGCTACCATCAAGCCAGGAAACAATACCGGTCTCTCTGTTGACCTCCTATGGAGCCCACTTGATTTAGATGGGCCCGCTGCCGTCCTTGCTGGCCAAGATTTGCTATCACAATATGTCTCAGGTAAGTTTTGGTATTTGCTTGAGATGAGGCATGTTGAGTCTAATAATGCCCGCAGGGTTCAACACTTCAGTGATGATTACGACACACAAAGGAACCATCCCAGCACTACCAAAGCTTGGACAGGCACTATCTAGGCTGGGGTTCGAAGTACAGATCCCGAAGCTGCCTGTCCGTCGAGCCCCTGGCGACGACCCCGATGAACCTGATCATGACGATGGGCAGACCAGATTCATACAAGATGCTACGGTATTATCTGCCTTCTTGGACACCGTCTCTCGCTCTGGCCATCCTATTTAATACCCTGTACACCATGCGCAATATATAATAAACCTCTGTCCAAGGCACATACCTCCGATTATAGAAGAAAACTAACTTCCGAGTGCTGCTAGCTGCACCTCTGGTCATCGACTGCCGATTTCACGTTGTCGTCGCCTTTCACTAACACCACCCTTGAAATCACCTCGATAGAGGCGCAGGCGTTTTACGAGCATGACCAGGAGGTCGGTACCATCAACTACTATGAACCGTTTCCAGTGCCACCAGGCGTATCCCAGACCCCACGGTTGCCGGTCGATTTGAACTTGGGAGGCATTGGCTATGATGCCGTCAAAAGGGCTGTTGGAGGCACTCTTCATTTGGATACTGTTGCAAAGGTTGGCGTTAAGATTGAGGATTATAGCGATACCATATTATACCATGGAAATGGGATTACCGCGAGAGTTAAGCTATGAATCTCGACGGGGTTTTTTTTTTCCTTTTTTTTTTCAAGGGGTTTAGGAGATTTTGATTATAGGTTTAAGAGGTTGGGAGTTGATTGGTGTTTGAACAGTTGCATTATTACCTATTGATTAAGTGAGATAGATACATTCTATAATTCAAGTCTTCTCTTCTACTACTTTCCTTGTATCTATATACAAACTACCCATTTAGTAAAACTTTAAGTAGACTATTGTACTACTCTAAATCAACCCGAAAGTGGTAAAGTTGGTAGACACAATCCTCAAATTACAACAACGCGAATTGCTAAATTGAAGAGCAAAAGAGATATAGATATATGACAACATATTTAAAATGCAAGTTATGTTGTTGAAAGGGAATTTCTGAATTCCCCCCGGAAAAAAAAAAAAAAAAAAAAAGGAATCTTATAACAAGGGAATTAACTTTCAGTAAAGGACTAAAATTTGCTTTTCACTTGCAAGCTTTCGTATCGGACATTCATCTTAACCAGGGGGGAGGGTGCTGGCGTCGACCACGTCGGCGGCATCCTTCTCAATCTCTTCGCGAGGCTCAAACAGAGGAGAACGGGGAAGAGCCATCAGGCCAGTCCGGGTGGACTCGAGGATACCGAAGGGAGCGATGAGCTTCATGAAGGAGTCAATACGGTTGGGCTTGGCGGAACTGGTTATGGAGAAATTAGTGATTTGTGTTGTAGATGGTAGAGGGGGGGGGGGGGGGGGAAGGGGGAAACTCACACTTCAACGATGCAGTTGTTGGTGCTGATATCCAAGACCTTGCCGCCAAACTGATGAGTCAAGCGGGTGATGGCATCCAGATGCTCATGCTTGTGTCTCAGAGCCTGGCTGCTAGGCAAGTTACGAGGGTGGAATTCAGTGGTCTTAGCGGGCTCTGCGCCACCCTTCTTCCCCTTCTGTCCCTCCACGACATCCGCCGGGGTGGTGATCTCCCGGTGATGCTGGAGCAGTTCCTCGAAGAACTCGGGGCCCAGAATGCTGACCTTGGCCAGGAGCAGTTCACGCTGCACCAGAGCAGAGTCTGTGTAGTCGAGAACAGCCCAAACGGGGACGAGATCGTCGAGCTGACGACGGGCCTGCTCGACGACACCGTCCTGGCCCTGCAGCACGATAGTCATACGAGACAGATCCTCAACCTCGGTATTACAAACAACGAGACTGTCGATATTGAAGCCGCGGGCGGCTAGAATCCCCGACACACGGGAAAGCACGCCGGGCTCGTTCTGCACCAGACAGTTGAGGATATGGCGCTTGGGAGGGTTGGTTGGACGGACGGGGGTCTCGTACAGAATCGACGAGACAGCGGTCGGGGCGTCCCATTGTGGAGAGATGTCCGCCACGGGCAGAGTCAATGGGGATCGTCGATGCAGAGCCTTGTAGGCCAGCGCTGAGGTCGAGCTGGATGTGGCCCTGGAGGGTGTGAATCGGGGAAGCGAGGCCGTCAGCCGGGTAACTCGGCCAGAAGCCGAAAGTAAAGGCATTGATGCCGTCGAGGACAGCATCAGGGGGCGCCGAAAAGCCATGATCTCCCCGGAATGGAAGAGACAGGCAAACAAGGTGGGAGACAGAGCAAATCCGTCGGAGTTGGTTGGAAGTTCGCAGGTTCGTCTGGATGATTTGATTTTATTGCTGGAGTCCTTGTCCGACGTCGGGGCGCTGACTCATACTTTTCCGCCCGTACCGTTTGGTAACAATACCGCTAGCTCTCTTTAGGACTAGTGCGTAATTTTCGAGATAACACGTGATTTGAAGGCTTTTGGCCCGTTTCTTTCAAGTTTCACTTCCTCTTAACTATCTACAGTTCTCATTGCTGGCGTGAGGTTCAAGAAGCATCTTACTGAATATTAGATAGAAGCTATCTCGTATGTCAAATCATCAAAGGTACGCTCCCTCTCCCCTTATCGTCAACGACTGACTTACACCTGCCTTAGCTCCTATTGGTCCCTCCGCCCCGGTTAAGGCTTGTACTACTGCTAAAGTTGTCCGTTCTTGGGCTGATCATTCTCCATCTCCACCGCCTAGCAGGCCCTTCTTGCAAAATAATATTTGTCTTGGACTGCGACTACCAATCTCCAGGGCATCCCACCCGCCTACTCATTGGATTCTTCCACTTCCTTCTCCTATTTCTCTCCCTCCCTCTCTCTCTCTCTCTCATTTTCTAGCAACCCCTCCGGAGACTACCATGGCTGACGACGATCGCCGTGCAAAACGCTCCCGCTTCGACCAGACCAGCCCGGAGCCCCGACGACAGTCGCGGTTTGATCGTCGTTCCCGATCCCCTTCCTCGCGACAGTCTGAAGCCACTCGGACTCGCAGTCCCCTCAGCCGGGAGCCCCGAAGCCCTGGCGCAGACAGTAAGAAGCTGGATCCTGCCGCTGCAGCTGGTGTGTTTTCGTCCCTTCTTGTTTCGGGGAAATTCCATGGCCAGTGGAACCTTACAGCTAATACTTACTTGGTGATGACAGCCGCCGCTGCCGCTAAAATCAACGCTCAGTTGCAAGCAAAGAAAGGAATTCAGCATGTCGATGTACCTCCGATACGCTCCGTCAGTGCTATCTCCCTCTCCATCTCGATTTACTAACCCGGTGCCGAGTTTTAGACCGCAAGCCCTTCGTCGCAGTCCGCTACCCCGGTCGCTGGTGATGCCAAGTTGAATGCGGAAATCTACGTCGCGGACGGAGACTACATCAAGGACATCGAGATCAATGACCTACGCAATCGCTATACATTGACGAAAGGCTCTACTCAAAAGATGGTAATTACTCCTGTTGCATCCACTGATCTTCCAGGCGCATTGTATAACAGCTGGTTTACCCCTCACTCATTTCCTCCCCTATGTTGTGGTTGTGAAGAAAGCTTACCCGATCCAATCTATACATAGCATTTCCCTTCCCCTCTTTTGCATCTGCTGACCTCCGCTGCGTGATATCTAGATTAAAGAAGAAACTGGCGCCGGTACGCCTTCCTTTCATGTTATTGCTCTCAACTATTTTACTCAAGAAGGAAGCTCATAATTGATTCTTTTTAAGATGTCACCACTCGAGGAAACTATTACCCCGATAAAAGCATGGCCACCGCTGCGGTAAGTAATCACATGGTCTTCCCTTTCAGGATACTATTGTCTAATGGCTTTTTTGGTTTCTCTTCATAGAATCCACCCTTGTTCCTGCACGTGACGAGCACGACCAAAGAAGGACTCGAGAAGGCCGTGACCTTAATCGACGATCTAATGAAAAAGGAGCTCCCTAACTTAGTAGACGAGCGCCGGTTCCGCCGCCGTGAGCCTGAGCAGGTTGAGCGTGATGAATACGGTCGCGTAGGGTTTCCCCATGCCACCCTTGGTGTATATGGATATTAATCGCAAACATACAGCGTAAATGGCCCGAAGAGCGAATTCCCGTGGACCTCGAACCGATTCCCGGCTTCAACCTACGCGCTCAGGTTGTTGGACCAGGCGGCGCCTATGTGAAACATATTCAGCAAAAGACCCGTTGTAAAGTCCAGATCAAGGGCCGTGGCTCTGGCTTCATGGAGCCTATCACTGGCAGAGAAAGCGATGAGGCAATGTACCTGCACGTTGCGTAAGGTTCCCCTCTTGACGACTTTTAAAGCCCAAGCTGCACTAACGAAAATACAGCGGTCCCGACCCTAACGAGGTCCAGAACGCAAAAGAGCTATGCGAGGATTTGTTGAACAACGTTCGTGAGCAGTATCAGCGCTTCAAGGAAAACCCTCCTCAGCACAACTATGGCGGCTATGGACAGCGCGGAGAACGTCACAATAATTACGGAGGAGGCTATGGCGGTGGTTATGGGAACAGCCACCAACACCAACAGTCAACCCCTGCATCGGCCAGTCCATCCGGACAGGCAACTCCAGGCGCTCCAGGAGCTGCGAGTGCAGCAGCCGACTACAGCGCGCAATACGCCCAATACTACGGATCTGACCCATATGCTGCTTATGGCGGTTACCAAAACTACGTCGCATATTATCAGTATTACCAACAGGCTGCGCAACAGCAGCAGCAGCAGCAGCAGCAGCAGCAGCAATCACAAAGCCCTGCTCCTCCCCCACCGCCTCCAGCAAGCGAGGCTCCTCCTCCCCCACCTCCAGGCTCTGGCTCTCCTCCTCCACCTCCTCCCGGGGGCAGCGGTTATAATGCTGTATGTATATCTTGTTCCACTCAGAAAGCATTATATCAGTTCTCTAACATATTTGTGCTTAGGTCCCTCCACCTCCTGGTCTGTAATTCTTTTCCTGGCCACTATGCCTCCTTGGATTTCAAACTCCGCCTTATACACTACGAAGCAGATTGTTTTACGCAGGACCCGTAGAATAAATCCTGCAATGCCCGGCCTTTTTAAAATAGCAAAAGTGCAATTTGATCAGCCCTCTGTATTCTAAATCTATTCCCCGCCATGCTTTGTCTTCTTCCAGCCTATCCTTATATATCAGCTTGAAGTCTGTATGTACAAAGGAGATTTGGAATTGTTGTGATGTGCAATAATATAGCTTTGGGAAAAGTGCTTACTGACTTATGTTCTTTTTTGTTTTTTTCTCATTAAATTTTTTTTTTTTTTTCTTCGACTACACTTTTAGTTTGACCCAGTCCACGTAGTGCATGCAGCTTTTGATCCCATTTATTATACATGATATGATTGATATATGACAGTCCCCAAACTCCTCATCCGCTCCTTCATAATATAGACAGTGAGAATTGAACAGCAACCAAACGTCAGTACCTCCGACCTTGCAATCCGGGGGAAAGATGCTCCAGGACAAGCGTCGCACCCGTACAAGCCCATGATCCCCCAACCGCAAAAAAGTTCTCCATTTCACTCTCCGGCGCCATTTTCGCCTTCCGGGCCGCCAACCCACCAGGACCCTCTTTACAGAAATCACAGGCATAGTCACAAGGAGACGATGACGATGACGATGACGATGATGATGATGATGATGATGATGATGATACTGTCGTCGATGTACCGCCAGGCGCAGGACGCTGACCATCAGAATGTTTCGTGCCCATCCTCCTCCTTTGCATCATCATGTCCCGCTCCTCCCTTGGAACCTGTGATCCCATTCGCTCCAGCTCCAAATCCCCAAAGAACTCCTTGATCATATCGTGTCTGCACCGCGACGTCGTTTCGCAGTACTGGACCACCTTCTCGAAGCTCTGTTTCCGGGCATGCAAGTTCTGCAACAGAGAGACTTTGTCGCGCTTCTCCAGGCCCGCTGTTCGTCCGCCTGTACGGTTATTTACGTTCTCGATGTCCCGGCGTAGTCGGTCGAGGATCCGCTCGCGTTCCATGGGGTTATAGTAGACCATTGAGGCTGCGGCGCGGCCGTCGCGTCCTGCGCGTCCGGACTCCTGAACAAAGCCTTCAAAGGTGCGTGGGGGGCTCCAGTGCACTACGAAGCGGACTTCGGGGTTATCGATGCCCATGCCGAAAGCGTTAGTTGCGACGATGATGTAGAAGGTAGTAGTTGAAGGTGGAGGTGGAGATGGAAGATGTTCATTGCCGTTTTTTGTTACTTTTTGTATGTGCCGCTGTTGTTGTTGCTGCTGCTGTTGCTGCTTCTGGGGTGCGATCCATTCGTTCTGGACTCGGGTCCGGTCTGCGGCGGCGAGACCCGCGTGGTATGCGACAGCGCGGATCCGATTGTCCCATTTGGTGAGGGCCTCGGCGAGCTTCTCGGATGCTAGTCGGGTTGCGACATAGACGATCCCGGATATGGGTGGGAGTTTGGATGCTGTTTCGGTGCCGAGGCGGGCTTGTCTTCGGGCTTGCACGGAGTGCAGCCAGCTGACGAGGTCGTTGATCTGGAATGCTTCCGGTTCTGTGGGGTCCGGGGCGAAGTCTTTCATGAACCGGATTTCATAGTGAATGTTAGGGCGCGCAGAGGGCGTGTTGAAGATCTTCATGTGGCCTGGATCTAGCCCTAGGATGTTGATGATGTCTGTTCGAACTTGAGGTGTGGCTGTTGCTGTGAGAGCACTGATGGGAACTGGTGGGTTGGTTAGGGCAGTGCGAAACCAGGAGAGGTTCTTGTATGCGGGCCGGAAATCATGGCCCCATTCGCTGATGCAGTGGGCTTCGTCGATGGCGATGCGGATTAATTCGCGCTGTGCGTGGATGGTCCGGAGGTTGCGTCGGAATGTCTCTGTCTGGCATAGTTCAGGTGTTACATAAAGTAGCCGGGTTCGAGGATGCCCGGACAAAAGATCTTGCATGATTTCTCGTCGTTCTGCGAGTGTAGTTGTCGAATTGATAGTAGCTACTGCTACTCCTAAAGCTTGCAGTGTGTTCACTTGGTCGGTCTACAGGATGTTTAGTTTTGTTTCAATCGCAAGCAGTAGTAGGTAGTCATGCAGAAAAAGGTCAAAAAAAAAAAAAAAAAAACCTTCTGGTAACGCTTACCATTAAAGAAAGAAGAGGACACACAACAATCGTCACTTTATAAGCAATAACCCGAGCAAGAGGTCAGTCAAAAGCTCATTACCCTAAACAGGTCCTGGGAAAGACGAATGACAAACCCCCATGGCTCATTACTGCGGGCAACTGAAAGCACAAGCTCTTTCCGAATGAGGTGGAAGCCTGTAAAAAGACATCATGGCCCTCGATAGCCGCCGTAATCACCTCCCGCTGAAGGGGGCTAAGAACAGGAGTTAGGACAGGCGTACTCAGCCGTCTTCTGGAGCGACAGTTACTTACCGGAACGACTTCTTTCGGAACACACGATGAAGGTAAAAGCCTAGGTCCACCTTTCGGCCATGCAAACTATTACCTGCCATTTTGCAGCATTTTAGAGGTCAAGAACGAGAGTTTGAAGTGAACTGAAGAAGCTTGGTAGATGTCTTCGGACTGAACGCGTTACGGAACGAGAAGAAGATACGCGATATCACGTGGGATAAATTGATCCTCCATATAAAACCATTCAACCAAGTATAAGATCAGAATAGAAGAAATAAATAAAAAGGTCTTTTTGTCTTCCATGCTCAAAAAATCTATTATTATCGCTAACAAAACACTAACCGAGCATTGCCTCGCGAGATTGAATCAATATACAAAAGGCGACTAAATCGAGGCCGGCATAGGATTTCCACCTGAGGGTATATATAACAGGTTTCTAATGTACAAATGAACGAACACTATTTCGTTCAAGAATCAATGTGATTTTGGAGGCCGGTTCATCTGCTTCTCCAGCTCTTCATGGACCGCCAAAACATCCAGCCCTTTGCGCTTTTCGGGTTGCCAGATGCTCTCCAGGCGAAGCCAAACTTCCATCACATCTTCAGGCCCGCAGCACGTCCCAAATGCCCGCAGGATTATAATGATCATCCTCCGGCCTAAAAATACACCATTGTCAATTCGACGCTCCAGGGTCTCCAATCCACCTTCTTCGTCTGAATGATGCCGCGCTCCCTGACTAAAGATCTCATTTATATCAATGCTGCCATCAAGGCCTAGCATAGCATGTTCTGCTTCAATTACCGTCTGGTCGTCATGGGGTCGGTTGTGCTCTTGGCTTTTATTTCCGTTAGACCCATCCTTCACGTCAGTAGTGGACGGCAGGGGAGTATAAAGGCCACTTGATGCACCCGTTGCCAGAGGCCTTGGTGTCGAGGGAACGTCACCTCTCAGAGGATTTTCCCAAACAAAATCTTCCGGTTGAGCAAAAGCTCGGTTGTTAAGCCTAGTTTTGGATTCATAAAGAGCTCGGAGATAAGCTTTCCATGCCATCCACAATTTATCCGCCGTCCAACCCTTCCCCCGTCGACCATAATGAGCGAACCCATCGAATAAGAGCAAATAAATCATTCCACGCGGGGGAACTATAAATATGTTCTCCATGTCATCAAGGATCGACACAAAGGCACCCAGATCTCCACTCCTATAAGCGTGGTGGGAAAGAAAGATATGAAACGTGCGAGTATCAGGGGCGATGGAGAGAGCTTCTTGAAGAGCACGATGGTGGTCTGGAAGGCTGTTCTTTAAAGATGCAGAGGACTGAAGGAGGCGACTTAGTTTTTTGGATCGTTTCCTGTATTCAACGAGCTCCGATGTAAGTCCCGGGCCAGCAAGATGCGTGGCTTTATCGCTAGGTCCCCGGGTCTGTTGGGTGGGAAACTTTGATTCCACCATACGCTGGTACATCTGTTCCGCCGTTCCTACCTCTCCAGTGCGGAGAAAGGATGCCATTAAACAGTTCAGCACCGCAGTGTCGACAATCTCTCCAGCACCGACAAACTCATCGAAGGTCCTACGGATGCTATCAGGGTCCCGCAGCAACCCGTAATAGTACATTTGGGAAACCTTCCCAAAGCGAGCGAATTGGATGTTGCGTTTGCGCATTTCCTGCATCAGACGTTCGGCAACGGTGTACTGTCCTGCCTTAATCGATATATCGAAAAGGATAGTAAAGACCACGGCATCCGATTTGATTCCTCCCAGGTGCTCCATTTGTTGCCAGAGACCAATTGCCCGTAACAAATCTTGTTTAGACGTCTTGCCCATGGCTCGACCCGCGAGGTGAATGGCTGTGCTCCAGAGCCATCGAGAGACAGGGAGGCCTGCAGCGAACATGTCTTCCACTAATGCTAAAAAGCGACGAGCATCAACCCAACGGCGGTCACGAGGATGCGCAAATCGGTACAAAAGTTCGGTTCGGCTGCGATGCGAAAGGTGTATTATTCCCGGGTACGGGATATCCCTGTATAGCCCAAAGAGAAAGTGGTTTGATTTGTTCTTATTCCACAGGGCATCTACAAATCTCCGGACCGATTTGATCTGCAGAGCACTTCTCCGGTTCTGGATTTCCGGGGATAATTGTTGAGGCGCTGCAGCATTATCCGACGCTTCCTTCCAATCCAAAGAGTTTTTGAGGGCTTCTCGATAAATCTTCGACGTCCGTGGATATAATTCTGCGTCTGGGTTCGTATAATGGCGGTATCTCTCAATCTCCCTTTGTGGATTTTTCTTGGAATCGACCTTATTATGTCCGATAGTGCGAGTCATAAAAGTTTTCTGCCCATCAGAGATAAAAGATTTGTCCGTCCTTCCATCCATACCTATACTTCCATGCTGTTTCGGCTGAATCCCCTTGAAATTCCTAATATAATTGGATCCCACATCTTGGTTACGCGTTTGGTGGGAAGCATCCTCCGGTGGACATTCTATCCGGCGGTCGTCGCAATCGTAAGTCTCCACCCTCTGTGCAACGCTAGAGTTGAACATTCGCTGCGTTCTTTGGCGATGCACTCCTAAACGCTCCCCCGGTGTTCCCAGGTAATCCGGTCGATTCCTGGATGATACCCGTTTCGAAGCTCCTGCCATGCCCCTATCCTCCCATTTCCCCATATTACCCTTCATGGGCTTAGCTGACAGCGTTGTCAAGCCTCTGCCTCGTGGGGAGTGTTCATGGCAATAGCCTGCCACCACCAAGGATCGAACGAAGATATCTGCTATAGACGTCGCAGCCGGGCGAGCACGACTGGAGGAGGCGATTCGTCGGAGGGAGGCATTAGAAAGGAGGGGTTCTGAGGCACGCATCGACTTGGAACCGGCGGGCAAACACTTATCCAGTCTCTGTAATAGGTGCAATGGCGGATCTGGCGAGTTCTGGGGCTTATTGGGAGGAGGCATGAGGTGGCAGACATTGTGGCATCGATTCAGCCATGCATATCCCGGGACTGCCTCGAGCAACTCACAAAAAGATGCTGGACAAACGCGTAGATATGAGAGTGGAAGAATCGAGGATTGTCAGATTTAGAGATAAGATGGGGGCGGAAGAAAAGACTTCGCGCGAAAGGAATGTTAGGTTGGTGTTTGGTTCACCTTCCGTCGAGAATTATTATGAGGCTAAAGAGGTGTATGATTTCTCTGCAAGAGCGGAGCCGGCAGTCGGGCCAATCGGAGCGGCGCATTGCCAATCATCTTTTTCAACTCCCTCACAACCAGAACTGCGGCATTGTCAACAAATTCTCATCCACTACTCTCCAATTAAACAACGTCACTGGACTTTTCAGGAGGTGTCCTCTACTGGATTGCTCTGGATTTTATATCTGCTATACGTCTATCACCTTTTTTTTTCTCCCTCCCTTAGCACGGCGGATCGCCCGTCCGCCCTCGTCCACGATGGGAAAATACAACCTCACAGCTCTCCGGGTTCGCCAAACCGCACTCCAACAAAAAGCTGCTGGAAAGACTAGGAAACTTCCGCAATGGGTCGATGTGATCCGCGATATCCCCCCCGCCCAGGTGCTTGTTCGCAATCAGCCCCAGGAACACCAGCTTGTACGACAGCGCGTCAAAACCCCCTCCAGTGCCTCGAAGCCGCAGGTCGTCTTTGAGGTTCAAGAGAAGCGTGTAAAGCCAAAGAAGACCAGTCGCATGTTTCAACCTGTCGAAATTAAGTTTGAGGAAGATCAGTTGCGTCGGAAGTTCTTCCGGGACCATCCTTGGGAGCTTGCAAGACCCCGAATCCTTCTCGAGAGCTCCGGTAAGGACTTCGAGCGATATAACTGGCAGCGACTTCAGCAGCCAGGCAAGAAATTGGACGGCGAGAGGTATGTATATACTCGCACTCTACAGCCCCGCCCTTCTTCTGCTTCGCATGGTATTCGCTCTTTTCTGTGTGCTATTGTTAATCTTCTTATTTTACTCTTTGGTAGTGTCGTTCAACGACAACTGTGGCTCCTCAACAACGTGCCCGATATGACTGAGAGCGCTGCATACGATATTGCGCGTCAGGAATTCTACCGACTCCGTCTACAGGAGGACATTGAACGACGAGTAGCTGCAGAGGAGGCCGAGGCAACAGGAGCGGTCTTCGGGCCCACGCGCCTTGAGGTCGGTATGGAACTTGAAAGCCGGGAATACGAACGTTGGAAGCAATGGGCGAAATTAGAGGCCCAGCTACAAGACCAGAGGGCGGCGGCTTTCACTGGTGCCCCCGAGATTGCAGCAGCGAGTGAGGGCGCGCTCGAAGAGCCTGAGGATGCTCCGCCTCGGGCATAGGTTTCCGGAGGTGATGTGATTGAGGTGTTTGGTTTAATTTGACGGTTTATGTATATTAGTGGACGCTGTTTTCTTCCGTCTTTGTATTTCCTTTTCTCGATCATGTACAGAATTACAAGGCTAGTGGCCTTCGGGCGGGGATATCCCTCCCTAGAACCTACAGAATATGATAAATGGGCAAAGACCAGGTTTGATTCATTTTCTCAGCCCTATCGACGTAGTGTCGTAATGGAATGTGTCTGGCGCATATCACGAGCATTGGGTTGGATGAACAAGGCACAGTCTGGATAGAAAGAAAAGGTATCGATGTCATGGTGATTGGAGGCATGGGATATGTATATGGGTATCCTGTTTGAAGGAATCCTCGCCGCGGTCTTTTTATATCTTCCGGATTATCAACTCATGGAGGCTCTTGGTCCAATATATCCGCAATATATGAAGATGTCGGTGGTGTATCCTCTACTTGTATCCTGGCTTCCCTTTACATTCTCTGCGGGTTTTTTTTGGTTTGTTAGGCTTGTCCTCTTTTTATACGTGTATATATATACCTAGGCGGGAATAACTCAACTGGTCTATCATGCAGTGTCTTTTCCCTTGTTACTGCCGTCATAGTATTAGTTGGGAGGATGGAATGTTAAGGTCAATGGTCTTTTTGCACAGTCCAGTAAGTAGGTATATATCATGGCAGGCAGGCACATTAGCTGGGGTTCAAACATGGCATCACAACAAATGCCATGAAAATAAAGGTCATTGTATCACATTAACAGTGGGTATCTTGTTATTATTCTAATAAGATTCGGTTCACATAGTTTTTTTCCTCCCTAGAAGGGTATAATGTTGTCCATCACCATGTATGGGATACAAATTTGCTACTTAAAATTAGTCATGTTGATAAATAAAAAGTAAAAGAACCCAGCCGTATCACCTGGCAAGGTGGCCGAGTGGTCTAAGGCGCACGGTTCAGGATCACCTGACCAAACCTCCGTGTCAAGAAATTGGCGTGGGTTCGAATCCCACCCTTGTCACTTTTTTTGCCGCTATCAGCGCTTAGATAGCTTTTTTTGCACCACGCTTTAACTAGTGGAAAAGAGGTGTGGGACAAAAGAGCCAGGAGACCTTATAGAGTAGATATGTTTACTCCTTAGTTATTAATCAACACACGTGTACAAAGTAACTAAGTAACTAGGTCAGCGGAATTGTTATTAACAGCAAAATATGTTAGAGTGTGTGTGTACGGAGTACCCCAGTATCTCCCGAGGCGACTAAAAAAAAAAGAACTGCTATGTGGAGGTGCAAAAAAAGTGACAAGGGTGGGATTCGAACCCACGCCAATTTCTTGACACGGAGGTTTGGTCAGGTGATCCTGAACCGTGCGCCTTAGACCACTCGGCCACCTTGCCTAATTGATGAATAATGGAGTCTACTCTTGAACCCATAAGCCAGAACCCCATTGTCCTCTCGAATCTACTCTCCTGGTGCACTTGGTGTCTCCCTGTTTCATCTGTCGCCTCGTCCCATCGCCTCTTGCCCAACTACTAGATCCCTCAGATTGATTTCTTCTGATGTCAACATTGGAAAACCTCTGATACAACCTGTCAAATTGACAGCTCAGTTTCCAATCGCTTGACTCCTCCCATATTATCATCTCTCCCTTGCTCCCCACCTTCCGCGTCAGACGAATAAACCCCGGCTCATTTTCAACCCAACGGCACCGCTCCAGGCTCCGGCCTTTGTTTCGCGACTTATCCAAGACCTCAACCTCATTTAACCTATGCCGATTTCGTCCATCTGAATTATCTTACCCCTTCCTCCGGTCCTCGATATCCTCGCTTTTACAGCGCTTGTTGATCATGCTCTGCCTCGATCCCCATGCACGCCGCCGTTTAAATTCCTTGGTTATCTGATCGATCATCCCGAGAGGCTTAAAGCTCAACGTATGTTAGGAAGTGGATGAATTGGGTCCTGCTCTCTGTCTTTTTCAACCATGCTTTCCACAATGGTCCGCCCGGAGGACACTATAAGAATGCCTCATCCTTATCGCGAGGTCGAGGAGGATGATGGAGCTAGGACAACGCCAGAACCAACGGGCCGGTCTTCATCGTCTTCCTCCAACAATGACGGATCTGTTAAGGGTGAAGATGAAGTTAAGCCGTTAAACGGGTCCACTGGCGATAACAATAGTCTTGCCACCAAGTCTCTTAGCGGCCCACGGTTACTCTCACAAGAAGAGACAATTGAACTTGCTCGTCGTGCGGTGGATAATGGAATCCAAGAAACGAAACGTTCCCTGGAGGGAAGCGAGGCTGTTAGTGATGTGGTGAAGCCTAAATTAACCATTGACTTGGGACATTCGAATATTGCTCGCATTCCAGAACGCGTCGTGGATGCTATTAAGGATGAAGTTGAACGGTGTGTAGTCACGAAAGACCTCGTCAGACCCTTGGATTGCCTGGTAATGCAATGGGGCTGTGTTTTGGTTTGAGACAGCGACGCTGATCTTGTTTAGACTGTCCTTATCAAACAACTATTTGTTTCATATTCCTTACCGCTTCGCAGAGTGTTCTCATCTTCGCTATCTTAACATCAGGGCCAACAATTTCCGTGAATTTCCTAAAGGAGTATGCCACAAAATTATAGACCTCAATCCTCTTCGTGCTCTGACTACGATGCTGACGCGCCCTTCAGGTGATTAAATTGCCGCTCCTTGAGATACTGGACCTGAGCCGCAACAAAATCAGCCAACTTCCTGAAGAGATCAAGAAGCTATCATCACTACGAGTCTTATCGGTCATGCAAAATCGGCTTGATGACCTACCCCTTGGTATTTCTGATATGAGCAAACTCCAGATCCTAAAGGTCGCCGGAAACCCCCTACGATATCCCCTTCGAAGGCTTTTGGAGACTACAGAGGCCGAGAGTACCTCCTCGACCATGACGGATAATGAGAAGGAGGTTGCGGTTACGGCAGAGCTCAAAAGGTTTTTGAAGACCAAGCAGCCTATTGCACCCCTGGAGTTCGATAAAAGCACGGATATCAGGTACGAGTTTAGTCTAAAAATACAAAAGTCCGAGCTAACCCCGTGATTTAGTGAGGGAGTTCTAGATACACCTAAACCCGTTAAACGAGGAGTGAGCAGCCGCTTCCCCGTTATTCCGAGTACGGGCGAGGGATCTTGTGACCCTAAATCACCATCGCTATCTCGGCCTCCCCCGATCCCTCTCAAGTCTCACTACCGGATTGCCTCAGGCCACAGTGGCGTTTTCCATAGTAGTGTTCTTCAGCGTCCCGGCGCTGGTCCCTTCCCTGGGGTCAATGAACGCAACCGAAGTAACAGCGAAGGCATCATTCAGGCCTCATTCGCAGCACGCTCTAAACGTATGGGCCTCATCAATCGGAAAAACACTGATTTAGGTACGCTAGACGAAATCCGCCCATACCGAAATAGCCATCTTCGTGGTCTCAGTCATGGATCACTTTTTCGAACGGGACCATCTGCCAGTAATTCATCGAGTCCGAGTAGCCCAAGAGAGCGCAGACGGCTAAAAGATGGATTTGTAAACCGAATGTCAAGCTTACCGGAACACAAGGGGGAATTGGAAACAGGCGAACCCATAATTAAAAGTGCCAAAGGGATTCTCTTTGCTCTTTTTCAAGTCCAATCCCATGTCTCTGCTTTGATCAATGTGATTAAACGAGATGATACCCGACGAAACAGCCTCGAAATAGTCTTTTATAATGCGTCGACGCACGTGGACCGACTGAACGAAGCCCTTGAAATTGCGGAAAACTCACGTTTGGATGATGCAGACCCAACACGAATGCCATGTGAAGCAGTCAAGAGAGAGTGCGAAACGTGTATCATGGCATATTCGCATGTGGGAACGCAACTGCGCAATAGCCTTGACAGGATTGTGGCCAACGGCGATCCTCGCTACGTACGCTCTCTAATGCTTATGATATACAGCAGTGTGATTGAGCTACGCAACGCTTGTGTGGGCTTGGGTGTTCCCGTACAGACACAGAGGAAACATTTTGCGAAACCTCCCATACCTGAAATCTACAAGGAGCCCGTAGTCTCGGACAGGTTTCTTGGACCGACAGTAACTCCAACACGGGGAAGAGAGCCTTCGTTTTCGACTCGTCGGTTTCGCAGCGATACTGCAATCCTGCATCCCCAGATCACTACTAGCGGACCATTGCCAGCGGCAGCTAATTACCAGTCAGCTGTGAGCTCTCCCGGGTTTGCTCCAACCCCTTTCACCTTTGGGGCACGCAGTCGGTCGAGCAGTCGGTCTAATCATATCAACACCTCTGTTCCGTCCTCGCTCGCTACCCCCCGATCAGGCGAATCTTTCCCTTCCATGCCTACTTCGGTGGTTCCTCGAATTAATCCCTTGACTGGATTGGACGAGATTGAAGAAGAGCGAATTTTCGAGAAAATATTTTACCAGCTTACGTCTGCTTACACCGCGGCTTTGCAGGCGCTACCTTTAGCACGCCGTCAATTTGTGCGATGCCTGGAATTAGCGGAGCAAACTAGAGAATTCGAGGATATTCAAATGTTGTGGCACAATCTCATTCGACGCTGTCGTGTGTGTTTGGAAGTGTCGGAAGCTCTCGGGCTTCGTCTCTCCAATATGAAAGTGAAGGAACCGGGGGGAGGAATGCGCAATCAGCGGGAATTCTGGCAGCTTTGCAAAGCTTTCATGCAGTCATTTGTTGACTTGGTGACTGATATGCGTGAAGTCCGAGGCATGCACCTTCTTCCATCTGATATCATCGTTGTTCTTCGACCTGTACAAAGGGCCAGCAGGGAAGCCGGACGTTTGATCGAGGCCTCTCCGTGGTCGTATCTTGCTGATCTGGCACCCGGAAATGCCCCGCCAATCATCTACGGGCCCCCCCTACCCTCTCAACATCAGCATCATCACCATAATCAGCATCATCACCCGCAGCTCAACACCAATCTATCGCCCCAGTCTGTTACCCTTCCGGCGACGCCGCTGAGTGCTGCTCTTGGTCCAGCTGCGCAGGCGACCGTGCCGTCTACTCCTGCAAGTGCTTACAGCGATAAGTTTTTCGAAGGGGACGTCTTCCAGCGAGCTGATTCATTGCTTTCGATGCCAAACCAGGCGCCGTTTTTTACCCGGCGGTGACGTGTCGTACAGGGATGAGATTTCTTCACCTGGACCACTATCTCATAGACATCCTCTAAATCCCGCCTTCTCTTTTCTGAAAGGTCATTCGAGTAGGGTCAGCTTCTGGCTGGACCGAAGATAGCCTACTCAAGCGCCCCAGAGACTTGTCTTTATTCGCCATTTATACGGTTCCACATAGATTCGGTGCACATACACGTTTCGTCTCTTCTGACTATTTCAAATACATGTCCGAGAGTTGAACCTGCACTCCTGGGCGATTACAACTTGGTTAGTATTTAAGTGTATCCTTAGTTGCACGATTGTTTTCCTGTGCCTTGTTTTCGGCATCTTTCTCTTTTCCTTTTTTTTTTTTTTTTTTTTTCTCTTCAAATTTCTCCTCTTGGGATGGAGCGCAAAAAGAACAAGAGGATGGCGTCAGAGGTTCCGGTGCTTTATTTTGTTCTTGAACGATTTTGCATAGCGTGTTGACTTCTATGTAATAATGGATTTACGAGGGCAAAGATATGAATGAATTATTCTCAGCACTCTTGATTGTGCACTCTTGATTGTATCCATAGTTGTATATTTCTAGTCAATGACTACTCCTCCATATCCATGGTATATCACCCACTATAGCCTACTCAACATACAGGACCAGAAAATCGCACCGGAAAGGAAGAAAACAGATTCAAATTAGTTGATTCAACTCTCTCCATCTCTCTCTACTACCTAGACCTAGTAACTACGTAGTACGTACGTCGTCAAATCAAAAATCCACCACCATAATGAATCAAGGAGGACCCAACAACAACCAGAATCAGTCTGCAACCACTACATCGCGCACATAGGCAAACATCTCACGTGGCTTACTGGCAAAAACACTGTGTCCTGCACCCCAAAACAAATGATACGTTACACCGCGCTCGGCGACCCACCTGCCTGCTTCTGGGGAGCCTCTGGGATGACAGGAGCAGGTGCGGGTGCGAGACCGAGCACCCGTACCAGAGCCGGTGCCAGAGCCAGAGCCAGAGCTAGGAAGGGGATGAGTCTGAGTCTGAGTCTGAGTCTGAGGATGAGGATGAGGATCACCGCCCGGGCTCCGTGGGGCCGCGTTGTCAGCGAAAAACGGCCGGGTGATTGGTTGCGAGAACCCCTGGGCGCCGCGCCAGGTCATGTTTTGGAGCGCCAGCTCGGCGCCGAAGTGGTTGAGGAGCATGTCGTACTGGCCTGCGTAGACGTGGAGGGAGATGTTGTGGGAGGTGACTAGGGATGGGAGGATGGAGTAGACGGGGGCAGTTGGGGTGGAGAGTCCGATTAGGATGTCGAGGATGGTGGAGTTGCAGGGGGAGAATTGTACTGTGGCGTTGTTGTCAGTACCCGGTGACAGGTGTAGTGCCGCTTGGACATCCGCACGACGGAAATACGAGGTCAGCAACGACATCGAGTTGATTGTGCTACAGTCGTGGCTGATATCGTAGACATCGTAGCATGGTTTGCCGGCTCCCGAGGCGGACACTGTCCCTAGGTAATCCATTGCGGTGGAAAAGGTTGCACATGGCCCGTAGCAGGACGAGTTCATGATGGAGGATCGCACGGCGTCGGGGGTCGTCGGGTTGATGTTGCAGGTTGCATTTGCGATGTCGCCGAGGTCACGGCGGCGGCGACGCTTGTAGTCTGAGTTTTCGGGGTCCCCTGGGATATAAATTGTGGTTTGTGGAGGAAACCGGGCTGCTTCTTGCATGACGTCGCTGAACCCGCAGGTGTCGTCAGCCTCGGAGAAAACAGCCATGATGTCGTCGGGGATTTGCAAACGGGACTGCTGGGATTGCAGGAACTTGCCCACACTGACGGCCGACATGGCGGCCGGATTGCCAAACGAACCGTCCCCCAGCGACATGGAGCGGAGGTTGATGGGGAACGCGTCCTGGTTGGCGACAATGGCGGAGGCGAAATAGGGCACGTAGATTCCGGCATACGACTCCCCCATTAGATGCAGCTGCTTGGCCCGCAGGTGAGGAAAGTGGGCGAAGAATGACTGCAGCCATGCATAAAAATCAGAGGTTACGCGGTCGTTAGTGGTCGCTGCGTACGGCTGGCTGGCAGTCGAATAGCCCGTTCCGACGGGCTGGTCGACATACAGCACATGTCCAAACTGGGACCAGGAATATGGGTTTGCAATCAGACGAGTCGAGTTGCCGTCGAAGGAGATAGGGCCGTTTCCTGTGGTCAGACCGATTAAAGACGAACAGCCCGGTCCGCCATTGAACCATACTATATAGGTACGGGTATGGCTGTCAGCCCGTTCGAATTACCAGAGCATCGGGGCCCAACCGACTTACTGATGAAATTATCGTCATATTTCAAGTTTTCCGCTTTGAAGAGCCAAAAGAAAATCTCATTGCCTTGTTCAGTATTGGGCACAGGAAGTCGCCCGGCCCAGCTGGGCCGTAGAGAAGGGCCGTCTGGTAAGGAACGGACCTCAAACCGCGAGATATCTGGTACGGCGAGAGCGAAGTTGAGAAGAAAAAGCGGAGCCAATGTCGACAGAAGATATGTAAGGGAATGCATGATGTCGAAGCGATGTCCAGGTCGACAACGTCTGACGAGAATGATTCATTTATGAATCTAGAGTATGACACCATGTGGTTGGCGTGTGCGATGAAAGAGCGGAAGAAAGCCTGGTGTTGGCAACTTATCCGCATTCTGGTCTCAATAAGCATGGGGTCTATTGAGAAAGCCAGTGATGGCTTAAGTGAGGTTTCGTATCAAATAGAAAGTCCGATTCTACATAGCGCCATGCTATTTCGAGATATCTATTGAGAGCATCCATGGATGTCTTCATTGATGTATCCGTAGGGCAGGTCATTGTTAGATGCATAGACACACCAGTCGTTCTATATGGCTGATTGGTCAAGGAATGGATCAACCCGTGTGGTGAAAGCAAAGCAGACTCAATTCTCGTGCAATTAATTGAAGCAATCCAAGAAAAATCCCAGAATCTTCTCTGTTTTGATCTGGATCGCACAACAGTCACATGATAGACACTGCTTACATAATACAATCATGTGACCCGTATCGGAAGGACAATGTTCCGGTCACAATAAAATCGCGATTTAATTTGGTGTAATTAATGGAAATGACTTATAACTACTCCATACCTTCATATCTCAATTTATATTAAGATCTTCTTTATTATCAGTGTAATTCTTTTGACTCGTCGACCGCTGTCCCCTCCTCCTCCCCGAATCCGTATTTCTTCTGCCACGCCGCTCCCGGATGACTTGGATGCATTATTCTGTCTGCTGGAGAGAGGCCTGTATTCGAGTCGACAGTGGACACCGCTGTTTTGAATCGCTGGCTCTAGATCCGGAGCAGAATGAGGCGACCTCTCAGCTTGCGAAGGACGATGACAAAGTGAGGCGTCAAGATGGTCCCCCTTATTCGACCACATGACGGTTAAGTTTTTCTCCTGGTGAGATCTCGATCAACCAGCGATTCATCCTCTATCCAGCTTCTTACGGAGGAGTTCCGTACCGTACCCACGACTCTTCCCAGGAAGGTGTACTCGAATTCAAACGAAATGCCGGTGGACTATTCCTATCTAGATATATCCTACGAGACCGCGAACAGGATATGGTGGATCCATTCCATACCGGGGACCTACAGTGAGGTTCGATCTATGTACAGGTTGGAATGTTTACGGATTCCCTGTACTCCTTTATTTATTTTATTGCAATTCTTATTGATATGCAATCCCCAGACTGGTGGCTGGAGACTTCTTCTCTATCACATCCTGTACCCCTTCGGATACCAGCATTGTGTCCAGAACTCTCCCTTTTCTGTTTAAAAGGAGACCTAAAGAAAAGAAATAAATATCTCAGAGCATCCCACATACCTGTACATACAAATAATGCCTATTAAATATTAAATCGAGGGATTTTGGATCAACTGTTTTCATCCTTCTATCCTACTTCCAATAAAAACCACTGCAAGCGTCAGAAGAGATAAACTAAGCCTCACTTCTTTTCTTTGATTTGATTGCATTCAGTGTGCTCTGTAACTATAATAAACTAGTTTGTAATTGTAACAAAGAATCCTCAATTCTCTTGTGCCGGATTCATATCACTGTCTGTTATTGGTTATATCAAGACTCTCTCCCTTTCCTAAGACCTAAATACCTTCATCTTATAGTTAGTTAACTCTCGCTGTCTTTGTTTGCTTGTCTTTGGCTGCATTGGCTGCATCTTCCCTTGTCTTCTTTCTTCTTTCTTCTTTCTCCTTTCTCACCTTTCTTTCACCTTTCGTTTCTCTCTCTTTTCACTTCCCCGCTTGCTTTCCCTTCCTTTTGGCCTGGAAAGAGCTTACTCCGTAAGAACTATCGATTCTATTGCCGTTGCGAGATCGACATTTGCGATCGACATCGATAACCACCTGCAGCTAATAAGTCCGTCCTCACCTTGTTTTCCTGTCGACCTGCCGCAAGGACTGACGAAAGGGTTCAGTCCATCGACCCGACAACGGCGAGAGTCGCTGGCGGTGCCTTGCGTCTGTGAGAAAGGACATGCTCGTGACCTGGACAACGATCTCACACATCGTTTAGACTCCTTGACATTCATCCTGGACCCGGCTGCTGCTGTGTTTTCCCTCCTCGCCCCGACGTGACCCTTGACCTCTCTCAAATCGCCATTCCGGCCCCCCTCAGACTGCTGCGAATGGGATGGACCTCCAAAAGACAAAGGAAGCCCGTCGGGATACGCCGGCCAAGCAGGAAGAAAGCACAGAATGCCCCTTGGAGCCGTATGGCGGAACCGGTCATTCCAAAGATTCACCCAAGAACGACTCGCTCGGTCATCGCGCGGACCCGGATACTAGGAAGAATTCCACCACTCGGGCTCGTCGACCGCAAGATGCGCGTCAACCGCCATCCACCCCTCCATCCGCCCCCCCATCCGCGTCTTTGTCGTCGTCAATCACGACTAGAGGTTCCCGGCCATCGTCCAAAGCGCTGGGCATCCCGGTAGCTTTGGGCTTGGGGTCCAACGAGCGGAAATTGCTCTTGACGGCCAATCGATATCCGCCCGTCACGAAGAGTACGCTGAGCGAACTCGACCTACCTTGCATCATGAGTAACATCAACCTCCGAATGGATGCCAACTTTGATCGGGATCTTCATTTCAAACCCGATCTGGACGGCGAGAAGGGCCGACGGAAACGGCGGGAGGCCTCCGACTACTGGGAGGCCATGGCGGTAGAAATCAGCGTGTACGCCTTTTGTGCCGCCGGGGGGCTGGACAATCCGAGTGAACAACAACATCATCCCCTGGCGGAGGACCAACGACAACAAGCCTTTGAGCCCCGACTTCCCGCCTTGTTCGAAACCTTGCAAGATGTTCTCAAAACCCTGGTCCCCGAACGCGATCATCCGAGCGTCATGCAAAACCTGGAGGTAGCGTTACTGATGCAACAGATCCAGAAGGGCGTTCTTGACATGGTGGGGGTCGCAAAGTGGCTTGCGGCGCTTCTCAAGACCCATTGCGCGCCCATGCGCGATGAGTGGGCGGATCGCATGGTGGAGCAGATTACAACTGGCTCGCAGTCGCAAGACTCTTCAGAAATTGTCCGTGGTCTCCAGACATTATTTGCTATTCTGGAGGCTATGAAGTTGGTATGTTTTTTTTTTTTTTTTTTTTTTTTTTGTCAAACTCTACCCCATATACTACGCAGGACGGAACATTAATAGAGGTCTAGGATGTCGCCAACCACCAAATACGGGCGTTTCGGGTCCTCCTCGTGGAGGATACCATTCCCTTTCTCCAGGAGTATTTTACCGGAAAGATCGAGAGAGACAACTTCCGGGTCGAATCGTCGCGCCTGTGGTACCAGCGTCTACGGGAACGAGAGCTACGCATGGAAAACTCCCCGCAGACCGACAGCTTTGGGCCGCTGTTGCTTTTATTCCAAGGCATCTCCGACTTTCTCCTGCAGTTTCATAACCCAGATGGATTCCCCGAAACATTCGTCTTCGATTCCGACCGTCTATGGCAGCTGCGAGCCTGTCTGCAAAACGTCATCAGCCTCGACATCTGCTGGTTCATCTTCGAGTCGTATGTCCACTCGCAGAAACGCTATCTGTCGGCGCCCGCGCAGACGTACGCCACATTCCGGTCTCGGATTGGATCTCTGATGGAGGAGAACGAGGACTGTGCGCGTGGGTCATCTCAGTGGCTGAAAAATGTGCGCTGCATCTCCCTGGAAATCGCCCGGTTTGCGAGCGCGGCCTGCTGCGGCGACGCCACGATATCGGACGACATCATTACCCCGATCGAGGCCGCCCTGGAGTGGCACCTGTCCAACGAGTCGGGGCTGTTCCAGTGCTTCCAGGGGTCTCTGCGCGAGAAGCTGCTGGAGTCCACGTTCCGGACAGCCAAAAAGTACTTGAATATGTCGCCGTTGGCGATCTGCGAGTCCCAGCGACACCACCCGCACACGGTTGCGGATCACCAGCATTACAGCGTGGAGCGGATCTCGATGCGGTTGGCGCACATCGGCGTGCTGCACTGGAGGGTATGGGCGCCTATTCTGTATGTTTGCGAGAGCGCCCTCCACCGCTGAAATGGCGGGCGAGCCTTGAGGGAAGTTATATTGTGTTTGGCGATGATAATCGGGATCGCAATTGGGTTGGATAGGTAAAGTCATTCTTTGATATTATGCAGTTTAGCGTCTTGCATTGGTTAGGCGTCCACTGATGGCATTGTTTGGGGGAGTTGGTCGTCTTGGAATAGAGTTGTATGATATATAATCGTAATTAATCCTAATCAGATTTACTACTTATACTTATACCTAGTTCCTTGCACACCTAACTAACTATAACTATATAGTTAACTATAACATAGTTACTAGTACGTAGTTATATATAATTATGTAAGCAAGACTACATAGTTAACATGGAGATCATGGATCCAACTAAGTACAACTACTACAACTACCTAGGTCCTAACTAGATAGTAGGAGTTACTGTCATCACCACGAGAGAATTAGATAGATAGGCATGCGTCTTTCTCTCCCCCTTCAACAAACCCTCCAGTCGTTTTCACCTCCCTGGAATGCCCTGCCACCCGTGCACCTCCCATGGCTGCGCTCGCTCAAAACCGCCCAGTTGCAGCATCTCGCGCAGAAAACCGGCATCCCGAGCTCAGGACCCAAGGCGGCCCTGGTTAGGAATTTGGAATGCGGGCTTGGCGAGTGTTATTTTGGTCTTCTTCCTCCTCCTCCTCCTCCTCCTGATGCTCCTGCAGTAGTAGGCACAGGTGACGCCGCAAAGAAGCCGAATGCGAGTATGAGCATCCTCAGCATCGACATGGGGATTCGCAATTTGGCATTCTGTCATTTGCTGGTGGATCCGGCTTCTCCACACTCTAGGGAAGAGATGGCGATGCCATCCGTAAAGCTAAACGCATGGAACCGGATCTCGCTCCCCCCGCGGATGGTTTCGCCCGCGGAGTTTGCGCAGTATTTAGCTTCTTCTTTTGCTGAACCCGACCCTGGCCCTGACCCTGGCACTGGATCCGAGCGCGAGAAAGAAGAATCCTTCCCCCTCCATCTCTACGCAACCCACGCCTACGTGTTCCTCTCCACGCTCCTGGCCCGGTACCGTCCCACGCACGTGCTGATTGAACGGCAGCGCTTCCGCTCCGCCGGGGCGAGCGCAGTGCAGGAGTGGAGTTTGCGCGTGGGTGTGTTCGAGGGGATGCTGTATGCTGTTTTGGTTGCGTTGCGCCAGCAGCAGCAGCAGCAGCAGCAGCAGCGCCGGCAACAACCGGGGTCAGGGCTCTCGCCTTGGGTGGTGGGGGTTGAGCCGGCGCGGGTGGGGCGGTATTGGGCTTCTTCTGCTCCTCCGAACACAAGCATACAAGATTGTGAGATACACAGAAAGAAATCAACCACGAACGAAGGCAAACGGGTGAAGATTGATTTGGTTGCGGGGTGGCTTGAGAATGGGCGGGTTCGGATTCCTCCAGGGAACGAAGGCGAGGGCGAAGGCGATCAGGTGGGGAGATGGGTAGATGGGTATCTTGCTCGGTGGAGGAGATCTCGGTCTGGATCTCGGAAAGAAAAGGTGGATGTGAAAGCAGAAGCAAAAGAAAGAAAAGTCGACGTGGGAAAACTGGATGATTTGGCGGATTGTTTGGTCCAGGGCGTGACTTGGCTAGAGTGGCAGGTTATGCGGGAGCGAGTGGTGCGAGAGGGAGGGCAGGCTTTTGGATTGGATCTCCCTTGATGTATAGTAGTATATTGCAGAGTATAGTAGTTATAGTATATTGTGTAAGTCTACGATGCGATCTTATAATACAATGGATTCAGTCATCAGAACTACAGCACCTCAAGTTGATTCACTCGGATAGTGCCATCTCATGTACAACAAGACCATACCTGTGACGATCCTGACGATCCCAGGAAGAAAGTAAAGTGGAAAAAGGGGGGGGGGGGGGAAGACAACGGGATGTACCTCGCTGGACGAAAGAAAAGAAAAAGAAAAGAAATCACAAGTCTAAGGATTTAAATTTAACTTGTACCAGAATTGAAATAGGTACAACGCCTGCGTGCCCTCGCCACGGAATGAATCCCAGTACAAAATGGTCACATCGTGCCCACCCGCGCGACACGCTTAGTTGCGGCGGCGCCAGTGGCTTGGGAACGACAGACGGCTGGTCTGGAAGCCCGTGGGCTTCGCGACGCCGCTCTGGCTGGGGAGGGTGCCGTTGCTGTAAGGGGGAAGGGGCGCCATGGTGGTGGTGGGGGCCGGGGCCTCACCCTCTCCGTGGCTGCTGTGTCCGGAGTGCTGAGCGTGGTGATGGTGTCCCTTGGTCGGCTTGGGCTTCTCGGTTTCAGTCGCAGTGGGGAAGTTCTGGTTGTTCTCAGGCTCTGTGTAGGTAGCAGAGGGAGTGGCAGTCTAGAACGGCAGTCAGTACGGCTGCTGGATTCATGGGATTGTGGAAACGTACCACCGTGACGGTGTCGGTGACCGTCACAGTCACAGGAGCCCCGCAGCTGCCCGAGACGCTGGCAGAAGAGGGAATGGGAACCACAGTGTAGACAGAGGTGGCGGTGTTGGTGACGGTGGCATCATCACTGGCGTCGTCAGTGGCAGAGGGAGTCTAGAACAGTCAGTAAGGATGTCAAGGAGCTTGCAAGCTGTTTAGGGGGGGGGGGAATCCTACCTCCCAAACGGTCTGGACAGCAGTGGAAGTCTTGTGGATGGTGGTGGTGACAACGCTCTGGGTAGTGCCGGTACCCAAAGTGTAGGTGAGGGTGATATCCGTGCCAGGAGCACCGGAGCTAGTGCTCGAGGAAGCTGGCACGCCGGTGGTGAGGGGGATGCTAGGAGAGCTGGGGTACAGAGGAGTCGGGGAAACGGTCACATAGGAGGTCGAGGCCGTCTCGTTGAAGCCCCTGGGGTTGAAGAGCATGTTGTGGCGAGCGCGATTGCCATGGCTGGCTTCACTGCTGGCCACCAGGGCCCCCAGAAGGGCAACGGAGAGCTTGGTTGTGAGCTGCATTGTGGATGATAAAGGAGTAGAGGGTGCTTGAAAGAGAGCGAACGCTGCAAAGTCAATTCGCAGGGAAGACAAGCTTAATGAAAGACTGGGGAAGAAAAGAATGTAGGTCTCTACCACGGAGGAGTCTGCCAGAGAGTCGAGAAGAGGAAGAGGAGGAAGAAGAAGAAGAAGAAGAAGAAGAAGGGGAAGAGGAGGAGGGGAGATAAAAGAGTGAAAAGGAGAGCGAACCCAGCAGCAGGGGTTGATTCATTCTGGAGATTAATCCAGTCAGTCTTCTCTCCCTAAGAGATTCATTTAATTAAAGTGATTAACTTATCTACCGAAGTAAGATGAACATGTTTCATCTTTACCATGGCTGTTCATTTGTACCGGGTGAATAGTTGAATAGAGACAAGTGGATACACGACTATCAAATTAACCGTGCTGATCTGCTGTCAAGGTGGATCAGGACAGAAATTTCCATGGCCCAGAGTACTCCATACCAATCCCGTATAGTTGTTTTGGATAGACATGTGGCTGAATCTCCAGTTCAGTCAGATTCGCAGCACATCGTCACTAACATGCCCTCGTTCCAAACCCTCAGGGTACAATATAGTTTGGCTCTGAAACGCTTTGCCGAGTCCCCCCAAAATTTTGAGGTCATCACTTCGGTGCCCCACCAACCGTCCTCTTCCTCTATCCCTGAAGTCCTTTATGTCTTAGACTCCTCCTTCAACCCTCCGACTCTCGCGCATCGCAGCATCGCAACCTCGGCCCTGCGAGAGAATCCCAGAACCCCTTCCCGGCTTCTCCTCCTCCTGGCAACCCAAAATGCAGATAAACCCTCGAAACCGGCCTCCTTCGAGGATCGCCTGACGATGATGGAATTGTTTGCCCACGGCCTGCTTGCGGACCTGAAACCCGTCCCAGACCATCGATATCTCTCGGGAATCGACATTGGCGTCACCAAGAAACCCTACTTTGTGGACAAGGCCGCGGAAATCGAGTCGGCAGGCGTTTACCCCCCCTTCGTCGAGCAGGTCCATCTCACCGGATACGACACGTTAATTCGAATCTTTAACCCCAAGTACTACCCGCCAGAACACACGCTGCGGCCACTGGGGCCCTTTCTATCCAAGCATCGGCTCCGAGTCACCATGCGCCCGGATACGGAATGGGGGACCAGAGCCGAACAGGAGGCCTACCTGCTCACCCTCGCCCAGGGTGGGATGGATGACCAGGGCGCAAACCGCGAGTGGGCCCAGCGCATCCGTCTGGTGGAAGGGAAGACGCCTGGCGAACGATCGGTGAGCTCGACTCGAGCCCGAGAAGCTATCCTCGCCCACCCGCACGACCTGGAATGGTTGGTTCTACCGGAGATCCGAGACTTTGTTATCTCTGAACGACCTTATGCCGAGTAGTGAATGGCCACGTAGTTACGTTATTTATGAAATATGAATGGTCAGAATTAACATGCTATTTCTTTCTTGTTTGCGATACGTGGTTGGACAAGATGGGGGGGGGGGGTACCTTAGTACCTATCTAGTTGCTATTAAACCATACACCAGTGTCGTCAATTGTACTGACTACAGAGTATAGATTTCTACTTTACATTACTAGATTAAGGTAGGTATATTATAAATGATGAATACCCGGATTTCGCCATTTTAAAGCTTCCATAAGCAAGTAGATCTCACCCTTGGTTCAAGTTTCGAGTCGATTGATGCGCTTTTGGTGACATGGATGGATGTAATTAAACGCGTGGAAATTCAGGGGGCGGGTGGAATCCCTGGGGAATTACTAGCGAGCTTGGTGCTATACCTAGAGACCTCTAGGAACCTGGAAACCTAAGGAATGGAGTTACAGACTAACTATTAGTATTGTTAAACTATAATAAATACTCTGTACTGGTAGAAATTAGAAGTACGGAGTACGGAGTATATTAACTAGTTATTAGTTGAAGACTGGGTGAAGGCGTAGTCAGCAACGCCAGTATCACGTGCCATACCGCCCAGCCAGGCTCTTGAATGCGAACGTTCCATTTGGGGATTCTCAACCTCATGGATTTGCTTCCAGGGTAGTGTGCAAGATGAGTGGCAATTCGAGTACGAATGTCCAGTCTAATACATTGGCGACCTCCCTGAAAGTGGGTGCTGTGAGTGGTATGTTTTCATCCTCCCCTTTTTTTGGTGAAACTAGGCGATATTTTACTCTATTTTACTCTTTGGGCGTAATCTCTGACTCTTCTTTCAACCAGGTGCTGCTGGACTTGTTTATGGAGGTATCTCAGGTGTTATCCGATCACCGCATCCCATCGTACATTCCCTCTCTTGTGGGATCCACTGGTTTGCATGTGGAACCTCTTTTTGGTGTTCGTTTTTCTTTTTCGGATTCTCCCCCCCCCCCCGGAACGCGAGCGCAATATTGAATTTCTATTTTAGGGTTGAGAAGCAATCTGCTCGCGCATTACTTTGAAGACAATGCTACGTCCAAGCAGCGAACCTACGCCAGTGCTGTTTCTGGGGGGATTGCTGGTGGTGGTGTTACCAGGTTGATGGGTGTGTGTCCTTTTTCCAGAGCAGGGGTGATGGTTTACTGATTTTGTCACTATTAGGAGGTCGGCTCATTCCAGGGGTGGTTGTCTTTTCTTTACTAGGTTATGTGGGACAGATCTCCTACAATGCGATCGATAGATGGCAGCTGGAGCAGGCCAATGCTCCCTCGAAGCCGATTCTGCAACGCATCGCGGACTCCAAATGGATTCCGCTCAAGGCTCTCTCTGATGATGAATACAGGGGGATTTTGCATGAAAAGTTGCTGAGCATCGAGGCTGAAATGGCACTCATCGATGAGAAGATTGAAGAGCTGCAGCAGTCCAAGCTAACCGTATCAGATCCGGTATCTTCTGCGCCGGAGAAACGGTAGTTTCAAGCCTGCAAAGAAGATATGCCACGGGAGTTTTTTTCCGACTACACTCGCTATCAATGAAAAGGACAGGACCCTTGAACGTGAAATGAGGGGCTGGGTTAGAGCTAGACCTAATCGCAAACTAATAACCACTGCAGTTCCACACTGTCGTGTGCCGAGCCGGTTCGCCTCGGGACGGTTGATACCCAAGATGGGAGAAAACTGGTATCGACCGTGAGAGTCGGCACGGATAGAGATGGCTGGAGTGTTATCCGCTCATCGACCTCTGTATACTAGATAAATATTCACATCAATAATGTAAGAGTAGGACGATAGAATTACGAAAAAAAAAAAAAAAAAATTCCGAAACCCAGTGCAAGAACGGAGTACTCGGTAGACGTCCACGATTGATGGGTCGGAGGAGTTCGTTCGAGAAGATGGATCGCCCGGGAAGGGTTTCTAGACGTGGAGAACGGAGGAAAGGAAGGAGTCTGTCTGCTGTCAACTCCAGGTCACTCACTGATTGCTCAGTGAGCACGCACCGGCCGCTATCTAAGGAGGGCGCACTGACTCGATGCTCAGGAGCACTCAGCATACACTGGGGGAAAAGCGTAGAAAACAGTTCGTCTTAGTTGAGTAAGATGCCGCGACCCGGTCCATCCAGAAATGTACCCGTCGAGTATCCGTACCAGAATAAAACAATAATTCTTCCCGTAAGCCCGCTAGTCAGTTGTGTCTGGTCGATCCAACCCCCAGTCGCTCATACGCTGGAGACTGACTGAGAGTACGAAGTAAGCAAATCTTAATCATCGTACGGTTCTCCCTTTTGGATCGCTCCCCCATCATCATCTTTCTGGCTGCTTCAACTTCACTGTAATCCCTTTTTATTTTTATTTCTTTAATCTTGATCCCCCTTTGCCATATTTGTACAAAGCATGAATGATTTACGATCCCCCCCCGTCTGTCTCGCGATTGTCTTTCCCAGCCCTGCTCTGAATTGAGAGTTGTCCTTGTCCCTTATTCACGAGAGAAACAACGGCTGGGGGATTTTGTCGGCCTGCTTCTGGCTCCCCCCCCCCCATCCCTAAATTAACGACGTCCTCTGAGAAAATAGTACTTGATCCTAGCAATCATCTCCCGTGGCTCACATCTCTCGATGGTTCCCCCCTTGAAGTTTGATCGCGAGCGACGATGACGCTATTTAGCCCGACCACTGTCCTCGTCGGCTTCCTCCTCCTCTACCTGTCCTCTTTCCTTATCTTCGCCATCGTTCGAATCGCAACCGGAATCTCCATTCAGCGAATCGGATACTTTTCTTTGCGCCGTATTGCATACGTCCCCCGCGAGGGAGTGCAGATCGAACTCCGCGGGCTTGGGCTTTCGTTACACCCCCCTTCTTTCGCCCAACCCACATGGCTGAGTCTACGGTTGACCGAGTTGAAGGTGACGCTAGACCCCTCAGCTTCGAGGAAGGATAGGAGTGCTGCCGGTAAATCCGATCCCGACGAGCTCCAAAGCCCCTCGGAGGAGGAACCGAGTCTGCGGCAAGATGCAGCAGATGACGTGACCCCCCCACGCATAAGCAAGACATGGATGACTCTAAACCGCGTCAAGGAACAGGTGAAACGGCTGCACCGACAAATTCAATGGCTGAAGCTAGTGGACATTGTCGCCGTCAATACGACCATCAATTTTGTCGAAGCTGGGCAGATTCAGATCGGAACGGTCTCCTTAGCGGTCGACACAAGGCGTAAGATGGTGGATCGAGGAAAGGTGTTTCGCCGGAAGCCAGAGGAGTCGGGGGAACAGCGTCCCGCGGAGTGGATAATGAACGTGCATAATATCCTGCTCGCTGTCGAGGGTAGTGAACCGATTGAAGTCTTGGATCATCTGGGGTTGAATATTCACGGCATGCTCCACCAAGGCCTTGATGGCCTCCGGGATACATCCGTGGCCTTTAAAATCGGGAGACTACATATTCCGTACGATGATCTGATGGCCCTCACGCGACGGATCAAACAGTCTCGCAAGCCCCTCTTTCCAGTCGAAGTCGCAGAACGCGGGGATAAGGTTTCGTTGGCAGACTTCGTCGAGGAGTTGGACAAGCCTGGAAGCCGGGACGATGCTATTGTTCAGACTGTTGCAGCATCAAAGGAATTCGCGGGGTCGTTACTGCGCGGAATCCAGGAAATCCAGGTGGCATTGAGCTTCTTCAGGCTCTCGAGGGCGATCCAGCCCCCCTCCCCCGGACAGAGTTCCGTATACCTTAATGTTGTGTCCCATGAAATAGGCGTTGATCTCCATCGCATGGATCAAACCAGTCCCTCTCATCGGATGTACTTCCAGCGGAATGATATCGCCCACCGTGCCCTCCTTGCGGCCATCTCCCTCTCCGTGAGCCTAGACGACAGCTCGGGCGAATCGGATAATATTCTATATATACCTATGGCCACTACAACTATAAAAACGACCTTACCCTCGAAAATAATCAGCTCCTTTGACGGCTCCAACCCAGAGGAACGGAATACTAACATCCTGTTCGCAAACCTCGTCATTACGTCTCCTGCCATTGACCTAGAGTCTCAACATGTCTCTAGACTGTTGGTATTGGCTCAAGCCAAGACGTCTGCTTCTCGTGGGAAGAAGAGGGATAGTCGTCGACTCATGTCTAGATTACTGCCGAAAGCCAGTATCAAACTTTCAGTTCATGAGCCCGTTGTTCGATTCGTCCTCCCGATATCAGAAACCTCCCCTGCTCCTGAAGATGACTATAACCTCCTCATCTCCTCCATCTCCTCCATCTCCCTAGATGTGGAATCTTCGCATTCATCAGAGGGTGGTGCCCACTACTCTTTATCATCTATCTACAGGGTTGCATCACACAAGCTCTATTATCAAACACCTTCTGGGATTAAGCATAACCTTTATTCCACCGAAAATATGGAATTCAAGGTGCTTCTTAGTGCTTCGCCGGAAGTGTGTGTCATAGCGTCGGGGACCTTAAATACATGTTCAGCACACATGGTTAATAGTGAAGTTAATCGCGGCATTCGACAAGTCATTGAACAGTTCCAGGCGCAAATGCAACCGAAGCAAAGATATCCCGTGTCGGTTGAAGAACGGAAGCCAAGGTTTTTGAGACGCCTGCCCCCTTGGCTGTCTCGTTTCCAATTTGAAGCAACCGGATTCAGCCTGGAAATTGCCGGAGTTGATACGCCGGTATCAGATGTCTCGCGAGGAGTGTCGTTACAGCTGGAATCTTGGACAGCGGATTACCGAGCCCAAAAGACTGAGCCAACGGTTGTGAGTGTTGTGAGAAGGCGCACCCCCAGTCACTCGACAATTGGCGATGAGTCGCCATTTAGGTTCCCTCCAACCTCACCACCTAGGCAAGCTAAAACTGGTGCTGCGGATGGGAGGCGATTAGCCTTCCATGTCCGTGGATTTGAGGGGTTTGTTATTGAATCCGAAGACTACCTGGAAGCAGAGCCGTTTTTCTCTTTTCCAAGATTTGAAGTGGCTTTTAGCACGTTGAGTGACCGTCTTGGACCCATTTTCAACATCAACTCCGTTCTCAAAGGGGTTTACCTCCAGTATTCTCTCTACCGCTACTACTGTCTAGGTGTAGCATTGTCTGTTCTCCAAGACGCCTTCTCAAAGCGATCCCCAACTCCTGAGCGGACACATCACCAGAAAGATACGAAGGAGTTTCCATATTCTTCGGCACCGCGTGCTGCCTCACAGAGGGGTGAAATTGTGACTGTGGACGTCAAAGCCACGGTTGTTCAACTGAAGACTTTTATGCCTGCGGACCCGCCAATGCTATTCCAGTTTTATGGCTTGACTGCGGGCCGTCATCGCCTGTCTTCTCCATTCGTGAGGGCTCATCTAGTTCGGTTACACGCAGAAGCACCAAAGCTTAAAGGGGTTTGGGCGAGAATCGTCAGTATGAATAACTTCCGCCTCGATCTACGACAGATGAAGTTAAAGCAAGGCGGCGACTTTGTGGAGGAAAAGTCAATTGATATTTGGACCGATTTTATCCGAATAGGAGTTCCTCATCACCTGATTATGCACCGTATTTTTGACAACTTCATCAATACCGCCAAAAGCCTCAAGCAGTTGCATCACCGATTCAAGAGTCACTCCCCGGATTTCGTTTCCGTAAGGGACCCTGAAGAGCCGAAGAAAGTTCCCAAAATATCCCTGCGCAGCAAAGCTCTATTATTTGAGTTAGAGGATGATGCGTTTGAGTGGAAGTTAGGCTGCATATATAGGACCGGTCTTCTCGAACAACGCCAAAGGCTAGCCCGAGAGGAAGCCTTCGAGCTCAAACTCCAAAAAATTAAGGAGTGCGATCAGCGACGAGCCTCTTCAAGGCTTCGCACTAGATCTAGCCACCGAACCTTGCGTAGTGAGCGGGTTAGCCAAGATACACGAAGAAGCAAGAGCGCTGATGCAAACCCGCGAAACGATGCACGCGATGATAAGCGCGGCCGGGCACGAAGATTCCGCTATGACGCCGAAGGCACAACCTGCTTGTCCAGTGAAGCTAAAGTCACGGGGGAGCAGGTTTGGTATCGCCTGCAACATTATAATGCACGAAGCTGGAAATCGAAAATTGACGCAGCTCTGCAATTTCAAGGCTGCTCGATCAAGGCTGTCCGCAATCTTTTCTCGGGAGCCGATGAACCCCCAGATGACGTGCACGAAACGGAGACGGTGCTTTCTATTCCAAACCGACCCGCCCTGATGGCAGCTTTGATTAGCGACCTCAGCTTGACTATCGATAAGCCAACGTTCCCTCTTGAGGAATATCCTGTATTCCTACATACGATCGGCAAAGGAATGCCCCTGGATACTAAGTACGCATTGCTTATCCCAATGAGCATTTCATTAGATATGGGTGAGGCACGTGTTAATCTCCGTGATTACCCCTTGGATTTGTTACATATCCCGGCCTTGCGGCCGGGACAATCACCAAGACTCCCAAGCTGGTGCCTTCGCACCAACTTCGTGATTGCGGAAGAGTACAGGGATTATAAATCGTCCAGGCAGGTAAGTGTGGAACTGGTTCCATCATCTGAGCTTGCCGATGGGACTGTAATAAGCCCTCCATTCTCAATCAATGTCTGGCGGTCTGTGAGTCCCGTCAAAACTTACTCAGACCCCGTGTTTGAAATCAATACAAATCTTCCAACCAGTATCTCTTGGGGAATGTCCTACCAGCCTGTCATTCAGGACATGATGAAGATTATTGAGGGATTTACGAAAACCGAAATTGACCCTTCTGAGCGGGTTGGATTCTGGGATAAAATCAGGTTAAGTTTCCACTCTCGAATTCGGGTCGTATGGAAGGAGGACGGTGATGTCCACCTCCGCCTGAAAGGCTCTCGCGATCCATACGTGGTAACTGGGTTCGGATGCGGGTTTGTCATGTGCTGGCGCAAAGACGTCCAATGGGACATTCATACCAGTGACAACCCGCAGGAATTTATGAGCGTGACAAGTGGCGAGTACGTTTTGGCCGTCCCAGACTACAGCCATGAGGCTCGATATCTGGCCGAAGCAACGGCCGAAGATCCGGACACTACCTCGAGCTCAAGTGATCTGAAGAATGCCGCTCTTTTCAAGAAGGTTATCATGAAGCTATCTGGCGACGTCAAATGGGCGGCAGGCCTGGTGTTTGAGCGCAATCTCGATGTTAACAAACGCTCGACGCACTTTAAACCCCATTATGATGTGATTTTGCAAAATCCCATCTATGTCAATGATGAACAGAGAAAGGTAAACTGTTTTATGAGCCCGAGATTGAATGCAATATAATTATTTACTAACGTAAATTCTAGGACTACGATGCTTATCGCGGATTCCGAAGCAACCACATTCATCTATCGGTTGCGGTCGTCGCTCCTGTCAGCCGAAATTGGTCGGCAAATTCCGCACAGCCGACCACGAGTTACAACACTGTCCATCTAAGTCCCAGGTTCTTCACGCATTTCTTCAGTTGGTGGTCGCTCTTCTCCGGAGTGATGTCTTTGCCTGTACGGCAGGGACCACTTTGGCCGGGTATTACAAAGACAAGCAAGAAGTTCAACCGGCACCTTGCCACTGTCAAGTATAAATTGCTTCTCGCTCCTTTGTTTGTAGCTCACATCTACAAGCACAAGGACCCCGAAGACTACGCCGAAGATGTAGTCACCGCTACGGGTCTCAAGGTGCGGCTGGACAGCCTCAAACTGGATCTTCATCAAAGACGTGAACAGATCCAGACCCAAGCTAAAGGCAGACTGAAGCAAACCCAAGCGAGTGCGATGCGCATAAATCGAGCCGAAGTGGATTTACAAGCCGCCGACTTCAGAGCTGTCTCGGCAAGTATTGAGGGAACGAGTCTGGATGACATTGAGACCAGAGATGATATTCTTTCTTCCTTCCAGCAGCCAGTGCCGCTAGTTGATATGTCCCGCTTTACAATTCCAGATCATAATCTCGATTGGATTGACATGGATGACTTTGTGGAACTTGACTGGATACTCCCGCAGGAGTCGAATCCTCGAACACAGATCCTGCCCTTGGCTTTCACACCACGCTTCAACTACTTCCGCCAGACAGATCATGGGAACATAACTCCGGACCAAACCGGCTACAGTACCTTTGGGAATGAGAACACCCACGAATGTGTCATGTCCGAGACTAACGAGCCCCGCCGAGTGCAAATGGATCTGATTAGGAACCGACTTGAAACCGTCGAAGCCCAACTCCACGACTGCACCCGTGCAATTGGCGAGCAGGAGCTTCAAATGGCGAAGGATATCGATCATGATCCTCAACTAAAGATCCAGCACCGCGACTACCTGAAACAGGCGGAGTCGCTCACTCGCCGACGTACATTCCTTACAGCCGGGCTTCACCGTCTCGAAAAGCAGCTGTTGCGGAGCAAGAGTTCTGATTCATATCCAGGCGAAAACGCTTCTCGCGCCGGAGCTGATTCGGATTCGTCCAGCGAGGTCAAAGACACGGAATTTGAAGGCTTGGACACATCTCCTGGCGATGACCTGCACGTTGATTTCAACAATCGGTTCATGATCCATAGCATCCAGCTCAAGTGGAACAATTCCCTGAGAAATATCATTCTCCGTTATATCCACCAGGTCAGCCAAAGGCGTGGTTTCGTGTACTACATGTCGCGAAGGGCCGTCAAATTCATCCTTGACATTGTTGAAGAACAAGGCAAAAGTCAAGGGAGCTATTCGAAGCTGTTCAGAAGGGATTCAAGACGGCCTTCCCTTGATGTCCGTGATGATGACGACAGTGTCGAGGATCGTATTGAGCAGCTACTGAGTGATGCCAAACGGTTTGTCAATGCAGAGGAGCCGGAATCTACGGACCAGAGGGAGGTACCAACAGTGCGGTCCGATAGTTTTAGTGAAGACATATCTCCGGAATATACTGCCCAGAATAGTTATCACTTGCGCCTTATTGCACCCCAGATCCAGCTTCAGAGTGAGAAAAACTCCAAGTCAGTGCTACTTGTCGCCGCCAAAGGCATGCAGCTGAAGGTTGTGTCTATCCGGGACAAGGAGCGGGTTCTCGACGACGTCAGTGGTCTTGTTCAACGCCGTTTTACCCTCGACATGGATGGCGCTCAATTCTTTGTCGCAACGCAAAAGAATTTGATGTCTCACTTGCAATTTTATGCAGGCAACAGATATGGCAACGCTCCAGGCTCCGCATGGCCACCGTGGTTGACACTTGAAGCTATGTTCGACTTTGAACTGAACCCGTTCGGATTTTCAAGGATTATCCAAAAGACCTCCGCTAGCTTACGATATGACAAGTACAACAACCTCCGTCTCAAGTATAATGATGAGGTCGCCAAAGCGCAGCCAGACCATCAAGCCGGCCCCGATGGTCAGGAGACTCGGATGGATCAAATCAGGGTCGACTTTCCTCAATTCCGAGCTATTTGTGACTCGGCTGAGTATTACACGCTGTATATTATCGTGCTCGATTTACTGCTTTATAGCGAGCCGCTTGAGAAGGTTCGCAATGAACGGCTGGAGAGGATCATGCTTACCTCTGATTTTAGCGACCTCAGAGGAGCTCCCGAGATGGTATACAAGCTACAGTCCCGTATACGTCAACTTGAGGAGATCAAAGAACATTTCCAAATCCATGCAAAGTACCTCGATAGAAAAGGTTGGGAGGACCGCTTGGTACTTGAGAAGGACATTGCCCGATGCGAGGATGAACTGTTCTTCTTGATGAAGGCAATCACAACATCGCAGAGAAAGGTTGAACCGACCACGACTGGAGCCAATGGAATCTTGCGCTGGAACATCTCCGCTAGCGAGTTCGTTTGGCACTTGATGAAGGACGAGTCAGAGCCTTTGGTTGAGTTCCAGCTGAGGAACGCGGAATACGACCGAACCGACAACAGCGATGGATCGAACCACAACCAAGTAGCAGTCGAACGTTTGTATGGCTTGAACCTGCTGCCAGATGCCATTTACCCGCAAATTATCGTACCTTATCTTGACCAGGCCCGGCGCCTCGATGGGCCCGATGACTACATGATCAAGGTCAAATGGCACATGCTGGAAGCAGTTGCCGGTATCCCAGTGGTCGACAACTTTGAGGTTTCGCTTTTCCCTCTTAAAATCCAATTGGAACATGAGCTTGGGCAGAAGGTCTTCGAGTACATGTTCCCTAATGTCGGGGGAAATGCCTTTGAGAACGGTGGCTTCTCGCCTTTCATGATCAAGAACGTTCAGCCGTTGGAGGACTCGGACTCCGACGAACACTCGCACGTAGTTACCGCCGCCGGCGTTCCAGGAAACAGCGACCAAGTGGACGAAAGTAACCCCAAGGGCCATGGTGCAATCGAGCTGAGGCTGCAGCCTACGCTGTCGTTGACCGAAAAACCTCGCATCCAGCACCGCCACACCCATCTTAAGGGTCTTGCAATGACGCCAATCCACAAAGATAACAACAAGCTCACCGATCGCGCAAGACCTACCACAAGTAGTTCCCTAATGAAGAAAAAGTCTGCCGACAGCCTGCGAGTTTTGGCGAGACAAGCTACCGATAAATCCTTCAATAGCTCCAACACCAGTGTGAATGATGAGAAGAAGAAGTTTGCCCTAGGTCGGATGGGTAAAGGGAAAGACAAGAAGAATATGGATGACTTTTCACAAATGATGGCCCGCGCATCGAATTACATGACGCTTGCCCACGTCAAAGTGCACGATGTAGTTCTTTGCCTGAGCTACAAGGGCAAGGGCGACCACAACCTGGAGGACCTCCATGACTTCGTTTTCCGGTTGCCGGTTCTAGAATACCGGAACAAAACGTGGTCGAATTTAGATTTAGCTCTGCGGCTCAAGAAGGACGTGATCAAGGCCCTTATTTCGCATGCACCGGCGATCCTGGGCAATAAGTTCTCGCACCACCGGCCATCCAAACAACAGCTGCGACGGTACCGAGAGCTTGCAAACTCCAACCAAGTTTTGCACAATCAGGACAATGCATCCATCATGGAGACGGGTCCAAGCTTCGCCAGTGCAGACTCCAACAGCGAGTTGTCGGAGTCACAATCGCACCGATCATCTCCCCTGGCACGGTCAAACTCTTTGGGGTCTAGTATGTTCAGCACTCATGACCAGAACGGGTTGTTGTTAGACTCGCATTCCGCAAGTGAAGTCGATGTGGATGCTCGCTGGGAGGTAAGTTTATTTCCGCCACAACGCAAGAAAGGAGGAAGCCATTCTAACGTTCCATAGCAATCGCGGAGAGTTGTCAATCCTCCGGCGCGCCCCATGACATCTGGCACTGCAATCCTACGCTCCGAGACAGTCCGCAAGTGGGATTTTTCAGAGGACGGGTGAGCTCATTATCTGCTGTGATTGACTTAGCACGTCCGCTAACTGGTATTGCAGTACCAACAACAGTAGCACCAACAAAATGACGATTCGCAATCTTGGCCGCAAATTAATTTCCTCTAGGAAATAGGTCGCGTCCTGTCCTCCGCGTTCCCTTGTACGATCTATTAAATTTAGGGCTGATTTCCCACATCACGCCCGCCTGCAATCTATTGTTTTGTTACGAATACCCCGGACGCAGTAAGTAGGTGGTGGTATATAGGCGTCAGGTTCTCGACCTCCCTAACTCGCTATATTTTTCTTTCTTGTCCGTGACATTTCTCTTTATTTTCTCCAGTTACTCTTAGCGCCTTGTTATCCCTACTGCTTACTCTTTTCTTCCCTGTACTATTCTGGGGCAGGGAGAGATTTACCGTTCTTAGACCCTCAATTTGCAAGTTGGATGTTATTATCTGGAGTTATGCATTTGTGATTTGGCGTGCTGCTACAAAACGGGTTGGCTCTATTGTCATCATATCATTGGTTGGTAGTTCGGAGCAGAAGGATGCGTGTGCATTGGATATAAAATGGGGCATCTGGCATCTTTCTTTCTTTCTTTCTTTCTCTTTTCTTTTCTTAGGTGTATAAAATAGGATGTATTAGTATTTAGGGTGAAATGTATGCAATTACATTAATTAGTACGATATACCAGATACCAGATATGGTCAATGAAGAAACCAGTCAAGCGTAATAAGTATATATATATATATATACATCAAGTAACGACAGGAACAGCTTGGGCTTTTCTTCTACTAGTTACTAAGCTATTCTCTCAATTATCCAACCTTGCTTGCTTGCTTGCATATTTGTATACAACGTCCTTGCGCCCCCTTTACTGGCTGGTATAAAGACACCCATTAGGGTTCTGGGCAACCTGCACCCGAGCAGCAATCCCCACACAGCCCTGGTTGTATCCGGGGTTGGCCACGCCGGCATCAGCCCAGATGCTGAACGCGCCCTCCTCCAAGCTACCGGGGCAAGCGATGAGGTCCTGCCCCGCGAACTGCAGGTGGTTGTCGCTGGTGATGGCCCAGCCTTTGCGCTCGCTGTTTGTCGGGGCGGGTTCGGCGCCGGTGGTGTATCCGATGACGCCTTGGCCTGTATCAGTTGTGATTATTAGTTATATATATATATATATATTCTCTGTGGTTAAGGTGCACCACTCACCCATTCCAGAACGATCAACAAAGATCTCCTGCGGAGTGGCCGAGGCGTCGTAGAGGAATAGAGCGCCGTCGTCGAGGTAGAACGTGGCGGTTTGCTCGCCGGGCCGGTCGCAGCTGGCGTTCTGGTGCTTGAGTCCGGCTAGGAGACTGCTTTTGGCTGCGTTGAAGGGCGCGTATTGCACGGCGTTGCCGGAGTGCATGGCCACGACGCCGAAGGGGTTGGTGCCGACGGGAGCGGGAGAGGGAGAGGGAGAGGGAGAGGGAGAGCCCGAGCCTGAATCGCAGGTGCCGGCGGCGGCGGCGGGGCGGCGGCAACTAGGGCCGGAGCGACGGTGAGGAGGAGGGTTTGGAACTTCATTTTTTTGTTTATGCTGAGATTGAGATTGAGATTGAGATTGAGATTGAGAAGGATGAACAGTCCATGTCCTTCCTTCCTGCCTTTTATACCATCAACAGTAGTAGTAGTAGTAGTAGTAGTCTGCCAAAGCATGGATGGTGAATCAATCTCGTTAGGTTAGCACTGAGACACACACACACACACACACACACACACACATGAATCACATCGGATCGCATGACCTCATCGCCCGCGACGGGTAAATATTAAAAATAGTTGGACGGAGGCGGCGTGATGGGACCCCCTGAGACAGATGGAGCCGTGGAATTGGCTGCGATTCACATCCCCGGGGTGAGTGAGACAGTAGTGGATACGAGATTCAACCCTGAGAGGGGGAGGGAGGAAGAACAGAACAAACCAAATGCTGTGTTTTGAACCCGCGTGTCCTGATTTGAGATGCGAGTTATCATACGGGGGGGCTGTGAAGTTGCCCTGGAACACGGCCAGACTTGTTATTTTCGTCGTTAGATTAACCTAACAAAAACGGATCCGGGAGCGTTCCGCTACAGCTGTCGATCTTATATCCGCCATGCTGCCCTTTTTGACGACTATCAAACAATACATAGATACCTACTCTGTCATATTAAGTGGGATGGAGTGGCGTGTCTCGGGCTATGTGTGGATAATGTGGAGGTATACGGAGACTCCCGGACGAAATGCAGAAATGCCCGACTCAAAGAGGTTTTATTCTTGGTGCACCTCTAGAGCGTCCCTACATATACCCCCCGAAGGCACACTGCCTAGGATAGGCGCACTTGGCAGACTCAAAACCTGGTGGATCTCTCTACCTAGTACCAGCCAAGCGAGTTTCAGTATCAGTCAGCCCTGCCTCATGTGGTTGGTTGGTGGATGGATGTGGCGAAGCTGGATAGATAGTAGTTGTCTCTGGACAGGCTGGACTTTCTTCTTGTGGGTTGGTTGATAATAATAATAATAAAGGAGGATGGATGTCTCGGTCTCGGTCTCGGCCTCAGAAGAAGTGGCTCATGGCATGGAGAAGTGATAGTAAGGGTATAAAGGTCAGTAAACAAGAAGAAAAGATGGGCTTTTGTTTATGAAAATGTCCTTTTTAAAGCTGAGAGGTACCCAGATGCATTCTTTCATATCAGTATCAGTGGCTTATTCGTACAAGGTCACTATGGAAGTGGAAATACTCAGCCCAGAACCATCCACCACCACTGTTGAACCATCCATCCAGACTCTCCAGCACAATCCCCACCTTCCTGGCGCATTACACCCGCCTCATCCATCCAATCAAGCAACATCTGAATCTCCCATGCACCCATCGTCGGCTTTACCATGTTCGCGATTCCGCCCGCCGTAATGCCAGGTCGCGTTGCAACACAGCCGAGCACAGCTGCCACCGCCAGTTCCCAGAGGACCTGGATAAAGCCGCCGTGGATATCGTACCATAGCGGGATCTTCCCGGGGACGGATGTCGATTCATTCAGGGCAATCTGAGGGGGACAGGGTGGTGGTATGCTAGACGCCTTCTCATAAACCGGGTTTCCGCGCACATAAGCCCCTTTGACGGACCGGACTTCAACAGGGAAACGCAATTTGTCTTTATTCATTTGCCGAGTGAGATATCCCCCCTCTGTAAGGCCGAATTTGTCACGCGGAGCATCGCACGGGGCGAATGTGACCTGGCCCTCTGCGAAGAGGTTGACCAAGGCTATAATGTCGCCGTCTTCTTCATTGTAGGTGAGCTTGTATACTCCTTCTCGGCCAGAGAAGATCGCGTCGTCAAGGGTGTCGGTTTTGAATCGCGTTGCGCGTCGGAACTCGGTAAGCTCAATTGCACGCCTCTTGCTCAGATTAAACAAGAAGTGCTCTGTGATGTCGTAGTTGCGACCAGGGGTGACACGTCCCCGGTTCCCCTGGGAAATAACACGCTCGTTTACCAGCGATTGGAGCGCAGGACCAATAAGTCCTCCGTCGATATAACTTAGAGCTTGTCGGGCATCGGCGGGGCGATAAACTTCCTCTGGGGTGGTAATGTTGGCTCGAATCCATGTCTTAACCGTGTCGAGACGGGAAAGCTCCCCTTGCCGAAGTGAATGATGGCTGGACTTCTGCCGTAGTGGAGCGGCGAAGGCCATGTTGGCATAGAGAACCCGTTTGCGGCTTACTGTCACTGATTGGTTTTGGAAGATCTCATCGAGCGAGCTATAGGATTCTTCACGAAGCTCAAAGATATTGTCGAATTGTTCCCGAGTGGCAGGGAGATCTGGAATCTTTTCGGACTTGGGAACATCCAACTGCACATTTGCCCATTCGATGACTGTATTCCAGTCGTATCCTTCTAGGTCATCATAGTTGATACGTGGGACCAGATCTTTGGCATATGCTTCAATGAACTGCTCCTGGAAGTCACTTTGCATCTTCGCAACCTGCAGGCGGTTTTTGCTGAGAATGCTCTTGCCCTTGTCCTGGATGAATTTTGGATCTTGATCTGGGAAGCCGTTGGAGACAAGCGTCCAGTCGACCATTCTCCCATCAAGACCCCCTGCGAGAGCGCGTACTACCACAATCGCGGTCATCAGCTTCTGTGACATCGAACGCGGTAGTTGCTGGGCAAGACGGGTGCGGCGGAGAGGCAGTCGAGGTGTTTGTGCCGCCGATAAATCACTTGCCATTAACTCGTTCAATTTCTCTAGACGGCGATGCTGGGGAATAGCCGGCTTACGATATCCTTCATAAACATAAGGGGCCTCTGACTCTTCCCTTGGTAGCCTAGATGGCGAAGAAGAAGAAGAAGAAGAAGAAGCAGGAGGAGGGGCACCGGGCTCCAAGTGAACAAAATTTGGTGATCGAGGAGCACGTTGCCTTGTCGTTATGGCTCGAGCAGCTGGCCGAGAGGTCAAGTCGGTTTCACCCCCATCAAATCGAATACCTCCTTCAACTGGGACAGTCTCAAACGAATCTCGGATCGTTTGGTTAATATAGCTAAGACCTTCTCCTTTCTGCTGGAGCACTTCTTCGTTTTGAAGTTCCCATCTGAGGATGGTGTCAGTATCTCGGAAGAATCTCCTTGACCGTGGATCATTGTTGCCCGAAACGTTTACTGCACGCCGGCGTGTCTGACTGAATAAATCGTCCAAGGATTGGGGTAGACGAGACCCTTTCTTCAGCGTAGGAAGAGAGGGTTGCTTGGGAACAATAAACGCTGCAAGGCCAGCATTAGTAGAAAAAGTCCCGGTCTGAGAGTGGAATCCCTGTCTCGGATTCATCAACATTGCGTAGGGTGCTATCAAGGAAATTGGAAGTACGAGGCGCTTCAGCCGGCGGGCACCGCCCTGCTCATCTAATCCCTGACCAGTTACAGCTTCTCGTCGCCTTGGAACGCATCTTCGGAAGTCCTCCCCAGCTTGATCCGGTTGGGAAATAGAAGTTCTGCCATGGATCATAGTACCATCCATGTCAGGACGCTGGATTGAGAGAAGTCTGACAATACCAGAGGGTCGTTTCCTGTAGATAGTCTGTTCCAATTCAATTCTCTGGAGAAGCTTCCGCTGGATGCTTTGACCTCTTCTTCTCTCAATAGCTAATACGGATGCAGGCTTTTGGTGCAGTTGCACGGTGAGCCTGGGTTCAACAGGAATATGTGTGGCTGGCCTGTGGTCTCTTCCAGGAGTACCTTTGATTCCACTCTTTGTTAGACTGGGGTCGATTTCAACATTTGGAGGGAAATAATATCGCGCATCTGATGCTAGCATTTTTGCTTGCAAATCTTTGATGATGGGATCGTTTGGTGGTAGATCCGATTTGCAGACTATGGTCTTTGTAACCATAACTCCTTTGTAATCTCTACCGCAGAAAGTTTGTTGACGAAGCTTTCCGGCATCTACCAGATGCTTGACGGCTGTTTTTATTGTGCGTAAATCCGGCTTTTCCTTATATTTTGTTCTCATCCATGCCGTCATGAAAGGATACCAGAGCTCAGAGCCCATCGGATAAGCGCCCTGGGCCTGTTCGACTATCTTCATGATAATGCTCTTCCGCAGAAAAGCAACGGATCCTCCTTTGTCTGTAAGCTTCGGCCGCCTGGACCTAACAGAAGACGCTCCCGGGGTTTGGGAGGCGCTGGAAACCATGGGTTCATTATGCGAAGTGTGAGGTGTAGAAGGCTCCATGCCCGGGGTACCGTTGGCGAGAGTTTGACGACGGGAATTGTGCTCAACAGCAGGGGTCATCTCTACGATGGTGTCTTCTGCTATTGTTTGAGGCGCTTCTGTCAAGGATGATGAGTTGGCTGTGAGGTCAGAATTTTCCGGCAAGTGTGATAGGTCTTTATTTCCAGCAATATGAGCTGGAGTTAATGTTTGCAGACCTGCTTTCCCTTCAAGTAGGCGGCTTGTCTCTCGACGCAGTCGTTTTGATGGAGTTTCTCTCCTCGCACCTGCACTTTGTGTATGGGCTCTGCTAGTTTCTTCGCTTGGCATGGCTGGGGTTGAGGGTAAACCGCTTGTAATACTATCACTTTCCACGCCGACGCTACTTTGATTCCGAGAGTTCGGGGATTGGTGTCTTCTCCTCTTAGTCCCCGTTCCGGGGTGTCGAGCAAGTTTATCGGTATCCCCATCTCCGTGTCCAACATCTTTCACCATTCGTGTCTTGACGCTAACTTCCTGCTGTGGTGTCTCCGGCCCACTGATAGGCTTATGGGTATTTGGCACCTTTGAAGGTGTTTGTATAGTAGACTCCGACTCAGTATCGGAATCGGAGGGCTGAAATTGCCTTTTAGCGCCCTTCGCAGCGGTTGAGACCTGTGGTCTGCCATGTTCGACTGAGTCATGGGCGATAGGCGCAATTTTATCATTATCCAGCGCATCACGAGGCTGCGATCCTGGAAGTTCAAGGGTGCTGTTATCATGCGCTGCCTCAAACCACGGAAGCCCTCGCAGCTTTGGTGATTTGAACACTGCAAGCTGACTAATAGGTGGCCGTCCTCGTCGCTTACCAGCTGGTCTTCGTCGTCCTCGGGGAGTAACATATACTCCCGGACTAGGACGGTCAATAAGTAGGACACTGTATTCAGTCCAGGTCTCGTCCAAGCCGAGTGCTTCGAGCTTTTCCTTTTCAGACATCCCGATAAATCTATCGGATTCTTGCTTTCGCTTTTTGGGCGGTGGGGCTGTCGACATGTCAAGCATTTCAACGTCGGAAATATTTTCTTGCTCGATTTTTGGCCTTTTTGGTGTCCTCTTACTGGTTTCTTTGACAGCCCTGTCTGGTTGGGGTGTCCCAGCAGGCAGCTTCTTATGCCCATAATGGATCCCTAGTGATGAAATAAATTTAACAACTCATCTCCGTGGAAAATTTGATACGCTATGGGCTTACCATAGGTCCCATCCTCCAGCCGCACGGGTTTAGCATCGCTGCTTGAAAAAAAGTAATCGGGCGGCTTCATCGCGTTTATACATTCCGCCAGGGAAGCATTGCCATTATTTAGCAAATCTTTGATTGGGATATCTACAGGGAATCCATATTTGTCGACCTGAGGCTTAGCATCAACGGCAGGAACACGGACATTGTCGGATTTGGTATTCTTCGGGACAAACTCGACGGCTTCCCATGACGATTCTCCTGCGTCAACCAGCTGACCGAAATTTCTTGCAGAATAATGAACGTAGTGAGTAATGGTGCGATGGAGGGCTGTATCTCGCACAATGGCCAAGTGACGTAGATGGGGCGGCTGGGATGCTTGCCAGCATTCTACCAAGCGTGCCAACGTGTTCTCCAGCGGTCTGCGGTAAAAGGCCCCAAAACATGCTCGAATGACATCCTAAAGAAAACGAGTCAGTCCTCTGCAGGTATAATTGCTTCGCTCTCAACTTACACTGTTAGTACTGCCTGTGGTGCCCGTTCGGTCGATAAGCTCGAAAATCTGATTATGAATATTGCGATCCGGGGACCACACAGGAAGAGTGCGTCCCGAAAATTCTACATCTTCTTCCCTTTTCACGACGGCCAGAGCTCCCCCAGACGACGGCTCTTGGGTTGCATTCTCGCCGTCTATATCTTCTTCAAACTCTGCATTCCCCCCCTGTTCAAGACTGGAATAGATGTTCTTACTGAACTCATGAAACAGCTCAAAATCTTTCTCTGTTGGGTCTCGAACGAGCATGACACAGGGGTGGAATTTTTTCTGGGTGTCTGCGTATTGTGATAATGCTTTTACACGTTTTAGAACACCTATACGTTCAAATTTTCGCAGGGCACGGGAAAGAATTCTCCATCGCCATCGGTCAGCGAAACCCAGAAGACCCTTAAGATCGTTGCGGGAAATGATTTGGTATTCCCGCAAAATTTCAAACAATCTTGTCGTAAAAGATGCAAAGTCGATCATCTTATTCGCGTCAATCCCGGCATCGAGGTTTTGGACGGTAGGCCTTTCAGTACTCGCATTTCCTTGGTCCAGAAACCTTCGTAAAGTGCAAAGGCTTGTTCGGGCAGCTTTGATCTGAATGGCTCTTTTCTCGATATAGCCTTTTTGTTGCAACACGTCTGTACGCTTGGGCACTGATCGCTTATCCTGACCACTGAGCCTTATCAATTCGGGTTGAGCGATTCCGCTAGATTTCCGTGATGCAATGATAGAAAGGAGAGCGAACTCCATGGGTAGGACTTTCGTCTCATCTGGCTCATGTCCTGTGATCGCAAGCCACGTCCGCTCCTTGGAGACAAAGACACGGATTGGACCATTGCCAGTTTCAGGTTGGGGTTCGCTATCTGCTTCCTGAGAAGCTAGCTGACGCTGTTCGACTTCTGCAAGGCTTAGACCGTTTCCTTCCCGATTTTTGCCCACAGAGACTTCGGGATTTTTGGTAAGCCATTGCCAGACTTTTCCTTGCCATCGTCTGTCAATGGTCTGGCGGCGGTTCGATTCCTCCTTGGCAGATTTGGCATAAAAGACATCAATAAACGACAAAATATCAGTAGGGGAAGCTCCTGGTAAGTGTGTCAGCTGAATTCATAATGCATATTGTTGGAAGTAATAATTAAAATGATGGTGTTGATGTAGGTTTCAAACAAAGCCATTGGACGGATGCATCATGCCGGGGTTCTAGTGGTGGTGAAACAAGACTCAAATGTCAAAAAAAAAAAAAAGCCTACCTTGATCGCCACAGAGAGCAATCTCTGAGAGGAGGAAATCAATCAGGTCTCGTAAACTAGGGGCCATAGTGCGCCCATGCTTGTGCAAAGGGAATAAGAAAAAATTATTTAGCTGTTGATACGGCGCCTGTCATAATTTCCGACGACAGACAGCTTTTCAAATCATTTTATCATTCAGAGCGAAACGCGAGATTCGAACCAGCGTCGTGGGGGAGAAAAGCGGGTGTGGCAAGCTGGGACACGTGATGTGTGCCTGGAAATCGAGGCACCAGTGGAACCATGGCCTGAGGAATGTGCCAAGCATCCCGATGTCTACAGCAAAAAGCGCCTTGTTTGCAGCGATCTGGGGAACACTATTGCTACCAAGAAAAAGGAAACCCTGATTGTGAGGCTTGATATTCCAGAAAGAAAGTAGATCTCACGTGAGTAAATATGCCTTATATGCATATTTCCATGCCCAGCACCTAATGTGACGTGGCCACGGGTGGTCCACCCTTCGTTGTCTAGATGGCTTTGTTCTGTCACCAAAGACACAATCCTGGCTATGTTCTCAACAGTTAAGTATCCTGTTGGGGGCAGTTGCGCAGCTCAAATTTCGATTGCTGCCTCATCGCTATCATCATGGGTAAATTCCTGACGCCCAAGCAAACAGACGAACTGTAGGTAGATAGACGGCAACCAGGTTCGCTCATAAGTATACTGACCGAAATATAGGCACAAATCGATAGTCGCTTACCTTCTATCGATGAATGCTGTCCAGAGTGTTGCTGCAATTACTGAAGAGCTTCAATTTACCGAAGTCCCGGACCAGGCTTTCCGCCAGAAGTACGTTGGGGCGCTAGAAAGAAAATGGTCTGCCATTTCTCGGATCCAGAAAAGGGTAAGAAGGTTTAATTTATACGCTGAAAACACCGGGGAGGACGCGCAGACGTGCTAACTGACCCTTAGGTATTAGATCTAGAAGCTGAGAATCTAACTCTTCGAGAGAATGCGCACTCCACGGCTGTGACAAGTCGGTCAAAACAAGTCCAAGACCCTGTGAACTGGCTTCCAGGCCGTTCAGCCACACATACTCTCCAATCGCACCGGTCGGGTGTTACCTGTACTGCATTTCATCCAGTTTTCACTGTTCTTGCGTCCGGATCTGAGGATTGCACAGTAAAAATATGGGACTGGGAGCTTGGTCAAATGGAGCGGACGCTCAAAGGACATACGAGGGCTGTCTCCGGGGTCGATTTTGGTGGACAGCCAGACCATGTTGTGCTAGCATCATGTTCAAGCGATCTTACCATTAAAATTTGGGATCCAAATAAGGATTACGCAAACACACGCACGCTTTCTGGGCATGATCATACTGTGTCGACGGTGCGGTTCCTCACGCCCACTGGAAATATTCTTGCATCTGCTAGCCGAGATGCTTCTATCCGACTCTGGGACGTGTCTACCGGATATTGTATCAAAACTGTGCAATCCGATGGTGCCTGGATCCAGGACATATCTCCTTCATATGACGGGAGGTGGCTGGTAACTGGCGGGCGCAATCAAACAGCCACAATCTGGGATGTTTCATCCGGGAAAGCTATTGCGAATTTATTTGGCCATGATAACCACCTCGAATGCTGCGCATTTGCGCCACCAGCAAGCTATCCATATCTAGCAACCCTAGCTGGACAGAGGAAATCCGTCGGCGAAAGAGTAGAGTTTGTGGCGACAGGATCCAGAGACAAAACAATCCAGCTTTGGAGCTCACGTGGAAGACTCGTAAAGACGCTCGTCGGCCATGATAACTGGGTACGGGGGCTGGTTTTCCACCCAGGTGGGAAGTATCTAATCAGTGTTGGGGATGACAAGACAGTGCGATGTTGGGACCTTTCCCAGGAGGGACGCTTAGTGAAGACTATCGAAGGTGTACATGGGCACTTTGTCAGTTGTATTCGATGGGTCAGCATCATCCCTAAGTCATGCAAGCAGACCGTCCAGTCACCCTCAAGGACCACGAGAAAAGATATCCCATTAACTGACTTCCGGTGCGTCTTCGCAACCGGGAGTGCGGACTCTTGTGTTCGGGTTTTCATGTAAACCCCAGGATTTGGTTTTTAGGGCTTGATCACTATAATGGAGCTTTGTTGGGGGGTTCATGAATACCTACATAGCCATCCTATAATGGGATCTGGTGTTGCGGGGGCGTTCTTCGTTTGTCTTGCTTTCGACTTCTTGGATAAGTCAGGGTGCAAACTAATTGAGGATGTGTATCTATAATGGATCTGCCATTTCAGTGTCATACATGAGTTGCTTTTCCGTAAAGCTTATACACGGATTACGTTTCAAGTCTAAAATGGATCTGCCCCGATCGCGGGTCGTTCATTTCGCCCTTTTGGGCATCGAGCATCAACTCAGGGACTTTTAAACGTTCCTGTATATCCAAGAGCAAAGACTTGCGACTCTAAACTTGATCCGAATTATTTGTTTCGACAATTCGTATCATGCCTAGGTAGATCTAGACACCTGGAGTTTACTGTATAGACAGCCCGATGATACTCAGGGGGTAACTGCTCCAAGCAAGGGTATCGGAGTGGTTCCACCTAGCAGAATTGGGAATCTAACCATGCATAGTATAGTTAGTACCTAACTTTAGCTGTCGATGTATAATTCTCATATAAGATGGCTCTTGATTGGTGCGTATATGGACGTCCAACTTGTGATAGCCAGACAGTCAGACATACGGAGTCTTTAGCAATCATAAGACCACCGGCGTATGAAAGTGTAAAGCCGGTCCAGACTCTGATAGAACACTTGGTCGCTTAAGAGGGCGGGTTCTGGAGAGACAATTGCAAGATAGCGAAGGACATTTCGATCAATAAGAAATTGTTTATCCGTGGCAAAAAATACACCGAATGCCGGTTCATTTTTTTCGGTATTTGAAGTTTTGGTTTTTTTTTGTGTCGGAGAATCGGACATGACATCACCGGTCGTGGCCGTGTACGTCAGGCAGGGGAACACAGCCAACCCCAGGCTCGCCAAGTCCCTAGAAAGAAAGAAAGTGAATGTTTGGCCACTCATCGAACCTCCCGTTTGTTTCCGCCACTTGCAACAAACAATAAAAAGCAAAACGCCTCTCTGCCCATCAATCGGAATTTTCTATCATTGCTGCAAAGATTGTCCCTGTTTCCTTCCTATCTGATGGCCCTGACCATGAACCCTCCCGAATGATTCGACCCTGCGCCAACGACCGGACCTAATCACTGTCAACTTGCCCTTGCCTCGCTCTTGCCGCTGGGATGGAAGGAGAAACGAGCGCCGCTCAATCTTCCTCGGGCCCCCCGCCACTACCGTATTCGCTGTACAAACGAAAGAAATCGATTGCGTTCTTCTGGACATTGTTTGTTATCGATGCTCTGGCGCAGCCCGTGGTTCTGTTCTGGACGCTATGGTATGCCACAGATTTGTCACATAATATGGGTATGTGTTTGAGAAGCCAGGAAAGTTCCCGTAAGGACTGTTGATCAGGTCGCTCATACTTTTGGTCTTAGTATTTACCATAGTGACGATTACGTTGGGCGGTGTCTCCGTATTTGAGTACTTTTACCGACTCTACAACCTATTCCGTAAAGACTCCTGCACTCGACCTTTGAACGCCAGAAGATCATGGGTATGCGCCGTATAGTGTGAGGATATGACGAACAATCTTGGAAGCTGACATCTGGTGCAGCTAGACTTCTTTCAGATCAATTTCACCCTTGTTTGGCTGATATTAGCCGTCGAGCTCATTGTGTAAGCTGCGACAAGTTCCCTGCTCCCAAGGTTGGAGAGCTTGCTAACATTCTCGCAGAGGGACAGTATCTCCCGAGCCGTATGGTGAGTAAACTTTCTTCCAATCCAATCATTATAACATTCCTGACTTGTGTGGCTGTCTCAGTACGACTGGTCGCCATGGTCCTCCCCACTGTGATGTTCTACTTTGGTGGCGTGTTTCTCACCCTAGATATCCTACGAGCCTGCGGCTTCAGAGCGCCCTTCCGGATTTCATCCACGCCAAAAGGATCAGTCATGCCAACAGCGTTATATGTCCTTATTGAAGACGTGGTTGCAGTCGATGGTGGAGGTGGTCAAATCTATCGATACGCGCTTCGCACTAGATATCTTTCCAGCCCATACTTCCGACGAATGCTTGTCCAAATGAATTTCTTCTGGGCTGGTGGTTCTGTTATATGGGCTGCTGCCATCACTGCGATCGTCTTCACGGTGCCACAATCGGTTGCTTACACTGTATGCTCCACATATACTTCGCTTCAAAACTGCTGGCCAAGCTAACCTATCCCTTGTGACAGCTTGGATGGTCATTGCCCTTCGTATGGGCGGGACTTTGGACTCTGATTACTATTCCGTGGGTGAAGAGTGATCTTCGACGTGAGCAAGAGCTATGGCATGAGAGTCAAGGCCAAGGAGGTGTGCCCTACACCGATGATATAAACGCTCCATCTGCCAAAACGCGCCTCGAGTCCATCCACTTACCGCACTTCTTCCCCCAACTCCGCGAAAAGGCGTCTTCTCCCTCGACGCTATCTGATGTCTAGCTAATTAAGTTGTCGGAAATTCTCGATTCGTCAACATCCGTTCCAATTTATCAACTAAGAAGCTACCAACGTTTGTTTGCAATGCCAACGCCCGGAGCAGGTCTCTGTTATGCAGCAAAAGTAAAAACTCCATATACTGCGCGAATTTTCACTACATATCTTATGCCATTGTGTTTCAGATAACACCGATATACCAACAAAAACAGAAAAAAAAAAATCCAATTGGCGTTGGTTGAAATGAAGATGATGAGATGCGAATAGATACCCACTGTTTTTCTCTGCGACTTTTTGGTGATTTATATCCATTGACTGTATTGTTGAAGCGAGCTTATACCCTTTGCGATTCTGTGCCATGGATATGAGCGGGTTCTAGGAGTATGAAGGGGCTTTTCATATGTAGTCAAAACCAAATCATAACCCAGCACGGTCCTAACATCCGATCAGAAGGCGGGATATGGGTGGCCTTTGTCAGGCATCTAGTTCTTTCCGGGGGTTGCCTTCAGAGTTCTCCAGGGATATATTTTGGCGTTAGGTGTTGTGGGGGATGGCGGGAGGCATTCTTGTACAGTTCAACTCTTAGGTCGCAATGCATAGAATCTCACAGGAAGGAGTTTAAAGTTCTTTGGAAATCCCAGTTGTAGTTCAGACAAAATGACAGTCAATCCCACTTCCTTGAAGATGGCCCGAAACTTGTCATCTGTCCGTGTTACACTGCTGTCCTCCTCGTCGTACATGTCCTTCCCAAACAGGTCCGTGGAAAGATTCTCCTTGACCACGAGAATCCCTGTTTCCGTCAGAGCATTGCGACACCGGCGGAAATATTCAATCAATTGTACATCAGTCAGATGTCCCACACAGAACTGAGTCCAAATCAAATCATATTTCTTCTCCGGAACCCAGTCCTCAATACCCATCACGTAGATATCCCCAACTACCCCCTCGGGTTTCAGCTTGCTCTCCCGCATAACCTGTATGAATTTCTCAACGGGCTCCACGGCATCCACCACTTCGCAGACATGGCTAAGAAACCCCTCTGTCACGCGTCCAACACCCGCCCCGCAGTCGACCGCAGCCTTGAGTTTTCCTTCCGTCGTACACCCGGGTACCATCCGTCGGACTTTGGCTAGGAAGGTTTTAGATCCCCGCAAGTCAATCCGTGTATACCAGGGATAATCGCCGAGCATGCCGAGCATGGTTTTGGAATTCGCGGCGACGCCATTCCAGTATTTGATTGAGGCGGCGTGGTTGATATGCGAGTCGGGCGGGGCGTTTTCTGGTTTTGAAGGTCCGCTAGACCTATCTGCATCTGATGACATGGTTTGGGGGGGGGGGGGGGGGGCGACTGGACGAACTGCAACCCTGTTATTGCTTGTTCTTTGCGGAATTTGGAGAACATTCCAAAACCTGGGAAAGTTTTCGCTGCCTCAGGTTTATCCTTATTCAATAGTTTACATAAGCAGTCCAGGAACAAGTAACTATACTAACCTAATCGAGTAAAAAGCTCACAAAGCCTCTCTGGACTTCCAACATTACGAATGTGAATCAACTTCAAAGCGCTGGCTTGTGATGAACAGAGTCGCTTATCATATCAAGAGGATTCGCTAACCACACAGAATATTATAATATGGATGAATCACCAGGAGACGAGCATGTTGCTTTCAAGCAATGGGCGGAATCTCAAGGCGTCTTGATCAAGGGCATTACTCCGGCGAGGTTTCCCGGGCGGCGGCTGGGTATGGTTGCCACAAGGGCCATAAAAGTGAGTACATATTTCCAAAAGCTTCAGCAATTGAAACACCCGTGGTTCTCGTATTTAATGATAGTGCTGTTTTAGGAGAATGAAATTATACTGTCTGTCCCCGTAGCGGTGATGCTTACCATTGATTCCATCCCATCGTCGTTTGTCCGTTCTTTTCCCGCGGGAACTTCCATTCATGGAATCCTCGCGGCTTTCCTCACCCAGGGCAACTCCGATTTATTGAGTAAATGGGATACATGGCGGAGAGTATGGCCCTCATGGCAGGAATTCGAAGATAGTATGCCCGTTTTCTGGCCGGAACAGCTACGGGTTTCGAACTCTGAGTTCCAGAAAACGAGAGATGGTGGTGGCTCTAGCCCTGTTCTCTTGCCTCCGTCTATATCTGGGCGGTGGAATTCACTTAAGAAGCGACAGCTCAAAGTTAACTATGAGATGAGGTATCAGGACCTTCTTCGTCAGCAAGAGAAGCGACTCAAGGATGCATGGGCTCATGTTATTACCGCGTACCCTGAGACGGATTGGGAGAACTTTGCGCACCACTGGTCTATTATTAACTCGAGAAGCTTTTATTACATTTCTCCTGGGAAAGAGGAGCCAGAGGACTGGAACGATGCCATTGCGATGGTTCCTTTTGCCGATTACTTCAATCACGCTGATGATGCGGTAAGGTGCGCTGTTGTTGGTTGAGTATGTTATGGAGCTGATGCCTGTCTAGGCTTGCGATGTTAAATTTGATGGGAGAAAGTATACCTTCATGGCAACTAAAAGTTACGGTATTTCATGCTAGCCCCTTTCCACCGTGAAGACCTTTACGCTAAAGACTCCAACAGAGAAGGGAGAAGAGGTATACATGAGCTACGGATCTCACTCTAATGATTTCCTTCTCGTTGAATGTAAGTCCCATCATCCATCTACTACTCCTGACACCCGAAGCTTAACGCGCCAGATGGCTTCTGTCTCGACGAGAACCCATCCGACGGCATATTCCTAGACGACATCATCCTCAAAGCACTAACAATGGAGGAGAAAAAAGAACTGGCAGCTCAAGAGTGTTTCGGGTGCGTACCTTCCTGTGTCTATTGCATCTGTGTCACCGCTAAATAATCTCAATCCCGAAATTCCAGAAATTACGAAATCACTTCCGCAGGCCCAAACGCCAACACCACTCTTGTCGCATGCCTAAAATACATGCGCCGGGAAGACTGGCTGAATTATGTTTCCGGAAAATCCCAGCGAGGCTTTGATGCGAGGAAAACAACAGCTCTTATCTGCGCATGGGTTGATGTGTATCTTGAGGAGAGTCGGGCATCGATAGGGATTATCCAGGATCAGTATAATGCGGCATCATCGGACTCGGAGAAGTCCATACGGGAGAAAATGGATGTGGCGCTCTCTCGGTGGAAACAGATTCAAGAGATATGTGAGAATGCCGTGCGGGTGATGAGAGTGTAGACTGCATCTTCTGTCTCTTTCCCCCCCCCCCCCCCCTTTCTTTTACACATACATACATATATATATCAGGTACCAGGATAACTCCTACCTAGAGCCCCCAACTGTCATTCCTTTCATCTTACTAGCTACAAAGTAGGCACTCTCTCCAAAATCATCCTAAAAACAGAATACTTCCTTTTATGTATGTACCTCGCTCCAGACGAGTATCTATGATAATAAGTGCAAGCTATTCCTGGCAATCTTTTGAATGGATAACAGCTACATAAGTAACGTAATTCGAATGGTATCACACTTGGAATGGAAGACAGCATCGTACTTGAGAAGAGAAGCTTCGAACCCCCTCCCTCAAAAAACATAATAATGAAAAGAACACATTTGGGGACTCAAAGACTGGCCAGCTCATCTGTAGCCATTTGTCCTTTCCTCGCAGAAGTCCCAAAACTCCTTTGCTCTGTCCGTTCCACCCTCCTCCTTCAACTTCATCGCATTCAGCAAATTCGGTGCGACCGCGGTATGAATGCGACCCCAAGGAATAACATAGCATCCATTATTCTCCATCGAAATGTCCGGAGACAGACCCGCAAAGAGCTCCGTACGAGCCGCCAACTTGGGGCTATTGAGCAACGGCCATGAGAGAATCTTCATCAGCCTGGCGTTGCGCAGGAGGCTCGTGTTTGCTGCACCCGGATTCAAAGCGACGCTGACAATTGCATGCTCGGCGCCATAGCGACGCGCGAACTCCGCCGACAGAAACCAGTTCCCGAGCTTGGAGGTGGTGTAGTTGCGCACATTGTCCCGGGGTGGGCTGCTCAGTTCGGCCATGATAATGCCCTCTGGGGGTGCGGACAGCTCCACCACTTGGCTACTGAGCCAGACGACCCTCACAGACCCCGCAGAGGCGTCGACATTCGCGTTCGTGTTCGCGGTCACAGCCGCATCCAGCAAGGGGAGAAGCATCTGCGTAAACAAGAACGGACCAAGACAGTTGGTCGCCAGCTGGAGCTCGATTCCCTGCTTCGACACGCTCCCCAGGGGTGGTTGTGAGACTCCAGCGTTGTTCCAGAGAATATCAAGCTTGGGTTCCTTCGCTTTGAAAGCTTCCGCGGACGTCTTGATGCTGGCGAGATCGTCGAGCTCGAGCGTGATGAAGTCTAGCTGTCCACCTTCACTTTGAGGGACGGCTCTCTGGATCGCTTGGATGGCATTCTGGGCCTTGGCCTCCGTCCGACCTGTAATATAGACTTTGGCGCCCTTGCGGTAGAGGATTTTGGCTAATTCGAAGCCTATTCCGGAGGTACCACCAGTAATGAGAAATACCTTGCCTTTTTGGGAGGGGATGTTTTTCTCAGTAAAGGTAGGTCGGGGAGGGAAGAATTGCGAGAGCTGAGCGCCCATATTGAGATGGGACAGTTGGTATTGGATATTGTCTGTGTGTTTTTTGGACGAGGGAGAGAGAGAGAGAGAGAGAGAGAGAGAGAGAGGAAGGAGAAGTTTGGTTAGAAGAAGTACAAAGGAAAGCTTGACGATCAACAAAACAGCCAGCTATGAATTCATACCAATAGCCAGACTAAATTCAAGAGCTGACAGTAAGCAGGAGGGAAGAACAGAATTAAAATAAAAATACAGAGTGTCACTCAGTACTGAAGGGAGGTTACACAACACTCATATTATTCTGACTGCTGCCGTTATCAACATGGGAAAGAAGCCCCTGGTTAATTAAGTGGAATGTTAGTGACTCGAACAAAGAAAAAGGAGGTCTTGGATGCATATTTGCCTCACTTGAATCTTCTGTCAAGGCTTCATTTAGCTTGTCTCTCTATCATTTTCAGCTCAGGGAAACGAAAAAAAGTTGGTACCCGAAACCGTCTTCTTGGTGTTGGGAGTCATCTCTCTCTCTCTCTCTCTCTCTCTCTCTCTCTCTCTCTTCCTCTCCCTTCGTAACTTCATCCTTCATCCTCTCTTCATTTCTCTGACCCACCAATCGTCTCTCATCAAAGTTATTTCTTATTTGGACCTTATCCCGTTTCTAACTACACCAGGAAAAAAGAAATGAAAAAAAAAACCCCCCTGTCAAAGGTCATGATACCGTGGGCAGTAGATGCTCCACACCAGGTTTCCAATGTGGCTGGCCTTGACAGCCTCCACGTATGTTCTGAGGTCTTGGGAAAGCCAGTCACACCCCTGGACTTCCTCCACAATCTGACAGTACTGTTCAATATAGTCTCGGATCTCTGCTGCACAGACCGCTTTAGCCTCCTCCTCGTTAATGGACCGTTCCTTCATGATGACCCAGATCGCATTATACACGTAGTCCAGTCCAGAACGCTTGGCTTCCTCCTGTTCTTTATTCCACGAGTACAGGTCATTTGTTAGGCTGATGGCTGCATATCCAGGCCGAGCCAACTCCATACAGAGCTCCAGTTCGTCGTCGGGGATGGTAAGCGCCATGCCAAACGTCAACGTTCCATACCAGATTCTGGTGTTGGGTTAGTCAAAAAAAAAAAAAAAAAAAAAAAAAAAAACACTGGGCGGGCTGGATTAGACCAGACGTACAATTCACCGGCATCGATTATTCGGCCAGGCAAGTATTCTTCTAGCGTATGCTGCGGCTGTGATCGCGAGCGCGATGCAAGCTGCAGGAACTTGACCCATGCCTTCATCGTGGTGATTGCTCGATCGGAGTCAATAGCCATCATCTCTTTGATAACCTGGGCTTGAAGTTTGTCCGCGTTGCCGGCTACAGAGTCGAGATGCGGGTTAGCTGCTCCTTTACTGAAGGAATCGACTAACTGATCCCTTCCGTGCATGTCCTGTTTATCCTTAGCTGTTGAGCCCTTGACTAGGCTTCTCTACGCACCTTGTCGAAATCAATGAGCTTCTCCATCTCATCTAGAACAAATGAGTGACCTTGGAGATCATGGAACGGTCTGGTTGAAACTCACCATCATACAGAAACGCAAACTCGTTAGCATACGAGATGATTTCGAGGCGTTCGGGAAGACATTCTGGAACGGTGGCACTAACGAAGCTGAGGCTATCGCCCAACCCCCCTTTATAGCCAACCAACGGATGGACATATCGAACCCAGTCTTTCTGAGCGCGCAGAGTGCCGTCGATTTCTTTCTGGGGGTCTTTATGCGTGCGAAGCGGAATACCGCCGCCAAGGCTATGCGTTTCGTACACGCTCGGATCGACCAACTCCGAGTATCTGTACTCCATATTCCAGCAGGTAATCAAGTCTGTCTAGAATAATAAGATTAGATGTGCATGCAGATGTCAGGAATATAGTTCTGGGGAGGCTTATTTTCCAGCCCGGTATGAACAACATTTATATTGTCAAATCTAATCTTCGGGAAGGAACCGAAGACATCTTACGATGCCGAGATCTCGCCTGATGATAAGACAAAGGACACGGGAATAACTTGACCAGAGCAAAGCTGACCAAGAGCCGCCCAATGCGCAACCCGATGAAACAGGGAGGAGTCAGATCAACTCTCCGTCGCGAACACAGCAATTCGGCCATGGACGGCGGCACGCCTGAACCAACTACATCAATCGCCGGACCAACGGGATTGCTTACATGCCTGTCCATGAATCCAATGCGAAATCATGTGTTCTAATGGGTGATCCACAATCATGGCCACAGGTGAACTAAGTCTGAGCCTGCAGGTCGCGAGTCAGCACTACTACTCCTTGTTGACCGGGAGGAAGGGCGAGAAAGAACGGGCCCGTATATCATTTCACGAGGGCAGTTTTAAGAGCCAGGGATTTTAATCCGTCCATTCGCCACCTTTCGCAAGCTAGAACATGGTGAACCTGGCCGAAAGGTCCCCGAGCTGAGTAGTGATTTGTTCAGTGACTTTTCTCCTCAAAGCTTGTCGAATATTGTTGGGGGGGGGGGGAAGTTACAACTAGCCAGCTCTGCAGCTGCCAGGCCCCTCGCAGCCCTGGCAGTTAGGAGTCTTCGCGTACCAGAATGTGGGATTCATGCAAGTGCGTACAATCCGTACGCACGGGTTGGTTTAGATTTTCATTTCTATTGCAGGAGGCCTATGTATCATGGCTATAAAATGGGCGGGTCTATTTAGATTATTGAATCAAAACTCGGACTCCTTTGCTGTTGATTTTGGGAAGGGGGATCAGAAAATCATGCACGTGCTTCACGTCGCTTTCATCGGTTTCAAAGAGCTGGAGTTTTGGTCCGTTCGGACGGTGGAGCACAGCCAGGCTGAGGCTCAATTCTGCCATTGCTAGGCTGTTTTGCATATTTGTCAGTGCGGGATACGATGCATGCTACAGGTGTCGGGACATACTTCATTCCCAGGCAATTCCTGGATCCCCGACAGAACGGTACGTAATTTCGATGCATAGCTGGGTCAATTTCTCCCAACCAACGCTCTGGGATAAACCTATCGGGCTCGGGATACACGGCTGGGTCAGAGTGCATAAGGTATGCTGACATTCCCACAGGGATCTAGAAGAAAAAACAATTAAAACCTGAAACGAACATGGGTACTGAGGACATACTCCTGGAGGAATGGTATAATCTTTGTACTGGATGGGCACGTCGGGCGATATGCGCGGTAAACGGTGCATAACGCCGTAGCTCAAGCTTTGGCAATCAGCCATTTATCTCTTCCAGTGGGATGGGAGAACATACCGGAGAGACTCCTTGATAATGGCCTGCAAGAAGGAAAGTTTCTCGAGATCTGCCCAGGTTGGAACGCGTTCGGGCCAGTCGGCCATGGTATCTTTCAGCTCGGCTTGCAATCGAGCGCGAATCTCGGGGCAAGAGAGAATGTAGAATGATGCAAATCCAATGGTCCTGGCCGTACTCGCTGTTCCACCACCTAGGAGAGTTTGCGCTTCTTTGGCAAGGCGTTCTGGGGACCGCTCCGACTCGGGCATGTCGCTGTTAGCAACATGGTGGAAGAGAGAGCTCGATGTGTCGGTTGATTCCTTCTCCGCCGCAGGTTTGTTGCTCATTATTCTATCAATATTCTCTCGAGCGACCTAGTCAACGTGAGTCCGCAAGCCACGAAAAAAAAAAAAAAAAATGGCCGTTCCTCCGCTTACTCTTTTGAATTCGTTGAAGACCTGACCACGCGGAAATGCCCACAGTAGAAACGAGTCGGGAACGTAGCTCACAACCCTAACTCAAGTCTTCAGCGCTGTTTCAACCACCACGCCGTAACAATGGTAACCTACCGCACAATCCAAGGGAGCCCCGTAAACAACGGAATCGACCGCACCAGCGTATAGATCAGGTTATACCTAGCAACACGATGAGTGACCACACCCCCCCCCTCTAAATTAAACCAAACTCACCAATCCGGGGCAAACTCAGGATGATCCAGGAAACGATCCCCGTCCCCCACGTTGTCCAGACAAATCTTTGCAATAATATCCCCCGAAAACGCCGCGCAGGCATGATCCAACCGAATGACAACACTCTGGCCCTCGAGCGCACGTAACCGCTGCTCAAACTTCCAGGCCACCTGCGCAAGCATGGGCTGGAGTTTCTGCACGCCCATGCGCGAGAAAAACGGCTCGAGAGGCTTTCGTCGTTTGCGGTGGAGGTTGTGATCGACCGTGAGGAGATGCGATCCTGTTTTTTCAGTTTTTAACTTGCCGCCGACATTTCTTTTTTTTCAGAATTACATATAGATTCACCGTACCGTCAAAATCAATCCCCTTGCAAAAGACATCGTAGTGGCTGGTTCTCCGCTTACTCTCGGTAACGTAGACCTCATTATAGAAATCGGGGTCGTGGATGGATAATTCCTCAGGATTGATTCGGATTATCGGACCTATACATATATATACATATATATATATATATGTATCCCATGTCCAGCTTTAGCGACAGACAGACACCACCTAAATCCCGCAACAGCCAACAACACACACAAGAGGGAAAAAAAAAAAAAAAAAAAAAAAAAACCCACCGTAGACTTGATGCATCCGCTCAATCTCAAACACATACCGGCCATTCTTCCAGTAATCGAAATAAAACTCATACCACCCCGTCGCAGCAGCGAGCCTCGAGCCGGGGAACTTCGCCAGAGGCGAGCAATACAGTCGGTACAGAATAACGGCGAGGTAGGAAACGAGGAGAGCCGCGCCGAGGACAGGCAGAGCGGATGTGTAAGACAAGGGCAGCATTTTGGTTTGGGGATTTTTTTTTTTTTTTTGCATCCAAAGGAAACATGGAAGCAGCAGCAGGAGGAGAGAGAGAGAGAGAGAGAGAGAGAGAGAGAGAATAAATCTTATATCTGTACATCTGTATAGTAATGATACATAGGACTTACTTAGTGCTCTAGTAGCTGTATCTGTATACATGGGTACCGCCATAAACTCTTACTATACTAACTATCCTATACTAACTATATACTAGTTAGCTACCTAGCATGTAGAGCTAGCTGGCTTGCAATTTCTATTTAAAGTAAAGAAACGAAACGAAAACCGTACTTGACCTAGTTAACCAAACCAATCAGTGATTCTCGTCGACTCTAAATTACACAATAGCAGCAAACAACCAACCAGGTTAATCCAGCAATTACATCTAGCTACAGCTGCAGTAATGTAATTATTTACTGGATAGTCTACTAACTACCTGCGTAGGAGGTATACCTAGGTAGTACGGAGTAGAGAGACGACATCCCCGCGTAAGGCAGTCCCTCAGAGAATGACCAAGTAAGACATCAGTCAGATTGCCTTCTTTTCAACAGGGAGGGCTGGCTGGCCTCATGGTACATACTACATAGTTACAGGCTTGACGTGTTTGTAATCCAAGTTAACTAACTACTAGGTGCTAGTAGGTGGAGGAGAAGGTCAAGCAGGATTTACACTGTGACTGATGTGAAAGAAGAATAAGCACTTATGCAGTCAGAATATGCTAATGGGAATTTCAAGCGTACGGTGGGCGGGAAAAGGAGGGGAAATGGGAAGGCAGGGAGGATGCGGTATGCATGGGGGTTGCGAGGCTGTACCAACAGAATTACAGAGATACAGAGATACATTCCAGGATCATTAACATTATTAGCGCCCACTAGGTCGACTGATCGGTTCTTTCCGAGCTTCACCTCTGTGGGTCAGATTTTAGTGTCTTAAGCAAGCGGAGACAAACATCCTCCCGGAGGCTTAGACAAAATCGGCTGATAACATGGGCCATGATCACGTTGCGGCGTGACTCGTTCCACGACGATCATTGATCGGGATAATATCATATTACAGAATGCAAGGACCGGTCTCCGGGACCAGAGTATGAGAAATCTGCTGCGGCGGATCAAGGGATGTATGGATGTACATGGGCTTCACACCCCAGCGCCCTCGCGTAGCGTGATGCGCACGTTGACTGGCTTCCTGTCCACCAATAGATACGTGCGCATGTCCTCCCACCGCACCCGCTTGCCCTCGATCGAGGCCATGTCGAACGTCCAGATCAGCTTGGCCAGGATCAGCCGCATTTCGGCCCATGCCAGGTGCTGCCCTAGACAAGCGCGGGGTCCGACGCTGAAGGGTTGCACAGCACGGCGCTCGTCGTGGAAGAAGGGTGAAGTGGGGTCCGACGCTGCGCGGGGGAGCCATCGTTCGGGGAGGAAGGAGCTGGACTTGTAGAAGAGGTTGGGGTCGCGATTGAGAGCGTATGCTTGAATCGAGACCGGGGTCTAATTTTTATGCCCGTTGGTTAGATTGCATAAAGAGATGAAATGGAAATGGATTGCTAATAGGCACTTAACAAGACCACTTACCCCACCTGGAAGCCACGTTCCACATACCATGCTCCCCCCCTCCGGTACGAGGCGTGGCAGCATCCAGGGCACGGGAGGACAAAGTCGCAGACCCTCGTGGATGACGGCATTCAGGAATGGTAGATTACGGACAGCGTCAAGCGTGATGCTTTCGAAGCTTTTGAACGCACCTCGAATCTCCTCCTCTAGCTGGGCCAAGGCGGGACGCTCATTGGCCAAGTAGTTGAGCGTGCCGGTCAAGGCTGTTGCGGTCGTCTCACTGCCAGCTGTCGTCAAGATCATGAAGGTCGCGTTCAACTCACCGATAGGCAGAGCAAGCTCTCCATTCTTGTCTATGAGATGGGACATGAAATCCGGCCGCTGTAACTCCCAGCTCAGCCGGCGCTGGACCTTGTCGACGATCTGCTGAAAGTGGTCACGCTGCACCTTTCTCAGAGAAGGTGGGATACACTTGAGAAGCACAAACTGGATAAGAGGATAGAACCGGGCCGATATGACGAAGGACGCTGCCTTGACACTGTTGAACAGAATTGCAATCCACGGATGGTACCTCGAGTGTTGAAGACAGTCAAAGGATTCGCCGAATCCAAGATCGCCAAAGATATCGAAGGTGGTATAGTTAAACCAGGGTGTCATATCGACCTCAGCACTCCCCACCCCGGTGTCTTTGGCGAGATCCTGGAGACGTTCCACCAGTAAATTCACATACTTCTGTACAAAGGGCTCCTGCGCACGGAGAGCACGCGGAGTAAACCCTGGACTGAGGAGACGACGCATATGCGCGTGTTTATCCGGGTTAATGGCGCTGAGCAAGGAATCCGGGTGGCCAGGTTGTCGAGCCCACCAGAGGGGATCTTTGAGGAACTGCGGCTGATCCGGGCGAGTCTGGAAGATGTCCGTCCAGGCATCTGCGGCGGCAAAAGTCACCTCGTTCGGCGCTATGCGAACGACGGGACCGTATTCCGCATGTAGACGCTGAAAGTCATGGACGATAGTTCCTCTAATCAGGGCCCCGATGAATGGGAGTCGCGATGCAGCCCATGAACGAGGTCCTGGAATCCGTGATAGTGGATGGAAATAAAGATTGTGGATAATTCTAATAATGGGATACTAAACACTCATCAACTTTCGATCTGTACTTCCATCGCGGGGATCATACAGCGAGAATTGCGAGCAAGGTAGCAGTCCACGGACTGAGGGATATCTGGATCATCATGATGATAGAAGTAGCGTGTAGAGAAGTTGAAAAGGAGATGGAATGAGAGTTTGGTTGTTCTGCTGTTGATGAGGGGGAAAAATCCCGTCGACAATGCTGACAGCCTCACTGCCTCAGGTTGTGGAACGTCAACTTTGGGGGCGAAGAATGTATAAGAAATCAAAGAATATAAGAAGAAGAAGAAGAAGAAGAAGAAGAAGAAGAAAAGGAAGAAGAAGAAGAAGAAGAAAAAGAAGAAATCGTCCCCTGTGGATGTTTTTGGATTCTTTTGTCTCGGGGTTTTCTTTGTTTCTTCACTCAAAGGATCCATTACATCCATATATTATGGCAACTCAGTGGTTTACTGGTGGTTCTCTTCCTCCTCCTCCAGGGATTGAACCTGAATTCGATAATCCTCCCAGTCAGTTGGCGGGAAATATTGCCCTTCATGTGGTTTTCTTAACGGTAGTCACGGTTGCGGTGGCCATGAGGCTTTTCACCCGCTTACGAGTGCTTCGAAGCACCTTGGGGATAGACGATAGTAGGTCATCCTAAATCTATTAACTAGTATATATAATTGGATTGGAGATATCTAACTGAGTATAGTCTTTTGTATAGCGTCATTTGTATGCTTTCCGGACCCCGAACTATATTCAAATCCGCTACTTACATTGCCAGTGTTTAACCGCCGCTTTCTCTGGATTAATGATTACATGTTCGTCCGTTCTTTAGCCATCTAGTACTGTAGGGCCTCACTGACTATTCAGGTTACTCGAGAGGGATTGGACGCCATATGTGGGATGTGCCGATTGTCTGGCTCTCAACAGCTCTCAAGGTAAACCACAGCATACCTAAACTATATATATATAAAGAAATCTAACAGACGCAGTACTTCACTATCGCGCAATACATCTATCTCACCCTCACAGCCACCGTCAAACTCACTTTCCTCTTCTTCTACTACCGCATCTTCCACCCTCAGCACAAAATCAAATACCTCATCACCTTTGGCATCGTCTTCGTCGCAATAACCCACATCACCATCCTCTTCCTCACCATCTTCTCCTGCGCCCCCGTCAGCCATGCGTGGAATGCAGCTTCGCCAGGCCGCTGCTGGAACCCGAAGATCCTGCCCTATCTCTCGGGCGCTCTAAGCTCAGTCACGGATCTCTACGTTCTCATCTTACCCATTCGTTCCCTGTGGGATTTGAACATGACTACACGCCGGAAACTGCGCCTGGCAGCCGTATTCGGCCTTGGAAGCTTGTACCTCCCTCCCCCCTTCATTTCCCTTGCTTTCCACCTCCTTCCATCAATCCAAAAAACCAGAACCAGAACCAAGTAAAGCTAATAATAATATCCATCATCCCCATCACAGCGCCTGCATCGCAAGTCTCATCCGCCTAGGAATGACCCACGTCCTCACAGACAGCACGGACGCAACCTGGAACATATCCCTGATAGCTCGATGGGCGTACGTGTCCTCCTCATTTACCCCCCCCCCCCCCCCCCAGAAAAAAAAAAAAAAAAAAAGAAGAAAAATTTTGCAAACTAAATTTTCCACAGAGTCATCGAAGCCAACACCGGAATCATCTGCGCCTGTCTCCTTCTCCTCCCCGCGTTCCTGGACCGCTACTGGCCCAAGCACTTTGGATCCTCGATCAACCGGCTCTGGTCCAGCAGGCAGCGCGGGAAATCCGGGGCGATGACCTCGTCGGTGTCGAAGCCGCATCGCCATGAGAGCAGCCCATCCCGGCAGAACCTGAAGCGGATGAGTGATGAGACGTCCGAGATGCGCGAGGTGGATGTCTTGGATTCGAGGGAGGAGTGTCCGATTCCGCAGGGGAGTGGCGGGCATCGGTTTGTTTAGGGGTATGTTAGGTTAGGGCTTGAGTTATGTTAGTTATGTTAGTTATGTTATGTGATGGTATATGGATGTATATAGATATGGTATGGGTAAAGGGGGGGGGGCGTTGTTTGGGAAAATTTAGGGGATGGATGGGTCCATGGTTTATGCGGTATAATTAGGAATGTCATAAAGGGATCGCGTTTGTCCTTTGCGGACCATAATGCAATTGTAGAATTCTAATTGTTGAAGAAATCTCGCGGAATAGAATAACGCCCGCTACCTACCTCATATAACGCCAAAACGATCATCCAACCCAAGTATCAGTCAAGATCTAAGTCGTAATCCGTCAGTTAGCTCAATCCTCCACATTCACGACCCGGCGCAGAATCATCAGAATCAACGCGACCAGCACGCCGAAAATCGCCCGGTCCAGCCATGGACTATCCTGCGAGGCCACAGGAGCCGTGGCCGGTGTTGGTGTAAGTCGCGGTACATTTTGTATCCGTGGTTGTGGGGGACGCGAAACTGGCGGTTGTATCGGACGGGGTAGCAAGGGCGCAGCGGAGCCCCGATCCCCATCCCGATCCCCATCCCCATCCCCATCCGCATCTGCAGGGGCAATTGAGGAACTCTGTTCGCCACGTTTGTCCCCCTCTCCGGTCAAATCTGCAGGCGCTGCAGACACAGATTCCGACTCCGACGGTGGAGACGAAGCCAAAGTGGAAGAGTTGGACCGCGGAAGCAAAAGCCCCAATAATCCCTCCGGAACACGCTCCGTCTCATCCTCTTTCTCAATATCCACCCCCTTTCCACGACAAACCTCCCTCCATTCGCTCAGAACCTGCTCGTTGGACTTCCCCCCCCCCTCACAAACATCACACCGCCACTCCCGACTCATCCTCGCATGCTCGATGCGAATCTCATCCGACACTTCCAGCCCGCCAACCTGCCCCTTGACATCGCCATCCATGAAGCTGCGGATCGCCAGGAGCGCGGTGCGAATCCCCCACGCGGGCTGCCACGTCTCCTCGTGGTGGCCCGAGATACTGAGGCAGATCTCGCGGTTGACTTCAAAGCGGCCGGACGGGGTGAGGAAGCGGAACGACGGCGGGCGAAGAGGATAAGTTGATGGGAGCACAATACGGCCGTGGTAGATTCCACCAGCGTACGGAGATGGCGCGGGGGGCCCAGCCAGGGTAAAGTGCCAATCATACAGGTTGGATTCCGAGACGGGTTGCGCGTGGAAGTGCGGAGACGGGGAGTTTGAGAGCTCGGAGGCTTCTTTCATTAAACGGCGGACAGATCGTGACATTTTTTTTTTTCTCCCCTTCTTTCTGTGTTGTGTAGTTTCTTGAATGTTGGGGTTGTCGGGTAACAGGGGAGGCGAAATGAGGGGGTTATTTCGTTCACGTTGTGTCCCTATCGGTATTCGAGTATGATAGATTAGGAACAATGCAATATATATAGCTCAATGGCAGTTCCGAGACCAGCTAGGATAGCTCAATAGTCGTACACAGAAGAAGCTGGGGTGGTGGTGGAGGAGGAGGAGGAGAGATGGGATGATGGGATGATGGAATGATGCAACTTGGCGGGATCGGATCTCATGTTGCTGCCTTGAAAGTCAGGCACCACCATGAATCCGAAGTATAGCACTCTTTTGGCGTCGCCGTCACTCTTTGTGAAAGGAGAGCAAAGGAAACTTAGAATAAAAGATATTTAATATATATCATAGTAGGTGCCCATGTTATATCGCCCATATTTCCAAGGGAATAAATAATAATATATCGCGTGTGATGCTCCGATGCTTACACTAACAACTTCCGCGGTCGTAGAAAACAGTCAATTACAGTGCAGCTTCAAAGATATTCTACATGATTTAAAATTGGATGCATTAGCTAGAAGAACACCTTCCAGATAACGCCCATTAACTATACAAAATGTACCGGCCAACACCTAGCAACAATGCAATCAATGCCCCTAATCCCAATCACGCCAGTCATCCTCATTACCATTCGTTGCGGCCTTATTTTCTGGCCCAGAACCCAAGGACAAATTCTGGCCCTCTTCAAAATCTTCCCCATAATCGCTATCCCCCGGTCGCGGCCGCGGGGACCTCGGGGCCAGAGTCTTCATTGAGACGCCTGTCGCTGGTCGCTCGGGGTCGTGCAGTCCGCCCAATGGCTGGTCGGGTGTCCAGCCCTGTGGAAGCTCTGAACCGAGCCAACTGCGGGCGTTGTTCATGTTGCGTTGGTATAGGTCTCGATCTTGTTGCATTTGCTCGGCCTGTGCTTGTTCTCGCCTCTGGCGTACCCGTTCACGGGCTTCGAGGAATTTAGAACTTGGTTCCCAGTGCCAACCGTCAGCTGGGGTTGTGCAGATCGGGACCAGCCACAGCCAGGGGCGGTCACCAAATAAATGTAGGAGGTTCTGTCGCCAGCCTAGATCGAACGCGCTTGGCATTTTCTCGTTGTCGACTTCGGCGAGGTAATCCTGGTACCGGTCGTGTTCGCGTTGGCGTTCTAGCTCCGCATATGATCGGGATAATGCTTGTTGGGCTGGTGTGAACTGCTCCATTCCAGGGCTGGGAGTTGACTGCGCCGTTGGGGTAGGCCAAGGCGCCGGAGATGTGCGCTCTTCGCCTTCCTCTGGGCGGGTGACACCAGGAATAGCATTAGCGTGCGCTTCTAAGATCTGGCCACCGTAGTTCTGGAGTCTTCGACTGAAACTATCCTGACCGCCGCCTCCAGGTCCCTCCTGGTCGCTGCCCAGTAGATGCTCGTAACGGTGGCGATCCAGCGCCTTCCGCAATGGGGACACATAGCGTGTTTTCTCTAGACTCTCAATCGTCGTGATGCCACGGACGGCAAGGCTGATATGCCAGGCGGTAAATCCAGTCAAAACCAATCCGATAATGCCCCCCAAAATAGACAACAGGACCACGTTCACAGGCAAGATACCATCTATATACCTCGTCTCGTTCAAAACCTCTGTCCAGATCCAGATCGCTGCGACGGCGAAATCCACCCAGCAAAACAAGGAAGTGTATATCAGAAACAGTAAAAATGCTTTATAATTATAGAGTCCAACACATGTCGCCAGCCAAGGACAGTGGTGATCCATCTTTAGCACGCATCGTTTACAAGTCGAGCAGTGGTGCGCCCGATCCGGTTTAGGCGATTGGCATTTCTTGCAGAATCTCGACCCGCCTGTCGAATTCACGGTATATGAGGTATACTCTGGCAACTCGGTAATCGGCAGCGCGCTGTACTGGTGTTGACCGTTTCTGTTCCCCCGTCCACCCAGTGGCGACCCCGGGTCCGTGAAAACAGCGGTAGTATACGATATATTCAGGCAGAGATAGAGAACGACCCCTAGGATTGAGCTTGGTAGGCCTGTAAAACATATGATAGACATATTAGCATTCCATTTCATTCCGTCATAGTATCACCTCCAAGCCTAAACTCAAGGCTCAAGAGAACGTACCAACCCAGCAAGTCTCTGAAGGCTGAAACCCGATGCTGGCCTCAACGTAAACTGCCCAGGTCGTCAAGCTGTACACAAACGCCAGTGGAAAATAAGACGCCACCATACAGCAGTACCGTTCGCACCGCAGAGCCCATGCCCTGGGCCGGCGCTTAGGCCAGCTCGGAGACGAGGGGGGAGAAACAGCCAACGTAGCCATCGCGAGCCCAAAATCTGGCTGTGAAGTCGATACGGTATAGCAGGTAACTGGCTACAGAATTATACAAGGTGATCGGATTCAAATCAAGGCGGAAATCATGGTGATTATAACACGGTAGGAGATGGCAGCTGTGCCGGGAGAAATCGCAATGGCAGACCGGGGGAAGGATGGGTGAATGCCGCTAAAAGATGGTTGTATTCGCGAGTGAGGGAGAAATGGTAAATAGGAAAGACAGGAGAGATTAGAACAAAAGAAGAAACGATGCTAGGAACAGAGGAAAGGAAGAGCAACGGAGGATAAGCTGGATTAGCTGGTCCGTCGTGAGATCACAGTGATACTCGAAAGTAAGTAAGTAGGTAGTTACAAGCAGCGTAAGGTCATTACGTACGCATAGCCACGAGGCTGGGTACGGTCACGTGCGGATATATTTAGATCTTCGGCTACTATGGCTGATGGATTACACTTACAGGATTTTGGGGATAGTTAATACAAAATAATTAATAAACGGTGTCAAAATATTCATAAACACGTTCATTCCAAGTGAATTTTGGAACTGTCTTTTGTCTCAACAGGTAAAAGATATAAACGGGTGCCACCCAGCAGAGGACCAAGACACACGATTCCTCTGAACGCCGCTAGATAGTGTAAAAATATGGCCATGCAATATGTAGTACCGGAACCGGTCACATAGATGAGAAGATAAGCATAGAAACAGTGATATAGGCAGGTATAAAACAGTCGAGAAGAAAGAAAGCTTAGTTACTGGAGGTGTTGTTGGTCGTAGTCAGATTATCCTGGTCACACCAGCCATTGACCGGCTATGAGAATTAGCAATGCCCATAAACTTGAAGAGCGAGAAAACTCACCAGACAGCTCAGTCTGTAGCACCAGGAACAGTTTGAGCTGGGATACTTGTAAAAATTCACAATAAGAAGAATGAATCCAACAAGGACAGCAACCAAAGCGCCAAGTCTGACTAACCACCAAGCCCACCAAAGCGGCTTTCGGCCGCTGAAGAAGGCCTTGGGGTTGAATCTCCCTGGGGGCTCTGTCGCCTTGGCGTTCATGAGGTTGGCGTTTTGCGCTTCGGTACCAATGCCACCACTCATAGCAACATACGGGCTGCGCGCAAGCCCAATTCGCTCACGCAGTGCGTTTGGAGACCTCATCAGACAGAGACCAAGAGCAAGACCCATGGTGAATCCTCCAAGGTGGGAAAAGTTATCCAACCCGGGGAGAAGACCAAGGACAAAGGATACAACGATGCCGAGGATCATGATAATGAACTCAACCCAGGGCGACTGACGTTCGTTCCAGCTATAGAGAAGATCCAAGACAAAGAGTGCGAGGATTCCAAAAAGTGCGCCTGAACAGCCGCACGACGCCTCTCCTTGCCCCGCATAGTTTCCTCCGAGAACAAACCCCCAGATACCGCTAGATAAGTAGACGATAGTGTACCGCCACCATCCAATCATGCGCTCCATATCGGCTCCCATCGTCAGCTGTACAATCAGGTTAAACCCAATATGGATGAAGCCACTGTGTAGGAACATCGGAATAATGAATCGGAACCACTGGTTGGGTTCCGGACGGTCGTCGAGAGACCCACCGGCATGGGGGTTTGGCACTCCGTTGAAACCACATAGTTCGGATAGCGTGCATTCTGAGGCCGTCGTCGTAGCGTTCGGACAAGGGAAGCTAAGGGTGGCATCGCTATTTTGCACACCAGGAACATTCTTCATACACGGGGTGAAGCGAGCACCCATGTGGATCTGGATGTACGGGGAAGGACCAATCATCGGATTGAACGACGGCTTGATCTCGATCGGGGTACCAGTGAGTTGACCTGTTAATCGGGGGTTAGGCACAAAACCATAACAGGAACAGTCTGCGTGTTCTACATACCACTTTTCACCAACTCCACGATAAAGACGATGATTTGGGCAAACGTAAGAAGATACGTCACAATCGCAATCTTCTTTTTGAAAAACCCTTTCCTCCTCCGGCCACGAGGGCTTTGCGGGTCCATCATTCCAGTTCCAGGTTGATACTGAGTCGGCTGTTGCATCCACCCCTGAGGCGGAGGAGCATTGGAGTATGGGGATTGAGACTTTAAAGGAATATTCTCCGCATATTGGTCTTGTTCATTTAACCTTCCTCCAGCAACGTACGTCCCATTCTCCGAGCCTATCGATTGTTGACTGTACCGGAGGTGATGATCGGGTTCGGGATTATGGTCATATGGACTGCTGCTGCTGTTGTTGTTGTGGCTCACTGGGCTCGGGGCCGGTGAGATTTTGTTGTACGGGTCTGTCGCAGGAACGGCCTGGTCGTAGGCAGGAGGGCTATTGTACGCGCCGTTGTAGTAGCCGTGGGCGGCCATCTCGATGGGTCAGCCGTGGGTGGTGGACTGCCGCAAGGGATAGGAGGTGGTTGTAGTCCTCCTGCGTCGGTGAGGGTTATTTATCTTGAAATGTAATTGACGGAGCGTTCACCGCCTGAGTGAGTTATATCTGAGTATTTTGCTCTTCTGGATGATGGATGGGGGGGCCGTTGAGCAGTTTTAAAGGAGTTTCAGGCACCCGTGATAAACAACCCCTAAGGTTGCGGGGACCTGAACCGGAGGAATGAAGGACGCCACGCACAACGTGGGGAGGCTAGGACAAAGATTAATGGTTGAACTGGAGATATTGCCAGACAAATGAACGAAGGGCTAAAACTGTCAAATAAAGCGACAGGAAGGACGATGAAAGGCCCAAGAAGAAACTGTTGCTGTGGATTCAAAAGGGTTAGGCTGGCCTTTTTGTGGACGAGACTATTTTTGGGTTGCGGATCGAGCAGAAAGCTTCGTCAGCATCTTGCACCCAAGGCTGGATCATTTCCACCAGCCTCGGGATTTAAGTCAGAAGGATCATGGATGATGAATCGTCAAGGCTGAGTAGTTAACTAGTTACCCAGTGGCTGTGTAAGACATCATACTAAATTAATTGTTTTTACATACTTTTACCCCTTCTTCGGCCACCAGCGTGGCTGAGACCGCTGGTTATCGTCTTATCGAGCCTCACCCATGTTGAAAAAAAAAACCCTACTTGCGCTACTATAGTGGGAAAAGATTAACATGTAAGTTCGTATTTGACATTAAGCATTATTAGACCTATAATGATAACCACTTGTCACACAGCGAATTCCACCTTGTACGTCGTCCACTTCACTATTCATGGCATTGGGCGATGGGATATTGTATAGCGGTATCCGTGCTTCCATAGAGCGGGTCACTCCAACGACGAGGTTCCCCGAAACCTCAAGACGCATTATCGGTTATGTGTTCTGCTCGTGCTCGCATTATAAACAGTCTTTTCCATCAAATCGTGAATTGCGACGAGCGATCTCGTCTCGTCATCGGGTTAATATAAAATCCCAATAACGCCATTAAAACTCCAGATTGAAACGAACGACATCGGCAGATCTGTCGCGGGTCTAGGTGTGAGCCAAGGCATCCCACAAGTAAAGCAGGGCAACAGCGCATACCATCTCAAGATTGACCGCCATATCCAGGTAAATACCAAAATGACAGGATGAGACAAAACAAATTTGGTCAAAAGAATTCTGGGGGCGCAAGGACCGCATATTATATAGCCCAGACCACTCTTCATGACAGTAGGTTTTTGGCTGAAAATTGTGTAATTGAGTTGACGTGTGTATCCAAAATCCCGAAAGCAGCTCCCATCTCCTCGCCGCTGTGACCAGTCAACAACCATACAAGACGGGACAGCTTCTGGTAGAGTAAGGCCGGGAAGTACACGAGGAGAGCCCAAAACAGTAAAGTCAGGACGACCACCACGAAGGAATTTGCCACGAGCTTCTCGCCCGGCGTCATGACATAGAGGCCAAACGTAACCTCATACTGGTAATACTTCAGACGGATGCAGTCCGCGGCCCGTTGGAGGAGGTTGCGACGTGCATTCCCCAGCGGACTTGAGGGAGAGGTTGCTGAGACGGACATGGTGGAGGAATATTTATTAATCAGCTCATCGACGGCAGCTGGGGCATGCGACGAAATATGAGTCGAAGTCGACGGGGTGTAGAAGGATTGCATTTCGGTTGCCATTTGTCGCGCTGAGAGGGGAATGGCCGGTGGGCTTGCTTTTGGCACTTCTAGCGGGTCGCGCCTCCCACGTAATTATTTAACCTTATGAGAGAGAGTCTTGCTGCTGCTCGCGCTCTCTCTTCTCCGTCTGTTTTCCTGAACCTTATGAAGGATAGGTCTTATTCGAACTTTCCGCAATGGGGGAAGTCAAGTTGGCGCGAGTTGCGAATCACACGCTTTGGGGGTCGGATTAATTATGATTTAAAACTAAATGGTCCTGATGTGCGCGGTATATCGATGACTGGGGAGCGCTCTCAGAGCTGCCTGTTCAAGGAGGGAAACGCAGAATGAGTGACGCCAACGACGACAGGGCAAAACACAGATCAACGGAGCTGACTATAGCAATGCCAAGTCGCGCGGAACCAGGCAAGGGACAGGTATAAACACAGGAACAAAGGGGGGGGGGGTAAGGTTATTGTACAAGTGGAGATCTGAAGGAGATTACAAGGAAGGAGAAGAAGAAGAAGGAAGAGAAGAAGAGAAGAGGAAGAAAGGGCGTCACGGAGGGTGAAATGGAAGATGGGAGCAGGAAATCGGTAGGGCGCGGATGTAGGAAAATGCCGCCTTGGGAAGGGCAGCGGACTCAAACCTTGAAAAAGGCATCCCAACGGCTCTTCCAGGAATAGTGACAGCTCTTTCTCCCAGGTCTCTGGGTCTGGAAATTTCCATATGAAGCCAAAGTTCAGCTTTTTTTTTTTAATGGACGAGTCAGCGACCTTCGTTCCTTATTAACTGGTTACAAATCTGGTCCCGGATATCCGCCGCAAGCATACTGTAGTAGTAGTAGTACTCGGGTCAACCGGCAACTCCCGAGTCTCGCTGTTTTCCCTTTGGTTTTTTCCTGTTAGTTAATTATTTTAGAGAGATGTTTACGAAGTACGAAGCACCTCAGAGTATTGCTATAATCTTCTGGTAGTTTTCAATATTGTACAATTTGGGTAATTTACTCCAGATTGTGTGGGAGTCTACCTGAACGCCCACGCTCTTCAGAAGAGGTATGCAGTATATTATTCATTGATGATTCTGGAAGAGCTGAGCGTCTGTAGTAAGTCTTTCAATATTCAGGGCTCCAAAGGATATCAAATTAAGAACGACTAGAGTATTTCGGAGGGGGAAATTAGGAAAGACGTCCATGACTCATGCTGCCTGACTTTCTAGCCTGACCGAGTTTTCGCCGTCAGCCTTCTTCAGCCCTGTTTTGCTTCTTTTTACTATGTATTGATTTGGTACATTTAATACTATTTCTACACTCCTACTTGGGAATTAATTATGAGTTTACCAACCATCTTACATTTGACAAGAATTTATACTTGACCAGAGACCAACCTATAGTTCTCTCTAATTACTTTGCTTTATTCTGTACCCAAATAGAGCGGGGAAATGTCTTGTTTGTATTCTGCCGCCGGTGATGTCATCTGTCCGCTCTCCCCCCCCCCAAAGCTAATTCTAATGCTTGCCCTCCATCCTTTGCAACCCGAAAATATCATCTCCCTCTTTCAGCCATGACTTCCGTCTCTCAATCCCTTTCCATTGCTGAGGAGGATCCCCTCATCCGGGCTCTTCCCCCGGCTACCGACTATCTCACCTACCTCACTTTGCTGGAGTATCAACTCACCCCTGCCCGCCTGCCGACCTTGCACAAGCTTTTACAAGATGAAGTCCTCACAACCAACATTGGCTGGGATCTGGTCAAGCTGCTTCTGCCAATGCTACCCGAGTCCACTGAATGCTTGCAGGATATCGCGTGTCTAGGCAATCCGAGAGAGGTGATCCTACGCGTCTGTGATGCTCTCATGCAGCTCCACCCCACAGATCATGAGGATGAAATTGAGAGCGTAGACTCCCAATTCCAGGCAGGAGAGGACAACCGGAAGGATACCCACACGCAGAGCGAAAAAAGTACGGGAGGAACCGAGTCAGCCGTGGATACGAAACCACTTCCTCTCCATGTCGTGCAATTCAACACCCTCATGGCAATGCTTTCCATCCTTCATTCGCGAATCCGAACGAAAGTCCCCAGTCGTTTCCTTGCGACCTCACTTCAAGCGGCGCTAGAAGCATACACCTCTATGCCAACGAACGAGACTACAATTGCGTTTTTGGAATTTTTACGTGATGTTTCTCCTTCGAAAAGACCCGCGCCTCCTCCTAGAGTTCCCAGCGAGTCGAGCGTTTTGCGTCTCTCTGAGGCGTCTGCTCCGGATCCGGAGGCCGAAATTAGCTCTCCTAGTTTATCCGGCAGCGAGGAGCCGCTGCTTATCAGGAGATTCCTACAATTTGGATTGATTGAGCTTCTCAAGTCTTATGTGTTGAGTTGCTCGGGCCCTGTTGATCCAGGCATGTCGTGGACCGTCCGGCTGCAAGAAAAACTTCATCCAAAGACGAAAATGCCGGGAACAGCGTCCCCTACAAATGTCTATCTGAATACCAAACTCCTGGGAGAGAGGGATACTATTATTGCTAAGATTACTGTAGGTGATGCTTGCTGCAAGCGCGCCTCTTGCTCTGCTGACTTGAAATAGGCACTGTCTCGAGATTTTGGTCTAGACGATAAACAGCTCCTCGAAGTCGTGTTAAGGCCTCCTGCAGATCAACCCCCACCTTTGGATTTTGAAGATATTCCAAAGCAGGTCGATGACATTCCTCTCGAAAGACATGGATCATTGGTGCTTTTGGCTGCCCGTGCGGCTGTTGCAGAGCTGTTCTCCTCTGGCAGGCCCCCACATATTCCTATTTTCCCAGACCTCGCTAGTGTTTTCGCGAACTTTGTCGGAGGATTCCATTCCATTGATGAAGTCGCATTCGAGAAGCCCCAAGTTTTGTTGGACTCGCTGCTTACCCTCACCGTTTTGTCAATGCAAAGCCCAATAGCGACCCCTTCCAGTGAGGCAGAGTTTATGGACTTTATCCTATCGGTCACAGCCTGCACTGTCCGCCAAAGCTATGGCACCGTTCGCAAAATCCCTGGTGTAATTATCCATAGCAACTCTTCCGAAATTGCACGGTTTAAAGTGATCAGGAAAGTTTTGGAAGATGATCATCTCCAACCCATCAAAGAAAGAGCCATAGACTGGCTGAAGAACGAAATTCTGGAGGCTTCTAGCAAAGTCTCAAACTCTAACACTAGCATTTTCCTCAATCCCCACTACTTCTCGGTGGGTTTCCCTCTCCTGTTCAGCTCTGCAATGCTCGATTTAGATTTATCTTCCGATATCGTGGCATCATGGGTGCGATTTACCCAAACACTGAGTCCAGCACTCCACGCTGCGCTAAATTTCTATTATGTTTTGATTTCCTCCCCAAGCCTTCGCAGTCAGCTACAACTCGAGAAGACATATATATACTTTCGCCATCGGTTTTTAGAGCCCCTCAAGTCCATCTGCCACGCTTTTACCGCTGACCAGCCAGCGAATGGCGGCGACGGTGTGGTTGAAAACGCCGTTGGTGAAGACATTTTCAATACCGGCATGGCACGGTCTGTGCAATTGATTCTGCACTCTGTGGAGCAAGTGGAAGATGTAGTGCGCGAAGCTTTTGTTCTCGGGGACACGGAGCTGCAAGAGCCCAGTGCCGATGATATCGCGCGAGTGGATGCAATTCGCAAGGGAACGGCCGTGTTTAACGAGAAATATTAACTTATGATTGTAATATTTCTGATCTTGAAATGACTATTGGTACTTACCTTTCTCTCTCTCTCTCTCTCTCTCTCTCTCTCTCTCTCTCTCTTCTTTTTTTTTTTACATATTTTACTATCAATCCAACTCCTACAACCAACTACGGCAAACCAGGACTTAATAGACAGACACAGTCTTATATATAGCATCACTAGCAAACCATCCTATTAGCATAACCACCGAACCCCTCTCTGTCAACCAACTAGCCAACCAAACCCTTCCTCCAGATCACAAAAGTACGTACAGACATGGAATAGGTCGGTCTGATAACAACGCAAAAAAATAAGGAATTAAATAGAGAGAGAAAAAAAAAAAACGAGTGATAGGCACTGAATCACAGCCATGATCCATTGTCATAAGTAACCACCACTACCATCAATATTATAGCTTGATCATTGTCATCACGAACACAACCACCACCAACCCAGTTGGCCATCGGTGTGTTCGATCGCTTGCTTGCTTGCTTGCTTGCTTGCTTGAATTTTTTTTTTGGTGCGGTTTTATTGTTTTTTTTTTTGTTCGCGGCCTCAATCCCGAATCGAAATCGGGACACCGAGACCGATTCGCACCGTTTCATCATCATTCTGGCTGACGAAACGCAGAGGAATCGAAGAAGGAAGGAGCGGGAGTATCAGAAGGAAAAAGAAGAAGAAGAAGAAGAAGAAGAAGAAAATGAACGCCTCGCAGGCTACGCGTGATCTGGATTGGATTGTCTGGCTGGGTACGGGCATGGCATGGGATTGACTTGGTTGACGTGATTGTGACGGGGAAAAAGGATCCGGTTCGCGAGGCGAGATCAATCCATTAGGGATGGAATGGATTTACATGACGGTGCAGCCGCCACCGGGGGAAGCTGTAGATGGGGGATTGATCGTTAGCTCTGCTTGCATCTTTCATCTTGCATCTTTCATCTTTCCTGTATGTGATATGATATGATATGAGGTGTATGCATCGGAAAGGAGGGAAAGATAGGGAACAAACAAACATACCCTTAGCGACGGTGGATTGCTTGGTGATTTCAACAACGGGAGACATTTTGAAGTTGAGAAAAAGGTAGACTTTGCGTGGAGCAAAAGAGCACAGATAGTTGAGCGTTTTGGAATGGGGATTGAAGACTGTAGGAGGGAGCTGATGAGGAGAAGAAGAAGAAGAAGGAGAGAGAAACGGCATCGGTATCGTTGGGGGTTTTTATAGTTGATTCCAAGGCTAGATCTCTCTCTTTGGTGTTCGTTTCGGTTCCTTTGAGGATCGATAGATAGGTAGTCCTGGCACGACAGCGGTGGTTGGAGTGTGGAGAACGGAGTAGTAGGTACCTAAGCGTGAAAGAGAGACTCGAAAGACCATGACCCAGGAGTGGAGAAGCTACAAAGGATCGGATGCACGGACTTGACCGTGCTGTTACTGTGCTTCTGCTGTAGATCTGCGTTGGGGAAGCTGGGGAGGAGAATGGACAGAGACAATCATTAGGGTTGGTGAGCGGTCTTTGCTCTGTATGGCTCCTTTGCATTGTCGTCAATGGAGTCAGCGGATTTTTGGGGGGGGGGGGGGGTTAGTATTGTTCTTTGGGAATGGCCAGTAAGGTGATGTTTGGGCGCGCTTTCAATGGAAGATGAGAATGGGAATCCCCCGGAGTCATCGTATTGTTCTTCTTTGCGGCTTGACATTCTCAAGTTTGTGCTCAAGGACTGATCATGTGCGGGCTGATGATGATAAAGAACCTCGAGCCTAGATGTAAGATATGATATGATATAATCTTGAAATTGAGTTTAGTAGCCTGGAGAAATATACGTCAACGTCGTTGTTGGGAATGTACTAGGTGCTGGCCAATAATATCCAATCATATTGCGGGCAATCTAAACATCTGATATTGTCCCCAGAGAACAATACTAACGACCAACATGCAACTTGAAAAACAAATAGTGTCACTATTATAACAAAGAAACGTAACCTACGTATAGAGAGGCTCCGTCAAATCGTTCAGCGCCAAGCCTGATTCCGCCACATCCTCTTCAATGAGGAACATCAAGGGCATCTCCACCAGCGTTCCCTTGACCTGGCCGAGCAGCTCTTTGACGCGGCTGACCCCGTCAGGACCAGGGAATTTCTCAGAAATGACATGTCCGTACTTGTACGGAGCCGGGGGGGCATCCTTGGCCTCACCATATGCCTGCTTGTCTGCGTTCTTGAAGTAGTATCCATAAAACTCCTTGTACACAGCCCAGCTGCGGACACTGTCGTCGGGCACGGAGTGGAAGACCTCGCGGAACACTTCGGTGTTTGTGCGCGCGCGTGTGTTCCAGAGGCTCAGGAAAGTATCTGCTAGCGGATCGGCAACGACCTTGCTTTCAGGCGAGTCAAAGTCAAAGTGGTCATCCACGTGTTCGTAGTCCTGTGGGGGAAGTAGGCCAAGGTGCTTCCGGAACAGGAAACGCCGCAGAGAGGCAGCGAACCGGCTGGCAGTGTAGGGCTTGCCGTCCATGGTGGAGTGGATAGGCGTCATGTCCTCGATAATCACTGCAATCTCAGAGTCGTGGTCTCCTAACTGAGAGCGGTCGTTGAGGTTGGCGGATCCACAAATGACCACACGGTCATCGGCAATCATGACCTATTTTGTTAGTATGCCTTATAATAAAGGAATAGATTTGAACTCACCTTAGAGTGAACATAGAGTTCTTCAGTAACAAATGCATCAATCTCGGCTTCTCTTGGACCATCCCAGGGTACATTGCGAAGGTCTGGTCCATTGAGCATGTAGCATGCACTCACGCTATCCCACTGAGTTCCACCAGGCGCACTAGGCTTGGGACCGGTGGGGGGAGCTGGTGAGTAGGTTTGGTAAGGTGCGCTAGTATCAAAGGCCGGGCGATGGACGTTACCGGGTTCAGGAGCAACGGGCTCAGGAGCCTGAGACGCCATTTCGGGGGCGGCACTAAACTTGATACGATCGTAGTTGCGCAGGTTGTAGAATCGAATATAATCCATAGGGTTGTATCCTTCCTTCGCAATCAACTCCATGATACTATTGCCTCCACGGTTAATAGAGTTGTACTGGAACTCCATGATAGCCCGGGTTCCGAGTGACGACTCGTCAGCCAAGTCTCCTGCAAAACAGGGAACGGTTGGAATAACAATGATCATCTTCCACTTTTGACCTGCGCGAGCAGCACGGAGAATACGCTCAACTATCGCAGCGCCAATCTTGTTCTTAACTGGCTTCTGTGCATCGCTGGTAGCTGTGATGAAGAATTGATTCTCAATGTAAATGAAGTGTTCACTGCGCCGGATAATCTCTGCGTATGCATCCGCAATCGAATGCTCGGTTGGAGTACCATTGCTCCATTTCGAGCAGCTACGTACAATTTGGCAGGTCATGTTTCCTTGTTGCTGGGGTCGTCCAAGGTTACCTGTGGCGAACCTATCTTGGTATTGATGAATCTGACCGGCCAGTTCACCACGGAGAGAATCGAAGTTATCGCGGAAGCGACGAGGGACGAAACTGGATGAGGACCCAGATCCAGATCCTGGCTTCGAACTGGATCCTCTTTCACGGTCACCGTGCTCATGTTCTCCGTAGTAGTCAGGAGCAACCCGTGAGTGGGCATACGATGAGTCTTGAGCAGGCTGAGTGGGAGGAGGTGGGAAATATGGGGCTTGGCTTTGGTTCTGCCCTTGACTTTGTCCTTGTCCGTGGCTTGGAGGGGGACCGGGGGGAGGCGGTGGGAAGGGTTGACCGGTGGGCGTATAGTTTTGTTGAGGGGCCTGACCGGCAGCCTGCTGCGACCCGGGATACTCCTGATACTGACCTTGGCCCTGGGGTTGCTGAGGGCTTGGCTGGTATGCACCTTGCTGGGGAGCGTGCTGTTGATAAGAACCCTGTTCCTGTGGCTGAGGCTGATATGGACTCTGTTGTGGTTGTGGAGTATAGCTAGCCTGCTGCTGTGACTGTGGCTGATAGGAGCTCTGCTGTTGTTGCTGGGGTGGAAAGGAGCTTTGTTGGGTTTGCGGTTGGTAAGTGTTTTGCTGGGGAGGCTGTGGGGAGTACGAGCTCGGCTGCTGCGGCTGTGGAGAATTAATGTTTTGCTGTTGAGTTGGCTGCTGGGTTGGCTGCTGGGATTGAGGCTGGTAGGTGCTTTGCTGGGTGGGTTGTGGCGTATAACCAGCTGGTTGTTGAGGAGTGCCCTGCGGTGGTGGAGTAGCTTGTTGCGGGGGTTGGTTAGGCTGATTGCTAGACGAGGTTGGACGCCCATACAGTGCCAGTCTTGTGAATCTAGCATCCTTGCGAGACTGATACTTGGTATCATATATGAAGTTCCAGCGCTCAACGAACAAACGTCTCAGGTCCCCAACAGCTTGTCCGTGCAAGCTAACAGAAATATCAGACCATCCCATGCGGGAGGTCTTACTGCGATCCAGTTTGTTCTGATCCGGGTTCGCAACGTCAGTAAAGTCGAGGACTCGGGCATTGTTATAATCCTGACCGGGGAATACTATATCGCTCGGATTATTATGTAGATCGGCGAGGGCATGCTGGTGAGTGTCCCAACGTCCGAAGCACATGTCCAAACCGCCCATAAACGCAATTCCTCCGTCAATGATGCACAGTTTTTCATGATGAGCCCAGTAGAGAATAATATCCTCGTGTATACCATAAATACCTTTGATAGCATCAGCGGATAGCTGAGTAAGTTTCAGGGCATCGAGAGACATGTTCTCAAGCGAGGAGGTAATCTGAGCAGTCAATTCCTGACGATCAGGTAGATGGTCTGGGTGACGGAAAACAGCAATATTCTGATGAAGAGCTTCGAGATGATGCTTTGTATGAGCCGAAGAAACTAGATTCCATTAGCACAGATTGAAGATGTCCATCTTTGTAACAGAATGGTGACATACGGGTCAAAGCCTGAGTGACCTCCTTGTATACAATAATGTTGACTTTCACACCACGCTGTGCCGCAGCCTGCAACATCCGATCCAGTCGGTATTGCTCATTTTTTGCTGGAGGTCGTCGCAAGTATAGTTCTGGGGATAGCCACCCTATGAAAACAATCAATGTCAATCAATACCCTCGGACAAGCTAAAGTTTATTGGGGTTTACGCACAGTCCAAAATCCAGATTGATTCCCTAGCAGTCTCCAGCGCTTTGGAAACTGCCAAGAAATAAGAGCATCCGTCAACATACCACTTGACATCATTGCCGTGACGGGGAGGCGCAAAGCTCCCGAATCGGGTTTCTGCCTGTGGTTTTCCTGCTCCGTACTGTGCATACCCCTGTGGGTCGATCGCGGTTCCCAAACGCTGGGCGACGCCGGCACCAAGACCCGCAACTGTGCCTTGCAATTTGTCAAACAAGGCCGAAACCTTGTCTTGTTTCGGGGGTTTTCCTGCCTGGTATCCTGGTTCCTGGTATGCTGAACTCTGGGACTGACCCGGGTTCTGTAGAAGCTGTGAGCAATTGCCACCTGTTGTTTTTCTCTCTAGTCAAATCATAACTTACTCCGTACCCTCCTGGGTTATAATCCTGCGAGAACTGCTGCTGCGGTGGGCCTTGGTCTTGTGGTTTATTTGACTGAGAACCGTGGTGCTTGTATTGGCTCTTTAGCATGTTGAAAGCATCTCCAACAAGACCCCTCGTGCCTTCTCCCTGACCGACACGCTCTGAGTCCTGATTATAGTAGTGGCCATAGGCCAAATGGTCTTCTTGGTTGGACATGGCCGCACCAGATTCGCGTCAAAGGATGAGTAGATGGTGGGGGAGGGGCAAAAAGGAGACGATGGGAGAGTGTCAGACCGACGAGGGGATTGGCGCTTTTTAATGAATTGGGAACAGGATTTCGTTGCTCAAGCAGAGGCAGGAATAAGAACAATTATTGGGGGAGACGATGAGGGGGATCCGTGCCGGGTCAGCTCACCACCTCCTAATCAGAATCGCGACTGTCCCGCCCACTGCCCCGCTATGCTTCGATCCCGCCAACAGAGCGTGGTTTTAGTCTTGAAACCCCCCCGCGAAAAAATTGAATTCTCTGATTTGAGTCCAAAGGCCTTTGCTAGTCTAAGAGATTCTATGGTTGTTACATACTAAGTGACAGATCTATTTTCCATCTGATCGCGACTTGCAAGTTACAACTGATGGAGGCAGCCTAAACGCGGCTATCCGGAGCTGAGCTGAGACAGCCACACTCCGTGAAGCGCTAGGCAATGTCCTTGACTGTCTACGGTTAGTGGGTGACTTTGATATGCACCTAAATTGATTTTATGGTGGGGTTGATGTGGCTGAGTAGGTAGTTGCTCATGAGGGTATTCTCATTGATTGGATTGCTGAGTCTGCTAACCGTGCTTTCCATTAGGCAGTCTTGATAATACAACTGGGATAACTCTCCACTTGACCAACGTCATCCAGGTGGGCAACCACGCCCATATATCCATCCTGCTGTATCACAGCTAAACGATAGAGCTCATCTTACATACCGCATGTGGGATACAATAGCTTGGGGCAGATATTCACATTCTTAGCTCTATGTATTCAAACACAAACATACACTACTATACCATGTGTTCAACAATTAGCAATCATCATAGGACCAGGCGTGCTATTCAGTCAAGGAGAAGACGTGTCCCCCATACCACAACAGAAAATTGAAGAGAAGGGAAGACAATATCGTCAATATAATCTCCAGCGGCGCTGTGACGAAGGATATGTCCGATAGCACTATGAAACCCAAGGAGTTCGGGAGAAGGAGGCTCTATATCTCGCTCGAGTATAATTATTCCACGCTCTCATGACAGGGCCTATAGAGTATAGTATATATATTATATTATATCCCCTCGATTTTCAAGCCCGCATGCTGGAAATGAACTTTGGCGCTTTCTTTCATATCACCAACAGTATTAACAAACCTTCTAAACAACACAGAATCTTGTAAGCCAGTATTCCATCAATTAGGTACCCCTGTGCGAGCATCATAATTCCGACATATAGTGCCTCCCAGATTGGGAAAGAATGCCCCATTGCCATCCAAAAAGATCAAGATATTTACAGTTACTTATGGCGGTATCGGCACCATCTGCTTTAAATCTATATTACATGTCCTATTGTCCTTATAGTAGTATCCCTAGGGCTTGATGCGAAGGTACGCAGGTGCCACAAGGTATGGAAGAGACAGAAGAAGTAAATATAGCATATATAGTTGTGATTAGAAACCCTCATCAGACTACATACCAATAACCCCATTGATACCCTGGTTTGAATTGAGGGGAGGGAGGGGTAGGTAAAAGACTGTTTGTTTGTTCATAGAACAACATCATATTGGACTTTTGTCATTCACTAATCCCACGCAGCCTGCCAACACAAGCAGAAAATTCTTGACCCCCGCATTTTTGGGCATCTTTCCCTCTCCCCATCCCTCTCCTTTCCTCTTCCATGACCCTCACGACAAATCTTTCTTACCCTTACTCCATCCCCTACGGCATCGTTGCTTCAAAATCCCCTAGGCAGTTGATGAAATCAACCAGAGCCTATTAAGATGGCAGGCTCCGGAAGGCTATTAAAATGGTAAGTCTGGTGGATATCATTTTTACGTGGGAAACGTTGTAATGCTTTGTAGGTTTGACGGCCTCGCTTCTCGTACCTTGGATCTTGTGGGCGACTACGCAGGTGATGAACTCTTCATAATTGAAGGAGACTCAGTTTTGCTTCATTGCTTTTCTGATGAACAACTGGACTTCTCTTCTGGATTTCAACTCCTACACGCCGCGTACACCATGGAGAAGTTTCTCTCGCAGCTTCATCAGAGAAAATGCGTTTTTCATGTCGTATTCTTTTCCGAACATGAGATAGTCTGCACCCCCCCGAATATTGACGATAGCCTCAGGCCTAGATATCTCCTTGCTCGCGAGGTGCTTGTACAACACCTATCTGAAAACCTCCCCAACAGAGTCCCGTCAATTCAAGTGAAGCGCTTTAGCACATACAACTGTGACGCTTTCAAGGAATATCTTCATTCTGCAGGCGCATATTTCCTGATGTGTCATGATGGTGCATTTCCTGAACTTGACAGGAGCAAGTCAAACGGATCCGATGAACCTGAGATTCTAGAGTCAGATGACGAAGATTCAGATTCATCCGAGTATGATCACTCTGTAGCTCCAAAGGACGTGTCTTTGTGGCCAGGAAAGATCGTACTCCGCTCGATGATACATTGGTTTATTTGCCGTAGCTATAAGGTTTCCATATTAAATACTTTGGAATTCCGAGATACAAAGGTTAAACCCATTAATTTGTCCTGCAAAAATTAGAACGAAGATGGAGGCTAACAGCAGCAGGCCATGTCCATGATCATAGAAGGCTCAGCCGCGGGCGCTCGACAGCTTTATACGGCACGGGAATTTACTCCGGAATCATACAATAACAAGTCATCGCCGATTTCACAGATTGGTTCTAATCTAGCATCAGTCATTAATAGGGCAGAGGCAGAGGAGCAGAACGAAGGCATGATCAAGACCTTGCCCGACACGATAAGTTTGATCGACAAAATGCCGGACGAGAAGACCTCGAAAAAGATTTTGGAAACAGTCAAAAGTGGAGTCTATAACCTAACGCAGCGCGAATGGATAACGCTACTTACCCTTGCATACATGTATAAGACGTCTTCCTTCGAAAGAGATGACACACTGGCGGCTCATGGCATGTTGCTGCATATTGCAATCATGCGAGAATGTAAACTTTCAGAAAGGGCAAACAGCTGCCGCATCTCTCGAGTCGGCCAACTATTTTTGGAACGGTACTGCAGAGCTATGAGTAATATTCTTTCTTCAAGCCTTTGGAATGATATTACCACCCAGGCGGCGTGCACCTGCGACGTAGCAGATGTCGTTGATGGAAGGTTATTTTTCGAAACATTCAGATTACTCGAACAATATGACAACGTATCATTCTTCCTCAGCTCATCGGTATTCAAAAGATTCGAATTTTTTCAAAACATAATGTCGGACCTTTTTGGGGTTGGCTTAAAGATCGAGGAACGATTTAGCCCTAACAAGTCTGGTAAAAACGCAAAGAAAGCCCTACTAAATCAACCCGTGGTTCGGATATCTAGTGGGGAAGAAAAGGGAGATTCGACTCTTCTAGCTTTCAGCAACCCAGTCTTAGATTTTCATCTAAAGCCAGTCTCGGTTGTCACCGATGGATCCGCTGACGACGATGTCAGCAGTGCAATGTCACGAATATTCCAAGAACTCAGCCATTGGCACAACCACAGACGTCTACTCAATCCAAAGACGGCTATTTCTCTAACAGATAGGCAACTCATGCTTATGAATCGTCGTAACCAGTTTTTCATGAGTGATATCAGAAGATATGCAGCTAGTCTCACCAACTCTTCAGGGGGGATTCTCGAGCCCGAGAGTGTCTTTGTGAAATCTAAGAAGGATAAAGATCGTATGGCGTCACTGTCTGGAATTGAACACATCACTAGGATTTCGGAGCCCAACCGAAATGTCCTGCCTTTACAAGCCAAGAAGCACAATAAGGAACTGTCTGGTAGAGATCAAATCGTACTCCAGCAACAGTGGAAGCAGAAAGAGCTCGTCGAGAAGCAGATCAGCAATTGGAAAGCGACGGTAGTGACCCAATTTGATAAGGAGGGAAATTATGGTTTCCGTTATTCCAAGGTTAAACGGTATCTCTTGTCTTTGTCAGAGGAGAAAAGAAGGGCAGCTGAAGTCGAGATACTCGCTTATATGGTCAGCACTTTGGCTCTCCTATGGAAGGAGAAGTGCATTACGGACCACAGAAGTTCTTCATTATCTGTTGTGGCATTGATGTGGCACACGATTCAACAAATTGCAAAGGCAAGATGTGGAATCACCGAGGAAATAGCCGTATGCATTCGTGATCTCATAAGAGACCTCCAGCTCCCGGAGCTTGAACTGTTACCCCAGGAAAAGCGAGGCCTTTCGTTTCAATTTGCATCATTGAGAGGGAAGCAACCTAGCATCAGTCTCGGAATGCCACCTGTCGAGTTTCAACTTATCCATGCTGGCCCGTATTTGGATCGTAATATGGGTTCAGCGCCCGATCCGCGTGTTCGCGACTTTGAACCCGATGAATGGCAAAGGGAAATTCTAGACCAGATTGACTCTCGAAGAAGCTTGTTTGTTGTTGCTCCAACCAGCGCTGGAAAAACTTTCATATCGTAAGTCGGAGAAATAAGATCGTTATTGCCTCGGTTTAAAATTCACTCCAGGATTAACATATGAGGTATAGGTTTTACGCTATTAAGCAGATTCTTGAAGACGACAATGAAGGGGTATTGGTTTATGTCGCTCCTACGAAGGCACTTGTAAATCAAATTGCGGCTGAGGTACAAGCAAGGTTCTCAAAGTCTTTCAAAAACCCTGCTGGAAAGTCTGTCTGGGCTATTCACACGCGCGACTACCGAATCAACAATCCCATGGGTTGTCAAGTGCTTGTCACCGTACCTCACATACTTCAGATAATGCTGCTTGCACCATCAAATGCAACCAAGTGGTCGCCGAGAGTGAAACGAATTATATTTGATGAAGTTCACTGTATTGGCCAAGCGCAGGATGGCGTAGTGTGGGAGCAACTGCTCCTTCTTGCGCCATGTCCGATCATCGCCTTATCTGCAACAGTCGGGAACCCGCAGGAATTTAAGGAATGGCTAAGTTTAACGCAGCGAGCGAATGGAATAGAACTGAGAATGATAGAACACAAGGCCCGCTACTCAGACCTGAGGAAGTTTATCTATCGTCCACCAGATTTGTTTCTCTTCAACGGACTTTCGACGCCGGGTCAGCTGCCGCCTCTTGGACTAGACGATAGTCCTAATTTCAGTTTCATGCATCCGGTAGTAAGCTTGATCGACCGTGCTAGAGGTATGCCAGATGACCTAACTCTCGAGCCGCGAGACTGTTGGATGTTATGGAGGGTTATGAACAAACACCAGACGCAGGAGTTTCCGGTCGATGCATCTTTAAACCCTGCTATTGCATTGCCAAAATTGATTAAGAAGGCTGACATCTTCGAATGGGAGGGCCAACTCAAGAACTTGTTGAAACATTGGATGGACTATAAAGAGTCACCGTTTAATACAGTTATCGAGGAACTTTCGCAGGGACTACATGACACTGCGGCCAAAGCTAAGACCCAGGTTTCTTCAGGTAGGGTTCCAGAATCTCCAATTCTGGAACCAATTCGTAAGGGCCACATTCTGGATACGACTCTCCCTTTGATCTGCTCGCTTCACGATCAAGGCGCACTTCCTGCGTTGATATTCAACTACGATCGCAGCTATTGTGAGAAGATCTGTGGACATATCCTCAAACAGCTCGAGGAGGCAGAGGATTCTTGGAAAGAATCGAGCTCTATATGGAAGAAAAAAATGAGTGGATGGGCAGAATGGCAGAAAATGGAAGCCAGACGGATGAAAACAAAACAACCAAGGCGACAGAGGGAGACGGGAGGGGAAGAAGACAAGAAAACATCAAAAGGAGAGCAGATACGAGAGAATGCGTCTAAAGATTCAAACCCCATGGAGTCATTTAATCCCGACGCTCCCGTTTCCGGATTTCATTTAGCTGATGAAAAGAAACTTCACCCATCAGAATTCGAAAAGTATGCAACAGAGTTGAGGTGCCGTGCCGTGCAAGAATGGCTAATCAGGGCTTTACAACGTGGGGTTGGTGTACATCATGCTGGTATGAATCGTCGGTATCGTCAAGTTTGCGAGATTCTTTTCCGAAAGGGCTATCTTCGTGTTGTTATCGCTACGGGCACTTTGGCTCTAGGCATTAATATGCCGTGCAAGACTGTGGTCTTCTCTGGGGATTCGGTATATCTAACAGCGCTGAATTTTCGACAGGCAGCTGGCCGAGCTGGCCGTCGAGGATTTGACTTCTTGGGAAATGTCGTCTTCCAGGATGTTCCGTACGCTAAGGTCTGCCGTCTGCTGAGCTCAAGGCTTCCTGACCTCAATGGGCATTTCCCAATCACAACCAGTCTCGTGCTCCGCCTATTCATTCTGCTACATGAGTCAAACCAGGCTCCTTATGCGGCCAAGGCAATCAACTCTATTCTTTCGTGTCCTCGCATATATCTAGGCGGGCCGGAGTCGAAGCATACTGTGCTTCACCATCTGCGATTCTCGATTGAATACCTTCGTCGGAACTGCCTCCTGAGCCGGACAGGTGCTCCACTTAATTTTGCTGGAACAATATCCCATCTTTACTACACCGAAACCTCTAGTTTCTCCTTTCATGCATTGCTTAGCAATGGTTATTTCCATCAGTTATGTAAAGGAATTCGGCGTCGACCTGAACAAACACTGCTCGACCTCATGCTTGTTATGTCACACCTCTTTGGGCGCTACCACCTGAGACCAAGTGTATTGGAATCCAGAGGAGTCATGAGTAAGAGGTCAACCTCGGTTGTCATTCTCCCCGCACTGCCCGGGAAGGCGACCAAGATTTTGGACGCACACAACAAGAAGACCTTGAGCATATTTTCCGCATATGTTTCTACATTCATTGACCAACATATTCAAGATTCCGACTGCATCCTCCCCCTTACCGGCATCAAATGTGGCGGAGACCAACCAGCAGAAGATATCAGTAAACGGATGGAATTTCTCCCGCCGAATCGGGTGAATTCTGCATTCGTCTCGCTATCAGGGCATTTGGATGGATGGGACAGCATTCCGCAGCTTTGCAAAATGGTCCGGAGCGGTGTATGGCTCGAGCAGGCCGTCATTCCCTATGCTGAAGCATCTCCGGCAAAGGGCCAGGCACCATTGAATGCCTACTTGTACGATTTTTACAAACATGGCAATGTACATGCTTTGGTAACCGAGAATATGGTTCGTAAAGGGGACCTTTGGTTTGTCCTGAATGATTTCTCGTTGGTACTAGCTACTATTGTCACCAGCCTGGAGAACTTTTTGAAATTGTCGCCCAATACTGACCCGTGTCTCCTGGAGACCATGGGCAGTGGCGATGCCTTGGAAGAGGAGTCGGATAACAAAGCGTTTGAGGCAGCAGAAGGACATATTAGGATGCCAGATTCCTATAGAAAAGAGAGCCGCCCTACAGTCCAGCCCAAGGCCAAACATCCGGGCAGTACTTCGTTTAAGGATAAGGATAAGGATAGTAGCGATGTGGCAGAGAATTGGGACGACGCATTGAGTGACGAGGACAACAACAAAGAAAATACCAGCCACGGGGTCCTCAATGTGGCTACCAACAAGTCGAAGAAAACGGAGAGAAAGAATCCGAAACCCCCCAAGGACGCTACCAAGCACAATACCAACGCCGGTGATACAGTTCTGGAGGGTGCAGGAATCATGCAGGTTCTCCAGGCCTTCCGGATGCTTCAGCAGGAGTTTAACAATAAATTCAGAGTTACTTGGGCGTGATTTGAAGGGCTATCCATTTGGCTTAACAGCTCCTATCACAGCGTTGCTAGGCTGCGTTGTTGGTTATTGTGAGCATTAGGGTTAAATCAAAATACTAGCTGTTGTTTGCAGGAACTTATGTACTTCTCTTCTTAAGTTTAAGGCCCGCAGTGCGAAGATTTAAAGTGTTGGAAGACTACAATGGAGAGAGGTTTTGATGTCTTGTCGTTGTCTTATTCGAACCAGCTGCCTCTTTAATATCTGGGTCATGGTTGTATACGCCTTTAAGTAGGAACGAACTAGAGGTGTTTAATTAGGATCCTATGGAACTACATAATCGCTAACCTTCCTTACTGGAAGCGCCTGTAGTAGAACCCGACCCGACCTGGGGCTGTGAGTGGGTACGCTTTAGCTATAAATCCGTGTACAGTCTATAGGACTTCAAACCTTTACAGGAACCCTAAGTAAGCTACGTAAATAATTCCAAGGGGATTATGTATACCATCAGGACGACCGTCCGGCTGATTCGAGATAGGCCATGACAACACGGTCGAAGTCCGTCGGACTGCTGGTATCGAATTCATTCACACGAAGGCGCATAATAATTCGCTTGGGAGATCCTCCTCCCATTTTTTTCCGACGCCAGCATCTGGTTCCGATGGTTATGTTCTTGATTTACCACTATCGTTGTCGATGAACAAAAGGAGAGCGTGAACATAATACTGCCTTCCAGTACCGCCTGCTCTAAGAGCGTAGCATAACTGAATCATGATGAGTAAGCTATGATGAAGTTATGTTGGAAGTGATGTCGAAGGTAGAGATAATTCCAGGAACTCTGTATGGACAGGGTTGTCTATCAACTAAACAAACAAAAAGAAGATTCTATTCATTCTAGGATTCTAGATTAAATCAAGACAGATAAGGAGGTACTTTGAAGAGAGGAAATTCCAATAATCATTAAGGTGGACAAAAAGCAGAGATGAGGGGTTAATCCAGATGAGGGGATACGCAAGTCCCCCCCCGCATAGCGCTCACCACAACCGACGTCCAAAGAAATCAAATATAGGGAGTGATATATCTTATTAATATAGCAGCATGATACCTAGATTCTCATATAATCATGATCTTTGCTGCAAAGAAGAAATTAACCATTAATCCTTCCTACTAGTTTAACATTTAACATAGTGACCAGGTAAGTAGTTTACTCCTCATTAGAAAATACCCCGCACCTCCAACCTCTCCGTCTATATAAACATCCACTCGCCGTTTCCGAATTCCATCCAGGAGATAAACCTCTATATATATTATATTGATTTAACCAATATGTCTCTCGCAACCCTTGATGTAAGCCAACCCCTCTAACCTAACACAACATACGCCGTACGGCATCCTAAATTCAACCTAACCCAAATCCAGACAACCCAACACCCCCACCTCCCCGCCGCCTCCACAACCCTATTCCAAGCCAAGGCCGCCAAAGCCCTCACCTTCGAACAAATCGCCCAGCACATCGGCCGGAACGAAGTCGCCACGGCAGCCATCTTCTACGGCCAAGCCAAGGCCTCGCCGGAAGACATCGACAGCCTGGCTTCGCTCCTGGATATTCCCGGGACGGTTCTCCGCGAGCAGCTCGCCGGGTTCCCGGATCGCGGGCGCTCCGTGGACATGCCGCCCCGGGAGCCCCTGATTTACCGGTTGTATGAGATTGTGCAGAACTATGGGTATGCGTATAAGGCGGTGCTGAATGAGAAGTTTGGGGACGGGATTATGAGTGCGATTTCGTTCTCGACCAAGGTGGAAAAGGAGACGGATGCGGAGGGGAATCATTGGGCGGTTATTACGTTGCGTGGGAAGTGGTTGCCTTTTTCGAGATTTTAATGGGATATTTTTTTTATTATATTTTTTTTTTCCATTGTGGTTCTGTTGAATGAATGTAAATGTCACACTGAGTTCTATTGTGTTAGTAGTGTCAAGCTATAACATATGTAACATAACTTCTCTCTCACACATACTCTCTCTCTCTCTCTCTCTCTCTCTCTTCACTCCCTACCCAACGATCCTTCTTTCATCAATTAAATCATTAATCATGTCGAATCCCCCCCCAGTCAGAGTGCCATGCACCTTTCCCCAGTGCACCCGCTACTTCAACTCGACCAAGGAAATGACCCGACACAAAATATTCGACCCCGAACACGAATACTGCCCGAAATGCGACGAGGACTTCCAAACCGAGGAGCAGCTCCTGATCCACAAGATCAAAAGCAACAAACACATCGTCTGTCCTGTGTGCGGCCATGAATTCGGCAGCGAAGGCGGGCGGGACAGTCATATTCGCCAGGTACCGTAACCCTCTTACAGACAGTCCCGAAGTAACTACTAACTCAGGTTGTTTGTTTTAGCAACACCGCTCCGGACAAAACCTCACGTGCCCCGGATGCAAGGCCAAATTCAAAAGCGCCGCCGGTCTCTTTCGCCATATCGAGGAAAACGAATGTCCCGAGATTTCCAAGGATATGCTCCTCCTTGAACAGTCCCGGAAGCTCCTGATGAAGGAGGCACTGGGGCTGGAAACCGACTCGCCGCTGTCTCCATTGCTTCCGGATTTAACTCACGACCTGGAGGAGGAGGAGGAGGAGGCGGAGGGGCATGTGGGCGGGGTCAAGATTTCCATCGGCGATGTGAACTGCGAGGCTATGGCGAATCAGCCGCGGCCCGGACAGGTCGATCTTGCAGATAGGTTGTCGGCTGTGTTGACGCTCAAGCACTGGCCGGCACTGAGCGAGGCGGAAAAGAGAGGGAAAGGGAAAGGGGACAGCAGGGCTGCGGCGCTGGGAGCGGGTGACTTGTTGGCGTTCCCGGGCCTCTCCGTGAATGATGACGCGAAGGAACACGGCGCCTGGAAGGGGAAGGGACGCGCTCCATCTGTTGTGGGCTCGGAGATAACCTATGGTCCCTCCTGCTCGGGCGATGCGGCGGCGGCTGTGAATTCGAAGGCTGGGAGCTCCGACCTGGCGAGGTTTTTCAACGCGTTTAGTGGGAAATATATCTGTCGTTGCAAGATGGAGTTTGAGACCGCCCTGGACTTTGAGGCGCATGTCTTGGCCTCCAGCAAGGGCAATCGCAGAGTGCAGTATGCGATCTATCTCAATCCTATTCCCCCGCACTGTGTTGTTGCTGTTGCTGTGAGCTAACGGGTGTAGGTGCCCTGGATGTCTGCGGGTCTTTAAGACGACTGCCGCGCTGATCGCCCACTGCGAGTCGGCCACCACGCGATGCGATATCAACCAGGATAACAAGTACGCGCAGATGATCGACGAAGTGACCGGTGGATTTATCCAAATGGCCGGGTACAACGAAGACGGCACGATGAAGTACGAGGCCGGCGCGCTGGATCTTCCCAAGACGACCAGAATCGGCACCGACTTGCGGCAGGTGAACTGGTGATTTTTTTTTTTTTTTTTTCTTCACTTTTAATTCGAACCAAGAGAACAACAGCGGGTACTTCATAATTCATGAGAATTTGATTTGTTTGTATTTATTATGGCTAAGGACTGAAGAAAGCAAGGTATCAAAGATAAATATCGTAATGAATTCCCATCAAGACCCGGCGGGTCCTTGTCTCGTAGGAGATCCAGGGGTATAACCGACAAAAAAAAGACTAAGACGTAGATGTCATAGACAAACATGGGCAGAGAGTCTCTATCCCGAGTCCCATCTAACAGCAGCACTCGCAGCACTCGAAGCAGGCAATACCGGCGCAACTATTCCTCGTCAGTGATATCTCGCTATGTACGAACCAAAAAAAGAAAAGAAAGAAAAGAAAAAAAAAAAAAACCTACAGTCCGCAGCAGAAACCGGCCTCGTCACCTCCACGGAGCTCCATGCGCATACCCTCCTGAGGAGCCTATGATTGTTAATTCCATCCATTCTGGAGAAGGAGATAAAGAAAAAAAAAAAAAAAAAAAAAAAGAGAGAGGAAACATACAGGCTGCTCGCTCACAACACGCTCAGTGGTAGGAGCATTAGGGCTGGTGGGCTGGGCCATAGTCACGGACTTAGGGTCCCAGGTAGGGTCCTGAGCACGGGCGGAGTTGTCCTTGGACTTGAAGAGATCGAGAGGGTTGAACATGGTGAATTTTTAAGGTAGAGTGGATGTCTGGACCGAGGTAGGATGGGGTATATGAAGAAGAGGAAGAGAGAGAGCAAGGGAGAAAACTTCGCGGGGGAAATGGACGGTTTAAATTAAGTTGTTGAGGAGCAAGCTAAGACGTCAGCAGGGATGAAGAAAAAAAAAAAAAAAACAACAAAAACAAAATAAAAGGGGGGAGGAGCTAGAGAGACTGAGAGAGACATGGCCCATGTACTGGGCTGAGCAGCAAAGCGGGAGAGAGCGAGTAGCGAGCGAGCGAGTAGAGAGAGTCCGGCACATCACGGCTTAATTTCAACTAAGGATTCGGGCTGGCGTCGTGCTGGTTTCTTACTCGTGGGTGGATCGAAAATGATACACCACTTCCCACTACTCTGACCCGCAGATAATCCATGTACTGGCGAGTCTTAGCTTGTTGTTGGCGCCGCCTTATGTTTCAGTGACAGTCCCAGCCACGATAATGGAGTTGGATTGTGGCTGTTCTGTAGGACTCCCACTGTACGGAGTAGGCAGCCGGATTTCTCTTTCTATTTTCAGCATAGAACTCGGTGAGGAGGGCTGAGCGATGCTCCGTAAAACGGTTAACATAGTAAGCTTTGGGTAAGCTTCAGCTAGCATTGCATGTCCCACTCGGATGAGCTGTTGACTTGTTGCAGAGCATACCGAGTACGGGTAACGCTGTAGGAATGGAAGTCAATGACCTATCCACTGTTCAGTCAGAGGGTTATGATTTCGGTTTGGTGAAGCCATACATTTCTAGTTCAAGTTATTCTCCCAAACGTTATGTGCAGGAGTCTGTCTCCGGGACGCGAGATTTGTTGAATTGTTGAAAGCCGCCATCTTCAGAGAGAATAGATGCGTTTCCTAATTAGGCTTAGTCCCCCTTCCCACCGTCAACCGAATTTGCTGCCGACATTTCAGAGTCAAGAACTCGAACTTGCTCAAAATATCATCAATCCCTAGAAGAATAACATGGCTGAAAACCTCCCATCCTCCTCCCGCGATGCCGACTTCCGCCGCTTCAAAACCTACGCCGCCATCACCTTCCTCGTCGCCGCCCCAGTCCTCATCGCCCTCCCACCCCGAAAACTCGACCATCTGACCGTCCTCCTCGGAACCGCGTTCTGCGTCTCCGCAAACCATCTCACCCGGGAACGCACCGGCCGGAGCATCCTCGACCGCATTGAATCCCGCGTTGCGGCCCATTCCACGCACTCGCCCATCCCCGGCTTCACCATTGCCGATCTGCCGAGTGAGCGGGCCCAGGAGATCCAGGCGAAACTGCGCGCGACCCGCGATGCCCAGATCCGCGACGGGAGTGTGGTGGGCGAGGAGTGGGAGAGGCTGAAGGCGCGCCAGCTCCAGGACCAGGGCGTCGTGGAGCGAGTTTGGATGGGTGGGGAGACGGCGGGATGGAAGGAGAGGCGGCTACGAGAGGAACAAAGGGCCTTGGATGAGGGGAAGGGGTATGGCGATTTGATCAAGGAGCATATCTGGGATGTCTGGACTTGGGGGGAGAGCAGGAAAGAGGGGGGGGGGGAAGAAGAATGAATGATCTATGGTTTATCGAACCGAGGAGGACAAAAAATGTATGATATGCGTTGCATTGGTTTGGCGTTGGTGGCTACTTTAATGATATCCTGTACTCTACTCTGCGGATACCCATCTGCCTGTGGGATCCTGCGAATTTGCCGATTTATAAAAGGTTATCAATTTGGTATGGATTCTTCAAATTAGCGAACAACTTAATCTGCGGGACAGATTACATACAGTAACGGAAATTGATTGAAAGCGCTAATTCGGACCATAATTAGTCCAGTTAGTTCAGACGATTGACCCCTCAGAATGCTTCGATTCCTCACAGCTCAACACCCATGGGAGCACAGGGAAACAAAAACATGAAGTTCTTTTCACATAATAACGCTCAAACCCCCCTCAGGGTCATGGCCACTGCGTGTCTACTACAACTTGGAGGAGCCTTGAGACTGACCACACCCCATTTGCACCTGCCAAACACTAGCTTGCATGCCGCTTCAGTCCCCTCGTTCGACTGGTCTCGCGTAAACCCTTCACAAGACCTCGAGTACCACGACTGCTATGAAGGTTTCCAGTGCACTCGGCTTCTCGTTCCCCTAGACTGGCAAAACGCCTCCTCCGCACGGATCGCCATCGCCGTCATCCGGCTGCCTGCAACCGTGGCGGCAGACGACCCGTCCCATGGCGGGAGCCTCATGCTGAACCCTGGCGGACCGGGAGGTTCCGGGGTTGATTTTGCTCTTCGCGTGGGTCGCACCGTGCAGCGAAACCTGGAAGGCGAGCGGCACTATGAGATTCTGAGTTTCGATCCGCGCGGCGTTCGGCTTAGTGAGCCGCATCTAGACTGCTTCGCTTCTTCCGCGGAGCAGAGTATCTGGGGTCTCGGGCAGCGGATAGCGGGGGGGATTGGTGTTGATGGTGGAAGTGCCAGGTTTCTCTCCTATCACTGGGCGGGAGCGGAGGCTCTGGTAAAGCTGTGCGAGGGAAAAGGGTCGAGTGCGAAGGCGCGGCAGTATGTATCAACGACATACGCTGCGAGAGACATGCTCCACCTGGTTGACAAGATCGATGAGGAGAAGGAGAAGGAGAAGGAGAAGAAGAAGAAGAAAGTCGGGCAGGGGTTCGATGGTGCGGACGTGAACGCTCAAGCGCCACTTCGCGAAACCCGTGCTCCGGATGAAAGTAAGCTTCAGTATCTGGGCGCTTCCTATGGGACTTACCTAGGGCAAGTTTTCGCCAGTATGTATCCGCACCGAGTGGGCCGTATGATGCTCGACTCGGTTGTGGATGGCAACGACTGGAGAGACAGCCTTTTCTACTCGTCTCTGAACGACACCGACAACGCACTGCAATCTTTCTACCGCAATTGTTATACCAAGCAATCCGCGTGTTCGTTATGGCAGCCCGAAGACACCTCTCCCCTGAACATCACCGCGCGGGTCAACTCTCTCCTCGAAGAACTCGACATTCGACCCGCCAGGAGCATTGGAGCGGGCACCGCCAGTTTAATCACCGGCGACGACATCCGCGCACAGATCTTCAACTCGCTATACAGCCCTCTGGTGCATTTCCCTGAACTCGCCAACCTCCTCCAAGACCTCCTCGACAAAAAGCCCATCTCCTTACCATCTACCACCACATGCCCATCCTCCCCGGGACTCCCCGACGACGACTCCCGCGGCCTCAGACTCGAGGCGCTAGCCTCCATCTCCTGCCCCGACGGCCCAGCCCTCCTAGGCAAGCCGCTCTCCGAATTCGAAGACTACTTCACGTCCCTGAACGCCCAGTCCGTATTCGGCGCCCCGTGGAGCCTATTCAAACTCACTTGCTGGCAGTGGCCGTGGCGATCGCCCTGGCGCTTCGAGGGCGCCTGGAACGCCTCGCTCCCGATCCTGTTTGTCGGGAACCGGTTCGACCCCGTCACTCCGTTTGGAAACGCCAGAACCGTGGCGGAGCGGTACGAGGGGTCTGCGGTGCTGATGCACGAGAGCGTTGGGCATGGCGGGTTGTTCCCGGGGTCGCGGTGTATGTGGGAGTATGCGAGAGCTTACTTGGGGCACGGTGCGCTGCCTATCGCGGGGACGATCTGTCCGGCGGATTGTGAGCCTTTCGACGGTGGGTGTTCTAGTGATAGCCGTGCTTTGTATCTTTAGTACTCTACCGAACGTAGGGATCTAATGATACGTTAACTTATTATGTAGAGAGAGCATATTGAATAAAATACTAAAGTAGCAACGGTACACTTCCCAAATCAACGCAGCGATAAGGTAGAATAATCAATATACGATGTATCTGTTGCTACACAGCTGCTACTTGCTTGCTAGCTCGAGAGTGAAAACAGTTCTACCCTCAAAGAAGAGAAGAGAAGACAAGCGGAGACGGTAGAATGATTTATCTCATTTTTATCATCAGCTCTAGCTTATGATACACCCACCAAGTATAGATATAAATCAGAAAGACAAATATGGAAAAGCAGACTCCTCTCCACAGGCTAGCTTCACACCTCGTGCACTAGGTGTGAACCCGGGTAACCTGGAAGAGGCCCTTGTCTTTCCATGAGGACAGTAGCGATAGAGTATGCGTACATGAAGAAAATATACAAATGAAGAACAAATGAAAAGCATTGATACATGATTGATTGATGCCCCCCCCATTCGGGTAGCAGCTTGCTAGACCAAGGGAAACATCCAGCTGCACTTGCATGCTTGGTAAAAACCTTGGCCAGGGATCTAGACAGCAAGGATAGAATATTGTAGAAATCGGAAAGTAGAAGTAGGTTAATGGCAGTGTATGCATGCCAATAAAGAATGGTGATGATGATGATGATGATGATGATGATGATGATGATGGTGATGATGATGATGATCCCATAGTCTCCTCCTCCTAATTCCCTCGTGGAATCTTTCCGTCCCATGGTTTCCTCCGCTTGGTTTCCTTTCCGGTTCGTTCGATTCGATTGTGGTTGTCCGGGTTGCTGTGTTTGATATTCCGTGCTGATGTTGATGTCCAGGCTGGAGGGAGAGGGCATTGCTGTTCTTGTCTTGGATGAGAGAGTATTGGCACCGATGAGGCGCAGAACGATTGATATTATATATGGCTTAAGTTGGAAGCGGAAGAGAGTAGACAAGCAATGTAATGTGATGTTTCTTTCGAAGTTGCACCACGAGCTGCCGCTCGCGACGGCTAAAGAGAGCCCAACTATGAACAGCCCGGTCGTCATCTCGCACTGGGATCCTTCAGTGGAGGCACCAGCAGCCTTTGGTCCATGTTGTGTGTTGCTTATGCATCCGCGGGGTGACTGTTTTGCAGGGAAGCAGGTGTGGATTTAGATATGTTTTTTTACCACTCTCTCTTGGTTTTTTTTTTTGAAATTTGATGTCTTCGTCATAGGCGTGCACGGCAGCCTCGTGGTGCTGGACGCGGCATGACCAGTGCTCGTTCGTCCGGAGAAAGATAAAGAGATAAGTCCTTTGGAGTGCTGGAAGTTTGGCGGTAGTAGGCGGCCCCGGGAGGGGGCTGTTTGACCTTGACAGGTCTTGTTTTGGCGTAATAGTTTTAAAAGATTGGTGCGTCAGTCATGACGCAGTCGTCGCGGTTGTCAACGGCGAAGCTGGAGTTCGAGTCGATGCCCATTCCGTTCGAGTTGGAACGAGCTTGCTGAATCCGCCGAGGAGAGCGGTTTGATTTCTTCTAAATGCATTCGTTAGTTCAATGCACCGTCCACAAGAGATTTCAGTTACTTACTTGGCGGAGTGGCGGAGCCTCTGTCATGGCAATATCCTCATTGGAGGGGTTGAGTTTCGTCTAAACAGGTGTGAATGAGATACACCTCCAAGACACCTCAAGCACTTACTTTTCGGAGTGCTGGTGCGTCTGTCATGACAACATCCAGATACAGGAAGTTCTACAAACATATTAGTATCAAACCCCTTCAATAAGGCGGAGATGGTGTACTTACTCCTTCGATTACAGGGGTGATACCCTGGTTGGCCCTGGGACGTCTCCCAATGCGGCCAGTCAACGCGCCTTGTTTCTGAAGGCTGTTGCGGTGATTTGGTCTTCTATTCCCGTGGGAATTGAATTGTCTTGGTTGGTTATGTTGTCTTCGAGGCTGGTTGGCATGGTTTCTGCGCGGACCTCTCCCCACGCCGGCATTGACTTGATTCGCAGTAGCAGAGGCCTCCCGGTTGTTATGAGCGTTATTACGCTTTCCTCGGTAAGAGTGGGGTGCGCATCCCTCACTCGTTTGGCTAGATTGCCAATGTCTAGTTCCTTGCGGTCCCCTGCCATTTGATTGAGTTCGAAGAAACGAGGCATTTTGATGGGGACCGTGACCGGAGCGCTGTTGGCTCGAGGGTCGTCCTCCAGCAGGGACAGTCATCTGCGTGGAGGGGGTGAAAGAAGAGAAAGCTGGGGTAAACGAGGAAAACATGATGGTTTAGGTGGACAAAGATGCAGATATCAGACGGGTTTATCTTGAAGGGGGAGGTTTCCAAAGAGGTAGGCCTGCTTCGAGAACTTGATCTCGTATAGGGTAAACGGTTTTTAAGCTTGAAGTGGAAGTTTTTATTCCTTGTTTTATTTGTTTTGTTTTGTTTTTTGTTTTGTCAAGCTGTGTGGAATTTTTTTAGAACGTAGATATGGGCTCTATTCCCGCTAGGCTGTCCCAGTCAATGGTTGTAAAAGTAGGGTTGAGGTATGCAAGTATGATAGCCGTGGCCTGTTCTGAAAGCTGTGTCAAGCGGTTTCAAAGAGTAATAAGAATCTTCTTCAAAGCGAGAGGGTTTGATTGTTTCTTCAAGTGGATACTAGAATATGGGAGAGATCCTAGAGGAAGAAAGAAGAGAGGAGGACTTGAGGGGGGGATTTCAGCTCTATTCATACCCTGGAGCAGCCCGCACGCAGACGTAATTGGGACTTCATTCTGTGGAACTGGTCTTACAATCTATGAAGCTATATTTAGTCCAATATGATCGATGTATGCGTTGATTCAACGGCATTTCAGGAATGAAGTATAAAAGAAGCCAATCACAAGGGCAAAGATGGCCTCGACCCACGGTTGAGGAGCTTGACGGATAAAATCTACGGAATATCTGCGTCTATCTTGCTATTAAATGACAGCATCTACGGGATAACTCGGGGAAATATGGGGGTAGATCTCCGTCATGTTGCTCTAAGTGAGATGCGCAGTCTCCGGAACTTTTGAGAATTGCGAGCTGCACACGTAGATACAAGTACCAATCCGAGTTTTCTTCTTCGCTTAGAGATATTACCTCATAGATGTTCATCTTTTCCACTGCCCTCCAATCTTCATTTTCTTGCGAGGGATTGCTGGTCCGCTTAGAGACGACGTGCTGCTATTGGACGCCAGGCTTTCGCGTTTCCTCTTCTCTGGTTTTGCATGCCTCCTCTTTCGTCGCTCCTCTTTAATCTTTAAACGCCGCTGTACTTCTTCAGAGATATCATCGGTTTCTAGCGACACTGGTATGGCATCCCCAACGTCTTCATCGGCACCGGGAACAGCCACATCTAGCCGTTTTCGTTTCTGAAAACGTTCCGCTTCAACAGGCAAAGCCTCTTCTATTTCAGCTTGCATCACAATTTCGTCTGATTGACGGCGCGGGCGTTTCCTTCCGTTCTTTGATTCCGTCGATGCAGCTCGTCGAGATGAGGATGAAGCAGAGATATCGTCATGCAACAACTCATCTGTCATACAATTCCCAGTGGCATCATTCCCACCCGGTGCTCCTATCCTATTAATTAGTTCCAGTCTAGATTCTTCATGTAAATTGAGATAGCTTACGCGGGATCTACATGATAAAAGTCAGCGCCCCCTTGCCAGGAAAGTTCAACCCAGAGAATCATTGTCAAAACTAACGATATGTTTCTTGATGCCTTCAAATTGGCTCACCAACTTCTTGGTTCTCTGAACCATAGATGAGATCACCCGTAAAGCCTCGGAATCCGAGGTGACCTGATCCCTGACCTGATTCAGCAACACTAGATGCGAATTAAGAACCGCTTCATGCTGCGAATATATCTAGAATGGCATTGCTCTATTAGCGCGTCGTGCGTTTTCATCCTATGCTAAATATAGCAGACGAGCAAATATACTCGTTCACAGTGATATAACATCTACGAGATCGTCCAGTGACAGGGGGGGGAGGGGTGGTGGATGAGCGGATTGAGGGAATTACCTCGGACCAGGACAATTGGGCTTGCGGTGGCTGCGGAGCCGGCGCGCCGTCATTATTACTATCTGCTTCATCGCAGCCCTCCTCCACAGTAGGATTTAACGGTGGCTGTTGATTGCCTAGAGACATTGCGCAGAAAACTCCCTGCCAACTTTGCCTTGAGGTTGGATTAAAGCTTGCAACTCAAAGATCAACAGGGCTTCGAGTTCTCCACGCCAAGACCTTGACCCCTGGGAGTTAACCGGGCCAATCATAGTGCGTTCTCCCAACTACATCCCGTCCCGACCATTTTGGAATACGACTTGTGAATATTTCTCAACAGCTATACAAGTCTCATTTTGCATCAGTGTTGCTGACGACATGATGATTGTGAGCAGGAAAAGCAATCCTGTCCGGACAAAATAACTAATACCGTAATATGCTGACCAATGCGCCGTAATTTGAAACAAACAAGCCAAGTAATAGAAAGGGTAATAATACAAGCAATCCATTATTCATATTCAAAACATCGAGGTATCACCATGCGCCAGCATCAAAGTCAAATCGAGACAGTTCCTTCTGGGCATCTTCCGCATCCTTCTTGGCCTTCATTCGCATATAGAAAATGGGACAGTCTCGGGATGAGCAAATGACTTCACAGTGAAGACTGCCCTGACACCGCTGGCACTGAGTCCATAGTCGACCAAATCTCACTTCCAGGTCTGATACTTTGTTCAGGCTCTTTGTATAGAGCTCACCTAGGCGAGGGCGGCAATGCTCACACACTGCTCCCGCGCTGACATCTTTCCCAGTCAGTGGTTTTTTGCAACCCAGACATGTTTCAGTCTTCTTGGTAAACTTCATAAGACCTCCCATTGTCGGAGCTGCAACTGCAATGGTGCGCGTGTGTTCACCATGGAGTAGCTGATTGGCCTTTTTTTCTCCTAGAATGGGCTCGAAGATACGCCCTAAGGGATTGGCTAACTGGTTGTCAAGGTAGTATTTTGTGTCGATAGGGATATTATTTTCCAGTACATAGATAGGATCTTCTGACTTTTCGTAGTTTTTCGCTCCTGTGCCTTTGATAATCACGTAGGCGACACGATCACCAAGCGTAGGGGCGGAACCGGCGTCACGCTTTCGCATGCGCTCAGCAAGCTCGACGTGTGCTTGCTTTGCGGAGTAGGCATCCTTCGTAAGGGCCTTTGTTATGACGAGCTTGGACATATCGATTTTGTTCTGCAGCAGGTCGGAGATGGTGTTCTTGACGTATCTAGGACAGCTGAGTCAGAAGAAAAGAAAGGGAAGGGGGGTTGGGCTACATACTCTTGGGCAGCATCGACATCTCGATCAATCAAAATACGATGCAACACAGTCTCGATGACATTCTGAACTAGCAAGCAGTTGTCTCTGCGAACGGTCTCAATACCCTTGGTATCCATCTTGTCAAACTTCTTGGTATTTGTCCAGTAAAGGCCAGCATATCGCTTCTTGTTAATAAGAAGATACGGGAAGTAGACCTTTTCGAATTCAAGTTTGATTGGCTTCAAGAATTTTGAAGACACGTAATCTGCAGCCTCCTGGCCCAGTTTCATGGCATCTTCCAGCTCTGTCACACCGAATTTAACCATGACAGAATCAGTGTCGCCATAAACAACCTTTGCATCGTGCGAATAGCCATTTGCGATTGTGTATCGCGCCTCGACTTCTTGTTTTGTCTTCTCAATCATTTGACGACCATAACTCGTAGTGCTACTAGCAATAGGTAAGCACGGCAGCTTTCCGACAGTCGCACCGGTAAGCCCATAAACACTGTTTGCACTAATTTTTAAGGCGAGCTGTCGACCATTCAAGACAGCCTTTTTGAATGGATCAGTTTCCATGGCAAGCTCTTTCTTTGCTCTTTTTCTTGCACTCAGCAATTCTTCCAAAATTTGTGAAAGAAGCCCCTTTCGCACTTTTGTGGTACAAAACATATCACCGTTCGGCGTTACAATATAGTCTTCGTCCTTTTTCATACCAGCGATGCTGTTCTTGTTGAGCAGGGTGGTATAGCATAAATTATGTGCCTGGATGATGGAGGGATACAAAGAGGCGAAATCGAGGGTCGCGATCGGTACGTCGTAGAAATCACGAACAGGTTCAATAACGGTGGCACCTTCATAGTCTTGTTCACCTGCTGGGGTGCTATTCGGAATCACGAGCTGTTGCTCCAGTGCTTTTCGGTACAACTGGCTAAGGAATTTGACTTGCTGGCCACGGGACAGCAGGAAATTGAAGGGGACTCCTGTTACCCTTGCCATTTCCGTGTAGTTGACAAGACACATTAATTTATCCATTAGTCTTTGCGGCAGATAGGCATCTTTCAAGCAATAAACTGCAAGACGCCGTCTGGAGTCAGGAGTCCCGTTGTAAAGTTCAGTAATCATCGTATGATGCACATCTTCTTTTTGCTCACCAAGGAACTCATAAGAAACAGAATTGAGGGTGTAACTTCGCAGCTGGTGGTCACGCTGAACCAGTTGCAGAAGGTCTAACTGAATCCTACCATTTGTATTGGTCGCCTTGGTGTCACGGTTTCCCATCTGCTTGCTTGAGAAACTGGTTTCCTTAGCTTCAGATTTCATACCGTTTAATCGTGTCCAATACGGAAATCCTGTGCATTTCAAATGTTTTGCACGATCCAATAGGTACGGAAAATCGAAGTTGGCAATGTTGTAGCCAATAATCACATCGGGGTCAACCTTTTGGACGAAGTCGCGCCAAGCCATAAGCATCTTCTCTTCTTCCTGAAATTCCAGAATTTGTGTGTTGACAATCAGGCTGCAGGTATTCATCACGAAGACATTTCGGATGAATGGCTTTGATTCTCCGTATCGCGTGACAACATTGGCAATTTGGATAACAGGATCTTGATTAGGTTCTGGGAAAATTCCCTTTCGTCCAGCACACTCAATATCGAAAGACAGAATGCGCAGCGGTGCCATCTTTGCCCAATCTCCATGGGGGGCGTGAGCGATGAGATCAAGATAGTCAACGCGCGCCTCTATTTGGCAGTTGGAGACCTTCTCCTGCGGGTCACAGAGATGGTATTTTCCAGCTTTCGCTTCAACCCACGACATACCCGAGAGGTTCGTATCAATCATGAACCGCAACAAGTATTGGATGTTGTCAAACGTCAAAACTCCTGACTCCTGTTTACTCCACAATCCTTTATAGTTGAGGGACTGGGCGTTATTCTCCAGCGCATTGCGTAGCTTGCTGATATACCTCGGGTCTGTGACTGTGATCTTCAGGTAGTAACTCTTCTTGTTTCCCTGAAAACCATATATGTTTTCCCTCATGGTGACTTGTACCGACTCGATGACTGGGGTGAACTGGCCGAGTTTCGTTTCTAGAAATGCTCGATAAGGGTCGCAATCGTCCTTTGTGAATCCAACAGGAGCAGCAATATAAAGGTAGTGTTTAAATCCGGTAACATGGAGTAAAACTGACTGACCGGCCTATTTATGGTGTTAGAAACGGTGAACAGAGAAAAGCCCGGGAAGTGCAAGGACAGTCAGTACCTCTGTAACGCCGAAAAGTCGGATAGCCGGCTTGCCCATTGAGGTGCCTTCCTCTGCGTCAATCTGCTGAAAACAGACGCTTTCCTTCGTAGGATCGAATTCACCCAAAGGTGGCCGCTCCCATTGTTGGTCCTTCTCGGAGTTGCTATCCTTCAATCCATTGATGTCCTGCGTCAGCTTCTCCAGAACTTCCTCTTCAAATTGGCTTTTCTGCGGCTGACTTGAGCCAACTTTCCGCTGGCCATTCTGGCTCCCTCGAATAACTCTTCCAGGCTGTTGAATATCGACTTTACGCTTTTTAATGGAACTGGGCGATTTCAAAACTTCCCGCGGATTGTTGGTTGCCTCACCCAGAACCCGTTTCTGGGGCATCGTGACGGCTTCAGGCATAATGATCGCTCATAGAAGACACATTAAGGATCAATTTAAACGCACAGTACACAAATCAGAGCTCAAATAATAAGAGAAGCTGTTGTGGGGAGACTGTTGTAGGGCGTCGCAGCGGCGCGGCGGTAGTTTGGGGACTGATAATTGATTAGGAAGTTCGTGTTTCGTTCGCGACTTACGTGACGCGTTGCATCGACATCACGTGTACTCATAGACCGTCAGCGCAGGACAACACCAAACAACTATGAAAAGTTACATAGGACACGGCTTCAAAAAGTGTTCTTTAGCCTTACAGACACCATATGGGTACAATCAAAGAGAGTGACCCCCCAAATAAGAGAACCAAGTGCTCAGATGCGATTTCTCGAATACGATCTTCTATGACGTCATACAGAAAAATACAAAGAAAAAACGCATGAAGAACAGGAGACGACGAGATCAAGCTCGGAACATATTCTATATTTGGTATCGAATTAACTAAGGTAGCTATCAAGAAGGCAAAGACTTCATCTGAGTCAAGGAATCGTGGGCGGAGTGTCTATTGTGAGTTCTCCTGTGTCTTATAAATATGATTATAGCCATCCAGAGACTCCTGTTTCAAGCTCTCAATATCGCGTCCCTTGAATCGGTTTGGATCGAGAGCGCGCTTTGTGGCAGTATCGACGGCCTCAATGAATCCCGAAGGGGTCATCACACCATTTACACGGCCATCGGATACGCGGATGTCGGTGACATCTCCTTCGATGAGGTCCGCACCATGTTTTCGAGCCTCTTCCCGATAAAAAGAAACAATTGTGATAGGACTTGCTGTTCCATCTCCTGCAAAGTGTAGCGCCAGTAGGCTGTCGTTCCTGACTAAACTAGGAGCCATCTGTGATGCTCGTTCTGCGCTGATCAATTCGGCCTCTAGACCAACATTCTTAGCCATTTCAAGCCTTGATTTGAGCTTTTCCACTCCATGACTGCTGGTCGCTAATTCAAGACCCCCGACGAGGTCAACCCCTCCAGGAATTTTCAGATATTCCTTCACGCTATCAATAGCAAGGCGAGTGAGGACCTCAGACTCATTGAATTGTCCAACAAATCCCGGTGCAACTCCCGTCGAGCCCTTCAATGTTGAAAATGAACGGTCAATGACAACCACCCTCTTCTCAGCGTCGGAAATAGACCAAAAATAGGCCAACGCCGAACCTACAATCCCTCGTCCAATAATAACAATATCAGCAGTCTGTTGCGATGTCATCTTTGAGCTTGACTGGAACAGAGCGGAAATTCCACACGATTCCAAGAGACCCGGGCCATATCTGGCTACTTATACACATGCAGTCAGAGCTCGAGCACTCAGCGCCTCCCACTGATATTTCTATTTTTAATCTGATCAATGCCAACGGTTATTCTCGGGTTATCTGGAGAATTGGATCATTTGGCCGGCTTCGGAGTCTATCCAGCAAGCTAAGACTGGATCCGAGTTAGCGAAGGCCAAATACGAGCTCGAACAAGCCGGGCTTTGACAAGCAGTAGAATTCCACGCCAATAATAATATGACTTTGTTCAATCCACTAGCCTCAAAGCAATAAACAAAGGACACAATCGCATGCCATTCCAATGAAAAAGGGAACGATTTAAGGCTTCACCATTTTGCGGGATTATTCGAATCCCAGTTCGCCCCATTTCCGAAGTCGTTCCATTCTTCTCCAGTTACCCTAGATCCACAACTTTAGAAACTAGTGGTGGTACAGAATCGGAGGGTGGAGAAACAGCCATATGGCGATGGCGTAGGCCAAGAATTTATGAGTGATAATAAGGATCATGATGACAACCATATATTATAATTAGAAAACAAAAAAGATATCAGAAGGGGAAATTAAGCAGGGTCCTAAAGCCATAACACCCCAGCCACACCAACCAAGCTACCTCAAAGCACGCAAAGTGCACCCGCTGGGAAGATACTATGGTCTACCAGAGCATTGATGGCACTTCACATAATGCTGCGATGATCGATCCAGCAATAATGCCAAATAGCAATCCGCCGCGTGACAGTGTGGAAGCACCTCCTTCAAAAGCCAGAGTCGAAGGCGATGGGGTGCTTGGGCTGGATGTCTGGTTCGAGATAAACGTTAGCCCTCATATGTTTCCACTAGAATGATCAAGCTTACAGGGCTTCCGGAGGCCGTTGGGGAGGCAGTCGGTATCAATGAAGAGGAGCTCACCACAGTGCTAGAGCTGGACACAGAAGCCGGAGGAGTCGCACTGGAAGTGGTAGTAGTCTCCTCGGAGGTTGTAGTGGACTCTACCTTTGAAGAAGTGGTAGTTGTTGTCTCAGTAGTGGTGCTGGTACCGGTACCAGTGGTAGTGCTAGAAGCTGATTCAACAGGGGTTGCATCCAGCCCACAGTTGGTAGCAGCTGCAGACACAGAGCTCCCATAGTACTTCCAAATATCGTACTCAAGAGCACAGTCCAAGCATTCACTAAGCTCGCTCTTGAACTGGCTCGAGCCACAGTAACCATCCGTACGTGCAGCGACAATCACGCCGCCTAACCACGTTAGATAACATCGCCAGGAGAAGATTTGACCACCAACAGATAGCATTAAAAATCAAACTCACCACAGTTCGCATGACAGTTATACTCGGGGGTACCTGGATCCTGGCGGCGATGCAGTGGGACAAACTCCGGGTATTGGAATGCAGCGGCGCTAGCTGCAATGCAAGCCAGGGAAGTAAAGATGGCAGCTCTCATGGTTTAAGCTTAACGAAGGGCAGATTTCAGAGGAATAATGAAAGTGGGCGAGGAGAGTACTTGATACATTAAAGGGGAAGCATCAACGTACACGCTCCAGTGCGAGAGGAACCTTTTTATACAGTTCAGCTTCGTGAAAAGGGGAAGAAAGTTATCAGATCCGGCCATACGAGACTTCGGAGTCAAGGGAACCCTCGGAGTGGATACATTGGCCAATACATTATTGCCGTCCCAGCGAGACCAAGAGACCAAGGCAGAAGCAATCAATATTTCTTGGAGTAAACAGCCGGAGAGCCATAACAAATACCACCTTTTGATCAATGGGGACTAATGCCAATCCTGAGTTCCTCCCCCAACCCCAATGACTGGTCACAACTATGGAGGGCATCTCCACACGCCATCTTATCTGATTGATATCCGAAGACCGGACCCAGCCCTCCATTCAATATCCACCAGGTCTTCCAGGGTCTCTAGATTAATTTCTCTTGGCGCATGATGTAGGATCAGTATTCCTGTATGTTTCGGGAAACAACTGGAGCGGAATGAGCTATTTCTGGTTCTAAGATGCAGGTTGGTCTGGCTGGTGGAGACAGCTGACAGTGCTATGTCTACTTCGATATAATCTAGCCGAGAATTATCACAGACAGATCCAGCCGTCCCTGCACAATCCCTGGTTTATAAGTGAGGACTTTTGTCAGAACTTCTCGCGCCCTTCTCATGCCTTTCTCATGCCTTTCTCGCCTCTTTCTCACGCCTTTCTCGCGCATGCTCAAAGTCTAGAAATTTCATTTATATTTACGAAATGAAGAATACCCTTGCCCTACTTACGGTTCTTTCCTCTACAATAGGAGCATGGGCTCACGGTGAAGATGAAGCCAAGGAAATGGGGCCGGTAGCCTTCTTGTGGCCACCAGACCGCGTCTGGGGTGCGGCCTATGATAACACTGCCCCTTGTGGTTCATCCTCTGGGGTTGTGAACAGGACTGAATTTCCTCTTGGTAAGCATCTACTTGTCCTTGCATAAGGGAAGGCAGAATACTGATTCGAAATCATCAGTCAATGGTCAGCTCGCTCTTGTGATTCAGGACGAGTCTTGGAATGTTCAGGTTTCTATCTCCCACAGGAACGGTATGTGATCCACTCTTTTAGGATTGTTCTGTGTGGTTCTATCTTTTAACTTCATTCTCTCAGACCCTGCAAGCAATGACGACTTTGAGGCCTTCATCGTCAGCTCCCGTATATCCGACATTGACCCAGGGCACGAATGCTACGCCGTCCCCAATCCCGGCATTGACGTTGAGTCTGGAATGAACGCCACCTTCCAAATCAAATATACTTCAGATTTTGATACAGATAAAAATGAAACCTACTATGCTTGCGCGGATGTAACTTACGTTCCGGCTAGCAAGTTCACGTACCAGGTTCCCTGTTTCAACGTGACAGCCAATGAGTTCACCCCTACAAATTCATCTACATCTGATACCGACAACCCGGACTCTACATCAGCAAGTTCAGATACAACTATCAATACAGCTAGCACAAAGAGTTCTGGCTCTGGTTTGTCTGGGGGTGCTATCGCAGGCATTGTGGTCGGGTGTGTCGCAGCAATCATAATCGGTGCAGTTCTCTTGTTCGGGTATAGGAGACTCTTGCAGAAATATAGATCTGCTCGTCAAAAGGCCTCTGTGAGGAATGTTGATTGGGCTGAAAATGGTGTCAAACCCTCTGGCTTGGACCAACCAGACACTTATGGACTTCGCAAGCTTAAGTGAACTATCATCTTACCGCAGGTGATCGTGTCTCCGCTGATTCGTATCGCTACTTAAATTATGACCTTATGGACATATATGACCTTTTTATACTGAAATAATGAACGCCAGTCCCAACTAGTTCCGGGTGTGGGTATATATATCTCAACAACTATGGTGGTCAGAATGGACCCGATTCATATAACACACATAGCGTACACATGTTATAATTAATATTGTATATTTCCCTCCTGCACCTACTATATGCCTCTCCATTGACCATGATCAACAACAACAAAATCAATAATAGTTAGGAGCGTACTTTCAGGGACTAGCAGTGGTGGAGATTGAAGCCTGAGGCAACAAAAACACCCGGAATTTTCGTTGACTCATCAAAGGGCGCGAACATAGTTAACTACATCCCAGTGAATGCCCAACGACATCAATACCACAGCGAATTGTTACAGTGCCAGAAAGAAGAAAAAACCTCAAGATTATAACAGATGGCTTCATCAATTTCCGTACAGAGATAGATAAGATTAGGTTCATCATCGTTGCCTAGTGGACGCCCTGTCAATGGCATCTGGGTATAGAATCTGATGGAAACTCCTACTTGCTCTCTTACTCGCTGAACCCAATCTATTTCTGGAAATTGAATTCTGTCTATTGACCGATTCTCTTCACCACACTTAAACAGAATTCGTGGCCTCTTTGAATCAACTACCAGCTGCTGTGCCACCAATCCCTGGATTATTTCTGGCTTCAAGAGAGAGGCTGCCCACGACCAATTACATCGCTGACATAAGTTGGCCAAATAACAACAAATTTACCAGTTGATGATTTAGTGACCGACCGAAATGAATTAAAGACCCAATTTATTTGGCGCAAATTTCATTGATTCATTCACTGCATGGCCAGTTCGTCTGGTTATTATATGGGCCAATCACCCAGAGACTGATCTGATACTCGATTCAAATCATCAGATTGGGACTTTCGAGATGTCGATGTTTAGATCACCCTCAGAGATGTCCTCTTCAAGCTCCGAGTTTACTTCCGATCAGAGCGACCATGAGATAGCTATGAAGCAAAGCGATTCTAAGCGTCCTGCTCGGCCTCCTATGGCTGCAAGGGCATCTACATTTCATGCTGGAGAGTCTCGGGACGACCACAGCGACATCAAGGACTTGCTTGATGCCGACGCCGAGAGCCATTCAAATATGATGACTGCTGCTTTGCTCGAGTTTTATTGCCTTACACGTGCCGCAGAGCTCTTGAATAGACAACATGGCTCTCATAAGAGATACACACGTGACTCGCCAGAAGTGCAGTTTCTTGGGAAGAAAATGTACTCCTACAAATCTCAATTCTTGTCATCACTTGGAGTAATAGCAGAAGATATCGACAGGGATGAGTTAAGGTCAACGAGGCAATATTATCGTGACAATCTCGATGCTCTTGGCTTATCAGCATTGGAGGATCTGAATTTGGACGATAGACATGGTCCTCATCCATCAATTGGTGCGGCTGGGAATCTTGTTCTGCCTTCAAATTCGTCGAAAACGGTCGATTTGCGTTCAAATACTGACACTGCGGTAAATTTACCGTTTGGAACCAAAGTCGCCGGCCCCTTGGATCTTCGAAGGCGACCTGTAGGTGGAAGAGACGTTCGGACATTTGAGGATTTCCAGCTTGACCCAAGGCGTCTTCCACGATTAATCCCTCTTACTGGCAGTTCTCCTGTGAGCTTTCCGTTGTTTGAGCTCAATCCTCCACCTCCAGATAATCGAATGTCGAGGTATGCCGTAGAATTTTCTGAGATTAAAATTCTAGGCCGAGGGTCATTTGGAGAAGTTTACCATGTCAAGAATCACATCGATGGACAGGATTACGCAGTTAAAAAAATCCCTCTCAGCCAGAAACGCCTTGAGCAGCTGCAAGGTGGAAATCAGAACCAACTCGAAAACATCATGAAGGAGATACGAACACTTGCACGGCTTGAGCATGCACATGTTGTAAGATATTATGGTGCGTGGGTCGAGCAAACCCATTTTCCAAGATTTCCCTTGATAAATTCAAAGCCTCCGGCAAAGCTCGAGTATGAACAAACGCGCGAGGAGAGTCTTGAATTAACAAGGGATGATGATAGTTTTGGAATTGTATTTGAACATTCAGAAGGAGCTGAACACCAGACATCTACCGAAGACGAGTCCATTGATTCTCATAGCGACCACGATGCCACAATAGCGTCTCACTCATCAAAGAAGACCTTATCAGCTAGCCTCGAAGAGGATGTCGAGTCAATACCTCGAAACTTCAATGATCCTTCAGCCAGTCAATTATCGACATTTGGCGCTAGTGACGATGACATTTTCACGGATGGATTCAGTTATGACCAGTCCAGACTGCAGATACAAAGGAGAACTCCAGCCGGGGCTGCAGTACCCGCGGTGATCCTGCACATACAAATGTCATTGCACCCTGTCTCGCTTAGTTCGTACTTGAACCCACAGCAAAAAGAGTGCGTCGACGGGAGCCAGTCTCTAATTCGCCGACATTGCTACCACTTGGTGCCGTCGTTGAGACTGATGCTAAAGATTATAACCGGCGTCAACTATCTTCACTCAAAAGGTATCGTCCACAGAGACCTCAAGCCAGCAAACATATTCCTGTCATGTATCGAGGACGGCAGCTTTGAGGAATGTTTAGTTTGCAAAGCAGACAATGGAGTCTGCTCAAAGTTCTGTCATCCCCGGATAGGGGACTTCGGCCTTGTTGCAGATATTTCACACTTGAATGATGATCACTCACCAGAAAGCCCGATGATGTCCAATACTAGCCCTCAAAAACCGAACCGGATTGTTGGAACGGAGTTCTACTGCCCCCCCGAAGGACTTGGTGCATGCGAAGAAGAGCTGATGCCGTACTCCATTGACGAGAAACTCGACGTTTACGCCCTCGGTGTTATTTTATTCGAGCTCTTGTATCGCCTCAACACCAAGATGGAGCGTCAGATGGTGTTGACAGGGTTAACGAGAGGCCTGCAAAGGCAGACTCCATTTGGATTGTCTCGAGAGAGACCCGTATTTCCCGTTGACTTTGCGCAGAAAGTTGATCAGGGTTTATGCACAATGCGCAATGCAGAGTCCGTTGCGGAATCATTGAGGACTTGCATCAAGGGTATGCTGGAGCTGCAGCCTTCCCAGCGTTGGAGCTTGTCGGATGTCCGAAAATATTTGCAAGAGATTCTAATCGTTGGTCAGGGGAGTAACCTGTAAGTATGAAGTAGCATTCCAATATCTTATCCCAGCCGACAGAACCAGAGCGTCTTGGTCTTAGATCGGACGAAGCATGAGGATATTTTCTGGATACAGATCACATTCACATCCGCGGTTTTACACACGTTGTATCATTGTATGTTCCAATCATTCTACAAATGATTAGTGGCCACCCAGTCGGCATAATTCCCCTCAATATGCTCCTCTCTCCCATCTAACGCAACCAATAAATATCTTATTTCCATGCCAGTGCAACACGTGCAACACGTCCAACACGCAATAAAGTATATTGACCTTTCTTGATTTTGGTGTAGAGCAGTGAAGTATAGAAACTTTGTGATGTACGTCATATCATGCGGAGGTCCTGCTGCAGCCTGAAATACTAGGCATCACCATCCACCAAGACACCGACTCGGACTCACTGGCCGGGCAACAGCTCCAAAACAACCATCACCCATGCGAACATCTTCTTACTTCCATCTTTCCCAGGTCAAATGTGGTGACTAGGACTGGGATCATGAGATATATTTATTAAAGAAAATCTCTACGCTGCCGGAGCTGGGATCTGCCAGCTGGAAATTGCACCATGCAGAGCTTTGACGCAGTGTCCCGCCCGCGAGAAGCTGGGGAAGAAAGAAGCGTGGCGTCTGCTGGTGAACGCTCTTCAAGATCCGCATCGCTGGCCGATAGCGGTTCACTGCAATCTACTTCGGAACTGAGCCTCGCAAATCCAGATACCTCATTTATGTCCACATTGAGCAACAAGTCCCCCGACGAGCAGACGGACGGAGCGACCCGCGCTCTCGCTGACCAGGAAGATGCATTGAAACGACCGCCACTTTCGCCGTTCACCCCGTTACCTTACTCCGCCACTCCTATCCCCCCCTCAATTGGCGAAGATGTTGGAGACACAGAAGATGAGGAGCCACGAGTTGCAACGTCTTTCGAGCGGGATTCTCGTCCGACCTCGGCCCAGAAACAGCGACAGGTATACCTCGATACTGGAGGAGAGGACGGAATCAACCGCATGCACAAGTTCTCGCTCTATGAAACGGCTACTTGGTTCTATTTGGTCGGTATGGATTTGTCAGATACTCGGTTCAGGATCTTGAAAATCGACCGAACATCCGAGACGGACGATTTGAATATCGTCGAAGACGACATTGTATACACTAAGAGGGAGATGAGTCAATTGCTAGACGCTATTGACGATGGCAATAAAAGCTCCGGAGGATTGAAGCTTAAATGTAGTGCGTGGGCTTTGCTCGGATTTATACGCTTCACTGGTGCATACTATATGCTCATGGTCACCAAGCGCAGCCAAATCGCGCTGCTAGGCGGCCACTACATGTACAAAATCGACGGGACCGAGCTAATATCACTGACGAGCTCGATTTCATCGCGATTCAAGTCTGAGAAGAACCCGGAAGAAGCAAGATATATTACCATCTTAAATAATCTCGATCTCACCCGCGCCTTTTATTTCAGTTATTCATATGACATCACCCACACACTACAGCACAACATAGGCCAGGAACGCAAACTTAACCAGAATGGAGTGCCGAGGAGCAGCCAGCAAGATTATAACACCATGTTCATTTGGAATCACCACCTCCTCGCGCCGGCTATTGCGAGGTTGAAGAACCCCTACGAATGGTGTCTTCCCATCATTCATGGCTACGTCGAGCAAGCCAAAATGTCTGTGTACGGTCGCTCAGTATACATAACGATCATTGCTCGGCGCTCTCGGTTCTTCGCCGGTGCACGTTTTCTGAAGAGAGGCGCCAACGATCTTGGCTACGTTGCAAACGACGTGGAAACTGAACAGATCGTTTCCGAGATGACGACAACTTCGTTCCACTCTGCTGGTCCAGATCTATATGCCAATCCTCTATACACATCGTATGTTCAACATCGAGGAAGCATTCCTCTATATTGGACACAGGATAACTCGGGCGTCGCTCCCAAACCGGACATCGAGCTCAATTTGGTTGACCCATTCTACTCAGCCGCAGCCCTACATTTCGATAATCTTTTTGAACGTTACGGTGCTCCAATATATATCCTAAATTTAATCAAGTCCCGTGAGCGAACTCCGAGAGAATCTAAGCTCCTCAAGGAATATACCAAGGCTATAGAGTATCTCAACCAGTTCCTACCTGAAGATAAGAAGCTTATCTACAAACCTTGGGATATGAGCCGCGCTGCAAAGAGCCGGGATCAAGATGTTATTGCGACTCTTGAAGAAATTGCCGGGGATATAATTCCTAAGACGGGCTTCTTCAAAAACGGACATGATGCAGAATCGGGACTAAGGGTACAAAACGGTATTGCAAGGACAAACTGCATAGACTGCCTTGACCGTACCAATGCCGCCCAGTTCGTCATTGGAAAACGAGCGTTGGGCTATCAACTTCATTCCCTGGGTATCATTGACGGTACAACAGTAGAGTACGACACGGACGTGATCAATCTCTTTACCGATATGTGGCATGACCATGGTGACAATATTGCTATCCAGTATGGAGGATCTCACCTCGTCAACACCATGGCCACTTACCGCAAAATCAATCAGTGGACTAGTCAATCCCGCGATATGGTAGAGAGCTTCAAACGATACTACAACAATTCTTTTCTCGATGCGCAACGTCAAGAAGCCTACAACCTCTTCCTTGGGAATTACATCTTCTCCCAAGGCCAGCCAATGCTCTGGGATCTCTCTACAGATTACTATCTGCATCATGCTGACCCCAGGTTCTGGTCCTATCAAAAGAAAGCCAGTTATATCCGCTGGTATACACCGGAAAACCTCAAGGAAAAAGAAATGCCAGTCTCTCCTCGTCCTCCCAAGGTACCATTATCCCGTTACGATGACTACTGGTTTGAATATTACCGCCCGTTAGCTCTTTCTTCATTCTCCAAGATCTTCTCGTACAAGATGAACTCGGCCCTCCGTTATCTTCCCTTCCGCCCTACCTCCGGCGACGACTACAATCTCAGCCCATTCGTGCCCCGAATAGCCCAAGAACAACTCAGCAGAGACCGTCCCACGCGAACCGTCAAGATCCAAGAGCCAGCGGGGTCCATCCTGGGTCAACATTTATCAGCATTCCCCCAGCTTCCCTCGGCCGAAAGACGCCCCCCGCCAGCGGGAATCATGAAAGAAACTACAACGACCCTTGGAACTCTCCGAGCGACGTACCCCAGCCAACCATTAGTAGGATCATCTACGCCCAGCAAAGCCCAAATTGCGCAATGGACACTCGGCCAACTCGTCACCGACTCTCTAAATCCATCCGTTACCGCCGTCGAGGCAGAGGAGTATGAACATTACATCAACCATCCCCTTAAGGTGCCACTCGTTGTCACCTCGGAAGATGAGCTGGCCGCAGCTTCAATCCGAGACCACCAGGCTAACCACGACCTCCTGGAGTATGTCAATAAATGTAACGTGGAAGAGTACACTCTTGGCGCCAATGCGGAGGAGAATTTAGCGGACTATGTCGAGTTTTTGAATGTATCTGAGGAAGGGCTTACCGTTATTGCAGAGGACTATGAGAAGAAACGGTACAAGCGCTACCGGCAGTGGCTGAGGGGGAAGAGCCTCTTCAAGCAGCGAATTGATATCTAGTTGGTGGAAATGCCTTTTTTTTTTCTTTTCCATCTTCTTCCATCCCTCCGTTTCTTCTCACGAATTAATGATATTTACGGTACGGTCTTTCAAGCAGTTTCAAACAACGATACCCATTGTCTTGTTTGCTATCATTGTTGTACAGAATAAATTGATATCTCTATACATACTTGGCTTAGTTAATAAATAGGTTTGTTGGAGGAAACTGGTCTACACACAATCAATATATGCATTCATGGGTAAATTATACCCCGTATCGTAGTCCTGCATCTAAGCCAAAGAAACTAGGATCATTCGCATCGATATCCGCCAAAAGACACCCCCGCAGAGTCTCATCAGCATCAACCAGCATTTGTATCTCTCTGGCAATGCCCTCCTTCGCCTGTAGCGGCCCCTCCCCGCGCTCCGTTTCATGGGGGTTCGTAATCGCTACTTTCAACAAGTACACCAGGCCTTGCAACTCCCGCTGTAGCCTTGCTAGATCTGCTGATGGGACTGTACTCGCAGGACCCGAAGGCAACCCTGCAACGGTCTCGCGCTCCGGCCGCGAACCTTTGGAGTCCTCTTCATCTTCCACGATATGCAGCCAGCAAGCAGATATCGAGCCGAGAAGTTCCCCGCGCCATCGCCAGATACGCGGGTGCGCGGTGAGGATCACAGCCCGGGCTGCGGAAACTGCAGAAAGCAAGAGCGGTAGGTTTGCGGTGCCGAAGGGGTTGGACAGTGTGCTGTACAGAGGAGGGATGATATCCTGGAGGTATTTTGCGGTGTGGATGCCCAGGTCTGTGCAGAGGATGGCGATCTGCTCAAGTAGGAGAGTTGAAAGGCGAGGGTGAGGAAACGATGCAAAGGTCGATTCTGACGCGGTGTTTGTGGAACTGATGTGGTGGAATGATGGAATCAGATGGTCGCGCAGGGTTTTGGTCATAGCGGACATAAACATAGCCCGGTCTTTCTGGGGTGCTGGTGATGTTCGGGCTCCAGGGGAGGCGACTCCACAGGTTGTTTGGAGTAGGGAGCGGAGAGCGGGATAGGCAGCTCCCAGGATTTGGATGGAATCTTCCTCCGGAGTGATCGTGGGGAGAGAGTGGAAGCATGGTCTAATGGCGTCTTCGAAAACAGAGGAGAGGTTGGTTCGTCGGAGAATGTCAGAGTTGCTCTCGCGGATGGGTATTAGGAATTGGGACAGTAGGATGCATCCTCGCGTTTTGAAAACGACACTGTCATCATCTACCAAGGCGAGAATTGGTGGCACTAGAAGAGGGAAGTGTCGTTCTAGCTTGTCGCGATCGTTGGCCTGCGTCGCAGTTGTTAGTGGATGAATTTGTATTCCGGTATTTGGAAAAGGTTAGTTCGACTTACTTGATACAGACTGACAATCCAGGAAAACAACGTAGTAACATAAACATCTTCCGTCTTCCATGGCTTGTGTCCAGGGTCCAGAACGCTCGTATCAAATCGAGGGAGTGGGACGGGGTGGAAGTTCTTTCGGCCAGCCGCAGTGATTGAAGGGTTCTTTGTCTTTGCAAAAAGAGGCTTGATTCGATTCTTGAGGATTGATTCCACCATCTCCCAAAAAGAGGATTCTTTGGTTTTCTCCCTGAATTGGCATAGGACCCTGGTAGAGGTAGCGTGCGCCTCCTGACTTACCCATGCATCGTTTTCAGATGTAAAACTCGCCAAAGCGATAATGACATCAGATGCGCTCTCTGAGTCTTGCACTGGATGAATATTTGCCAACAGTTCAAGAACCGACACAGCCACTGCATGTTTCCGTCGGCTCTCACTTTTCGTTTCTGATTCTCCCGTCAGATATCTGTACAGCGAGTAGTAGGTATCACTAGGGAGGTAAACTTACGCTCCGAACTTGGCTCATCTGATGAGTCAGTAAATATCGACGAAGGAAGTGCAAGGCTACTCGCCCAGTCGTAGAGGTTATTAACAGCGGCCTTATCCCTATCTGACAAGCTTCTCTGGCCCCAGACCTTCAAAAAGCCTTGGGTAAGGATTAAATTTTCGCACGTCTATTTGACTAGTTAGAGCTTGAGGGTGTTGGAGAGCGGGAGGCCATACCATGGAGCTATCTGACCCATTCTGAGATGATATGTCTCGCCATAGCTGGCCCAGTCCATCAGACACTTCAATATCACTCAGAATCGAGTCCGGGATAGAAGAGGCTGCCCGTTGTTGAGCGGCCTCACGGGCCGCTTTGCGAAGTTCTTCCATCGTGTTCTCATGAAATTTATCAAAAGGTTATTACACTCATCTCCGTTGAGTAGTTATGCATATTGAGGAGGTGATGAATGAAAGACTACATCATTCTAGGGGTTAACAAAGAGGAAAGAATTCTGGAGGGCGGAAATTGACCCCATCACGATGTTTGGATAAGTAAGCGGTAAGTAGAGCAAATCGGAGCCAGTTGGCAGACTTCAAGGAAAATATGGAGATGCAACGTATTGAAGCACAGATAACTTTATTGTATTCTTGTATTTTTAATCTTCAAATGCCTAGTTCTTCTCGTTTACGGTCAAGATCCTCCAATGCCTTCTCCTTATCGGTGATCTCTGGGTGCAACAACTGCCACTGTATCACAGACTCCATCGCCTTGGACATCCATGGTCCTTTGCGCACTCCCAGTCCCTTCATGATTTCATCTCCATTTACGATAGGCTTCATTTCACACACATCCTGAAGGCCTGTGTCGATAATATAGGAGAGAAACTTGTCATAGCCTTCCAACACTGTAGGGGGAAAAAACGGATGTGTAAGTATTTGTCTACTTCTTGTTAACATACAAGGTATAGGTTTGACTGTACCTGGATTAAAGTCTCCTCCTTGCATGATTTCTTGTAGGAGAGATAAGAGAATGCAAAGCCTCCAGTCCTTGTTCCATGATCTGATGTACAGTCCAACCCGTTGTCGAATCTCAGCAGCCGTACCATCCATGCGGTTTTCGACAATTGCAGTTTTGACGTCGATGATGTTACGCCAGTTCTTTGCAGCAAGCCCCAAAACGGTTATCATCTTATTGTCGGCACGGAGACTATCTCGGGCGACTTCTGCTGCCCGCGGTGGTAGTGGTTTTCCATTGTTCCCGGTCTGAACGCGCCCAGGGACATCTGACCAAGGGGCAAACGCCGTGATTACCCAGGCATAGTAAGTTTCGAGCGAATCGCGAATGATCAAACTGCGCACACGCTGTACAAGGCCCGGTTCATTGCTCTGGGATATTAGCTGCTGGAGTGCATTATAGGCAAGAGACCAGGATGTTGTTTCCGCCACAGCATTATCCTGATGATTGGCAAAGATGGTTGGATATAGAGCAAGGCGATCAATGATATGCAACGCCCCTCGAGGATCAGGACCTGGGTTTATGTAAGTTCACAATTATAGAGGGCAGACTACCGAAAAATACCCACCTCGAAGCATTTTCTCCAATTCAGCTAAAACACGCTCCTTGCTGATCTTGAGCCTCAGAGCCGAGCTGATATCACTATGCTGCATCGCGGCTTCCGTCTGCTCATCGATACGGTATCCCAAACGGCTTGCAAACCGGATTAGGCGGAGCACCCGTAGAGGGTCATCTTTGAAGGTTTGGTATGGTTCCAGTGGTGTCCGAATGATCTGATCTTGCATGTCCTGGAGGCCTCTGCCTGTAAGATCTTCTACCTTGGACTCGTTCAGGTTGTAAAAGAGGGCATTTATCGTAGCATCCCGACGTAGCGCATCCTCTTCGGCCGTTCCGAACTCCATCTGCGGCGTTCGACTATTTTCTGTGTATGACTCCTTCCGCAGGTTGACTAAATCCACATCGAGGCCAAAGATCTTCGTTGTCACCGTTTCCAAATGTTTCGATTTTTCCGGGTTCGCTTCGATCTTATGGAGGCTGATAATAGCTTCCTTCAAGCCGCCGTTTTCATGGTTCCTCCTATATTTATCGAGATTCTTCGGCTTATCCAGATACTCCTTGAGCTTTAACCCAAACTGATACCCAGTCATTGTATTAATTCCGACGTCAATGTCATGGCTGTCCACACCCAGCAACTTGTCGCGGACCCATCCCCCCGTAAACCGAAGCACCGTTTCTGGGGCATCTTTACGTCCCTGGGCTATTTCATTTTCTCGAATATAATGAGCGACATCGAGCAGGAGGGTTTTCAAAGTATTCTCGAGGGGTGTAAGCTCCAGTGTTGGAGGTTCCTTGGACGTCATTGTGGTCAAGGTGGTGGCGTCCTTCGAGCGAGATCGAGAAATGCGCCTCCTTTTGGGTGCTCGAAGGGAGGGAGAGTCTGTAGCTTCCAGACGTCTCATATAAGATCCAAGTGACGCAGGTTGGGAATTGAAGCGGCGTGAAAGAATGGCGGGGATTCGCCGCAGTGAGGGGTTCGCTCTAGAAAAGGATTGCGATGCGATTAGTCGGGCAGAAAGTTGAGTCGAAGCAGAGGCAAGAGAAATTGCAAACATGGAGAGAAGAGAGTCTCGAGAAAGGGGGAAGGGGGGAAGAGAAGAAGAGGGAGGGAGAAGGCTATTAAATCATCGCGATTCAGAAGCCCATTGAGTCACAGCATTGAATTGTAGTTAGTTAGTAGTCACTTGTTACTATTCAAGAATGGCTTGTGGATGATCACCGCCTTCAAATCAGTCCTTCTTCATTCCTCAGCTGGTCAGCTAAATTTCACTCCAAAGTATTCTCACTTGTTAGTTCTGTCTTGTTAATATTTGAATGCAAGATCCCTTTGAAATCCTCGAGGCTGGAGTTTACATGCTGGAGGAATGCGCAAATCCTCCGCGATTCGCCCTGACTTGAATTGATCCACGTTTTGGCGCCGTTGTCACTTGGCTTCCATTCGAGATCGTCATCTTCATCCCTCTTCGTTCTCATCTCCATTTCGCCAGTATCGTCTTTCCCCCCATCGTCCCTCCTTAGCTCTCCTCTCTATCTCCCTATTTCGCCTCCCCCTTATTTTCCAGTCCATGGGATAGCTCTAGAGCCTCTACTGTTCTTGTAAACCTCACATCGGAATCCACTCGGTGTCCATGACATCGCCCGGAGATGCTGCCCCGGTCAAACCTCCGCCGTCCTTCTCGCCCGGCGTGCCGCGTGTCGCTTCGAAGACGAGATACCCCGACCAGCGTCGCGATTCGACGGCGTCTCTAGACTCCAAGCGGGCGGAATCAAGGATAGGATCCTCCCCTCCACTCTCGACCCCTACCGCAGAACTTCCGATCCGATCCGCGTCCCCCCACGCTCGATCTGTCAGATCGTCGACCCCTCAGCTAGCTCGTTCTTCACTAGGTTCGCCTATAGAAGGACGCAGCGATGGACTAGACTCACGTTCCCTTATCATCCGCTCCTTCTCGCCCGTCATTGGGGTCTACGCATCACCCGATACCGATGAGTTAGTGCGGCAAAAGGGGTTCAAGGGTGGCTTTTGGGAGTTGATTCGACCGTTCGGAGAAAATGTGCCGGGGAAGATTATCATCCGAGACAGTATAGGGTCCAGTCGTGGCTGGGAGGACTACGGGGTTCGGTTTGTTGACTTGGGAGAAACGTGTCGCGCTCCTGATGACTCAAGTCAAGGACGTAATTCGTCTCTGGCTCAGGTAGAGGCGGTGTTGGAAAGACAGTTAGACGCAGCAGAAGGCCCGCTGAGCGGAACATTACATCCCAAGGATCTCCTAGGGCATTCCTCGACATCTTCATTATATAAACTATTCTTACGCCAACTGTTGTCAATCGCCTCTGCATCCCCGCACGAAGCATTCCGGCACCCTGTGGCAAGTGTTATTGCAATTAGTTCACGCAATACCGCTCCTCTTGAATCCCTCCGGCAGCTCTATGCAGACACGAACAATGGAGATAGGAAGGTCCCTGACTGGATCAATCCAGAATACCTCCGATACTATGTTCTTGTCCATGACGAGGACCGCGACGATATTTCGGAATCAACCAAGCTATATGATCAAATGAAACGTCATTTCGGGTTACATTGTCATCTATTGAGACTGCGAAGTAACCAGTGCGTGGTGACCGACGATGACAGCGTCCAAGTACCAGAGTGTGAATGGCTGTCCCCTTCAGAGCGACTGTTCAGTCGCGCAGGTAAGACTCAGGAAACCCGATCTTTCCCCGCTGTTGCCTTGATCCATTCTAACCGTGCTAGAACCATTGGTCGATCTTGACACGGATGGCCTCCCCTACCTCTTCGAGTCCGACATCATGTCCATCAAATCCTTTGTCCGAGAGCTCGTCGCGCAGTCAGTGGTACCATTCATGGAAAATCGAGTGGCTGTGTGGAATGATCAAGTCGCATCACGCAGACGTGGTATAAGTGGCCGATTCATGTCGATGTCGCGAAAGTGGGCCGGGTTCGGAGCCGGCTCACGATCTAGCTTCACTGGCCCTGGTGGGGGAGGGAGTGGGAACTATGATACCGTTCATGGCTTCTACCGGGCAGACCTGCCTGAAGCCCTTTTACGGAAGATGGCTGATTTCGCCTTTATGCTTCGAGACTGGAAGCTGTCTGCATCAACTTACGAGCTCCTCCGTTCCGATTATGCAAATGACAAAGCTTGGAAATACCATGCTGGTGCCTACGAGATGTGCGCTGTAAGCACCCTTCTAAACCCACTCGGAATTGGCACGAAAACCAAACTCGAGAATATCGACCAGATGTTCGAGACCGCCTGCTACTCCTATCTCACTCGGTGCTCTGATGCTCCTAGCGGTTTACGTTGTCTTACTCTGGCCGTCGAATTGCTAAAATCTCGCGGAGGATCTGCAGCCGAAAGTGCAGCCAGATGGGCCATGCGGGCCATGGACCTAGGGTTGGTGGAGTCTATTGGCCAGGGCCTCCTGAGCGAAAGAATTTCAGCATGTTATGCTTCCAGAGCTTCCTTGAACGGAGTGCGATTGGGTTCTCGTCACCGTAAAGCCGGGATGTGGAGCATTCTTGCTGCGGACATGTGGCTCAAACTTGGGAAGCCATCCCTAGCCTCAGCCTGCCTCGAAGAAGCGGAACTCCTCTATGCAAATGTGCTGCAAAGTGACGGCGTATTCCCCATGGCGGAAATGCAGACCTTTGTGGAGAATCTTCGACTTGCAGTGAAAGTCGAATACTTGGAGGCTCGAGGACTAGACATCAAAGAGGAAACAGGCAGTACGGATCCCTTGGATACCGTGGAAACTAGGGAGAAACTAGACCGACGCAAGAACCGCAAGTCCTTGGTTGTAAGTCCTCTCGACATTCAAGGACTGATCCCTGCGCAATCTGGGCGAGATACCGAAAACCCAGCAAATGACGACTTTGAACGAGCTTAGCTATACCAAGGATGGAACGGGGTGGAATATAAGCTAAATAGTATAATAGACCTTATGAGACAGTTTAATTGATTCATGTATAAATACCAACTTCCATAGTATTCCTTTCTAGTTAGTTAACTAACTATAGACACCCGATTAGTAATATATGACTCAGCGGTTGCCCAGGAGCAGAGCAGAGCAACTCCTTATCGATAAAGATCGAACAACGACAATGATTGATTCTCTTGATGCCAGGATAGGATAGCCTAAAGGTTCTTGCGGATTGCTGCGCTGTGTCTTCACTCACCTGCTCGATTAATCAATAACACTGGAGAGAGCACATCCCTATCTGGTTTCACACCCCAGCCCACTCCAACTCCTCCAACTGCACCACTCCACGGCTCTATAAAGATGAGCGAGCTTCTCAACTACATCCTCTCGCAGGATTCATTCAGAAAGTACGGTAGATACAGTTATACAGAAAACATCTCGAATATATCTTCTCCTCGCACTGATGAAATGGCATACTAATGACCCCTCTACGTGAGTCAGAAACCGCCTACCCTCGCTCTACTCGGATTTCTCCATTCAGAAAAAAACAAACCCAGACGGATATAACGTGAATGTCGCCGCCTGGGAACAGGCCTTAACGAAGGCCGCGAGACACGGATACATCTCTCGCTCAGCTACCGGGAAGGCAGATGCGATGCCGAACCACAAATCCGATCATCTGGTTCTTCGGGTAGATGAGGGATTGTTGCGGGACTTGGAAAGCCCGGAATGGGGCCGGCCTGTGGGGTTGGCTGCTGTGTTTGTATGTTTGTTCCCTGGCCTTGGGCTTTTCCTGGGTCTCTGCTTTTATTCTGCAATGGGTGATATGCAGATGGGGTTCAGTGTTAATGTGACTTCTTTGGTGAATTTAGGAAGATGCTACGTGGAATCGCTCGATGGTTCCGGTCCAGTTGTATAAGGCTAGCGGGACGAGTCTGCGGAAACCGCAGTGGGGTATTATCGATACAAGCGCTCTGAGTCCGTGGACTGTGATGAGCTGGGGGCTGAAGCAGTTAAAGGGTGTTATGATCGGGTCGGGCTCGGACCATGGTCCACGAGTACAAGCTCAGGAGCTAGTCCTGGTTCAAAATCTACAGGTGTGTGCAACCCGACGGGGGGGGGGGGGGGGGGGGGGGTGGTTGAAACTGCGCTCCCCAAACATGTTCGGAGTCGGTATGCTGACTTCTATTTACAGGAGACCGGGGAGCGCCTGGTGAAAGAAGTGATGAGCAAAACCCCATCAAAGGCGGAGCTGATCTACTCAAGGGAAAGTTTTGTGGAGAGTTTCGCAACGATTCTAGATGACGGCAGCGCCTTGTCCAATCCAGATTTCGATATTCTATTACTCTATTTATCCCGTGATAAGGCGGCCATCGCGTACGATGGCAAGGTACGTATCAAATGCTATCTACCTATATATGTACATCATGTTGATCCGATACCAGACAATCAAGTTTCGGCCCACAAACGACTCCCCCAAGGACATTACCGAACAAGATGCGGCGATTGCCTCTATCAAGGCATTAACGGCAACCATGATAAAGCAGGTGCACAACCTTGAGAGGAAGATCGCAGAGCTCAATGCCTCTGCGAAAAGCGCTCTACAAAACAAAAACCGTGTCTCAGCGCTCGCTGCAGTGCGCTCCAAAAAGCTTGCCGAACACAATCTCCAACAGAGACTAGACACTCTGACGCAGCTGGAGCAAGTCTATATCAAGATTGAGCAGGCGGCGGATCAGATCGAGTACGTCAAGGTAATGAAGGCAAGCACAGGCGTTCTCCGATCACTCAATACGCAAATTGGTGATGTCTCCAGAGTTGAGGATGTTGTTGAGGAGTTACGCGAGGAAATGTCCAAGGTTGATGAAATCGGCAATATCATGAATGAGGTTGGACCTCAGATTGATGAGAGCGAAATCGATGACGAGCTCGAGGAACTCGAAAGCAAGGAGCGAGAGGCAAAGGAGGAGGAGGAAGCCGAGCAAACTCGCAAGAAGCTTGCGGAACTCGACAGCCTTGGTCTGGACGCCAAAGATGCTCTGCGAAAAGCCGCATTAGCGCAGAATGTCGAGTCTGCTCTAGAGGAGAGTATTGGGAGACTGTCGCGGATGTCGGTAGAGGAAGGTGCAGAAGCCACGGCTCAATGAGATACAAAGGCTATCAGACAGAAGTTTCTGCCTCCCTTTCCGTACCAAATTATCCCTCGGGTGGGCCCGAGAAATGACACCAGGGGTCACAAGGATCTAGCTATTGCTAATGTCAGGAGGCATTTGTATCTCGCTGGCCGTTACATTTACTGCAGTCACTGTCAGCGCAACACCTTCCTCTTCTGGCACATCTTGAATTGGGATGGGAGTCTGTGCACTCTGGTCAAGAACCGGTGCGCTTTGTGGGCCACTGAGCGACTCGTCTAATGGCGCCGGGGGTGCCTTTGGTATGGTGGTACGAATGAGCGCATCGCTCCTCTTCCGCGCATTCGCAATCAATTGTTTGAAGTCGTTGTCGTAGTTGGACGACCACCCGGCTACATCAAAATCCTTGCGCATGACAGTGTTCGAGGTATCACTGGACGTCGTGGAGTGGCCACCCTGCGCCCTCTCCCAGACGTCTAGTTCACGCAGGAGATCTCTTTTCGGTTTTGGCGCTTTGGAGTCACAGTTGGCATTCCATAGATTCATCCATTCAGTGTGTCGCTTTTGTAGGAGGGGTCGCGGGCCCCAGTTAGGTATACCCAGGTCTTTGAGCTTTTTTCGAAGAACGCTGTCTTTCAATAGAGAATAATTAATCACGGGGAGTCTTTCCGGCGGTTTCTCATTCTGATCCTGAAATGGTTTCCGCGGCGCTGCTGGTATCGACTGCAGGGAACTATAGCGTTTAGTCAGTAATGTATTGTAGAACTTGTAAGTCCCCATAACACGGAGCTTACCCAAAAGATGCTGGCTTCGATAGAATGGGGGCCCCAGTGCATATATCGAGGTGTCGGAACACAGCCTCATTCTTCATCCGTCGTTGACAAACAGGGCACGCGACTAAGCCATCGTCTTGATTTCCATGTTATTAGAGCGCAAAGCAGAAGCTGGTTCGTCCACACGTACCAGGAATGTATTCATCATCTTGTATATCATCGATAACCTCAATTGTGGTGGTCTGTACCTGACGCACTCCTCGGCTCTGCGACCGAGTAAGCACCCCCTCCCCAACAGGAGTACCACTCCCATCCGGCTGCTCGATTTTGCGCTTTTTCGAGACGGGGACCTCCGTGATATCCTCTTCGCAGTCCTTACTATACACGGTCTCCTTAACACCCTTCCTTGCCAGCTGCAACATACCCGGACGAGCATTCTGGAACGCCTCGACAAGCTCCTGAACGGCCCAATTGCGACGCAACCTCACTTCCTGGTCTGAGCTCCGGCAGGTCGGACATTTCCCTTCCGTACTGAGACAACGACGAATACACAGCGAGCAAAAGGTATGGCTGCAGGAAGTCACCACAGGATTATCGAAAAAGTCTTTGCAGACCTGGCACCGGAGCGAGGATTCCAGCGGCGCGACGAGCATCAACGGCGTGTCGAGCCAGTCGGTGGAGTCGGGGAGGTCGAAGGTTTGCTCCATTTGGAATGTATGCAAAGATTTTCCGTTTCCCCGAGAAATATCGCTTCCTTTTGTCGTGAGTGACCGACGTACTGGTAACGTAGTGAAGCTTCCTCGACTGACTGACTGGGTCGCTTTCGGTCCTTTGGAAAGATCGATACAGGCGCCAAGACCTGGCTGACTGATACGCGTTAAGTGCTTTGGCGTCACGCGTCGAGTCGAGCGGCACCTCTGGATGGATTTCCGACTATGTGAATGCCAGCTACATTATTGACAACAGAGGGAGCTCAATTTCGGTCTCAAGATGGCGGTCGCAGAGTACAAGAAATATCTGGCCGAGAACGTCCTCAATGAGCGCCGGACCGTATGTATCCACAGTTCAAGTACTCAGCTTTCTTGCCGTGTATGGCCAGGCTAACCAAGCTTCTCCGATCAACACCAGGTCACTTATCGATCACTAGGCCGAGCATTTAAGGTCCATAGCACGTTGGCTAAGCAGTATGTTTGGTTTGTGGGCTTTTTGGAACTGCTCAATCGAGCTAATTGAGACTAGGATGCTCTACGATTTCCATCATAACGAGAACGCCAAAAAAACCAAGAGTGTGGATGCGACCTATGTCCTAACGGGAGTCCCCAAGGCTATCGAATCTCCTGTAACGAACGGAGCCGGCGCAACGGGCAGGGATGAGAATCTAGATGATATTATGCCGAGTAGCCCCTATATCAGCAGCTCTATGCCGAACCAGGAGTCCGCGGTTGATCGGATTCCCGTCTCATCGGTTCTATTAGTGCGGGGGGGAGACCTAGAAGGTATGGACATCTCACTATGGCTTCATACGAGGTTAATTGGTAGTTAACGGGCCGTATAGATGCCAAATCGACATTCGAGTCCCTCTCATCCATATACATTTACAGCCTTCAACCTACTGCCCTACAGGATCTCAATGTGCTCACCGACGTTGGTCGCGAGATGCTTGCAACACACGCGAAAGAGGATCCTTTGGAATACGGAAAGCAATGGGGCATGATCCAGAATAAAAATGTCAAGGTATGAAGTGAAACTTCAGCTGCATGTACGATGCTAATTTAGTATCTAAAGCGGAGAACGGGGACCCAACCGCCACCTCCTCCCCCGCCATCGAACAGTACTATACCCGCAAAACGGCCGGCGCAGTCTGAACCGTCGAAGACAGAACCCAAAAGGGATGACGTTCCAAAGCCCTCACAGCGCCAGGAGCCTCCGTCGTCCACGAAACCTACGGAGAAGGCAGCGCCAGTAAAGAAAGAAAAGGGGAATCTGTTCAGCTCGTTTGCCAAGGCCAAACCGAAGCAAAAGAAGGAGGAATCGTCTACACCAGCTGCACGGGGTGCAGAATCGGTAAGTTTTTCGATACTCCTAGCTCATTGAGAGAGGTCAGAAGCTGATCATTCCTGTAGCCTGATCCAAGCGGTACTGAAGATGGTAAGCTATTCAACGAGACTCTGACACGCATGTGCCAACCAACTGACGTCTATCAGTCGTTTTAGATGATGCTTCCGACGAGGAGCCAGAGGAGCTTTTCCCCGAGTCCAAGAAACCCGCGTCTAACGAGACACGTGAAACAAGGAAGGAGCGAGAAGAGAAACTGAAGAAGATGATGGAAGACGATGACGGTACGCTAGTCTCACCCTCTTCGCTTTATCCTGCTAATAAGCAACAGACGAAGATGAGGAAATGCCCGACATCGCAGATCCACCAGAAGAACCCAGCAACCTCATCGACCAGGCCCCTCCCAAGCAGGAAGATCTCAAAATGGAGGCTACCGTAAAAGGTGGCCGCCGGAGAGGAAGACGGCAGGTCATGAAGAAGGTAGTAAAGAAGGACAGTGATGGCTATCTCGGTAAGATATTCATGCGCCTGCTTACTGAAACAAGGAACAGCCTAACAGACTCTCCCGGATTAGTGACTGTTGAAGAGGCCTCCTGGGAGTCGTTCTCCGAAGATGAGCCAACACCGCCGCCTCCGAAGAAGAAGCCGGTGGTGAGCGCGCCCAAAGGCAAGACAGGAGCTAAAGCAGGACAAGGAAATATTATGTCATTTTTCTCCAAAAAGTGAGAGGAGAAAGAAAGGACCACGCAATAGCCCGGGGTAGTAGCATGATGATTGCAATGACCATGCATGTATTAGTATCTAGAGATTCAGTATTGCCTAGCCTGCACCAAATTCTGGATTTTATTCCGCCTATTAATTAATGAAGAAGGAATGGTCCCATTCAACTAGATCTCCGTGTTCAGAGGCCGGATAATTTTGCGCTGGGAGGTGCTGGTGATCTATCCGCGCGCGTTCTCCAGCAAAAGCCCTCAATATGCTATATGATTTGTATAAATGTATACCTTTTGCAGATCAGCCTATTGCCCAATATTAAAGACACAAGCTTGTGTCTTTCTTACTCTGCAGTGCGCGCTCCATCGCCGTTTTCGACCTTCCCCGCATTTCACGTCCAACCTGGCATGCGGATTAAACCAAAGACAACAACAACCACGACCAGGGCCTTCAATTCCCTCCCTTGAATCCCTCCCTATGGACATTATTATTACTTGAAATCTCCAGATAATACTCTCTTTGATACTTATACGACATTTGTCTCCCGTTCGTTACCGCCCGGATAGCTATGGTGATCTCGTCCGCCCTCGTCTTCGCCCTCACGCTCGTTAGCGTAGGCGCAAGGGGAACTGCAGGCCTTCGAGACGAGCCCTCAATTCTAAGACGAGCATGCCCTGACTATACTTCCTACGCATCTAGCGCACAGTGCGTTCCTTTTCTGTGCATATTCGCGTTGTCATGACTCAATTGCGCAAAGCTAACATCCGCGTTCTCCCTACAGTGCTCCATACAGCGGTGGTCCACTCAACCTCCCTTTCCAACGACCAGCTAGCGAATGTCGGACATTCAACTCCTCGGCCGTTGAACAGGTGATTGAAGATGTCACCTCGCGTATGGTAGACAAGGACCTCGCCCAGCTGTTCCGGAATGCCTTCCCTAACACCTTGGATACCACCATTCGGTGGCACGCCGACGGGGCCACAGCATCAACAAGGAAAAGCAAAAAGAGTGGTGCCCAATGGCAGGGCGCTCAAAGCTTCGTCGTGACCGGCGATATCAATGCAGAGTGGTTACGCGATTCTACCAACCAGCTCACCAATTACCTGACCCTGGCGAAAAATGATCAGAGTCTCTACAACCTCATCCTAGGCGCAATCAACACCCAAGCCGAATTCGTCATACAGTCGCCGTACTGCAATGCATTTCAGCCCCCGCCTCCAAGCAATCTCGCTCCCACCAACAACGGACAGAGTGATAGCGTACATCCGGCATACGAACCATCTGTGGTGTTCGAATGCAAATACGAGCTGGACTCCCTCGCGCATTTCCTCGCCCTAGGCACCGAGTTCTACGAGAACACAGGTTCCACGCAATTCCTCACCAGTCGCTGGTATACAGCGCTGAGCACTGTCCTGCAAGTTCTAGACGCGCAATCCCAACCAACCTTCAACGCTGAGGGCCAATACGTCCGGAACCAATACACATTCCAACGGCAAACCGATCTAGGAACCGAGACCCTAAACCTAGCTGGCATCGGCAACCCGCTGGGCAGCGGCACAGGACTCATTCGCAGCGCCTTCCGACCCAGCGACGACGCAACCATCCTCGGATTCCTCATCCCCGCCAACGCCATGATGTCCGTCCAGCTCAAGAGAACCGCAGCGCTAATCCGCGCCGCAGGTGGGAGCGCCGATTTAGCGCAGAACCTCGAGCAAAGAGGCGACAACCTCCACCAGGCCATTCTCCAGCACGCCGTCGTCAACCACCCAAAATACGGCGACGTCTTTGCCTTCGAAGTTGATGGCTACGGATCCCGCATTCTCATGGACGACGCAAATGTCCCTTCTCTCCTCTCCCTGCCGCTCCTCGGCTTCGTCGACCAAGACGACCCCGTCTACAAGAACACCCGCGAAATGATCCTCTCCAAGGACGGCAACCCATACTACCTTACCGGTTCTGCTTTCCATGGCATCGGCGGTCCTCACAGTAAGCCCTCTCTCCCCTTCCCCCTGTTCTCCAACCCAGTAAGTATCTCATATAAACTCTAACGCAACCCCCCCCTTCCTCCTCCTCCCACGGGGGAAAAAAAAAAAAAAAAAAAAAAAAAAAGTCGGTCTCCAAAACGCCTGGCCCATGTCTCTCCTCGTGCAGGCGCAAACCTCCTCCAACGATGACGAAATCACCCAATGCATCAACCTCGTCCGGAACTCCAGCCTCCTGGGTCTCGTGCACGAGTCTATCAACGTAAACAACATCAAAGAATACACGAGGCCGTGGTTCGCATGGGCGAATTCCGTCTTCGCGCAGACCATTCTAAAAGTCGCAGCCGAAAGGCCTTCTTTGATTTTCGGGGACGGCGCCGCCCCTTATATTCCCGAGTAGTGCCTCCCCTCCTTGGTTCTTTTTGTTTGCCGCTGGGCTTGTTTCGTTGCATAAGTTGTCGTTGACTTGGTTTCATTCTTCATTCAAGTATGGCGTTTTAGGGGTTTCCCAGTGTATTAATTCATTACTACTAGTAGTAGTAGTAGTAGTATTATTAGCAGGTTTGTTTGATTTCTTTTTTTTTTTTTTTTTTTTTAAGCCGGGGGGGATGGACGACGACGAGGCATTTGGTATTCTTACATTCGTTCGGTTCGCACTATGTATTTTGTCCGTTCTTATCCGTACTCCGCAGCATGAGCTTTTAATATTTACGTCTCGGAAGGGTTTCTTCTGCTCTTCATACAAATTTTCGGATATTAGATATATGTACAGATAATGCTATGCAAATGAGGTAGGTATCTTTGAGAGGTGTACAAAAAAAGAACGGATTAGACGAGAACCCTCCTCAAACCTTCAGTCCCACCTAGTACTCTCCTCCCTGTAACTGGACACCTCCCCTTTCCACTCTCCCATTTGCCCTGTCTACTCTTTCCCGGGCGAGATGCTAATTTGTTGTCATCAGTCTTATCGGCATCTGCTCCTTCCTCATCCACGAAGTCATCCTCCCATGCGGCGCCGGCGCCTTCTCCGTTCATAAAATCCAATTGTCGTTGGTGCTCCCCGTTCAGCCAGTGGAAAATACATACGTAGCAGTACACATAGCCCGTCTGGCAGGCGGTAGGGTTTGTCAGAGGGTTCAGACAGACGGGACATGCTGAGGCAGCATCTGAATCAGCTGGCGGGAGTGGAACCGTGAAGATAGGCAGGTATGAGGTAGCGGATATAGGAGGTTGGATGCGACTGCGAGCGGAGGATCTCAGGGCGGATTTACGCGTGGGTGATGATTCTTGTTTCTCGGGTTTCTTTGTGCGTTCGGCCGGCGGAATCATCCCCTTCGTGACAGGGGCAGGGATATCTAGGATATCTGTGGCCTTGCGGGTGAGTTGTCGCGAGAAGTCGCTGGCATGCCACCATTCAAGGAACTTAAGAGCAAAGATAGAAGCTGGGAGGAAATAGCGGAGGGATGTGAGTAGTTGCGGGTAGAGGCTTTGTGGGCTTAAGAGGCCTAGAAGTCCTGATCCGGGACGTGTTCGAGCACCTGCGGTAGGAGGAGCTGTGCCTTCGAGCACCTTGGCAATGGCCTGGTGGTCTGCGGAGCTCAGCCGGCGGATCCGTGTGCCAATAAGCCGAAGGAATGGAGAAGAATATTTGGTATTATCGAAAAGGTAGGCCAAGTTGAAGGCCAGGATGGAGAAGTAGTATGCCGCATTCACGGACGGATAAACGTTCCGGAGGAACCATTTGTATGCGTACATGATACGCTGACGAACAGTCGGGCTTGGCGGCAGGTCTTCGCTCGGGTTGTATCTCGGGCCGCCACTCATGATCAAGGATGCCTGTGGAGCAGCATGGATGTCGTAGCCTTCATCTAGCTTGCGCTTCAAATAGGGAATGCCCACCATGATGAGCAGATTCTTCCATACATCAGCGGAACGCAGCTTAAGGCTGTCACGGACTGGGCCTGGGGCTCCAATCTGAGCCCGAGGAATCTCGCCATTCTTAGTTAGAAGAACGCGCTCCCGTTTCAGTGAGTAAAAGTTCTCTGTGAAGGAGCCGCCGAAGTTGCGGAGATAGTAACGTTCGACGATCAGGGAAAGCAGCGCGTAGACCTCATCGAAGGAGTTCAGCACCCGAAGCAAGTATCGCGGATGACGGTGTGTTGCAACCGCTAGAATATATCGAATGGATGGTGGGAGAAGGTCTGATAATTGCTGTTCGGCGAGCAATTCTTAGGTACAAGATGAGAGTCGTTAGCTAGTTTGCGGGGGGATCTCAACCCATTCTCCGCATAGGCTTACCGAACAAGGACGGCTTCAGCTCATCAAATTCCTGCTGGAGACTGGGTAGGTACTCCATGGCGATAGCTTCCAATTACCCTTCCCCCTTTGTATCGAGGGAGGTGATAAGGATCAAGTTTCGGCGCGAGGCTGAAGTTGCGGCTGTTCTGGTCTGGACCGAGGCTCGTCGGGACATGGATTAGTCATCGCATCCCATCATCGACCGATTTAGGAAGGAAGGAAGGAAGCAAGTTAAGCTGCTATTATGTATTCAAGGACTTGACCTCATATCTGTAATAGTTGGCCAGGTGCATGGATGTAGTGCAGTGGTGGTAAGGTTTCACTTGCAGACCATTCAAGAGGCGGAGAGTACTTCCACATCCATTGAAAGAATGGCATGGATATTAACAGCTTTCACACACACAAATACAGGGTATTCCATTTTATAATACAGAAACATATATACATACATGCCCTTCCAATGGTGCAGACACCCAAGGCCCACGATTTTACTCCTGGATCCTCATCTGGCACTCTTCCCACAATTGAGCTAGAGCACTTGTAGAGCCTTCTTCCACTTGCTTCTCAATCTCAGGCTCCGCAACAACAATACAGTACATAACATTATGGAGAAGTTCGCCCTCCAATGGGATAGGTGGGTCCTCTCGAGACATCATTGGCACCCAAGTGGATGCGCAGTCCCGTGCCCGAAGCCTGTCCTTTAGCACAGCGTGCAACTTAAAGAGCGTCTCGTAATCCTCGTACGTACGAGGACTTCCGAGGAGGGGCAGCTTGCGCCACCACTTCCAGAATCCGTCAAAGTCGCCGTTCCGAAAGCGAAGCATCATATGTATCCGGGCCTGCTCTGGATCAAAAGGTACATCGAGGATGTCGAGGAGTTGCGCAATGTGCTTCGCTCCACCAGATACGTTGCGGTTGTTGCTGCTGTTGTTGTTGTTGTTGTTGTTGTCAGGGGTTGTTGGGAGGGAAGCTGCGGTGTATAGCTTGTTGAAGAACTTGAGAGTTAGAACATCCATTCCTCGGAGGGACATGTGGTCTAAAACGCTGAGGGCGGCTTCTTTGTCTGAATCGGGTAACCATGGTTTTGATTTCTTGTCGGGGGCTGGGTGCGCTGTTAGTAATGCAAGGACAACTTGAGAAGTGAGTTCTTCGGAAACAAAACAGCCAGACGCAAAGCAGCCGAGGATCTTCAGATGTAAACTCTCCTTGGTATACCCCGGGTGTTGTCGAGAAATGGCTATGCAGGCAAGTTCCACTTGCGCCAAGGCTTTGTCCTCTACAGATGATCTAGCGAGGCTATCGTAAAAAAGGCGCAGAAAGAGAGTCGAGTTTTCGTCTTCCAGGCCACTTCCTAATTCGCGTCTAACTCTTTTGTCGGGTAGATCCAAAAGACGCTCAAACAATGATCTAGTATGAAACCCCGAATCGGCTTCATTACGGGGTTCAAGAGGGTCTGAAAACCGTGGGGGCTGCGACGCTATGGCTCGCTGTGCCCCATCTACTTCCTGTTCGAGGTCCGAATGTTGAAGCCGGGACCTACTATGGAATTGCCTTCTTTGGTCAAGCGGAAGGCTCACGGACGGCCTGGTAACATGTCGAATTTCACGGTCAGACGGTGATGTTTTCATCGAGTTGGGAGAACGAACCTCTTCGGGTGCGTCCGAGGGAATCTTGGAAGGGGTTTGCCTCGCTCGTTCGGCTCGGGCTAGATTCTGTTCCCAAAGACCGTCCAAGTCCACCTCTTCTCTCTTTTCCTCCGTGAACAACTGCACCACAACACGTGTGCCAACCCCGAGCGTGCCGAAGCCTTCGAATACAGGATCCGGTTTCTCCTGAATAGGGGTCTTTTCTACCACACCTGCGTTAACACAAATCCACCCAGTCGTGATTCCATCATCCTTGTCGTCGAATATTGTCCCAGTGCGACTGGCAAGTCTAGCCCGACGCGCCTTGCGTCGGAGCTTGATCTTGAGTTCATTCCTCCCGAGCAGCCCATCGGCATAGGGGGATAGTTTCCAGGTACTTCTCAACCAGCGACAGAGGCGGTCTGCAGAAACATTCAGATGTTTCACACTACGGGTAGTTCCGATAATCATAATCACATTCGCTCCAAGGGCAGGAGGCGTTTCCAGATCTCGAAGATCAAACAATCTGAGATCATCCAATCCAAGGTCTTTGAAAACATATTCTAGTAGCACTGGCAAGATTTTCGGTGGGTTTTCTGGAAGTTCGGGGATCTGCTGTCGTGACGATATCTCCGCAGCAGGAAGCGGTGTCTCTTCCTGTAGATACCACGGGATGTGCTGCGATGGCTCAGCTGCTTGATTTTGCGTAGTGGGGTCATTTTCTTCGATCACTGGGGGATTTGGGGGGAATTGAGATGAGGGGGGACGATCTGATGCGAGACAAGAGTTTGAGGTCAAGGTTCGGCGAGAGAATTTGTAGATTGAGCATGTTGGGAATGTTTGGTGATAAACCCCCGTACTGGAACGGAAAGCCAATGCACGGGCTACCTGTGGATAGCGCAGAGGCGCCTTTAACAGCGCCCTATTCATCATGGTGGATGTTTAAAGATTGAGCTGCCAGCTTCAGGAACTTGCGTTCAAACTTGAAGCTCTTGCTGAGTGACGTTTGAAGCAAACACTGCAAACCTTCCACACGATGACTAAGAGCGGATGCCAGCCAATCAACTTTTATTTATTAGTCCCCTCAAAAATGGTATACATACGGTACCTTAGGTTGGAAGTTGAAGAAGGTACGGTGATTCATTTTGTTTCAATAGAAAGTCAGGATTAAATAGTTCAATGTGCAATAGATTTATCATCTATAAGGATCTTTGTGTGGCAGGCAGGTATGCCACTATGTCAAGCTATGTATGTAACCCCGTCATGCAAAAGAATGGGTATGAGATGAAAGAACAAAAGCAAAACAACCAACAGACGCCTAGTATCTAAACAATGACGTTCGACCAAGAAAGACAGGAGAAGAAGAAAAGAGCATGCTTATATTCCCAAGGACCACTTCAGACGCTCATACACAAAGAAACTGGTAGCCGCCATCGGAACCACCTTAACATAACCAATCGTCAGCCCGATCCAAAATCCACGGAATCCTCGCTCCCGCCAGATTATGCCGGCTGTCTCAGCGAGTCCAAGGCGACGGCCATCCCCGACTACGCCTCCGACCTGCATCCGGCGTCGCATGACTTCGAGTGGATAGGAGGAGGTTTGGGAAACCATGCCGGCTGCAGCACCAGAGAAGAGTTCTGCGGCGGCTGTGAGTTGTGTTCGGTGCAAGCCGCTCCGGCTGCGGCTTGAGGTAGAAGACTCGGATTCTGGGATGGTGGTGTAGGGTGAGAGGGCAGGTGAACGAAGCCAGTCGCCCACAGTGTCATGGGTGAGGAATGATATACCCGCGTAGGGGAGCATTCCAAGAACCGTCGGGGTGAATCCACGATAGAAGTTTGCTATCCCAGAGCTAGGAATCATTTTCCTGGTTGCTGTTGACACTCGCTCAGCGGCGGTGGTGGCAGTTCCTGAGGAGGTAGCTCCCGCGCCACCAGCTGGCGGGGATACACGTTCGTGATAGATCGTTCGGAGCATATCGATAACTGACGAGCGCGAGGATTTCTTTGTCTCAAATGCTAACCGTACGCGAGTCAACTCCAACGGATAGGTGAAAAATACCGACGTGACCCCCGCCAGACTACCCGATATTAACCGACGGAACGGCGTTTCTTTATCTCGAGACGGGATCAGCATCGCACGAATCTGCTCGTAGGCAAGGAACTTGATTGCGGCATAGGGGAATATCCGAAGCAGAGTCGCCGAATGGCCCCGGAAGAGACCTCGAGTGCCTTCAAATCGCTTGATATCCCGAATCGCGGAGATGAGGCCGAACCAGCTACCAGTATATTTGGCGAATTGGGGGTTCGACGCCTGGAAAAGGATTTTAACTCGATCAAGGGGCGCAACTACTGTTTTGGCCTAGATAAGTGCACGTCAGCGCTTGTTCTTTCAGAGTATCTATAACGAAAAAAAAAAAAAAAAAAAAAAAAAAAAAAGCAAAGCAAAGGGGAGAGACCTACTGCACAACCAGCCAACCCCCCCGCAAGTCCACTTCTCAAGACATAGTCGACGCTGCGTTTGCTCTTCTCCTGACCGGTGCTACGGCTACTCTGCTTCGAACGCGGCGACGCAGTATCATCAACTGCGGTCGCGTAAGACCCGGCTACCACTGGCCCACTGTTGACGCTTTGCGTAGTCGGCGGTTGCGCCTGTGAGACCGGTTCCATCTGCTGGTACAAGGATTGCGGATGAAAGTGAGGGTCCGTTATTGTGTGAGGAGGGCGAGGAGACCTTGCGAGGACGGGGGGGTGCCGGTTTGCGAATAGCCGGTCGCAGCAGCAGACGCACAAGGCTCTGTTGATCTGTGGTGGTGGGAGTCTGGGGAAGCGGGCTACCGGAGAATCGTGGCCATGGATAGATATGTGAAGAAAAAAAGAGACAGTTTAACTAGGATCTCCCACCAACGTCGGGACACCAGCAGAGAATGAACAACAACAAGAACCCGGGCAAAGGGAAACCAGGCAGGAAAGAGTGTGAACAGGAATTCCAAAATGATAGGAATGAATAATTAATATTCTGACAAATCTTGGGGAAAGAAGACGGAACCATGGAGGGCCATCGTCATATCTTAGTGGCGCTGACCACCAAGAGAGCGGAATAATTACAACCCTTACATGCCGATACCCGTTGCCGCCACTGAAGTCACTGCCGCATACCGTCACATTACGCAGCACGATCCGACCGGTGGCGGCCGTTTTTTTTGTGACATTTTCCATGTCTGTGATTGGTCAGTTGCAGGTCAAGTGACCGTCCAGCCGGTTTAGGTAGATTAGTAAGGTCTTAGGTAATCAATAGTCACATGCCAGTCAATTCGATGCCTGAGGCATTCTTATCGACTAGGCCAGTGGTAAATAGCCACAAAAGCTCTCTATATACATCGTCGACGGTACCCCCGTTGCTCCTCTAATGCAATCCTGTGTCCCAGTGAGCCTGATATACACACCTTTATATATCCGAGTCCAAGGAAAGTTCATGGTCGCGTCCATCATGTAGTGCTAAATGAGAAAACCCCCCCCGGTCTTTTTTTGTTGTAGCTGGGCGCTTGAAATGTACCTATAACCCCCCCCCCCCAAAAGAAACCCCAGAAAACGCCAATTTGTTCGAAATGCGGGCAAACGAGGAATCGGAAATAACCAAAAAAATAAATCCAAAATAATAAGGAAATCTAAAAATTGTATCGTCCACCCTGTCTGGTGAGTGGTTTGCCTTGTCGGTTGGAGATCTTGATCTCTTTCGGTTCGTCTGCGTTTCTCCTTGCCCTCTTCGATGGGCGCGAGGCATCAAGATGCAGGTGTCCATTTTCAGCCAGACCTGTAGTGTTTCGCCAATTGAGACAATGGTGCCGGTCCGCTTCCGCCACATAAGTCTTGTTTCGTGTCGTCACACGTTTGGCCGGTATTTCCTCCGACTCCGCTTTATCCTCTTTCCGTGACAGGTACTCCTGGCGAATCTGCATATACTTGACAATGTGCTCGCGCTGCAGTAGAAGCTCCTTGCGTAGCTTCGTCTCGCGCTCACCCCGAGAGTCCAACCAATCAAGTAGCTTTTCAATAGCCTCCGGCTCGTCGTAATAGCCCCATTCGTAAGCTTGAGCAAGCCTTGTTGATCCTTCCTCGCTCTTCTTGCGCTCGGCCGGGGTGATATGGAACTCCTTTTGGTAATGCTTTTTCTGGTCATCAGAGACATCAATGAATCCAAGGCGCTCCATTTCGTCGGGACCTTGGACCCAAAGACGTCCATTCGCATATTTAGCTTCAGCAGTCGAGCTATTAGGCATTCCACCATACGGCATCGCATTCCGTTCGAACCACCAATACCGGTTGCAGAAACGGTCCTTTCCAAGACATCTCGTTCGCGGGCAATCTGCCTCTCTCAAGTCATTATCGACCACCTCAATCTTGTCCTCAAATCTCTGGACAGCCGCCTTTTGGTCCTCGATCTTCTTCAGTACCCGCTGGTATTGCTTCGAGCCCTTCGGTTGCTTAGCGAGCTGCTCCTTTCTTTCTCGCTCTACATCTAGCTTTCGCTTCCGCTCCATGGCCCGGTCCACTCCACCACGGAGGGACCGTTGGGGGGCCTCCTCTTCCTCAGAGTCCGCGACATGGTCCAAGTCTCCGTCCACGCCGGTCATTTTCGAGTCTTCCAGATTTTCCAACTCCGGGGCGGGGGTTGAGGATTTTTCGGGTTCTGGCTGAAGCGCTTTCCGTTCTTGGTGTAGCCGACGAAGTTCCTCAAGGCTAAGAGATCCACGTCAATTGCGGATCAGATGGCAGAGTTCAAGGGTCAAAACTTACGCTGCTTTTCGAGCCTTTTGGTACTCGATCTTTTCTTTCCGAAATTCTGTCATCTGGGAACTGCATTCTTCCAGGTAATTTCGAATAGCCTTAGTCTCCAGGCTGAGCATGCAGATAATCTGGAGGGCCCGGATGCGCAGATTGACATCCAAACTGGCATACTGCGTGCTGGCCGTTTCCTGCGTTGGCTCCTCGTCTAGGGGGGCAAGTTGCTTGAGAATTTCATTGCAAATCTTTTCCATTCGGGGACGAACGGACAACTGGTGCAAGAGTCCGACCATGACCAATTCCCATCCACCGTTGCGGAAATCTCGCTTGCGTAGACGGTCAACCCAGCTATATCCAACAAACATCTCCGAGGCTCGATGGACTTTGACTTCTGCTGGCTCCGCATGACCGTTAATCTGCGCCATCAAATTTTCGGCTTCGGCCTTGGCGAGACTACTTCGAGTAGTCATCCTTGTCACAATAGGTTCAGGTGTAGGCTCTCGCTCTTCTTCCTCCTCCTCCTGCTCCTTTTCTTCCTCCTCATCCTCCTCGGAGTCGTCTGATTCCTCAGAGGGGAGTTCCGGAAGGGAAATCTGGATCGCGCCGTTGTCGTCTTTTTCCGCATTAACCAGCTTCTTCAAAACAGCACAATGAATTTCCACAAAAAGCTCACAGTCCATCTCTTCTGATGAAAACCGCATGGCCTGAAGGAAGTCGTCAAAGGTGAAAGAATCGAGCTGGAAGACTTCACAATACACATTGAGAGTGTTCCATGCCTCGAGGAATGGGCCTACTGACTCCATCTCAATATCGTCTTGCAATAGGTCATCATCGTTGGGATCGTCAAATTCAGTCACTTTCAAGAATTTCAACGGTGGGCGCTGCTTCTTCTTTTCACGATCCGGAGGTATTTCGAGGTCCTCGATTGGGTATTTAATGGGCGGGGGAGACGGTTGTTTTGGAGGTTCACTTTTGATTATCACAGAAGGAACAGCTGCAATTTTCTTATCGATGTCTTGGGATTTCGGAGGCCGAGAAGTCCCGTTCGTTGGTTTGCTGCCAACAGCAAACCCGGGGTTGCCGTTAAGAGAACGTTTATATTCGAGAAATTGTGCCTCCTTGGAACGAGCCAAATCCTGTGCCGATGTCTTTGACTTCGAGCCCTTAGGAGCCGGTTTCAACTCGGGAAGTTGCTGAGATGCAAAAAAACCAAAGAACCCTTCTTGGTCTGCTTTCTTTTGCGCCTTCTTTTCAGCTACCTTGGCTCCATATTGCAAGTGTTTCGGTACTTCCGTTGAGATCCTATACTCCTCCGCCACGGAGGGTTTGACAAGCCAAGGAGCACCATTCCAAGATTCCCTAGTGACATTATTTTTGATAAATGCCCGGAGCATCTGCTTGGTGAAGGTCTTCCTGTCGCGCGTGAGATGTTCCTGATCCAAAAGCGCTTCTTCGTTCGGACGGTCCAAAACCTTAACCAAATATGTCGCATAGGCCGCGGTTTTCACAGTTCCGTCCGCAAAGAGCTGCTCCGGAAAGTTGGCTTTGTCCCGAATCACGCCATGTAAACGCGTATTATCATCGAGTAAGATTAAAACTTGCTCGCCGGGGTAAAAATCCTGTTTGAATTCCTGCGTTCGTTTAGTTCGGAGATCGATTCGCGTTAGCCGCCTAGTATTGACTTACTTCATAGATTTCGTCCACTAAAGTTACCAAGGTTAGCTTAAGATTTAGGCTTATAAAATGTATGTACATACCAAGACTATCGACCCGCGATATCGTGGAGAACTGGGCCCTGCGCAAAATAGGTTCTTTCAAAGCATCGGGGAACGAGCTGTTGACCTCTCGCGACTCTTCCATCTATGACAAGAATTATTAGAGGACGTCCGTAGGTATAGCGCATATCACATACTTCACTTCGGAAAGCCTCGAAAAAGGTCAGCCCGGAATGACCAGTAATCTCGCAGATGAATTTCCTCTGTTTGTAAAAATCCATGCGCTGGAGATATGATTCATAATTGGTGAAAACCTCATTCGTCTCCGAAATAACCCAAACCTGCGCAACCTTTGTAAGCATGTATTCCCTCCTCATGGGTTCCACGAACTGTACGTGCCTCCGAACTGTCATCCTCGATAACTGGCCTTGGGAGGTACTGGACGGGTTTCCGTTTGAATAGCACCTAGAGATGTTGTAAGCACTTTGCATTGTGCTTTGAGGTCCTGCGACTTTTCCGCCCATTCAAGGAATCTTCCAACCCACCATTGTGACCTAGCAAGGAAAAGACACGCGCTGGAGAATCATAGATTGCGGAGGGTGGCACTGGCTAATGACATATATCTATTGGGGGGAAAGATAATTAGCACGACGCGCGGACGGATGTTCTCGGTGCGACAAGTAAAAATAGAGTCAAGAACGAAGTATGAACAAATTATACCCACTAAGTGGGGTTACACGGCGCGCAAGACATGAAGCTGAAGGTAAGTAAAAAATAAAGAAAAAGAAATACAATCCTGCGATCTTTTTTTTTTTGGTTTCTCGGGCAAGAAAGACCGCGAACTGGGTTTGGGAGTGTCATGAGCTAAAAACCCGCACTTACCTGGGAAAACGCGTCTCCAACCGCGCCGCAATCGAAGTGCGGAGTACAGACGACCACCAAACGAATGGAGGACTGGCGAAGCAAGAAGCGCGCAGGAAGGAGTGAGAAACAGCGGATATAAATACCCGAAGAATGGAGAGGGTCGGCAAGACGCGCGAGAGAAGTCGGAAGTAAGAGGGATGGGGAGAGAGAAGGAAAGGAAATGGAAGGACAGGAATAGGAAAAGGCTAGTTAAAGGAGAAGAGGTTTTGGAAGGAGAGAGAGAGAGAGAGAGAGAGAGAGAGAGGGAAGGAAAGAGAGGAAGAGAGAAAGATAGGAGAGGGGAGGGAAGAGGAGGAGGAGGAGGAGGAGGAGGAGGAAAGGAGAAGCGGTCGCCGCACCGAAGCGACGGCAGAACCGAGACCCATTGATGATTTACCCAGCAGCAGGAAGTTAAGTCGTCCATTGTAAGTAGCGGGAAATAATGTGGGTGGGAGGGCCGCCGAGGCACCAGCGCTGATGATTGGCCCAGAGGAGGAGATTTCGAGTTCAAAGCTGGAAGTCGGGCGGACTTTGCCTCTTTCGGGAGGTCTCTTTACACCCTCTGCAGCCGGGGCCAGCTCTCTCTTTTTCTTGCCCGTCTGCTCCCCTTTGTTTCTCCCCAACTCTACACGTATTTACACTCGTTCTACGCCCATTTTCGAGGACATTCCTTGACGATAATTCTCCCCTTCTGTTTCCTTGATTTCAGACCTACCATCCCTCCCAAATCCAAAAGCCCTCCGTCATGGCCCTGGAAGTCCGCGCGCTCGGTAGACAAAGAACAATGACAGCCACCAGACTTCTACACCACGCATCAACATCCCCTTTCAAGCTTCTTCTTTCTTGATCTATTTTAATTCTTTTCCTATTCATTCTTTGATCTCTATGTCTTATACTTCTTCCATGTCTTTCTTCATACGCTTACCGTGGGACTATCTATCCCCAGCCCTATACAGCTTCTTTCATTGATATCACATTCCAACAGGATATCTCTGGACCTACGTGCCCCCTCAAATCTTTTTTTTTTATATCTGCTAATTAGTACAGCATGTCAATATTCTTTCAGCCATCAAGTTCCCTCTATTTAAGCATCTAAGCCATGCCACACGGTTTCAAATTACCTCTGGGGTAAATGACTATAAAGGACCTACCTAATACCTGAGATAATACCTCCTTATTCCTAAAGCAGTGATGGCATTTTATTAAAAAATGCCTATCTCTTTCAGATGAACTTGTCCCAATTCAACATGGCATGAATCTGCCACGTCTGACCTTTCAACTCTGAGAATGACCCGTACACGTTCAATCCGATAGAGCTATATTATATTAATATGGCTCTCCAAACTGGAGGGTCAACCTAGATTCGTTCTTCCCTTATTGCAGAGCATCTGATACATTGTTTATTCATAGATGAGACACACAAAGCTACACCGTCTCTGGAGAGGCTAAAGGCTGTTTAGACAAGCTGCTATTTATATCAATTCTCTCTCGGCTGGTTTCTTCTCCAGCCTGCATGAATGATATACCCAGGCAAATATCCATACCCAAATAGCATTGAAATATCGCCGTTCGTAACCGTCTACGTACGGACCTGACATTGTTGATTTCTACCTCTTTTACGGTAAATATTAACCGATAGAATTTGAAATTAAAGTACCAATACACGTATAGTATAAGCTAACGCACCCTGTATTCCCATAATAACAAATATCTATGAGTGTGTAAAAAAAAAAAAAAAAAGGAAGATGGATGCATCCCGGAACAGGAAGGAAGGGAGAATAGCCCCAGGTTGGGACTTTACCTAACCTACATATGAAAATATACTCCGGTCATCAGAAGCGATTAATGTTATACTTTCCACATTTCTTCCATAAGCAGGGTCTAGAGCATATAAGAGAAGAAAGAGCACATACATTTCCCAAGCAACAATTTACAGAGAGATTCGATAAAGTACTCTGTAGTGTCAGGTTCAATTTCCCATCTGTTGCAAGGTTAGGGTAGTAACTATGTAATAGTTAGTGCTTTAGTGCGGAATGAATCAATGGAATCGATCAATATTTTAGCTCGTGGTCTAGCCGGTTCAGGGTTAGCGGGCGTTGTTTGATAAACTTTGCTATCGGAGTGGGTCCTGCTCGGGGGAACACGTGGATGCAGACAAACAGAGCAAACTGGCGTCGATAGATCTTGATATTACATCATTGTTGAGCTTGGCTTGGAAAACAAGGACTGTGTAGCTTTTTGATTGATTTCTCATTATCTATACGATATAGTTACTCATGTTAGGCGGTGAAGTATACCACCATGAATCCTACCCAACTACCGACGACCCCGAGAGCCGAGTAGCTGCTCGTGAACATCAACGGGACAAACTGGTATCGTTCCAGGCCGAAGATCAGCTGGTGCAAGAGTGAGCAGTAGATGATCAGTGGGATAGATATGGTCAGGTAGAGCAAGGAAAAGCGGTCCACGAGGAAGATGCGTGGTCGCTCTGGCACAGGGGCAATCTGATCGAATACGAACAGGAACAAAATCAGCCACAAGAGTGTGTAGACCGTCTTGATCGGGAATTCTGCAGCGGTGAAGAGTAGCGGGAAGAGAGAAACATGTCCGGCTACAGCGAGGGGGCGGAATGCACTGAAGTATCGTCGGTCTTTGAGGGCGATCAGGCTGAACGGAATGATTATCAGGAGGACTGCTTTCTCGTGTACATGCCAGCCGAACAGAAAAGAAGCGTAGCCGCAGAGGGTAAGGGCTCCAATAAAGGTGTCCGGGTCCGGGCAACGCCAGAGTTTGAACAATGGAAGCTATGCCGAATGAGAATCAGTAATATTATGTACTGGGAAATGTGGTATCCATACCAGTTGGAACAATAGGGTTAAGATAAAGGTGTGCTCTTTCGATACCTCGGGGAGGATGGCAAAGGATGTGTCACCGACAAGCCCACGAGTGACACTTGTAAGAGCTTCCTGATTGACCGGGAGACCTAACCTTGGAGCAACTACGGGGGGTCAGTAGGGCTAAGGAGGTTTTTTTTTTTTAATGGCATATGACGTACGTGGTATCAGAGTCCGATCGGCAAACGAATATATCGCCCAAATATTCGGGGCCCAATATGCATGGCACAAGCCTCGGGAAAATGGGAACAGCCTTTCTTTCAGTTGAAGGAGCTGACCCCAAGATGCGAAGGGACCAAACGCTAGACCAAACACGGTGATGATACTGAAGCCAAGCTTAAAGGCATTTCCAAATCGAGGCCGGAAGACGGACTTTGGGTCAAGACAGTACGCACGCAGTAAGTAGACAAAGTAAGCGAGGGAGAGGTATAAGTAGATGTGTTTCAGACACAGCAAGACAGCGAATGAAATACCACTGTACAATAAAGTCGACTGCTTTCGGGCCCAGACGATTGACAGGATCAGAATTCCGTAGAGGAATCCATTGTATTGGAAATGGATATGATCGATAATGAGCAATCCAGGAGATAGTAAGATGGATAGACTGGCAGCATGGGCAAGGTGTTTATTGACTTGAGGAACGGACTTGATATATCTGTGCGAGCCATTGGTTATTATAGCCCTGGAAATTGATAAGCTGGGGACTTACCGGCTCAGAGCGTAAAGAAGAACAAATTCTGTTAGGATGACAGTCGCTCTCTGGAAGTAGATTGTTTGCCAGGAATCATAATTGAGATTCTGCACAATGAGCATGGCGGGGTCTACATATTGAGCCAGTTGGGAAAGCAGCCACTCGAACGCGGCGAAAAACGGAGGGTAATCGAGGGTCCATTCCGACGTTTTCTGCACACAACCAGTTATTCTCTGCACTGTTGAGGCCCTTAATGAGCAAGAAGGGCGACCAGTACCTCGTAGTACCATTCCTTGACCGGGAGCGAATGCGTGATAGCTAACCAATTGCGATGAACCTCGAAGTCGGTAGATTTGCTGTGTCAAGAAGCCATAAATAAGCATGAATTCCAAAGTTCTCTGGCCCCTTTCCACATTCAACCAGGACAGGGAGTGTTTCGTACTAGGCGGGGAAAAGGAGGATTTTAAAGGCGGTTGCGACAATGGCGCATTGCGTCAGGGAAGGGTATAATTCAGCCATTGGAGGTGCTATCTGGGCATGACGGATACAAGGTTATCGAGCGAACAGCATCCGGGAACGGGGAAAGCAGAATCTCCGTCAGGATATCCTGTTGCTCTCCAATTGAACAATTGAAGCAAAAGTGAAGCCTGATGGAAGATAGAAGATGGACCTGAGGCGGTCCGATGGTCGATCCGGGGAGGGCTCACGTGACGGCGCATCTCGTGGTTCGTGAAGAAAGGCCAGTGTGTCCTTGAACGACACCCAGTCAATCAGATCGCGATATTCCGAAGCTCTCGAAGCTCAGCTTTCTTATGGACTTCGCTTCGGACGTGGGTGTCCGCCATTCTGTCGTTCTCTCTAGCCTTGATATCCGCCATTCGGTCGACATCTCCCCCGCCGCGCTCTCCATCGCCAGAGAGATCCGGTTCTGCGTGATCGCCATTGTGGTTGGGTGGACTACTACTCGAGTTGTCTCCGCGCTGTTGGACCGTCGGCCATCATCGGATTCGTGATCGGATTCGTGACACTATAGACCTGGTTCTGTTTTCTTGTATCTTTCGTAAATACGTGAGGTCCATCTGGATATATCCCATTCATTGGCCTGGCATTGTTTTGTTTTTACCTTTCTATTTTGGCACCGTACAAAAGGCGTTATCAGCTTCTATTACGGTATTGTACAGCCATCACCATCATCATCATGAAGATTCCGTGTTCCCTCGTGCTTCTTTCCGCTGTTGCTAGCGCACAGTTGGTGATTGACAGCTCAAGCTTTGGTCATGGAAAAATGTACCGTTTCCCCCGTGTCCTTTCATACCTCACACACAGCGGTGGAGCTAATTTGCCATATAGGATAGCACCAAACAGGGATGGCATTCCGGGATGGGATCTCGGAGGAGAAGGTCATATCCCTCAGATTGTATGTCTTCCAAAGTCATGGAGTTTGGATTGTTTGACCAAATACTGACACACTGGTAGCTTTCCGATAAGCTCATCCTCACCCCTCCCTATCCCGGCAACACTCGGGGCTACGCCTGGTCCCAATCCACGTATGTCTCCATAATCTTTTTTCTTTCTTACTTGACTTAATTCTAATGAATCAAGTCTATCCGAATCGGAATGGACAGCGGAGCTCCAGTTCCGAGCATCTGGAGTTGAGAGGGCCGGAGGCAACCTCCAACTTTGGTATGCTAAGGATGGCAAAGAGAAGATTGGCTCTGCTAGTATTTACACTGTGGGCCAATGGGACGGATTTGCTCTTGTAGTAGACACTCATAGCGGAAGGGTATGCGAATTTCGAGTTTCTCGGTGATCTAGCAACTGACTTACTGCTAGGGTGGCAGCGTTAGAGGTTTCCTCAACGACGGTACAACAGACTACAAAAGCCATAAAAGTGTTGATAGCCTGGCTTTCGGACACTGCGACTACTCTTACCGAAACCTTGGACGGCCGTCTGTTGTTCGTGTGAAGCACACCAACGCTGTCTTGGAGGTCACTGTTGACGACAAGCTCTGCTTCGCCACTGACAAGGTTTCTCTTCCTGCTGGAAACACCATCGGTATGACAGCCGCAACCCCGGAGAACCCCGACTCTTTCGAGATCTTCAAGATCGTCCTCCAAAACAGCCCATCCGGTGTAGGAAAGGCTCCACCAGTACAGCAACAGCAACGTCAGCCGAACGAGAACCAGCAGCAGCCGCTCGCTGCGCAGGGACAAGCCAACACTCAACAAGTTCAATCCGCGTCTGTTGATATCCGCTCTATCACCGAACAATTTGTGGATCTGGGCAGCCGAATCCAACTGATCAACCACGCCGCCAATAACATCATCCGCGAGCTTGGAAACCAAGGCAACAAGGTTGAGAATAAGCAAAACGAGCTTCTCCAGAAACTAGCCACCAAGGAGCAAGTCGGCAGTCTCGAAGTTCGCCTCCAGAGGCTCGAACAGACCCTGCAATCCATCCAACGTACCCTGGAAGGAAACGATTACCGTGACCGGTTCAACCAGTTGCACGAGACTTTAAGGTCGTCTCACCTAAGCCTGACCGAAAACCTCCAAGGCACTCTCCTCAACGGTAAGCTTCTAACTCATTCTGCTTCCCTTCCCTTTCAACAATTCATTTTCCATTCTAACTGAGCAAAACAGTCATCACAGCATCCACCCCCCGCATGGGCTTCTTCATCTTCCTGGTCATCGCTTTCCAAATCCTACTAGCCGCCTCATACGTTATCTACAAACGTCGTCGTGCCAACATGCCCAAGAAATTCCTCTGATCTAGACATACCTGTCTATAAGTAACGGAAGATAATGATTTTTTTTTTTTCTTTCCTTTTCTCCTTACACTGAACCCGCACAGGACGACTCGCACACACCGCACGCATCCACACCTGAACGTAAATCCAATACAGATATATCTATTTGGCCTCTCCATCTATGACTTGTTTTTGCACCAATTTTATATTTATTTCTGTATTACTCGGTTGTTTTTGAATCATGGCCTTAGCATCATTTTGTACATTTATCTATCTACAGGTTCAATTTCATGCTTTCCTCTCTCTCTCTCTCTCTCTTCGAATAGGGTATTTGGTTCGGCTTACTTGTCTTTCATCTTTACTCTAGACTCTGGGTGGTCTTTTCCAGCGAGAGCTCCTGCACGTGCAATATACCATTCATGTAGTATAGTAAAAAAAAGATATTGTTCATTCATGACTGGTTGACTGATTGATACACCAGCAGGCAGTAAAAAAAAAAAGGGGAAAGGGTTAAATGATTCTAAGCAACTATCGTACAACACAAGTAAATGCGTATCGCTCAGTAGGACAAGCCAAAGCCCATTGATCCTTTTTTTTTTACTCAGCTGGAGCTATGGCCACAAAGGAGAACAATCCTTCATATCTCGGTATGTCCAAGGACAATACAGACACCAGCGGGGGGGGGGAAATTGCAAGTAAAGAGGGAAAAAAGAAAGCAGGGCGGGCAAATCAATAGGCAATAAAAGGCTTTCGAGAAAACGGAGGGTAAAGTCTTAGTCCTCATAGCGACAGCGATGACTAAATTCTCATGCAATAGTTAACTAACTAACTAATAATTGACACGCTCGACAATGCCATGCTCTATGCGCCAAGTAACCTTAAAGCCGAAATGTTAAGCGTGGGGGGAAAAGGAGAGAGAGAGAGAGGGGGGGGGGGGAGAAATGAAAAAGGCTGTCCATAGGCAGAGAGAAACGATTCGCCAGAAACTGAAAAGGCCTAGAAGATTTTATGACGTGAGGTGAATCATTTCATTCAGATAAGCTGCTGTTGCTGCTGGGGTGCTCGCTCGAAGTAGGCTGTGCCTTCGAGGACGCTATGTTCCCAGGTTGCGAATTTAGCACCTTGATGCGTTGTTCAATGAGGTCTTGGAGAGTGCGCAGGGACTCGATCTCGGTGTTAGCAGACGGGAGATTGTTAGGCGCATTTGCTTTTAGTTGGTCAATCAGGAGGTTAATCCGACCGTTTTCAACCTCCGAGGTTACCTGCTGGCTTTGTGCAAATTCAATGAGGTTTGCGGCAGCTTCGCGCTCTGCAACCGTTCGTGAATTGAGGATTGCAGCCGTGGTATCCTCTTCTGTGACGACAGGCTTTTCTGATGTGTAGAACGCGTGTGCCTCGGAAAGAAGCTCGTCGAACTTGGTTTTGGCATACTCTAAATACTTGTCGGCCGCTGCTTTCTTCATCGCAAGTGTTTCGTTCTCCCTGAAGAAAATTATTAGAGAAGATCCAGGTGCCAGCCAGCAAGTGTCCACTAACCTTTTAACTCGTTCGATAAAATCAAGTTTGACCCCCTTTTCCGAAACACGGTACATGATGCCTTCCTCTTCTTGCTCCTCAATTCTCTCGACTTCTTCCTCGTCCGGAAGGATCTCAACATCGACAAATCGAGGGCGTTTGGGATGGCGAATGCGTTTCACCATATCATAACCTTCCTCATCAGCAACCACGTAGTACATGTCGTGCCAAACGTGGTTGGGACACATCCAATTGTGATGAACGCGTTCGCTACCTGGTCGTTGGGTTGGTGGGATGGCTAGAGGTGGGTCGACACAGTCCATGTGGAAGGCACATGGACAGTAATCGCACTGGATGATAGGCCGGCGGCCGTTACTTGTGCGCCCGCATTTTGTGCAGAAAATGAGATTGCCTTTGGCATCCACTGTGCGCAACAAGAACGGGTCATCGTATCGGCCTGAGCGATTCCCACGCCCTCCACGAGGGTTCATTCTTGGTAGTGGCGCAACCTCTTCATACCTTCCACCATCACCGGTGCGAATCCCTGTGAAGAAGTCCCGAATGCGAGCTGGTAAGGCAAAGTCTTTCCGTGAAACTTTATCAACGGCACCAAGTAACTTATCCAAGGGACGTGACACTGAACATTTAGGACAGTACCAATCTCCTTCTGGGGGGTTGGCAGGATCCAGAGGCGGGTTGAGACAAGAAAAGTGGAAGGAGTTGATACAACCATCACAACACAACAGTTGGCCGCTACCATTGCAATTTCGACAAAAGTCATTATTTTCGGGTCGCTCATTGTCACTAGCCCAAGTTAGCAATCCAGAAATTGAACTAATGAGACACATAGGGGGGGAATATAATCGAACTAGGGGGAGATAGATTTTGACATACGTTAGTGAGGGGGTTAAACGTCTGTTATCACCGGCATCGCTGCTTGCTATGCTCTCCGACCGTCCTCCACGATTCCTTGAGGCAGAAAAGTGTGGACCAGGCGAGGAGAGATCGGAAGATGGATTGGAAGCCAGAGAATAACGAAGTTTACTTTCAGAAGCCACAATAGTTGGAAGAGCCCTTTGTAGACGGGTTCGTTTAGCCTGTACAGCTTCTGCTGAAGCATCAGGGTCTTCCTGTGTTTGCTTTTGTGGAAGACTTGGGTCGTTGGATGGGAAAGCCGGCCGACGCGGTAAGGCGTCAGGCTTCTGTGTAGCGCTTCTGGACTGTTTCCCTTTTCGCGAACGAGTGTTCGACGCTCGAGATACTATCGCGGGTGCAAAGATCTCAGCATCAAGAGATTTAGCGGAAGAAAGCGACGAGGCGGTGCTGGCTGAGCGAGTGCGCACGATAGTTGGCAGAATAAGAGGCACCTTTGTGACGTTCTGTTCTGACCGCACCTCCTTCCAAGCGCTTCGCATCACAGTCTGAAATGCGGACTTCTCACGAGGCCCAGGATTTTCCTGACAGATTCCATCCAGTATGGATAGCGCAAACGGATCCTTGCTACATTTTTCCCACAGGTGAAGCAGCCCGCGGATGACCGGACGATTGTCAGTCTCCGAAGCTAGGCGCAGAGCTTTTTCGACAGCAACTTTGAGCTTTTCAACGTCTACATCTGCAGAGCTGGGAACAGGCAGTACTGTGAATGCAGCGAGATCCTCTTCAGGCGTAGGTTTTGCGGGTGCCGGTTCCGGTGCCGGCTCCTCAGCTGGTGTCAAGGGGGTCTGAGGCTTTTCATCAATCTTCTCCCCGTTCGGCGCGTGTGGAAGATCTTTCTTGGCAGGGATAATAGGAGTACTCGGCTTCGATGGCGCCAACCCTACTTTGCGCAAGTCTGCCGCAGATGGCATGGCCCCCAAAGGGCGCATAGTTGCTAGAACTGGGTTCGCGTCACTAGAAACCGCTGACCACGGCGTGTCCGCATAGCTTGGAACCGGTGCCCTGACTGGTGGCTCGGTCCATTCTGTATCCTGTCCAAGCGCGTGTGACTCGTTATCATTATCTGCTGCCTCCTTTACAAAACGTTCTCGCCGCGACAAGCGTTGAGTCGGGGGGTCTTGAAGCGGATCGGTGGCTACACGGGAAGTTCTCCCAGTACGCCGTTGTTTCCGGGGCCGTGTAGATTCCGTGAAAGGAGAAGCCGCGCTTGCTGTAGCTGGCACAGGTGTTGACGGCCGGGAATTGTTTGAACCTGCATGCGATGATGAACGGAGGTTCGGAGCCATTGTTGCAAAGGCAGGGCACGATAATCGCCCGGCCTGCGTCGCATCCAGTTAGCGGGTACAGCAATAGAGACAGAGCCAACCCTTTTTTTTTTGGCTTTACAGGTGAAAGAAAAACTTACTGATCAACAGACCACGAAAAATCGGCAACCGTGCCCGGCGTGGCTGGTTGGAATCGTGGCCAGCCCGCGCGGTTGAAGGAAGAAAGATTGCGGAGTTGCGAGTGACGGGAGTTTTTGAGGACCAAGCCCCAATCACGCCTCCCAGGGGGTTTCGCCGCGGAGGCTGTCAGGAACACAAGACACAAGACCTCCACACCTAGATGAGAATATTTTAAAGGTCAGAAATTGAAATAACATGTTTTTCCAAATGAATTGAATCATTCAAATTCTGATTTTATCCAGGACGGGGGATCTTACCGGATACTCACTTACCGCGCCCTCGGAGGTTATTGCCCAAGGGAGGTGAACGGTACGATGGGGAAGGTCCTGTAAGAGTATGCAAGACCGGAATCCGGAAATACAAGCTGAGGAATCAGAAGAATTGTAGAGGCCTTGTAAGAATGGCCGGGCTATTTAGAGAGAATACTCTCTTCTATTCTAGTCAGCAGAATTCTCAACGGTGTCTCCTCGGCGAGGTTTGACGGCAATGCGCGGGGGGCTCAATTTGACAATACCAAGGCAAAAAAAAAAAAAAATAGTCCAAGAGCACGAGAATCGAAAAAGAAAGGATATTTAAGAAGGATAAGGAACATAGAGCCCGTCCTTTGCGTCTTTGGATGTCAAATCAGGGGATATGTGACAAGCATGCCATTGAGATGGTCATGGGAGTGAGGGTTGGTGGAGGATTAAGGGAGATAACTCACCAGCAAAGGACAGTAAATTTATATCTTCACAGCCTGTAGAGGTCACAGTGTCTCTGGAGCCCAGAGGGCAAACTGTGTGTTTGTTCTTTGTTTCTTGGATAACAGGCAAGGTTCCCTTCACCCCGATATCCCGAAAAGGAAAACACGAAGATTGAAAGACAAAAGACCAGAGACCCCCAGATCTTGTAAAGAGTAGTAGATTAATCTTCCTCTTTCCCCTGATGATAGAGACCAACCTAGATGAGACTTGGACAAGAGGCACAGTAAAAGTGATATTCAGAGTTGGAGGTGGGGCGAAAGGGAGAATGTAGAAGGTAGAGGGGGTAAGGAAGTTCTGGAAGAAAAAGGAACACCTCTGCCAGTGAAAAGCCGAGTGTGTTACTGATGAGGCTATTCAGTGATGCAGCAGACGCGACAAGTGAATGTCCTGCGTGGCGCTGCTGCTGAATGAAAGTAGGGGCTGGACCTCAGCAATTGAGGGCAATTGTAGGACTCTTGTTTGCAAAAGGACCAAAAAGGATAGAGTCATCAAGCTACAGTGCCAGGTAATAGCTAAATCCAGCGCCTGATAATCGAAGGCAATGGGAATCAATCCGGCGTTGATGTCGGTGGTGGGTTAAGAGTCCTCGCGACGCAACTTTTTTGGGTTGCAGCAAATGAGACGATCCGAGACGACAGAAACGGAGACAAGGGGGAATCCCGTCGCAGTAGTTGAGGGTAGAAGATACAAGCGTATCTAAACAAGATCTTTCAGCGATCTTGGGCTGACGAAGTGGCGACCACTGGACTCCTGTGGAGGGGGGAAAAGGAGGATGCCGGAGGAAGAGAGGATGCGAAGAGGAAGAGGAGCCTTTTCGTTGGCCCACACCCACGCCCAACTCACCCACAGCGTCAAATATCCCAACGCGCAGTTTACTTGGTTGGAGATGAAGTTTCTGGAAGACATAACTGATCAAGGGGTCCTTATACAAAAGAGGCTTTGATCTCTTTCGATTTCTACTGCTCTCTCCCCCATCAGGGTTGAAGACCCTCCAGCTACTACCTTTACGTTACACACTTGTGGTCGATTATATGAAGCTGCAAAAGAGGGTTATAAATTCCCATAATCAGATATCTTCTTCGTGTACAAGAGCCTGACAAATGGAGAGACCAGGTAACTAGCTAGAGGACATCCATAATAATAGGGGTAAAGGTGGCTTTATCAGTTACATCATGATCTCCGGACCCTTGAAAAAAGCGTCCATGGCAGCTTTATAAAATCATCCAGTTCACTAGATTCAACAAGATTATCAAAGGTGAGACTGGGTTGAGGCGCAGTGGTCAAAAAGGATGAAGTTTCTTATGGCCAGCGGTTACGGACATGGAGAAAGAAAGAACAGGGGCCATTTAATCCCCCTCCCTCTTCCCCCTGAAAAGTCTTCCATCATGAATATACCCTCCCCCCTTTGTCGTTAAAGGGGAACCCTCTGCTAAGAAAGGATTTCATCCACCTGGGGTTACATGAAATGGCAGCATTTTAAAGGACTACAGTCCAGAATATTCGACTGAATCGGAAGCAGAACTCGTGTTTTTTTTTTCCTTTTGCTATCTTCAGGCCACATGTGACTTCCATGTGGCTTTTCACTTTTTTTAATGCATTATGTGACAAAGATTCCCACCGGGCATATAGGAGAGGAAGAGCGCGTTATAACACCAATCCTGCTAAATGCCCGCGGGGTTTCTCTCTCTCCCAACAGTAAGAAACTTCTCCACTTCCGGCTTGTCCGAACAGGCCGCGTCACGGCCTCAGGCCATAGTCCGAGGTGAGGCCATCAAATGGTCTCGTAGATATAGCATAGTTAAATCCAATCGAATCTTATATCTACTCCTCGTCGCTCTTGGCAGCCTTCTTCTTCTTGTTCTTGCTCTTCTTGTTTCCAGTGGACTTGGACAGAGGAGCCTCGAGGATCTTGAGGATTTCTTCATCCTCGATCTTCTTGTCCGACTTGACCTTCTCGAAGTCGGGAGCAGTAGGAGCTGCAAGTCTAGTGAGACCGTTCTTTGTAATAGCTGCAAGTATGGTTAGTTAGTTATCGAGGTGAACAATGCGGAAAATATTGGCACTTACCAACAGTGGTCAGAAGGCGGGAAACTGTGGCGTTTTCAGCATCGCCAGCGGGCTCATACTGCCTCAGGACACCTCCACGGACACACTCGACAACGCCAACCTTGGCGGCCTTCTCATCCTCCAGTTGTCGCAAGCTGAAGGGGAACTGTCCGAACTTCTTGACAACCTCGGAGAGAGTCTGTCTGGAGCTAGGTCTCTTGAGCTGGTATGTTGTGGTGGTGCGTCGGTGCAGAGTAGAACGAAGAGGCAGTGTCTTCACCTTTCCAGATCCGAGGGAGAGGCCAATCTCAACACCCCAGACCTCACCAACGGCGGGAACACCCTCACCCTTGACGCCAGATCCGGGGGAGATAATGATCTTCTTCTCGGCTTCAATTTCGTTGCGCTCGAACATCCAGCTAGTAGTGTTCTCAACCACATTGCAGTCGTAGGTCTTAGCAACCTTCTCAATCAGCTGGGTGATGCGAGCCTGGGTAGGAGGCTTCTCTGCGGCAGCCTTCTTCTTCTCTTCGTCGGTGCCAGAGGCGAGCAGACCAGGGGGGACCATGAGTCTCAGAAGAAGCTCGTTAGCATAGTAAGTGGCATGGATGAGGTCGGCTTCACGACCGGTGACCTCTGAAGCTCCGACAACAACCATGTCGCAAACGATGGTTCCGAATCCATCGATCTGGGCACCAAGCTGGATCTTGACGAGCTCGCCAGCCTTCAGGGCAGTCTCGGCCTCCTGTGTGTCGGACACCAAGGGGGTATATGGAGTCACATAAGAGCTTGGAGAGACCGTTGTGGGGTGGCCGATGCCTTTTTTTTTCAGCAACGCCAATGTTAGTAAACATCGCTGGTTGGCTTTGGCCCGCTCACAACGGCAGCAGCATGGTGTGGGGACGTACCCTTTGTGATCTTCTTGCCCTTGTAGACTTTGGCAATCTCCTCTTCCAGGAGCTTGTCGCCCGCCTGGCAGATTTCGACAACCTTGCTTCCCTCAACACATAGCGCTAAAGACCAGACATTAGATTAGACCTTGACATCCCCAACTAACATATTGGGTTAGGGCGTAACGCCAGGAGGCCACACACCTGAGACAGCCTCAAGGACTTTGTGGGAGATCTGAGCAGCAGTCTTGTACTTGGTGAGAGTATCGGGGTTGTTCAAGGTGTAGTCTAAAGGTGTTCCGGGGAATGGTTAGCTCTGATTAGAAGAACAGCAGCAGTCAAGAGATCGAACGAGGAACATGAAATCTAGAGAGTATTCAAACGCAATTCTGGGTCCTACACCTACTTCTCCAAGCTTTCTAGTCGCCAGTCACCCAGCCCATCTGGCCCAGTCCATGACGACAAAGCCTGCGCAAAACCCACAAACGCGGAGCGTTTTTCAAATTGGGAATGAAAAGAGGGGTACAGCAGAGGGATTCAACACTTACCAACAACCTCGGTGGTGTGAGTCTCGGCCATTGTGGAACAAATAAGTTATCCTCGCACCGATACGAGGGAAAAGACTGTCAATGGGCTCTGGTTCAGCAGTCGTGCGGAGCGAAAAGAGGTGGAGGAGAAGGAAAATACCTTGGGTAGGCTACGATGGAGCTGGAGAGACCAGTCAAGAGTCGTGTGCAGCTTGACGACAGTGTATTACGCATTACAGGTGAGGCGGGGCTATTTTTGCCCTCTTGTGCTCTACTTTTTGCGACAGTGGGGTAGGGCTTGGTATCGCAATTACCGTATTATTACCAGACCGCCCACTGCTATATTTTCTCGCATTGGCCGGCCAGCGCTAGCAGGATAGTCAGCGTTGTTGCTGGCGCTGTTGCTTGGAAAGACGTTTTAAAACATTCATGGGTAACTACCTTAATTCTAAAGATTCAAGCCTCCTTCTGGGTATTCTTCACAGGGAATGATAGAGAAAAACAAAATATCAGCCTGGATTTGCCCTGGGTAGGGCTGTACTGTCAACCTGCGAAAATCCCGGTTTATGACATCATCATCTACCCAAGTCCTCGCTTTTTTTTTTTACCAGAGAACAAGTAAACAAATAAAGCAGCAGAAGGACCTTCCTGTGCTCCAAGGAAAGCTCGGGTCTATTATGATGGAGTTCATGCCTGTGGGTTGTCCGAAAGAGCTCTAAGATCGCATGGTGTGTCCCTTGATGACACCATGACAACACAACAACATAGGGGGATCTCGCTGTCAGCATCGAGAATGAGGAGTCATCCTTGGAAGTGCTCAATGAATGCCACTGGGCAAGATTGACTTCATTCCTTCTGCGTTGCCTGTTGCCTTCTCCAGGACATGGAGACGATCGTCAAGAGTAAGAAATGGACCCCGTCGATACCTATCCTTTTTAGCCCTTGACGACTAATCATCAAGCATATCCCGTTTGCCACAAATATGCCCAAAGCAAAAAGCCCCAGGTCTCATCAGAGGGTTTGATTCTGTATGGACTCCGTAGACGTCGTCGTAAACCCAAGGAAGTCATTTGTTTCCCTATCATCGGGCAGCAAGCTTGCAGTAAACGCCCATGAGTGGTGCGGCTTTCCGACGCAGCAGAAGCAATATTCCTCTTTCAGGCAAATCCACCGGATCCCATTCTGGTGAAATGGGATCAGCTCCCAAGTGGATTTACTTGGATTAACCAATATGCCCTTGGATCCAGCGCCAGCCGTTTGTTCATGCATCATGTAATCTTTACTGGAGTCGTAGCTGACCTGCAGAGTTTCAGAACACGGAAATTAAACTTTTGGCGCTTACTTGAGGGTGAGAGTTCTGCTGTCCATCCATGCCGATAAATAGAGCGTGAGATTTACACAGCAGATACTTTTGTTGTAGAGTGAATGGCCGCACCGAGGCCGTGTCGCGAACATCTTTTTTGGATGCCTCATCGTTTCCAGGTATCGATCCAGGTTCTCTGGCTGCTTCATAGCGACCCGGCTATCATGGCCCCCATCAGAGGTTCTTTACAAAAAAGGACAAAAATCTCGGGAGACGGAATAGATTTAGCTGTCACATTATCCATATGCCTTTTTATAGTGTCTATAATGGCAGGACTTCGGCTATGGGCATCGAGGATCAGGAAGCAGGCGTTTAATGCTGCAGACTTTATGTCATTAGTCTCCCTGGTAGGTTCAACCGATGCTTGATAGTGAGCTTTGTATGGAGGATACTGACAGATATCGGAGCAGTTGCTTTTCTACTCATATGCGCTGGTATCCTTTTTGAGTCCTGCTGCCGTTTCCTTTTCATTCCATCTTCTGGCTCTAATACACCCTACAGTTTTGACGATTGGGCATGTTGGATACCCCATTTCTGAGACCTCGAGTTGGAGGCGCACGTTTACACTAAAGGCAATTGACCAACTGATATCCGATCCAAATCCCTTATTAATACTAGTCATAGGGATTCTTCTATACACAACTTGCATTCGGCGTTGGGATTGGCGCCGCCAAATTTAGCATTATATGTGTTTGTTTCCAAATCCATTCTTTTCGCAAGTCGAGTACTCTTCGACTAGTTAGCCGACTCTTTATGGCCACCTGTTTCTGTTGGTGTGCTATGGCGATTATAGGAGGGATTTCTGGCTGCCAACCTTTGGCATACAACTGGAACTTGGAGAGCTCGGGTGGGCATTGTATTAACCGCCATGCTGCATCTTTAGCCATCGGGATTCTTGACATAGCTTCAAATGTTGCCATGGCCGTTACGCTAATATTAATGTCTCGAAACGTACAAATGAGCAGACCAAGAATGCTGGCAAATATAAGCATTCTAGCTTTGGGTACTTTGTACGTTTCTCACTTGGCGTGTCGATATGCAAAAGCTGATCAAAACATGGCCATCAGTGGCATCGCCAGCAGTATCCTTCGCACGACGACCATTCTACATACCGATTTCACTATATTTAATCAAACAGCCAAGATGGTTTTTCTCTGGACCGCAGTCGAATGGGTAGTTGCGATGATCGTTTTTAACGCCCTCATGCTAGGGCCAATTTTTGATCGATTTTTTCCTGAAAAGGAGCCGGAAAGAAATGCACCATCTCAAGGGTTAGAGATGCCAGATTCTTTCCAATATTCCAGCTCTCGTGGGGCGACTTATACGGCTGAAGCGACTACGGGGGAAACTATATCTACATGGTCCTGCCACAAAAATGAGCCGATGCCTAACATACAGATTAACCTCCCACCAGAGCCTGGGGAGGTTCGGATACAAACAGAGTGGGCCATCGAGAGATCTTGAGTGAATCCTCTGCGCTGCAGATTATATTGTTTCTACGCTATTTAAAGGGCCCAAGTCATCCAACGATGTATATCATGATTCTCTACGCAAGGTCTCTTTTGATCATGAGAGTGGAAAGTGGAAGCTTCAGTTCCATTGCTAAATCCAGAATACCACATTATAGGGAACCATGGTCCGTATTTGAACGTACGTGATAGACATCCTTACTAAAAGCTGACCTGCATCAGAGCATATCCCGCCCCCAGCAAGACGCGTACGGGATGTCATGAGATTTCCCTGAATCTCACTCATCACCCGAAAGGCCTCGTATTGGGAATCGAGCCAAGAGATGCGCATTGTCATTCCATACTGCCTGCTGCTATCTAGGATGGTCTTTTTGTAAGTACTCCGTATAAAGCATGTCTCCTGTGTTTTAGCGGTATATATATAGTCCGATAACGCGAATGGTTTACTTTGCACCACAACAACTCTTTTGATTCCCCTATCATTTAAGATCTTCATGGACTGCATAATCCGGTCTAAACTTCCAACCCCCCAGACGCAGACACCGAAAGAATCGAAGTATGGTGGAGGTAGGAGTTTTTTTTTTCAGAATAGAGAGCGTGGGTTCATGTATTCTGTGGACCAGCCACCACAACAAAACAAATAAAGGCTCGAGATATAGCCCTTGTTATTACGGAATTTGCATCTGATGCTGTCGCCTCATTAACTATGTCTATAAATTGAAGGATGGCTTCAGCGAGAGTGCCTTGGTTTCGCTACATAACTAGGTAGCTTCTCTGTATGGTTGTGTGTTTAAATATATAACTACTGCACTCTACCACTCTGAATCTCTGACTCTGTAGTATTACGAATTACTACTAGATAATGTTGAGAGACACAATGTTGTACAGCAGTATTTCAGGCCACATGGATGTGAATGCCTTGTCTTGCCCAATCACGCGCTTGCCTAAGCTAAGGCAGCTTCTCCTTACTTCCCGAGTCCCTCTTCTTGTCAACTACCTAGGTACCTAATTCATTTCGACCATCTTGGATGAGCTGAGTGGATGGGTAGGTTCAAATCAGCCATCTCTTCTAAAGATGAAGGCAAGTTCCCAAGGCATTCCCCTGCGCATTTTGACGCATAACATCCGGTATGCCACTACCTCTCCATTCCAAGGTGAGCGACCTTGGGAGGAAAGAGCCCCAGGGCTTCTCAACGAGCTCCTCTACAATACTCACAACCAGGATGCTTTCATCTGTCTACAAGAAGTCCTTCATAATCAACTCGAAGATGTGATCTTCAGTCTTAACGCGCATCACTCCTGCGCGTCAACTGCGAAACCAGGGCCCCCAAACTGGGCCTACATCGGTGTTGGTCGTGACGATGGGAAACACGCCGGGGAGTACTCGCCTATTTTCTATCGCCCCTCCGTGTGGAAGCTCCGACAATGGGAGACCGTCTGGCTTTCCGAGACCCCTACTATCCCGTCCAAAAGCTGGGATGCCGCATCGATCCGGATCGTGACGATTGGCGTTTTCACTCATAATATCAGCCGCCAAACCGTTCTTGCGATGAACACTCACCTCGACGACCAAGGGTCTCACTCCAGGTTTTGAAGCCGCTCACATTATCCTTCGTAAAATCCACGAGTACCAAAATGGGCGGTTTGGTCGGATTCTATCCGGGGTATTCCTTTCGGGGGACTTGAACAGCCAAGAAGATCAGGAGGCCTACACTGTGTTGACGTCGACCGATTCCCCACTGCTCGACTCTGCAAAGCTAGTGAATTCCAGTAAGCACCACGGTAACGAGACGACTTGGTCTGGCTTTGGGTACGAGGGATTAGAACCCGGCCGCATTGACTACATTCTCCTAGGGCCAAGAGCCAAATATGTGACCACAGAGGGCCAGGATCAGTCGTGGGATATGGAGGGATATGCCGTGCTGGCGAATCGATTTGACGATGGCGTATATAACTCGGACCATCGGGCGGTAGTGGTTGATGCAATGTTGCGTAGTTGAGGCGCCTATTTATGGCCAACAGTCTAGTGTCAGCCAACGTCAAGTAATGACCACCGTGATCGGAATCTTCCCCTTATGCGTAGACGATTCCATCTGCCATACAAAGTCAGGTATGTTTGGTGCTTTACCACACGAGAGGGTTCTGTCACGCCAAGGCCTTTGATCCAGCCTAGTGCGGTATTTTATTACTATTTCCGGTGTAGCGTCAATCACATGATCATTTAATCAGGAATAGTGCCTACTGAATTCACTGATCCTACCTGGATATAATACGGTTTTACAGAGTCCATACAGTCACAGTGGTAAGGAGTGCAACATCTGATGAGAAGAACAGGAGCAAAAAGAGGGCGTTTGATGGCATCACCGAGTCCCAGAAAGGCTCTTGAAGGTCTCTGATGAGGATCATAACCTCTCATGCTGCTTGCTTCCTTCCCTGACCACTCCTTTGTCCCCCTTCCTTTGCTCCCCTCTGCCCTCCTATGCGGAAACCACTTGTAACAGGCGTTCTGTCCAGCCAGTGTCTGTCTGGCCCAGCTTCGGCCTTCTCTCTCTCTCTCTCTCTCTCTCTCTCTTCCCTCCTTTTCATCCTCCTCTTTCTCTTTTATCTCCCTCTCCCCTCTCCCCGACGCCCTCACAAAAGGAAGCGAGACAGGATTAGGCAAACCCCCACCAATCCCTCCACACAGGCGGGAAACAACTTGAAAAATTAAATTCGACTCCAAGTTCGATCCAGTGGACGGGCTGGCAACGACACTCTCCAGACACGCGCGGTGATACGTTCCCCGGTGCGCCGTCAGCTGATTAGCCGTTCTCTTCCGGGCGCTGTTTCTCTCTTGCAAGAAAAAAAAAAGACCCAGACCGGCACGCCAGACCCATCCAGCGCGTCGTTTGGCCCTGGGACCCTTTCTGCTCTGAGCCTCCGATATTATCGTTCGTGGTTAGTACTATTATTATTTTATTTGCTCCCCGTCTCGTGCTTATTTTGCCCTTGATCCTCCCCCCCCCCCCCTTTGCTTGGTATGTTCCCCCTCTCTGCCGTCTTTCTTGCCTCTGGTGTGTCTCTACGTGGCTTTCCTGCTTTCCCGACCGACTCCCGGTCCTGGCGTTAAGCTACCTTCCCCCCTAAACTACACGCTTTGCATCCTTCCTGAGGCGGATTTGCGGCATGTCTTTATTGCTTTGGCTGGCGACGCACCGCTACCTTCCCTTGGTGCGCTGTCGCGTCCCTTTTGCGATACAGATTCCCCGGCACAGGCAAGTTTGCGGCTAGGCTAACCTGCTCCGTTCCAGTTTCGGGTCTCCTTCCGCCAAAGGATGCTGCCGTGATAGCTCCCTACTACCCTCCCTCGTCGCTTATTATCCTTGACCCCCTTTGTGCAAGTGACACCTGACCCGTCGCAGTGGGAAAAACAGGCACCATCTTGCTGTGAACCCTGTCTCTTCTTCCCCCGACAATGCCATTGCCCGAGCTGTCGCAGCCTGGCACAACCGACGCCCAGCCGGACGGGATTCAAAATGGCCCTGGAATGTTGAACGCCGTCGTGGATTTTAACCCTGATGCCGCTTCTGGGCATCTGGCAGACCAAGGAACGAATGGATCCGATGCGATCGCGGAAGGAAAGCAGAATGCGAAGGCTGTTCTAGCGGCCTCGGGCGTGTCGACCCTCCCCGAGGCGAGCCATGACGCGTCAAACGGCAATCCATCGCCGAGCTCCCAGCCGGGCAGCACCAATGGAATGGCTTCGAGTAAAAAACGATCGCGAGATGGAGCCCTGATCCAACCATCGTCTCCCGGTGAAGCTCTCCCTGTGCGCGTGCGCGAGACCCCAACAGAGAAGATCTTATTGGAGGAATATGTGAATCGCGAATTCCGACATTCCGCTTTGACTGCATGGCACAATCCGAGCCAGGAGCTCCAGCAAGAGAAGCGTGCGGAGCGCGATTACTATCTAACCCTACGACGCGAGAACCATATGAACCCTGGCGCCCTCTACGGTGCTGGCTATGAAGGCTTTGGTAATGCACGAACCGACCTGCGCAATCAACACCCACAATTGCTATATCCCGCAAATCGGCGTCGCCCTGGAAATCGCAGAACTCGTGAGCTGCGTGTCTCGCGAAAGGACCTGAAGACTCAGAACGAGCAGATCGAGGACCTGGTTCCCATCAGGCTAGATGTCGACTGGGAGAAGATCAAAATCCGAGATACCTTCACATGGAACCTGCATGACCGTGTCGTTTCCCCGGAACTATTTGCGGAGAAACTCGTGGAAGATTTTGGACTTCCGCTCGAGTCCTGTGCTCCCCTGGTGAGAATGATTACGCAGAGCATCCAAGAGCAGCTGTGTGACTACTACCCCCAAATCCATATGGAAGAACAGCCGCTAGATCCTCACCTCCCATACACTGCCTATAAGAATGACGAAATGCGCATATTGGTTAAACTCAACATTACCATTGGCCAGAATACATTAATCGATCAATTCGAGTGGGACATCAATGATCCCCATAACAGCCCCGAAGAATTCGCCGCGCACATGACTCAAGACCTCTCTCTTTCGGGTGAATTCACAACGGCGATCGCCCATTCGATTCGTGAACAATCACAGCTGTTTACTAAATCCCTCTACATCCTCTCACATCCGTTTGACGGACGTCCTGTTGATGACCCTGACCTCAAAACGGCATTCTTGCCTACTCCCCTCACCTCCTCCTTCAGACCCTTCCAAGCCGCTAAGGAATTTACACCTTACTTGTATGAACTTAACGAAGCAGAGCTGGAGCGAACCGAGGTATCTATATCGAGAGATCAACGGCGACAAAAACGGTCTGTCAACCGTCGGGGTGGACCAGCGTTGCCTGACCTCAAAGACCGCCAGCGCACTATTCGAACATTGCTTGTCTCGTCTGTTATTCCTAATACCGCATCGTCCATGGAAGAGAGTAACGTGTTCAAGCGGTCCGGTTCAAGTCGCCATCGACGTGCTGCGGTTGGATTGAGAGATGGAGGGGATGAGTCGGAGGAATCAGATAGCGATGAATCTTCGTTGGTCGGGTCTCCCGCTATTGGACCACATCTTGCCCAAGGTACTGCCCGCACGAGAGGTATGCGTGGGGCGGCTACTGCTGCGCATGCGGCTCTGCGGGCGAACCTGGGTCAGTCGGCAACACCGGAACCCCATCATGAGCCTAGGGCCTCTGTTCGCAGGCAAATATATCGCGAGGAGACACCGGAAGAGCAAGACAAACTGGTTGTGACCCTCAAAATCCCCAAGGAGAAGTTGCGCCAAGTCCTTACCGGTAGTCTAAAGCCGAATCCAGCCGTCGTTAGTTCTACACCAGCAACTCAGCCTTCATCCCAACAAAGCACACCACAGCTTCGAACACCAACTCCAAGCTCTGCCGCAACCCCATCGCACCCACAAGCTCGACTATCAGGCTCAGGCCGAACGGGCCCAGCTCATCACCTTGGAGCCATAGAAGCCCCTAACCCCCCTCAACCAGGTGTCCCTGGGGTACGTTTCCTTGAAAAAAAAAAAAGAATTCTCTTGTCGATTGAACGAACCCTATACTGACTTTAATTAGCCATCCCCTCCAAGCTGGCTTGTAGCAGGACTTGCTCGGCTCAAACGCTCTTATCCCAATGATTCTTTCGAAGGAGTGATGCGCTATACAGCGGTCGATACCGAAACCATGCTTCCTGTGGCCAACGCCAACAGTCAACCGGGACACAAGCTCAAATATCTTTACCTTCCTCGTATCCGGTGCCACGATTGCCCGGGAAAGTTATACACGCCAGGTCCAGGTACGACAGTGGATAACTTTGAGGTCCATCTACGCAACCGGCAACACAAAGAGCGTGTGGAGGACCGGATCACCAAAGCCGCCGCCGCTGCCGCCGCGGGAGGCAACCCATCTTCGTAACGAATGAATGATAGAGAACCCTGGAGTTCCTGTTCCTTTTTCCTGTTCTCTTTAGCTTGCATTAATGTATACTCCCTTTCCATATCCATCTCTCATTTCCCTCGAAAGAATTCCACCCCCAAGAACCCTGTTTTTGCAAGCCTTGTATAAGAGCACCCTTGATAACGGACCCCTTTTCTTCTTCTTCTTCTTCTTCTTCTTCTTCCTCCTTTTCTTCTGGTTTGGTTTTGGTTTTGGTGTATATGAATGATTGAGCGATGGTCTGATCCACAGGCCTTGTCTGTGTTTTATTAAATACTGCCGAATACTCCAGTACTATTTTCTTTGTGCATTGAATCTCTTTCATCTAGCTGTCTCTTGACCTGTGCTATGACCTTGTGTTTATTGGTACCATGGCCGGCGTAAATACAATACTAGGCTCAATGTTTAGTTATTTATTTTTAAAAAAAAATCACTGGGAATGATAAATTCAATGCTGTATTTTTGTCTGTCTGTGTCTAGTTTTGGCATTATGCATACATACATGGGACGGTAGTTAATTTATTTATGGGCAGTAAGTAGACTTGATCATTTATCTGTCTACTACCACTGAGTAACTAGTTGGTTCTACTTATTCTTACTACCTACTTATTACTTACTGTATAGTTACTATATAGTATAGCATTAGCATAGAATAGTGGAAAAGAAAGAAGAAGAAGAAGAAGAAGAAGAAGAAGACAAAGGGAATAATAAATATAGTAGTATGGTATGGTATAGGATAGGATAGGATAGAATAGAATAGAGAGAAGAAAAAAAAACACATTCATTCCATCAAGGAGAAAAGAAACTGAATAAGCTCATACATAACATAACATAACGTTTTAAATCCACAGGGATATGATAGGGTAGATAGATACATATGAATAAATCGGCTTTCAATTCAATTCAATTCAGTCAGTCAGTCAACAACAATGATATCCACACACACATCCACGTCTGCATCTACATAAACATACACACGTGCGGGTTGGCCTTTTTGAGGGGAGGGGAAGTTGCCTAGGGAAGAAAGGGGAGAGAGGAGGGAGAGAGGAGGGAGAGAGGAGGGAGTGGGTGGTAAACGAGGCGAGTCGTATTAACCCCGTCGGGAGGATCGTCGAGTTGGAAGAGTAGTAGTGGTGGTGGTGGTACTTGCTGCTGATGGCTTTTCGGTTCGTTTGCCCTTGGCTCTCGTCGGCGGCGGCGGCGGTGGTGGTGATGGTGGTGATGGTGAAGGCTCTGCGTCGGAGGGTTCTCCGGTTTGCTCTTCGTTGTTATCGTTATCGGATTGAGGGTCGTCGTTGTTTTCATCGAGCATATCACTATCCGGTTCGCTCAGTTCGCTCTCATCAGAACCTTCTTCACCAGCCGCTTGATCTTGGTCTTCTTCTTGGTTTTGGTCTTCGTCGTCCTGGTCGTCGCCCTCGCCCTCGCCCTGGTCTTGGTCCCACTCATCCATTTCCATATCATCTTCGTCGCTGTCCCGATCGGCATAGCTGACTCGTCGCGAAGTACCGCGGCTGCTACGTCTTCGCGCAGAAGTGTCAACGCCAGCAGTGCCTTCTCCATCAGACAGCCAGTCGTCTTCATTCTTCTTCGTCTGGCGCTTGGGAGTTCTCGAAGCTACAGTCGAGGAGCTCGATTTACGTCGCCTCGTGGGGTTTTCCTCCTTTCTAGCTTTCTTGGTTGCGCTGGCCGCACGGCTGGTCTCGTGAGTATCGGGTTTCCTCTTCTTCGTCGCGCCCTGGGCGGCGGAGCCGCCACTCTTAGACGACCGCATGGCCGATCGGACAACACGATCCAGGAGATCCTCCGCATCTTCAGGGAGGAAGTTCTTCTCGGCGGCTTCCTGAGCCTCCCGGTGGCTGCCCATTGGGGCAAAAATGGAGCTCGGCACACCCATCTTACCAGGATATGTCTGGAGAATATTGACGCCGCCCGCTCCCCCACCAAACCTGCGCTGCTGCGAGTAAACGTCGGCGAAGCGACGGATGGTCGCTTGCGCGAGGTCTGAGAGTGTGTGGAGACGAGTGGTCATCTCGTCCGTTTTGGTAATGCCGTCGCGGGTCTGCTTGACCCGTTGTGCGATATGGAAGATTAGAGAAAGATTGTGCTCGTTGCCCACAGCGGACAGGTAGAAAACTATGTATCGTGCGAAATCGGTCAGATCTGCTACCCGGGTCGATTCATCGAGATCGGTGGGGGGGTAGTCAGGATGATAGGCGAGCAGGGAGAGCAGACGCGAGAGGAGAGACTCCATGACGGTCTGCTTATCTCCCTTCTTCCCGCTAGATTGTTGGGAGAAGAATGCAGCACGGGATCGCAGCCAGGTGAGAGTGCTATCTTTCAAGCCAACTTGAGGCTCGAAGGCCAGCAAAAATGGAATGGTGTACCAGCGATGGCCCAGACGCGTGTTCTGCACCAGCTTCTTCTTGAGCTGGTTGATAAATCTACTTCTGACCTCAGGAATTGGATCTTGGGCCACCAGGGCGATCGAGTTAAAGTCCTTGGGGGTCAGGAGTTGGTCACACAGCGAGTGGTGCGAAGCACAGAGTTTCAATAATGACAGGGCGGCAAGAAGTCGCAGCCGCGATTTCTGTGCCGGTGGGGTATCCTTTTTTTTCGAGAGCTCGCCGGAATTGACGATGAGTTTATTCAAAGTATCATACACCGGTTGCGCATGCGCCCGAAAGTCATCGTCGCTGTCCGCGCCATCTTTAGCACGAAGGCGATTGGCAATGATCTTCAGAGCCCATTCTTTCGCTGCGGTTTCGTCGTCCACGTGATCCGACCAGGAGTAGTCGGCATTCGGCTGTGGTGTTCGATTGGTGAGCAGGATTTGATTGACGGAAATCTGGATAATGGCGTCGCTTTCCTCGTCGGCTTCGCGGGGGGCCAAGAGATTAAGCTGCGACAGCGTCGCGAGCTGCGTCAGGAATCGGTTGGAACCGTAGGTCCATTTGGAAACACATTTCTGGACCAGGTCCTTAGCGTACATCTCCTTCTTGTCCGCCACGGCCATCAGGATCAACACGGCATGCTTGGCCGCCCGCGGGGCCGGACTGTTGAGGGCATAGTCGACGAGGGCTTCGAAGAATTTGCGGTCCTTGGGCAACTTAGAGGGAAGTTTCTTGGCAAAGCCGGAGCAGGCCTTGAGGATCTCTTCGGTGCCCGCAGCGCTAATCGCGGAGGCCTTGGGCGCCTGCGCTTCCAGATCTCGGCAAATCTCTTGTACCTGGGCTTCCAGAACCTCCGGGTTACGAGACGAGATCTCACGCAGCATCTCATGGGCCGGGGTAGCCAGGCCGTTCTCATCTGACCGGGACAGACTCATAATGGCGGGGATGTGGCTGCGGTTGAAGATCAGGGAGCTGCACCGATACAGCAAAGGAGTCAGGGTCTCATGGAGCATGGTGGCGTTGTTGCTGGATTGGACCCTCCTTGCCAGCTCTTTCATCGCCTTGATGACGGTGCGATAGTCGCTGACTGCAGCCATGGCAAAACGGATAAGCTGGTAGCTTCGTCGATCATGGGTTTTGGCGAATTTCCACAAATCTGCCGAGGTCCGCGACGGATCAGGGAAGGTCTTGGACAGGGTATCAATGACTTTGGTGAGTTGCGCCTTGATTTGATCTTTGTTGTGGTTCATCACGCCGCCCTGCATTGACGAGTTAGAGAGGTATCCGGATAGATACTCCACAAATCCTTCCCCCGGTTGTTTACTTACATTGTAGTCCTCGCAGGCCTGTAGATAGATCGTAACGGCGGTCCTCATCGAGATCTGGCGCGCCTGCATTGCAAAGAAGACCTTTTTCGCCTTCTCGTCCAGGCCGCGGAGCAGGGTGAGAATGCGACGAACACGAACTTTGTCCACATCCGTGTCATTTTCTGGTTCAGAGGCTTGCGACTCTTTCAACTTCTGGGACTGACTGGAACCGGCTCGGGATAGCTTGGGTTTAGTCGGGGGATAGTGGAGCGGAAGCAGGATCTCAAAGAGCACCCGATCGATACAGACGTGGATATCTAGGTCATTAGTGTAAAAGGCGTCAAATATCTTGGAAGGCCCGTCCTTGAGCAGGGTGGCCACTAATGCATTGTCCGTCTCAATCTCCCCGGAAGCCACGGCCCACACCCGAGCCAGAGTCTTCATTGCGTGCTCGCGCACCTGGGGCTTTCGATCCTTGACTCTCTCAGCCAGAATGGCCAGGAGTGAGTCCGGCGTGGCGAAGCCCCCGCTCACTCCGAGCTTGTTCACGATGTGAGACAGACCGAAGGTGCCAACCGCATCCACCGCGGCCACACGGACCTTGTCATCCGCATCCCTGAGCATGGAGGCAAGGTGCTGGATCAGGGTCTGCTCCTCACTCTCGCTGAAGCCCGACCCACCGGCCGACGTGAGGATGATTCTCCCAACCGCAGTGGCCCATGCTGCTCGGACCGAGGCTGATTTATCCAGGCGGCGGCTTAAAAAGCTTTCATACGCGGAACTGTGGGTTTGGGCGAACGGTTTGGGGGCAAAGGGCATGAGGAGCACGTTCGGTTGTGGAATCGACTGGGCATATTCTGCCAAGGTCACTTGCGGATAGGCAGCCGGGTCCATGGGAGGCGGCGGGGGTGGTCCAGCCACCCCGGTCCCAGATGTAAGGTCACCGATGGTCTGGGTGGCGAGCAAGCGCAAGGCCATCGATTCGGCAGACAGCTCGGCTTCCAATTGGGGGACGACATTCTGCAGTACGTCGGGGCATGCCCTCCAGAGCTCTCGAATCAGGCGATGTGCTTTGGTCAATTCCTTGATATCTTCTCCTTCCCCGTCGGAGTCATCGAGATTGAGCGGCGGCTTGCGTGCGTTTGAATTCTTGGGGCCGTTCGTCTCGGTGCCGGCGGCGGAGGCATCAATAATGACATTGTTAAAATATTGACTGATGTGGCTCGTCATGCGCTCCGGGCAAGCTTGGCAAATGGCTTTCGCCATATTGTAAGCCGCCGGATAGTCTTTCAGAAGAAGGGTATCCTGTTTGTCGTCCAGCGGCGCATCGGGTCGTTTCCCTTTCTTCCGGGGGGTTTCGAGGAGGACGCGAGGGTCAATGCGTAAAAACTGGGCCACGATGACATCGACCACTTCAGGGGCGAGGACGGGCGATTCATCAATCACCGTCACCAGCAGACGGGTCATATCATATTCGACATTCTTGGCGACTGGCTCCCCGGTCGAGGCTTTTGCGGAACCAGCCACGATATCAAAGCAGCTTGTAAAGAGGGGGACGATCAAGATGTCTGGGTGATCTAAGTCGGTCAAGAGGACGACACTCTTGACCTCCGCCAGCGAGTTTAGGACGTAGATATGCTGAGCGTTGTAGGGATTGGACGGGTCTCCCAATGCGGGGATAATCGAGGTGACGATACAGGTAAAGATGTCCTAGAAACGACAGGGATAGATGTGTCAGTCCCGTCGTAGTCAATTCCCGACATCAGGCGGGGTAAGAGGGGGGGGGGGGGCAAGAGAGAGAGAATCGCACCTTGAGTTGATTCGCGGTAAAAGGCGCGTCGGGCGCACACAGGCGCAAGACATCAACAATACAACATGTGGTCCAAGCCCGAACGCCTTTATCCTTATGGCCGAGTAAATGAGCGGTAGCAAGTTCCTGGGAGACCTTGCGGAGGGAATCTTTCTCAACCTCCTCCTGTTCGAACTTGCGCAGTTCCTGTGCCAGGGTCTGCAGACGCAGCAACAGATCCGCAATGGGAATGGCGGAGCGTCCAACCCGCCAGGAAAGCGGTTCATTGAATTTCAGACAGCGAAGACCTGGCGAGGGGTCTTCCGACTCCACGACCTCTGTGGCGACGGAGGGACCTTGACGGGTGCGCGCAGGCATCGTGGACGGGGGGGGGAACAAAACAACGGTTTAATGCACCATACGTGGGGGGTATTAGATTTGAACGGAACTGTAGGAAGGGAAAGGAAAAGAAAATAGAAGAGTCGACGGGAAGAGGAAGAGATGGAGGAAGGAGAAGGAGAAAGATGGATGGAGAGAGAGAGAGATCAAATAAATCAACATCAACTTCACCCCAAACGGGAAAATCTGGCTTTGACCGCCTTCACCGACGCGTTCGCGTGCTTTTCTATATAGAATTAAAACTTCAAGAAGGATTTTCCTTGTAAACCGCTAGATGTATTTTAGTGTTCTTCTAGTAACTTGTATTAGACTAAGGGAGAATTACTGTACTAAAGTTTGAAGATACGGTGGGAAGAAGATGGCTTGACTGGAGAGTCACGATGGTATACAATGAACCCCATACTATAAATTAGAATATAGAATCTAGAATCTAGAATATAATATCATGCCATCTCATTTCTCTAATTCATCAAAGTCCGGTCATAAATAACGTAGGGAACCCGTAAATATTAAATCTATTCTATCCAAGTAGACAAAGTCATTAAAACTTCGGGGAGAACTTGCTCATGGCGCGGATCTTCTTGCCATAAATAAAGAAGATAATCGGGATAGGAATCATCGCCAGCGTAATGAAGCCCAGCAGACTGGACGCCCAATTCACCCCCAACCGATGGTACATCTGGGCGCCAAAGAGAGGAAACGCGCCTCCGAGTCCGCTGCGGACCAGCGTGTTGGCAGCAATGGCCGAGTTGGCAAACATCAGATACACGTCTATGATGTAGTTGAGTCCCTGCATGAAGATCACCAGGATCCCCAATCCGATAGGCACGCCCGCGAACACCTGCGCCACCCAGGAGATGTTCCTATCGGAGGTCCACCCGAACCAGAAGAGACCGGCGGGGAGGAGAACCGACGCGATCATCATGGGGATGAGACGCTCCTCGGGCACCACGCGGCCGGTTTTGGCCAGTTGGCGAGCGAACCGTGTTTTGGTCTGGTACACGATCAGGGCCATTCCGCAGAACACTCCCAGCATGATCCCTAGGAAGGGCAGGCCGGCGATCCCCTCGCTCTTCCAGCCCCGGACCTCCTGGAAGGAAATCGGGTACGCCTCGAAGAAGAGGTACAGGATGCCGTATACCAGGGCCAGGTAGATGGTGATGAGGATCAGAATGGGCTCGAGGAAGAGCATGTGGATCGGCCGCAGGAGGTATTTGCGGACGATATCCCCGGCCGTGGGGCGATGGTCATCGAGGAAAGCATGGTAGGCGTTATTCCCGGTCTCGGAACGCAGTCGAGCCGCGCGCTTTTGCAACAGCACTGGATGATAGGTTTCGGGGACGACAAACCAGGCGATGGTGCCGAAGGAACTGGCGGCAATCAGGGTAATCCAGGCGGTCCAGCGCCAGCCAAGATCGGAATCCGTGAGGAATCCTCCAATAATGGGACCTACCCCGACAATTAAAAAGGGATTACACAGGTGACCAAAAGAGAGAGAGAGAGAGAGAGAGAGAGAACTTACCCAATACAGGTCCGACAAAAGTCGCAGCAGAGAACATGGCAATGGCCACTGCCCGATCCACCGGATTCCAAAAGTCGGCCAGGGCACCTCCCACCACCGCCAGAGGCGAGCAGCCCAGGAGCCCGATCAGAAACCGACACACCATGATCGTCTGGACATTCTTAGCCACCGCCACGGAGATCTGAAAGACCGCGAACATGGCATACCCCGTGAACAGGGGCAGTTTCCGCCCATACAGCTCCGACAAGGGCGACCAGATCAGAGGGCCCACGGCGAATCCGAAAACCACCAAGCTGGTCGCGAGGGTCATGACCTCAGTCGAGACGTGGAATTCCTCCGCAGTCACACGGGTGGCCGTTGAAAAGACACTGCTGGCGAAGGTAATCCACATGGTCATGGACGACATGGTCATGGTGATGAGCCATTTCCTCCAGGGCGGCATATTCTGGGGGTTTTCAGGGTCGTCCGCTCCATCCCATTCCACCAGGAAGGCATCTCTGGATTTCTCGGGCTGGACTGCTTCAGCGCCATCCAGATCGGCTGCCTCTTGTTCGAGATCTCTATCTAGCGATGGTCGATCTGATTTTTCGGTCTCTCGTCCCTCGACGCTGGAGAGGCATTCTGCGCGCGGAGTGGTACGGGAGGAAAGAGTGGGTAGATGATTCTGGAGCATGAGGTCGGATATATACCCAAATCCGAATGATAATATACAAAATGAAGATATGGACCCAATTCAACCCTACCTAATATACTACACACACATATATATATATCTCTCTACACACCGTACTCTGGATTTATAATTCCAATCCACCAAAGGGAAAGCCACCGAAAAAGGGGACTAAGAAGCCTACGTCCGAACATATCTCCATTATTGTATAACGTACCTCCGTCCGAACCTGACTAATTTCCTGGTGCAAAGGATGGAAATGATATCATCAAGAGAAGTTATAAGGAGCCGGTTAACCGACTGTCCACAGGCACCGCTTCTTCGGGAGATCACACAACCTGCAAATCCCGAGAATCCTGTCTCTCTCCGGAAAGCTCAGGGTGGTCTTATTTTCAGGAGAGAGAGAGAGTGGACCGAAATATTAGGGAGGTAGCATCGCTAAACCCAGTAAAGCCAATAAAAGCGCCACGTTGGTGCTGGAGAATCGATCACACGACTCGTACTTACCCATTCGCTTCTTAATGGCTACGGCGAAAGTGAAGGGGTATAAATAAAAGATGCATAAAAAAAATCCGCATGGGTACCAGCCCGGGATTCTGTCCCTACGTACCCTACTCCGTAGATGGGACTCCGTATTTTCAAGGCCACTGGAAAATCGCTGTAGAACGCCAATATAATGCTACATGTCATTCCGATATCGTGTCAAGAACTGTCATCAACATGGCCGTGGGTGTGCTCCCGGCTCGGGTGCAGAGCATCAATCGCCTTCTCCACTTCGTCTTGCGCCGTGCTTTCTAAACTCGCCCTCATAGGCCCTTCCAGCGTCTCCAATCCGGCCACTCGGTCGTAGAGCATGCGCGAGATCTTTCGGTTGATCTCCGTGAACTCGTCCTTGGACACCACGTTCGACCGATAATACGGTTTCAAAGACGCCCCCACCAGTTTCTGGATATCCGATTTGACACCAAGGGACAGCCCCGGACGATGCGGTGAACTTTCCGTCGACCGCGCCAGCCTGGACGAGTATGCTCGAGGGATTCGGCGGAGGCGCGGTGGATGCCGCGACGGGGAATCGTCCCGCGGTTCACTTTGGGATCCAGCCGGTGAGATGTCGGGTGAGAAGGCTGGGGAGGAGGACAGCAGATTCGGGGATGTGAGTTGGATCGGGGAGATGGGCCGGCCCCGAAGATGCGGCGGCGGTGTTGCGGAGGAAACGAGGGGAGAGGATTGGTTTGAAGCGACGGGCGAGAGGGAAGGAGAAGACGGTCCAGGGGTGTTGTTGTATTCCGTGTTGTGTTCAGTGAGCGCAGCAGACGCTTGGCCAGAAGGGCCGGCTTGCGGACTGGATGCATCCTCTACCTCCTTTAAAAGCGACTGGAGGAAACTTGGCTCGGCAGAGCTTTCGGCGTTGATCCGAGCAGAGACTTGCGCACTGGCCGTTCTGGAAGACTCGCCGTTTTGCCAAGCGGCGGCAGCCAAATCCTGCGCTCTGCGGGTTCGCGGTCGCTTCAGCTTGCGTTCCGGTTCAGTCGGCTCAGGGGAAGGGGAGAGTGTGGGCTCTTTTCGTTTTCTGGCTGCGCTGGGGTCATTCTCGATTTCCCGAGCACGTTCGAAGGCATTCCATGCCCGCATTTCCTCAAGCGATTCCGGTTCGGGAGTGGGCTCCCTTGGCACACGCGGACGCGATGGCCGAGGTTCTTCGATGTCCAGAAGAGCAGCGGTGTCTCGAAATCGCTGGCCACCGCCCTGTCTCTCGGCCACCTGAAACCGACGTTGCCAGGCACGGAATTCTCTCTGGTTGGCTTGCTCGCGTCGTTGTTGCTGTACCGCCCGCTCAACGGCGCGGTCATCATCGAACGGAAAGTCCAGGTCCAGGTTCAGATGGTCCCATACCGACTGCCAGACCCGCGCCCAGTGGAGGGAGTTCATTTGATTCCTACTCTGGACGCTGAGCTGCCGTGCTCTTGTCCGGTGACCGCCGCGGGCTCGGGGTCGAGAGGGTCTATCCGAAGACGGGCGGGTGTGACACCGCGAGCAGTACCAAGGGTCATCCGGCAAACTATCTAGCCCGAGACAGTACGTATGCGTGGGGACATCACAGTCCTCGCATAGCATCAGGAGCTCCTCATTATCGGCATTGCCACAGATTGCGCAAGGTTGATAGGTGAAATCATTATCATCCATTGCTATATATTCAATGACCATAGACGGATCAACATCTGCGATCTGGACTCGGTCTTCAACAGGATAAGACGAGAGCACGGGACCTAAATGATGGTCAAGACCACGACTGTTAGCCCAGGGGGGTTTCTCCAGGGGGAAAAAGGTGACGTACCTCCAAGTCGCTCCCGCAGTTCCACGACATTGAAGTTGCGGCGGCATATGGGGCAACTATTGGCCCGTTCGACCCAGGGTTTCAGGCAATTATTGTGCAAAACATGGCCGCAGGGGAGTAACTGGGCGATTTGACCACGATCCTCAATATCCGCCACGCCATCCGCCTTGATTCGAGAGTCAGTCGACTTGTCCTCCGATTTCAGGTCAGGTCTTGGCACGGGCTCGGCGGCGAGGGCAAGAGGATCGCTGGCGCTTTCGCCAAGGTCTCCTAAGCACACAATACAGGTGTCGGACATTAACAGAGGGGGGAGTGCCAGGGCTGTGTGCAGGGGAGATGAGAGGAGTCATGAAGAACAGCTGGCCCAGCGAACGAGGGAGTAGAGAGGGAAGAGAGATGAAGAGGAGAAGGAGAGAGAGAGAGAGAGAGAGAGTAGGTCGAGTGATGTGGGGAGAAAGCAGCCGGCCTTTTTGAAGGTGGACCTAAAAGTTCAGTCTAACGCAAAACAGTCTGGATTGGAACGTGACCAGTGCAACCAACGCAAGGCAAATCAGCATCAGCAACATGTCTACGGAGTATCCCCAGCGCTTACCTGGAAATATTGTGAGAGATTGGAGGTCAAGGGTTTTCTTTTATATTTCTCTTTTTTTCTTCACTTGGAGGCGGACAGAAATGGTGGTTCTGGACAAGTACACCAGCAGGAAACGTAGGGTAACCTCCCCCCTCTTCCCCTTTTGGCATTATAATCTACCTACCTAGGTACCGGAGTCTTTTACAATAGTAGTCGATAAGACACAAAGATGATCGGAAAATTACAGCTAGTGTAAAGTAAAAGACATTAGACAACAATGCTAGTGACAAAATTTCTCTGTTCCTAGCAAGGTATGCCAGTCCTCCGCAAGGTGGTACTCACATGTTCCAGCACATACGGAAGTAAAGAAAAAAAAAAAGTCAAAAAGTCGCAGTTTGCGAGGTGCGGATGCTATGAATCTGGAGATCTGAAAATTATCGTGGCATTTAGGTCTATTTTGTAGAAGAGGCGTTCGATGAGGCAGACGACGCTATCAACACCGAAGAGGGGTATCCGTAACGAGGATGCGCTCCTGACAACCCAGATCTTGTATTTGTCTCATTTTTTTAATTTAACGTGAACAAAATTGAAATTCCATCATCACATTTAAACCTCCGCAATTTCCCTGAGACGACGGATGGTGGAGCGGGTGGCAGCGGCGGCGGGGGTGCTGTGGAAAATTCCATGTTAGCAATCCTGCGGTAGGGCCTTTTCTTCTTATCCCCCCCCCCCCCCCCCCCCTGGTTTGCTGGTTGTCTCCTATCAGACTGGGAATGGTTGTCCACTTACGAAACAACGTAGGCACCACCGGCGACGGTCTTCTTGCAACCCTTGCACTCCCAGATACCAACAGCCTGGCGCTTGACGGTGTTCTTTCCGCAGAAGGTGCAGACGTAACGGGCGTGCTGGGAGACTTCCATCTTCTTCACCTGCTTACGCAGGGAGGCACCGTATCTATTATCAAACGATCGGGTCAATAAACCATCCAATTTGCTCGCAACTGATAGGCGCCGTGGCGTGGGATTCTCTCATTTCGTATCGAAAATATAGGTGACTTCCAACCGAGAATGGGGTCCTAGGAGGCGAGGATCGAAAAAGCATACCTGGTACCATATTTACCCGTGATACCGACCTCTAGAAATCACATTAGCTCTGTGCGATAATTCGAGTGTCTGCTCTAATGGCAGATAGATATGATCAGAGAAGACTCACTCTTTGTGCGCTTGGTCATCTTGTCTCGTGTGCGGCTGTTGAGGTCTAAGATGGATACAGTGCGGGAAGTCGAAATCGAGACTGAGGCTTTCAAGGGAAAGCCGGTTGTGGGTGGGCTCGCTTAGGGCTCGATTCTTCAGGTCACGTGTGATAATACACTCCCACATCGACACCACAACCGCTGATGTCGCCGGGAAGATTTCTAGTAATTACATTTTGATTTTGGATTTTAGATCTAAATTAGGTCAATGATCAAATCAAAAAAATATCCCCTTTTTTCTGATCCAATTGCTTAAAAAATGTGTATGTGTGCTCTCCTCTCAAAGTACATGGGGCATTCGGTGGATGATTATGTAACACCTGCCAAGGTAAGCAGGACTAGCAGCAGCCTGAGGCTAACAGGCTCTTACTCTATAGTTAACTAATTATAGTACGGAGTACGGAGTAGAGCTATCAGATCCAATCCCTCGTGTTCTTACACTCCTACACAGTATGTCTCTTCATCTAATATCTCTTCTGGGGTTTAACTCTAATGAACAAGTAATTTCTTCTAAAATTGCCAATGATATGTTCTGCCAACGAATTTTCAACTCATGTGGTTCACTTACCTTGTTCTGATTATGTCATCCAAAGTAATGCAATGATATTCACGCCCCCGAAGATAGATGAACGAACCGCGGCACAAGGGCAACATATCAAACCTGCCTACCCTAAGAGCTACGTACGATTTGTGATACCCAAAAGGCTTTAGGTGACCTATATAAGTCTGGTTCTCTTGAAATAAGCATAACATCACGTTACCATGGGGTCTAACAGGGAGTTTGATATCGTCCTTCTCGGTCCTACCGGATACAGCGGCAAATTATGCGTCCAGCACATCGTCCAGAATTTCCCTACGAATCTGAAATGGGCTCTTGCAGGACGTTCCTTGCAGAAGATCGAGGGGGTTGCGCAGGAGGCCAAGCAGCTCAATCCTGACCGCACCGAGCCAGGTATGCCAATCAAGTATTGACATTATTATAGTTAGTTATCCCTTGGTGCTGACGAACTCTTCTATAGCTTTGCTGGCTGTTCAGCTCACTCAAGCCGAATTAAATCCCCTGGCTCTTAGAACAAAACTCATTATCAACTGTGTCGGTCCATACCAGTTGTATTCTTCACCGGTGGTCGAGGCCTGCGCGAGGAATGGAACCCATTATGTCGATATGTACGTCTCCCCTAGCACGCTTTTGTGAACCTGCCGCTGACAACGCATGCAGAACTGGAGAAACGCCATGGATTAAACAGATGGTTGAAAAGTACCATGAAACTGCCAAGTCAAACGGTGCGATTGTGGGTAGACTCTCTTCTCCCGGATAGCACAACACCCTAACCATCGTGGATATCCAGATCATACCTTCCGTCGGCATGGAAAGCGCTCCAGCCGACATGTTGACCTGGGCTGTTGTGAAGGAGGTACGCGAAAAGTTCTCCTGCCACACCCGACATGTTGCTTGCGCAATTGATGAAATAAAGTAAGCCCGACATTTTTTTTTTTTTTTTTTTAATAAAAATTCGATCTACATATCTAACAACCCGCTGGTAGGTCATCCGGCGCCAGTGGCGGCACTCTTGCTACCATCTTGGCCGCATTCGAAAGCTTCTCCCTTAAGGATCTTTCCAGCTCCATGAAGCCATTCGCTCTCGCAGCCTCTCCACCACCGCCGCCAAAGGACCTCCCCTCGGAGCCAATCATGGATCGGGTTCTGGGAGTCCGCTCCGTCCGCGACATGGGGATTCTCGTCAACTCCCCCTCATCATTCGCAGACATTACCATCGTCCACCGAAGCAGTACATTGATGCCCGAGTTCTACGGCCCCAGGTTCTATTTCCGCCAGTTCCTCCGCGTCCGGAACACTTTCATTGGCATCGTCTTCCACTATGGCCTGATGATCGGCATGGCCCTCTTGGCTCTCGCTCCAGTCCGCTGGCTTCTTAAGAAACTCATCTTCGCGCCGGGCCAAGGGCCGCGCATGGAGGACTCTCGAAACGATCGGGTCCAGTACCGTGCGATTGCTACCCCCGACCAAACCCCGGAGACGGGTAAGCGCGTCCTGGGTGTCCTCAGGTACGAGGGGACAATGTACCGCATGACTGGTATGTTGGTGGCTGAGGCTGCCATGGTCATCCTAGAGCACGAAGACAAGGTCAGGAAAGTGTCTCGGGGCGGTCTCGTCACCACGGCTACCTTAGGACAGGAGTACCTATGTCGGCTGGAGAAGGCGGGGTGCCATGTTGAGACGCAGGTGCTGGAATTCTAACGACTGGATAACTGCGTCCTATGTATGAGATAGCTACATCTTGTTCTTTGTAATTGTTTTACGGCTCGACGTTAGTCCTTTGTTTCTTTAGTTATGAGTAGTTATAATAATGTACCCTAATCACAAACCACACATATGTACAAGATGATATTCAAAATATACTCGATGCCTTGAGCAGCCAAACCAAAGGAGGATTATTCGACGTAGAAAAGAAGATTACAATTTACCTAAGCGCGAATCATTAACAACCTCATCCACCCACCCAGACAAAATCTCATTAACCTCCTCTGGCTTCTCCCAAAGCGCCCAATGCGAGGTATTCACCTGCCTAGTCGTCAACAGGGGAAGAGACTTTTCCATGCCCTTTCCTAAATGCGGCGGGAGGGCCTCGTCACGAAGCGCCTGGATGAACAGAACAGGGACATTGATAAGGTCTGTTGGGAGACCGAGCTCATCCTCAAAGTTGATTTCTCTGGTTTTGTACCAATTCACTGCACGTTTTCCGGTTTTAGCCATACCAGGGATCAATCCAGAGAACAAGGAGTGAGATCGCACATACAAGGGCCCCGAAGACCATGTCTGGTGAATTCCCACGAGTAATATTCCATTTCCTAAATTCCGTCAGCCAACGTGCAGTGCAGTGCAACCCCCTCCCCCCCAAGCGATGATGAGATCTTTTAAAGAAAAAAAAAGGCAATTCACTCACTCACCTCCTCACTCAGCAGCCGAGACGCCTTCACTTGAGGCAACCTCTGCAAATCCACTCCCGAATTCACATCAAACGCGAACTCCTGCTTGTCCGTTCGTCCGCCGTACAGCGCATTCAGGAACTGCTTCTGCTCTTCCCTTGTACGGATCACTTTCTCCAAATCCCCGTTGATAAACTGCACCTGGTAAGCAAAATGCGAGGCCCCCTGCGCGACTATATCCTCCATCGAGAAGTATTTCCTCGCTGGGGCCTTGTACGGCACACAAACTGTGAACAGGTAGGCGACGAGATCCGGGTGCCACAGGGCGACTCGGTAGGCGAGAAATGCGCCCCTTGGCGAGTCTATTAGCGACATGCTTCTCTTTTTTTTTTTTTTTTTTTTTTTAATGAGGTCTTAGGCATGGGAGCTATAAAAGGTTACCGTACCAGTCGTGTCCGCCCAGGATGATCTTGGATACGCCCAGTTGCGAAGCGAGTTCCTTGATGTCGTCGGCGCAGTTTTTGTTGGAATACGCGGCGAGGTCGTCCGGTGCATCCTGGCCATATTAGTGGGGATGCACGAGGAGGGATTCATCTATTCATCTTACGGTTCTTCCGTATCCTAGACAGTCTGGCGCAATGACTCGGAACCCCTTGTTCACGAATAGAGGGATCTGGTATCGCCATCCCATTGACAGATCGGGAAATCCATGGAGCTGGTATTTGTGAGTTTTCTCAATGCTTAAGACAACAGTTGAGAAGACGTACTAGAAATACCGTGCCTCGGAGTTTCCCAGTTCGCGGTTCGCTGGACAAGTAGCCTAAATATACATCATATATCATATATCATCATGTACATCGTGAGCTGGAGGTTCTTAACAAACACCTCAGAATCCCTTCAAGTAAACTCCACTCGAAACGCAGAGCAGCATTACAGTATTGGATTGGAATAGACAACAAACAGAAACAAGCTCCTACCGTATGTTTTCCCGTTCACGAATGCAGAGCCATACTCAACTCGCGCATCCCCAGATACGCTGATTTTATGGACGGGCATGGCTGCGACCGCTTCACACGATTGATCTAGGCTGGAGGAGGAGACACGGGACAATTAAAATCTGGCTCCTTTTTAAGAAAGAAAAAAAAGATATCAATAAAAAAACCATGAGATTATTTCTCCAAAGAGGGGTTGAATTGTTTTATGTTTTTTTTTGTGAGACAAGAATTCCCCCATCCATCACGTGAAACCGGATGTGGATGAAAAAAGGGTAAAGGACCGAGTAACTAGAAGAACAGGGATTTTGATCTCAATTTGTCTTGGAAGATGTGGACTTTGACGTTGGTGGTGACATGGAAGGTGTTTCCCGACAAGATGCCTCGGCCCTCGTTATCCTCAACTGCAGCATAAACTACATGAGATAAAGTAAGAGGGGGATGAAGATAACGCAGAGACTTCTCAGGTGTTGCTCAGTAAATAACCGTGTCTTCATTGTCTTCAACCACCTCTCCGCCATCATCTTCCGCGCCCCGATGGACGTCTGCTTGGTCGTGATTCAGTGGTATATCGTTATGGATTGCTGGGGTACTCTCAGTCTTAACTATGCTAGGGTCCTTATCGTGGTTGGTTTCCGCTCTCGCTGGGTCGGTTTCTGGCTCGGTGCTCTGTGCATTCTGGGTATCTTTCGACGTCGAGGCTTGCTCTGCAGTCTCCTCCGGTAGCTTCTGTTTCTCGGTATCCAGGGCCTCTTCCTCTTGGGCTGCGCTCCGTGCTTCAAACTCTTCCAGCTCTCGAGCAACTGTAGCTTCTGCGTCGTGCACTTGGTCTCGGATAATTGATTCGTTCTGGGGCCGGAGTTGCCACGGCTTATAGTACTAAAGACATGTCAGACAAATGGGGTGATGAGCCTAGACAAGCCTTGCTGCTTACCAGAACCGGCTCTGTCCTTGTCTTGAGACAGTAAGCCATTGCCACCAGATTCGTATGTCGCGTTTGCATCTGTCAAATTACATGCAATCAGCCCCGACCGGTCTATTTCAGCGCCCAAAGCCATGGGAGAACCTACCACTTCCTTCTCGTACAGCTTCTGCTCCTTCTTCCTCGTTGCTATCCGCTCCTCCCTCCGCTTCTTCTTCAGCTCGCCATACTCCTCATCCTGTAACTTCAGTTTATCCTGCTGCTTCCTCTCGATATCCGCGCGTCGTCGCTGCGCCGCGGAATTGGAACTCTGCGAAAGCGTCCCCAGTAGCGATCCAAACAACCGTTGGCCGCGCTTGCGCTCCTCATCTCTGCGGTTTAGTCTCCGATCGGAATCTTTCCCTGCTGTACCAGGAGAAGACTGGCTCTGGCTCGGAGCAGACTCCGGGGGTTGGTTTTCAATCTGGCCACTGAGCCGTCGACGTTTGAGGTCTGTGTCCTGATCGGTGGTGGACGATTGTTTCCGCTTTAGACCTGCGTCGGGGGAAGGGCCTGGGCTTTCCACGTCGGGGAGGACAACTGCAGATGCTAGAGATCTGTAAGAGGGGGGATAGATTGTTAGCAGTTAATCCAAGCTAGTAGAGATGGGAAAGGAGATCACAGTACCCTTCTGCCATGATTGATTGATTGAGAGATGGGGGGAAGTATGAACTTGACTGTCCCTCGAACGCGATCGCACTCCGAACCGCAAAAGCCCAGCATCCCCGCGCACGGACCAATTACCCGATCTGTCCGTCCAGGCGTCAAGGTGTCAAGGTGTCCACGCTTCTTCTTCTTCTTCTTCTTCTTCTTTTTTCCTTCCCGCCCAACTTCAATAATCACTCGCTTTTTCCCAACACTTTCGATCACTTACTCCCTCCTTCCTCCCAGTTCAGCGCGCAGTCAGGTTCCAACACTCGGAATTTGTAATCTCTTTCGTTTCTCCACGTCCAGCCCCCCTCTCAACCACGTTCCTTTCTTTCCCACAATCCCCCCCCCCCCCCCGGCCGTCCACAACAGAAGCAACATGTCCCGCCACCACCCCGATCTCGTTATGTGCCGCAAGCAACCTGGCATCTCTATCGGCCGTCTGTGTGATAAGTGCGATGGAAAATGCCCCGTGTGTGACTCCTACGTGCGCCCCACGACCCTCGTTCGAATCTGTGACGAATGCTCCTTCGGTAATTATCAGAACAAGTGCATCGTCTGCGGGGGCGAAGGAATCAGCGATGCCTTTTACTGTTTTGAGTGCACGAGGTTAGAAAAGGACCGAGATGGCTGCCCGAAGATTATAAATTTGGGAAGCTCCAGGACGGATTTATTCTACCAGAAGAAAAGTTTTCGGAATCATTGATCCGTCCTTGGTCCTTCTTTCTGCTGGTTATGTGCGGGGGCGTCTATATTGAGATTTATAGCGAGATGGTCGCCACCCTATGCTACGTCGCTTCGAGCTAGAGATCTCTTTTTTTACTGCCGACTTGGGCCCGAGGGGCGAATATGACAAATCCAGACTTAACTAGTTACAGGAGAAGCGGAAAGGCGCAGACTCTCCCTGTCTCGGGCACTAGAGCTAAATCCCGGGTGCCCGCTATCTGGAGTCGGGCAACAGGGGCTAGAAAAAGAAATCTCTCTACCTTCCAGGTCGTCTAGGTCTTGCGAATCCTTGCCGGAGCCCGGCGTTCTGTGGTGGGTTCACTTCCTCGTGCAGTCTTTCGCCCGTGATCTCGTCGGGGGAAGAAGCTTCGATCTGCGTGGTTCGTTGTCAGCATATATTGAAATCCAACTGCGCGTGCTTGGGAATGTCACACGGACCTTCTTTGAAATCTTGAGACCCTGTTGCTCGGCCACCTGCAGCGCGTGGTTCCGGGAGCTGGCGTACAGCATGCGTTCCTTGATGGACGAATCCGAAGGGCACGTATAAATGAAGATCACTGCATCGGAGTCGGGATAATGATAAAAAGTGTATCTTGGCGAGGATGAGGAGATGTGTGTTTGGACGGATTCGGCAGCAACCGCAGACTCAGCGGCGGCGAGTTTCAACGTCTCAGTTGGGATATCAATGGCCTGTATTTACCAAACATGTTAGCATATCAGATAAAACCGCGGAAATAAATAACCCTCGATCACTCACCATTTGCACAAGTGCTCCCTGTTGCAACTGTTCCAAAGCTCCCTTCATATCCTCATCCACCTTCATCTCAATCCGCATCCTCGCTGCCCCGGCTGCCCCGCCTCTCACAAAGGTGCCCCCAATGCCAATATCCCTCCCCGGCGTACCGGTTCTCGCCAGCTCCTCGGCCTTCCTTACAGCCTCCAACTCCCTCTCCTTGTCACCCATTAGATCCTCGCGCCGGACCCCCCCCGTAGCCGTGCCATTTCTCTCGGCGTCTCTCTCCTGCCACGCACTCTGCCCGACAACCTCGTCCTCGTCCGTCGCGAAAATGGTCTCGGCGAACTTCTCACTGCCTAGTTCGCGGACGAGCGTTGCCCGCGTCGACGCGAAGAGGGTCTTTGCGCGCACCCCGGCGTTGGACGGGATATAAGTGAGGGCCATGAGCGCGGAGAGTCCGCCGCCACTGCCGCCACTGCCATGGGCAAGCGAGGGGGCACGACGCAGCAGAAGATAAATGGGTGTTTTGGGCTCGAGGACCGAAGACAATTGCGCCAGGGAGGAGTAGAATGCATTTCCCGTTGCCCCTAGGGAAAAGGGGATTGTCGGGAGCGGGGTGAGACTCTCGGATGTGATTGTTACGGGGAGGCAGAAGATGGACGAGTCCGCGGCGAAGGCATTAAATGCATCGTGGAGGTCTTGGGAGACTGTTTATTGTTAGTTTTTCTAGTATGTATGGCTTGGAAATCGTCCTGGAAAGCAACATACCCGAGATTCCGGACTGCATTTTGAATGTACTCTGTAGGCAATTCCGGCTGGCTGCAGATGGGCCACGTATGTCCAACCTCGTAGTGGAATATGATTTGGATTGATTTGTTCAGGAGAGAGAGAGAGAGAGAGAGAGAGAGAGGGGAAATGCAAAGCAGTAGAAGCAGAGCGGTGTGTTGGTACCTATTTAGCGGGGTTTCTTTTTCACTTCCGTGCCTCTCTCTCTCTCTCTCTCTCTCTCTCTCTCTCAATAAACAGTTCAAGCCTGAATTTGTGCTCTATCCGAATTATATACGGTATATCCCAGGCAAATGAAACGAAAGCCAAAAAAAAAAAAAAAAAAACCAAGGGCAAAGCTAAGCTATATACAATCCATCCCCTATGGATTTGACCGATCTGATGCTTTTCCGAAAAAACCAAACCCTCAAAACCAAAAGGACAATATACAAAAAATAAATAAGAAATAAAAAGAGACGGATAATGCAGTGAGAAAGAGATCTCTCGCACTGGAATCGAAACGCCACCATTCTCATACTCATGGTATCAAATGCTTTCCAGAATGTTACAGCGGCCCTGTTTTCAACTCACAGAGGGGGGTTATTGATTTTGATTTTTGATTTTTTTTTTTTACTCTTCGAAACTTCCTCCGACAAACGCCCAGTTGGATGCCTCGAGCTTACCCTTCAGGAACTCGTACACGGTGAAAGTGACGGCCTGGCCGGGGGCAACTCTCATCACACGCGGGGTGATACCCTTATAGAAGGCACGGGCACCCTCCTGCTTGAACATGTCCTTGGCGATAACCATGATACGTGCAACGGCCGACTGGCCAGGCTCTGCGCGGGTCTTCTGCAGACGGGTCTTGATGGTGTCGATGGGGGCGTTGGAGAAGGGACCGACGGCACCGGAGATCAACCCGATCAGGGTGGTCTGGTACGAAGGAAGCTGGGCGTTGGTGTATTCGGGCTGAGAGCGCTGCAGGTAAGCCTTGAGCTCAGTGTATGCGGTGAAGTTGGCGGCTTGGTTGGTTCCTTGTCGGAGCGCGGTGAGAGAAACACCGCGGTACAAGGTGCTGAACCCTTCCTCCCTGATCACGGTGAAGAGCGCGTGCGGGGCGCTGCGGTACTTGGGGGTATCCAGGGGATCGGCCAAACTGTGGTGTTGCGCTTGCAGACGAATCTTGACGACTTCCATTGGGTTGACCACCGCCACGGCTTCAGTCACACCAGCAGCCAGACCGGCTAAATCGATGACGCAGCGCGGTTAGCATTTTCTGGATAGCTTACGCCGGGGGCGGGGGGATCGCAAATCAGGATGAAGAACATACCCAGGAAAGTAGCCTTGCTCGTGACGGCTCCAGTCTCCTTGTCTGCAAGCATGCCCTTGTACGACTCATAGGAAGTAAACCGAATGGCCATCTTGGGGATGATACCGCCGAGAACCGCCCCGAGACCCTTGTACAAGCCGAGCGCGGTTTCCTTCTTCACGATTTCAACTCCGGTGGTAATAAACCCCCGAGGTTTTACCTGGACATCCCAAGGGTTGTTAGCGATTGCGTGGCTGTATGGACTCACTGACGATACTTACACCTGGAGCGGTGGCGCGCCGCGAAAGCTGCATGCGGACTTTGATTGTATCTAGCAAAGAATTGTAAGCGCATTGTCTAGGAGATTGCATCAACTGAAAAGGGGGGGTTTCCCATACCTAGAGGATGACAGACCAGAGCCTCCATCATACCAGCACCACCACCAGCTGCTCACTGATCAGTATTGTATGCACTTCTCTTTCCCTCCCCCGGGTTCGAAACAACAAGGTATACTCTACCGATCAAGTTTACAGCCGGAGAGGCTGGCTTCTTGCCATTGCCCCCTTTAGCAGACATTGCTCTTCTTTTTTTTTTTCTTCTTTTTTTTTTTGCCTAAATTATGGGGTTGCGTGTCTTCAAGATATCGTCGAAAGTCGGATTCAGCGGTTGGAGATGTTCAAAGTCTCGGATCAAGTCCAACAAAAGAAGAGAGCGAAAGCAGTGAAAATTAAATACATCCAGGACCAATTTCCTGTCCCTTAATTCCCCAGAAGTCACGAGGCCGATAAGTGACGATATCGGATATTCACAAAGTCTGGTGTGCGAACCAGTACGGAGAGATACGGAAGTCTAACTACCCTCGGCTCAGCAGCGGGCTCTGTATTAGCGGGATACATACACAGTCTGTCTGTACTCTGTACTCTGTAGTCTCTGGGGTGAACTGCCCCTAACAGGGACGAAACTGAGTCGTGTTCTCTCCTGAGACGGGGAAGCGGAGAGAGCTCTGCCTGGACGAGCGGAAGACAACCGGAACAGCCGAAAAAAAAAAAAAAAAAAAATTCTGCTAGTTAGTTAACTATGTAGTTAATAGACTGGTTTACTAACAAGCCTTTCCTCTAGTTATAAAAGCATTCTTTCTAGGTTCTGGGGAATGGCGCGGAATATACCAATGGTACCGTACTCAAGCGGTTGACTTGGACTTTTCATGTGAAATCTGGTTGAGTATACATAATAATCCAAGCCGAGGTCTGCTGTTGATCTACAAATCCAAGTACGATATACATATAGAGGAAATCATCCTGATGGGGGGGAATTTTCCCCCATTCTATAAGTACTCCCAGATTGAGGAATAGATAACTATAACCTTGTAGTAGACTTGATGATAGGCAGATTGTTTTCCCTATCGGTTCCTTCCATCGGAGTCATGCCCGATCTTCATTCACCGGTGGTCTTTCTTTACTCCGTACAGAGCATGAAGTTTGAACCCGTTACTAGATAGATAGATATACTTTTTTTATCCCTGTCTCCGATCGATTAATTTTCACATATGAGCATGAGCAACAGTCACAGTAATGAGCACAGACACCCCCAACAACCCCTTCCGACGAAAATGCTCTACCGTCGCTAAATTCATCCTCCACCAATGGCTTATCATCGGGGTTGGCGTTGTCTGTGTCCTGGCATACTTCTTCCCCAATGTCGCCAAACACGGCGGCATCATTAGATCAGAGTATAGCATCCTCTACGGTGCCGTGGCCATGGTGTTCCTCATCTCGGGCCTGAGCATCCCGCAGGAAAAGCTCGTCCGCCAGCTCTTCAACTGGCGGCTTCATGTCCTGGTCCAGGCCACGTCGTTTCTGTTTATCCCCGCGCTGGTGCTGGCCGTGGTGCATGCCATCGTGGCCGCTGATCTCCACGCGAAGATCGACCGTGCGGTGCTGGCTGGGTACGTGTTTACCGCGTGCATCCCCACTACCATTGCGTCGAATGTCGTGATGACCCGCTCGGCGGGCGGAGACGATGCGGCCGCCTTGGCTGAAGTCTTGATTGCGAATTTGCTGGGTCCCTTTATTACCGCCGGCTGGACCGTGACCCTGTTACCGCGCACGCCCGAGTTCGATCTCTGGAGGGACCAGGATGGTGATCTCACGGGGATGTATCGCAATGTCTTTAAGCAACTGGGGCTTGCCGTGCTGTTGCCATTGGCCGTGGGGCAGTTGGTTCGGTGGATGTGGCCGAAGAAGACGGCGCATATTATTCTCAAGTACAAGATTGCGAAGGTTGGCACTGTGTGCTTGCTTCTGATGATCTGGTGAGTATTTCCCTCTTCCCCCATCTCCCAAACGGCCACCAAGAATCGGAATGTTGTCTCTGACGGTTCTGTCAGGACGACCTTTTCATCCTGTTTTGCAACAGACGCTCTCCAGAATCTCTCAGCCGAGAGCATTGTCTTTGTTGTTTTGTTCAATATCGCGCTTTATGTGTTCCTGACAGCGGTCTGCTTCTCCCTCGCCCGACCACCCCGATTTCTTGCCGCCTGGACTGTCGGAAAGTGGCACGTCTTCAAACAAGTGGTCCCTGAGGAAACCATCGCAGTGTGTTTCTGTGGCCCCGCGAAAAGCACCGCATTAGGCATTCCATTACTGTATGCTATGTGGACGCCCCTCGACCTGTTTGTGAAATCCAAAACCTCAATTCCTGTACTGCTCTACACCACCGAGCAGCTCTGCGTAGCCCATGTTTTCGTTCATGTTTTTCAACGGTGGAAAAGAAAATTCGATAAGAAGGACTGTGAGAACCAGGGCTCCGAACCTGCACAGCCCGAGATGACAGGCCATCTAACGTCTTCTTTGCCAGAGACGGAGCCCGGTGCAAACGATCGCGGGTCAAGTAATGGTCCTTGAAATCGGGGAAATTTGCGGAAGACATAAAAAGTTTTTGTTGGGGGATCTTCCCCAAGCCCGAGATGATATATATATATATATATATAGATCTAACGTTTTTGTCGCCCAAAAAGTAATGTAACCGTTCACAGAAAGAATGTGGAATAGAATTTACAGGTGGGAAAAGATATATCACAACCATGAGGGAAAAAAAAAAAAAAAAAAAAAAAAAAAAAAGCCCGTGGAACTGTTATGGCAGGATGAAAAGTAATAGAGTATGGAATAGACACGGAAGATAAAAGACGTAAAGTAATCTCCATCAGATATAGCTCACCTTCACACCCATCCCAACTGTCCCCTTGACTTTATCCCATCCAGACCCTGTGATTCTCCGGATGCGTTCCCGAATGTTAGGTCGGTTGAGGGCGAAAATAATCCCCAGGATGAACAACAATGATCGGATGAACCACAGTGGATTGTTGGAAATAGATTTCCCTAGATACCGCACTAAGTTGCGAAGCACCGTTGCGAGTGCTTGCGATTGTCTGGCTCGAGTCTCGGGCTTCTCGGGCTTCTTGAGATTCTTCGAGCCGGGCGGGGAGAAGGCTGGTCGTGAGGATGAGTTTCCAGCTTTGCTGCCAGCACTCTTCTCCAAACTTTTCTTCCCCCGGACACTACCACCATTTGCATTGGTTTTCTCGACGCCATAGTCCACCTCGCTGCCACCGCGTTTCGGGCTCTTCTGTTGAGCTGCTCGCTCCGCGGCGGCGGCTTCCTCCGCTCTTTGACGTTCGGCTTCGCGTACTTGCTTATCCAACTCCGCATCTTTCTCTCGTTGCAGTGCCGCTGCGCGTAGTTTGCCCTGCTCTTTCTCTTCTTGGAGCCCGTCCAGCGTCTGTAAGAAGATCTCCTTCCGCTCCTCATCTAGAAATTCGCTGAGGTTGATGAACTCGCGCGCATAATCCCACTCTTCGTTCCGTGGGAGAACATGAAGGGTGAACAATTCGATTAGCCGCACTCGTGCATTTAACTCCTTCGGTGTATCGGTTCCATTGTGAGGTCGAGCCCGAGGCCTTTGAGAGCTGGTGGGGGAATTCTGCAGATGTTCTTCGATATCTAGGTGCGGCTGGCCATATGAAGAGAGGTAGGTTTCAAGTCGTTGCTGGTTGACGGCTTGCGAAGGCGAGTGGTTGAGTAGTAGAGTTCCTCTGTTGGAAAAGCAGTTAGTTAGTGGTCAGTTGGATCAACCCAAAAGGGATCATCAAACCCACAAATTATAGACGACCTCTGCGTCTACCAAGCCCTCTCGTCCTTGGTAGCCAATCTGGACGACCATCTCCCATATTCCACCGTCGCGAACTTGCGTCGAGATGGCCTTCCATTCTTTCTGTCCAATTGTCGCCTTGCCATCTTCTGGGCCTAGGTCGATGATAGAGCTGAGAAGTGTAATGTATAAATTCCACACCTTGATGCGCCAGGTGGTGGAGACTGTAGCAATTGGTGGCAGCGACTCATCACCAATGACTTCTTGGTCGTCATTCCCGCGGGTCACAGTAATTACAGGCTCGAGGGCCACGAGAGCTTCTTGTAAGCGACGAGTCAAGAAGAGGTTGGAGGCTTTTTTGTAGGTTTTGGAGCACAACTTCGAGGGGGACAGTAAGGGTGTGGACGCCGACAGATAGGATCCATCGTCGGCCATTGTTCACCGCCAGCGGAGGTTGGGCCAAGTTGGAGACACTGAAGATGGAGAATCGATCAAGGGGGGTAATCTAGAGCTGCGGGAAACCCGGAATAATGGCAAAATCGGGAGAGAGCAAGCACGCGATCAATGTAATCGAGCTCTAGAATGGATGGATGGATGGAAAGCTGTGGTGTGGTACATATTGGGGAACGGGCTGGGAATCATTCGTTTTCCCTCGGTTGGTCTGGGGTTGGATGGGATGTCACGGGACTCCAGATTTCTTCGCCTCGCTTCTTGTTGACAGCTCTCTAGATTTCGTCTCGCCTTGTTCAATGTTTTAAAATGGATTGATTCGAGAATTTATTCTGGACTTCCCTTGGAAGACAGTGTGGAATCGGATGAATCCGCACGGTTGGCCGTCATCTTACCTGGGCTTTTTTTCTGTATGCTCGCTTTAAATACTGCGTATGCCAGATTATAGTATGTAAAATTATTGGGCAGAACCTTTCACCCGTTCAATTTCTTTCATTCCTTCATCCAATGTTGCAGACTCTCTCCTCAGTTCCAAAGACACGTATTTTGTTAGCATAGATGCTCCAGAATGGTGAGCCGGATCGTGGAATTAGTTCGCCGTTGTTGGCCTTTCTTACTTCCTCAGATGAAAGGGCCGGTTGCTCTCCAACACGCGCCCGAGAATTATCTACTTCGTCAAGGGCTTCGCTTAGTTCATGTAGTTTGAACTTTCTACGGGAGCTTCCCCTTTTGGCGCGAGGAGATGCCTTCGAGGTACGTAACTCTGGGCTTGCATTCACCGTGGACTGCTCGCCACGTAACTGTGCGGAAAGCTTTATGAATACTTGAGCCGTAAGCAAGCTATCATAGCCTGCCTCGTGGTCAATCTTTTGGGTGTGGTACTTTGCGAACTGTGGATGTATGCCTGAGTAGTTGTCAGCCCCTTGGTGAAAATAATTCGGGCGAAAACTTGACTCACTGATTGCAGGTATGGGAGTCTGTAGCAGGCTGTCGTTTATTTCCTGCAATGAAGATCTTGGGTTGATCGAGCCGCAGTTATGGGTGGCCATGTATTTTGTGTCAACGAGCAGCGGAAAAAGGTCATGCACCAGAGATTGGAAATCCTCAAGACGGTCCGGTAGGGGTCCAAAAAAGGTGCGGCAAAAGTATATTAGATCTGTAAAAAGGTTGTGGCCCACGAGCAGGAGCTGATGGGATTTGAGACGCTCCTTAAGTCTGTCTGAGAAATCCTTAAGCGCATAACTTCGCTGTCCAGCTTGAGCATTATTTGTGCTTAGGATAGAGAAAGAATGCGGATCAAGGTTAGAGAGATCACCACCAACTAATGCCTCTGCTACCCATCTGAAGCCGGTCTGCCTCCGGGCATGTTCTTCAACCCACTTTACCCTCTGGTCTCGAATTGCTTTCTCCCGCTCTTCATTGTAGTCGATAATTTGGACGAATGTGGGCTTCCCAATACTCACCAGAGAGGGGTATTCCGCTTCGATCAGTTGGTGGACAAGCCTTTTCTGGAACCTATTCAATACCGACGGCAGGGATCTGAGTTTCTGGGCTTGAATAAGGCGAGTGGGTGGCGGTATATTGAGATAATGCTCACGTTTCTAGTGTTATTATTAGACGAGTAGAATCTGCGCGAGCTGGTAACCAACATCACCAAGAGCAAGCCAGGCATCGACTAGCTGTCGAACGATCTTGAGAAATTCGATTGACTCGTATTCGGTTTCTTTAACATCCAGAGACCTACGCAATGCGGAACGGTTGTGACGTTCGATCACCTTGGAAATGGCCCGCGCTTCTTCTTCTCTAGATAGATAGGGGACACCATCTCTGTGCAAAGCGTCCATGCTGAACTTGTTCTCTAGCAGAAATTCAACAGCTGCGACAGCACAATTAGCGTCTGATGAGGACGGAAGTCACAAGCATCGACTTACCTCCGCTCTGGAAAGACCACGTCCGCTCTACCTCGAGCTTACGGTCAATGATTGGGTTCAAATATAGATTGTACGGTTTGAGTGTATACGTTGCTATATGTGGCCGCCATTATTACGGAATCATTTGATGTGGGGGAACCAAAATCAAGCAGAAGTAAAAGAGGGAGTAAAGCTTACCATTCAAAGTATCTTCATGACAAGTAGTCATACCAACCTGTAAGATCTGGTATTTATCCGCGCATTCTTTCACTTCTTGATACCTTTGCTGTAGACTCTGTGGTCCTCGTCCGGCGACGGTGGTTGCAATCCCAGAGAACTCAAAGTCCAGAGAAACAAAGGTGCATGATGACAGATCATCCAGGATCTTTGGAAGGTGGTATGGAAATGTGTGTCCTGTAACGTCCATGGCCTCGACATTTATTTCTGGTTTCAAATCTTTAGTACCCAGATACTCTGGTGGGAAGGTTAGGTCCCCGCGAAAAGTGGCAAGTGATGAGAACTTTGGGACGAGAAAACGTTTACTTCCCCTCCTATAATTGCCAGTGTTCAGGCCAGTATTCTGCTAGTCGAACATGGTACTAGGTATGAACCTTTGGATGCGACTTTTTCATTCTTTGAAGCACTGCATTACTGCCCAGCTTCGAGTCCAATACCGCACGCTCTAATTGGATGTCTCCAAGGGTCGAACCACTGCGAAGAGCAGGCTGCCGACAAGAAAAATGTCTACCCCTTTCAGGAAGCACAGACACACACACTGAGAGAGAGAGAGACGAGAGAAGCAGGTCTCTTCAATCAAAATAGAAACACACAGCTTTTCCAGCAAAATTAAGCACACGGTTATCTAAAATCGGTGCCTGATCACCAGGGCCCTTCACTACGACTTGGGATGCTCGACTTGGGTAGCGGGGTAGACTCGATAGAGCCTTTCCAACAAGTACCAGGAGCTTCTATTATTCTACACATTCTGCAATGGCTTCGTACAATGCTTGCTCCTCAACTTAGTCAAGATAAGATATACGATCTTAATTGCAAGACAGCTCAAGAAACCTTGTCTCATGTGGGATGTGCGCAGCGTCTATCTAACAGTACACCTTGGACTAAAGAAGGTACCGCTAGCGAAAATTGCCGCAAGACACTCTCTCTGAGCACCGGAAAATGATCGACTGGTCGTGGGTGAAGCTTAACGCAGTGACGATAAGGAAATGGTGCTGTGGGAAGAGAAAGAAGGAACAAGAAGCTCGAGGCGAAAACGAACTGAAGAAAATGCGTTGGGTCATGTGACCGCTAACCTCTCTAGGACTAGCGTGTGTTTGGTAGTCTCGCAGCAGAACAAAACAGGTGACCGCCAACTTTTCTTGCATGGAAATATCGGAGTGACGCTTGTTCAACCACTACGCCCAACAGCGCATTCGGGGATATGTCTTCGGGATCCAATGGCGCCAGGCGCATAGCCTCAGTATTGAGTATGGCATTGTGAATACTATTATGACCGAAGTTTACTGAGCACTGACAATTCTGCAGGGCCTTCAATCACCGACTCCAGAGTGTGCCGAAGCTGTCAAGAGACACTTGTCCGTCGCAATTATGCCTCGGCCGCCACACAATCTCCCTCTGAATCTCCCTCCACAGCTACATCTACGTTCCCTGTCGTGAAACCCACCTACACCATTAACGCGGGTGTGCTCCTCTCCCGCCCCCCTCAGATCACACGCGACCTCACCGAATTCGAGAAAGCGTACTACTTTTATCAGAAACGACTGAACGAGCGATTGGCACTTCCCTTCACTAAATATTTTTACTTCAAGAGGGGAACACCTGTCGATGAGGACTGGAAGCGTAAGATTCGTGAACGCCAGACCCCCGCCCGTGACATTGGCAAATACAATGCCTACTCGAAGGAGGCATGGAACGATGAACTCCTAGTCGGAGCGGTTGAGGCGGAGCCGAACCACATGGTTGAAATGCTTGTCCAAGATGCAGAGGCTACTGCAAATGCCACCTCCCAGGATACTAGCAAGAAGGAAGAGATTCCCCGACCGTTTTCCCGGGAGACGGAGGCTGATAAGAAGGGCGACTTCAAGAGTCTCAACAGGGCCCTGCAAAGGACACTCTACCTGCTCGTTCAGTCTAAGGATGGCTATTGGAAACTGCCTAGCTCTCCTGTGGCTGAGGGAGAAACCCTCCGTTTGGTATGTATTTGCTTCTATTTCTTCGCCCCCTTGGATCCTTGCTAATATGCTACCCGGCATAGGCTGCTGAGCGTACCCTTGCACAATCTGCAGGAGCGAACATGAATACCTTTATGGTGGGATTCCATCCCGTGGGTCATCACGTGTACAACTTCGTCAAGCCCAAGACCAACGAGACAACTGGAACGCAGCTCGCGGGCGAGAAAACTTTCTTTATCAAGGGACGCATTATGGCCGGACAGGCGGATCTCTCTGGAAATGTGCAGAATCTTCAAGATTTCAAGTGGGTGGCCAAGGACGAAATCGCCAAATTCGTCCGGCCACAATACTATAGCAACATCAAGAACATGCTGGCCGAACGGTAAAACCCAACCTAGCGGGGGGGGGGGGATACATCTGGAGCTCGTAAGATCGGGTTGGTTTCCTAAGGTTGTGAGAAGGGAGTATGTACGGATAGAGCTTGCGAACTGTATTCCAATGGGGCTGAGATTTGCATATATTATAGTTTATTATGTCATGTATAACTAGCTTTTGAAATTTTTCTTTATCCACAATTTGAGCCTTGATATTCCAGATATATTTGGATCTGTAAACTATACGCCTGAACGCCGTGCCATACTAATACCCAACACCGATCTATCAGAAAAACTAGCTGAGGAAAAATCCAAGACATTCATTTCAAGTTAAACTTCTGTCCCTGCACCACAGGCTGGTCCTTCGATGACTTGCCGGTCAAGCTCTTTCCACACATGGGACACGCTATTGAAGTTAGCATACGGCACCACATAACCTCAACTTTCTTAACAAGCACAGAACCACCGAGAAAGAAGATACCCTTACCATTCTTCTGATAAGCACAGCGTTGACAGAACTTACGGCCCTGCTCGGTCTTCGTCTTGCACATCTCACACGACGACGAGTACGCCGCATATGGATTCTTAGCTTTGGCGCTGAGAAGTTTATTCTTCATGGCTGTTAGTTCCCTGGGATACATACTGGAGATAGGACAAAAGCAAAATGGTAAACCCACCTTCGAGATACCGGCATTGCCTAACGTCGGCTTGCTTTTACTCGCCACCCCTGCTCCTGCTCCTGCTCCTCCGCCACCGAGCGAAGACGATGGTGAGCCATAGTACATCTCACTTTTGCGTTTGACTCCCGGAGTGGCTAACTCGGTTTGTTTGAGTTTCTTTTGGCATCTTGCGCAGACCATTGTTACCTCTATCGTATGGGAAAGGTCTGTCTTTTATCCTCTTTCCCCCCCGAGGCTCTTTTGGCGTGTTGGTAAAGCTGAAGATGAGTCTTGGTGGATGATGGGTGAAGATAGAGGAGAGACTGCGCCACACCCGCTGTGGTAAGTGATCTTGCACTTTTGGCCACTGTGGGGTTCTGTAGCTGGTTTTTTGAATCTCACCAGCCACACTTTCATTTTGTTTCGTGCGACTTTAAAACTTCTTTACGGAGTAGTTACTAAAGAATCAACCAACTAACTAACTAACTGCTGTTAGAGCAGTTAGTTAGTTAGTTGGTTGGTTTTAAGAGACTTGCAACTCATTTGAAATCGATTGAGCCTTTGTGAGAACCGGTTCTCATTCTTCTACTTGAAGCAGCACAAAACGATCCCAGTGTACCCCTGACTATGCATATTTTTCGATAACGTTTAGCGTGGCATCTAGGGATTCAGAATTTACGGCTGTTTCTGTTAGACATAGGATACGATCTTTAATGAAGTGATGGCTGGAATACTGGGTTTACCTTGTCACTAAATTGGTTGGTACCCGATTGGACACTGAATGATATTGCCCACCACCCAAAGGTCTCAAGACATGCAAGCAAAATAGCATTTCCCGATCCGATGTCATCCTGGCATAATGAGGCATAATATTTCGAAGAGCCGTGTCTCTCTTGATGGTCCTATCAAGTATGACGATGAAAAGAGTACAAGCGATATCGAGATGACTAGAACAGCCAGGGTGATCCAATGGAGCACAGAAATAACACAACGGATCTTTTTAAGATCCGGATTATGCTAGATAGCCTCACTCACATTAAGTAAATAATGACAGAGTACCTAGGATATGATATGATGGCCCTCAATGGCAGACTTCCAGGGAGAAAAGAATCTGGAATGCGAGGCTGACGGGGCTGAGTTCTGGCCTGGTGGCCTTAACTCTTTTCCAAGCGCAACTCTCGAGTTGGTTCGGTGCTCCCCCTTTCATCCTCTCATCCTTCTCCAGTTTCTTAGGAAGATGGTAGATTGCTACCTGGATCGGAAGAGTTGGTCTTCATTGTTTCTCGGAGCTCAATTTCTCGTCTCTTTATTGGCGAAAGGCACCTGAGCTTCGATGAAGATCCCATACAACAGGAAGCCATCGGTGGGTAATGACAGGCACCACGAAAATGAACCAGTAGTATTAGCACTAAGATGAGTATCAATACTACCCGAAGATAAAAAGCAAGAAATCGAAAACGTGAAGTTAACAATTGGGTGTTCAGCGCACTTCCACTCCATAAACAAGGCCCCGTCTCGATTATTCAGTCAGTCTCCCGAAGACCGCTTATCAACGAGGATAACTTATTGATTAAAGGGTCCACAATTCCTGACTTGCTTGAATCAGAAGATGACTCCTTGCCGGTCGTATTCACATTGACGCTGCTGCCACTTCCTGTATTGGTGCTTCCACTATTCACGCCGCTATTGTTACTGGCACTCCCTCCGTCGGGGGCCGTGGCACTGTTGCTAGTGCTGCTGACTTGTGCAGGATCATCTGAACTGTCTCTGCCGAGGGCCATTGAGCTCGCAGTGCTTGAACTAAAAGCTGAAGCACTTGAGGAGCCTCCGGAGGCAGAGCTGCTAGACTGGGACTTGTCACTGCCAGACCCTTTATTTCCAGAGCCACCTTTGCTGGAGTTGTCACTGTTAGACCCTTTACCTCCAGAGCCACTGCTTCCAGAATTGCTGTCATCGGAGTTGTTTTTTCCAGGATCATTGCTTCCAGAGCTCCCGCTGCCGGACCCCTTAGTATCTGAGCCACTGCTTCCAGAATTGCTGTCACCAGAGTTGTTTTTTCCAGAATCGTTGCTTCCAGACCCCTTAGTACCAGAGCCACCTTTGCTGGAGTTGTCACTGCCAGACCCTTTAACTCCGGAGCCACTGCTTCCAGAATTGCTGTCAGCGTCCTTTTTTCCAGGATCGTTGCTTCCAGAGCTCCCGCTGCCAGACCCCTTAGTGCCGGGTCCATTGCTGCTGTTATTATTTCCTGAACCACTGCTTCCCAAATTGCCGCTGCCAGAGCTGTGACTGCCCGAGTCATTGCCTTTAGAGTCGTTACTGTCGGAACCAGTGTTTGCGATGTCTCCGCCGCTCCAATTATTTCCAGACCCGCCGCTTCCAGAACCATTGCTGCCAGAGTTACTGGCTCCAGACTTTCCACCTGCAGAGTCGGTACTCCCTGAGCCTTTTCCTCCATTGCCTCCAGGACTCACCGCTGAGGTAGCAGTTCCAAGTCCACTACTGGTAGGATTAGAGCTTGCAACGATCGGGGTCGTCCCTGAACTGGTAGCCGTGCCAATGGCCACAGAGACTGTGCTCTTAACGTTATTATTCTCAGCACCCTGCCCAGTGAAACCATGTCCGGTTGTAGCTTGCTCGTCCGCGCAACTTTCGCAGTCCTCAGTCCAAGTCTTGGAGGTATCGCGCCCATCTAGTCCGTGACTGATGCTGCTCAAGGAGCCCGTTTCATACTCGATTAAATCATTTCTCTGCGTCAGGTTTAGGTCAACACAGCACCATAATCCATGCTAGAATAGGGCTCTTACCGTTTGGAGCGGTCTAGCTCCCACAATATTAGATAGAGAGAGGACATCGACGAGGAAAACGAGAGCCAGCAAGACGGCTCGAGAATTGGAACGGACCATCATATACCGTCTATTTACAGCTTTATGTTCAAGGTATGCCTGATGCTTGAGTATTCGGATATACTATCCGACCTTTGACAAGAACACTTATGCATTCACATAGCTTAGGACTATCAACGCAAATATTTTATATCCCTTGAGTAAGGAGTGGACCCTATCTCTAGGAGGCTCCGGAATGAGCAGGCATCATACATTGCAGTGAATATCTTAAGACGAAAACAACAATACTGGGGATTTGGTTACATCTGTTTCGCCCACCCATATACCGTGGAGTACCGACATCCAGAGTATCGGTATCATCACCCGGCAGAATTTATTTAGCAAGCGGGACCCAAAGAAGCTAATCGGTTATTTGATCAGGTCCAGATCTAAGGTTTGGACCCTGAAGCTTGATCTCTGCAGGATTACGATTGGAGCTTGAGCCGCAGGAACTCCCCTGTATCCAGGGGGCACGGCGGGTCTACTGTCTACGTTACATGATCTCCCAAGAGGACCTCAGGGTTTAGTACTAATCGGGGACCTCTTTCTTAGTATTTGACTTTTTGTATGGATTCATATACTCTGTGAATAATTGAGAATTCGGTCCTCTGCGTTCCAGCTCTCCTAATGGTCGACTTGTCTCATACATTTTTTTTTTTTGTACAGACAAAAGCCGGGGGATGGCTTGCACCCACTGGGGGCAGCAAAGAATGGATCTGAGAAAATTGTGGAATTTCAATCTGAGACACCTATCCCGATCTGTGGCTTGCTAAACGCCGGCAAAGAAGAATAAGTCTCGATCCGGAATGTCGATGCTCTCATGAAGAAGCGGACGCCATTCCTTGTATCACCTCGACTTTGGTTGTCACACCCACCATTGCATTCGAAGACGGAATATTGTCTTTCAGCATGTTTTACTCTGATCCAGGGAATGAGGCCCAAAACCCTAGTGCTACTCCGTACCCTAGGTTTATGCCTTGGTTCATGCTTGGCCACTGGTATCAGTGACCGTGACAACACGTTCCGTCCATTCAAAAAGAAACCGCATATCCATTCTTAGAGACCAAGCCAAAGCTGAAGAATTTTATATGGCTAGGGTATTATTTAGTTAGGCATGTCATGTCATTACTAAAGTTGACCATGAGTGAGGTACATAAGGTTCTAGGGCCTCGCATTTTGAGTATTGTATCAGGAGTTCACGCACGGCAGTTTACGGCCTACAGAGAACACGGCTTAATTAATATTAATACCCCATCTTATGTTGACAATGGCGTACCCCTGTGCGCTCTCTGCCATCGAAAATTTCGACGACCATAATAACCCGGGATTCGTTTTCCTTCCAACCGATATTAGTTTCTTCCGGATGTTCGAGGAGCGGGATGGTCTGCGCAGAAAAGAACATTATAGGCGAAGTACCGAATAAAGCTCTCGTAACGGGTGGCTCCTGAAAACTTTCTATTCGACGCCGCGTGTACAGCGCTGAGGCGCAGGACTGATTAGAGTAGTTATGATAGCACCCTACATATAATCTGACCCTCATATTCCGCCTTATATGTCTATCTTACGGCTCACAGTTCTAACCGGTCACCTCACCCCTTTTTTGAGGCCTGAAAAGAAGTAGGTAGAATATAGAAGGTATAAAGTGTGCTCCCACGAGGTTGTTCTATCGGGTGTACCAGGATGGAAGTTGCAGCAGGTATGGATCCTATACTGTATACTAGTAACTTATCACATGTGAGATCTGTCATGTCATGTTGTCTAAATAATTCGGATTTCGGATTACTACCTAGGTACGGTTCAGGCAATGTCTCAACCGAGTACATCGACAGTACTATAGTGTAGGGTGAATGTGAAGATCGATTCCCCATACAATGGACAGCATCACATATGTTTCAGTTGTGTGGTGGTAAGAATAGCATATGTTGCTTTGGGGGCCAGTAAGAAGAGAAGACATGTCCTGAACATCTAGGTATCTCCTTTATAAGAGTTTGCCTCGGTGGATGATGGCGCAGCTGGCACAGCGTACTCTGAAGAAATACTAATCAGTTCTCAGCTGAGATATCCTTGATGCCTTTTCAGCTGTCCTAGCCTCACAAATCGCCACATCTTGCAGGTTCAATAATGCAAGCCGAATGAACCCGACCCGCCGCCACTTCTGAGCCACCACAACACTAACAAAAGGAAAAGAAGAAGAAGAATATCATAGAATGGAAAGGGGAAAGAGAAGCAGTGAGACAATCAAAGAACCCATAGTTAGGACCTCCTGTCCCAGCAGTGTGGTTCTCTCCTTGCCCAGGTTTAGGGGGCAACCTCTTCTTCTTCTTCTTCTTCTTCTTCTTCTTCTTCTTCTTTTCTGCTTCTGCCTCCTTTCACTTCTCCTTCCCTCCCCCCCTGAATGATATAAATAAATCCAGCCATGTCGGAGATAGTCCAGGTACTTCTCCTCTTCCCTTTTGAGATTTTGCTCAGATCGTCGTGAGCTCGAGCTTCATTCCTGGACTTTCTTTTGTTTTGGTCCTCTCCGTTGGCCTGGCTCTCCATCCTCCTACTCGTTACCTATACTACCTAGGTAGACAGCTCTGTTTCCCAACCCGTTCTTTGCAGTCGTTTTGCAAAGGAAGCTTACAATTTATTTTTATCCCCCCCCCCCCCCCCCCCCTAACTTGAGGTCGATTTCATAACTTACTAATTTCGCATCGTGCCTTGGTAGAAACGGCACCCACTTGCTGGACAGAGTGGCCGGTGTAAGGGCTCCCTTACTTCTGTTGGCTGCACGCGATAGACCACCCTCGTTCACAACCAGCTTCCCCAGCTAGCTGCCCTTGATTCTCTTCTCTCCTCTTTCACTTCCTCCGCACCGGTGATCCATCCCCCACGACTGGAGGATAAATTTGGCTTTGGCATTGGCTCGCGGCATTTTCTGGGGCTACACATCACGAACCTTAAAAAAACAAGGCCCGGTGAATGACTACTGCTCCTGCGCGGTTAGCTTCAAACAAAAATCATCAAGATGCCTCCCAATGGCTCGTCGTTTACGGCATTGAATCTGCCTGCAAATTTCATGCTTCCGCAATGCATGGAGTACTTTACCCTGACCGCTGGTCCGAACACGGATCTCTGGCGGAAGCCCCCAAACGGAGACACCTCGACGGCCCCAATTGTGTTTACTTCGTTGCGGAGTCCGTTTGTCGTGGCGGAAGTGACCGTGACGGCGGACCTGGAGATGGAATGGGATCAAGGCGGGCTGGTCATTTTTGCCGGGGCCGCTCCGCAGTCGATCTCTTCGAATAACGTGCCGTTGGTAACGACGACGACGACGACGACGACGACGCGGTTTGGACGCCCGCAAGACACGCAGCCCTGTAAATGGGTCAAGGCCGGCATGGAGTTTTGCTCGGGGGCAGTCAACGTCTCGTCCGTGAGCGCCACCGCCGACGGAGCGGACTGGTGCCTTTCGCCGCTGAATGTCCCGGATCGAGGACCATCGGCGATCCATTCGCTCCGCCTCAAACTCGAGCGCGTGGGCCATTCGCTGTGGGTTTGGTATCAGATCCCCACGGGGTCTCCTTACGCGATGGAACCGGGGGCGGTGGGCAGCACCTGGAAGAAGATGCGCGAGGTGACCTGGTTCTTTTACGGGGTGGAAGACAAATTCATCCATGTGGGTGTGTATGCGAGTCGGCCGACGAGTATATCCCGCAGCGACACGGTCTGGGATATGATGCATCGGACGACGCTGAGCGGGTCGGGCCCCGGCGGTTCCGGGGATAGTTTGGTGGTGGAATTTGAGGATCTGGAAATCCTCTGATGGGTCTGGAATCCCGGGATGGGCTTGGTTATGATTGAAATGCTTAATGAGCTGCTGCCTTTTTTTTTTTTTTTTTTTTTTTTTCTCCCTCCATCTAATGATTTCACTATGAGCGTCCTTGGGGATGGAGGGTTTAGAACCCGGAATGGAATAATTCTCGGCGTGGTCTACACTTAACGAGATTTCTAAGAAACACTCGGATAACTACTGTGTACCATACTCCGTAAGGCGTAAGCTAGCTAGCTGCATTACATCCCTCCCTCCCAAACCGCTGCGGCTGTGTCTCCAGGTGTTCATGGATGTGTTATCACCCAGCAGGCTTGCAAGGTTATCCTCCTGTGCGTCGGGGATCAACCATACTAACTGAATCTGGGCAGTTTCTGCCCGAAAAGAGTACACAGGACTCCGTCCCTACGCCGGAGGTGGTTAGTTATGCATGGATAGTTGGATAGTCATGGATGGCCTCATGATCTCAGTACTAGTAAACCCGGACAAGATCCGAGCAATCATGACGTGATTATTGATCTTATTGCCCAACTTTATTACAGTATCGTCGATACTCTTCTTCTGAGGATTTTATTATTCCCGAGAATATCCAGTGAGTACTCCGTATGGAGTGTTGGTACTTTAGGGTAGTTTCCATGGCTCCACCAAAAAAATAAACAGAATGGATAACACGGCAAGCAATATTAATAACGAGGATATTAAATATAGTTAGTACTCCGTAGTCCGTACTCCGTAGTCCGTTCTGAAGTACTCCGTATGTATGTCTAGATTGTGCAGCTGCAAAACACCCTTGGCCTTTAGGTATACATAGAATATAGGATATGATATGATATAATAATACCTAGGTGACAACCTCCTAATGGACAGACCATTGATTTGATTAGTGGGTCTAGTACTCTGTGTATGTACTCCTGCTTCCTTACCTACAGCGTACCGATAGATACAGATCGAGCTGCTTCTACGGAGTGCATATATCTACAGAGTCCTACCTAGACAATCACTTCTACCAAGGTTACAGGGAAAGTTTTCTCAGACTTCCGAGGGCTCGGAAATGAAGCTAAACAGCACTAAAACATCGCATGATTGGTGCCCTCCACAACGCCAACTCACCGCATTTTCATCGGCAGGTTTGATAGACTGGGATAGAGATAGAGATAGAGATAGAGATAGAGATAGCGATAGCGATGAGTGCTCTCCTGTTGGGACGGAATTGATCATGATTTCCCTTATGTTAAAGAGGCAATTAATCAATATCCCTGTGGTGATGGCTCTCTTACTAGTAGTCCGGAATAGTTACTAGGGAGCTAGTTCGTTATACTAAAAGGAGTCAGTAACTAATAATGATCAGCCTATACGACGAAGTGGAGTCTCTTTTTTCTTTTTTCTTTTTTTTTTGTTTTCTCCTCCTTCTCCTTCTTCTTCTTCTCTTCCCCCTCGCCTCACTACGATCCCTCCTCTCACAACGTTCTTGCTTGGATTTTTCCCTCTAGCTCATCTTTCACCTGTCAATTACCCCTCCATCCCGCTATCCTTCATCTCTACACCTCTCTTAATAAATCCCGGTTCCTCGCTCCAAGTTGAGCTTGAGAGCTTCCCCCTCCTCCAATCCCCTTCATCTCTTGTACATTACTCCTCGCCCTCTCCCTCCCTCGTTCCCCTCCTTCCCCCTCAATCTCATCGATAAATACCCCTGTGCGGCTTTGAATTATTGCTTAGATTGCTGCGGTTGTTTCTTGTTTTGATCTTGCTATTTCTGTACTGCTCCCTCAATTCCTCTGATATCCTGTTTACCTATACTTGACGACTGTTACGAACTATTACGATCATAATGGCCGAGACGGTGGCCATTCCCATCCAAACCGAGCAGCTTAAGACTGGTATGCCGTCCAAAAAAAAAAAAAACATTCTTTTGAAAGTCGATTGCTCACAGAAGAAACCACAGTCACCAGTGAACTGGATGTGACAGGTAGCGTTCTTGCTGTCCAACCCTCTGAAGACTCCACTGCTTCTACGGAGAAACCGATGGTTCAAGAAGCAGAGTCCACCCTCGAAAATGGTGTGAGCGAAAAGGCCGAGCTTGCAAAGGAAAACGGGATAAAAACCGTGGAAAAGCATGAAGAGTCTACCCCATTGCAGAATGGTACACATTTCGTGGAGGAACCTGCCCCTGTGGCTCCCGTCGAGCAAGTGAATGGTGTCAAGCATGCTGAGCAGAGCTCCCCAGGGGAGGAGACCCAGACCTCCGTGGAAGAAGCCCAGGTTCCCTCGCAATCGGTAACGGAACCCGCAGACTCCGACGTGAACCCTGAAAAGCCCATCGCCCCCTCCGCTGACGCTCTCATTGCCGCGGTCGAGAAGAGTGACGAAAAATCCGAAGCCACAACCGAGCCGGAGGTCGTTCTAAACACGGATTCCGCGGCCAAGGTTGATGAAAAGGTGACTGAGGAGGAGGCTAAAAAGGTTGCAGATGCACCGGCTGTCGCCTCTAATGAGCCCGTTACCCAGGAGTCGACTGGGGAATCCTCGACGGAACCAGCCTCAACCGAAACTCCCGCGGAAGCACCAGTTGCAGAGACCTCGACTGCTGAGGAGGGCTTGAAGGAGCAAAGCGCACCCGAAGTTGCCGAAGAATTGAAAGAGTCTATTGAAACAGTTGCAGAGAATGCTGTGGAACAGCCTGCTAAGGAGGAATCAATGACTGCCACCCCACCCGTTGAACCTGTGGCCGAAGAACCTACCAAGGAGACCGTGGTGGAAGAAGCTGCGAAAGAGCTCGCTGTTGAGGTGCCCGCCTCGGAACCTGCAGTTGAAACAAAGGAGGAGTTGCCAGAAGAACCCGCCAAAGAGACTGCTGAAGAGCCGAAGCCCGCAGCGGCTGCGGGTGAGACATCCGTAGGAGAACCCGCCAAGGAGACACCGGAAGAACAAAAGGAAGAGGGTGTTGAAGAACAGGCAAAGGAGTCTGCGACTGAAGAGCCAATCCCTGTAACTCCCGCTGCCGTCGATGAGCCCGCTCCTGAGGCTGTGAAGGAGGAGGCCACAAAAGCTGATGAATCCGTCCCTGAACCCGCGACTGAAGAGCCCGAAAAGGAAACCGAGGCAGTGACCAAACCGGAAGCCTTGGTGGAAGAAGTGGTGGAAGAAAAGCCATCTACTGAGACATCTGCCGCTTCCGAAGAACCAACCAATGAAGAGCCAGTAAAGGAAGCTGTGGCAGAGACTGCGACCGAGGAAGTGACTATTGAACAACCTTCCACGGAAGAGACTCCTAAGGAGGTTTCGGAAACAGAGGCTGCGCCTGAGCCAGCAACTCAGACTGCTGCACCGGAGGAGGAAGTTAAGGAAACCGTTGCCTCCGAGATTGCTTCAACTGAACCGGAGAAGGAAATTCCCGCAGAGGAGCCTTCCACTAACAGTGCAACAGTCGCCGCGGAAGTTGCCACGGCAGAGGAGACTCCGGCTGCGGAAGAATCGGTCAAGGAAGTCCCGGCCACCGAGGACTCCAAGGTCGAGGAGTCAGCTGCAGTTGAGGTTGCGCCGGAAGAGCCTTCCAAGGAAACCACCTCGGAAGCTGCTCCTCAGGAGACTCCGGCGGTGGTAGAGGAGCTGGTCAAGGAAGTTGCAACTGAAAAACCTATTGCAGAGACCCCTGCCGCTGAAACCGTTGAATCTAAAGAAGAACACAACGAGGAAGCTGCGGCTGAAGAACCCACAGTTGAAGAAGTGCCTGTTAGTGTTGAATCTGTGGAAGAGCCGACTAAGGAGGTGCCTGTTGCTACGGAAGAACCTGCAGAGCCTGTAGCTGAAGCTGCCGCCGAAGCCCCAGTTCAGGAAACTACTCCCGAAGCTCTAGCCGCAGAAACTCCCGCAGTGGAGGAAACGACAGCGATTGCAACCCCCGAAGAGTCTGCTAAGGTCAAGACTCAAGATGAGCCGGCAACTGAGGTTGAAGCTGCTGAACCCGAAAAGACCGAAGTCCACGCAGAAGAACCTGCCCAGCTGACTGCAAAAGAGGAGGAAGCTGCTTCCAAAGCTCCCGCTAAGGAGACTGCCGTTGAGGCCCCTGTGGAGGCCACTCTAGAGAAGGAACCAGTGGTTGAACAACCTAAGGTTGAGGAAGAGACTACTGAAGCGGTTCAGAAACCTGCAGCTGCGGATGTTGTTGCAGAAGAGGCTCCCCTCGCTACTGAGACCGCCGAGGAAGTTTCTCAGATGGATTCTGTTCCAGAGCAGGCCGTTGCCGAGGAACCTTCTGCTAATACTGATGCCCCCGAAGAGCCAGCGGTCAAGGAGACTCCTGTTGAAGAACCTGCTGTTGAGGAACCGGCGAAGGAGGAGGAACACGCCAAGGACTCTGCTCCTGAAGAGTCTGTTCCAGAAATTGCGGCTGCTGAGGAACCAGCTGTAACGGCGCCTATTGCTGAAGAACCAGCCGCTGCAGAGCCGGAAGCCGCGGCTTCAGCTGTTGAGAAAGCTGAGGGGCCAGAGGTAGTTGAGGAGCCAGCTGGCGAGGAGCCTGTCGTCGAAGCCGCTGCTGAACCTGTGGCTGAGGCTGCCACCGAGCCTGTCGCTGAGCCTGTCGCCGAACCCGTCGTTGAGGCTGTTGCTGAACCCGTTGCCGAGCCTGCTGCTGAGACAGTCGCCGAGGTTTCTACCACTACTGAGGAACCCGCCCCAGTAGAGGCTATTGTAGAGAAGCCTATTGCTGAGCCTATTGCTGAGCCTGCCGTTGAACCTATTGCTGGGCCTATTGCTGAGCCAGCTGTTGAGACTGTTGCTGAGACAGTCGCGGAGCCTGTTTCGGAACCCGTCGTTGAGCCTGTCGTCGAACCAGCTGTTGAGACTGTTGCTGAGCCTATTGCTGAGCCTATTGCTGAGCCTATTGCTGAGCCTATTGCTGAGCCTATTGCTGAGCCTATTGCTGAGCCTATTGCTGAGCCTGTCACTGAGCCTGTCACCGAGGTTGCTACTACTCAGGAACTCGCCCCAGTAGAGGCTGCTGTAGAGGAGCCTGCTGCTGAGCCTGTCGCTGAGCCTGTCGCTGAGCCTGTCGCTGAGCCTGTCGCTGAGCCTGTCGCTGAGCCTGTCGCTGAGCCTGTCGCTGAGCCTGTCGCTGAGCCTGTCGCTGAGCCTGTCGCTGAGCCTGTCGCTGAGCCTGTCGCTGAGCCTGTCGCTGAGCCTGTCGCTGAGCCTGTCGCCGAACCCGTCGTTGAGGCTGTTGCTGAACCCGTTGCCGAGCCTGCTGCTGAGCCTGCTGCTGAGCCTGCTGCTGAGCCTATTGCTGAGCCTATTGCTGAGCCTATTGCTGAGCCTATTGCTGAGCCTATTGCTGAGCCTATTGCTGAGCCTATTGCCGAGCCTATTGCCGAGCCTATTGCTGAGCCTATTGCTGAGCCTATTGCCGAGCCTATTGCCGAGCCTGCTGCCGAGCCTGCCGTTGAACCTATTGCTGGGCCTATTGCTGAGCCAGCTGTTGAGACTGTTGCTGAGACAGTCGCGGAGCCTGTTTCGGAACCCGTCGTTGAGCCTGTCGTCGAACCAGCTGTTGAGACTGTTGCTGAGCCTATTGCTGAGCCTGTCACTGAGCCTGTCACCGAGGTTGCTACTACTCAGGAACTCGCCCCAGTAGAGGCTGCTGTAGAGGAGCCTGCTGCTGAGCCTATTGCTGAGCCTGCTGCCGAGACTGCCGTTGAACCTGCTGCTGAGCCTGTCGCTGAGGTTGCTGCTGAGCCCGTTGCTGAGACTGCCGTTGAGCCTGTCGCTGAACCTGCTGCTGAGCCTGTCGCTGAGGTTGCTGCTGAGCCCGTTGCTGAGACTGCCGTTGAGCCTGTCGCTGAACCTGCTGCTGAGCCTGTCGCTGAGGTTGCTGCTGAGCCTGTCGCCGAACCCGTTGTTGAGCCTGTCGCCGAACCCGTTATTGAGACTGTTGCGGAGCCTGTTGTGGAACCCGTCGTTGAGCCTGTCGCCGAACCCGTTGTTGAGCCTGTCGCTGAGGTTGTTACCACTACCGAGGAGCCCGCCCCAGTAGAGTCTACTGTAGAGGAGCCTGTTACTCAGACTATTACCGAGCCTGTCACACGGTCTGTCATTGAACCTGATGTTGAGATTGTCGCTGAGCCTGTCACCGAAGTTGCTACTACTCAGGAGCCCGCTCCAGTAGAGGCTGCTGTCGCCGAGCCTGTGGCTGAGACTGTCAAGGAAGAAACCGTTCCGGAATCCGTGGAAAGTGAAAAGCCCGCTACCAAGGAAGAAGAACCAGCTTCTACAAAAGACGAGCCTACCAAAATCACTGAGGAAGTGATCAGAGAATCAGTGATCGAAGAACCAGCAACTACTCCTGAAGTCGTTCTCGAGGAAACTCCCACGCCAAAGGAGGCAGTCGAGGAGAAGCCAGCACTGGAAGAATCTGTGGCCGCCGAGGCTCAACCCGAAACCTCAGAGCAGGCCACTGCGGAAGAAGTTACACAGGAGGCTGCTGGCCCAGAGCCTGTTGTTGAAGAAACTCGCGCAGAAGAGAAAGAGCCAGAGACTCAGGCATCTGAGACTGCTGAGGTAGAGAAGGCAGTTGAGCTAAATGCTCCTGAGAATGTTGAAGCTGCCAGTGAGCTAGAACCTACTGACACTCAGGAGAGCGCCGCTTTGCCAGCACCCAAAGAAGCCACCCCTGTCGAAGAAACCCTAGCACCGGAGGAAGAAGAGGCTAAGAACAGCCTCTTGACGTCTGGACTCATCGCCGGAGGAGCTGCCATTGCTGCGGGCGCTGTTGCCGTTGGAGCCGCCATCGCTGCCCATGAGTGTGAAGCAAAGGAAGGCAAGAGCCAGCCTGTAACTGACAAGAACACCCTCTCTGTTCCCTCTGAACATCAACCTACGGTCACCGAAGAGCCATCGGCTACATTGAAGGAACCGCCCACCCCAGAGCCCGAGGCTGATCCTGCTCTCGCAGCGCTTGCTGGGGATCGCGAGGCTCTGCTCAGAAAGCTGGAACTGCCATCGACAGAGCAACTGTCTGCTTCCGCAGACAATGCTTCTGAAAACTCCAAGAGCCAAGACACCGAGGGGCCGGCTGCTTCAACTGAGACCGCTTCGTCCACCGAAGGCACTTCCGTCACAGCAGCGACGAACAAAGGCGACGAGGACTCTCGCTCCCCCAGTAAAAACCGGTCAGTCACTGCTGTTTCTCTTAATCACAAGAACGACAGCTGGTTGAGGAATATTCTGCGTGCCGTCTTTGTCACTTTCATTGGTTCTCTTTTCTCGCCTTTCCGCCGTGGAAAGACAAACTAGGAAAATGTTTTTGACTAGGACTGGGGAAGATTTGGTCCCATAATATCAATATTATTTGCTTGCTGTTTATGTTATGCGTGTTCTTTTTCTTTCTTTTCTTCATTTTTTTTTTTGCTTTGCCTTGGCTAATGTGATTCAGGACCCTGTTCTTGATGATCGTTGTTTCTGCCCCGTTCCTAGCCTTTCTTTGGCAGGTATATACCCCAGGACATGTTTGATCCAGTGCCGCTCGTTTTATTCGACCTGATTCCCCTGTATTTGATATCTGTGGATGGACGATTCGGGTCCTGCTTGATTACTTTTTCTCTCCTCTCTCTCTCTCTTCCAAATTGTCAAGTGCGTACGTTGAATTGTGGCTTGTAGGCTACAATCTGTATATGTCCGCCAGTTGTAATGATGATATGATAGCTGATGATAATGAAGACAATTTATTTCCATTCTTTCTGCATCTGAGCATAGGATAATTCGTATCTCACCATGTAAGTTTCCCCAACTCTATTCAAAGCTTAAGACCAATACTAAAGAGTGATGTCAATATTAAGCAGGACTCTGTAAAGAGGGAACAGTCCAAGTAAAATCCAGAGGTTTTATTCTATGCCTTCCTTCACTTTTGCTGTTCCCTTTGTAGAAAATGCGCGCATTGGCCAGAAACAGAGGAATAAGATAGACCTTTTCGCTAAAACATTCACTCTTCCCTAGAAACACAAGCTAAGTGTGAAAGAAGCTCGAATAGAAAATTTCCGAAGGCATTCCCCTTCAACCTATCACTTCTCTGGATTGATCCTCACACTCAGGTTTGATATCAGTTGCTCCTCGCCATGTCCCACGTCGAGGGGAACGCGTGGGCTCAAATGAAGGCCAAAGAAGCACACCGACAACTTGATCCAGGAAAAGGCAAGTCTCTCTCTCATCAAGTGTTTCGAGGTGTATGGTATTACTTGAACTAATCTCAAGCAGATACTTCTAAACAGACCACCCCCCGCAAGTTCTCAGGACTAGACTACGACGCTGAACTAGCCCTCCCCATGCCTAAACCGCGTCACGTTCGTCCATCAAACGAGAGGTCACCTTCTGCATCAAAGCCAAAGGTCTTAACCAAGCCTAATGTCACGAAGAAGCGATCTACCACCGAACCAACGAGATCGTCTGAAAGCAGCACAGCTGCGAGTGAGTCTACAAACGCCCAGAAGAAGAAATCAAAGGTTGCAGCCCTCAGATCGAAATTTAGTCTCAAAGACATTGGCAAGGAGTTCCGGAGAGACATTCCGCCTCTCAGCAGCATGCCTAAACTGGGTGGTGTGGGACAGAGTCACAAAGGCAAGCGGTCTTCTGATCTTGACAACCAATCTGAATCCCAGCACCCTCATAACTTTAATGAGGAGCGGCTGTATATTCCGAAGTCAAGAGAGGAAGGGGATGCCCCTCCGCACTCTGCTCCGCTGTTTCAGACCTTTTCCACTCTTTGTCGCTCGGTGGGCTTAGACAAGGCGTCTCGCACTAGCGGCGTGTCTTCTTCCTCTTTGCATACCCCGACGAAGCTGAGCAGTGATGGGAACGCAGAGGGGAAGTTCAAGCATGCATCTGTTCATAATACGGACTTGGGTCCCAGTGCAACCAACCAGCATCTGGAGACGCTTTTGCTGGATGGCTCGTCTCCTCCCGCTCGTGCAGGCGAGTGCAGCAATGCCGGAATCCCCGAGGTCATCCAGGTTCAGTCAAGAGTCTGCAGCCTGGAAGCGCAAAATGAGTCTGATGTGCCCGAGACACCAAAGACTCCACCGCCCCTTCCTCTGCCGCCTATTGATCAAGCAGCCTACTCGCCGTCTATCTACGATACTCCACAGAAGGTGAGCGGGAAGACATCGGAATCCTCGCCGCAGGGGAAAAATGACGGGAACCAGATGAGGCAGATGCCGCTCATCGTGTCTTCGACTAATCCTACGGGAGGATCGAAAGAGAACAAGGCAGGAGAGAGTCGTTTCCCGCCGCAATATGGAATTGCTCCGTCTGTTCCCACCAAATCGAGGGCTCGACAGGAACATATCCAGGATGATGGCCAAAACCACAACCCCTTCAACGAAAATAATTTCTTTGCTGGAGTGACCGGCTATGGAGGGTATGCGCCTCCCCCTTCACATCCCGGGTATCAGAACACAGTGACGTTGGAGCAGCAGCTCACAACTCATGTGGACTCGATTCATTACCATGTCGACACGGTTGTCAATAAGCTCTCGAGAACGTTTGAGGATAGCAATAACTGGACGATGGATCAAATCTTGAGGCAGGTGGATGCCGTGTCTGATATCGCCCGACTGATCAATTCTCGGACCGTTGTGCAGGCAGAACATGTGAAGGGACTGCAACGGCTCATGATGGATGTCCGCATGCAGCTCAACCTCTTCCAGCAGGAAGCACGCCAGTCGGAAGATCGACTGAAGGGCTTCGTTCAGCAAGAGATGGCCAAGCTGAGAGGGGAGCTGGGGGAGTTCCTGCAGTCCTCTTCTGGGGGTTCTTCTAGGGGTTCTTCTAGGGCTTTGGCTAGAGAGAACCAAGGATACCACGAGATCCCAAAGACAGCCCGAGAAGGCAATAAAAAGATTCAAAACAAGAGACAGCCACGCCAAATCAAAAGGGATGACTTTGTGGTGAATAAAAGCACAGAAAGCCACCAACAAGCAGCAGCGGTGGGCGGCCCCAGTCAAGAACCAAGCTCTACTAGATCAAATGTTTTGTCCACCAGGAACCAAGTCATTGAGGAGCAAGGTTCTAGTGAGAATATCCCAACACCGACTGCAGCCTACCGCACTCCTTCAACAGACAATCAAAACGACATCATTACCCCCGTCCCCCATCAAGCCATGCACAACCCCCCCGGCGAAGAGTCCTTGGGAAGCCCCGAATCCAAAGCCGCTAAGTTGCGGGCCCAGGAGATCGCTACGCAGGAGAAGGAGAAGAAAAGACAGAGCCTGGAGCACACATGGCCCCTAAACCGTGAGTCTGAGAACAAACCCAGCAGTGCGTTTAGCGAAGATTTGAAAACCCCCCAGAAGAAAGGCAGCATGTTTAGTTTCCGCCGTCGACGTGATGGTGACAATCATTCGGGAAGTAGATTTCTTCGCACTCCGCGCCGCAATAAAGACGGCAAGGCCGGCGGCGAACAAGGCCAAAGTCCTGGTCTCGCAGTACCGGTCTATTCGAAAGCGCTCGCTACGACCTCTGACTCTGCCCCCGCTCCTGATACGGCCAGTCAAGCCGGTGCAGATCCCCAGCTCAGCAAACCACAAAACAACAGCCCGAGCATGATCCATCCTGCGCTGCGAAACACGCAGCAGAAACAGATCATGCTGGACCGCGAGCAAGCAAGACGGTATCCCCAGTCCCGCCACGGAACCGGACACACCCTGCGCGTCTCGCAGTCCCTCCAAACCTTTGGGCCAACTTTGAAACTCCCTTCTTCTTCTTCCCCTCCGCCGTTCATGCCCTACGACGCATGCCGATACCCAAGTCACCGGTCTGGGTCACCAGCTTCGTCGACATATCGGAACGCGATGCATCACCACCAGCCCGGGACCATGGGTTACCCGCACCACTTGCATCCAACTCCCCATTCGCAAGCAAACCCTCCTCCACCTCTAGCTCCAGCCATACCAGGTCCAGGCCCAGCCCAGAGCCAAGGAAACCTGATCCTGCCTCTTCCTCTTCCTCCTCCAAGCAGTGGCCTCCCCATACTCCCACGTCAAGGCCCTGCACCCGTGCCATTTGCCGTCCCCGTCCCGGGCCCAACCAGATCACCACCGGGCGCCTCACACACGCATATGCCTCCACCTCCACCCGCATGCACTCCATTCGCAAGAGGCGACTGTTATTACGGCTCATACGTGTACGAAAACGGCACCATTGTCGCGAGCAGACATGCGCATCCAGCTGCGAATGGAAATGCAAACACAGCCGCAGATCCAGAGACGCCCGACTGACTCCATTAACGCCACTCAGGAAGCTGTCAACTAACTGGTGGAACCGCGGTTCCAATCATGCTGTCGAAGAAAAAGCAGCCAAGACCCCCCCCCTGTTGGATCGATCTCCTTGGGTTTGTTTTTGGTTGCTTGTGTGGTAGGTACCGAGTTATGTTGTGTTGGTTGTGTTGTGTGGATGGTATTTGCATTGCATTTATTTAGCTATCCTTCCTTATTCTATACACCCAGTGCCCAGCAGGTGGGGTTTGGCACGCTTGGTTTGGTAGGATGGAAGTGAAGGGATTGCTTTGACTGGATGTTGTTGGTGGTCTGTGTGGTTGGTATCTATGCGGATTTCCCTTTTTTTTTTTTTTTTTTTTTCCTTTCTACCTTCTTTTCTTTTCTACCCTATATCCAAAAGAAAAGAAAGCCAAGGCAGAAGAAGGAACGAAGATAGATATCTTATGTGAGAGTAAAATAAGCACTACAATATCTTTCGCCAAGGGCAACAAGAATGAAAACATCAATCAGATAGATATATTGAAAATTTAAATCCTACCTAGATATCCTAGAGGATTGGATTATACATGGATTCATAAGATAGTTATAGGATGGATAGATACTAAGCCTTGGCAACCATCTTCTCAATATCCATCGCCGCATTCCTCACCTGCGGACAATAATGTAACCGTAACAACTCCCCCTCCCAGACTGTTCCGGCAAAGACATTGGTCGCGTCAATGTCGGTCGCGTAGGGATTAAAGACGCCGTCGCCCTTGCGCTCCTCGCTATGCCACAGCGACGAAATCCGACGACTGTGGTGCTTCGTGACCTGGTTGAGGAGCGAAAGCGTCGCGAGCGCGGACTTCTCCGGGACTTGGAGGGAAGTCGTCATCAGGCGTTTGGTGAAGCTACCGACGCGGACGGGGGGGGGCATGCCGTTGGCACGGGAGATAAGAGACGCGTTCAAGCAGCGGAGGAGGAGGACCATGGGAGTTTGGAAGTTGACTTTGGTGCGCCTGCGCTGGACCGCCTTGTCGTCGTCGTCGGCGGCGGCGGCGGAGTTGGGGTCGGGGAGGCGCAAGGCTTTGTCCGGATTGTATTCGACGTCCGGGCTTGTGGAGAGAGCGTACAGCGAGCGGTACAGGTGTTTGATGAAGAAGCTGAGGTCTAGGTGTAGGGTTGTGGCGGCTTTGCTCGCATCTTGGCCGTCCAGGAGGGCGAACGCGGTCACGGTGCAGAGCAGGGATTCGCGGAGCGAGTCTCGCGCTGCGGCGGCGGCGTCGAGAGTGTTCATGGATTGTGTGCTGTCATCCGCTTCGGCGTCCTCAGTCTCATTGCTCGCTTCGTCTTGTTCGTTTTGCTCGGCGTGGCCAATCAGGTCCTTGAGGGCTTCGAGTAGGTCTCCGAAGAAGTCCTGGTTAATCATGCGCGCGTATTTGGCGAGACCCTCGAGGACGGGACCCATGAGGTGAGGGACTCGGAGTTTCAGAATGCGAAAGTATGTGCCGAACACAAGCTTCAGTGTCTCCGCTTGGTTTTTGTCTCTTTCTTCGTGCGAGACCAGGGCGTCGGCTTCTTTCATGTCCTTCTCCACAGCCTTGCGCTCCTTCTCGAGTTTCCGGTTGCGCTTGGTGCGGAATTCCTTCTTGTTTTTCATCTTCTTGGCGCCTATGGGCTCTTCCTCGGTTTGGCGGTCCACCCGGTCTCTGGAGCCCTTGGAGGAGAATTCCGAGAGTAGTCGTAGGCGCAGGAAGGTGTCCAGGACACTTCCGTGCACTCGGAAATCCCTTGCCTTCATCATCTTGGACAGAAGACGGACAGCCTCGAGGGAGACAATCCCATCATTGTCTCGATAAAAGACTTCCTGCAGGGTATCCCGACACTTCGCAAAGTCATCGTCAACCCGCTTCCTTGCCAGTTGATTGACGATGATTCGCAGCAATTCCGCGCGGAAGTTGAAATGAGGCACGGCCAGAAGAAGACTGCAGGCACAGTTGATCGCAATGCTCTTCAATCCAGCAGCCGCGTCGCCCGCATCGCTCTTCGAGGATTTCGTCAAACTCAGGAGAGTCTGGATATAGTGCTTGTAGCCCGAGAGGAGCGACTGTTCGAAGTTGCGGAGCTTGCGCACGTCTTTCGAGATCTTTGCGGACATGTCTTCTTCACTAAGCGGACGGATTCTATATCCCGGGATGATATCCTTGTAGACAGCAGCCTGGGCGGCCAGGGCCAATTTCCTCACCGCAACGTGTGAGCCCTTTTCCACCATCTCCGCCATGGTCTTGAACGCCGAAATATGCTCTTCGGGATCTTCATTGATCAATGTGGCCACTTTCGCAAGGTCCTCTTTCGCTTGAAGAATCTGCAATTTCACCGGAATCTTAGGGGTCTCTTCTTCGTCGTCGTCGTCGTCGTCTTCATCTCCCTCGCTGTCTTCCTCCTCGTCGCCGTCCTCGTCATCATCGTCGTCAGTCCCAAGGAAACTGTCCGCATCCTCAGCTTCAGATTCGACATCCTCCACATTCTGTACACCTTCTGCTGTCTTAATAGGTAGCCTGGTCCTCTCCTTGTCCTTTCCGTTCAATTTGCGCGGTCGGCGTTCGTAGTCCTGCTCGAGATCCCATTCGGCGGCGGGCGAGTAGAAGTCACCTAGCTTGGTGTGAGAGGAGCGAGAAGAGTCATTTTGCTCGTCATCTGGAGGACTCAACCGTCTCCGTTTGGTTGTTCGTCCAGGAGCCATTTGTGTTCCTTTCATTTGGGTTGAGGTTGACGGGGAATTGATGAAAATCCGAACTTGACTTTTTTTTTTTTTTTTCTCCGGACGCCAAGAAATCCACGATCCACCTCGCGTTCTGGACGGAAGAGACAAAAAATACCTACCCGAGGGACCTAATCTAGTTGTACTCCGTATACGACAGAATTATAGCATCATGATGATAGGATCTTCCTTTCTCAAGAGAATATGTTATCTGTCTTTCTTTTCCGTTAAAAGAATATACATATACAATAATACATACATCCTGTTGATGGTTACCGCCTCGTCTGACTAATATACAGGACTTCCCAAAGGAGCCTAGTGGTTCGACATCCCCAGCGCCTCAGAAAACGGCAACCAAACAATCTCTCGAGTCCAGAAAGAAGGCGCCGTTCGATCTCTTGCTCTGAGCTCATCTTTTGGAGAGATTTACTTCTTGAAATCTGGGGGGGTTGTCTCTCTTCCCTTCTCATTCGCCCTTCCTCTTCTTCGCAACCCACAAGACTACTACCATTTACCCCTCCTCTCTTCACAGTCACCCCGCTATGCCTCCTTATTCTGCTGCTCAGAAGCAGCAAATAGCCCAGTTTGTCAATTTCACTCAAGCAAAGGATACAGTAGCTACAAAGGTACCCTCCCAGCCCGCCGTGTCTTCGGCTTTGGCTATTTTATGCCGCGTTGTCGCTCGGAAACCCCATATCACGTGACATATCTGTCGCTGACGGTCTTCCAGTTTCTGAGGCAGACCAGATGGAATGTAGAGGAAGCAATTGATGCGTAAGTGGTGGATCTGGAGTGCCTTTTACCCTACCTATCTTTGCAGCCTGCGCAGTGTGGCTGGAGACAAAATGCATCATCATCATCATCATCATCATCATCATCATCATCATCATTACCCGCACACCGGTCCTGCGTAGATGGCGTCTACGTATTATTATCATTGTGATTGCGAGAGCAGCTGGCTGGAGAAGTTCTCTTGACTTAAAAGAACAAAAAAAAAACAAATCCGCACCTTGGAATATGACATAAATGAGAATCTATGCTTGCTTCAAGCCTTGCCATAACGAAGCTCCATCATGTCCTCCTATTCTTGGTTTCAAATGTTAATGGAGAGATAAGTGAGGGAAGGAAGGCAAATAGGACAATCGTTCAAAGAAATCTCATCTTTCCCATAGATATATATATATATATCTATATATTCGGGAAATATCTATGCAGGATCAGGCGGCGGGTAACGATGCAGTGCATATGGAATGAAGCCAGGCCCTCAATCACACACCTAGAAAATGTTCACTGACGAGAATACAGCTTCTTCCAAAGCCCCCAGGGCCAAGGAGGAATCACCACCGCAGTCAACCAGATCTTCGACACATATCGAGGTGACCCTTTTCTTCCCGCAAGGATACCCAAGTCCACTCCTAACTAAACTGACTGCACCAGAATCCCCAGAAGACAACCCAGATGGCATCGGCATCGAAGGCGCCATCCGGTTCCTAGGAGATATCCAAGTAGAGCTGGACGAAGTGGCCTGTCTCGCCATCGCAGAGCTACTCCAGTGCCCTTCTATGGGTGAATTCACGCGCGAGGGTTTCCTAAACGGTTGGCGAGGCGTCGGGTAACCAATCCCTTCTTCCCCCTTCCCCCGCAAGTTGAATGACTGGATATTGACAGATGAAAGCTGCGACACAATTGAAAAAATGGCCACCCACGCCGCAAACCTCCGCGCACGTATCCCGCTAGAACCCGCACTCTTCCGGCGCGTATACCGCTTCACATTCCCCCTGTGTCTTGTACAAGGGCAGCGCAACCTGCAGTTCGAGATCGCCGCCGAGCAATGGAAGCTCCTCTTTACGCCAGGAAAGGGTGGGATCCAGTGGACCACGCAGACCTCGCCGTGGCTGAACTGGTGGATTGAGTTTCTGGAGGGCCGTGGCAAACGACCCGTGAATAAGGATCTGTGGCAGCAGGTAGAGGTGTTTATGCGTAAGACGCAGGAGGATGAGGCCTTTGGGTGGTGGAGTGTGGATGGCGCGTGGCCGGGAGCGTTAGATGATTTCGTGGCGTGGGTGAAAGAGAAGAGGGGGAAAGGCGGCGAGGATATGGAGGTTGAATAGTAGTTGTGCGAGCTTGGTTATCCTACCTTTACGTATGACCTATTAACGAACTTTTGTGTGTCTCCCTCCCCTCCTTCATGGTTTCTACTTTCATCCAATCTCTCGAGAACGGTCACCTGAAATCCTAGTACTCCTAGTTGCGATCGGTCGCATTGAAAGGGGGCTATTACTACTAGATTGATTGGTATTATAAATTCCCAGTATGTATGTAGTAGTATGTAGAGCCAGATTAAGACAAAACAGAGAAGAACCATTCATCATAAGAGTAACATAGCTAGCCTCATCTCGCACACGCAAGAGAAATCCGATGAGTATGTCTTGAGGGGAGGTGGGTAAAAAAAAAAAAAAAAAAAAAGAAAAATCACATGAGAAAGTAGTTTTGAGGTCAGAGGAAGGGTGAGGCGAGGAGGGTAGGAGGGTCGACTGATCTATATGCCGTGATGCGATTCTTCGGCTGTGACTGACAAGAATACGGATCATAGAGGTCTATCGCGCGTGCTCGACCCATGCACGGGATTTATGAATTGCGCGGTATATACACATCTTTACCGGTAGTCACCCTTCTCGTACTCGCTGCCGGGGCCACGGCGTTGATTGTAATGCTAGCAAAGATTAGATGTCAGGAGGTTGTTCAGAGATCCTGTGGCGCATTTCACATACCTTGCGGAGAGCCTCCAGGCGCTTCTTCTTGGTGTGGGTATTGACGTAGGTCCCAATGAAGAAACCGATGATGTTGAAAAATGGCACCCAAGTCTGCTCAGGGAGGAACTTCTGGGCAAAGGCCAAAGCCAGAGGCGAGGTGATCCAGCTGACCTTCATGACGGGCATGAAACCGGCCTTGACGGTGGCGCGAACCTGGTGGAAGTTCCGCGCGCCCGCGATGATCGCCATCGATGCCAGGTAGACAACATTTTGGATCGGCGAAACCTGCGACGGTGGTTAGTCCCCGGCTGATAAAGGACCTACCCCCAAAAAAAACCAATCGAAGCGAGAAGAACGTACAACCAGATTGCTGGCGAGGATCTGGAGAACCTTGGCCTTTAGGCTGGTGCGGCCGGCGAAGACGCGCTGGAGGACGCCAACCAGCACATGGCCCAGAGGGGCACTGATAAACATGCCATACAGAAGCATCTTGGGAACACGGGAGCTGAAGTAATGGCCATGCTTGGTGACATCACCGGCGAGGTAAGAGGCGAGGAATTCTTGCACCGCGGAGAGGGCACCGGAGGTCAACATCTTGGTGCGCAGAGGGTTGGCCTGCAGTTCGCGCAGATACATCTATTATTTGGGCGGCGCCAATTCCCGCGTCAGTCAATCGGACAAGCAGAGATAGTTATGACGCGACAAGGCCTTTGTCATGGATGAGGGAGGCCAACCTACCGCGAGATAGCCGGTCTGAGGGTTTCCTCCAGTCAGGCGCTCGCCAACCTTGTGCGCCAACTCCTTGGTTTCTTGTCGGAGAGATGTCTCGGCGACATCTTGGACGGTTTCCTGGATCTTCACGTCCTGGAACTTGACGGACATGATGGTGGATGGTGTGGATACTGAGAAGAGGGACGGGACTGCGATAAGAGAGGGGACCTGCAGCGATTAAGAAAACGCGGTGAGCTTGGGAAGAGAGAGGGAAAAGAAGAAGAAAGATGCGAAAAAGATGTGGCGGGTCAAGACCGAGGAGCACAAAAGGATTGATTGATTAATTAGAAAAACATGGGGTTGGAGGGAATTCTGGCGAATAGTACGACGCCGGCAAATCGGGACAGGGGCGGCTGTTTGTTTATTTTCAACAGGAAGAGGGCGGCGGCGGCGGCTGGAAACCAGGTGTTGGAGAAGCTTACCGAGGAGGTGAACGGTTTCAATTGGTGGTGTGGAAGTATTATTAGTTGGGGTTAATTAATTCATCAGTCAATATCCAACTGGGTATAGAAGAATAAGAGCAATTCAAAAGAAAGAAACAGGAGAGAAAAGAAAGATCTGGAGATGGATAGATGGATGGATGGAAGATGGAAGATGGAAGAGGATGATGATATGATGCCCGACTTCTTGTGTCGCTTCTAAGAAATCACGGGCCAGCAGGCGGTTTCGGACTCCGCCGACATCCTGATTTTCATGATTTCTCCAGCCACATCTTCCATGGAATTATATTACTATATTACTATATAGATGTTGATTTAGTTTCCCCTGTGATTTTATAAATCTGTGGGGTCTAATTCTCCATTGACATATATTCAGGATACAGACTCTACAGATGATGTCTGGAGCTGCATACTTGTATACCTAGGTAGTCCTATAACCCTATGTTTTATATCTCCATTGATTTGCTATAATCTCACATGAGAGAGAGAGAGAGTACCTACTGTATGAATTCTTTGCTATGGAAACTGACTTTGTTGATATTCCCTCATTGTATTCACTCAATTCACTGTAAAGCTCAAGACAAACCCATCCCCATCATCACCATGTTTCTCTTTCTCCTCTTCCCGGTTCTCCTCTTCCCCATCCATCTCAAATCCCAATCTCATGTCGTCGATCATGGCAAATGATGAAAACAGAACCCCAGGATCTACTGCCAGAGAAGCTGATCCGATCTTGTTGAGACCTCCTCCAGGATTCATCTTTCCCCTCACACACCAGAATCAAGACACCCAGAACACCAATCCTACAGTCCCTCCTACTCTATTCTATACAGGACGTCCGCTGGTCATCTCTCGTACCCGCCAACCTGCTCCCCGCCAGAACTACTGCTACCACAGCACCGTCACACGCCAGTGGAGAATTGACGAATATGAAACCTGTGATTCGTGTGGCAGGATACCCTTCCTCAAATGGTTCTACCTCTGTACCGAAGATACTTCAGGTTACTTAGACCCAATTGACCCCGAGGGGTCCCTCTTGAGCCCTTGGATTACTGATGCTATCCTGTCGGGCGAGTACACCAACGAACAGAAGGAAATCATCATTCAACAAAAGCTGAAGGTCCTCAGACTCTGCGAGAAGCAGAGAAGTCCGTCTCCGTCTTCATTAACTGCACAGCCGGACGAAAACGGGGTTCCATCCTGCCATACTCCTGCATTTCTAGCTGCAGATGCACCAGGTGCTGGCTTACCACAGTCACCCCCAGCGCCCGCTCGATGCAGCTACAAAGCATGCCAACATTGTGAGCGCAGACTCCAGGAGAGAACCTGGGTGAGCCTCAATGAAGTCTGCAACGAGATGGACGCCAACCCCCCCAGTAGTGCGTGGGACCTGTGGGATAGACCTGTGTCTGATTTCAGGATCGTTCGCAACTTGGGGTTACGGTCCCCTAACCCGCCTCCTCCGCCTCCGCATCTTGCACCACACGTGCCGCGAAACCATCGGCTGAGAAGCCGTCATCACACCCGAAGCTGTCCGAGTTTCGACGTGAACGGCCTTCAGGGCGTACTTTCAACCATAGATGAAGGATCCGAGGAGATCGAGATCCGCAGTAGTGGAGTGTTTACTGACCTGAATCTGCATGACTTAGATACCGCGTCGAGTTCACGTATGGGTTCTGTTGAAAGTGATTCTCATAGCAACATGACCTGAATTTTCAGTTTCCAGGAAACGCTGTGAAACAGTGAATCCCCCCCCCCTAATATCTGTTGCAGCATTGATGAAACCCTAGTCTGGCTGGACCTGTCACAATATGAACAGGACACTAAATCTGGAGCAACTGTGGGTGATGACAGACAGGCATGGTTGTGTGGCCAGGCTACGGGAACATGGAGTCCATGTCGTTATTCTCATAGTCTAAAGGAGCGTCTCTTTACTCTGGCCTAGTTCCATCATGGAAAGTGTCCAGGTATCGGCATAATGAATGGAATCCCAGGGAGAAATTTAACAACTTGTACTCCGTAATCCACACTGGCCTGGATAAGCCGTCAACCGAGGAAGTGGGTCTATAGCATTCATTCAATTATGGTACAGTGGAGGATGGCGTAGAGCAGTAGAACACAGCTTAATGTAAGCGCAACATACAAATATCTTGGAACATGTTCCGCATTATATTCCATATTCGTCAGGATTATCCGCAAAGGAATCTCAAGTGTAGCAGGCAGTTAACTACAGAGTATAGTTATGTAACTAAATCCCGTCACTGATAACTAAAAGATAACTCTTTCCGAGCCTCGGCTCCACACTGGATCGGGTAAAATCAGTGAGATGGGATCGTGATGCCGTTTCCCTACAACTTCTTTAATATTCATCGGGCCCAGCCAGTTCGTCCCCATCTTCTACCCGGTTTACAGTTCGCCATGGACGACTCCGAACGACCCCCGGATCCCACTCATCCTGTCAACATGCCCAACGAAGCATCCAGGACAGAGAAGCCCGCCAGCCCAGCGGGGAACGTGCCCGTGACGTCGGGAGAGAATGCTCAGCGCCGGTTGTTGACAGCTCTCCGCGCAGTGGATGTAATTATTGCGCGATTAGACAAGTAAGGGAATCTTGATTTGTATCTCTCTCACCTCATTCTGTCCTGGGCTAATTGAACCCGTATAAAAGGGCTATGTCAACCGCCAGCGGCCAGGAACGAGTCTTCGCATTTGTCGGCTATACCTCTCATGTATTACATCACATCCTCGCCTCTGCTCCCTGGATAGCCCTCCAGACACGCTTGGGTCTTCTTGCCCGACTTCGATCGCGGTCCACCAAGCCAACAACAACAACAGAAGCAGCCCCTCAAACATCCCCGCTTCTCGCCCTTTCCTCTCTCATATCGGAAATCCGGTATTCGCTCAGACTTCTTGGACTATTCCCCCTGTGGACCTGGGGCTCCGGGACAATAAAATCCCCCCCCTCAGATCGCATCATATATGCCCTGACCCTGCTGCAGGTCATCTCGAATATGATCTACCAAGCATCGGAGAATGTGGGCTTCCTCTCCGCGAAAGGAGTAATCTCGAAGCGATGGATAGACCGACGGGGCGGAATCGATAAGTGGTATCTCTGGAGTACACGGGCTTGGTTGGGGCATATCGTCCTCCAGTATTTTGTGCTGTGGAGAGCGAGGGCCCTCCGCCGGAAGGCCGAGGCGGAGGGTGCCTCGAAGGAGAAGCAGGATGCGCTGAAGGCGGAGTACCGCGGTTGGAAGAAGAGTTTGGTAAACAATGTTTGCTGGACACCGCTATGTTTACATTGGAGTGTAGAGAAGGGTATTGGCGTTCCAGGACAGCTCACTGGTTTTGTTAGTTTCTTAGCTGGAGCGTGGGGATTCTATGATCTTTGGACTTCTACTGCGTAGTCGTCTTGTTACAAGATTTTTTTTTTTTTTTTTTCGTCATCTTGTCTAGAGTCTGATTCGCTCGGACTTGTATATGTTTTCTAATAGATACCTACTCTGGATTTAGAGGAATGGACGGACTTTGAGTGAATAATAATAACAATAGCAATAATAAGTTTGGGAATCTTGCTACGGGTATCTCTTCCCTGGACGGAACTTGGGGTAAGCTAGGGTTCTAAAAGGATTCTAGTTCTGCTCAGTCGTTCCTAGTTGAACCTGATCGAAGAGCCAGACATCCATTACGTAGGTTGACGCCCCCAGAGTCACCTCATGGCTCCGAACCCCCAGTACAAGCCATTCCGATCCGACCGTTCCAGCTGATCTCGTCGCTGATGCCCTTCGATCTGCTCGTAGAAAGCACTCCCCAGGAAGTCATCGACTGCCCAGTACGTGTCTCCCACCGGTATCAGCCCCGCCTTACTAGGACCGTTGAACGCAAACGTACCCGCATCCACGGGCCGCATCTCGGTAATGTCGTTGTGCAAGTCCAGGGTATCTCGCTGTCGTACCATCACCCGAACGTATACCAACTGCGTAAGCCCACCTTCGACATCGTAGATCCTATTCCGCTGCTGTTCATTCAGCCCGAAAACGAGCATCCCTTCTACCAAGGTTTGCGGATCACTTGATGGCGCGATCACGGGGAGGTTTTTCTCTGCGATGAGGGACAGCTCATAGCCCCGGAGAGTAGCGGGCATCATGTCAACATTGGCGACCTGAGGCAGTTCCAGGAAGTATTTCAGAACGGTGGGGAGCATCAGGGCTCCGTAGATGAAACGTGGGGGGCAGCTGGATTTCGCGAGGAGTTGCGTTACTTCCTCCTTTGAGAAGCTCTGGGATAGCGCTTGTTTGAAGTCTTGGGGGTATGTTGGATCCCACTTCATTGTTGCTAGACCCCCTCCCTGTCAGCGGTCTCCCTATCCCTGGAAACTTTTGTTTTGTGGTTCTCGATTGCTGCTCTGGGATATACCTAGTAGTCGCTTGCAGACAGAAGAAGAACTTGAGGATGAGCGAGACGCTATGTACACGCCATGACGGTTTATGAGGTCAACATCTCGTATTTTTGTTTTCTGAGACTGAGTCTAAAGTAAAAGGTAAACAGATGAATATCAATATAGGGATCAGTCTAGTCTAGGTGGAGAGATCGTTCATAGACAGGTTCATTCACTATTAGAGCCAAAAAGAAAGGGGGAAAAAAAAAAGACAACAACAAAACAGCCTGACGAGGCATTTTGCACCCCCTTCACCCTGTAGAATCCCGTCATCTTGGAGTGAAGTTGTTAGGCCTGATCTGATGAAGGCTCGATCCATGGCTGGCAGGAACCAACCCTGGATGTTGGGATGTTGTGGTGGTGCCTGAGGATCCCAGGCATCATCTGGCAACATCGCCACAGATCGATCACCTCGGAGACATGCACTTCATAGTACTCCGTAGCCTAGGGAGATAAGAAAGAAAATGAAAAAAAAAAAAAAAAAACATAGTAATCAAAATAGTCTTGTCTCTACAACAAGAACCAGGTGGAAAAGCGAAACAATTAGGTTGCCAAAGAGTTGGTGCTACGACCAGGTTCCATGCGCTTCTCTCTACTATATGTAAAGGCGGTGGCGACAATCAGGAATCTTTCTCTGGCTTAAGTCATCAACCCCGGCGGGTTGAGTTATCGTCACCTCACCTCTTAACAACTGGGAGCTGCCTCTCTCTCTGGTCTGCTTCTCACCTCCAAACTCTCTCCTCCCCCAACTTCATCCATCCCCTCCCCTCCCAATTTACTTCGTTCCTTGACCATCTCCGTGGTCTCTTGGATCTTGTCTCTCTGCTTTACTTTCCCTTCCTCTTCTCTTCTTTCTTACCTTTCACCTCTCTTCCCTGTTGCTCGGCGTTCCTGATCCGGCACACTCCACGTCTTCCCTAAACCCATCTCGGTGTACGTCGTTGCTTTACGAGCTTATTCGATCCCCTACATCTTCGTATCTGTCGTCAAGATGAGCTCGGAGCCAGAACACAAGAAGAAGCTTCTGTATGTGCCGGAATTCCTGCCGGGTAATCTGTCGTGTAACTAACTGAGTCTACTCAGCGATGCTTCCGGTGCTGAGAAGAAAGAGGTAATTAGATACATACGATCCGAGTCATCAACATTCTAACTCCATCTGGCAGGAGCTTGATACCTCGACAGCTATTCTGAAGAAGAAGAAGAAGATTAACTCGTTGATGTGAGCTTCGTCCCAGCTGGCGAACCCGTGAGGGGTCACGTCACATCCAGCATGCTAATGAGTTGTCTTGAACCCCAGGGTCACCGATGCCGTCAACGATGATAACTCCATCATTTCCCTCTCCAACAACACTATGGACGCGCTCCAGCTCTTCAGAGGTGATACAGTCCTGGTTAGAGGCAAGAAGCGCAAGGAAACCGCTTTGATTGTGTTGGCAGATGATGATCTCGATGATGGAAGCGCCCGCATCAACAGGGTCGTTAGGCACAACCTCCGTGTCAAGCACGGAGATATGATCACCGTTCACGCTTGCCCTGATATCAAATATGTATGTTGTTTCTGCGTTTCCCCTGGGTACTCAAACCCCTCCGCCCGTCCAGTCACTGACCTGGTTTTCCCTTTTTTTTTTTTTTTTTTTTTTTTTAGGCCAAGCGTATTGCCGTCCTCCCCATTGCAGACACCGTCGAAGGCCTTACTGGATCTCTCTTCGATGTCTATCTTGCTCCTTACTTCCGTGATGGATACCGGCCTGTGAAGCAGGGAGATCTCTTCACAGTACGAGGTGGTATGAGACAGGTCGAGTTCAAGGTTGTGGAGGTGGACCCCCCAGAGTACGGTATTGTCGCCCCAGACACCATTATCCACAGCGAGGGTGAGCCCATCCAGCGAGAGGATGAGGAGGGTAACCTCAACGAAGTTGGCTATGACGACATCGGTGGGTGCAGGAAGCAGATGGCTCAGATCCGTGAATTGGTCGAGTTGCCCCTTCGTCACCCCCAGCTTTTCAAGTCGATCGGTATCAAGCCTCCTCGTGGTATTCTCATGTACGGCCCTCCCGGTACCGGTAAGACTCTGATGGCCCGTGCCGTCGCCAACGAAACCGGTGCCTTCTTCTTCCTGATCAACGGCCCCGAGATCATGTCCAAGATGGCTGGTGAATCCGAATCCAACCTTCGCAAGGCTTTTGAGGAAGCAGAAAAGAACTCCCCCGCCATTATCTTCATCGATGAAATCGATTCCATCGCTCCCAAGCGTGAGAAGACCAACGGAGAGGTCGAGCGTCGTGTCGTCTCTCAGCTCCTGACCCTGATGGATGGCATGAAGGCCCGTTCCAATGTTGTCGTCATGGCTGCCACCAACCGCCCCAACTCGATCGACCCTGCTCTCCGTCGTTTCGGTCGTTTCGATCGTGAGGTCGACATTGGTATTCCTGACCCTACTGGTCGTCTGGAGATTCTCCAGATCCACACAAAGAACATGAAGCTCGGTGGTGATGTCGACCTGGAGACTATCGCTGCCGAGACTCACGGTTACGTGGGTTCCGATCTGGCCTCCCTCTGCTCTGAGGCTGCTATGCAGCAGATCCGTGAGAAGATGGATCTTATCGATCTTGATGAGGACACAATTGATGCAGAGGTTCTTGACTCCCTTGGCGTGACCATGGAGAACTTCCGCTACGCCCTCGGCGTCTCCAATCCTTCTGCTCTCCGCGAGGTTGCTGTTGTGGAGGTTCCCAACGTCCGGTGGGAGGATATTGGTGGTCTGGAAGAGGTCAAGCGCGAACTTATCGAGAGCGTCCAGTACCCTGTGGACCACCCCGAGAAATTCCAGAAGTTCGGCCTCTCGCCCTCTCGTGGTGTGTTGTTCTATGGTCCTCCTGGTACTGGTAAGACCATGCTTGCCAAGGCGGTGGCGAACGAGTGTGCTGCCAACTTCATTTCCGTCAAGGGCCCCGAGCTGCTAAGTATGTGGTTCGGTGAGTCTGAGAGCAACATCCGTGACATTTTCGACAAGGCTCGTGCTGCTGCTCCCTGCGTTGTCTTCCTCGACGAGTTGGACTCTATCGCCAAGTCCCGTGGTGGTTCCGTCGGCGATGCCGGTGGTGCTTCTGACCGTGTTGTCAACCAGCTCCTGACTGGTAAGTTTGGTGTTTCCGCGGTGCATTGTTATTGAAGGGCAAGCTAATCGTGAGTGAATACAGAGATGGACGGTATGACTTCCAAGAAGAATGTCTTTGTCATTGGCGCCACCAACAGACCCGAGCAGCTCGATGCCGCCCTCGTACGTCCGGGACGTCTCGATACTCTGGTTTACGTTCCTCTGCCCGACCAGGCCTCCCGTGAGGGCATTCTCAAGGCCCAGCTCCGCAAGACGCCTGTCGCCCCCGATGTCGACATTCCCTTCATTGCCAGCAAGACCCACGGTTTCTCCGGTGCCGATCTTGGATTTGTCACCCAGCGTGCTGTCAAGCTTGCTATCAAGGAATCTATCTCCGCCGAGATTGAGCGCCAGAAGCAGCGCGCGGCCGGTGGTGAGGACGTCAAGATGGAGGATGAGGAAGAGGATGAGGAAGATCCCGTCCCTGAGCTTACCCGTGCTCACTTTGAAGAGGCCATGAAGTCTGCGCGACGATCCGTCAGCGACGTCGAGATCCGCCGCTATGAGGCCTTTGCCCAGAGCCTGAAGAACTCTGGTGGCAGCAGCTTCTTCCGCTTCCCGTCTGCGGGTGAGGTGGCGGATAATGCCAACCCATTTGGTGAAGCCGGTAATGACGACAGCCTCTATGACTAAATTTTCGTTTCTCTTTTTCCCTTGTTTTTTTTTTTTTTTTTCTTCTCTTATTTCCAAGTTACTCTTTAAATCATGGTTTATGTGTCGCCATTAGTTAGATCTAGCCGAGTTGAGGATATAGATTACTGGAAACGGTGCAAAACGGATCCTCCTCGACAATATTGAACTCATTGGTTTTGAAATTAATCATTTTGAACTTCATCCTGGGTTGATTATTGTGAAGTAGTAGTAGTTTATTGGTATCAAAGATGATTAAAGAGAAGAAGAAAAAAAAGCCGCTGTATCAACACCAAACCTCCTGAGCGCCGCAAAGCAAAGAAGAAAAGAAGTCAAAACAGTTCCGTGAGGCAAAGTAAGAACTCGAAAGAAAAACAATAAGAAACAGAAATCCTCGGATACGACATAGTCAATGATCTCCACATGCAAGAAGGAATGGAATCCAGCATCAAGAATCAGAGGATCGATCGTATCGTCTCATATCATATCAAATCTCATATCATATCAAAACCTCATTTCATTCATATGGTATCATTTACTCGCCTTGCCCGATTTCGACTTTTTGTCCCCCTTCTTGGCTGGACTTGTATCACCATGATTCAATCCACCTTTCCCTGGCGCACCAAGACCAGCACCACCGGACTCACCGGCCGTACGGTCATTCCCTGTCCCCTCCCCGTCGCCATCATCTCCCAGGACCACGACCTCCCGCAGCACATCCTTCAGCGCGCGGACCCCCTGCTCCACGACGGACTCGGGAATCCGCACGTCGACACTGTCAACCGCGAAGTAGTAGGACCCGGGTTCCGCCTCGCCGGTGCCGTTACTGCTCTTCTCGTCCTCTGCGAACACGGGGTGTTTCCGTCCCTCGGCGGAGGCGACCACGGCTTCAACGACTTCGTCGAAGCGCTCGCACCGTCCGGCGCGGAGGAGCTCCAATGCCAGGCGGCGGATCTTCTCGGTCCAGCCTAGGCGCTGTAGCGAGCAGAGAAGCGTCGCGTGGAGGTCTTCCAGGGTTGCGGTGGAGGCGAGGTACGCGAGGAGATCGGATTCTAGGGATTCGGCGGTTGTGGGGGTTGTAGGGGGGGGGGCTGAAGATGTTGGCATTTTCTTTCTTTCTTTCTTTCTTTTCTTATGGTATCTTGTGGGTTTGGGTTCTTAAGTTGGGGTTTGAGGGTTTTTTTTTTTTTTTTTTTTTTTTTTTTTGGAGTGAGAGGCGGAGGCGGAGGCGAGACGGAGGTTAAAAGGATGGATATCTGGAGAAGGAGGAGGTTCTCGCGCTTCAGCTTGGTTTGTTTGTAAATGTAGTGCTTGTATTTGAGGCTTGGTGATTGGATTCTTCCCGGATGCTTGATGGGAGGGGATTTGGACTATTCGGTCCTGGTTAGAGCTGGGGAGGTGAGGATGCGGAGGTGGCTTTGCTCTGCTCGGTCCGAACGTAGATTTTGTAATCTTTTCTAGTTAGAATAAAACTAACCTGGACAACAAATGGGATGGACCTGGAAAGGATATAGTAGATAATAAAACCAAGGAGATGTGTTACTTACTATTACTCTCTATGTATATATCAATGCTATAATGGATGGTCAGTGTTCATTCTGTTTATAGTAGGGAGTGAATTTGGGCGGCTTAATCTTCTGTGAATGAATACTCTACTACACTCCAACACAATCCAGTTATTCATTTATAATCTCAACTTGAACTAGATGATGATATTGTGCAGCCTACAGATTGGCATTATTGTACAGTCGATATGGGTTGAATTCCTGGTCTTGAGATATATATCATCTGCATCCTTATACCTTCATCTCACTTCCAACCTCCATACTCCCTCAACATGCAATACAAACGTCTTGACCAAAATAAAAGGTGTCTAGACGACCCAACAAGTGGTGAGATCTCCATTCTAAATCATTTGTACGAACTGATCTAATTTCATAGGGCCTGTTTCCGATTCCGAATCCTGCCTACTATTCAGTGAATGACCTTCCCACCCGAGCACAAAACTTCCACCGAAGACTATATAGAGGCGCTTGCTTATCGAGCCTTGTGCAACATCCGGCCACGGACTACAACAGATAGAGATTCTACTGGGTTTCTGAGTATATCATTTTTTTCTCGGTGCTTGATTTGCGTGTGTTGGCACAATGACAGCGGAGACGCAGCGCCCCTAAATCGCCAAAGAAGTAAACGCTCCGGCACTATTGGAGTTTGACAGTATTCGTCCTGAACCATAGAGGACCTAATAATAACCTCTCCCGCAGCGGTCCATTCACTGCATCAGCTGCAATAATCTATGTACAAGAATAGTTTCCTGGTCTCGTTAGTCTGTCTATAGCCCGTTTAGTCCAGGGGGATCTTACAGAGTAGTATTTCTTTTCCCCTATTCTTTTCCCCCATCCTTTCCCTTTCTCTCTCTCTTTGAGACAGGCATCGACCCGATACAAAAAATAGTCGTAAAAACTCTGTCGAGTGGAGGATCATGAATGCTATAACAGGACATTGTCCCTTACGAGGCTCTGCTTGGCTGGTGGATGCAAGGACGCAAGATCCATTCAACGGCGCGGCAGTGGGGTTATTTAATAAAGAGAATTGAAAAGACAGAAAGAACGAGGAAACATATTAAAGACACACAAAACCTCTTCCGGATCTTTTTGTTGATTTTCTTTCTTGTTCGAATCTCTTGAGTCCAGACCAACCGCCCATCACGTGCGGCGATCCAACTTGAGATTCGCTTTTTGGCGCTGCGTTGACAACTTCTTCTTCTTCATCATCATCTTCTTCTTCTTCTTCTTCTTCTTCCCTCTCTTTCTTCTCCGTCTTCTTCGCTCTCTTTTGTGGGTTCTGCTTCTTCTTCTTCTTCTTCTCCCATTCGCGCTGACTGAACCCTCGCAAAGATCATCATCTGCCGTCCCTTCTCCTTGGGTCCTCCTCGATAACCGATCATCGTCCACCCCAGCCTGCCTCAGCTTCCCCGCTCTTACTGTTATTAGCCTTGCGATTCCTGGTGTTAACGATCGATCACATTCTTTCTCTCGCTCGAAAATCTTTCCTCTACTCGTCTCTTGTCGGATTTAACCCTCCTCGAGTCTGTGGGATCCATATTTCGAACCCCTCTGCAGCTCTCAACTCTTCGACTGTTGGCGTTTCCCTAGCCGCTGACCATCCGTCCATGTGGCCTGCCTGCTTGGCTGACGGTATTATCCTACGCTCTGCCGCCGTCGTCCAGTCTGGCTGTGAAGGATCCTTTTTCACTACTGAATCGCCCTCCTAAACTCATCGTTTCTCTCCCTCTCTCTCCCCTTGTTTTTCTGTTCGAATCTTCCGGTCCATTGTCTGTTCTCGCTGCGTTACTCTGCCGATCCTAACCGAACGACGTCCACCAACACCCTCCTCTTCCTGTGGGCGTCGTGATCGGTTCCCTCCGCAAAAAAAAAAAAAAAAAAAAAAAAAAAAAAAAAACACATCGCTGCCGCTATGTCTCTGCACACCTCCTACCACGCTGACTCCGACGCGGATGACGAGTATGAACGGAGTGTGATTACATCCCCGCATCTGGCGACCGATTCTGAAGGCTCAGCCTCGGACTCAGAGTTTCCTTCAGCGGAACCAACTCCTACCTTTGCACACACGGAAGAGAACCCGAAGTCTCCCAAGACCATCATCACGGAATGGAGTACTGAGGAATGCGCGAGCTTTGTTGCCTCGCTCGGTCTCCGCCAGTACTGCCAAGCTTTCATAGGTAAGTCCGGGTTGTCATCATAGGCTGTGCGCAGCTAACGACGTGGTACCCAATATCATAGAAAATGGCATTGTTGGAGAGGCCCTGATAGCATTGAGACACGATGAATTGAAAGAAATGGGAATTGCTAGTGTGGGACATCGTCTAACGATCTTGAAGAGCGTATACGAGACAAAAGTGAAGCAAGATATTCCGCTGGATGCTGACCATTACATTCCTCTCTGTATGTCCCAACTGCGGTACCATTGGGTAACCCATACGCTGACATTCTGCAGCTGCCGATCAGAGTTCACATGAAAATGCTTCCCAGGAAGATGTGGCCCGGCTAATCCAGTCTATCCGACTACGAGACGAACGCATCTTCAGTGTGGAGGCTGAATTACGGCGGGTTGCAGAAGATTATCGCCGGTTGAGGGAAGAGCTCCTTCCGGTGTTTAAAATGGCAAAGGACCGCTCCCAGCCGCTACCCCCGCCAACTACTATACCAACCTCGGACGGCTATCATGATAGTACCCTTTCGGGTCAAACACTTACGGGACAGTCCCTAACATCACCCTCTGGCATTACCATCCTGGACCGCTCGGGATCCATCATTTCGCGAACGTTTTCCAAGAGGGTTCACGGAGGAGCCACCCCCAAGAGCAACTCCCCAACACATATCCCACATTTAATCCACGAGAATCGAGCCTACAATGACGGCAGTTCTCTAGACCCATCCGCTGCAGCAGTTGTGGCGTCCTCGCATCTGAACAGCATGAACGGAAAGTCCCAGCTGTCGCCGGGCATGCCGTCTCCAACCTCTCCTAGCAACCACTATACCGCCACTCAGACTCTCGCATCGCGGGCCTACACCCAACCGGGCTCCACCAATCGCACCACCTATCACGACCATCACGATGATAACCCACCACAACAATCTCGATCCGACCGTTTGAACCCTACCCCAACACAAGGCACGCGCCCCGATATTCCCTCTCGCTCCGACTCCAGAGCAGGCGGCGGTGAGCCGCCCAGCGTCGAAATTTTCAAATCTTTCCGTGTTTCCATGGAAGATCCGTGCCACAAAGTGCTCCCGGCTGCTCTGAAGAAATACAACATCAACGCAGACTGGAAACAATATGCGCTTTACATTGTGTACGGTGATCAAGAGCGATGCCTTGGCCTGGAAGAGCGGCCTCTTATTCTCTTCAAGCAACTCGAAAAGGAGGGACGGAAGCCCATGTTCATGCTTCGGAAACAGCTCCACCCTATTGATATCGGCGCTTACCCTACTGGAGTGACCCCGACTCCGAGCAGTGCGGGCTTTGAAACACGACAAGCTCAGATCAACCTGCCGGGTGGGGTACTGTAATCTAGCCCAGTAACCAGGTGGCTAAGAAACGGAAAAGCTCGAGATGTTCATATTTTACTTGAGATACCCCCTCTATATCCCTTCCATTCTCAGTGATTTGCATCCTCGATTAGCCTCACGCTAGCTTGTTTTGTTTGGTGTTTGGTGTTGAGGATATGGACAGGAAAATCAGCGAACCCATCATTAGCGTGGCGGTTTGTACTTTTCTTCTGTACTTTCATGTCTTTTTTTTTCTTTTTTTTTTTTTTTCTTTTAATCCCTTTCACTTCTTCTGAATAAACTTTTGACTGATATATTTCCATCATATGGTTTGATGGTCCATAATGAGCAAATGCATGATGAACATTTCTCTGGTACCTCTCTCTACTCCTCCTAATAGATCTTCCACCTGTATTGAAACAGATCCATTTTTTTTAAATCAGTTCTATATGTCAATAAAAGTAAGGAGAATACCGAGGATACTTTATTTCACATTCATTAATTCTATGGAAGGTCCTTCCTTCTCCTCCCTCCACCAGCCCTACTAACTATTCTCTCTCTCTCTCTCTCTATATATATATATACCTACATACCATGACCGAATTGATATCCTTACCACCGTCACCACCACTCTTTAAAACCCTTCTCTTCACTCTCTCGAACAAATGGAAATGAAATATAATTGGTCTCTTGAAGTGAGGTGGTGTGTTTCTTGTGTGTCTCTGTATATATGTATATATATATGTATGGGATACGATAGTAGGATATCTACGATTGATACCATCTCAGATTGAGAATAAGAAAAAAAGGATCTCATTGTGCAAAATGCCAAGGTATCTACACTGCCAAAACCGCTCTATCAAGAAGAATAGTATGTATGTAGTAGGTATGTATGCATGCACAGGCGCTTGATCCAGGCCAAAAACAAGACACGACAGGAAGCAACATAAAATATAAACCAAACCAGTTCTAAATCATATCATGCCACGCCGTTATACTAGCCCTTTTTTGCCTTGGCAATTAGGCAGCAGAATACTTGGGATGCGAAAACAAGAAAAAAAAAAAAAAAAAAAATAAAAATTATGCATTTGTACAGCACAACAGTGCATTCACCGCCAGTTATCATTTCTCATCGCGCCCGCCGCCTTGCTTCTTCCCACCCCTTGATTCCCCCCACCCTGCTTAAAAAGAAGGCGGTGCCGCTGTTGGGGAAAGGGATGGAAGTGGTTTCAAGTCTCACGACCTTTTTCTCCTCCCCAGGAGATTCGTGATCGTCGACTGCGATGGGATCGCGAGCTTGAGCTGTTGCCTTCGCGATCGTAGGTGTTGCCTCCAGAGAGCTTGGTGCCGTCTGCGAATTGAATCTTACCAAGAACCTGGCCTGCGCCGCCGGTTTCCTCAGAGTCGGATTCGTCGTCTTCGACAATAGCGTCAGGGTCGTCGGAATCAGAGTCGCCAGAGTCGTTCAATTCACCCAGAGCGGCCAGACGACGGCGACGTTCCGCTGGAGTTTCTCTACTGTCATCCAGGTCAGCCTGCTGCGGTGCGCGCGAGAGACCAGCGGCTTCCCGGAGCTGCGATGGTGGGATCCGTTCTGTCCCATCGTCTTCGGAGTCTCTACGTTCTCGGAAGGCGAATCGAGGAGAAGAGGTCGAGGGACGAAGATGACTGCGTCGCTCTTCGGCGGCCGTTCCTTGGGCGAATCGGGCCAATGAGGCGGCGACATTATGACCGGGCGCGCCAGAATCCAATTCGCCCTCACTGATATTGCCATCGGAGCCGGAGTCGTCGTCAGAGATCTGTTCCAGAGCGGGTCCCGCAAGACCTGGAACAGATTGGCGACGCCCTTGCTTTTCCTCTGCTTGCTGGGCTTCATCCCGAGCAACATCCTTGATGTATTCGGGCACGTCCGATTCTTCGACGACGGCGTGACGGGCTCTAGGCCCGAGGTTCCGGATCTGCTCAGCAAACTCTTGCTTGTTCATTCGCCGACCCTTGTGCTGGACACCTCGTTTACCGACCGAGTCATCACTAGCCAGCGTGAATCGAAGACCGTCATCAGCGAGCCATTCGTCTTCTGCTGATTTCTTTCCAACGTGCGAGTTTTCCCCTTCCTCTTCCATCCCGAACCAAGTTCCCATGCGGGTCAACCCACGTCGAACGGGATCGTTCACGTCGGGCTTGTCCGAGGCGGGAATGGAATACTTCTTGATAACTTCTCCGTCCTCATCCTCCACAATGATCGTGTTCCCGAATTGATATGCGTGTGCTGAGCGACCCTTACCCTTGGCGGGCTTGGAGACGGGCTGCTCCTGGGGCTTTTCTTCACCAGGGTTTTCCGTCTGCTCCACGCGTTCTTTGCCAAGACCGAACCAGCGGCCAAAGCGTCCACGAGTCTTTTCAACTGCGTGTTTGGTCTTCGGGCCGACCGTCTGGGGGGCCTTCTCTCCCGGAGTTTCTTCAACAGTGGTTTGGCAGCTGCCTGGGCTCTCCGGTTTGGCTAGTTTTTCCAATTGTTGCTGGAGTTTGGATCGTTCTCCGTCGAGGTGGCGTTGTTGTTCCTCCGGCGACATTTGACCGATAGTTTCTGTCTGGAGAACAGTCCCCTCGTCATCCTCATAGACCAGGTCATTTCCTTCCTGATACACGTTGACTGTAGCGCGCTGTGGTGGTGGCGACGACGGGGTCGTTGACTCGCTCTCGCCCACGGCCTTTTCAGCATCTACGGAATCCACCTCGGATGGCCGCTGAGGCGCGATGGCTGATCGACTAATCGGGCCCCCAGCACCACCTGCCTTTCTGCGACCCCTGCGAGCTTTTCTACTGGAAACTTTGCCAATGGGGGATCCTGCTTCGTCCTCATGAACGCGACGCAAGAAAGTGCCGGGGAGGCCAATGGGGGGTAAAGTTCCAGGGGGATACTCAGGTTCATTGGACGAGCTGTCCAAGTCATCTGCCTTGCGGAAGGATATGGAGCCTTTGGCAAGAGATTGTACACGGGGAAGACGGTTCATCCAGGAAGGACCCTCTTCGTTAGCGGTCGTGTAGGATAGGGTGATGGACAGGGTATTGATACGTTTGCCGAGGGTGAAGACGGCAATCGATGAGCCATGGACCAGAATGGAGGAGATGACCATGAAGGTGGTGAGGGGCCAGATGATTTGCACAATATAGTAGTTCTGGGTATTGGGTTGGGGGAACTCGGCTTCCGGCACGGGCTGGGTGGTGCCCGTCTCCAGCTCGGCTCTCGCCAGAATCGCGGCAAAAACCGCACCGACACCAATGGGACCGAAGTGACCAGCAAACAGCGCCTCGCGCCATGTTTTGATATCTGGTATGATGGGTTTTAGTAGCAGCATGATTGGGATCCGGCGGAAGAAGATGACGAGGAGGGCGATGACTACAAGCCTCCACGCATCTAGACCAATGGCGGCGTTATTGAACTCCTCCCAGGGGACAATGGCACCAAAATAAACAAAGTAAGCCAAGTTGAGCAAGAGATCGATGACGTTGGAGACGTGGGACTCTTCCGTCTTTTCGGTGAACCAACCGTCATTACTGAAACCAACGCCGGCGGCGAAACCGATCAACAAATCATCCATGCCCAAGAGACTTCCGGAACCGGCGCAGAAGAGGGCGAGCACGAAGTAAAACACCAGGAAACTTTCGCGATCGATGAGTTGCTTGCGCTCGGCGAATTTGATGGCATGGCGCGCCAAGTAACCGATGGTGAAGCCGTAGACAGCGCCGAATATGCACTCGTACAGAATGGTCACACAGAACCAGTTCAGCGCGACTTCATTCGCATCGGGGCGATAGTGGAGGATGTAGTAGGACAGGTAGATGAAAGGAAAGGCCATGCCGTCGTTGCAGCCGGACTCGGCGGAGAGAACGTCTCGCAGATGTTTCGGAACGCGCTTGGCGAATTTACCCTTACCCACGACGGACGAGGCCAGGACGGGGTCGGTGGCGGTGACGCAGGCGGCGCATACGAGACTCTCCAGCCAGGTGAGCGGCTTGATCATCCACCAGATGAAGAGACTGGTCACCAGCCAGCCCCAGGTCATGACGGGCACCAGGAGTAAGGTCACGGACTTCCAATGGCGTTCCATGTAGGCCTTGGGCAATTCGACCCCGACGGCGAAACATTGGACGACGAGGACGATGCGAGAACATTCGAGGGTAATTTTGTCAACATTTCCCCAAGAGAGGGGATTAAAGAGGTTGGCGGCATGAGGGCCGAAGATGATACCGCAGATGGTGGCGACCGAGGCCTCACCAATGTAGAGCTTTTCTTTCACAAAAAGCGAGCATAACATGAACAGGCCGGTAAACCCCCCGAGGATCATATAAGCCAGGTGGGGCTTATCGATATCCAAGTGATCCCAAGCCATGATGATGGAGGATAAGGAAGAGGGTCAAATGCGGAAGAAAGGAGATTGATTTCATTCAAATTGTGTGTAGGAGGGCGACTAAAGCTTGATGACCCAAAATCCTCCCCGGTAGTAGTATTTCAACAGACCACACGCCGGTGGCAGCCAGACCATCACAGAACCCCCAAGAAGCGGTACTCAATTAAGGAAGGGTATGGAGACGCATGCCTTATCGGAGGACAAGGGAACTGGAGGGGGGGGGGGGGGGGAATTCTGGAATAGGGTAAGAATTAGATGGTTCCAGAGAGAGAGAGAGAGAGAGAGAGAGAGAGGGAGATAATGACGCAGAATAGCTTACTGGATATGGAAGTTGAGTGAAGGGGAGAATTATTTTGAGAGGAGAGGAAGTGAGGAGGAGAGGAATAGAGAGAAGAGAAAGAGAGAGAGAGAGAGAGAGGATAAGATGAGAGATGAAAATTCCAAAGCAACGACTCAAGAGGATGGTTAAGAGATAGTTTTAGGTAGGAGAAAGTGCACTGACGAATGGGAAATGGAAAGAGAAGGCGGAGAAGAGGAGGAGCGGGCTGAGAAAGAAGGAAGAGGCTGGGAAGTGGACGGTCGCGGACATTCTTGGCGAATTCACTTGGACTACTAGAATTACTTGATGTCGAGATACTTAAGAATAGATTGATATTCGGACTACTCCCTCGTGCAATATCATCTACAGAGGACAATTCCTGTACATAGGTAGTACCAGGTAGGTACCTCATAAATACCAATACAGAATAAAATGCCCAGCCTTGCAAGGCTGCCAAGTCCCATCGGAGCATTTCACTGGTCCGTGGCTTTATCGGCGGCGAGGTTGCGGCTCGCCAGGTCGCCAGGTCGCCAGGTGGCTACCAAATTTGACTAGTTGGGACCAGTAATAACCAAATTTCATTACCATATGTGACAATACTAGTGGTAAGTTAGTAATATATTCTATAAAGCTGCAGGATTCAAAATCACCTATCTGGTAGTACTGGTCGTGACTAGTCAGGACCAATTCAAGTGGTAAAATACCACCTGGTGAGACAAGATTTGGTATGGTATACTTTTCATGGTATAATACAGTATATTATTTCTAGTTAAGACTAGTCAAGACTAGTACTTACTTAAGTAAAATATATATCTAGATTAGATTATTATAATTATTTTTAAAAAAGAATTAATCTTATTAATAATTACTAGATATTACTAGTAATAACTAGAATTTTTAATTTTATTAGTATTTACTAGTAATTACTAGAATCTTTAGTTACTACTATCTAGATAATAAGATATAGATTATTAGAAAAGATTAGTATATATTTATTTTTATTAATTATAATTAGAAGTTCTAGTACTACTAGTAATTACTAGTAAAATTAGAAATTCTAGTTATTACTAGTAATATCTAGAAGTTCTAGTACTACTAGCCCTACTAGTAATAACTAGAACTTCTAATTTTACTAGTAATTACTAGTAGTACTAGAACTTCTAGATATTACTAGTAATAACTAGATATATATTCTACTATAATATACCATAAAAAGTATACCATACCAAATCTTGTCTCACCAGGTGGTATTTTATCACTTGAATTGGTCCTGACCAGTCATAACCAGTACTACTAGATAGGTGATTTTGAATCCTGCAGCTTTACAGAATATATTACTGACTTATCACTAGTATTATCACGTATAGTAATAGAATTTGGTCATTACCAGTCCTACCTGGTCCCAACTAGTCAAATTTGGTAGCCACCTGGCGACCTGGCGACCTGGCGAGCTGTACATTCATCGGCGGCTCCACTCGGGGTCTGTCTCCGACTGTCCGTCTGTACAATACAATACAATACAATACAATACACTATGTCCTACCTTAACCCCGATGACTTCTACTTCAGGTACTTCTACTCCTACTTCTATGCCAACAATGATGCCAACAGGATATACACATGATGTATCAAGTCATATTCAACACGAGGCTAAAGGCAACCCAAAAAAAAACAATAAAAAAAAAAACCAAGGCCACAAAATCCCTCACTCATCTCTCCCAATACTACCTCAATTACTCCCCCAATGGCATCCCCTCTACTTGGTCGCTCAGTGACCGCCAATTGTCCGCCTGCAGCTCCGAGTACTTTACTCGCTCCTGGCTCCAGTCCTGATGAAGCCGACTGATATGGTACTGGCTCTGTTGGAAATACACCAGCTCGTCCCGTAGACACTCTTGAATAAATACTCCTCGTGCATGTTGCTGCACAATCGATTCCTTATCCTACTTCAGTTAGTTGAACTCCCCTCTTTCCCACTTTTCATCAATCATGGAAAGTCCAAAAAAAAAAAAAAAATACATACCTTGAAAATGGACTCTTCCACCTTCTCAATCTCCCCAGCTTTGACCGTCGCTGGCGGTTTCGTCCGCAGATCCTGTAACTTGCGCTCATTACTCTCAATCCGACGCTCCAGCTGCGGGATATTATTGCGCGCATAGCGATCCCGTCGGTCAAACATTTCCCGCACGCTAACCAGGCAGTCGCGCTGCCGTTTGAGATCCTCCAGCACCCCATTCTCCCACGCCCGCGCCTCATCTTCCAACAGCGTCTGACTGGCAGAGAGGTGCCTGGCCGTCGCCTGGATCCCGTCGTTCAGAAGGGGCACGTCGTTGCGGTCGATCGCATACGTATCACGCGTCATTTCCGTGAGCGACTGCAGCGCCAGCGAGAACCGGAGATGGTCCGCGGCCAGTCCCTCATTCCGTTTGGCGAGCCGTTCCAGAAGCGTACACAGATTAATATACACCTCAGCGGACCGTTTCACCCCAGTTCGAACCGTGTCAAAGGTATCGGACAGAGTCGACGGCAGCGAGTCTTCCAGGTCGGGAGGGAGTACCCTCCCCATGAACTCATCCTGTACAGAGATCGTCGCTTGCTTACGCCACACGGACAGTTCCTGTTCGATGTCGAGGTTAGCGACCGCCAACCGTTAAAAAGGAACCTCCTCCGCAGCGTTTTTTGGGGGGGGGGGGGGGGCGGTTAACATACCGTTGGAACGGTCAAAAACATCACCACCAGCTGCTCCTGGCTGAGCACCGGATGTTGAACCAACGCATTGGTAAATCGAACGAGTCCGCGACGACGCTTTTCAAGAAAGGAGGTTGAATCCGCTGCGAGGTGAGTGCCATTGACTTAAAAAGCGGTGAGTAAGCTTAAGAGGAGAGCTTGTAACAAGCCTTTGCTTGGACGTACCTGAAATGCGTTTCGGGGGGAGAAGAGGCAACTGGCGAAACGGGTATCGTTTGTGAAGGCAATCAAGAAGCCACACAAAATCGCTGTACCGTCGCACAACCGTACTGCATCGCCGCGCAGACTTCACTTCGTAATTCCGATGCTGGAACATGAACATTCCCTCCTTCTCTTGCAGCAACGTCACCGTCACCATTTCATTAACTGGCGGAGTGGTTACCCGGCCGAGACCAAGCGACCGCCGACGGGGATTTGATTCGTTGGGGTCGCTGCCTGGTTGGCTAAAGTCTCCTCCAAGGCCAGCTCGGACGGGCCCTCCGAGGCCACCGCCATCTGATGTGTGTCCAAAACTGTCCCCCCACCCAAATCCCGAGCCAGCGGACGAGGGAGTAACATCACTTCGCCCATTTGGGCGGCTGAGATTGGACGGTTCACTCGGATTGCCGCCATCAGTGGACTTGCCACTGGACCAGGCGTTGGTCGTTGACCGTACACTCCCGTAGCCGTTCAAGGCTCCGTGTTCGTGTTCGGTTTGCGCATGGGCATGTCCACGATGCAGCTGGGGGCTGCCCCACGGGTCGGATTCTAACCCACCCATCGAGTCGCGTCCGGATCGGCGTGACTGTACGGAGCTCGGCTCTGGCAGAGGGTGAGAGGAGGGGGGTGGCGTGGTTGGGCGCTCATGCGAAAGAGTCGACATAGTGGAGTCCTGTTTCGCGCGCAACGAATCTAAGTACGAACTTTTTGGTGGTGGTAGCGCTGTAGTTCAATGAGTTAGTTTCCTTCTTCTTCTTCTTCTTCTTTTTTTTTTTTTTTTAAATTTCCCCTTTCGCACAGTGCGCAAACGTAAAAAAAAGAAAAAAGAGAGAACAGAGGTGTCATTCATACTCTTACGCCGGTCGTCTACCGTATCAAATGTCAGATCTTCGCCTTCCTGCGCAAGACCCATCAAAGCCAATAATACGCTGAACTCGCCACGACCCAGCCCATTTGACCTGTCGATCTCTCCTGAGATAACAAGGTTGAGAATCTTGGCCTGATCAGTCGCAGAAATTCCACCACCGGAGAGGATCTCGCGGACAGCAGTCAAGGAGATGCCAGTTCCCACTCTATCATCGAGACTCAGCACCAAATCAAACGCATCAATATAATTCTCGGGGACATCTGTGTCAGGCAGCAGAGTCCTCACCAACTGTTGCTTGGAAGTTCTCTTGCCCGTGTTGCTATTCCAAGGCGAACCGGTGTCCAGGCCGTCGTCATCGGCGAATAGGGAGGAAGAGCCGAAATTGGCACTGGCGGCACCAAACGAAGGTTCGTCGGCAAAAAGGGAGGACTTGGACCTCTGAGCCGAATCAGCCGCTGAGGAATCGTCTGGCGAAGTGCCAAACAGGGACATGAAGGACGATCGGGGGACCGTGATGGTCGAGGCGAGGGGGGGGGGTTGTCGATGAGGAGGCGCAGTTAGTTCACTTCGGTCGGGGAGATAGAGGAAAAGATGGAGACGGGCGATCAGCAACACAGGCAGAGAGGGGATAATAGTACACTAATTAATTGTAATAAAAAAGAAAAGAAAAGGAAAAAAAAAAGGAGAAGAGGGAGAGATTATACGTGAGGCGTGGGAAAGAGGACCTGCTTTCCCTGAGCTGAAGGTTGATGATTAGGAGAAGAACGCGAGGGAGGTTGATGTCGCGGGCGGCAGCTAGTCAGTCAGTCACAACCTTAGCCGGTTTCTCTCAATCTTGGGTTAGGGAAGAAGATAGTCTAGTCCTTCACGAATTTTTACCAAAAAAATTATTCATAGATTCATCCTATATATACATGACGTGTAGTGGTGAACAGGAACTATCATGGAGTGGCAGTTAACTGGTTCCATCGCCTGAGCCCTCGGACACTGGCTCACTTTCCTCTCGAGTCTGCCCGGTGGAGGGCATCGCGAAGTACCCATTCTGCACCAGGAGCTCTTGCCACTCCTTCATGCCTGTCGCAAGGATCCGAGATGGATTCACATTGGGAGTAAACCATCTCTCCTTGCGGGTCTCTGCCTTACTGCCTCCCTCCAGCGCGGCTCGACTGGCCCGCGTAGTTCGGATGCGTTTGGGGCCTTTGCTACCACCACTCAGGAGCCCGCTCAGCTCTAGTCGGTATTGTTCAAGGCGGAGATCGAATGTGATGATCGATCGAACGTATGGAACTAGGTCTTCCGCGACTGACCGCAAGGTATATTCAAATGATGGCTCTGCCCGTCCGTTGGGTGAAAGCGCGTAGTCTGGTTTTATAACGGGGCCCAGAGCTTCGAAGAGCTCCATTCCTGGTGATGTGATCGTTCTAGGCTTGGGAACGGCCTCCAGCACCTTCCTAGCCTGCTTTGCTTCGACATCAGGATCGCGTTCTTGCCGGAAAGCTTTGCCAATGAAAGCCTCACAGGCACTGCCGATTTCAATGGGTAGCGCCGTATAGTCCGGCATATGATCAGCATTCAGAAGCTGATAGCCTTCGATGTAGTTCGGGTTTTGCTTCTCAGACAGGAAAGGAATGGAAAAATCAATGGCGTCCTGCGCACTGTTAGCCTCAGGGTGAAAAAGGCTCGGGAGTAGTAAGTTTACCGTTCGGGGTTCCGGGGAGCAGCCAGCGGTCAAGACATCGAAGGCGCTTCTCATCGCCATAAAGTCAGACTGCTCACAAAGGTGATCGAAGAGCTTCAGCTTCGATGCGTTCGGATCTGGATTTGACCATGAATGATTGTGTGAATCTTCCATGCTTTCGGACTCTTGGAAGCTAAGCTGCCACCAATGAAACGCCTCTCTTTGGAGCTCAAGGTCGCTGGCTAATGGCTTACTGCCTACTAGCATATCACGGCTGAACCAGCCCATGAATTCCTGATAGGTGTCGATGCTGAGTACTCGCAGTGGGTCTCCGTTTGCGTCAAGATCTGTGCCTCGCGGCCACCTGTCCATCATCCAGTCCAGTCCCGATTTTTCACTTCCAACTGCCATCTGGCACCAGAAATTTAATTCCATGATTGATCGTCGAAGATCATGACCGGTGATTCGATAGAGCTTCTCAACTGCTTTTCGCTTCAGGACGTGGCCCTCATTTGCGGCCACTAGAAGTAGGTAATCGACTGCCAGATTCGGTGGAGGAGCTCGATATCGGAGGATGGCATGGAATGATATATCGTCGAGAGGAAGAAGACTCTCGTCATTGCAAGTGATGACAATCGGACGCTTAGACTGATTAATGAGAGTAAGCACTCCTGACCAAAACTGCTTGTCTTCTTCAAAGAGAAGATCCACCTCTTCTAGCAGAATCAGGGATTGCCTTTGACTTCGAGCTCGCTTTGTATAGGTTTTTTTCGTATCTGGCTCGGACCTTTCATTGCTGGTCTTCGGAGGCCCGGCGGTCGGCGCTTTGAAAAATCCCATGAGCTTACTTTGGTTACTATCTTCTAGCGGATCGCTCTGGGAATTTGCAAGGAGGGGTTGGTTGCTGGTAGGTTCTTCGCAGTTGGCACCGTGGACGAGGTGATTCTGGGCCATATCTCCAATACGATCCACAATGTCTTTTGCACTCCGGCGACTGCCTGCATTAATTTCGAAAACCTCAAAATCAAGTTCTTTAGCCACTGCATAAACGGACGCCGTTTTCCCACACCCCGAAGGACCGCTGAGCAGAATAGCATTGGACATGCGGCCCCTATCGCCGCCGGATTTCAGGTGGAATGTCAAGTCACCAGAACGAACAACGGTTCTCTTGTTTGAAACTGTCACGTCGCCTGCTAGTTCGTCATCAGAGCCGTTCACTTCGTCCATCTCGGAGGCCTCATCCTCGCTAGAGACGATGAATCCATCCAGCTTGTCCGACTTCTTGCGTCGTTTCCGCTTCTTCTCTTCGGCCTTCCGTTTGGTCTTCTCGTTCTCCTTCGATGGCTTACCCGTATCGACGGCCAGGACCATTAAATTCTTTAGCCAGTCTCGAAGCATGAATGCTTCTTTCGTAGCGCAGAGAACCTGCGGTGCTGCATTTGGGGCGTATTTCTGAGCCCATGTGTGCGTGTCAAACTCCCCGCGGTCAAAAGCAGTCATGGAAGAAAGCAGAGACGAATTGAGCTTCACAATAGCTGGATGGTAGTTGGTTCCTGGCTCGTTTGTTGAAGATTTCGAAAATAGTCCAGATAGTTGTTCCGCCATAATCGTCTGCAAAGCTAGCCCACTAGTAACTTGCCTCTGCGGTATCCTTAATAGTGGCCGTGACTCCCCTGCATCGTTTACAATTAAGGATAGCACATTTTCACTATCATGAATTTGAATGGCGGCCATCTTGGATTTCCTGTGGTCTATTTCCACGGGACAGGGGAGGTCTTCATCTTGCATGTTGATATCAGAGATATCTCGTACGTGTGTGAGGCCTCGCGGGGGCCAGATTGGGTATATAGGCTCGGGAAATTTGAGAGACTGTCTGAATGACACCGGTGCCTTGGAGAAAAAACTCGACGGTGGGCGGGAAGGAGCAAATTTCCATAGTTCCTCTCTCTCCGACTCTGTTGGAGTGGAATCGTGGGATGGCGAGTGAGGAGGGGATATCTCAGACTTGCGTATTGCCTTCTTCAAGAAGAATGGGTGAGTGGGCTTGGGGGGTTGCGTTTTCTTCGGCGCGGAGGACTCAGGGGGTGTGGGAATAGCTGGGAGTGATGTAGGGGTAAATTTTGCTCTCCCATTGATGATGTCGTCAATTTTCTTCCCTAGAATTTCGGATACTCCTTTATTGCTATATTTGATAACCACCACTTTCTTCTGGCCCTGCTTCCCACGTTTGTTGCCCTTCGCTTTTTTTGATCGGTCCGAAAGCTTGTCTGCAACAGGGGAACTGAGAAGTTTCCCATTGGGGTTTAGTTTTAGTATGATGCGCTTGGTGGGGGTGTTACTATCTGGGACAGAGCTGCTAGGTGTAGAGTTTGTGTGGTTAGCTGATGGCTGGGGAGACGGGTGTTTGTCCCCAGACGGATTCATTGCATTGGTAGGGGGTGCGGAATCGTAGGGCTCTGGTATTATCCGCGTTTCCGCCACAGGGTCACTTGTAGCTAAATTGCTAGAGAGGTGTAGAGGTGGGTTGCTGTTAACAGACAGCGTTTCATCCTCTGCCAGGGCTGATGGCTCATTACTTGTCTTCCGTCTCTTCCTTCGGTCCGCATTGGGATCAGGGTCGAGCATAGCAACGGGGGGACTCGCGTGAGAGGCAGGCGAGCCAACGTGAACGTTATTGAGGGCGTCATGACTATTAGTTGCCTGCTCATCTAACATTTGCTGAGTTCCGCATGGGGGAGCGCCGGCACGAAGGAGGGCGGCGTCCACGGGGGTTGGAGGTACAGGACCGGTCGATATTCCAAAATCTGCAAAGCTATGAGTATCCAGCAGGGAAGAACAAGTAGAAACTGCAACAACCTTTTCGAAAAAAGGGATGGATGGCTCGCTGCTCTCCTTGTCCCATGGCCATTGATTATCCAATTGCCCTAAACGGGCAACGTCTCATCGCCTGACGATGATTGAGTTGAGCGAAGGGGAGTAAAACATGAGGGAAAACCAACGACTGAGTGGGGGATGTAGTTGGGACTGTGATCTCACGACAAAGCAGCAGCTTCAAACGCGACGAAAGATGTGGGTTCCCTGTGCGAAGTCTATAGTAACTATAGCATCAAGGTTCAACCACGAAATTGCGGCCAAAGAACGCGAAGAAGCGCGTATTGCGAGACGCCAACTTATCGCTCGCCGTACGTCATTTTACCGTACTGTATCTCAATACGCACTAGTCCTAAGATGGTGTAGTATCATCGGAAATCGGATTATTGTGCAGCCGGAAATTTTTCGAGATTCCGCCGATACAAAATGAATTTCTTCAGCAAGCTGCTTGTCTCCGGCTTTCCAGCGGCCAGAGTTGCCCCATTGCGATAATTCCTCATTCCAAGCTCTCTCGCCATGGATTTGCAGCCGCCGTCTGTGTTGGCGCAATTGCCGCGTCCCTTGCACGCCTCCACAGGGAAAACTCACATCAGTGAGGTCTATAGTTTGGCCGACTCAAAGAAGCGCAAGAGATATGAAGTCGCAGTTGCGGTAGATGGGGAGGCCGTGAACATCTACAATGTACGTTCGATGGCTACAATTGACTGATAGACTGCAGAATTAACCATATCATGTGTCTTTCAGATCCAAACCCCCAAGTTGGTCACCTCATATGCCGTCCCACCGCAATCTTCCTTCTGCTGCCAGCCGTGTTCGTTGCGTAGGAAACTCCCAAAGGGGTCGGCAGTGAAAAGGCAGACGTTTGTTGCAGTGAAAAAGGAAATAAAGTCTTTTCTTGAAGAGAGTGGTGGAAGCGGATCAAGCGCGCCTACCATTTCTTCCTCAACTTTCACAATCACCGATTCGAGCAGCCCGACCGTTTTCATTGGCATTGTACCGGGTCAAACTACGGAGGATGAGGAAGAAGAGCCCTTTGACATTCTAGCCGTTCATCGTGATGGACGTGTGAGGAGGCTGTCTCCTGATCTTGGGAGTCAGCGATGGAGCATCCAGCATAGCGAGCTTGCCAAGGGCAGCCCAGCGACTGAAGTTCACGCCTCTTTCCTCCTCGAACTCGACGAGGCGAAAAAGTCCCTATTGAAAAAGAGACCGGATCTAGTCTCTCTTTCCCTGGGAGATTTGGCGCATCCTGACGCTGACGAGCCGTCGATTCTGATGCTTGTTTCGCACCCTGCGGGTGCGATTAAGTTGAGTGACGTGAAGGTCCACCTGTTCTCCGTTCCTGCGACTACTCCATCCTGGAGTAAGAGTCTGGACGAGAGCCAGCAGATGCGACATTTGTTGACTATGAACCTTCCGGATATCCCCGAGGTAGAGCAACTTGAGACACTCGGGCTTCAGTGGCACTTTCACTCTGGGTCCGCAGGATTGAATTTGTCTTTTGACAAGGGATTCATCAACTTTGATCTCTCTCAGTACGCTCCCACCGTGATCTCGAAATTCATTCTTGATGGAGAAGATTTCTCATCCCTTATGCGCATCTCTCCCCAGTCCGTTATCGCAGCCGGGAAATCAATGGTTGCTTTGTATGATACACAGTACAAGTCTATCCAGCGAAGCATTGCGACTGGGGATCTCCCGGGGGCATCCAGCCCTAGTAGCGCCAAGACGCGCACTGTGTTTATTAGCCATTTTGCCAAACTCGACCTCGTCGTGGCAACCAAAGGCAGCTCTCTGCTCGCTTTTGACCTCGCCTCTTCGCAAAATACCTCCGGGTCGAAGCGGTCTCGCGACGGTCTCCTGATCGATGCAATTGGGCGGGGTCTTGGTTCTGGCGCGGCAAAATGGGAGGGACTATCGAAGAAACAACGTTGTGATAATCCGGTGTTGGGCCTCTCCTCGTCTGAGGAGATCGAAAAATGGAATAAGCTGACCAAGGAGCTACGCGACCACGCAAAATCTAAGGACACCGACGCCTTCGACCGTGGCGTTCAGGCCTACTTTGGCACCCGCGCGTCGAACGCTCTTCCGTCGGCAGGGCAATACCTCAACCCCGAAAAGATCCTGTTTCTGCTATCCTTAATTTTCACTGTAGAGGGCGACACCCCCAAAGATAAACTCTCAGCATCGTCCACGATCCAGATGTCTGTCTCCGTGTGGCCAGAGCACACCTGCCGATGGCTCCTTGAGCAGGGACATCTGTGCCCCGGCAACGTCGAGGCCGCTGTGCGACGGGCCTTCAAGCCCCGTATTCTTCCTCAACTGCCATGCGGGTCCTTCACGCAAGCCATCAAGGACTCAGATCCTTCCCTGGAGCGCCTGATATCCGCCCTTCAAGGCCCTGCTGCCTTCAGCACCGATGAAATCGCCCAAGCGCTCAAGCTCCTCCTGAACCAGGCACGCACCTGCGCCTTGCCGGACGAAGAAGAGCCCCCCAAAGCCCTGACAAACGGCGAGTCAACACCAAACGGCGTCCCCGATCCTAGCAACACAAGCAACGAGCTCTGCCTGCCCTCACCCGCACCACCCCTCGCAAACATCTTCCGCGGGCTCAACACCGCCCTCCTGAAAATCCACACCCACCCGCTCCCAACCATCGTATCCTCTCTCCGCTCCGCCCTCTCCAGAACCGAGATTATCTCCATGATTTACCATCTCCGCCTCTCCCTCGCGACAGGCGGCCACACCTCGCGATTCACCGAGACCCCACCAACCCCGATCACCCCCAACCTGACGACGCCACCACTGCCGCTATCCACCATCATCGACCTCCTGAACGTCTCCATCGACGCCATCGGCCCCTCGGGCTGGATCTCCGCAACCGACTTCAACGACACCACCTCGCGCGACGTCTCCCTCATCGCCGAAATGAAGTCCGAAGTCTCCGCCGCCCTCGCCGGCGTCGAAGAAGCCACCTTCCTAACCGGTATCCTCCGCGAGTACATCCGCTACGCGCAGCAGAGCGCCGCGACCTCCTCTGTGTCCGTGGTCCCGAGCCATCTCGACCACGCCGTCTCTCAAGCCGTGGCGTCATCCAACACCGCCATCCGCCGCGAGAAGCTCAACGGCGCGGATCTCCTGGTTTTCGGAGGAGCCGCCGCGGGCGCAGCCCCGGATGAAGACGGGGACGGCCTCGACGCAGACGCAAGCGGCAAGTTGCTTCCGTTGTCGCTCAGGGCGGCGTCGGACGTCAGCAAGACCAAGGTCATCAAGGCCACCGGTAAGGTGGTGCAGAGGAGTAAGCGTGAGATTGGCTATCTGCGGCGCAAGGCGGCTGGGAAGTACACTTTTGAGAGACTTGTTTTATAATAGAGATATCCTCTTTTTTGATAAAAGTAAAATGAATGAACAGACTTCGTACACTTCTTGGCTTCTGTTATACTGTTGCTTACAGGGTCCTATCTACTAAGTAAGGCTTGCGCACAGGAAGGAAAGGAATGAGCGAGGTAGGAAGCTCAATGACATTGGATCCAATATGTACAGGTCTGTATATAGATATCTATGTACATGAATATAACAAAGGCCGTCCCCCCCCCCCGTATATCGCATCCATAAGGTAAACATCAACAGGATACCAACAGCGAAGGGGGGACTGGAATTATTTCCACTTGCCCAGCTCTTAGCAATCTTTTCCATTCAAATAAGTGAAAAAAAAAAAAAAAAAAAAAAAAAAAAAAAAAAAAAAAAAAAAACCACCACAAAGCACAAAGCACCTAACATAAGGTTCGCAAGATTACCGCGCAGCTGATGTCAAAGTCTCACCACCTGATTTTGGGGGGAAAGTTCGAATCTCACTTGGGTTTCTTGAGATACATGCAACGAACAAGGCTTCTTTCAATTATACGGCACACATACACACACACATACACACACAGAGTATTAAAGATGACGCGACACGGTAGGAAGAGTTGAAGAGAGGCAAAAGAACATGGGAGATCGTCTCAGGGAAGAAAAAAAACAAAAAACAAAAAAAAAAAAAACAAGAGGAGGGTCATGACGCATAGCATAATGAATCAATCTGTCAAGTCACGCAACACCTGTGTATAGCAGCCGAGGTAAAGTAATACAAATCGAGCCCGTAAAATGTAACCAAAAGTCGCCCGCAATTGCAATGTCGTAAGGGTTAAAAACAATATCAAAACAATAAAAAAAAGGGCCGAGTTAGAGCTCCAACACGTTGATTATCGCTTCAGCAATAATATATTTGGGAAGGCGGAGGCGGGAATTGTTTTTTTTTTTTTTCGACTTCGTAGGAGAACTGGTTGACAGCAGATGGAGACAAAATTTGGCAGCCGAATATTTCGCACTCTGCGATTTTCGAGGTTGAAAGCGGGAGAGGGGACGAGAATTCGCGCTTTGTAAGGAAAACGTATGCTATATTAAAACCCTCCCAGCAATAAGAAACGAGCATGCATCATCTGGCGACACGAAAGATTACAATAACATAGGATATCGAGGGCGCACGGGAGCCAGGATGTGCGCATAGTTTCGGATATAAGTCACACCAAGAGAGAAAGGTAACAGGGAACAGGTTGTTGCTGATACAAGGCAGGGGAATGCTCATGCATTAACTTGGCCCAATGTTGAATTTTCCGCACGCTCTTTCAACCTCATAGCCTGAGACTCTAGGGATCGAGCCATAAGCTTCATTACTAGGGGTGGGTCAGATAGTGCTCATGCACGCAAAACCAGAAAGAGTCATCCACAACTTACCTGGCCACACAGCAGCCCTGTCAAGGAGACTGGCTGTGGCAAGGAGAATCTTGGCTCCATAACCTCCGTCCACTGTACTGGGAAGCCGCCGTAAAACACCCACAGAAGCCACGGTTACACCGCTCTGGCTATCCTTTTGTACTTTTTGTTCTATGCTGGCAAGAATCTCTCTGATCTTTCCCAACAGCTTGCAATCTTCGTCCTCGAGCAGCATGAGATCAACTGCTTGGACAAAATTAATTTCGTCTCGACCAAGGATACCCAAGTACGGTCCAACCCTTTCCTGAATCGCGGTAGCCCACTCTGCAAGGACCTGGGCACAATCAAACGCACACATTGCACTCTGGATCGGTAGCTCACGACAGGTAAATTCGGCGAAAGTGTTTCCTAGACGGTCAGACATGGAAATTGAATCTGCAGCGTAAAATGCGGCCTTTCGCAGTAACTTTTCGCGTTTGGACTGGCCTGGTCGATACACACCCAAAAGACTTTGCATTGGCTGTTCCTGGGTAGTAGGTGTCTTTGATATCGCAAGATCACCGACCCCAAGGTCCATCACCGAATCGCGTCGAAGATCTCTTTGAGTGAGGTCTTTTGTGATGGAAGGGTCTAGAACGTCAGATGGAATGTTGTCAACATGGTTATCCATGTCGGTTCCACGTGCCAACTGATCGGCCATGGCATTCCAATCGCGTTGCCAAAAGGCCTCCTTGCACCGTCCCAGATTCACGAACAAGCGAACATAAGCAAGATCGAGCAGAGGGATACTGTCTGCGGAAAGAGGACCTGCTCCGTAGGGATTAGGTCGCTCCAGGCTGTGAATTGGATTCCTGGCCCACGCAGTCTGCCACGCTCGTAGAGCGGGTTCAATATGAGCTTGCATGGCATCGGTCTCTTTCCATGTCCATTGTCGACCCATGTGGCGTTGTCTAGTTTCCCAAATATAATTATGTAGAGCGTAGATCAGGACCAGACAGCCAAACGTGCTTGGTTTGAGGTCGCTGCTCTTGGGGTCATCGGAGGGAATATTGCTGCCGGGTGCCGAGGCCTGCTGCTGCTGCTGCTGCTGCTGCTGCTGCTCTCGTCGACCCGCCGTTAGAAGCACGGTCAATGCAGATGAAAACGAGACCGAGTTCTTGGCGGCCACAAGGCCCCCGAATTTCTTCCAAGATTGAGGCGATTCGGTGGCCCAAAGATCCTCTTCACAGGGTAGATCAAGGCGAATCTCCGAGTTTGTTAGAGCAGGGGCGTGATTGTAGGCAGAGACTAAGAAGCAGGACACGGCAAAAATGGCGTAGAGGGTTCGTTTCCGCTCCTCGACCACCTTCCAGTCCAACCAGTCTTTGCGCTCCTTTGAACCCAAGGCTGCTTGGCTCCACTCACCAGAGTCAGGGCCTATGCCTGGAGCATCCGATCCACTGGCTAGGCTAACGGTTAGGTAGTCTTGCGGAAGATGTTGGGCGTCTATATGGCGGGTCAGCTCTGCTGCACGGGCCAGACTGACGAGAGCTGCACAGTGAGTGCTTGCGATATCAGCGGAAGTCTTATCGCCGCACGTATGGCCATAGATCACATTGAGAAGCATAGCTTGGACGAGCCAAAGAGGAGTGTTATGGACTGAATTGTCGCGCATGCTGTTGGCTCGACCGACAACGGTTGATAAATCTGCTTTTCGGCGCTCTTCGAGGTAAAGTTGGATCATCTTCTTGGCCGCGTCGAAGAGCTCCTTGGAAGCTGCGGTGTCAAATTCGTACAATGCCCCAATAGCCGCCATGGAGAGGATTAAGCAGCCGCCACCGCCGGACACGCCTGTGGAGCTCAGATTAAGATGGCCACTGGGGGTGCGTAGGTTGCTGGTGTATTCGGGTGCTTGAAAATTGAGGGTCGGAATGTGCAGGAACGGGAAATGGGGGTGAAAATAGGTGATGTAGGCGGCAATATAACGCTGCATGTCTGCGGTGCTCGGGAGTTGGCTGTTCGGGGATAACGTGGAGGAACGGGAGTAGAGATCGCGATAGTGAATCATGCCGGTGGCGGGCTGCGAGTATTTACGGTGATTGAAGCAGCCGGTCGGTTGGGCCATACTGGCTAGTAAAGCCCGTCGTGTGGAGTCCGTAAAGGTATCCGTGGAGGCTGGGGCAGGGTGAGTTCGTAGGGCACTATTCGCGAAATGCAGGTTGAGAGGATTAGGAGATTCTCCGCTTGCTGCCATAGAGGATGGAAACATACTCTGCGAGTGTCCCGCCAACATGGGCTGGCCCACTGAAGTCATGGACGGCGGAGTAGCATAGGTTTCAGCAAACGGATTCTGAGCCATTAAAGACCTGGGCGAGACGGTCTCGGGCGGAATGCCTAGATCGTTAAAAGACGGAGTGGTATAATCCGAGAACTGGGTTGGCGGCGCCGTGGTATGGGGTGGGAACGGGTTCCGCCAACCGGCCGCGGGCGTGGAGTAATGGTTCGACCCGTCCATCATAGCCTCGCTGATTCCACTCTGGCTGCCGGTACTCATGGCGGAGGGGGAGGACTCATCAATTGCCGATTCATTGTTCTTACCCATTGGCATGGATGGGTCGAACCGATGCATCCAGTCGAAGCTGAAATCGTCTTCCATCATTGCATCCGTAGTCGGCGGCATGTGGTGAGCACCACCGTGGGTGTATGGGGACGAGGGTGAGTCGTTCCCGTAGCCTTGCGGGGAGCCGCCAAAGTGAAGCTGAGCTGGATTAATGGTACTGCCATGGCCCATGAACATTTCGGGGATGTTGAGATCGAAGCTGCTATATACCGGAGCAGTCCGAAGGCTGCCCGTGAGGTCCATGGGTAAGCCAGCCGTTTCCAATTTGGTCAGTCCGTTGACGGGAGTTGGATGAGTTAGGGGGAAGCCTCGATAATCCAGATTCGAACCCACCGACGCAGAGCCAAGACTGGGGTGGTAAGCATGGCCCGAGTGACCTGGTGGACCCGCGGCGGCTGGGGGGGTGGTATTGACCAGGCCCAGCGAGGCGGCGTCGATGTGACTGATGGTATTCGCGCGGGGGCGCATGGTACTGGAGTTGCTGACTATCGAATTCTTGCGCACACGATTTGTTGTGGCTCCCGCGGCGCCCGTGCTCTCTCTCCTGGCATTTCTTGGGCGGGATGACGGGGTAGTTGTCATGTGCAGTTTTTGTTGGTGCCTGAGAAGCAGGTCTCGTCGAGCGAAACAGCGCGCGCAGTCTGGACACTCGAAGGGCTTCTCTTTTGTGTGGGAGCGCTCGTGCCGCTTGAGATGCTCGAGTCGGGCGAAGGAGCGACCGCAAGTGGTACACCCGTGTGGCCGTGGCTTGTCTGTCTTCGGGGGCGGGATGGTATTCGGATTGGGATCTTTTTTCGAAGAGTCGTCCTTGACCGATGCTGCTCCCATTAGGAATCAACAACGTCCGCCGCCGCCGCCGCCGCTGCCGCCAGAACGTGGAACTTACCTGTCATATCCCCGGGGACCTCTGAGATACTGGTGAGGTCCTCCATTTTGGGGCTGGTGCCCGGATCTTGACCCACCATTGTATCCACTAACATCCTCCGACGGTCTATGGACGATTGGGAGGCAGGTTTTGGATGCAGGATTTCAGTGACAGCCGCCACCAAAGTACCGGAAGTGAAAAGCGGAAGGCAGTTAGTAAAGCTTCCACATTTGACGGGTGACTATTGATTATTAGGGACAGATCAATCTGGTGAGGAAAGAAATGGAATATCAGAAGAAGAAAAACAGACGAGCTCTTGCGATAAGCAGAGGGTTGAGGGAATAATACTCACGGAAAGAGAGATCACTGGGGATCGTGAGCAGGTGGGAGGTGGCGAAGTGGTTCCTGAGGTCTCACCTCGTAAGTCAGCGGGAAGGGGGTAGGTAGTTAAGGTTTCCTCAGACCCAGGGGAAAACCGATGGAGGCGACCAACTTCCAGATGGACAGAGAGAGAGAACAAAAAGGAGCATGAACAAGAGGGGGAGAGAGAGAGAGAGAGAGAGAGAGAGAGAGACAGAGAGAGAGAGAAGGTCGGGAATATAGGATGAGAGAGGTTCAATGGATCAGCCCGGAGATAACCGAGTGAGAGGTGAGCGTATAGGAAGAGAAAGTAATAGTGACTACGGAGTACTTACGGAGTACGGAGTACTACCTAGTAGGTACCTAGGTCCTAGGTCCTAGGTCCTACCGTCCTAGGTAGGTACCTCATGCCTAAGTACTGTTTTACCTCCAGTACTACTACTCCGTACCCCGGTGACTTGTCGCGGGATAAACCCATGCAGAACACTACCCAATCATAACGTTGCAGGTGGGGAGTGGAGTCGAAGCAGGGGCCATGACTGGGTCAGAGCTAAGGAGGGGCCCCACAGGGTGCAGTCACGGGGGGAAGACACCGGCCTTGTGCTATCTCGGAACAGCCAATCAGAGGCAACTCGGGAACTCAATCCTGGTGGTTTTACGACCTTTACAGCCACGCACGTTGTTCCAAATCTCCACGCAGTTGTACCTGGGTCCTTAGGTACCTCCCTAGGTACCTCTTTTCTTTGACTCCTTTGTCGGATCAATGGCTTACATTTCCGTGGCTTGCTCGAAGTTCTAGAAACGAGGGATATCGACCCGTTGCAGTGGCTGAGCATCATGTCGGATTCCGAATGCTTCACTCTCCAGTGGGGACGTACTGTTGATCCGGGGTGGCCTGGAATTGACCTCGACCTTGCACGGTCCTCACCACCGATCATCATCAAGCTCCCGGAGGACTACTGTCCGAATCTTTCAATCTAGTCGGGGGAATCCCTCCGTCTGAGAAAGGCAGACTTTCATAATTGGTGTGATTTGTTAGGATCATCCCTCCCTCATTCACCACGGTGCAGAATTAGCCAAATTAGCGGCCGCCACTGGCAGCGTCCGAGAGACCGACTAGGAGAGAGAGAGAGCTTTACCAGTGACTTGTGTTGGTTGTATTTACACTGTATCAGTGTATCTCCATGAATAGAATTGATCTTCAAGGCTATTATTAGTACGGGAGAGTAAATTTCCTATCCGGACACTCAGATATAACCAACGCACTGGGCCTCCTGCCACCTCGCATCCAGCTCGAAAGGCACTCAAAAATTGGTCCCTGCAGCCGCAGGCGGTGGTTGGTGGGTGGGTGGGTGGGTGTATCATCTTCTACCCAGGTGATATCACGGATTGACTAGGATGATGCGTACGGTAGGAGAGAGAGTGAAAGTCCTCTGTAACACTTGTGAAAAACGGGCCGAGTTGGATTGGATAGCGAACAAGCACTAATGCACACTTCAGCTGTCGACATACATTAGTCGTATTGATCCCATCATGCGGGTTTCTGTAAAAAGTCTCCGTGCTCTGGTAGACATCGCATATGCAGGCGTCTTCCTTTCCGTATGACAACTGCTTACTCTACCTAGGTAGAGACTACCCAGGTAGCTTGGTGAACTCCTATCAGGATCTCTAGACATGACGACGATCGTTGAAACCGGAACCAGAATTTGAAGGATAATGAATGCACATCCGGATATCCAGTACCCGAGTAAGGATAGCACGCACAGCTCACCAGTTAGTTCACCCGGGTCGTACTCGGGATATTAACTGATTGCATGATCGAATTTCATCCTTTCCCCCTAAGCAGAACAGGTTACTGATCTACCCTTGCTTAATATAAGAAAAGAAAAGTCCCGTACTTTATACACCATGTCCTAGGACATCAGTTGGGCGATATTGAGTTTAGATAGGAATCAGTTCGATGAGAAAAGACCTGGTAGGATCTGATAAAGCAATTGAAGTCTATACCTCCGTCCTATTATCACCTACCACATCTTCTCCCACCACCGCCGGGGCCCAGTGCATCCGGGCCAATTCCTCCCGTCGTCGTTCCGCAACCCCGCCGGCTTCCCAGACCTGACACTCGGCATCGACCTCGGCTTTGCCCGAGTGGATGTCGGCCGTAGCCGGATCGGCAAAGGACGTTTTCCGGAATCCCTTCCAGAAGACAAACAGGACCACCCAGAGGGCGATGCCGAAATACGAGGTGACGAAGCCCTGCGTGCTCCAGGGCGAGAAGACCGTGAAGCCATTGAACAGGACCACGAGCGAGCCGATCACCAGAGCGACGTAGGCCGCGTACGGCATCAGGGGCGCTGCCCACGGGAGGAAGGTCTGGCGGTCGATGCCCTGGGCCTTGAGCGCGCGGTGCCAGCCCACGAAGACGATGAGCATGTTGGTGTACGTCAGGATAAAGGCGCAGGTGGTGAGATCGACGAACCAGTAGAAGACCGTGACGGAGGACGTGGAGGCCACCAGGAAGGTGACGCAGGAGACCAGTGACACGGCGAGCACGCAGTAGATCGGGACGCCGGACGCCGTGCATTTCAGGAGAACCCGCGGCGCTTGGCCGTCCCTTGCCAGGGAGTAAAGCGTGCGGCTGGAGCTGTACAAGTACGCGTTCCCGCAGGACCAGCCCGAGAGGAGAATGAGCACGTTGATCAGGTCTGGCAGGCCCTGGATGCCGAGGTTCTGGATGCCAATGACCCAGGGGGAGGCCGCCGAGCCCTCGGATCCGTTGTTGAGGGCTTCCAGCAGACGGGGGTCCTGGGGGTCACAGATGATTCCGACGGCGAGGGATCCGATCACGTAGAAGGCGATGATCCGGTAGAAGATCATCTTGACCACGCGCGGGATGGTGAATCTGGGATTCTGGATCTCCCCGGCCGCCAGCGCAGGGAGATCGGGCCCGGCCACGGAAAACCCGGCATAGATCACCACGTTCAGCCAACCCAAGAACCGACCCAGATCGCCGTCGGTATAGAATTCATACATCACGCCACGTTTCCAGTGGCGGAAGCCGTATCGGTCATGGTTGGGGTTGCCGCCCAGCATGGTAACGAAGGTAATGAGGATGAGGCCGATCAGGAGCAGCACCTTGGTCGAGGCCATGATGAACTCGCTTTCCCCGTACCATTTGACCCCGACCAGATTGATGGCGGTGCAAACGACCATTGCCATGGTGACCCAGACGGCGGGATTCACGCTCGTCGTCCAGTATTGCATCACGGTTGCGACGGCCGAGTACTCGACACAGACCAGCATCAGTCCGCCATAGAAATACAACCAACCCCTGGAAGATGATACATTAGTCTAGTCAACTTGTCCCAAGAAGCACCGCAGCCAGAAGAAACGTACATCGCAAATCCAAACGCCGGGTCAACGTATCGAGCCGCAAGCTCGAAGATAGACCCTCGAATCGGCAGGTAGGCACACATCTCGCCTACACACAGGTTGCACGGCCAAATGAACAACAGTCCGTAGAAGAGGTACCCTAGTATAAGGGACAACGGACCCGAAGACTGCAGGTAAGAACCGATTCCAACAAAGAGACCCGTCCCGATACTCCCGCCAATTGCCATCAACTGCACATGTCGGGGGGAGAGCCCTCGTTTGGTCTGGCCATAGGGTGAGATTATGCCCACCTCGCTCGGGACGGAACTATCATTGATCGAGGGTGCCTTTTTCTCCATGTTTGTGATTGACTTTTAAGATCGAATACCTACGCTGTAAGATCTGAGCCCCAATTTATACGCATGCATGAAGCCCTTTCCTCCCTACACACTTCCCAAACCCCAATAGATGGCGACAGATATTAAGGGGGGGGGTGCGCGCGATAAGAACGTCCGTCGTTACTCGACCAGCAATGCGTCTTACCAGAAAAGGGAGGAGATCGCGGTGCTCAGACGGCCAAATGATAGCTTATCGAAGTGCCGAGGGAGCACCTGGAGAAGTTTAGATCTCGCGACGGCGGGTGAACGCCGGATGGGGAGAGATTATCTCTCCGTCCTTGTGGTACATATCACCAGCTACGCAGATTCCCCACATGTTTTCTTCTTCCCCTCTCGGGAAATAGTTACCACTAATAGTTAGAGAGGTTATTTATGGTGTAGATAGAGGAGTAGCTCCGAGAACGTTTTTTTGTTGCTGGCAAGATTCGCTGTATAAGCACTGGGCTCCCAGAGGCTGTAGAAGTACAGATTGCGGTAAGGAATGCTAGGAAACCATTCTCATGACATGGAACTGTGAGAAAGCCCGTAAATTTCAATCCCCGGTCTCACAATTCCTTTCCCCAGCAAGGCTTGCTTGCTTCTCTGCAGGGTCTAGGTCTCTAGCCCTGCTGCAGCGGATCCAAACATACCAGGGTAAATCCCACCCGGAGACCGGCTCCATCTGCAACGTAGCAAGTCAAAACTGTCCAGAGAGTGCACTGGTGCCAGGTTCGGTCAGGACCATGCATGGGGCGTGCTTCTTGCCGGGGTTGAATGGACTGGCGTGTTCAGACATGCTTGCTGGGTGTGAAGGTGAGCTGATTTCTGCAGAGCCGGTCGGGCCATACATATCCGAGGATGAGCTCTTGTGAGCTGTTTTCCACAAAAGGCGAAACTTGACGAGAGTCGTTGCATGCATGCATCCTGGTATTGATTATATCCGGAGAGTACTTTGGAGATAGTCTAGTGCGTTGGGTTGGTATCTCCTTCTATGCTTTAAGAACAATGGGGAGAGAGGACTTTACATGTACACTAACAAAACCATTCATATCCATACAATTCAAGAGATATAGATAGATAGATAGATAGATATATATCCGTGTGGGCGCTACTGCCCCGTCCCCCGTTGGATGCGCACTATTGACAAAGATCGTAGAATAGACTGGGAAGCCTGCTTCCACTCCCGCAACCACACGCCCACAAACCGTACAATCTCCTGATGCAAGTCGATAATCTCTTTCGGTGGCCTTTCGCCCCCCGCCCATTCGTCCCGGGACAGTCCATTCTGATCCCAGTGATGCACGGCGCCCTGGATCCCATCCCACACATGCTCGACCGGAATGTCAACGAGAATGAACGGCTCCGAGTCAGTCGACGGACGCGGCGGCGCACCTTGATAGTGCGGCGTTGCGTCGCGCCAGGGATCGGCGGCACCCCCGATAATCGCAGCACGAGGGTATGAGAAGTCGAGCCCGCCATACCTGTTGATCCGCTCCACCTTGGGCGGCGTGTGGATTGCGAACTCCGTGCCACAGAACGCCGACGTATACTCGAGGTCGATGAGCCGCGAGATCAACGGCCGGATGTGCGGCGGGACTGTCGAGCCGGGCATGAAATACCCCCATTCCGTGCAGACTTGGTAGCCCCAGCTGGTGTCCGAGGACTTGGGGAGGGTGGAGTTGCCGCGATCGGTGGTTTCGGTGTCGTCGTCGTCGTCGTCGTCGCGGGTGCTGCTAGACAGGCCTAGGAATCCAATGTCGTTGATGATAGCCGCGATGAGACTCGGGTCGGACGCATTGTAGCCCGCAATGTCGATGAGGTTGGGCACGAGCGCCGTCGCGTTGTTGTCGAGAGGGTACAGTGGTTCCGGGGAGGTGATGTTGTCACAGTAGCTGCGGAAATCGCCCGATCCGACGGCAGGATCCCAGTTACGGCTCTGGAAGAGACCTAATGGGCTGGAGAGCGCAGAGACAAAGTCCTGCTTGTCCACCGGAGGGGTGACTCCAAAGGCGGCTTGCAGTTGGGCATGCAGCGTTTTGTTGTGCGGGTGGTCGATGAGAATGCGATCGACGATGGCGGTAATGGTCTGAATCGTGTCGATGCAATCCGCAGGGCCGAAATTTCGGATAGGCTCATAGTACGTCCAGTAGTCAATGATAGCCGCTGTGACTCCAGAAGAAGACACTGCGCCCCAGAAGACTTCTGGGTAAAGCTTGCGGAGGAAGGCCGTCATGGCACCGGCGTACGACCCCCCATATGCAATCCATGGAGTTGCTGGGGCCGTCAGGTCGTGGTCTTCCAGTCCTGGGAAGACGACGTGAGACGCGAAATAAGCATAATCAGCCAGAGCTTGCTCGGTTGAGAGAAACCGTAAGCTGCTGGGGGTCACCTCCGCGGCCGGATAGCTCTCGCCATAGTATCGGTGCTCGAGGATTACCCCGACACCATGATAAGTGGCTGCGAGCTGGGTCACGATTCCTTGAGAAAGGAACGGAAACCGATCCTCGCCATTGGTCTCGCCTGCTGCGATCACAAAGACCGGTCCTCCAGGCCGGTAGTGGGTTGTATCAAACCAGTAGCGCAGGTTGAAAAAATCATCGGAATGCGGTTCGTATCGAGACTCATTATGAAAGTGGTCAATTGGGACAGAGAAGTTGTGTGCGGGATATATAACGTCCTGGGCCTGGGACAGACATGCAAAGGCACCCAGAACGAGCCAGAGAAGCAGACGCATTGTGACACTGGTTCTCATACACCCTCCAAGGGCTCAGTTGAGGAAGAAAAGAGTCGGAGAGGAAAAGACGGCCGAAATTCGTCAGCAATCGCGCGATGATCGGCAAGCCACTTTGCTTACGGAGTACGTCCGGAGTAGTGCAGGCTGTTATGTAGTCGGTTTAAGGATCCGCACTGGAGGATCATCCCTTGCAAGATAGCATTGCGAAATCTGCAAGAGGAGCTATTCATTTGGCTGACGTGGGATCTGAGTTGACAATCGAGGAGGAGACGGATGCAAAATCAGATTAGGGCATACATACTGGTCAAGCAGAACAACATCACGCCCGTCTCGCTTCGGATTGTACAGTGTACGAGCTGAAGAATTACTCTGTAGCTTTATAGTGGTTCCATAAAGAATTTATATCAATGTATAACTAACCTTGCGTCTGGAATGGTGCTTTATCGGCAAGGGACGGCGACTGGTCGAGGACGGTCCCAGACTACGAGGAGACCAGCTGCATTCTTCGCATCGCCCAAGTTTGTCTGTTCGTGTTACAGTATATTCTATCAACGGTCCTCTTCCACCGGTGACCTGTCACTAGAGATTTGCTTTTTCTCTGCGGTCGATATCACCTGCGGGGATCCGTGGCTGCAGAGGTTCGGTTCATTTTAGGGCATGGTGGACCGAGCTCAGAGATTTGAAACTGGAGCTTCGCCTTCCCCTATCCTGCTCCGTTCATTGCTTGGGTCTGGGTATTGGCGGGACATGGATTCTCTTGATCTAATTGAGGTGAAAGGAGACAGCAGCTAAATCAACAAGATGAAGCCTTAAAGTCGCTATACGATGACCCGTGGCAACGAGGCGACATTGAAAGTCAAGTACAAGACACCAAAGTGTAGTATGTGTCCTTCCTAATATATACAGTATGATGCCTAAAATGTATCTATGGCTAGGCTTGTAGTCTCTGGAAAGGCGACTCACGATGATGGGTCAAGGGCGAGGCTTTCGTGCGCGAACACGGCGCAGTAAGATGGGTTCTGACCAATTTTACAGTATATCACACTGTCCTCTATGTGATATAAGTTTCAACATAGGAAGGTAAGGGTATATATCCCAATATCGAGACAGTTGCAGTGGAAACATCGTTCTTCACCCGGCCTAATATCGTAAACCAGAACGTCAGATGGCTACAAAGATATTGGCCTTGTTTGCATACGGAATAGAGTACGGGCATTTATTTTATTTTATTTTTAATATTATAAAGGGCCGGTTTCCCTCACAAGCCATTCTCAGGTTATACAAACTTCTAGCCTCGGTTTCTGTCGGGGAATCTCAGCGCAGGGTGCGCTACGATACCTTCAGTCCCGGATTGAAGGATTCACCTGAGATTCAAGTTCTGGATCCGATTGATCTCCTTTCTCTATTAACACCGAGCCAGAATGAGTTTCAACCGCCCAGTTGGGAATGAGGACTATACTCAGTCCACGGTGGTGATTATAGGCGCAGGGATATCGGGTGAGCATGCGTCCTGGGTTGTCTCCTTACGAGGGATAGAGGTTCGGCACTAATGGAATAGGTATGTGTATGGCCATTGAGCTTCTCCGGCATCAGTGTCGCAATTTTGTGATCCTGGAGAAAGGAAGTGCGGTGGGCGGGACCTGGAATGATAACAGGTATCCCGGGTGTGCTTGTGATGGTACGCCCGCACGCGTTATCTTGCTTTGTATTCTGTTCTGGGCAAGGAGGGGGGTTAATGGGAGTAGTTTGGAGTGCTCTGTATAGTTTCTCCTTTGAGCAGCGAACCACCTGGACGCGGGAATACCCTGGTCAAGAAGAAATCCTGGACTATCTGAAGGGTGTCGCGGGAAAGTATGGTCTGTACTCGCATATCCGGTTCAACTCGACGGTCAACGAGGCGCGATGGGATGAAGACGCTCATCAGTGGAAGATCCAAGTTGGAGTATCTGGCGTCACGGATAGCCAGTTCCAAGACTCGTACGAGCTCTCTGCCAATATACTTATTTCGGCCGTTGGACAGCTCAATGTGCCTAGCTGGCCCTCTATTCCCGGGATGGATGACTTCAAGGGGAAGAGCATGCATTCTGCCCGTTGGGATTGGACATATGATTTCAGGGGAAAGCGAGTGGCGGTGATTGGAAATGGTATCCCATTCTTTTCCTTTTGGCATGTTGTTTTATCGCATAGTAGATGATGCTGACTTCTCAGGTGCGACTGCTGTCCAGATCGTCCCCGAAGTCGCCAAAAGAGCAGCCCAAGTATCGGTATACCAACGCACAGCTCAATGGATCGTTCCCCGGATGGACACATCAGTACACCCCGTGCAGCAGTTCCTCTTGTCAGCGGTGCCACCGCTGCGTTGGTGTAAACGTGCGCTCATGATGAACGTGCGCGAACAGTCGCACGACCCGATCGCCAATCCAGACTCTGCCCTGACCAAGTACTTGCGCCAGTTGGCGATCTGGGGTATGAAGAAGGGACTCCCAGATAAACCAGAGCTGTTGGATGCTCTGACGCCGAGCTATCCCCCTGGTTGTCGACGGATCCTTACCTCGGACGACTACTATCCCACGCTGAACAAGGAGCACGTCAGGCTGGAAACGCGACCGGTCCAGCGTATTACTGCGCTCGGCATTGAGACGGCCGATGGCGAAATGAACGAAGTCGACCTGATTGTCTATGCGACTGGATTCCGCACAGTCGAGTTCCTGTATCCGATGAACATCTCCGGAGCGCGCGGTCGAACCCTGTCGGAGATTTGGGATGGTGGTGCTACGGCTTACTATGGGATGACAGTAGAGGATATGCCTAATTTTGGCATGTTATTCGGACCCAACACAAACCTTGGTACGTTATTGTTTCCTTCTTTCATTCCCCAGAATTTGCGGTGCTCGTGGCTGTGGCAGGGTTTCATCATCGCTAACTCGAAAAAAAAAAAGGGCACAACTCGATTATCTTGATGATTGAGGCCCAGAGCCGCTACCTGGCTACTTTATGGGGGCCAATCATTCGGGCTAAAGCTCAGGGAGCATCCATTACACTTCAACCACGAGGAGATACGGTGCGGGCGTTCAACCACAAGCTCCAGGCACGGCTGGCCAAGAGCAGCTTTGCGAACCCGACATGCAGCAGTTGGTACAAGACCGCCGATGGCCGGATCATCAATAACTGGCCGGGCACAGTGGTCGAATACCAAAAGCTCCTGTCTCGGGTGGAGTGGACAGATTACCAGGTGGGAGGGGACTCGACGGGAGAGTATATCGGGCGCCACGAGAGTACGAGGATTGGACGCATTGAAGAAGAGTGGCCCATTCGGAAATCGTCGATGTCCCTGGCGGGGATGGCAGTGGCTCTGGTTGTGGGGGGGTATTATTATGTCCAAGGGGTTCGAGCTCGACGGCGTTGAGTTTCACATTTTTTGTAATAACATAACCATAACTACGGGGCAGATGAAGAGACATTGCTCCTTTATATCCGTTTCTTTGGGCAAGGCCGAATACGAGAGAAACCATGGGCTTCTGGGCATTTTGGGGTAGGATTGTAGAGGGAAAGGCGATATATATAGGTATGGGTCTGACAGATCTAGCCAGTTATTTACTTCTCCTACGACTAGTGGGTGGCGCGGTTTCATTCTGATGATATTGCGCTTCCACAAACCTGACTTGTCTTACTCCTATTTGGGGAGGCCAAAGAGTGTAATCATCTTGATCAAGTGTTGGAATGAAGGCAGCAATTGAGCACTTCACTTGAAAAATCAAGTGGTTTTCTTTAGTTCCTTGTCCAGAGGGCAAATACTGAATTCAATCACTTCGATTCGAATTCTCTTTAGGGCTCAGAGAAGAAGAAAAAAAAAAAAAAAAAAAAAAAAAAAAAAGGGTTTCTGACCTTAAAATTCTATCAGCCAATCATATCATGACCCAGGTTTCCCCACCGTCCAGATGCTTTGTCATCCCTGCTCTGATTGGCCAATAATTCACCGCAGGGTTCGAACGACCCACAATATTCCCAAAGAGGAAGGTGGTCACCTGTTGCCCAATTTCCCTCTTTGTCTTTATACAAACCTGAGGCACCCCGTTGGCTCTCCTGATAATCCTGATCATTCAGTAAGTACGGAGTAGTATGGAGTATAAATTATGCCAGGACTGTATAACGGTAAATCATTGTTCAAGTCGGCTGAGGGCCCGCGTTCCGGTACCTATGCATGGAGTTGCACCGTACAGCGTACTCCGTACTCTAACAAACGGTTTCTATATGTGGCTTCGAGTCCCTGGATCTTCAAAAGGGTCCATCGGCGGAAATTTTACTATTCACCCGTAGAAAGGGTTCGTCGCTAGCCCGAGTCCAGCAGGTATAGCCTCCTCTGTCTAGTGGAGTGAATGAGGGCATCTCCAAACTCAGACTGAGGAGGCTGTTCGTTACATATTACTCGGCGTTTCTCCCCTGTCTCACTGTTTGACCTATCTGAATGATCTTGAATCCACTCCTCTCAATTCCCGTTCGATTCTTTCTTCCTTTCCTTCTACTCTTCTCTCCGTCCCTCATCCTGGCCTGTTGTCTTCAGCTGTCGCGTTCCATGTGGCAGGCCCATTGCTAATCCGCACATGGCTTTCCTCCACAATTCCACACAGGTGGTCTCGCGTTATATTGCGGCGACCTGGGACCGTGTGCGTTCATCACCGGGGGAGTTTTTTGATGCCTTTTGGGACTGGACGCGCCGGTTCTTCTTCACACTTACCTTCTTTGCTCTGTTCGGCGCCAAAGCCCTCCATCTCTATGCCCATGTGCACTCTCTGCCTCCTCAGAAATTCTTCCTCTGGGGGATCACCTTTTTTACACAGGATGTGGCCCTTACCTTACTTACTCGCATCTCCACCCAGAAATTTGCGACCCGATGGATGGACGCCATTGGAGCTATAGTCGTGATCCCGTTTAGGTACGTCGCCCCGACGGACATTAGCGCTCATATCTCCTGGTTTTGTTTTTTTAGTCTTCGCAAAATCTAACCCGGCCGACTAGTCTCCTTATGTCTGGAATGACTTCTGCCAATATCTCTTTCTATGTCGTAGCCGGAGCCGAAATCAACTGGCGGCAGGCGAGAACCTTCCATCGGGATGCCGCCGCCATCCGGACGCTGTTAACCGGCTTGACCGGGTTTTTAATCGTTGAAGCCATTCTCTCTGCGCTTGCGTGGATTGTCGCTCCCTACGTGCACCGTCTTGTTGGGGGCATTTTCGATGTCCTTGCGGAGCCCTTTAAATCCGTCTTCCATCGCCCCCGGCCTTTCATCCAGCATATTCGTATCCGCAACCAACCTCTTCAGGATCCCGAGGTGTATGAACAGATTGCCTGGGATGATTACGCGGATTATACGAGTGATGATGATGACGAGGAGTCGGTGTATCCTTTGGAGACTACAGAAAACGCTCCCGAACTCCGAAAGCGCATTCCTTTGACGAGACGCTTGGTTGTCTGGCTACCGATGCTATTCTTGGTTATCCTCCGTTCTGCCCGCCCCTCTTATCCGTCGTACATGTTCCTCTCTGAAACACTACCGGTGGCCCCATTCATGGGGAAACACCCCTTGACACTGGGAGAACAAGCTGGGAATCCGGCGGATTATGCATGGCTGGAAGGGCGGACCTCGCTTGCGATGCCGCCGGCCTGGGACTGGATGCCCTCAACCGGGCTTCCGGGGTTTGAAGATTGGGATACCTCCAATAGAGATCGCACTCACTACAGCCCCGCCCAGGACCCTCTGCATATGTCAAATCTCCACGAACCAGTCTTGGATTCTTTGCGGGAGGTTCTGGCCAAGGGAGATATCAACATCAAGCATGTCATGGTGTTGAAATTGGAGAGCACACGAGGGGACGTCTTCCCATTGCGAAACGGGTCATTCCTGTGGAATAAGATTGTCGATTCGTTTGCAGGCGACGAAATGCCTGAGTCTGCCGGGAGAACTGTGGCAAACCTGACCCGCACCGCGGAGTACTTGACTGGATTCGACTCGGGATTCGACCAGTACCGCGTGGGCGAGAGGAAGGCATACGGCGGTATTAGCGCTAGCAACGCTTTCACAACGGGTACCTACACCCTGAAGAGCTTGGTGGGAACCATCTGTGGTGTCAGCCCCCTAGTTGCCGACTTTAATCGCGAGTACGAACATCATATCTACCAGCCTTGCATGCCGCATGTCCTCCATGCGCTGAGCCAGCAACGGGACATCACAAACAAGACGGACGACTATCGCACATGGCCGTGGCACTCGGTGTGGATGCAATCCGTGACCGACACTTACGATAACCAGGACAAACTCACCCCTAGGCTGGGATACCACGACATCTGGACCAAGGAGAGAATCGAAGATCCGAGCGCGAAGCACTACCCGTTGACCTACAAGGAGGTCAACTACTACGGCTACCCTGACACAGAGCTCCGCGACTATATTCGCGACGCGATTGACGTTGCTAAGCGCAACAACACCCGTCTCTTCCTGACCCATTTAACTGGCACAACGCATCATCCATGGGGGATGCCCAACAATACGTATGAAAAGATCATGGCTGCCTCTTTTAAGGGCCAAAATGGCGACCTGAACCGATATCTGAACACTATCGGGTTCGCAGATCGGTGGCTAGCGCAGATTTTGGAGATTCTGCAGGAAAAGGGAATTGCGGACGAAACGCTACTTGTCCTAGCAGGCGACCAGTAAGTTCACCTACCTATGCTGCAGAAAATAGGTCAGAGGCTAACCCTCATAGTGGCATCTCCCTTCCTAATGACGGCGGAGTAACCCCTTACAACAACCCGCATATCGGCAGTTTCCATGTCCCCATCGTCTTCGCCCACCCGGGTCTTCCAGCAATCGAAGTCCAGGATCCGGTCATATCGTTGCAAATAGTCCCAACGATTTTGGACCTCCTCATTGAATCATCTTCCCTAGGGCCCGACGGCACTCGAGTGGCGACAGATATCCGCGCCCTCTATGAAGGCCAGTCGATGATCCGTCCGCTGTCCCAGCCGGTCAAAGAGATGGAAGACTGGCAATTCAGCGTCATGAATACGGGCGCATCATGGCTGGCCGTCCGGTCGGCAGCTCAGCCCACATACCGGATTGTTATCCCTCTGATAGACGACGTGGAGTGGCGCTTTTCCGATATTGGGCAGGATCCCTTGGAAAAAGACCCGATCACCAGTTTCAACTTCAACGACATGGCTGCCGCGTTGTGGGAGAGGTATGGAGATGAAAGGAATGGCAATAACACCGACAAGGCAGACCGCAGGTCAGAACAGCAGGACCAGGACTTTGTTTTCGCTCCCCACCCTCCTCCCCCTGGTCCTCCACGCCATCATGCTCCCCCGCCTCCTATTTCATTGGTGCCTGGTCGTACACACCATGGCGAGAGCCACAAGTGGGAGCCGGAGGCCGTTCGTTTCGTGCGGGATGCTGCCCATATCGCGGAATGGTGGATCCAAGACAACTGGCGCCGATACGGTTATCTCAACAAGCACAAAGAGTGACTGGATCAAACCCGAGGAGAAACAGCATTGAGCAGTATTCCCTGATCAATACCTATCCTCGCAGCCAGAACGCATGGGTTACTCTGCGCGACTCGGCCCGCTCGCCCTTCCCCGTATACTGTGATCAGCGTCCTAGCCAGGGAATAGGCGAGAATCAGACGCCATTTCCCGGGTTGCTGGCTTCAGGGAAGCTTGATTCGCTGCAGATATCTATCTATCTATCTATCTTTTTTTTTTTTTTTTTTTTTTTTTTCTTTTCATGCGGAGCGGTCGTTTGGCCGCGCTCAAATCGATACCCTACATTTGCATCTTACCTGATAGATTCCGATATTTGTCCATATTGAGCATACATGGTAGCGTAGCGAGCTTTGTGTTTATCTATGTACTTTATATATAATGAAAACATCTTGAACAGACCTGTATACTGAGTTCTGCCCACGAGCGACAGTCTGTAACCGTAATCAATAATATAGCATCCCCGAGTTGCGTCAGATATAAATGAAAGATGGATCCTGGATCGACGCCGAGGATGGACTGATGATGGTCCCGATCAACCGGTCCTACGCCGTCGCTGAATCTGCCTTGTATAACAGCAGCTTGGATAGTATCACATTCGCCACGGAGCTAATTAAATTGACACTGGCACGGCGCTCGCAATCCTGCAAAAGGTGTGTTCGGCTCGTTTGTCTTCCCCCTGGGCCAATATCCCACGTCCCCCCGGCACTGAATATCCTTGCCATACAGGAATGCCCAGAATTCTTGCGCCAACTGGGAGCCGTTATGCGCGAGACGAAACGGCTCTTGTCGTCTTCTCGGCATCCTGCCCTTAATTTCTCCCAGTCGCGAACCTGTGCCGGGGTTGGGATCCATCCGTCATGGAACTTCCCCCGACGCGCTGTCTCACCATCAACCCGAGGTTCACCGGGTCCGTCTTGCTATATAACTCTCTGTCTGGCTCAGGCTGTCTGCTTTCGTTCTCCTCCCATCGTCACGGAGTGTTTGTCCGGGTGGTGACTCGCTTTCTTGATCGCCATGAATCTCTTTACACGCCGATTAGCGGCTGCGGTTGCGGGCAGTGTCCGTATGTATATATCCCTTTCCCCTATCACCCGAAAGGGGACCTACTACTAACCGGCTCGGTAGTGCTACAGACATGTCTGGCCCAGTCCAGTCCGCCGACCCTCTACACGGACTCTGACACCGGCATCACGTTTGATACGTGGACCGTGGCCGCGAGTAGCTCTGCCGCGGGCCTAACCTTTGGCATGGCCCTCCCGGGAGATGCTCTGACTACTGATGCAACCGAGTTCATCGGGTACCTGGTACGGTTTGTTTTCTTTTCTTTTCTATTCTATTCTATTCTATTCTTCGATACTCGATGTCCCTGCGCGCAGCGTTCTGACAACGCAGCGCGACAGTCTTGCAACTCGGCCAACGGCAAAGGAACAGGCTGGTGTGGTCTATCCATGGGCGGATCCATGACCAGCAAATTACTGCTGATGGCTTATCCATCGGGCGACCGGGTGTTGACCTCCTTCCGCTTCAGCTCTGGATATGTCATGCCGGACCTCTATACGGGTAACGCCACAGTCACGCAGATCTCGTCCAGCATCAACGCAACCGGCTTCACGCTGCTCTTCCGTTGCCAGAACTGTCTTGCCTGGGACCAGGGCGGTACGACTGGCAGTGTCTCAACGAGTGCTGGCCAGCTGGTCCTGGGCTGGGCACAGGCTAAGAAGAGTCCCACGAACGGTGCTTGCCCTGGCGATTTGTCTCTTGTGCAACATGAGGCCCAGAGCATCTGGGCTGCGAAGTTTGATAAGAACGCCGCCAGTTCTTCGTATGAGGCTTGGACGAAGCTGGCCACTACTGTTGTTACGGGTGATTGCGATGGTAGTCCCGGTGGTGGCGGTAACGGCACTGAGCCTGTTGGCACGCCAGTCCCTGATGGTGCGGTATACGATTATATTGTTGTTGGTAGCGGCCCCGGTGGAATGGTTATGGCGGACCGGCTGAGTGAAGCCGGGCACAAGGTGCTGCTGATCGAGAAAGGACCTCCGTCCCTGGGTATTTGGGGGGGCACTATGAAGCCCGCCTGGCTGGAGGGCACCGAGTTGACGCGGTTCGATGTGCCTGGTCTTTGCAACCAGATCTGGGTCGATTCTGACGGCATCGCATGCCCGGATCATGACCAGATGTCGGGATGTCTGTTGGGAGGAGGAACAGCGATCAATTCTGGGTTATGGTGGAGCGTAAGGCCTCCTCCCTGATACCTAAAGCAATAACTAGGAAAAGAACACTAAACCCAAACAGCCCTACTCTAAGGACTTTGACGAGAATTTCCCCGACGGCTGGAAATACAACGATATGAAAAAGGCCATCAGTAAGGTCTTCTCTCGTATCCCGGGTACAATCCATCCGTCTATGGATGGTTTCATCTACCTCCAGGAAGGACCAAGCGTGATCATGAACGGTCTTCTCGCGGCGGGATGGAAAATGACCTCTTTTGATGACTCCCCTGAGGAGAAATACCGCAGCATAGGCTACTCGCCTTACATGTTCTCTAATGGCCAACGCAACGGTCCCCTGGCTACTTACTTGGTCACTGCCCATGAGCGCAGCAACATGGACATGTGGTTGAATACCACCGTCCGTCGTGTGATCCGGGACGGGAGCAGGATCACAGGGGTCGAGGTCGAGCCCTTCCTCGACGGTGGATCCCAGGGCGTGGTTAATATTACTGCCTCAAGTGGGCGCGTTATTCTTTCTGCCGGTGCCTTTGGATCGCCCAAGATTTTGTTCCGAAGTATGTCTTGTATACCCTAGGAGAACCCCTTCAAGTGTTGCTAATGGTTACAGGTGGAATCGGACCCAAGGACCAGCTGACTGTTGTGAAGAATTCCGCCTTGGATGGTGACACTATGATCAACGAGTCGCAGTGGATTGAGCTGCCTGTTGGCAAGAACCTGATGGATCATCCGAATGTAAGAGTTCCTGCTTATATACGACGCACAACAGAGCTGACGTGAAAAGACCGAGGTGGTGGTGCAACATCCGGACATTATCCCCTATGACTTCTACGGGGCCTGGGAGAACCCGATTGAGGGAGACAAGGAGAGATATCTCAGTATGTTTCTTCTTTTCGCACGTTTCAACGAGTGTCTCTAATATGCATAGCCAACCGGACCGGACCTTTAGCCCAGGCCGCTCCTAACGTCAACCCAATGTGTGCTCCCCTCCCAGTGCGATGACAAGATATGCTAAGAAAATTAGTTTCTTCGATCAAGTCACCGGCCCAGACGGCATTACCCGACAGCTCGAATGGCAGGCCCGCGTGGAGGGCAGTCACAATATCCCGGATGGCCGTAGGTCTCCTTATTTTCTTGGGACAAAACCCGAATCGCTAACCGGATCCAAGACACAATCACAATGACCCAATATGTGGGACGCGGCCAAACCTCGCGAGGCCGGATGACAATCAACGCGCAGCTCAATACTGTCGTCTCGACACTTCCCTGGCTGACGGATCAGAACGACGTGGATGCCGCCATTCAGGGCATTGAACGCCTGCAGGCATCTCTGAAGAACGTGACAGACTTGACATGGGCGTTCCCGACAGCTAACGTCTCGATCCCGGACTTTGTGAATAGTTTGCCGTCTACAGGACGGGGATCCAATCATTGGATGGGTATGCGCTCACTACCTGCAATCCGGCCTTAGAAGACAAAACAACGAATGCTAACGGATATAATACCAGGGTCTTGCAAAATGGGCCCTGACGATGGCCGAGATGGCGGCTCTGCGGTCGTGGATCTCAACCTGAAGGTATACGGAACTGATAATCTGTTTGTCGTGGACGCAAGCATCTTCCCGGGAATGATTAGTGCGAATCCCTCGGCGTATATCACCTCTGTAGCGGAGAGGGCGGCGGAAAGAATTCTGGGTTTGTAGGCTGGGTGAGAGGTAGTTCGTTGTATATCTATAGCGCTTGAGTTCTTTGTACAGCTGCGGCTTTGGTTCTTGACTATTGCATGTGTAGAACGGATGGCATGGTCGGTACATTAAATAATATACGAAAGTCTCCCAAGACCCGTGTGATCCATAAGGTTTATTGTGGTGTCCAAGTTCCTGAGTTCTCAAATCCAAAGGAGTCGCTACAACCACGGAGAACTGTGACTTCCGTGACTTGAGGCTTCAAAAACCTCGCGATCTGTCTTCTGTGCGTCTTTCCTTTTCCCTTTACCCTCGTATCACTCCATCAACCATCGCCCAAGAAAAGACAGAAAATGTCTGCGTCGACTCACAGCGAACCCTTGTCAGGGACTTTCTCCGAGCTCACGAAACATGACATCAGGAGAAGACACGAGTTCTGCTTTGCCTGTGGTAGCAGCGTGGTACACGGAGCTCACGTTATTGAACAGAGTGATGCATCAGTAGGTGGCAAGTCGAGAGTATTTATCCCTTATAACTATTTTATTCATAGTTTCTATAGGTACCGTTACTTGTCCAGCGTGGTCTCATTGATTTTGATCTACGGGGGATTGAGAATGGCATTCTCTATCCCTATCCACCAGTCATTATCTGGTCTATATCCTTTCCATTTCACAACATGGTACTCAGTAAAAGGAGTATGTTTGTGACTGAATCTTCAAGCTTATACATACTCTGATTCCTTCATGTTCTCCATGTAATTACAGGGTACCACAAGTATATTAACTTCAATACTTAAACAATATAAAACATAAGAAATATAACTACCGGCAGCACTTGTTAGTAGTGATCTTGACAGGGTTCTGGCAAAGTTGCGGCCACCCTATCTAATATGTCGAAACCAAGTAAAATCCCCCGGTCTCGCGTATTTCGCCTAGTATGGGCATGTGGCTGATGAGTCGCCATTGGCGATCTGGGCGTAGCAGAACATCCCACAAATAATAAGCGGGGTCCTGTCTTGCCAGTTGGAGAGCCGTGCCTCCTGGGTGATCTTCAGGTTTTTATCAATCGGCATTGGATCATATAGTGGAATCCCAGTATTAGGGATGCTCTCTCACCCAGAGCAGCTCCCCCAAAGGCGAGAGGGTCCTGCGGGGGAGGCTGGGGACGGGGGAAAAGGGGAAGAGGAGCATGCTACTCCGTATGGCTGACAGCAAGAGTCAAGAGTAAGAACCAGTGAGGATCCATGACATGGAGGCTTGTCCTAGAGAGAGATGGAGATGGGTGAACATGGATCTGCGGGCTTACATACATACATCATACGTAGTGGGAAAAAGAGAGCCTGGAGGCATTTATCCTGAGTACCTTAGGGCATTCGATACAGAAATGAGTATAGCATTAGAATAGTATGCAATGACTTATAGACTACTGTCAGCTACATTATCCGGGGCAGTTGTTTAAACCGGGTCCATTTTAGCGGCTCCAGCGCTTTCCTATCAAATCCGCCTCTTTTTTCACCACCATGATAGCCTCATGGATGACCAATCTCACGCGAACCCACAGCCTCATATATCTTAATTGCGGCGCAATTAGCCCAAATACGTTAGGTTAGACACACCAGGAGCCATTCGCTATAGCCAATAAAACATCCATTCTGGATCCAGATCGAGGCCTATTCCACGGAACTAAGTGGGCCTCGGCCACTTATGATAAGAATCTTCTCGGCATCATTAGGGAAAGGATTAGTTATAGCGCGCTATGTATTCCTGAAGCCGGAGAGGGAGAAAAAAAAAAAAAAAAAAAAAAAAAAAAGGCGGCCAGCAGAAGCCTTCTATCTAAAGCACCGGGCTGGGGAGGCGCCAGAATAATATGTCCACAGAATCCACTACAGCAGAGCCCTCTATCAAAGTCACCACTACTCCTACGACTACGTCTCTTCGCCCATGGATCCACCCGCATCTAACGCACAGCGTGAACCCAATTAAGGGCCGCCAGCTCGAAACATCCCATCCCATCAAGAAAGGCGAAGTCCTCCTCATCGACACACCATATGCGATCATCCCAGCTGTAGATGCCGCAGGGAGCGCCCTCCTCTGTAGCAATCCCCAATGCAACCGTCTCGTCTCGCCCAACACGGGGCAATCTTGTCCGAATCGGTGCCTCGCAGACGTAATCTGGTGCAATCAAACGTGTCGCCAGACGGATCAACGGCGCCATGAATTCGAATGCGCCTGGCTCAGCAGATACGCTACCTCGGTACGCTCGAAACGCGGCGAGTACAATTTCGGCATGCTCTGGCTAATCGTGCGCATCCTTGCAAGACAAAATACCGACACGCTCCTGTCCGATCTGGCGGAGGAGCAGGAGGAGGAGTCTAATCCAGGCTTCCAGCACGGCTGGGAGGCGATCCAGTCGCTTTGCGGGTCGACCGAAACCTGGTCTCATGAGCAGGTACGGTCCTGGACCGGATTAGCGAAGAAATATCTCGGACCTGCAGCGTTGCCGCATGGAATGAACGCCGAGAATGTCCTCGCTTTAATCTGCAAGGAAGAAGCAAACTCGTTTGGTCTGTATCCCCGCGAAACAGGAATATTTCATCCCTTGCCTACTCCGCCAGTGGATCGAGGGGAGCAGTTTGGCGCAGCGGTGTATCCAAGGGCATCGATTGCGAATCACTCCTGTTGTCCGAATGTGAGTCCCCGCGCCTCTCTTGACGACGGCGGATAGAGTTAGAGAAATGGCCTAATTGCATTTTAGATTATACACAAACCCGATGGGTATGGTCGGATGGTCTTCACTGCGTCAAGAGACATCGAAGCTGGTGAAGAGTGCTGTATATCTTATTTTGATATGACGCAGTACATCGATGTCAAGGATCGGAGAGAGCACCTTCAGACCTTATTTAGATTTGTCTGTGGCTGCCCGAGGTGTGCAGCAGAAGAAGTACCGGGAGACAATGATCTCCAATGGGACGCCTTTCCGGGGATGGATTGATGTTATGGATGGATTTTGCACCTGTATTTATTCCAAGCATTAATACTAGCATGTAGTGCTGAACTTTATCATTACCAAAAGAATCTCATTCCTTCAAAATACTAACAACCGTAAATACGATATATAGATAGGGAGATCTACCCTTGCCAAAAGATCTACTCTCGAACGGCAACCACGAACAGGCGTGGGTAGCGCAGTAGAACCCTCCCATCGACAGATTTCGGGTATAGCTTCTCCAAGCGGCTCAGGTAGTCTTTCAAAAAGGCATCTCGGTCTGCCGGAGACAATGGATCGATGAACGGCCGCAACCCGGTCCCCTTAACCCATTCCATCACAGCCTCGTGCCCCTCGAGTGAATGGTAATAATGCGTGTGCCACATATTCACGGCAGAACATAAAGGTTGGAGTTCATCATAGATTTCCTGCGGTGACTGGAATGTGTCCCTCGCAGCTGTGCTCAGCGTCTTTGCCCACGGACCATCTGCGGCGGTCTCCCGCATAGCGGCATGAGATGGTTCCATAAGATTATCCGGGACTTGAAAGGCGAACACCCCCCCGGACGGCTGCGACTGAATCAATTTTTTCATCACGCTGATCCGATCCGACCGGGACAGCCACTGGAAAACGGCATTGGAGAAGAACAAATCAACTGGCTCGTCGGGCGAATAAGCCGTCAAGTCTTGTACAGTGAACTCGATATTTGGAATGGCGGATCTTGCTTTCCGGATCATGTCTGGGGACGAGTCTATCCCTGTAACGTGAGACCCGGGATACCGAGAAAGCAAGACAGCCGTTGAATTGCCGGGTCCGCAACCTAGGTCGACGATTCGCTTTGGAGATTTGAGCGGAACCTGCGCGAGAAGGTCGCGCGAGGGTCGCGTGCGTTCCGCCTCGAATTTAAGATATTGTTGGGCACTCCAGTCCTTCGTCGCCATGTTGATGCGGGAACGGTGGAATCCTCGACGAAATGATCCTGGTGGTAGAAGTCCGGACAGGGCCTTAGGAATCGGAACAGGCAGCATGACCGACAAGGGATTTAAAACAAGAGGAGCTTCTCAATTGGAATATTCCAGCCAGATATCTCTTTTCTACCTCGATGATGTATGTTGAATCGCATTTAAAGCATCGGAAGCTGGGGATCTTTTGCCTTACTACCGAATATCGGAGATTTAGTCATCCTTTCGGCCAATTCTGTTTAGAGTACAAAAAAAATAGAGCAGCAGTATTGGAATAAAATATTTCAATATAGTCAACTGTCAATCTTATTTGTGGTGGCGAATGCACATTGGAGAAATATCATGGCGTTGATACATGTTGTGCCTGTTTGAGCTCTCGATGTATATATATTTCAAAAGACCTGGTATGGGATGGTGTGAATTCACTTTGAGGTGGTTGAAATACATGTCGTACAATTCAACGAATTTTCCCCGAGATGAGAGCAGAATATAACTATAGAATTACTCGCACGGCTAAGGATTGGAAATGAACGGATACTAGGCAGGATATTAAGAGGGAAGAATATCTCTGAATTAGGGTTTCCTGGGACGCCCTATGGTAACCGCGTTATGATCTTTTGAATGGCTCCAGAAGCACGAACTCCATTCCAATACTGGATCTGATTGCATTATTGTTGTTACTTGCGAGATAGGGCGCATATTTCAACTCTAGAATGGTCAAAAGCCTGGTTCTCGTCGATGGGAAACCACTCAGAGGCCGTAAGTCTTACCTGCAGCTTCATCCTGCATGAAGTTCATATTATCCAGCATCAATGTCAGCACTAAGCTTGTTTCAACAAGAGAAGAGACTCTTCCCTAGACAGGAAGTAAGATACTCGGTTGGATGTCCTCTCCAAGATCCCGAGATAAGGACAGAAAATGGACGGTTCTAACTGCTTGATGGTGTTACCTCAAACCAAGCAACTGTTGAAAGTTTCCATGAGAAAGAGAGTCTTCTTCCATTCCGCGAAAGATTCCGATAGCTATTGCATATTGCTTTTGCCAAAGCAGGAGCCAACTAGTGGCAAGAGACGCTGTGGAATAAATGGAGAGGACCCGAGTCATGGATCGAACTCTCATCTGGATACAGAATGTCCAAGTTTATAAACCCCCCGCAAGCAACTTATTTTCTACTTTCCTAGCCTCAACTAGAATCTGAGTACGAAAGGAAGCTGTCAAGTATGATGGAGGCAACCGTTAAGATAATGACTGAAAGAGCAAACCCACCCATTGTCACCACCACCGCCCCGAGCCCTGAAGATCCTCCTCCTCTCCGAAGCTCTTGTGATGGCTGCAACCTGGCCAAGGTTAAGTGCTCGAAGGATAGACCTTCCTGTCGACGGTGCACCTTGCGTAACACGGCGTGCATTTACGGAGTCTCGCTCCGTGGCATGAAGAGACCAAGGCCAGATACCCAGACACATGAGGCTCATCGGCGTGAACAGGAGAAAAGAATTACTGGTTCCCAATCTTCTATTTATGCTGGCGATGTGCAACCACCTCACAATGTCAATCCGACCGAGTTGCCGTCTGGCATTTTGCTCCCTGACTGGGACAATGACTTCCACTTAAGCTGCCTGTCCGAGCAGAATTATGGCGAATCAACGTTTTTGGACATACTTGGATCTACAACTCTTGATTGTACTAATCCCACATCGCTATCATTCGGTATTTCTAGCTCCTCTTCACCCTCTTCACCTGGATCTGCTACGGATCTTGGAATACCGTTGTCTCCGCTCGAAATCCCTCTCACGCCTCCATCGCCAGCCTGTTCGTTACACGACCCCCAACAAGCTCGTCTGATTGGCATAGAATCGCCAGTTGATCCATCATTATGTTGTTGCCAGCAAAAAATCGCTGGAAGATTGGCCGACTTGGATGGTCCGAAGGAATGCCAGGCTATGCTGTTGGAGGAATTTTTGATAGAACACCGAAGCAACATGGCTATTTGCACGTCTGTTCTTCACTGCTTGAATCCCCATAACCAACACGGAATGCTTCTTCTCGTTGAGCTTGTTGCTCTCTTGACCCACATGGTGGTTGCTTTTGATCAAATACTATACCAAAGGGACGAGTCGCGTACGCGGTCCCCGACAGCAGCGTCATGGTCCTATTTCTGCCAGCTTGACAGCCGAAAAGAGAGAGTGTTTCAGACCAATACTCTACGAGCTGAACTGGCTAAACTGAGCGGGTTGGTTCAAGACTTTGACCGGCGGTATTGTGTTCTCGACCATACCCCATATGACGACGACGTGTTTCTTCTCTCGCCTTTATTCTCCAACCTCCAGTGGAAGACTCAAATAAGATTCGACGCATTACGGTCTTGGACACCACCGTGTCAATCTAGTTATGAACTCTGGAATTCTGCGTTTTACTCTCTCTGAATCCGGAGCGGACTTGACGACGATACTTGATGTGTGTGTGTATGCGGTTGGTTACCTTAGGAATCCGATATTCTGATATTGGGTACCACGATTATATATTTCCATTCACCCGCTCTTACAAGGGCGTACTTTGCAATAAGCCAGAACCTCTCGTGCTTGGTGTCAATATTGAGTATGACGAAACGAACTATATTTATGCGGAATTAACTGATCCCTTCTGGGCTGGAATGAGGCCATCCCGGTCACCAACGTCACCAGACGACAGCAATGAATATATTCCCAGTCAATAGCGGTCCAATAATTGAAACTGTTGTTCTTTTTGTTTCTTCATGCTCCGGAGTGGGAAAGTGTCCCCAGGGCGTGGTTGATGCTGACCGTTTTCCTTCGGGCTGGATGGACAACTGGCGTAATGTAATGTTTTCGGACCACTCCGGGCAACATTAACTACATATGAGTAGGCATAGTTGGTCGAAGTGGAGCTGTTCGTGTACTCCGTAAGCTAATGTCCTTTCTGGAGCAGAACTAGCTGTGGTGCCAGACCAAGCCGTGGAAGGAAGTTGCTCAATATCTTTGCTATAGGCCTGCGTCACGTTTCTGTACTTGGGGATGTCATATCCGACGCTTTCTACAGGGTATTGACGAATTAATCCAGGAAAACCTATCCTAACGCACCTTGGCACTTACAATGAACCGGTACGTTTTCGCTCAGACAGAATCTTCTTCGGTTGGTGCGGATAGGCTAAAATATTGCTATTTCGGAGGTCGGACGAGAAGAGACAACAAATATAACAATATGGGCTAGTAGGAATCGAAAGGGAACTATTCACAGTCTAGTGTAACCTGCCTTCTCCCTCTGTAATAAGCCTAGTATTCAATATCGAGAATAACTGGCTGGTAGGCCATCTAGTAACGAATCACTGTTAAACACTTGTCACACCCGGTGCAGCGCATGGAGTAACCATGCAAAAGTGTCTGTGAACCATACCAGGATGTCTGCTGCGTTGATGAGAATAGGCAAAGGGAGTTCGGTATGTCTTGTGTAATTATGGCTGTGTAGCTGTATCCGCGCCAGCCCTACACGTATAGCATTCGGCTGTCTTCTATGGAAGTTGTGATAATCTGTACATCGGCCATTGGCTTTACTGATAATCTATTGAATGCAAAACCCGATATCTCATTTACTGCCCGCCTCAAGCACCTAGAGGATATATGACTTGTTGAATATGTTTTCGGGATCATATTTCTTCTTGATCTCGATCAGCCGCTCAAGATTGACCCCAAAGACATTGCGAGGCTTTGCGGACAAATGGTCATAGTTGCCATACTCCGTGATAAGAATTTCATCCGGTGTCACTCCCTGCTCACGCCATCGCTGTTGACGCTCTAGTACAACCAACTTCGCTACAGCTCGCGTCCATTGACGTGCAGCCTCGTCGTCCTCGTCATTGCGCCAGCGGGCCGCAATCACTGCATTTTGATGAGGGCCGCGGTGCCCGAAGGCCGTTTCTGTAACTGGAATCTCACACCATTTTTCAGACCGGAAGAATTCGAACATAATGAGTGTCTGTCTGGATGCTGGCACAACTTGGTATAGCCGGTTGAGCTCCGGAATCAGAATCTCCCTCATGAATGCGGGTCGCAGCGGTGTTGTGAATGCCACCCCTTTGAAGACGCTGCGGAAGCCGCGACCACCCTTGGGGTTCATCATGCCGTTGACCTCACAGTACGGACGCTCGATGGCAGTGTTGAGAAGAGGATTCAAATCAAGAAGCGGCTGGAATACCGACTGAGCAGCCTCGACCGCACCGTTGTGGAACACTATTGCGATAGCAGCTAGTTTGCCCTGAGTGAATTCCTGGCTGGAGATTTGCACCATCATCCCCGAGTCGCCATTTGTTGATGCCACCAAGTCGTTCGCAAAGCTGACCAGTGTTTCCAGATTCTCTACGTGATATCCGAGAACACCGGCCCAGACACGGTTCTTTTGATCATGGGCCTGGAATGTAAATTCCGTGACCACGCCAAAACACTGCCCGGCGCCCCGAACGGCCCAGAACAAGTCGGGGTTCTGCTCTCTTGATGCCGTTCTGCTACTGCCATCAGCTAACACGATTTCCACAGCTAGCAGGTTGTCTATTACAAGGCCATGGCGGCCAGAAAGCCAGCCATAACCGCCTCCCAGTGTGAGCCCGCCAACTCCGGTATCATTGACTGTGCCTCCGACTGTCGCGAGCCCGTGCTCGCCAGCAGCTTCATCAACATCCTGCCAGATACAACCGCCCTGGACTTTGATTGTCTTCGTGTTTGGATCAACTGCCACCCTGCGCATTCGACGCAAATCAATGGCCACTCCCCCGTGAATCGAGGAAGCACCACTGGTGGAATGCCTCCCGCCGGAGACCGCAAACGAGACATTGTGTTTACGACAGCCGAGAATTGTTGCAGAAATATCTTCCGTCGAACCAGCGTACAGTACGATTCCCTACTCGGACAGAACTATCAACTCCACAGCCCTTTCTCCGTTTAAAGGGGTCAGGGGCTCACATACTGGCTTTCGTTCAGTGGTATCAGTCCACCGCTCGATGCTCTCTGTGTAGCCTTCAGAATCTGGTGTCAGAATCGCGGAACACGTCAGGTTTGACCGGAGTTCTCGTGCTAGCGACTCGACGTTCGTAGTGCTGCACACTGTCACCGCTGCGGAGCTCATATCTAGCGCGACGCAAAGAAAAAACCCCGAGTATATCAGGGCAGAAAGACAGTTCGTTTAGTTCATTTCTCAGTAGCCAGTTCCGTAGTTCTCATCTTATCTGAAGTTTAGAGGTTAGGCCGGTCCCCGAGAAGTCGGGCAACACATCGCTGCAATACAATAATACATACGCCCATGCAAGAAATCCCGATAGCCTTCATACAAGATATCTTGACGACGGCTTTTCGGGGGACTGGATTGTAAATTCGGTCACCGAGTTTACCGCAGGCAATCTCATCCACCTGCCGAAATGTTGTTATCGTTGGCAAGGAGTGTACAAATAGTGCCGAATGAATGCCGTTGAAGATATATAGATAGAGTTTATTTTAATCAAGTCAACCATGGGAAATGGCCAAATTCAATTTCATGTAGGTGCAAGAAAGACTATTATTACAAAGAAATATACGAACATACGCCTAACATCGTGGCAACGAGATCGATAAGAGAGCGTAAAACAAAAGGAAACAAAAGTGAACGGTTTACAGCTCCTCCTCCAGAGACTCCCCAACGGTCGTTTGCACGTTAAATAATTGCCAGTCCTTGAAATCCTCATTGACCTGGTCATCATTGCTCTCTGCCTTGCCACTGCCAAAGGCCTTGAGATTCCATTTCTCCACACCTTCGACACCCTGCAGTTCAGCCGGGTACTCGGTGAACAGTTCAGTGTTCAGACGCTCGTACTCGCTGTAGTCCTTGGGCCAGCCGCCAAGTCGTTGAATGGAAAGCTTGAAGAGCTGCAGGTGGCGGCGAACTTGTTCCCCGGCGGATACGGTGCCCGGGATAGATGACTCGGCAAGGTCAAGTTCGAGCGTAGAGCCATCGATACTGCGGCTGCCATCGAGGTTTCCCTCGAGTTCGTCGAAATTGGGATCGCTAAACGCGCGGAGTATATTCTCATGCAAAGCGGCGCTCTTCTTGTAGTATCGGTTGGCGAGTTCCTGGCCGTCCTTGTGTGCGTGATACCGCTGGGCGACGCTGGTGTAGAGTTGCGACAAAAGAATGCTGGTTTCCAGGGTACTGGGGTGGCGGACTCCGTGCACACGACGGCAGTTATATACAATATCCTCTGCCAGGCGAACCGCAGCGGTAGTGTCGCCAATAAGGTAGCGAGCCATGATGAAGAGACGGCCAAAGGAAAAGGTAACATAGGGATCCCAGTTGCGTTGGGCTTCCCGGCTGTTCCAGATACCTGTGAGCACAGTCGCCAGAGTATGATAGTCCTTTTGCGCCCCGAGGAGGCCAATCAGACTGTTGAGGTGGTCGAGGCCGATCTGAGCTAAGTTGATCTTGAGCTCACTGAGCACCTTGAGCACGTCTTTGACGATGGTTGCGGACACATCAAGCAGCCCTTTACGAATAGCTTCGTTAGGTTGCGGGGTGATGCTGCGACCGCAAACATTCATGCTCAATGCAAGGACGAATTTAGCAATGCCGGGAGTGCGATAGATCTCTTGTCCGGAAATGTACTTAAACGAGGCAACTGCGAGATCGCAAGCCTCATCGTACTTCTGGGACTTGAGAAGCGAGATAACATGAGTATTACTGGCAATCCCAATGGATCGAACAAAGTCCTGTGACTGGTGGGTGCTGAAGTAGTGTAAAATCATCAAGATAAAGACATTGACTTGGGAGGAAGCTTTGAATCCGATGTGTTTACCTTCGTTCGCGAGGAAGTAGTTGGTAAAATCAACTACAACACGGCTAGCGGTGGACTGTCGACCACTCGCCACCAGGTAAGTGTACAGTCGAGCAGCACATCCGGTAACAGAGTAGAAAGAAGCTGACTTTGACTGAAGGATTTGGCGGAACTCCTCGAAGTAGACAAACTGGGTAGTCAGAGAAGCAAGAATTTCCGTGACGGCGGCAGACTGGCTGTGTAGATGGTGCTCGAATTGAGCCAGGAAGACAAGACTCTGACGACCCTTGGAGGTCAAATCAAAATTTGCGGTCTTGGTGTTGGAGGCATCCCTCATGATAATCTGACGATAAATTTCCTCAGACAACCCAAGAGCCTTCTCAGTTTGTTTATGGGCAATATAGCTGGAAGCAATGCTAGTGGCGGCTGTGCTTAGTCGTGTAGCAGACGTCTCCGAGGAGAGAATCTGCACACTTGCATCGTGAAGTTCATGAACAACTAGTTCACCCTTGTTGCGTTTGGCGTGGAAACTGACAATCTCCTGCATTTTGGCGAGGGATTCTTCATGGGCCCAGCCGTAAGTCTCCCGCAGCGAGGTGATGCGCTTTCTCATCACTTTGGCTGCCTGCTCAACTTGAGTAGACGAGACTGACTCAGACCTCTCGGTGATAATGGATGATTGTTCTTCATACAGTCCCTCCAGAGTGGTGGAGATATCCTGGCGGTCAATCTCTTCTGACTTGGTGGTGAGAAGCTCCTCGTACCATTTGATAGCTTCAAGTTCGTATTGCTTAGACTCCTGGCACAACTGGGCAAGAGAAAGCGTCAACTGGATGGTGATGGATGCCGTCGCGCCGAACACAGCTTTGCACTTGGACTGGTACTCGATAGTGACCTGGCGGAGTGTAGAGAATTCTGTGCGGACGGCACGCAGACAATGAGTGTAACGAGTGAAGATCTCCTGAACAAATTTCTGGTCCTGGAACTTGGTGCTCAGATTTGGCTGGTCTCGGAATGCAATGGACAGAATTTTACAGTAATTAAGGGACTCGGGGTAGCGTCCTTGGTTCCATAGTTCGGTTGCCACTATGTTGAGAGGCTCCAATGCATCAGGGTGGCATTTCTGGCCATCCTTGTTCAATGCCTGAATGATCTGTTGGTAGTAGTCCAGGAAGATGGCGCGTGGCCTCGTTAATTCAGCCAAAGTCCAGAGTGTCTTGATGACCATGGAATGCTCAGCGCCGTAGTGCTTGGTGTAGTCATACAGCAAGTCCTGGTGAACGGTGATTATAGTTTCAGTCTGCGATGTACGCTCTAGTAGACGCAACAACTCAGTCACACTATGCTGTCTGAGCTTGTCGTCTACATTTCGTGCCAATCGAAGCGCGTAATATATCCTCAGACGAACATCTTGCTCCTTTTCCAGGCGATGACGTGAATGGTAGCACTGTGCTAGGCGTTCTGCCAGTGTCAAGGATGTTTCGAGCTGGTCCTGTGGGGGTAGCACATCTTGCGGAGTAGGAGCGAAGAACCCAAGCCACACACTATGCAGGACCTTTTTGATGACACGAGCGGCATTTTGCCAGCGGCGTTGCGACATATACAGATCAACCAACGTATTTGTTGAACGGTAAAAGTTTTGGTCGAGCGTAGTAGTGGTGGTTGAGCATTCCATGATCATCTCTTCCAAAGTTAACTCTGAGACGACAGACGTGGAAGAAGTCGCCGACTGCATGACCTCCTTGGTGGTGGTCTGAATACTCTGCTGAATTTCCTGGTAAGTGGATGTTTCAGTACTGCGAGTACTCTGATAGTACTCAGAGCATCTCTTGAAGATCGTCAATGCCATGGCAGAAAGACCAACGGTCTTCATCACTTTGGCAATTGTATGTAGGTGAGACACAGAAGATTCAGATAGAGCCATGCTAGTTTGTTCATAGTCTTGCCAGAAGCTTGACAAGATGGAGGATGCTTCGTATTCCCGCTTCTGAGATTGAAGAAATTGGGAATACGCGATGACAACCTTCATCTTTTGCTCGTCCCATGTTGCCGACGAATACGAGCGAGAATCTCTCATCACTCGTTGCCAAAACTCAACGTACGTGCGTTCAGCCAGAGATATCTTGCCCTCATTGAAATACCTTTGGGCAAGCTCGATCAGAGCTTCTACATCGTACGATTCGGTAGTTTCAATGACGGCGTCTTCCTCGATGTCGAGATTCAACGTGTAGCCAATCTCTCTACGGTCCTTCGCTCCAGGTCCCATCAACTGGACTCTGAGACTACCCGATGTACCGGAGGTACTATACTCAGTGGATGTAATGGACTGGATGGTTACCATGATAGCTTGGGCCTTTGCTGTCTCCTTAACCATCTGGTAGTGCTCTAGCAATTGCTTCATCACGGATACCACCTTTTCCGAGGTGGTACCATAGTGGATCTTAAAGCACTCCACCTGAACAAGGAGCATCTCTTCACGTTGGATCATGATATCTGTTTTGGATTCCGTAACCCTTTCAGATGTCAACTCGAGAAAGACAGCAACCATTTGCATCGTCACGATATGGCGGCTCGTAAGTAGCTTTTGGCTAGTCAACGCTGCCTCATGGAACAGGTTGCTCGCGTCAGGAATGCGTTTGATCTGTTGGTACACATTCGCCAGGCAGATGATGGATTGCAGGGTAACAGTATTTTGAGCTGTTAGAACGCGACGATAGACATTCGTTACAGAGGTTTGGTATGCTAATAATTTGGGAGTAGCGATGCTTTCCCAAACAGATCTCAGAAGCAGGACAAAGGTAGTTGACGCCGGGAGCACCTTTGCGAGCTCTTTAGACGCACCAGCTTCGTCCTTGGTAAATGCAGTGGTTTGTAAAAGATGCGGCACCCAGTAACGGAGAGCAAAATCCAAGAGGGGGAATTTATCCAGGAGGGTATTAGTATCGTGCTGGTCAAGAGTGGAGACAGACGACGGCTCATGTTGCTCAGTCACAGTCAATTTGATGTAGATTAACAGGCGGGTTATCAGATCAGCATGTCTGTCTTTGAGATTTGGAATCAACTTCCCTTGCGAGAAGACATCAATCACAGCTGTTCGGATGAGACCATGACGAAGGTAGAACAAATCATTTTCGAGGAAGACCAGCGAGTTGAGAGGCTTTAGAGTATGCAAGGGATCGACATGCGCATCGGAAATAGTCTGCTTGTCAGTGCGGATTGATGCTAAAGCTGAAAGCTCCTTGACGTGCAGCGGACGATTGGCGGTCGCTAACCAGAGCAACATCATCTTTGCATCTAAACTGACTTCGGTGTGCTGTACACTCTGGCTGACAAAATCGGCCATAGACACCTTGGAAGTGATCAAGGAGTCCACCGTCTTTCGAAGACCGTCAGCGTTCTGTTCTTGACGGGCACGTTTCGCAATCAACTTCGCCCACAGGAACGAGCAATTTGACGCATTGGCAATGCGTTCCACCACTGTTTCCTGGTCCATGGATGGCAATGTGTTGAAAACAGGACTGGAACGGAAACAGCTTCGGACTACAGCGGCAATGTCGTCAAAAACGAGGTCGTCCGTGACCCGGACAAGACTTTGGCCCGGTGCGGGCTTGGGGCTCTGGGATCCAAGAGTAATCAACTTAGTCGATGTGGACTTGCTAGCCACCGCAGTTAATTTTTCCAGTAACGTGGTTTCAGGGCAAGAAGCCTCATCAATCCCATCGACCACTACAACCAAGTCCTTGGCTCCCCGAAGAGCGGTAGACAGAGCTTGTTCCACAGCCCCCCATAGGAGTTTGTCATAGGATTCATGATCAGCAGTTTCCTTACTTCGATTGAGGGCATCACTCAGGATCCGGAATAGCTGTACGTTCCCGATGCGCTTTTCGAACAGTTGAAGAAGAAGGGATTTGGCAATCGCATCAAGGCTAGCCTGTGCCGGGGTTCTGCTACCTTAAAAAAGAATCTCAGCCAGGAATATATGGAATGATATAATTAGGGCGCCATAGTACTTACTAACGGAAATGAACAAGGTGTGGTATGAGACACCAGCCTGGGGATGTTGGAGCTGGTCAACCATCACGGAAGCTAGGACGGTTTTACCCGAGCCGGGCGGGCCGGCAATGCATAGATGCTTCTTGTCGGATTTCAGAAAGCGGGTCAGGTACGGGGCCATCCACAGACAGGTGAGCTCTTCGCGATCATGGGCAAGATGGGAACTGGTATCGGCCACGCGACTGAGCACAGCATCCTCTGGAGATAACCAGGATCGAATAACTCTGATCTCGGACACTGGATTGCTATTAGTACGAAGGCCCCCCAAGCACGATCTAGAGAGTCCTTACCTCGATCTCCATCAATGTTTTCTCTCAAAAGCTGATGCCTCCACATGGACTCCGCAATCTTTTCGCAGCGCTGTTGGAAAGTGTTTATCTGTCCAGGGAACGTGCGGTATAAGTTAATTGACACAGACGCGGTTGTCATACCCCGGATTGCTTTGTGAAAATAAGTAGACACGCTAGCAACAAGTGTGACAAGGTCAGATAGAGCCAGAGTTAATTGTTCCTGAACCTCTCGAGTAATACCGAACAGCTCCGTTCGTTCGAGTAGGTTTCCGAGGGACATCGAGATGGTGTAAAAGAACCCGAAGGATACCATTAGGGCAGAAGCATTCTCCTTGCCCAGCTGTGAAGGCTTTTTAGCATCCAAATCTTGATGATGTGTGAATAGTGTCAACATACCTCCAAGAGCATGGCACAATACCCATAGGCCAGTTGTGCGGCAAGATAGCTATCCCCAGCAAATTGCTCAATAGCAAGATCAAAGGTATGCAGTCTTTCGACGAAGAGCTGAGCCCATGCCAATACCTTGTCATAATCGCTACCCTCTGGGGGCAGAAAGCTCATCCGCTGGGTGCGTATCCAATCCAGGATGGTAGCATGGGTCGCTGCGAGTAGCCTAGAGGATGTGCCAGTACCCAACTCCTCGCCACTACGACGTTGGAGAGAGCTCACTACACTCGTGATGTTTGTAGTTCCTACCGTCTGGAACTTCCTTGAGACCACTCGTGATGAACCCATGCCAATTGTTGAGACACTATCAGCGTCATGAACGCCAGAGACCTGACGGGAGCTGTAGACACGCTTAGATTGAAAATGAAGATCCATTGGGGTGGATACGGGGGACATGATTGACGGAGCCATTATGGAATTCGAGGGATGGATTGGGGAAGTAGCTGAAGTCTTCTGTGAGATATTCACGGTCGAATACGACGTATGTTCTGGCAATGCAGAGGGTTGAATTAATTGGGTTGATGAGAGTCCTGGTGGCCGTGGAGGAGGGTCTGTTGTTTGATTTCTGCACGGGCAACAGCCACAGCACAGAATATGAAGAACGAAAGAAAGCAATTTGGCGGTAAAATTACAGGGTATAACGATATAATGCGAGCAGAAAATACAAGGTAAAAGGGGAGAATGGTTGACTTCAAAGGAGACCCAAAGCTGCCGGTATGTTCGAGGCTGCTCGCTTCTTATATATGGTAAGACAGAGGAGCTCTGATCTCTGTCAACATATCCCTTCGCACTGCCCACTACCTAATCTACAGCCCAGTGAGCATGGCGAGTTCAAAAACCGGGAATGCCGGATCTCTTCTCTCAAGATTTCAGCTAGCCTCGACGAAATTGCTATGTCAACACGATGTTTCAAGCCCACGCTCCAATCATTACCCCCGTACAAAGCAATGTGGTTCTAGATTCTGGGGGGTCTTGAGTCAATATTCGAGACTGCGCAGTCAGGGGCCATAAGATTGTAATCTAGCTTGTACGCGGCGAAATATTGCCGGCCAGAAGCCTGCTGCCATGACAGCAATAACTGTGGGAGAATCATACATCCATTACCCTCCCACGGGTGCGTTTAGCTCTTGAAGCAGATTAATTGCAGTCCGGAGTATATCTTCATGATACTTTCTCTCTCTCTCTAAGACTCGATATCTTGCCAGAGGTGCCTGCAGGCATTATCGGCTACTTTATCCCTGAACGTGTGGGTAATTAATAGATGCTGTCAGTCTTTGGGATTCGCGAATGCTGATTGAATAGATAGAGTGGGACAATCAGCGGGGGTATGCGGAATATTTCAGCTGATGAACTTGGGATCGCATGGGTGGAGGCGTCTTCCAATGACATGAAATTCTGTCCTCCTGGCACCCTATAACTGTTCGACATTGATTTGCTCTTTCGAGAGAAGGTCCATCCCTGGAAATCAATCAGCTCCCCATTGAGGGAGACACGGACAAGGGTTTACATTGTATATCTGGCACGGAGCTAGGACAGGCATTCATGTTTGCCGCGGACATATTATCTCGGTTACAGGTGACGAGAAATTTCGGCCAGGACGGACCAGTCGAATAATGCGAGACTTCATGGGTAAGAAACACCCATGTGAATCTGTAATTCACGCTACAGCTCCTTGGAAATAGGGTTTAAATCCCAGGGATTCTCCAGCATTTGTATCTCGATGTCTTACATGGTTATATACGGAGTAGACTATACATCCAAGACAACACGGCACAGTTAACGGACCAAAAGATTTACAGGATAATTGTTCTCCAGAACGTTCCTCATGGCTGCTATAACCTTCCACTAGGCTAGATCCGCCGTTCCCTCATGCCATCAAACTGACGGAAGGATCCCCAGTCGTGAACTAAGGGCTTTTCCGAGTCCACTTCACGGGCTAGGACGAACCATGAATAGAAGCACCTCACGTTAAAACGAGATCGTCAGTACGCTATTTCATTCAATTCACTGCTTCCCCACTGAGCTGCATTAGCTTCGGTCCCCGATCAAGTCCGGTTTGAAATATTCTTTCTTTTTTTCAGCCAGCCTCTTCCCTAGGCAATGAGTTACACCAGGTATCGTGATGCTGCTAAGGGCATATAACCATTGGAACCCCGGGCAAATAGGCCGGATAGTCTCTGTCATCATCAAGTTGGTTGAAGGATATTCACCAAATCACCTGCTCAGATCTGTGAGAGCTATCCGCCTAACTTGACACCCCTCGTCTTCCATCATGGCTCTATGCCCATATTTTAACCAATCAACCAGCCTGTATACGTAGATTTGAATCGATGGCTGCCAACCCCGTCAGACTTGGAGACTCTAGCGCAGCTTACAGAGTAGAGAAGTGAACCCACCGGCATTCTCCGGAAATGCTTGCACAACGCGCTATTGAAAAGCCGCAGGTACGTGGGGAAATTTTCGTAAAGGACTAATACAGCTAAGACTTATAGGCTCGTGTCAGCAATATGGTGGGAGTCAACACTAAGGCCGGAGCTCTTTGCACCTTTATCTACGGAGTAATTAACGAAAATCCACGACACACTTTCCCAACAGCATATACTCTGTACCTATTTGGGTATTATAGCCCTCTGTTCTTCGCAATTTTATCATACCCTCAACTTGCGCCACAGTTAGCGATTAAGCGATTGCATTTCTTCCAGAATCTTTGTCGCCATTTCTCCTCGTTGCGTCATGATTTGCGGAGAGCTCGGACTCATGGAAGGACAGAGGTGCCTCTAGTAGGGATGAAATGCTCTCAAGTTTAATTGGCCGAGAATAGGTACTGTTGGTATATATCTTTGTCCTTCAAAGGACCATCAAATTGGCTTGCCAATAGCTTTCATGACTGAACTCAGCTGGCGACCCAACTACCCATTGACATACTCCGAGTGCTGGAATATAGCTCGTGGAGTCCTCTACAAATGTGTGGAAGTGTGTGGATAATGCATGTTATTACTGTATGTTTATAATCGACTACAATTAAGGCTCCATTGATGCCTAAGTTTGAATTCAGAAATGCACACCCCCCTTGTTCTATTAACACACTGACTATTCTGCGGTGGTGGAGATGATATCTGCTTCCAGGTTAAGGATGTTGATTCAGAGTGGAGCACAATATAAAACTACGAGTTTGCAAATTCGCTAACATCTACTATATATTATTCGGCCCTTACTCACCCCATTACCGCTTTGCTTGCAGTCTTTGAATTATTTGCGGAAATTGCGACATCATCATTCCTGATCATTGCTATCATACCTGGGGAGTGAATACACAATAACCATAGATGGATATATCCATGCATATGGCGGTTGTGCACTAATCACTGAATCACAGAAACAAGAGGATACACGCCCGACACTTATCCTCAGCTGTTGAGATGATACCTCTCGTTTCACAGGACTGGGTTCGTGAAAGCATCTAGATCACAGGTCCACGTTGGATCTATATAGCAGGACACTAAATTTATTTTCCTCTTGGGAATTTTGGGGGGGTTAATCCTTCGCTCTTGCATATTGTTCTTAAAGGGCTATCATATCCGGACCATCAGATATGCACACACGACGTTTGAGGAGAGCCATTTTACACACGGTGTCGACAGGTACCTTTCGTCTTATAGTGGAGTGTTTGATGGTGGGTGGGAAGTTATTTTCACTATCCTTGGAACCAAGCACAGCACTCGGCAAATAGTGACCAAGCCAATAGAGCTATCGACCAGAGCTAAATATGAGCCACTGATTCATGTTCTCGAACAGGTCAATGCCTTTGCCTACATTATGTCCGGAGAAGCTCGGAAATTGGAGTTTTAGGATATCTACTTTTAGTTTTCCATTCGCGAAGCTGTCTACCAGTTTGGACGCAATAATAGAATGTTGGTCAATAAACGCGCTGAGAGCTCGACAATCTCCCTGTAGCCGCTTACTATCTGCTTTAATTCAATTTTCGCACTCTCGTTCTATCGGTCAGATCGATGTGGCAGATAATTCGAATCACTCTGGCACGTAAAATCCCCACACTTCGTAACGAGCGACTCCAAAGTAAGGTCCAGGCTTCCCTTGGGGGGGTTTTCATACTTGAGGCCTCATTTTCTCGGTAACAGACAACTGAAGTCCCTAGTTGAAGACCATTTCTGCTTCAGACACATGTCTTTGCGGGTATACGGAAATATAACTAAGCCCTAAAGCCGATGCGATGGCTAATGTCAAAGATTTCTTTTGGGCGTTGAAGGTTAAAAACAACCCTGGGTAATTAATAGATACAATGGCGTGCCCCAGTGATGTCTTACATTGATCTTGTGTTTCTCTTAAAAGCAACGAAAACGAAGAACAGTTCGTTGCAAGATGGAGACAATTCGTGACTCGGCATTTGGCAAGCTACTTCGCATAGTCAGTGGACGACGGCTGCTGCAGTATCCAGAAGAAATAGATCACAATACCTGTGATCAATGCCGGAAGACACAGCCGCAAGTCAGGGATGAAGAGGCCGCAGAACTCGAGGAGAGTAGGGAGGAGGAAGATGAAACCTGGGGTTTATAGGGCTGCTTTGCTATCTCAGCTCCTGTTCTAGGCCCGCTCGTTGGGGGGGTTTGCCGCCGCCCCCAAGGGATGGACCTGGAGTATTTGGCAGCTACTCTGGGTGTCTGGATTGGCCTTGGGTGTTCTCTTCTTCCTGCTTCCGGAGACATATGCTCCGAATATTCTATGTAGCCGGGCCCGTCGAATCAGGAAGATTACAGGCAATCCCAATTACATGTCTGAGTCTGAGCTTGAACTCAGGCAGTGGAATCCCAACGTACGTGAGGTCCATCTTTCGCCTCTATTGAGAAATGTTCACTTCTGCCGAACAGGATGTGTTATTTGAAGCCCTCGTCCGGCCATTCCAGCTTTGCTTTTTCGAACCCGTTGTATTCCTCATGAACCTATACATCTCCTTGATTTATGGAATCCTTTACATCTGGTTCGAGGCTTTCCCGATTGTGTTCAGTGAGATCCACGGCTTTAATTCGGGTGAAACAGGTCTTGCATTGCTCAGTATTCCTGTCTCGACCTGTTGCATCACCATCCCACTTTATTTCTATTGGAAATTGAAGTATCAGGCCAAGTATTTCGATGAGAACTGGAACATCACACCAGAATACCAACTACCACCGGCTTGTGTTGGAGCCTTCGCCCTCCCTATTTCCATGTTCGGGTTCGGCTGGGCGGGTAATTTCGAATCCATCCATTGGATTGTCCCCATTATTGCATCCATGCTGTTCGCATTCGGAGGTTGCATGATCTTCAACAGTATCTTCGGTAAGCGCATCCGAATGGCAAGCAAATACGCCCGTCATGATACCTAATGCCTTTGACCTCGCGTCAATTGTTTTTTGTCTTCTGGATTCATGCTTGGTTAGGGTATTCTTCCAATTTAATCTTGTCCATCTATCGGATCCCTCTTCGTTAATCGTCGGTCGAGCCTTGTCAGAAAACACTGTATTTGGTTAACATATCATCCTCTCTCTCGCGGCTAGGACCAAGTTACCCAAATACTCACAAGATGAATAAAGTAACAGACGGGCTTCATCAAGCCAACATACTCCAAGATCATATGAAATACCGTAGCGGCAGTTATTTCCAATTCGTTCACGACCCATTAGTTTGGCCGCAAGGTCCTCATCGCACAATAATATATTTCTTCCCCCGTTTACTACTAAAATCTTTTCCAATTCTTCATTCACCCAAGCCATAATTACTGACACGAAGATCTCTCCTCGACAGAGATTCCGAAACTGACAGTATTATGAACCGTTGTTCTTAGTCTTGGTGTTACTGACGGTTGCCGCACGGCTTCAAAGTCGTTGAAATGCATCCTATCTTCCCGAGTCATCCTATTCATTTACCTTTTTGGCGGTCATCGAAATAGAGGCAAAGTGCCGTATTTATCAACTCAATCCAGGGTCTAAACAATTGTTGAATGGATGATCGCGGGTGGAAATCTCGAGGCTCCATGATCCCGATGCATAGACAGCGTTTCAAACGGGGTGGGCGCCCTGATGGCATCGGTATAATGTGCAAGTCAATCACCGTTTCCTATCAGATTCTAGCTCCGCGCCCCAAATGGCGATGGAAATATCCTCCAAACCCTAAGTTGAAATCCGAGAACAACTTACGCCATTACAAACACACAGTGTTTTCCCACGATCGAGTCCGTCCTTCGAAAAATGAGATGTCGATATTTGTGCCTATGGGGAAAATACAAGTGGAATGATTAGTGAGCTGGAATAGAAGCATATTCCCAAGGTGCACACTCTACTCGGGGCGATGACTGCAGCAAGCTACGATCCATCATATATTTCGCGAAATATCAAAATTAATTAGGTAAACTGTGAATTACTAAGGAGCGACTCGGTCGGCCAGATACAGCCTAGAAACAAGACATGTGCCATCGCGATTAATCCCCATTCTTTTGTTCTCCTGCTAGTTAGGCGTTCATTATAATTGACTGATCCTCCGTTGTCGGCTAAATGCTTTCTAACTCGCACCCTGATCGCAACGTTGGGGGCGGCAGCTTGGGTCCGGAAAGGATGTATGTGTCGTATTTAGGGCTGAATATATTCTCAACAGAGGTGACGTGTAACAAGGGCAGAAGACAACCCGGCAGGAGGGTAATTTAGTGCTATCGAACGCTTGTGTGTTAGTTAAAAGATCCTTAGATAGCTCGGGCTGTGAGGTTTATATGGAGTATAGAGAAGTATAGACTTCCATTTCCAGACCCTGGAGAGAGGGACTTACGCTGCAGGAGCCGCAGGAGCAGGAGCTGCAGTCGCCAGAACAGCAGTTGCAAGAGCAGGGAGACATCTTGATTTGCGGTGGAGAGTGGTTTTTTGAAAAGGGAAGAGGTAGAGAGGCTTTGGATCAGGTAGTGGTTTAAAGACTTGTGAGTGAGATTCTGGTAGGAAGAGATTCTCGAGTATGGCGCTGAGAACGCAGTATTTATGTCCGTGGACAAGGCCTGCCTGAGGCCAGAAAAAGTGGGATGTTTTGGGGTTTCGTTTTCGTTTACCACCATGTCCAGATGATTCCTCGCTCCATTCTGATCCTTCAATACCAAGGCAAATCGAGAGAACCAGTAGAAGTGTCCGGATAGGAGGCGACAAAGGAGGATTCCGGGTGGTCAGAGTGGGGGGGACATGTTCACGATGTTTTCCCTGGTCCATATGGGATTAAAGCGAGTCAGCCGCCGTTAATGCGCATCGGGGGGTCAACGGAGCCAATGTGCGTACAGGGTGGGAGCGCCCATTGACATCATATCATGTTTTCGTCCGGGTTCGCTTTGAGGGGGTGTCAAACAAGATGGCCAGAAAGGGCCTAAGCAACGAAACCTCATGATCCTGGAGGAGTTGCAGTGTGTAGTAGTATTCCCATGAGTGGATGGTATGACTAATTTGAAGGCAAGTGGGTATAGACAGGCCCGGAGCGTAAATTCCTCTAGATATTTGAAGTAGACACAATATCCCACAGCTCAGGATGCAAGCTGTGTTGTGTCTACTGGCAATAGCTGAACCTCTTTATATATACACCTCTTGTGAATGAGTACCCTGGAGGTTCCTTCACTGTCCTTCTCGCCGAAAACAAGTTCAGGAAGACACCGCAGGGCTGCTTATCAGATACTCCTGAGGGGATCAGGAAATGTACAAGGTTCAAGAATACTAACGGTGCACTCCCTGTCCTGGGTGGGGTACAAGTGGCTTCCGTTGGGTGAAAGAAACTGCCAACCCGGCAATCGAGTGCAAGCCTTCCACATGAGGGATATAATCCGTCTTGATCGAGTATAGCCGCAGTTCTGGTGGGAAACTACTGGGTGGATTAAAGGCTGCAGTCAAGAAACCCGCATTGGCCAGATGTCTGCCGGAAACATGATGCAGGAAGCATTTGAATCAGATGCTCTCGTACGACTTCTGATGCTCGTAGGTACTAATCAAGAACAGGGTAAGTGCTACATCTTGGAATAAGACATAAGGAGTACATACTATACCTAGGAGACAGACTCGTATGCGTCTCCGTTCTTTATTTTGAGATTTGGGAGATGTTAGGGAGGCATATGTTTTCCGAGGCACGATGGTCGACCCCGAAGGCGAACGAATATATATTGAAGATTCAACCTTTAAACATCAGACTAGTAGGCTAAGAAGAAAGGTTAGTGGGAGCATCCGTGAGTGAAGAGAGAAACCACCTCTCAACTGTCCTATGCTACCTAAAGAGGAAGAAGCCAGCGAAGTTATTGGCCTTGAATGGATAACTTGGGCTGCCTGAGTACCTTAGGGGTCGTTGGGGTCCGAATCGGGTTAGTCCAATAAATATTCCTTGCTCGAAATGCTTTCTCTCTCTCCCCTGAACGAACGTGTCTGCTTGTGATCAAGGCAGTTTCTGTGCATCAATTCAGTTGGATTGGTCTTAATGGCTCCTCTGATGAGAGAACCGCCTGCCCATCGGTTGCTCAACTACTCAACGCTGTTTACCCACCTTCAGGGTTCCCTTGCACATTCAGCGAGCGATGGTTGAACAACGGACACAAGAGGGCCCTGATGTGTTGCTCTGACCAGATTCTGACAAGCCTGACTGAGACCATGTTTGTCAGTTATGAATCGTCTTTGATTGATGCTGGGCAGTCATACATTTGAGAAAGGCTCGAATCATGCGGTTGAATATAAACCTGAGTATTGGATTACAACGCTCGACTTTCCGGCCTGGTTTGTCCATTTTATTTGTGGCCATAGTGTGAGGTATGGTATTATGGGCTTTGATGTGTGTGTAATCATTATCATTCCTTACAAAATTTAGCTCACAGGCCAGTCGTCGTTGTATACAGGCTACCGAATCCCTAGGTCACTGCATATTCGACCCGCTCCTTCACATACCTTCAGCGAATCATGCTGGACTTTTTTGAAGTGGTAAAGAATATAAGTGAGGTTGCAACTAAGGGACTGTCGAGTCGGGAGGTTTCAATCACTTGAAGCGCTGGTTGAAATATACAAGGGAAGTTGGACACGGTTTGTGACACTACAAAAGCCTGAGCTCTAGACACTGAACACCGGTTACGGCAATGGCCATCGGATCTGGTCTCTATATTGTTTAAAACTGGTGATTTAGTGGGTATCTGACGGGGCTCGGACGATAGTGATTATACCCCTCACTTTATCTCGGCTTAGACCAAAGGCACAACATTGACTTTGCCCTGCTTGTTCAAACGATATCAGATGGGATAACTCGACTTGTTGAAGCACTGTTTATATAGTATCACTGCCTGATTTTGGACACTACTTTAATGCCAGATAAAGTGCTGAATCAAAATGGATGAGCTCGCCAAGAAAGCTGAAAATCTTCTCCTTTCTGCCCAACAGCAATATAAGACTAGACATTCAAAGTCCCGGGAGTTGCATGAGCTAGCAACCCGCCATCTACCAGGTGGTAACACTCATTCAGTGCTACATGCAACCCCATTTCCCCCTATATATGGCTAGCGGGCGCGGAAGTAAGCTGTACGACCACGATGGGCATGGGTGAGTGGAATATCGGCACGTTATTGTACCGTGGCATGCTCCCGATGTCTTGTCCTAGGTACCTTGATCTTCTAGGGGATATGACTGCTGGTCTTTATGGACATTCTCACCCTGTTATTCGGGATGCTATCATATCTACTATGGACAACGTGGGACTTAGTTTAGGGGCAACTACCGTTGCAGAAGCTCGACTTGCGGAGGCTATCTGTGACCGGTTTCCGTCAATTGAACAACTTAGATTCTGCAATTCGGGTACAGAGGCCAACCTGTATGCTTTAAGCGTTGCGCGGCAAGGTACGGGCCTCTCGAAAATTATTGTCTTTGAAGGCGCTTACCACGGTGGGGTGCTCTACTTTGCTCATGGATTGGCACCTAACAACGTTGACAAGGAGGACTGGATCATTCGTCGATACAACGATGTCGACGATGCGAAGCGTTTGATTGCCGAAAATAAAGGCATCGCCGCTGCAGTTCTGATCGAGGCAATGCATGCAGGGTGCCGGGAGGGGGGGGGGGGGGTGCATACCGGCGACCGCGGAATTCCTGCATGCCGTTCAAGATGCTGCCAACGAGAATGGTATATTGTTTATTCTGGACGAGGTTATCACCTCATGACTTGCGCCAGGGGGCCCTCAGTCGCTGCTGCTACATCCCGAGCGAGGTACGCCCATCACGCCTGATCTGACTACTTTAGGAAAATGGATTGGGGGTGGTTTGGCTATTGGAGCGTTTGGGGGCCGACAAGAGCTGCTTTCAATCTACGATCCGCGAAGCTCTACTATCCAGCACTCTGGCACGTTCAATAATAACACGCTTGCTATGAATGTGGGATACGCGGCCATAACCTCGGTTTACACCGCTGATGTGTGCGTTGCCCTGAACCAGATAGGTGATGAGCTCCGTCACAGCCTAGAGGAAATCGCAAAAGGAACCAAGATGGCAGTCACAGGCCGCGGGTCAGTCATGAATATCCATTTCTTGCGTACGGGGGGGGGCTTCGCTTGCGAATACTATAAATGACTTGCATGTTCCCCCAGAAAGTACGGATGCCATTCTTGGGGATTTATTTTGGTTCTCCTTGGTCGACCGTGGAGTTTGGATTGCCCCTCGTGGAATGGTAAGTCTTCTTCTCGGGACAATTCAAGAAGAGATTGAACAGTTCCAGATTACACGCAAGTTTCTCCGGGAATATGAAGAACTCGTGAAGTTATAGAAATCCCAAGAAAGTAGTGATTGTGTGAACGTCACCTTCTGATCTTTGTGTTCTCTTGGTACGCAAATACATAGACTGGCATTTTAGTAGATGGAGAGTTCCAATTAAAAATCACCGAATGTACAAACCATTCTTTTCATTGCGGATTACGCTTTTCCACTCAATTCAACGGCGGGTTTGCCTTTCTGATTTCCCTCCCCACTATTGCCTGGATCAAGATCCATCTGTGGTCCCCGTATTCCCTTAGTCCACGTCCCAGTGGGTTGGAAATCCTTGATTGGCTTGCGGTAACATCGTGGCTCTATCCTCGTCGGCATTTCCCGCCCCATCTCTTCCCTGTCCCTCCTCCGGGGCGTCTGCAATTTGTTGGTACTCTGGAACTCTCAGGCGAGACCGTGAATTCATCCAGGGAACTCGACTAGGAGAAATGTATACAAACCCAACCTGATCAATTCAAGCCCGTCAGCAAATCTCTTTATCTACAGAGTGGGGAAGATTTCGGAGAAAACGCAGGTTTACCTTCACGGCCAGCATCGCAATAGCTGCTACAAACACCATCCACGAGACGCGTTGCTGTTGCTCTCTCCAGGGACCGAGACAGCTTCGTTGGTACCCGAGCTGCAACTCACACGCGTTATCTCCATGATCTCGATCCTTGAAGGGCCATGCTCTATCATGAATACTACGAAAGCCACAGCACTGAAAGCGATCCTGGATTGTACGAATGACGGGTGAATTTTTGGACTGGAAAAAGGACTGCCACTGGCTTTCGAGATGGCAGGCGAGAGTATTTTCCGGGAAGAGGTAGGCCAGTGCCACCGTTGCCATTATGCTCGATAATATGGTGTGGAGATGATTCAGGAGGGGAAGGAGGACTACTCGCCAACGATTCCCGCCGGTCAAGGAAGGTTTTGCTAGGAAAATTCTCGTGGCGAGAAACGCAAGAATAGTGACGGGGGAGAGTATTGTAGCTCCCGCCGGGACCCACCCTGGCAGCGGGAGAAAGAGGCATGTTGTTCGGGACCAAGATAGCCTATACATAGCAACGATACCATAATTCGTTAGATCTTGAATGAAACGCGGCAGCGAGATAGTATCCGGTAACACAGGGAGGGAAAGAACATACGCTCCGAAAACCAATGCAATCACTGAGGTCTAACCGGGAAAAGCTGTTAATATTGTCTCTGTCATTACATGGGGTGGATGTTCTCACTGATGAAAGGAGGATGTAGAGGGCGGCTGCGGTATTACACTTGAACGCCATAGCGAATGAGGACTTGTAGATGATATATCCGGTCGAGAGAGATGAAAACCAAGTAGGAGTTTGAGGTTGAGGTCATGCACGTATGAAAGGAAGGCGGGGTACAGAGGTTGCAGCAAGTCAAATTTCATGTATGTAAACACTAGTATTCTGCCAGTTAAATTACTCTGTCGTTGAAAGCAGCCCTGAATCTAGCATGAGACATATATACATCTCTGTTTTATGTTGTCATATCTGGTGTATACCTATGTAGAGGGGATTCATTGAACTGTTCATAAGAATTCAGAATCTGAGATAAAAGAGCTTTATAAGGATTTATCTGATATAATACAAAAGATATATCACCATATCCCTGCAACTTGACAATAATACACAGCAATTCGGTCGACCTCAAGAGCGCTCATATCAGAGCTCACAGCTTGTAGCGATCCTTGAGATGACGCCACCAGTCACGCAACATCCAAATATCAAACTCGGTAATCTCCATTGCGCTGCCAGCAAGCATGAGAAAGTTCTGCTGGCCGGTAGGAGTCCAATCATAGAAATCTAGAAAACGTCAGCATGTCATACGAATATATCACGGAAGGGGGAAACCAAATACCATCCAAGGCGAAGGTATGGCCGATCTCGTGGAGGTAGATATGGATATTCTCGGTCTTGAGATTCTCCATGAAGTACTCCTGTCCCATGCGCTGGCCCCAGTCACCACCAGCACCGCCTTGGAAGCCATCCGTGAGCCACAAGCTTTGATCTGCAAGTCTGTGAGCAAGACAGGTCCGGCGAGAACAGAACAGAAAGAGAAGGATAAGTATACCATAGTGACGATCAGCACCTCCAGGGCAGGAGCTATAATCACCATCCTGATGGAAAAAGCGTCCACAGGAAGGCACACATTGTGGAACTCCATTTTCATCAGTGGTTGTGTGGATATCAATACCTGAAGTGTCACCCTGAAGGAGGGACGCATCACGAACAGCCCATCCAACCACATTGACCTCCACCGTGTTATATGGCCAGTCCTCGAATCCTGCCAAAACAGAAATCCACTGATTGAATGAGCGGCTGGCAGCAGAGGCGATTTCGGCACGTTGGGCCTCGGTGACTGGCTGGGCGGATTCCCAGCGCACGCAGTAGTTTATTTTACCTTTGCCAGCTAGAACCTGGTCGAACCCGTAGTTTTTGAATCCGAGTGCATCCTGATAGGTCGACATTTGATGTTCCCATACCTATTGGTTGAATTGTGTTGGGAATAATATTTCAGACAAAGCTAAAAGAAAGAGATCTTACCTCGTTCAGAGGAGTCACAAGATCTGCCGGAGGATCCCATGTAGAAACATTTTGACGTTTTACCACAGCCCAGGGTCTGGCAGCACTGACAGTGAGGTGTCTGGGAATGTCACTGTCATGGAGCGGGAGGGCAGAAACAGAGCTGACCAGCAGCTGAATAGCAGCGAGAGAAAGGAGTGCTTTCATATTTATACAAAACAAGGGAACTTGTGTAGAGTGGGAAATCACTTGGGACAAAAGAGTGTCAGCTACTCAATAGCTCTGTGGGTTGAAGTCAACAGCTTCAAGCCCGTCACAGAAATGGTACCGGTTATATAGTATAGTGACCATTATGCCATGCAAATGAGCAGAACAATCTCATACTGCCCAGCCACTTGGCAGGAAGACCCCCAAAATCCACGTCCCGAGAAGGCTATTATTCTCCACCATTATAGGGACCAGGAGGAGTGAGGGACAAATGGTCATATCCCTGATATTCTTCGAGAATTGAAATAGGGGCCAAACAGGAAGCAGAATAGCCAACCCGCCTTTGTTCAATATATCAAAAACATGTCCCTGCCAATCAGGGGCAAGAACAGATTGAACAAATCGCTAGCAAGACTATGTAAAGCCGCGGAAACCTAGACGAACCCAAGCCCGCCAAGTTCACTATATTACTCGACTTGTAGCATGAGAGACACGGAAGCCCTACTCCTCGAAAACTTCAAGACAACCTGAATCACCGGCAGCGAAACCGGGAATAGTCTCCAAACTTGGACAAAATGGCACCGGTTGACGGGATAACCAGTTACATAATCCAAGGGATAATCATTTCCGCCATCTCACCACAATTGGAATGTGTGTACCTACAACCCTCCCAATGTCGATGCGCGCATGGTTGCTGAAAAGGATGAGGAGGAATCACTCGGATCCATGTCTGTATCTATTTCCGTTTTCCATCCATTCCATCATCGTTCGGTTTACAATCGCGCTTGCGGTGCGGCGTACGCGAAGGTTCCGGGGGTCCGGCGACTTGACCAAGTTGACCTATCGCCTGGTTAACCTGCGTCGTAATGAGAACTTGGAAGAGAATTTTCTTTTGGAAATCAATCCAAGAGGCCAGGTACGAAATTGTATGATTCATTGTACTTTACTTGAAACATGGGTAGGCAGGCATATTGTCATACTAAGCCATGGCAGGTACCTGTTTTGACTTGCAAGTCCCTCGCGTCACCACTCACGGATTGTCTGTCAATCTGCCACTGGGTGTGTGAGCAAAATCCAGTTCTACTTCCAGCATCGCGACAGGCCACAATCTGTCGTTTGCTATCTCAACTACACGAGACATTGGCAAATAATAATCCCAACCCGGCTGTGGACGACCTCCTGGCGCGCAATGATATCACCCCTGCTCGCCGTTATGCGTTGGAGTATAAGCGGGATTGGTAAGGTTCAATGGCATCCCTATGGCCATCGCGGTTGCAACTAACAATTTGACCTCAAAAGCCAGAGGAAGGAACGGGAGAGAGAGTCGACGCAAAACCACAACGGCATGACAGCACATACTAAGGCATTTCTGTCTGAGGTTGCTAAACAACATCACGAATTCAGTGACGGGGGCACCTGGATCTTCGGAGATGACACGGGTCCGACGGTGCTCGACGCCCATGTCGTGGCTTTTATCGCTCGCTTGATCGATATCAACCTAGTCGAACTCGTCCCTCCGCAGTTACTCCCTTATGTGGAAACCATCATGGCGTTACCGGAATGGGAGGACGCAATGAAAGGAAGACCGACCGTCTGGAGCGCCTCCCTAGGTCCAATAGAGAAACTACAAATATGAGCATCCGAAAAACTTTCAGCCACTCGCATTCGGCCTATCACAGTGTACCAAGAAAAACAACCGTTCTTGAACGATCCAAAGCCTTCGACTTTAGTGAACCATGTTCTCATAATAGCGTCCATCCATTCCCGCAAGAGCTCGGGCGTCTCGGTTAAACGGCTCCTTCAAACCACCTTTAAAGTATTTCTTCACATTGGATCGGAAAACCTGCACAGGATCGGTCTCTTCCTCCTGACAGATCCATGTGAGCCAACGATGGCCGGTAGTGACGTGGGTAATCTCATCATTGTGAATCACTTCCAAGACCTCCACGCTCTCCATGTCCCGGGCATTGCGAAATTTAGCAATGGTCATCGGATTAACATCAAGGCCACGAGCCTCATGGACGAGGGCAATAATACTAATCCTCGCGCGAAGGTTGTGTGCTGTGGTTGTGGCGGACTCCCATAAACCATGGTGAACAGGCAGCGCTCCAAAGTAGGAGCCCATCTCTTCCAGTCTGGTGCGCAGTAGAGAAAAATGCTTTGCTTCATCATTGGCGACTTTGAGCCAGTCATGAAAATATGTACGCGGCAGCTGTCGTGGGCAGTCTCGAGATGTGGGAAGAGTTTGAAATTCCGCGAATCTCACACAAATATCAATTGCCAAATCAATAGCCCAAAGCTCGATATTGGCAAGAGCATGGAGCATTGCAATCCTACTTTTCAGGTTTCCTCCCCTGCCAGACGAGGGCATGTCCCGAGGATTGACGGTCATCAGCTTTTCCCGGGGTGGGGTCGAAGGAAGCGAGACGGGACTCGTTCCAACAATAGGCATGGGAGACGATGATCCTTCTCTGCTGGTGAATGTAGTAAATAGATGGGTAGTGAGTTCTATTTTGTGCTCTGGGTTCGATGTATGTAAAATATGCGCACACCAGTCGCTGAGTGTGGCGCTTGCGTCCAGATATCTAGCTGTCTCCGGCCGGCTCGCATGCGAAGCTTGCTCGGATGCAGTGACCGCACGACCAGTCTTCAACTTGACATTTTCGCTCACAGGCTCCATTTTACCAAGACCAACTGAGCAGCCGTTTGAAGGGTACTGTAATGTCACATATTCTCCCTGGACATCAACAGGAAATGTGCACGCCTTGATGCCAACGCTGGATTCGCCAGTCTCCACATTGAAATCATACGCATGCCATGGGCAGGAGACTATATAAGCTGAATCCTCGATATCGACATTTGCATCTTGCATGGGGCCACCAGCGTGCGGGCACTCCGCCTCCATCGCGTAGTAAGACCACCCATCACTGGTTTCATTTTTTGCCTTGCTTTTTCCCGAGGTCTCAATTGAAGGCAAGCGGAAGAGGACTAAACGCCTGCCGTCTGAGAGATGCAGGACGTATCGGGTGTGTGTGAGCTCTGAGAGCAACCCGATATGGATGTTCATCATCTTCGACGGCAAATCCGCAAATGACACTCGATATAATGCAGACGTTTCCCCGCGATGTGTCTGAATTCCCTGATTTGTTGGTGTTTTTTTTTTTTTTTTGCTAAAATATCACGTGGCATGATCTACGCTAGTGCTGATTAGGATAGTTCACACGTGATATAGGCGGGACGACGCGGCAGTAAATTTTGCTGTATTGAGTTTCTCGCAGAATTAAGCATCAATTATTCGGGCGGAGTTATGGATTTAAGAAATATGAGTACTTAATTCTACATAGTAGTTGTTGACTAAATATTATACTGTATGGGGACAAAATGGTTGTCCAGAAACCTTCTTGGCCGATCGGTTAAGTTTACCCACAGTAGATGTGTTCAAATATATTTTGACGCAGAAGCAATTCTCTACATATCCTCACCATGTTTCTTTCATCTTTCTTATTGCTTTTACGACTTACCCTTGGTAACGAAGATTAAGGAAAGCTGACTTGGATCGTAAGAACAGGAATTAGAAGGGGTTTTATGGGTACATAATGTTAAATGACTCTTAACAGTATCATAGAAAGAAGCGGTGCAGGTGGAAGCTTAGAAAGGAGGGGGGTTGAGGTCCAATCCTTCCACCTTCAAAGTAAACTCGTTACGTGAATAGCTACCGGCGAGATCAAGATCTAGCCTGCCCCGCTCGCAGTCCTCGAAGTCTATCTCCACAACTTGCAAGCTCTTGTCGGGATCGTCATCGGTAACATTCCACAGTGGGCCGGCCAGGACCTCACCGAGAGGACCGACAATACAGGATCCGCCTGGACTAGAGAATGCCTCGGGATCTGAGAAGCAAAATTTGTTAGACCGTGGTCGATGAACGGTTGACAGAATGGGGGATGTACCGTAACCAGCCGCTTTGTTTTCTGGGCTCTGTGTGACCCATTTGGGAAGTTGGTTATAACGACCACATTGGCTGGCGGAGAGCACAACAGCTCTTCCTTCCAAGGCAACCGTTCGCATAAGTGGCAGCCAGGTCTCACGGCTGTCGACAGTTGGGGCCAGGTAAAGATTCACGTTCTGGGAATAAAGACTCTGGCGTAAAAGAGGCATGTAGTTCTCCCAGCAAATGGCCGCAGCCAGGGTCAGACGGACGCCATTAATTTCGGTTGTAACTGCCTTCAAGGTAGATGGGGATCCTTGCGCCCAGACAAGTCGTTCCGTTCCAGTCTACTCGTATGCTTGTTAAGAACTCGTCGTAAGATGGGGAAGAGAAACCACTGACTGGCATGACCTTTCTTCGTTTCCCCAAAACCCCACGCTTGGGGTCTACATAGACGGCCGAGCAGTACAGGCTACCACCAGAGCGCTCAATGACGCCAACGACAATCAGCATCCCCGTTTCCCTTGCAACCTTCTCTAGAAACTCGCGAGTTCCATCGCCCCGGAATTGCTTCCCCTTTGCCACTGGGAGTTTCTTTTCAACCCAGTCATCCCCGGCACCGCTTGGTGTATCTCCGAGGTCGGCAGCAGCGTTGAAATACTCAAGGAACTGGTCCCGGCCATGTTGTTCGCGAAACCCGAATTTGGATCCAAAGGAGCAAGTCCGGGGGTATCCGCCGATGTAAGCCTCAGGGAATAGCAGGATGTTTACGCCTTGATCCGCTGCTTTCTGGGCTGTCTGCTCCAAAGCGCTGAGGGTGTCGGCTCGCGTTTGGCGCGTGTGCGACTGGGAGACAGCGACTTTGAGGATCTGAGGCATCTTGCTTGAAACTTGGCGACCAATCTAATAAAGCAGCTTTAACTATCAGGAAATCCAGGAGGATAGTGGAGGGTTAGTCAAATGCGTGTGATGACAGAGATTAAAGTGTGGTTCTGCATTGCCGAGAGGTTTTCTTTTTCCCGCGATGTGGCCCGTTTGGTCAGTAGCTTCGACAACCGGACGTCTAATACAACTTCTTCTCCGTTATACATAGTAACGCATGACGATTTCAGGAACCCGAGTTATGTAGATATCTTTTCTTGCACGCGACTGGGGCATCTCTCTTAAAAGGTGGATCTCATGAATGCAAGGTACGCAACTAATCCCGTGTCTTGCAAGTCATTTGCTCCTCAAGCCCGGGTCCTGGTGGATTCCAAATGTTCAATGGGTCATACCTGGGCAACTTATCTATTGTTCTTACCGGGGTTCTAGAAGTTTTGAGGGAAAAAAAAACCAGGGAGGTTCCGGTTCCTGTCCGCTACTGAAGGATGTTGAGATCCACCGAAGTCCTTTGTTTGGAAATGCACGCCAAACGTCGATCGGCGTGTTTTCATTGTACGGAGTACCTAGGTGCCGATGATCATCATAGACGGCTTCGATTCTCGACTCTTGGGTGACTGCGTGCCTCTCCCTGTTTGTAAAGAGACTCCAGTCGCTTTGCCGGTGGAGCAACAACTATTCAGACACCAGAAGTGTGTACAGGGAGGGGAGGACAAGATACAAAAACCAGAATTGACAGCAGAAAACTTATCCCCAGCGAGTCCACTATCAAGAGTCTTTCTACACTTCGCAGACTCGGTACGGAAAGGTGTTGTTCGGCTTAGGTTACTTCAAGCCCTCAAAGGGTATGTACTATGTACACAGGAAAGTAAGCACTAACAAGAGTGCCCTCTACCAAAGGGCCTTTACGAAGGCAAATAAGTGGCATAGATTTCTTCGACTTTACTTACTTCAGGAGAACGAAGATATGGCAGTGTGGGTCCTTTCGTAGTTCATACTGGGATTCCGTTTGACCAAAGGATGGGGCGTTTGGAAGGTGGGTTAGTTACAACGATGGTCTCAGCAGATTACTATGGACCTTTGATATCCCCGGGTTATAATGGCTAGTGGCAATGGAGTTCAGAATAGGACGACCCTTTTCAAGATTGGCGTGCAGCAGATTCATGGATTATTTATTCTGTGAAGGTCCCCTTGAGGCCATCGATTTCTTACCACCAACTTTGTCAGTAGTATCCACCTGTATACTGCGCTTTTTGGTCTGAACTGCAGTTAGTTGGAAACATCCCAGAGAATTAAACATTTGCCTAACTAGTGACTAGGTTGGGAATCCTATCAGGGACACTGGCAGGACACTGCAAACCATCATCGATATTCGATTACGTCTCTCTCTCTCTCTCGCTCTCTTCATTCGTTTTTACAGGCCCATCCCGTTATTCGAAATATAACCAGCGTTTGAATTTTATAATGCCCTCGTTAAAGGTCTTGATTATAGGGGGCAGCATCACGGGCCTAACGCTAGCGAACATACTAGAACGATATGGCATTGAATACACGCTATTCGAGAAGCATGACAATGTCGCTCCAGCACTTGGTGCGAGTCTCGGAATCCTACCACATGGAGCACGTATTCTCTCCCAGCTTGGCTGCTATGACGACCTGGTGCCGAGCCTGGCACCGTTGGAGGATATGGTAACATATGGTCCAGATGGCAAGCTGCTCGCACGCAGCGATAATCTGGGATCCCATATCCATGCTATGTAGGCTATCATGACACTGTATGCGCTGAAACCATGAATCTCTGATACTGATCCAGGTTATCTATGCAGGATGAGATCTAAGATTTCCTTTCTCGAACGTCAGAAGCTCCTGGCTGCTCTGCACCACGCAGTTTCAGATAAGTCAAAGCTCATACTTTCCTGTAAAGTGGTCCAAATAGACCATTTGGAGAACAGCGTCCAAGTTAAGACTGAGGATGGTCGGGTATTCAAAGGCGACCTACTTGTTGGTGCAGATGGTGTTCACAGCAAAACCCGAGAGCAAATGTGGCGTATGCTACAGGACGATAAGCAGGAGGAGCTTTACTTAAAGGACTATAAAGGTATGGCTTAGGGCTCACGGTGAACTTGAGGAAACGGGGAACTGACTCGCGCATCCACAGCTATCAAAAGTACCTTCAGTTGCATATTCGGCATCTCCAAAGCCATGGGCAAGACCACGATAGCCGATAGTTGGAAAAATGTGCGAAAAGGCCGTCATTACCTGATCCAAGGTGCACCAGATGATAGAATATTTTGGTTCCTATTTTTCAAGAACGAGAAGCAGGCGGGGGAAAGTCAATTTCTCAGATATACCCCCAAGGATATTGAATATTATGCAACAAAATTTGCAACTGATCAAATACGACCGGACATGACATTTGGTGAGTTATACGAAAATCGAACGACTGCAACATTGGTACCGCTGGAAGAGTATACCCTGAACAGATACTATCACAGGAGGCTCATTTTAATCGGAGATTCTGCTCATAAGGTTTGGCCCTCGCTTCATCAATACACTTATCGAGGCTAATAAGCCGTAACAGATGCATCCTGTCACTGGGCAAGGTGGCAATGCTGGTATCGAGGATGCCGCGTTTTTGGCAAATCGATTGAAAGACCTCATCGGAAAAGGCAGCATGCCTACTGAATGTCAACTTAAAGAGATCTTCTCCGAGCTCCAAGAAGAGAGACGTCCAAGAACCGAAATGCTAACCAAGGGTGCACATGGATTGTCACGTTTAGAGACTTTTGATAACATGTTTCTGAAATGGTTCATGTTACATGTAGTGAAAAGACTACCCTGCGAAAACATTTTATCTCCCCTGGCCGTGTCTGTAGCGCCGGGAGAGCCTCTGAAATACTTACCACTCCCTGCACAACCCGAAGAGCGCTTAGTTCCGTTTGAAGATGAGGTCAAAATTACTCCTCGGCGACGATCCCCTCAAGCGACAGCTATATGGATGGCTATCTTCCTGGTAGTTGGCTCACTAAGGCTGATCCCTGTTCGGGATCTGCTGTATAGAGGCATCCAAATAGGCAATGGATTATCTCGGGAATCCTTAGCTGCCATTCAGAGCTATCTTCGCGCATCATATTTAGCTATTGTTGGGCTGTGGTGTCTCGAATCATATCGTCCTGCTTTTAGTCTGGGGCCAATATCGAAGTAGGCATATCCCGCCATGTCCACAATGCCGTTCCTTTCTCACAATATGTTCAGTTCCCTGCCTTTCATGATTTGTTCCTTCTTTGTTGGATGGGACGTTGTGATACCGATCTATCTGTCGCTATGGATTTTCGCTACGCGAGTTAGAGAGTTTTATTATCCATCACCAAGGGCCATCCCGCTGTCGGCTGCAAAGGCTCTCCCACCTTCGCTGGCCACTATCTTGTCCGGGATAATTGCTTCTCCTTACCTTAATTTCTCTATGATTACACCGTTGAGACCAACCCTGAGTTCTAATGTCACCACATGGGATCTTGCATACGGCTTCCTCCCCGTTACGATAGCATTGGCAGCCTCGGTTATCAAACGCTCTTCCGGACCCCAGTCTGGTCCCGAATACCAGTGGGGAAATATGGACATTCCCTATATCTCATGTTTCTTGACTATGATTCTTATCATAACAAGTGCGGCTCATCTACTGTTCGTCACCAAATTCCTGATCCCTGCGTTTTGGGACACGCGAGTTACACTACCTGCCTGCTGTACGGAAGAGGTTATAAGCCTTATAACGCTTGTGCTACTTGTTTCCTTATGGATACTATTTACTGCGTGGGATCTACGACGTGTCAAAGTTGACAGCATGAATCTAGGCCGTGTGATGGCATATATTGCCATTGGGACATGTTTGCTCGGACCCGGTGGATCTCTTGTAGCCACCTGGCGATGGAGAGAGGGGGCATTCGAGAAGTCTCGCACGGAAAGAACCCCAGCCCCTACACATAAGGCATAAGCACCGTTCTGCATGTGGTCCTGTTAATGACGATGTTCGAGGTAATGTTTACAATAGACTTACAAATGTAGTTGATATGATGTAAAATGTATGATAATAGACAACAAAAATATAAACTGGATCTCGTGAGGGTTGGTTTGGATAATGGAAGCCTGGTACCAAGGTGGTTTTTATTGAGAGACATGTATTGACTGGTTTATTATGCTGCATGTTTGCCTTTATCAATATTGTGATCAACCTATATAAAACTGAAAGAAGCAATGTATAATAATACCTATCAGCCAGTAAACCATCCTAAAGGTACCTACCGGAATATCCACCCCAAGCAATTCCAAATGTCGTAGTGAACATGTGATTACCGTTACGATGACAATAGAATGTCTTCAGCGATTTTCTCTGCCAGCATGTCTGCGAGGGTCAATATTCTTCTGGCTAAATTGGTATATAAGATAGACACCTACAAACCGAAGACTGGGGATGACCCGGGGGAAGAAATGGGAAAGAGCTGGCATCGACAACTCTTAGTCTATTAACTCCAAATACCCGAGCTCGGTTATCGATGACGGCCATTGAATCATTGCTAGTTCCCATCTTGCAGGTACATGCAGGGTGCCATAATGTCATGATATTATTTCGAATAAACTCTAGAATCTCCTCGTCTGTCTGGATGTCACTGCCAGGATAGTACTCTTCTCCAATGACAACAGGCGCCATTGCGCTACTTGTGAATGCCTGGCGCATCCTTTTAAACATCGCGATTGACACCTGTTGGTCAGCCTCAGTAACTAGCCAATTTGGGTTTACTATGGGAAGGTCGCTTGTGTCTGGGGATGCTAGGGTGATATTGCCCCTAGATATTGGGGTAATAAGGACCCCCAGCATCGATGCATATTGAGAACCGTCTTTGGGCTGGTTTGTCAACAGGTTGGAGAAATTTCCAATATATCCTGCGCCTGAGATATACTAAGAATGTACTTAGGGAACGTTGATCTTTAAAAACAAGGGTCTAGCTTACCTCTGCCTCCGGCCAATCATCAGGAAATTGTGCGAGACTATGCTGTGTTCTTGACGAGAATTCTGAGCGTAAGTCAGAAGGGATCTTTTCCCATGCCAGGAAGTCAGCCACTGGATTCGCCAATGGCCCATCACGAACTGTGCTGTAGCCAAGGAACTGGGAAAAGGTGTATAACAGATCATTAGCTAGCCTAGTAAAGGTTTCAACGTTAACACGATAGCTAGGTCCGAAGAACGGATGATCCCAGAGGTTCTGGCCGACTCCCGGTAGGTTAGACACAACGTTGATCCCATGAGCTTCCAATTGATCTGTTGGTCCAATCCCTGACACCATCAATAGTTGAGGTGAGTGGAAGGTACCTGCAGATACAACGACTTCCTTGGATGCTGTAATATTCGTCTTAAAGCCCCAGCCATCGCTGACCTCGACTCCCACTGCATTATTCTGTCCGTCGAACAAGACCCGCTTGGCGAGTGTTTTGGAGTAGACTTGGAGATTGGTATTTTTTGTGGCCAAAAAGGATGTTTCGGAACTGCTGCGTGACTGATCACTTGGGCGAATGGTTGATGAACAAAACTGGTAACCATTAAGTTCGCCGCTGTTGAAATCTGAAGCTTCTGGGACCCCGATAGACTCCATACCGACTTTCATCCACGTTGAGAATGGCATCGCAAAGTTTGAATAGGATACCTGCAGGGGCCCTCCAGTATTGTTAAAGACCTCTGGATTATATTTGACACTTGCATTTGCAATCCGGGCTGACGAATTTGGAGCAGTAAAGTCCACACTTCGTTGGTAAAACGGAAGCACGCTATCGAAGGAGTAGCTTTGATCATTGACAACATCTGCCCACATCTTCATTGACTGTTTAGTCGGCCTGCAAAGCTAGGTTACTAATAATTTAGATGGCATCCTTGATGAGAGCCAACCTCTGGTATACCATGAAGTTAAAAGCTGACCTGGCATTCCAAACCTCGTTAGCAAAGCCCATCCACGAGAGGGATAATGATATAGTCCAACTCACGATCCCCCTAGACATTTGCCTCTTGCAAAATGTACCTCGCGCCCATTTGCACCTGGTTGCGGTGTAGTGACGAATCCCCAATCAGCCCCCCAACTGGATTTGGGATCAGACCCAACAGGAAGAACATCTGCTCCAGGAATTGCTGCTAGTGGCCAGGTCGCCTCATAACGCTCCCCGGCTTCAATGAGGGCAACCTTTTGCGACTGTTCAGCTAAGCGCGCAGCAATCGTGATGCCCGCAGTGCCGCCACCAACAATAATATAGTCAAAGGTCTTACCCGCGACCCAATAGTTACACGCGAGCAAACCAAGAACAACGGAAATTTTAGAGCAAGTAACCATTTTAGGCCTGAATCATTCACTCGAAGCGCATTAATATGGGAACAGGAAGAGCTGGGACGATGTAATGTGCCTTTGGATGATATAGGGCGAGCGTATAAGGAATATGGGATGCAGGGAATCAGAGTAATGCGAGCTTCAGTGCAAATCTTCCCAAGGTAATGCGCATGTGAATAATGAAATCTTTATTTTTCCTCACAAACTGGCAAAGGGAAGAAGAGACCAAGCCTTTCATGTTCCCAATAGGAGGATCTATCCCGGAACCTTGGCCAGGTAGAAGGAGAAGGCGCATTCCAACCACTCTTCAGAACAAGGTATGGACGACAGGGACCTCGAATTTAATTCAGATAGCCAGTTTTAGGCTTGCCAGAGTACGATTCGTCAATTAAACATCTAACTAGAGGCATTCAGAGATCTACACTGTCTATTTACCTTCGCACTCTTGGGCATTCCCATCTTAACAGCAGCGGTCGTCCCCCATAATCCACCGCGCATGAGGACAAGCCAGAAAGACGACTGCCACCGCACAGTCCCATCCATTGCCCTCCGTCCCCAGAAGACTTCTCTTGCAGCGGGCATCGCGGACCTCTTCACTCATACTATCCCTGTATATCATGGGTGTATATCTATAATGCCCATGTTGATACTGCTGCCCCGGGGCTCCTGGCCCTCATTCCAATCCATCGCCGGAATCGTATACTTAGCTATCAGTACCATACTTGACACCTTCACCTCTAGACTCTGCGCCCACGCCGCCATATCTACCTCCACCGCTGTCCCCGGCGCTCCCCCGATTCCCACGTTGTTCAGCAGGATATCCACGCGGCTGTTGCCGACGAGGGAGCAGCAGGAAGGAGAAAATAGAATCGTCATTTTTTTCCCTTTAAGATACCTCTGATAGAGTAGAAGACTAGAATGAATGGCTTAAGAAAGAATCTAGAAGAGTCGTGGCCTCAGGCAATATGCACAGCTGTCGGTGTGCAGGAACTAGGATAAGGTTATAGTGGAGGGCATTAAGTAGGCTCTCAGCAACCTGGTTTCGGAGTTATTTGTGATCCAAGTCTTTTAATTAGGATAATTATAGGAATAACTTGACATTTAACCTATGGAGGTTAAAGCGTAAAAAGACACTACAAAATAGACATGCATCAAATATTCACAAAAATACAGCAATCATTGCACCCTTCACTTATCAGTTAACTTGGATGCACCACGGCAATCAGAATGAGCACGCAACGCAATGGCTAGAATAATCCTTGCAATGCTGTCCATTTCACGGAGTATTGATGTATCCCAAGCACCGTACTCGTGCATTGTCAGGAATGGTAAAGCACTACCAACTGGAGGCTTTTTGTTCAAATAGTCAATGTAATCTTGGCTATATTCCGCGATAATAATGAATAGTTGATGGCGGTCTTGAGATATATGAAGGCGCCTAAAAAGCAAATGAGAAACCCCTCGCAGGAAAGAAAGTAGTTATAACTGAATTATTTAGGGAGGGAGGAAAATGGAAGAAAAATAAAATAAAAAAGAGCATCATACCGTCCGGGTTTGTTCAAGCAACCATGAAGGTCAGGGTCTGTCTTGATCCAGGCTGCCATTTGGGCAGCCTCTTGCATGCAAATACGGTCCCTCTTCTTATTCCGCATTATTGGCTTTACTTCGATTAACGCTCGCGCTTTGTCGGGATCAGAGTGGTCTTCAAGGTACCCATCAGTCCGTGCTTCAAATGACGCTTTCTGAAAGTCTGCCTTGAATGATTTTCGATGTAAGGTCCAATCATTGGCAGCTGGAAAGTGCATAGTGAGCGCGTTCAAGAAATTAACTAGAGCTGTATTCACAATCTGCTCATCTTTTGTCGGCGGATACATCAAATTCACAATTTCACTAGGCCCGGGGGAAACGAAAGGGGTTTCTTCATTTTCATCCTCGTCATTTTCATCCTCTTCCTTCTCCTCCCCTTCAATCTTAAAGTAATCCAACGGATCCCCCCTAGATTTAGTTGGAGTTTGAAGCTGCGCATCCCTAAGCCTCTTTGTTAGGCTGCTTATCTGGCTTCGAGTTCGTTGAGATATTGGGGAGATAGAGACACTGGGCCTGAGAGTCTCATCCGTAGACAGCGCGGCCTGCTTTTGGTATTTCCTGGCTAACGCGAAGGTGCCTTCGGGAATAATCGAAGTTTTGAAACTTTGCCGATATCCTTGCCATGACTGAAAGCTGCGGAGCAGCTCATCAGCCTTGCTGATCCAGATTTTAAGGTCAAACTTTTCAACATCAAGATCTTTGGATTTGTGTGTTTTCCAGAGCACTCTAAGCGCAAGATATTGCTGCTCCTTGATTGTTGATGCTGAAGCGAGCTTGATATCATCGTGGACAGTTAAATCCGCCAATTTGTGGAATTTAATCCATGTATTCCGCTCAGCTTCGGTCTGCGGTAGTTTTATAGACATGATGGCGTGAAGTGATCACCTAGGTACAATTCACTGTTACTTTGAACGGGTTGCACACGGTATTAGTTTGAATTATTGAGGGGCGACTCTTGTATAATCCCTCTAAAGGGGGAATCAGCGGTAATAATACCCAAGGCGGGGTAGTAATTAGGGATCTATCTAGGCGCCCTGGTATAACTAACCATCGTGTTCTATTTTGGGCCATAACCCCATGTCAGCCAGTAATACTGCTGGGCTAAAAAGGTGTTAAGACAGTCATTTCTAGCTGATACAGGATTATATTAGTCCACACCCAACCATTGGTAACCAGGCGATTCCTGTCTGTCTCATGGTCTGCATTCCTGGTAGTAAAAAGAAATTAGGAGGGTGGCCATCTTCCCTGGTTGGATAAATCTGTAGAATTATAGCTGCAAGAAAAGATATAGGATGATCTACCTTGCTGGTTGCCAAGAGCAACAAATAACTGATGCCCCAGGCATCCATACCCACAACTCCCTCCTCCAACTTTGTTCTTTCCTTCCTTTCTCTACCTTCCCAACTTCACCTTAACTTGGCTTAACCAGACATTATTTCCATCAACAGAAAATACAAAATTCATCTGTGTATTAAGCATCATGTCCGATAATATCCTACTCAAGGAGCGCCTGGCCCGTCGTAAGGTGCTCGCAGAGATCTATGGGCGTGTTTTGAAGACACCTTCCCATCACATTGACAAGGATATCCTCCAAGAAGCATGTATCCAGTATTCAACCCTCTCACTCCAAGAGGAACCTGATTTGGAGCCATATTATTTTAAACCATATGCTGGAGATCTCCCGCTCCCTGAGGACCCTGATAACGACCTTGGCTCGATGGATTGCGACCTCCTTCGTAATAACCACATCTCGAACGCCAGGACCCTGCAGTTAGTCCTGTGGGACTATGCATACCATTGTGGAATGCTCCTCGAGGAGCAAAACTTGCAGCATCTCTCTCCTTTCCGAGGATATCGAGAGTATGCCCCCCGTTTCTTCTTCTTCTTCTTGCTTGTTTGTTTCTGACTCGCCGCGTCTAGGACTGGAGATTTCAAGTTCGGTAATCTCTTTGAGGTAATGCCAAATAACTGGGAGGTACCAACAGTCCTTGATACTCGCGAGGGGAAATTTCCTCACATGAAAGCTATGGTTATTAGCAACACTGTTGGCGACAACCAACTCCTTCGTGGAGAACTCCTAGCGATCACGGATATTATGTCTACTCGGCTCCGGACCATAGAGCTGCGTCCACATATTATTGCTCCGGTAATCTCTCCCTTATCAACCAAAAGAACTTAAAAATAGGACTAATTAAGTATCACTTTAGATCCTAATCTTCTCCATGATAGGTATTCGACATGCTCGGGTGTTAGAAGCTCACTTTAATGGCAAGGACTTGATCGTACGCTGCTCGAAGCTTTATGATTTTAGCTCCAGCACACCAGATCTCAAGCTAATAAGACTACTAGCCCGATATTGGCTTGGAAGTCCTTGTGGGGAGACTACTTGGGAGGAGATAATGGGTGTGAAAAATTGATTTGATTATGCGGCGCTAGAAAATTCAAATTTCTAGTAATAATGATATCTTACATGGCTTTATAAGTTTGACCCTTACTAGTGAGGAGAAGTTTCGAAATTATTTCCTACTCTTTAGGCTTTGTTGTGTATATGTCCTGTTTATGTATCTTGTCTGCCTAAAGTATTATATTCTGGCCAGTGCCCCTTCTTATTATAATATAATTTAAAATCCTTACAACTAAACCTTAGTGCTCTGATAGATAGAATATTATCATATAGCTTGATGGTAGTTTCGGACTCTAGCATATGCCATCAATATCTAGGTATTATAAAACAATAATTTCATATACTATTTGCAAACACTGTACAGAACTATAATCAGCGGCGCATAGAAATAGTATTTAGATATAGTTACATGCGGAGTCTCATTACGACTAAGTAAATACTCAGCCCATTATCAAACCCTAAATGAGAGGAAGGTAACAGTTCTAAATTTGACTAGTGGCATACGTTGGTTAAGATTATTAATATGATTAGACTTTTGGAGTTACCTAGGTAGTGTTAGAGAAATAAATTCCTATCCCAGATATTCTGAAACTGGCATATAGGCCGATGGCCGAGGTGTTGGCCAGCCTTTGGAGTCTTGACTTGGACAAAATTGGCTCTCTCGGTGAGGATAGCGTAAGTCGGTCATTGACGGGCGGACCCTGACCCAGGAAGAAAACGAGCTTTATTGCTCAAATGGACTCTCTCTGGGAGGGGTCATCATGTTTGGCTTGCAGGCTTTCCTCCTGTCCAGGCACATCCTTTATTATATATGCCCGGTTCCATACCCCTATTGAACTGTCTATCAGGGCCTTTAGACGTATGTACAGCAAGGAGGTACCCAACGCGTGGGAGGAGGAATGCCGTAAAGCGATCCATTCCAGTGCTATTGACAGAAATAGCTTACCCTGTTGTTACGCTCTTCCTGTGGGATATCAGGACCTTAACGAGTGCGAAGATGGGGTGCTCCCCGTAGCTCAAACCTCGTATTCAGGAAATCTAGGCAATGGAATGATTCGTTGCTTTTAGTTCAGCTGCCGTGGCTGCTGACGAGAATTCTAATCTGCGCTAAACAGTCTATCTTAGAGGAACACATTCTGAGCACGTGAGAAGAGGAGGTTATATTCTATAAGGCTCATGATAGATAAAATGTGTCAGAATATGATGAAGGTCGTCAAATGATGACAGTAGAAAGTTGACCGAAATGGATTCAATTAGGTCTAACTAGGAGATGGAGAGATGAAGAAGATGCTTGGAAGAAGTATGGAGATCTGGAAGGAAATAGTGGCTTAAATATACTGGGTAGTCATGTGTTGCTACTTACTTAATAGCAGTACTATTTATATTAATTATAGTACTCTAATATACCCTCCTTAATAATATATTTATTATATAAAGCTATTTAGAATCTATTTCTAATATGCTAATCTTTTAATAAATTCTTTAAATTTTATAGTATTATCTTCTCTACTAATTATTTATAACCTAATATTTATCTATAATCTCTATATTATATTTTTTATAAATATATTATTAGATAGGAGATAATAGTATAAATTAAAGATTTCTAAAGATTATTTAATATAATTACTCTTTATTAATAATTAAAGATTTACTTACTATCTTTAGGTTAAATCTTATCTTATTTTAGTAACTAAATTTTATAACCAAACTTTAATTAAAGTAGCTAAATAATATATCTAAATAGAATACTTTAACTATTACTTCTTTAATAGAGTTATTACTCTCTTCCTTTTATAACTAGAATACTTTAACTATTATTTTTAGTAGAGTTATTACTCTCTTCCTTTTATAACTAGAATACTTTAATTATTACTTTTAGTAGAGTTGTTACTCTCTTCCTTTTATAACCAGAATACTTTAAAGTAGTAATTATATAGAGCTTCTTTTACAGCCAGGATCTCTAACTAATTAGGTAGTAGATTATTTTCTAGTACAGGGATCTAATAAGAGTTTTTTAAGGTCTAAGAAATATAAATTAGAACCTTAGAGAGGGCTCATAACCTGATAAAGGTTATTAAATGATGATAGTAGAAAGTTAACTAAAATAGATTTAATTAGGTCTAACTAGGAGATAGAGAGATGAAAAAGATGCTTAGAAGAAGTATAGAGATCTGGAAGGAAATAGTGGCTTAAATATACTAGGTAGTCATGTATTGCTACTCACTTAATAGCAGTGCTGTTTGCATTGATTGCAGCACTCCAACAGAATATATGTTGGAAAACTAGACCAAACTTGTTATAATGCATGAAAGAAAGCAAGTAAAGCATTGCCATGAGATATATTCAGCCACGGATATTAGCCTTAGCTCTAAGCCATGCATAACAAAACCCAAGACTTTGGCCCGGTTCTCTACATCTATCTTAGCAGGCACCTATCCTACTATCGGCTGATATCAGCTCAATAATAGGCCCTATAACTGCTTCATCATATCCGAAAGACAGCAATGTCGTAATAGTCGTACTAGTTAGCCTTAATTTATGACCACTTATTGCCTTCCACAGACGATCCTTCACAGCGAAGTCTGTTTGATATTGCATGATCAAACGCTCAAGATATGGGCCATGGTCACGCACGTCAAGCTGTGGGTTAGGACCAAGCTCGATGTCAATAGAGTATTGAACGGAATAGTCACCAGGGCAAGAAACAAGCAGTCCTGGTGTTTGTGGGAACTCCTGAATTGAGAAGGTCGAATCTTCGGTTCGGTCAGTGCCGTCAATATAAACCTTTAAATCCGGGGGAATCGAAGTCAGGGTAAGAAATAGAAAGCGCCAATGTCCATTTACCCCCGCAGCAGTCAGTCGGCCTTCAGACTGAGAATATTTTAACTGATATTGCCGTACTTCGGGGTCTACAGCCTGATCTCGCTTCTGAGATTTGCTGTCTCTCGGGTCTTCCACTGTACAGGCTTGTCCATCTGCTCCAACGACTACTAGCACCTGCATCACATCAGGGTTAAAACACCCGTTCTGCACACCGGTGCAGTCATCATCTAGCGTAATAATTGACCCTTCATGTGCTAGGACAGGGTATCCCTCTAGGGGGCGGAAGAACGTGAGTTCGCGGTCTCCATCATAAACTGTGCCAGTGAAAATATCAACGTAACGCTTATCAGGCGGTAACCAAGCTTGTACTGAAGCCAGATGCGTACGAGGGTCTCTAGGTTGAACAATAGGAGCCACCATGAGTTTCTGCCCAAAGAAATATTGGTTTGGAAACTCATATGCCTCCTTGTGATAAGGATACCTCCAGTATAGCGGTTGCACTAATGGCTCGTCCTCAACGGAGGAGATGACATTGTGCGTATACAGATAAGGGATTAATCGGTGTCTGAACCTCATATATGTGGAGACAACTGAATCACATTCTTGTCCATACAGCCAAGGCTCCTTGGACATCCAGTGAGATGTTGTCGAGTGAAGTCGCATAATCGGCGAGAAGACACCCAGTTGGACCCAACGGGCAAATAGTTCATCATCTCGTCCACCAAAAATATGACCCCCAATATCGTGGCTCCACCATCCATAGCCAATATTGGAGGCTGTCGCAGTGAACTCCGGCTGGAAAGCAAGTGAAGCCCAACTAACTATCGTGTCTCCGGAGAACCCCACGGGATATCTATGGGATCCTGGTCCAGCAAATCTTGAGAAAACGAGCGCAGTTTTGCCATCGAGCCCGCTGTCCAAATACTGAAAATGATTTAACAACCACAGGGGGTCAAGCCCGGGAATTTTAGAGTAGGGGCCTTGCTGCCAGTCAATCCACCAGAAATCGCACGCCTGCCTCTCAAGCCTTCGGTGCAGAATTCCAAGATAGGCCTCCATAAACTTAGGGTTCGCAGGGTCAAACATAATAGGGTTCTTTTTGTCTGGATCTCGACCCAGAAATTGGGACATTTCCTCGTATGCGTCTTCATAAGGGTAGACACCAGAATGAGGGTGATCATTCAAGGTTATTTTTAATGACCGCTCATTTAATTCACGCCTAAATCTCCCCGGATCTGGGAACAGGCTTGGATTCCAGGTATACCCTGTCCAACCAGCATGGGGTACGCGGTCATCTGACACGTAATGCCAGTCCATGTCCACAACAGCAACTGAAAGCGGGATCCTATGTTGATTGAAGGCATCCATCAGCCGAACATATTCATCCTGATGATATGCATAATATCTGCTCCACCAGTTTCCAAAAACATAGCGTGGCAAAATTGGCTGTTTACCCGAAAGAGCATAGAATGCCTTGATAGCAGCTTTGTAGTCGCGACCATAGCAGAAGAGATAGCCATCGAAGCGCTCCCCGGGCAGCCTCTCTGCGACCCATCCGTTTCCGTCAAATAACATAGACTTGGAGTCATCAATCACCGCAAAGCCTGCTTTGGACAAGACACCCTGCCCCATGTCGCAGCGGCCGTTGACCTGATCTAATGTTCTGGCAGTGCCCCCAAGGTTGAACTCGACTGGGGTTCCAAAGCGCCATGGGGTCCCGTATTTCATACTCTTGCCATTGAATTGGAATCCCAAGCTCTCCGGACTAAATTTCTCCTTTGTGTAGCTCATGTGAAAATGCTCTGTAATGATCTCGAGGTCCTCCCCATCGACCCAGCGGAACTCGGGGACTGGAAATTCACGATTAATAGCGAAGGTCGAAGCCCGGTCCTCAAATTGGCCGTGTTCTGCCCATTCATAGCGGATAAGACGGTCGGTAAGGAGGGTAAAGCGGTAGGTTGGACCTTGGACGGTGGCTCCAGGGCTTGGGGTCGGGTGGGTTGGGAACTTATACTTATCCATAACTACTTGGGAGTTCCAGGCGCCAGGATAGTACACTCTATAGTCTTGTGTATCAGGAAAGAGTTCCCTGGCGATGGATATGTTGGAAGAAGTTGAATACCAACATGTAGGTAGGTTTCTCAACCCCGCTGGTGCCAACTCAGTCCAAGCACCATCATTGCTCATTGGCCGTAGAGCCTGGTGAGCTCCATGCAGTTGACACCGCAACTTGCCAGGTATCACCCTGATTATGTACCATTAGTGCCCTAGTTCAGTCTGTTCTCATGGGTCCGACAGAAATATCTAGTGAGAGAATTGGGATAACGAGTTCATTCATTCTAACCGCGAGCGTAGGAATAAGCTATATCACAAGTATATAGAACCCTATTCCCAGAGCCTCTTTATCCACAAGCAGAGTCCAAGAATTTTGAACACAATAATATCGGAAATAAATGTTTTAGAGACATTTCTATGATCCAGACGCTGGTCGTAACATCGATGTTTGATAATAGCCAGGTACAACTTCGTAGTCCTTAAGCGCTATACACCCATGTCGTGCATACAACCCTCGTCCGGGAGGGGATGCGGAGATAAAAACTTCCATTTTTTCCTCGTCTGCGCGATCTAGACCCCATTTCAAGAGTCTTCCACTTAAGCCGCGACGCCCAAAGCTGGGGTGTGTTCCAAGCATGCTAAGATCTACACCACGTTAGTTGTGTGCTTGGTCCTTGAAGTATATCCCTTACAGTAATGTGGTTGGCCTTTCACTGCCGATTTCCTCTCTTTGTGTATTCCTTCGAAGAATAGGTCGCACAGCTCAGAATCTGAACCAACAGGCCATGTAACATGTTCGTCTTCTGTCCCTTCGCCCACCGGGGCTTTCTTCGGGAGCTCCCACAGTGCAAAGGCGGCAATAACTGGTCGTTGATCGGAGCCTACAGTCCCAACCATCTTCATGAAGCTCACTGTGTGCTGCGAATGAGCTTGCTCGGCGTCCGCCGCAAATTTCTGGATCCACCAAGCGCGAACCTCTTCAGTGCAAGGGAAGAGACGGCGGCTGAAATCATCCGAAAACGATGCCAAAAAAACATCAGTCACTTCCTCCGCATCTGCTGGAACTACCGGTTCAATCTTGAATTCCATGTTGCAAGCTTGGGGGTTTGGAGGGAAAAGAATGAACAACTATTGTGGAAGGTGTCCGCAGTGAAAACTTAACCGAACCCTCCGACTTAGTCTTCGGGATCGTGCACAAGCTAATGACCGCTAGTCCAACCACATACAAAAGCCATAAATTGGTTGATGCTCAAAGTTGATGAATCAACGGTCAAGAAAGTACGCTGATAATCATAGGAGGTCGCTATTTTTGAATTCTATTTATTACGTGACTCACATTTCGAGTGTACCTATGCAGGCAGCATTTTATCAGAGGCAGTTTAGTAGGAAATTTATTTACCTACAAGGCACAGCATATATTTCTCCCCCTTACACGTGAAGTATTTTGCAATAGTTCATGCTCCAATCCAAGGCTGTGGTCTGATGAACTCTATGTTGTGATGCCTGTGGGTTGGTTGTTCTTTATGTATTGTATGGAGTACTCCGTACGGTAGCTTTCTTTCGGCCTCAGCTCTATGGAAACTGTGGGACGCTCCGGTGTCAAGTGCCCATCCAGGGAAGCTTTCGGGGGGATTATACTGTATCAGGACGAAATGGTTGTCTAGACATCTTTTATGAGCCTGGTATCAAATGGATTGCTTCCTGAAATGACCAGTAATCTGCTGTCGAGAGATGAGGATATTATTATGGAACCCAGGAACACAAGAACCATATTAAAGTAGAATACTGCCTTATATTTACCTTCTAGGTAGATCTAAATGCTGCCCTTTCCTTCCACCCTCATGGTAGTGTCTCCGGCTTGAAGCATGCCTTGACCTGCATATTAATTTATAACTTCTCGTTAATTTACCACCAAGCAATCATAATAGACTAATTCAAAGGTTAAAAGCTATCTATATAGATTTAAATCCTTACTAGGTACCTTCCTTGCCTTTTTATATTTTACTAGTATAGTCTGATTTTCTTAGTATATAGTAGGAGCGAATTACCCCTTTAGTACCTCCAATATCTTATATGTTAACACTTTTGCATATAATAGTATACTAGCAGAGTACTACCTAAGCTCGAAATAACTTTATTAAGCATTACTAGTCCTCATTAGACCTGGTCATATTTATTCGAACGTGTACTTCATAAGTACATTTTCTAATATACTTGGTAAGGTCATCTATATCTCGAATCCCAGGCTCGGTTGGAGGCTCTAGGAGCTCTATACGGTCTATATCGAGGTTGGTATAATCCCATGCAGTTCGTGCCTTGGCTAGGCTTCACATATTGTCAACCAATGTACGCTAATCCTCTTGAGTCTTCAAGATAATTGTGACCTTGATAGCTGCATGACTCTCCATGGTAGATGCTTCAAATATTCACCTTTGGATGCTTCGGATCGGGCGGTTGCTTCGAGGGGGTAACCAACAGATAGATTGCAAGTCTTCACTATTGTGTAATGCTTCAAGCGTTCAACTAGGTTACCGGGCTCCAGTTTCCAAGCGATGGGTGGCAATATTGGTGGAAATCCACAATGTCTGTACCATTGCAGGAGGTACTATAGGGGCATAATCAATCTTGCCCTAACTCTTTTTGGAATTGTTTTCTACTTGAAGAGTGAGCAGACTCAGCACCCGGGGATTTCCAAGATTGTGCCGTGGTCAGCAATAACATAAAGACGTAGGAAAGGAGATTGAACCAATATATAAAGGTCAAACCTGGTTTATACCACAGGATTCCACCAGAGGAAAGGTATTATCCGACTCCCCCTTCGGGTCCCAGGATACTGTGAATATCTTAACTGGATATGTTTCCAAGCCAGCAATATTGCCACACCACACTGAGAAGCCCAAGTTGTTGTTGACAACTAGACCCAGCGAAAAAGTGTGATAGCTCGCATCATCCAGGGCTTACTGCGCAGCGTATGACTTACTAGGTAGACAAGCCCGGCTAGAGTTCATAAAAACACAACATTGCTGACAATTTTAAATGGGTTGTGATAATGTCTCACTCCCTTGCAAGTCCTGCAATAATGGGAGAGTACTGTCACCTATTGCTTTTCACCGCCACCCACACTCGGGACTGTTGGCGGACGAGGATAGGGTCGAACAGAAACTAAGAATTACGGGGAAGCACAAATCACAGCCCGTGGAGATGACGGATCAACATCCTCTCTAGCTTGTCTTCTGCTAGTGCTGATGACATTAACCCAGTGTGTCCAAATTTGTATCCAATGGGACTGAAGTATTGAATTCGGTGTCTATTAATGGTTCAGACCCACCAAATTATTTACGTGCAGCCATGCAAGGTGGTGGGTAAAATGTTTCAGTGCATCGTCATCCTCTTGCGGCGTTGCGAGCAGCGGAAGAGGATATGTTGGAGTGCTGGATTCAGTGACAGTCACCATCACCACGAAGCAAAGGTTTAGCGACATGTGACCCAGTGTATTTAGGCCACTATTTTCTTTCTAGACCTTCATGTTTCCTTCAAGCCTCTCTTTCATTAGTTTTTAGACCTCAATTTGAATACAATTCGGACCGCAAAATCCCCTCACTCCTGCTATACATAACCCCCTTATACTACCCCATCCTGAGTGCCGGTCTGAATTATCTGCCTCCCACCTATCGCCGCCATAATGAAGACATTCGCCGTGCTTGCATCTCTCGTGGCTAATGCTATAGCCCAAAACGCAGTCCTCTCCCTACCCAATGGCGCATCCCTTGAAGCTGGCAGCGAAGTTATCGTCCAGGTTCAGCGTCCTGTACGTCTTTCGGGGGCCATTGTTAGATAGCGCATTGCATACTAACCGTACATTGCAGAACTCTCTAACCGGCTCCACCGAGATGGGGGTCGCCATTGGTGTACAATCATGTCCAGAGAGCACTTGCCACCCAGCAGAATCTTTCTTAGGGACTATATTGTACAATGGGCCATTTAAGCCCGTCTACCATGAGACCTACAACCCTCCGTATGAGAATTTCTCCGTGACTGTCCCCGAGGGTACTCCTAAGGGCCGGGCACTTGTTGGTGTCGCCCATGCCACCCTTGTTGGTGTAAGTAGGGCAATCAAAACTAAACTAAACATTCGCTGATATTTTTGTTCTTCTGCAGGCTGGGCCCTGGCCTTGGCTGGAGGTTCTCAACCAGACTGTTACCATTGTTTAGAGCTATTGCAATGTGTAAATAGTGGCTGTTGTCGATATGGAATGTGCTACAGAATATACAACGAATTATGTATTTTTGGACTCGTATTCTGGGATATATTCATAATGCAAGAGTATATATCTTTGGTTTGCATACATAGGTGTACATACCGAGTCATGAATAATTTACACGAGAATTGATGTGAGATACTATTATTGGCTCGTCTTTATTGCTTGTCCATATACTCCCTCTACCTTCATTCTCCCAATCTCGGTGCCCATCCGGTAGTGATGTCCGGGTTGCATTGTAATCTCAGCCTTTAATTGAGCGTCAAAAATTAAAACAACATCGGATCCCCCAAATTGAAAATATGCTAGTTCTTCCCCTTTGTGCAATCTCACACCCACTTCTGCGGTCAGAACGACAGATGATACGGTTGCCATGCCCACTGGGAGAACGGCTACGAAACCAAGTCCCGTGTTTAATACAATCAGCCCTCTTGCCTGGCAAAATTGATACCCCGTTTCATTGGGAATATCAAGCACACTTCCATTCTGATCGGTTGTGTCCGCTTTTGAGGGACTTGAGGCCTGTATTTTCATATAATTTTGGCCCATGATGATTCGTGCTTCAAGCACAGTACCGCTGACGGGGGTGTGTACGCGATGATAATCATCCACATTTAGGAACCCATGCATCCATACCCCTTGGGAGAAATAGTCTTTGTACGGGGACTCGGCAAGTATTTGGCTAATATGCCATGTTAACCCTTTTGTGGTGATCGTAGAGTGTTCCGAGATATAGTGAAGTTCTTTGAACTGAAAATCCGCAGGACTAGTCAAAACCGAGTTGTCTCCTATAGAGCTAATAGGTCGTCGCCCAGGTTTGAGAGTTCGACAGAAAAACTCGTTAAAGGTCCTCCACCCCTGTCGGGGCTCAAGATAGTCTTCAATATTGTACGCCGGATTTGACTTGAAGGTATCTAGCGCAGCTGCAGACGCAGGTGAATCCATGAACTCTCCTAATTCGTTGCTGAATTGCACCATCCAGCGGGATAACCAGGCAAGTCGGTCTGGTTGCTTCAGTTGTGACTGGGGATCTGGGGAAATGGGACTCTGATAGATTGCAATAGAGGGTTGATCCAGAATGAACCACATTTTGCGAAGTCGGAACAGCATATCCTTGGGTCGTACAGCTTCAGTTGGTATCCAGTGGAGTTGTTCATCCACGAATCGAAGATAATCCTCAAGGCAATCGATATCCTTTATTTCTTCTGCGTTGGATGAACGCGCAGTTTGAATTGCTGTTTCAAAATTTATTCTTCGCTTTGAATCCAACATGATCCATCTCTTGAGATCTTCAACCAACGGTGAATACACTGGTGCAGTGGAAAATCCGTCAACTAAACCTTGCCAAAGGTTTTTCATAAATGGGAATAGACTTGGGAACATGATGTCTCATTATAAAAGCCCGACTTTATACCAAGATGTTCAATTGGTCTTCAAAGAACCGTGCGCAGTATGGTGTAGTATATTTATATCCCACACCATTATTTTTCGCGCAGAGGGTGTCCAACTTATAAGCGAGGCAAAGATTCTTGATCCTCTTGATATAAGACTTGACAAACGCAGGGCTGGCTGAATATCTTGCCTAGACCTTCTTAGTTGTCCGATTCAGCTTGGATCTGATCGTGAACAGCTGGCTAGGCGTGGATCTGGTCGACGTGGCACTTGATTCTGCCCTAAAAAGTCCTTCACCTAGAAAATAAATCGCTATTCTGGTATCCGATTGGCGAGAAGTCGAAACCGCGGCAGGTAGATGATCACTTAATGATCTAAGCAGACGTATAACCTATACCCTATATCCTTCTCGATTAGAAAACACTATTTGCCCTTTTTCGGCGCTGACCATGCATAGAGGAATAAATAGCCACCTCTAGCCGTGTAGATTCTGCAGCCAATTACACCTACTTATAGCCCATCAGACCAATCACCCATAAAATCAGTCGCTAGCGGGTTGATTTTGCGAGGTCTTGCCACAAAGAGGCACCCCATGACCCAGAATCGATGTCGTTGAATCTTCCCAGTATTATTCCGTTTTGCTCCAATGCATACTTACCAAACAGGATGACCCCATGTCTGCTAGTTAGCTTGATTGCGGATACTAATGAGACTTCTGGTTTATCCCCTGTGTAACTGTTAGGAGTGAATGGGCTCTCCTTGTACTACTTTCATCAGCCTCTTACTGTGGATTCTACTCTAGCTTTTAGTCTAGGGGTTGTCTCGTAGCTATGGATATTGCAATTTGGCAAATTGTTTTTTGAAAACCTTCCGTTCTCTGGTGGTTATTCAATACGGATTTATTAAATTATAAACATAAACTTGTGGCTGTCCTTAACTTGCTTCGTGTGTTCATGTAGCCTGCTATTAGCCTCTCTACTACACCTCCATGCAAGTTACACCAAAATCAACCCCGAAAATATCAGCTTACCACATTTTTGATATTAGTACTTTTTTGGAACATTGGTATTCTGCTAGCAAGCCTTCCATTGCCAGAGCCAGTCCCAAAAGTGTCTAGTTGAAGAAATTCCGGACTTTCTGTCTCACAGGATGGGAAGGTGTCCTCGTGGAGAACAAATACCTTATGGGGATTTATTTAGGCCCGTTCTGGTGAACCACAAGGCTGGAACAAGTAAAGAAAGCTGCTCGATATGTAGGGAACCTTTATCTTCCCCTAACGTATTACAGTTTTCTAGGGATACCTAGATGGACTTGCTTATAACTAAATGGAGAGTTACCTCTCTCCTCACGGCTGCATTTAGTCAATCGACTCTGTATGAAGGATAGAAGACGACGGCATTATGGGCCTACGCCCAAGCGCTATGGGATGTTTGAACCAGATTCTGGAATCATGAAGAGTTCTAGAGAAACACTGCCTTGTTTAATTCTCGCTAGAATTATGGATCAGTGCCTCACGATCTAGGTATTTACTAAGTTTGGTTTCGGAGACCACCATTGAACTCTCAAGAGGATCATATAGAATCTGCGGACCAAAAATGGCATGCTGCGCGAAGACGCATCACTTCTGAAGAAGCGGCAAGGAAACAATAAACATGTGTGACCCATTTGAATATTGCCCGTCAATTCGGCATCTGCCCATGTGGCACCGGGCCCTTGTGCTTGCCGAGGATGATCTTAAAAATTGGCCGTGTGGAGGTAGGGTTCTTGGACCAAATGCCATGTTTCGTGTAGATATGATTCAATTCTACCCAAATTGGCCCATGACAGCGATGGGTTTTACGGGGAAGCCCCTGTACTTTGTTGTTAAAAGGAAACGTATATTAGGGTTAGGGTTAGGGTTAGTAGGATGACCGAATTTTGAGATCCCTGGAAGCTTTTATGTTGGTGCTCGTGAGACACTCACTACCTTGTCATCATTATTATATTGTCATCCTGCATTCCATTACCAAAAACGCACTCCCAGCAATAACTGCAATGTAGATAATACAAAGGGTCCCGATAAGCACATGGGATGTTCCGGTAGAGAATGAGCCTTCTAAGACATTTCTCGGATAGGTTTGCACTGGCATGCCTCACAAACCGGCGTGGATGAAGACTCCGCAACGTAGTTTAGCATCATTCGGGGCTACTAGAGACATTCCGAGGTAGCGGCAAACCTGAAACACGAGGTCTATATTCCTATAACATCACTTGGAAATTGATGGTCAAGGATTATGATATAAAGTAACAGTATGGCCAACAAAAAAGTAGCAATTTCCACTTCGCCTACCTGCCTTCTCGAAGTTCTACAGCAACAATGGCTAGCCTGACCGATCTAAACGCGAAAGGCCTTTCTGGTAATTGGCTACTGGTACGTATGCAGGCCGTTTTTTAATTGGCATCTCGATATTGTTGTTCAGATTGCTGTCCGAGGCTATGGGCGTGGCTGACCATGCATTTCGCAATGGCAGGACAAGAAACTTTCGGATGATGTTGGGCCTATTTTAAAGCTGGTACAAGCTCTCCATTATTTCTACTTGTTGGATCACGGCGTGTATGCAGGGGCTTACACTTGAGTAGCAAGGCCTTGGCTGGCTCATGCGCAAAGCTATCTGTGCAGCTACGATGGTTGTTACTTTTGCCGAACACCGGCAGGAAGGGACTTCGGATACGTATCTGACCTTTGACCAAACCTTGAAAGGAATTCATACCCTCAGCGAGAAGCGTGTCCTAGATTGGACTGAGCAAGATCACAGCGACGACGTCTTTGGGGACGTTATCATCCGGAGCCAGCTCATCGGTGGGGAAAAAGGCGAAGATGGCAAAATATATGCAAATGCCACACTCGAGACCAATTTGACGAGAGATCCTAGAGCAGAGGCAGACGCTAAGCAACACCTGAGGTGTGGTACTTTAGCCAGCGCAAAAGAGCAGGATGTCGTCTACTTGCATGATTTTATACGCAGCAAATCCGGCGCTTGGACTATGGAACAGGTAAACGACTCATGCTTTGCACCACGATGGGTTTACTAACCGGTTTCAACGCAGATATGGGCAATTGAACTTATTGAGGGCAAAAGGTTTCTAGCACGCTATGCTGTTGTTGCTAAAGATTCCTCAGTTGAATTACGCCGTTGCTTTTACAGCTGGATGGAGCCGGGGGACTCGCTTTGAGTATTCCATGTTTAGTTCACCTAGCCAATTCCAAGCGTGTGACGTTTGATTTTTATATTGTATAGCAACCTAGCACACCTTTCTGAACTGAGGCCACTGGGTGGAAATTTTTAACAGAACAAAATAAGGGAGACATTTTGACACAAAGATCAGACTACTACAAAGCCGCTGCCTTAATCCTTAGGTCCGTATAGACACTCAATCTTGTAGAGCAGGCACCAGTACCAAATGATCATAACATTAGATGCATGTTGACTAGAATTTAAATAGAATGTGCAGCTTATTGGTTTGTGCTCAAGAATGAACCAAGGTTGTATATTTCAGAAAGTTCATCATCCCGGATAGAACCTACGCGGGGATATAAAAAGCGGAAAAAGCGTTCTTTTCTGGTCTATTTTCTTTCTTGCTTTCTTTTATTTACCTTGGCCTGTATTTCTTCCCTTCTTGTTGTCTGGAGGTCCACCTTCTAGATCTCTCGATCTGTTGCTCTGTGCTTCCTTCTCCTGAAGCTTCGCCTGCGCCTTCTTCCTCCAACCGTGACCCCATCGAACCACTACCCATAGAAATGGAGTGAATAAAATCCATAAGAAGGCGATAAAGCTCGCAGTCCATCCAATACCAATGTGTCGGATCAGCGGAGTCGCGATTGCAACTGCGCCTGCGCCAACCGAGCATCGGAACAGATTATTAGCCGCAACGGCCGTGGCGGGACTCTGATAGTGAATATCCACGACTAATGTATTCAAACTATTGAAGGCACCCGTTGTCAGGTGGCCGGTGAAGAACAGCATCACCATGGGCCCAGCAAGGGCAGTCTTGTACTCCATGACCCATCCATAGATGATAATGCATAAACATGAAGCATAGATCATCGGAAGGCTCACCAATAACCGAGCGACTTCAACATTAAAGTTTGCAATATCCTGCTGGCGATTCTTCACGATTGGAAGCCCCTGGCGTTTGGCTTCTCGTTTGAAATTTCTATCAAGTAGGTACCCCACAGTCCATCGAGATGTTAGACTACCCATACCTAATGGGAGATAACACAGTCCCACCTGGATGGTATTGAATCCGAATCTGTTCTCCAGTTCAGTAGATAATGTGCTAAGTACCATCATATATCCCGCGTATAAGAGCGAGCCGTACATTAACACCAGCCCTCCTTCTCTTTCGGTGACAATTTTCAAGGATGCAAAGGGGTTCGGACGCCGGCCACCTTGCTGAATTGTTTCATTATCTGGTTCTGTGCGTTCGGTTTTCTTCCAGAATCTGCGCACCGTCAACTCCCAAAGCGAACGGTTCCACTTGGCTGCAGGGACTGAGCCATTGCCCACTACGGCCCGACAGGTCTCTGGGAGCGCTATGGTAATGATAATGCCGAATACTCCGCTGAATATGGCCAAGAACCAAAATATCGCACGCCATCCGTAATAGTAGTCCAGTAGCCCGCCGATGACGGGTCCCAGGGCCGGTCCTAACGTTACCCCCATGGTGGCGTATCCAATATATTTCCCCCTCTCTGCTCGTGTGGATATATCAGCAACCACTGCACTTCCCAGGGCTATTGTTCCACTACTTCCAGAACTCTGCATACACCGGAGGACCATCAACGCCACGTAATTGTTCTGCAGGGCGAGTCCAATGTTGGCGCCCAGGTAGATCACAAAGCACACTAGGTAGGCCGGTCGTCGTCCATAGACATCCGAAAAGTTTCCGACGAATGAGGGGGCGATGCCTTGGAATATCTAGATACAATTCTGTTAACCCACGCTTCTGCTTGAGGACCAGACGGTGTGGCGTACCAAATAGGTTGTGATGGTCAAATTGATGAGTGAGAGTGACACATTCTCCTGGGTGGCGAGACGATTCAGGATGGGGAAGTAGATGCTGCTAGATATTGGAGAGATAATCGAGGCGAACGATACCAGGAGCATGATCAGCACCTTTTCCAACTCGGGCAAGATACAGTAGGGAGCGTCTGTTGCCGATCTGATAGGGATAGGCCCTGGGGCGCTTCCTCCTTCATTCGTATCCGATATCTGGAGACCTTCCAGCTTTGCCCCATTCGGTGGCTCGATGCTATCTCTGGTGGCTGTCATAATAGCATCTTGCTCATGCCCACCTCGCACAAGTCCCCCTTCCGGCTCCCATTGTTGCCGGACGGCTTCGCTCTCTGTATAACCGGGTTCGAATTGTTGCTTCTGGGATTTGTTCTGGAGGAATTGGTTCATTTTCCAGCCTGGAGAGTTTACAGCAACATATTCCTCTCTTTCCTTTGTGTGAATCCTATCACAGGTTTAAATAAATAATTTCCTTTTGCGGTACCGGGCCAGTTCCGCTTAGCTTGTTAGGCTAACACTGCTGCCTTTAGATATACTTATAAAAGAAAGATTTCTCTTATGAATAAAATAGTAAACAGCGTGATAAAGAAATGAATACCAGTATCTATATTTATTATTAGGTGAGTGCCAGTATACTCTATATCTATCATTCTATACTCCGTACATCACTGGCTTTTGCTAGCCCTAATCCGGCTCTTCCTCGACGAAGCCCTCAGCAAACTCTTGGATATATCCAAATGGTTCCTCAAGTATTCGGATTTGTTCGTGTGAGATTATCAGGTTATCGAAGGTGGATTTTTAAAAGGAAATCGCTAACTCATTGTAGGTAGTCCACATCTCGATGCGAATGCGAATGACGAAGATGCCAACCCGCCCCAGCTGTCATTTGCTGGATTTTTACCTTTTCCTCGGAAACATCGGAGAGTACGCGGTAAGGCGAGCTGGACCGATCAGGAGATCTTACCAACAACTCACACTGGAATAATCTCCAAGACGCGTCGGGACCTGTGAGTGGGGACACTCGGGATAGGTAGGCACAAGGCCGCGAATTGATCTTTCATGTTTAAGCATCAGGGGAAGATTTCAACGGACCTCGCTATACCTCGGGCTCCGATCAAGTCATTTCTCTGAATTAAATCCGAAGGCGAACCCCCATTGCCATCTATCTTATGGATTAAATACTGTAATATTTACCCATCCGGATTGTTTCCTGCTTTTTGCTGCGCGTGTTTTGTCGTTTCCCGACGTCGTCCAAGGCCTAACATGGCTCACCACATAACCTCACTTGTCGATCGCGTCAACGCCATTCTTGCTACACATGGCTTCCTGTCTAAATGGCCTTCCAACCGGGTTGCCCTTACCACCTTCGCAGCAGCCGTCCTTGGCTTAGCAGCGCCCGTGGCATATCGTGATTATCGGTCGTATCTAGCTCTTGGGCCGGGGGGGCCCCCATATAATGTGATTGGCTGGTTATTCGTCAAGCTGTTTGTGAATCCCTTCCGACGGGAAGTGTTCAGTACAGATATCTATGACCGCAAAGTCCTACAGGGCGAGACAGTCGAGTTTCTAAAGGATTTGCCCAAAAGGAACGGCGAGCGACCAACGATGGGCTCGTTTGCCGTGCCGCATCGACAAGTGAATCAAATCCCTAGCCAGGAAGTGAAGAATGTAGGCTCTGTTTTACCCTCATTCTTTGAATTCATATCCCTGGTCGTTCCAATACGCAGTAATGCGCTAACCTCTCCAAGAAACTGGAAGAAAAATATCAAGCTTTCCTAGTACGAAACTCGCATCTGGTTGACCGCGTGCCTTCAATTCTCGAAAGACACACCGATGCTGCTCACGTATCGAAAAACATTCCCCTGACATCTGCTGCGGAGGACATGCATAGGGAAATCTGCCATCTCCATGGAACCAGCGATTATTCAGTTCATGTGACACTCGCGCCCGCAGATTGTAAGGACCCCCCCAGTACGTCGAGATTTACTGGGTGGAATCTAACATGGGTCTGCATCTAGGTAAACGAGTGATTGAATCTGGCTGGGGCCAACGCTTTACTCTTGCTGGTTCGAGTCTGTTCAAGTATCTTGGGCTTGCATCAGGCCCCAAAATACCGTTTGAGTACATGCTGATTTATGCACCTCGAAGTGATGAGGAGATCGAGGTTGTCATGCAAATTATCAAAGCTAGTGTGGGATATATGACAGACTCAACAGATCTGAAATAAGCTTTGAATATCATTTTGCATGGCCTTCTAATCTGTGAGCACTTGTGCATGTACTCTGTATTTTATTGTTTTATTTAATCAGCTGCAGGTTGTGCATCTATAACCTTCCTTCATTGAATCTTACTTTGTTCTTTGATGTTAGTTAAATATGTTTTGCTTACAGCAGGATCCCTCTAAATATCTTCTGCAACCTTTCCATAGTCTCATTTATAACTTGCCTAGGGTATTCCCCAGCTCAGCTGCGCGCGATGTAGCCGCCTGGACGGCCTTGTCCACAACTCCGCTAAAGTCCAAGGACTCGAAGGTCTGAAGCGCAGCATATGTGGTGCCATTTGGACTGGTAACGTTCTTTCGGAGCTGAGCAGGACTATCAGAAGACTCCGCTAGCATTTTCCCGGCTCCAAGACATGTTTGAGAAGCCAGGCGAGTAGCCTGCTCAATTGGTAGACCTAGTGCCGTTGCGCTGGCGACTAAATGCTCAACCATAGCAAAGAAGTATGCAGGACCGGATCCTAGTCGCTGTTAATTTCTGACATGCTCGAAGACTCTGCTGCTAGCGGTGTAAATACTCACCGGATAAACCGGTCACAACATCCAACAGTTCTTCCTTATCCACCCACTCAGTCGCCTTGCTGACGCTCTGGAGCAAGGCATTGACTAGCGCTTTCTCATCGGCGGTGACATCCGAGCTCGCGAAAAGGCCCGAGGCACCCTCGCCGACTAGTGCAGGAGTATTGGGCATGACACGGACGATATGTGCAGTTCGTGAATCACTGGTTTGAAGCCATTGTTTCAGGCTCTCCAGGGTGATTCCTGCAGCTATACTGACAACAACGGGCAATGTGGTACGTTGCGACCATGCAGCGCCGAGCTCCTCGCACACACTCTTGGTGACCTGGGGTTTCACGGCAATAATGACCATATCCGCGTCTCCTCCTGCATTGACGTTTGAGGTGGTGGTCTGTACACCCAGAGAGGCAATTTTTTCCCGGTTGACATCCCATGGCTCTGACACAATGATGTTCTGTGCCGTGATGCCCTGGTTGAGGAGGCCGCCAATAATGGCCGAAGCCATGTTGCCACCGCCAATGAAGGCGAGCTTGCTTTCTCGAAGGGATGACATTATGGAATCGAAGTGTACTGAAGTGAATCGGGGTTGGAATCCAGAAAACCAGTCAATTCCAGCACTTTGATAAAGGATTGTTTTCCAGAGCCCAAGAATGCACAACAACAAAAGTACCCTCGGACTCCAAATCGCTTTGTCTTTTTTTTTTTGGCGGGGTAAATGCGATATGTAACCGGGACCGGGCCGGTGAATTGCCTATTGTGGTATAGTCTCTAGTCACATGATGATAACAACCAGATTTACCCAAAAGGGAAACAGTTGGGATGGTTATGAATGGTGATATAGTTTGAGGTATCTATGTAGATATATGAGAAAAGAAGTTAAATAAAATGCTATGCCAATTTTCAATGTATGGGTTGGAAATAGTGATGTATCGGAGTATTGCAACCGTACCGGATATATATCTCGAGATGCACTACATACATAGAGGTTGCTCCTGCTTCAAGAACAACATCGTAGCAAGAAAAAATATCCTGCTCTTCATGACTTGAATCAAGTATTTCCAAAACTCTCCCTGATATCGGGCCCTTTAAAAGTCGAGACCAGGTCCCATGTTGGTCGTAAACTGAGAAGTCTAGTCCAAAGGTGTGTGTAGGTTGGGTACAAGCAATGAATTGCTTACCTGGCGGCAAATATAAAATTCCTATTATAAATAAGCCTGACAAACTGATCGAAACATTACTGAGCCACTAGGAAACATAATAAGAGCATTAATTACTTGCAAAAAGGCAAAAGAAAATCCGATTAAACCCCTGCTTCACAACCTCAGCTAAGATACTGACTGCACTTCAGCACATGCCAAAGACGGCTACCCCAAAGCAGGAGAAATAAGAGGCTACGAGACAGCAATGGAGTGCCTTTTGGTTAAGCTCAGGTATAAGTACGAAGATTTATAGATTCAATTTCAGAATAGGTTCATGAGTCATGTAGGGCAAATAACGGCCGCCCCAACAACGTTGCTCAAACGCGCTTAGACTAGGTAATCATTAACGACTTCCGATTTACAGCAGGTTTTTGAGCCTGGGAAATCTGGCACTTGCCTTCAAGTCGAAACGGTCGAGATTCATCACCTTATCCCAGGCTGACACGAAATCCTTCACGAACTTCGTCTCTCCGTCCGAGCTGCCGTAAACTTCAGCAATGGCGCGGAGTTCTGGATGAGACCCAAACACGAGGTCAGCACGGGTGGCCGTCCATTTCTTCTGCCCAGTCTTCCGGTCGGCGCCCACAAAGATCTCGTTGTCGTTATCCGTAGGCTGCCAGACGGTGTTCATGTCCAGAAGGTTCACAAAGAAATCGTTCGTCAGACGGCCGGGTCGCTGGGTGAAAACCCCATGCGCAGATCGGTCATGGTTGTTGTTGAGAACACGCAGACCACCAACCAGCGTGGTCATTTCTGGAGCAGAAAGGGTGAGAAGCTGGGCTCTATCCACGAGGAAGTCTTCAGTGCGCACACGGTTGCTCGATTTACCAAAGTTGCGGAAACCGTCAGCTGGGGGTTCCATGTGGCTGAAGGACTCCACATTCGTGTCCTCTTGGGAAGCGTCCATGCGACCGGGAGTGAAAGGAACGATGATATCATGACCAGCGTCTTTGGCAGCCTTCTGGACTGCAGCAGATCCGGCCAATACGATTAGATCGGCTAGGGACACCTTCATGCCGCTGCTCTGGGAGTTATTGAACTGTTTCTGAATGGTTTCGAGAGCACTTAGCACCTCGCTGAGCCAAGGCTGATTGTTTACAGCCCAGGAACGCTGCGGCTCCAGTCGGATGCGGGCACCGTTGGCACCACCGCGCTTGTCGCTGCCACGGAAGGTTGATGCAGAGGCCCAGGCGGTGGAGATGAATTTGCTAGGGTCTACGCCACTGGTCAGGATGGCTTGCTTCAGGGCAGCAATATCGTCAGCATCGATCACAGGGTGATCGACTACGGGAATGGGATCCTGCCAGCTGAGTACTTCTCCTGGCACCTCTGGACCAAGGTAAAGAACACGCGGTCCCATGTCACGGTGGGTGAGCTTGAACCAAGCCCGAGCAAAGGCATCAGCAAACTGATCGGGATGCTCGAGGAAGCGACGCGAAATTTTCTCGTAGATCGGATCATAGCGGAGGGAGAGATCGGTCGTCAGCATTCTTGGAGGGTGCTTTACGGAGGGATCGTAGGCGTCGGGGATAATGTTTTCGGCGTTCTTGGCTACCCACTGGTTCGCATCAGCTGGGCTCTTGGTGAGCTCCCAGTCGTAACGGAATAGGTACTCCAAGAAGTTGTTGTTCCATTTTGTAGGAGTCTTGGTCCAGATGACCTCCAAACCACTGGTGATGGCGTGGGGCCCTTTACCAGAACCGTAGCTGTTCTCCCAACCAAGGCCCTGCTTTTCAAGCCCAGCACCTGCAGGCTCCTTACCCATGTGGGAAGCAGGGGCTGCGCCGTGGGTCTTGCCCAGCGTGTGGCCGCCAGCAATCAGGGCCACGGTTTCTTCATCATTCATGGCCATACGGCCAAAAGTATCACGGATATCCTTGGCGGCTGCAACGGGATCAGGCACACCATTGGGACCCTCAGGGTTCACATAGATCAGACCCATGTGGGCTGCAGCCAGTGGGGTATCGAGGTTACCGCCAGCGTAGCGAATATCGTTGCCCAGCCAGGTTGTCTCACCTCCCCAGTACACGGATTCATCTGCCTCCCAGGTATCATTTCGGCCTCCTGCGAAGCCAAAGGTCTTGAAGCCCATGGATTCCAGGGCCACATTACCAGCCAGGATCATCAAATCAGCCCAGGAGATCTTGTTTCCATACTTCTGCTTAATAGGCCACAACAGGCGGCGCGCCTTGTCTAGACTAACATTGTCGGGCCAGCTGTTCAGAGGAGCGAAGCGTTGTTGCCCCTGTCCACCACCCCCGCGGCCGTCGAACACTCGGTAAGTACCAGAACTGTGCCAAGCCATTCGGATGAATAGACCCCCATAGTGACCGAAATCTGCTGGCCACCAGTCTTGCGAGTCTGTCATAAGGGCCACAAGATCCTGCTTCAAGGCATAATAGTCTAGACTCCCAAAGGCGGCGGCATAGTTGAACTCCTTGTCCAGAGGGTTGGATACGGAAGTATGTTGACGGAGGATGTTGAGCTTCAGCTGATCCGGCCACCAGTCGCCGTTCCGGGTGCCGCCACCTCCAATGTTGGCCGTCTGGCGGTTATGAACTGGGCATTGGTTTGATCCCATGCTTTTGTGCTTTTTGATGGATTGGGGGTCCTCCACGGACATCAGACTCACTGCTTGGAGATTCGAGGGAATCACAATTTTCAGATGAAAGGATCCAGGAAACCAAATATTAATGATAGATAGGCGTGGGATGGAGTCGCAATCGTCAGAGAAGGACAGAACCCCGCATTTTATGTCTGGCCAGTAACCCCGCAGGATATGGTAAGCATCATTGTCTGCGACGCATCTGGACCCTCAACAACTTGCCAGCAGCCGCGGGGATGCCGATCCCAAGCTTGCGGGGTTGCGGGCATGTGACGGGAGAGTGTGACTTGATTGGATTCAATCCTATGATTAGTACATAAAAGATACTCTTAAGTTCCAGAGGGCTTGAAGGTGGGATGACCAGCGGAGGAGGTTCGCACTCGTGGGTAGATCGCTGGGAAGGGATTAGGGTTTGTAGCTTCACGAGGGGAGACAGTGTCTACGAGCCTTATATTCTGTGGCCCGAATCCCGAATCCTTTCTGTCAAAATCAGTGTGACAACTGCGTTGAACAAAAATCCAATACTGGCACTATAGTAGTGTCTATGACATAACATAGCCGGCGGATAACCGACCTAACTGTGTACCCCGCAAGCTATGTACTGGTAGTACTCAAGGTTGGCTGGTGGGCCAACTCTGCGGGCCAATTACCAATAAAGACCCCCGCAGGAAGTAGACCCCGGGGTCGATATGATGGTTAACCCAGTTTCTGCCGTCCCCTTTCGATCCCTACTGAGAACATAAATCTGTACTGACTAATGGTCTTCCCCTGGTTGGCTAAACGTATTAATGGTTTGCAATGCATTCACACGATCAATGTGGAACACCAATGTCGTCTTACTTTTACACATACAGGAGAGCACAACACACCGCAACCTGATCAGCTTGGACATGAACTGAAAACTGGAAAATATTTACTTTGTGTGCAAAAAAAGATTGACTGACTCCATGATAGGACGGAAAAAACGCTTCCAAGCAGCCTTTGTGAGCTATTGTTAGGGTTATCCATCCTTGGAGGTGCCGCGCAGGAGGCCGGAATGTGGAGGCCGAAAGTACGGGTAGACATTCTGAGACAAAAAAAGCAACAATACGATTATGAAGAGAGTGGAAATTGGGTTACTTATATTGTGTACCTTTCCGCGGAGAGGGCTGCAGTCTTTGAACCCAATCTTGTCAGTACTACATACCTTTCCCGTTGACAGCCCTATACCCCACCATTTCTGAAAAATGGAGCAATATTGGCAGCATAATTAACACAAGATGAGGGTTAGCAGTCTGAATCAAACTTATAAATCTCAACATAATATCCATTTCTGCAACTAAAGTAGACTGTAGGAAAACCGAGGACTCCTGCCTGTAGTGGCTTACAACAAGGCAGGACTGGCTTATCACCCTTGCAACCCTTGCATAAATGTCTAACTCTGCCCCTAATTTCCAACGCCTTCTTCACACCATTTCAACAAACCCCTCCAAAAGTGGTTCGGTACTTGTTAGAGGGTTCCCTCTAAGCATATTCGACGGTAACGGAGCTGGAGCTCACGGAAACAGAGGTCAAGACTTCGTTGCTCTGTTCGATATCGAGAATGGTCGCGCCAGATGGGCCAACTGTCGAGCCCTTGGAGGTAGCCTCAGCAGAGCTGAAGGTAACGGTGCCAAAGTCGGCAAATGGAACAAGGGAGTCGTTTTCTTCGAAGTCCTCGACAATCCATTCGGCATTGTACTCGCAAAGATCTCCATCAACACCGCCAGTGAAAGTGTGAGTCACAGATTTGCCGGTAGTGACGTTCTCCACGACGGCTTTTCCAGCAGTTTTGCTAGTTGCATCCACAGTGACTTTGATTTGGTCACCAGCAGAGATAGTAATTCCGCTGAAGTCATAGGCATAATCTGGGTACCATTCGTACCAAGCATCAAAAGAGACACTGCTACCCTGGACGCAGAAATCGACACCGGTCTGCAGGATGGCAGTCTCACAGGTATCACCATCGATACCAACCCAAGCAGAAGCACAGTACTGCGTTGAAGAGGATCCGCCGCTGGGTACCGACGGGGTTGGGACAGTGAACTCGCCCGTCACGGCAGTGTAGCCGGTGCCAATCAAAACTGCACCGGCCCAGTTGGAGCTATATTCCACATGAGTGGTATTGGAGAGCTCGAGAACTTCACTGGTGCCGGGCTTGTAAGGAGGATGGCTGGCTCTACCGTTGGAGCGAGCAAGACGGCGGGCACTGCGTGCTTGACGCTGGGCTGTGAGGGGAGCTGCGATGGCAGCACCGGCGAGCAGAGTCGAGGCAAGAGCGGCAGAGAGCTTCATCTTGACAGTGAAGAATGATTTGGGAGCGCAAAGAATCAGTTAACGGAGCTACAGTGGAAAGACTTTGGAGACCTGTGTTTAGATAGGAGGATCATTTCAGATGCTGGGTTATCGACATGAATTTATACCAAAGAGAGCACTGTTTGATTGTTAATTCTCACATATCCTAATCATCCCATTGCCACTATTTTCATTTCGATATTGCGCTGCATACGAATCCCGCTTTCATGACCTCATTGATCACGGCCTCTCGAAGCGATGTCACCCTCCAGTAGCTAAGGATTGATGGCCTAGATACAAACCGATAGTCAGGGCAGATTAATACGGCTGAATGATTCAATAGAGAGCATTCCGAGTCAGGAACATGGTATGTACATAGACCTGAAGCCTCCTGCACAAACAATCCACTAGCACAGATCGCTACTTCTCTCGAGAACAGCAAACTTGGTGGAATCAGGGTAGAACATAGATAATCGAATCTAGAATGGTGTACTTCAAGACGGTTATCCACGGTATGAGTTCATTGGATTGGATGTATAGCCAACTTATGCGATCTTTGCAGAGCACTGATAACACCAAGTGGTCTCTAAATTATCAGTTTTCTTTTCTTTTTTTTTTTTTTTTCACCACACGACGGCCTACCATAGATACGTACTTGATCGACAACAGCTAAAAACTCCGCTCCAAATGTATGTGGCTTATTGAAGGAGTACAGCCCTCCTCGACAATGAAATACTTGTTTACATACGTTATAAGACACACTGTAGCTGGAATCTTCATTACACTACCAGTAGCTTTTCCTCTTCTAATATTAGGCGCCCATGGGCCTATATTGCCACCAAATCCTTCAGAGGCATATTCGCGGGGATAGTGGGATAAACGAGGGGTGTCGATGCTATTGTGGCAGCGACTACACTAGCTGGCTTCAAAAGTGGTGCCGGGATGAAGTGATAACGACAAGCTTTAGACAAGCATCATGGCGAACGATAAGCAATCTGGGCCTTTTATTCAGGAAACTAAAGTATATTAATTAATATTTCCGGTTTTCTTCCGACCGCAGAGTAGCCAATGTAACCCTCTGGCAGGCCTCCGGCCCGTACATAGCTGAGGGTTATATGAATTCTGCAGAGGTTATGCCGGTGATAAATTCACATCACCGAGTGGAAACAATCTTATCGTTTAATATAATCGCTCTTAGAAACTTTTAGCATTAACCACCGGCTTCTTGACCAACTGGATTATTGAATCGGGGAAATACATCCTACGAGAATGAATCTGTTACCCAATAATCTCCATACAGGAGTTCAACTGTATCCGAGGAAGTAGAGAAGTCACTCGGAGAGACAATTGGCGTGTTTTATGACACTATAGCTTGGCTTGGATGATCCAGCGTGCTTGTGATCGCTACCAAGGGGAGTTCACTTTATTAGGGTATGTATGTATCTGCCGGCAGTATCCATTCTGGTCGATCCTACCTAGGTAGATGGTTATGTATGCGCGCGAACAGTTTTTGATCGCATAAGCTTTGTCACACAGCTTTTGGAAACTCTGAAGTAGACCTTTCGAATTTGGATAAAAGAAAGCCTAACGTATAAATTTCAAGCTGCTGATATGGAGATCGCGGGACATGGGAGCAACAATACACATATAAGTTATAATTTTAGTGCGATAGCCAGTGTGCTGAGGATGGCTACGATCGGATAACACTAAGAAGCTTCTCGACAAGGATTATTGTGGCCTTGTCCTATACTACTCAATTTTAGGAAGGTGTCTGGACGGGAGATAAAGGCGTCGGAATGATGGGAACCAGTTGTCGAACACCCCCAGCAATCCGATACGCGCATTAGTATATGAAGGAAATATGAACGCCGCTCATCTTATTGTATTCGCATATACTCTCAACCCAATATTGAAAAGAACAATGAATTCCAGGAATGACAAAAAAGCCGTATGGAAGAAGCGAGTGGACCCAGAGAAGGGTTGGCTGGAACCGCCAGGGGCCAATTGCTTCGGGCCGTCAAGATAGTACCCGTGTATCAATATAGAACCCGCATAGTGCCGGATCTAAAGTATTTTTGTGGACCAATATAATACTACTCCGTATATCAGCTAGAAATGGCTGTCTTGACACCTTTTTAGCTCAGCGGTAAAGTTCGACATATTTATAGTGGAAATTACCCAACTTACTTGTGGAAGTAAGGCGTCATCAGCAACGCAGTCCTTTGAATTTATCATGAAACCCTAAATATGACAGGAATGTGTCCGGAATATCCAGTGTGAAAACAGACCAATGTATATATATAAGGCCCTTTAAGCAGTGCTATTCTTCATAGCCTCACGTTACACGTAATTTTCGTAGAATAGGCCAGGGACTGCCACAGAGGATTTGGAATACCAATGCTAAATACTCCGTATACCGCTCCTAATTCTTACCTCGTCATAGCCGGGCAGGACGCATAGCGGTAGCCTGTACCCCGGTGAAATAGAATCTCTTTACTAATATACCTGCAGATAATAAAGCTATACCGGAGCAGAGCATATCAACTACTAGTATAATCTATGAAGGGAACGATAGTAAATAGGGTCAAATCTAACTAACCTATAAAAACCTATATACATAGGTAACTGTCACGGCATAGCAGCTGTTGTGCCATGATGATGCCTATATAGGGGGGGTTGTGGCATCATCAGCTGGTTATTCTAGTCTCCCCTATTGGCTGTGATGGGTCAAAATGGATTCTGCTATAATATACCCGTACGGAGTACCGAGTACTCCGTATTGGAACTGAGATTGGAGAATTAATTGGACCGTGCTTCAGGAAAGGTATGTATATCCATCCACATTCCAGCTTTCATCTAACCATTTTTGTTGTACGAACGACATGCTCTAGATTAGCTTGTCAAGTACTCCGTACTTTAAAAGTACCTAGATTGAAGCACTTTAGAAAGGAAGAAAAATAAATAGAAGTTAAAATTCAAAGAATAGTTAAGGATTGGTACACCTAAGGAATAACTATGCTTGGTGTTTAACACGGGCAAATCTATTAGCACCGAGTACATCATAATTAGGTAGCACCCCTCCAGACAATATATGATGAGAGGTCGTCAAACTATGATGGTAGAGAGTTGACCGAAATGGATTCAATTGGGTCTAACTAGAAAATAGAGAGATGCTTGGAGGAAGTATGGAGATCTAGAAGGAAATAGTGGCCTAAATATATAGAGTAGTCACATGTTGCTATCTTCTTCTTTATGGTAATGCTGCTTTATAGTAGTGCTAGTTATATTTACTAAGTATAGTATTCTAATATACTTCCTTTAGTAATATATTTATTATATAAAGCTATTTAGAGTCTATCTCTAACCTATTAAAATCTAATCTCTTAATAAATTTATTAAATTTTATAATTAATAATATCTTAATTAGCCTATTAGTAATATTATTTTTTTTATTAATTATTTATAATTAAATTTTACTATTTTTAATTATCTCTTTTATAAAGAAGTAGTAAATATCTATTTAATAAAATATAGATATATAATTTAGCTTCTTTACTAAAATAATAATATTAATAGAATTAATATATAAAGATATAATACTTTTTATAAACTTTTCTAATCTAATAATTATATATAGTTTTTATAATTATATAGCTAGTTTTATTATTATATTTTATATAATAAATTTAATAATAATTAAATTTAAAGTAACTAGTAATTACTTTATTAATCTTTATATAATTAGTACTCTAAATATAAAAAATATAAAGTTTTTTATTAATTTCTTATCTTTATAATCTATATAGGAGGTATTAATATATATATATAATAAATTATTTAAATAATTTAAGATTATTATATAATTTAAGGTCTTTTTTAAATATTAGAAAACTTATTTAATTATATTATAATTTAATTTAGTAAGATTATAATTCTTCTATAGTAATTATATTATTATATATTAAATATTTAGTTAGGTCTAAATAATAATCTAATTTAAAGATCTAGTTAACTCCTAGTAATAAATAATATTATCCTTACCAGTAGAGGCATATATAGTATCTAGAATAATATTACTAGTATCTAATATCTCTCTAGTTAATTTCTATCCTAGAGTTATTAGTATATAATATAACTAAAGATTATAAAAATTCTTTTTATAAAGCATCTTTTAGATATATATATATTAAGATATTAATATTAAATTATTAAGTAGTCTATAAATATTATATCTTAAGAACTATATAGGTTTACCTAGTTACTTTAATTTAAAATATTTTTCTAGTTTATCTATAAATTATTAAATATTTACTTTATTAGGACCAGCAATTATTATATTATTAATATAGATAATAAATATTAGTTACTGTTGGAGTGCTGCACTCAGTGAATGCAACCAGCACCACCATAAAGCAGCATCACCATAAAGAAGAAGATAGCGACACGTGACTACTCTGTGTATTTAAGGCCACTATTTCCTTCTAGATCTCCATGCTTCCTCCAAGCATCTCTCCTTCTCTCTATTTCCTAGTTAGACCCAATTAAATCCATTTTGGTCAACTTTCTACTATCATAGTTTGACAACCTCTTATCAGGTTATGAGCTCTCCTTGAGGTTCTATTTTATGCTTTATAGACCTCTAAAACTCTTATTATACTCCTGTACCCCTGTACCAGAGATCTACTCCCTAATTAGATAGAGATCCTGGTAGAAATATTACCTACTGCTATTATATTACACCACCTGGGTGATAGTATATGAAAAATTTCTATAATTTAACCAAAATAGCAACTGAACCTACCCCTGGCAGATATCCTGACATCCCTGATTTACTATACCTACCTTTGACAGCTACTACCCTATTTACTAATGGCCAAAATTAAGTAACAAAGCTAAAGAATAGCATATTTAACTTAAGCCCGATAATAGTATTAGAAAATAATTTAAAATTTAAAATTTAGGCTTTATTTATATAAATAGAGTTAAGGCTTTATAAAATAAATAAGCTTCTTAAAAGTAATATTCCTAGATTATAACTTAATAATCTTAAGTATAAATTATAGGAACTTCTTTTATAAATAATAGCTAGTTAGATATTATATTTAATAAGTAAGAAACTAGTAGAAAAATTATTAATAAATATTACTTTATATATTTTTATAGATAATTTTATATAAAAATTATAAAAAATAATTATTAATAATAATTAAAGATATATATACTAGATATAAAAAGAAATTATTAAGATTAAATATAAGAATTATATAATTATTAATAAATTTATATTAAACTTTATTTAGAAGATAAATACTTTTAATAGGTTAAAAATAGTTATTATACCCTATTAAGTAGTTACTATAATACTTTAGGAGCTTGAAAGGAATAATATAAGTTTTATAAATTTAATCTTAAA